CGGTTAATGACATCAAGTAAGACGTATACAACAGTATACGATCTACATTATCACTACAGTCAATGATATCGTACAATCAAGCAACCACCGATCAAACAGCTACTGCATGAGATCACTATGCATCTAGATCTATCTGTATGAGATCATCATGCATTATCTAGAATGATCATATACAAGAGACAAGTTGATTATAAATATGCCCTGCTTTCTCTACCAAGATAATAATAATGTTTAATACATACAAGCAATATTCAATACAATCAACCAAGCTTCAGTCCTACTTTACTTTTCTCTCATCTTATGATTCTATGCCGAATTGATTTTATCCTTCCTATTCAATTAAAGGAAGAAGATCAATTAATCTTACTTCCTCTTTACCAACCTGCGCAGCATCGCTTGCTCACATTTAATCATCTTTAATTTATCTTCCTCTTTACCAACCTGCGCAGCATCGCTTGCTCACAGGGGGACATAGTTATAAGGAAATCCTTTAAGGATAAAGGACTAGAGGAGGGGGGATAATATTACGAACCTCGAGGCGCGGGAGGGCCGTAGCTAGTTGAGGGACAACCGAGACCCAATCGATCCCCGGACGCTTTGCATTAGCGCCGTCACGTACAACTCCTAATACCCAGGCACGCCCCCGGAGGCTATAGGTAAAACAGTTAGGCAGGGAGCCATAACTAGCCTGTACCTAACCGTGCTATCATATACCCGCTTATACGATTAGACGGTTAGCACGACTCAGGAACAGGCTGCTACCGAACACGTAATACCAGGGTATACAGTTAGGTATACCGCTAGGACTATAGGAACAGGTAGTCCAGTATACTACACCCCACACCTAACTATAGACCACACCACGAAGGACTAGATATATAAGGACACTTATTTAGTATCATATATTTAGTTCTTCGCGATCAATCACACATTGTTACTTGGTTACTACCTTTAGTACTTTGCACTTCATAGTTTACCTTTAAAGACAACCCAACCTATAAGTAGGGGAGCTCACTTAGTAGCACTACTTAGTGACTGACTTACTTAGCGCGCACTTCTAGCACGTTCTACAAGATACTCAACAGGACCCGAGCCCGTGTAAGGCTTAGCATAGCAACGGTACGGTTGCGAGATACTCTTAGAATGCGCAGTAGGATTAGGCAAGTATACCCTTTAAAGTTCTACTCACAGTGACCAGTCGGCTACGCGTAACACTTTCCTGTCTGAGATGTCGCCGCTTTTACGAGGGCGCTCAGAGTCAGACTCTCTGAGTAAATCTCAGACCGGACTCAGACTCAGAGAGCTAATCAGAGTGTTCACGTGACTGCTCAGAGCGCGCTCAGTGAGTGTGATCAGTCAGCTCACTGATTACTCAGAGACCGATCAGAGGTAACTATCTATTAAGCACCCAGTCCGCCGCGCTCAGGCTAACTCCGAAGCATAGCGCCCTATAATATCGTTTATTTCGTAATCACTTTTGTGTAGCCCTCTTTTTCTGTTATAAAGCTATTTCTTGAGTTATTGTATCCTTTTAAGGAAAAAAAGGGGGGGCCATTGTTGGCACCCCCTGAGAATTTGGCCCGCACCCCCTGAGGCCTGATTTCGGCCTGAATTCTGCCAAGGCTTTCAGAACGGTTAATATATCTTATTCGCACGTACAATCTATTTACCTTAGTAATTAGGTTAAATCTTTAGATAATTTAATCGGGTTTTTTGAATATATTATAGAAACTATCTAATCTATCTTCCTATTAAATTAGATTCTAAGATATCTAGATAGAAGGGTACTAGGCTAGAGGGCCTAGATTCGCTAAATTATTATTTTTGATGGGGGACGCCAAGGATAGGCCCGCGGGTAGTCTATACCCTTTTCGGAGGCCCTCTTAGCTAGGAATTGCTACGGACACAGCAGCTTTTGCTAGCCGCACAGCAATTATGTAATATCCTCCATCACATAATCAATTTTGCCAAGAATCCTTACCATACATTACCGTAGCAACTACATTACTTACGACTATAGCAACTACATTCAATTAACTACTACTATAAGAAGCCCTCTCTCTTTCAATTTATCTTCCTTCATTTCATATTATTTATATACACTATTATACCCTGCAGGAACGGATTGTTTGGCCAATTTCTCCGCAATTGGAGCACTTCGAGGGCGCTTTCTTCTTGGTGATCTTTTGGTCTGATGATTTGTTGTTATCTTTGTTTGATTTCCTTGGTGGCGGCGGTGGTAATGGCATATCCATGAGCAAGCGCATGCTGTTGGATAGAAGCAAGAAGCTGCTCCTTACTTTCAAAGACCTGCTCAGCTGGTGGGTTCATGATTAGATGAAGGAAGATCAATTGAAAGAGAGAGGGCTTCTTATAGTAGTAGTTAATAGAATGTAGTTGCTATAGTTAGTCGTAAGTAATGTAGTTGCTGCGGTAATGTATGGTAAGGATTCTTGGCAAAATTGATTATGTGATGGAGGATACTACATAATTGCTGTGCGGCTAGCAAAAGCTGCTGTGTCCGTAGCAATTCCCTCTTAGCTAGGGTTCCTTAGGTAAAGAGGGCCTCCGAAAAGGGTATAGACTACCCGCGGGCCTATCCTTGGCGTCCCCCATCAAAAAATTAATTCTGTGAATCTAAAAAACCTAGGTTACTACCTTTCTACCTAGATATCCTAGATTCTAACTTTATAGAAAGGTGAATTAGATATATTCTATAATATATTCAAAAAACCTGATTAAATTATCTGTCGGAATTATACGGTGCGCATAAATCCTAGTGTGTGCACGAATCGTTCGTGCACGGTTGGGTCAGGGTCGTACGATCTAATCATAGATCTACGATTATGGAAGAGAGACTATCCACGATAGAGCGAAGAGCGGCAGTCTTAGACAGAGAGGTTGAACAGTGGCAGGTCAACGCAGTATGGTCAGGTAGGCCTAGATGCTCTAGTCATGAATATGAAAGATGTCAAACTTGTTCTATTTTACTAGGAAATTAGGCAATATTTATAACATGAGGTACACGATAAAAGATCACAAGAGAAGTCGAAGAATACCCGAAATAATAGAAGGAAAATACGAGAGTGTTGGGGATTCTCGTTGCTTTTTTATCTGATGTTGATATTGATGATCGACATCAATAATCGATCTGCAGGCTTATGCATGCGCGCCACATTGTTGATCCGAGGGCTTATGCACACACACACATGTTGACATGTTGACAGTATTCTTAGTAGAAAAGCTACGATTAGCCACTTATACGGACCCTTTACCCGGTTAGATTACTGATCTTCCACCGCCAGTTATAGTTAACGAAGAACAGGAATAGGAGGTAGAAGAAGTCATCGCGGCGAGATTACACTATCGGAAGCTTCAGTACCGCATGAAATAGACTAGATAGGACGACGAGGTCGACGATACGTGGTACCTAGCTCGGAACCTCAAGAATGCGCCCGAAAAGCTATTGCGATTTTACTAAATACACCTAGATCAACCAGGACCACCTAAACGTTTGAATATCTGGGCAGAAGCAGCCCTGACGGACCGGTTTAAGCTAGATCACCCAGACGATGACCGAGCACTCTGATTGGCTAGATCAAATTTCGAGATTTGATACAACAGACCTAGTGGGCCAGGTCCTTTTAAAGAAAGGGGTAATGTAACGAACTGGCAAGTACGATGTTTGCTTTGGAAGGCCTTCCGAAAGGGGAAGTTCCCTAGGAGGGTATGAAGGCCTACTTCCCACCACGCATCTCCTTCTCCTTTCCTTCCCCCTTCTCTAGACTTGATTCTTTCGCAGATAGTACCGAATTGAGACTTCCGTCATCATCTCGCTTGACTTGTAACAGTGTTGATATTTCTGGCAGATGCCCGATGCACTAGGCATCAACCAAACATATGCATCTCACATGCATCACACATGTGAATCGTCACATTCTCTGTATAGTCTGCAAGGGATAAATAATAAAGTGTAAGTTGTGTAACTAAATTACAAAATAGGGCAAGTAAGCACTGAAAAGCTATTGATGGAGAGGGTAGAATGATTGATCTTCATTTTCTTATCTTCTTCCAGTAGGACGCACCATCTCCACCTCAGCTGAAGGGGAACGCGTAGTTACTAGACAAGCTTAGTGCACTCCACCTACGTGATTAGCATAGGTACCTAAATTGGGTTTGACAGTGTCGCGGCCGAAGAAAACACTACCGCTTATTTAGGACGTCTTCACAAATCACTATGTTAATAGTTAACAATCTCTCTGAGTTCGGGTGATCTTCAGTCCATCCGCACTTCCGCTCGCTTTGTAGAATATTGACGATCGTGTGGACTAGAGGACGAATATAGGGGTTAAGCGCTACGGACTGTGATGGTGTCATTCGAGTACCCGTGTCATATGCATCTGATGGGAGGCAGTCTGTAATGCACCTACTGTTAGGTCATTTCCAACACACTCTTGCAGACGCAAAAACTCAAAAATGAGATTATTCCTCCCTCTCGTCCAAGAAGATGTCATTGTTCATAGATAATGTGATTATCCCTACTTGTACCATAGCATACGCTCGGCTACACTGCCATCTCTTTATCCTCGTGGCTAGCAGGAGCCATAATAACAACGCTATACATAATACCCTGGAAATTGCTAGTGCATGACTGCATGCAGGATCCCCATCGTGGACCCAAGAATAACTAATAGTTCCTGCAAGGCAAAACTGACCGGATCTCCCTGTTGCTAAACCAAACTACTTAAACAAACTCATGGCGTAGGTGATACCGCAGTTACATAGCTTTAAATTCTTTCCAGTTCTTCTCCTCATACTACCGATTTTTAGTTCCAGAATCGCCTATTTGCTCATTTCCTGTGCTTCCTTTACAGCAACGCGCACGCGGGTGAAGTCCTACCAAATGAAGATGTTGCTTCACAAGTTATTTTTGCTCCCTTTTGTCGCCCTTTTCGCCAGTGCTGCGCCCACTGCCGCGGACTCCGGTGTTCATTTACCAAATGATTCTGCTACTGCTGCCACTTCGAGTTGTAGCAGGTGGTATGAATTCTATGGTCGAGCAAGGTGGACATACACACAAGTGCAATGGTGCTTTGCGCAACAGAGCTCTTCAACAGTTATTACTCAGGAGCAAAGAAATCCACAGTATTACTGGGGGGGGTGCTTGGTATAATGGCAATAGACGCAAGTTGAGCTGGAGAGCCAAGGGTACGATAGTTGGCCAGCCCGACTTCGACTCAGGCGAAAATTCGAACGACGGTCCCGCCAAGAAGGAGATCTACACATATCAGACCAAACTCTCGGCTGGAACTTACGATGTCCGCTTGAACTACTATCAGGAAGGCCCCTACTGGGACGCTGATGCTGCCATTGATCAAAATGTGCAATTCCAAATACCTCTGGGAGAGTAAAGAGTATTCACTGAAGACATTGCTCGTGGTAGCGGGTCGAGATCCGCTAAACGAAGCGTAAGTTATATATCCAGAATTCCAGATTAGCCATAGATAGCTAATATTGCTTGCTAGGCTCTTGATGTTGTTTCCGAGATTCGGTATTGGGACGTGTACATGATTGGCCTCGGTATGGGTTTTTCCCTTCTTGGTTTTCCCGCACTGTGATGCAAATGCAGAGGCTGTAAGTAGTATATCATTACTTTTTTAACAAAACCGGCCACTCTACTGTACCTTTCTAGCAGTGTTGGTAACTAGCCGTGTACAGTAAGGGATTCGTGCAGAGTCGATTAATGCCCGCCCCTTCTTTTTCTAGATCTAGACAACAGCACTGACCCGAGTTGCATACAGTTGAATCACATTTCATCAAGTCACCATTGTAGCGCGAAATTGTTTGCTGACGACATATATTCTCTTTAGTATCTAGCTGGGCAGCTCCATCATTGAGTATCGTCTGTGATAGAAGATTTACTTGTCTTCTCCCCTTGCCGTCTACCGGATGGAGAAGTGTAGCCCCCAACGTAGTTGAAACAGATTCTCAGCTTGAGCCTCGCCTCGACAGAAATGACTCGACCACACCCGTAGGTGTTTCTAGACAGCAGTCCAAAAAATATCTGTCTTATTGAAGCGTTTAGTCAGATCCCGCTGGGAAATATGACAATCGCCGTGTCATCGGCGCTGAACCATGACTGGAGAGGACTGCAGAGGGACTGACTTCATTCCATCCGTAGCGCGAGGCCAGGGCCAGTGGGGCAGCGCAAGGGCGGACGCGATCTGAGCTAGGAACCCAGCCACCTATGCCAATTATCTAAAACCTTTGTGCCTGCTCGTTCCGACTCTTGGAGATATATATCTGAGCGCAATCACATCGTCTATCTTCATGCGCGTAGTCAAGAGCGCGTAGAAGATGCTAAGGCAAAATGCCCTGGAGCTGCCGGCGTCCTGGTTGCAGACTTGACAAGCGTGACAGAGACTCGCAAACTGGCCGAGCAAGCAAACGAAATTGGTACGTTCGACGCCGTCATTCTGAGTGCCGGATTGCTTTACGGCCCATTCCGCAAGACACCAGATACTGGAGTGCCAGCCATGGTCTTCGTCAACGTTATCACACCCTATATTCTCTCTTGTCTCCTTAAAAAGCCTAAGCGCCTTATCTTTATCGCTTCTGTTCTACACCGAGAAGCCAACACCAACGTGAAGGATATTTTCTGGCTTGAGCGCGGGGAAAAGGAATTCCAGGATTTCTCGGCATACTGCGATTCAAAGTTCCACATTATGCTTCTTACTAATGCGGTGACAAGGCGTTATGAAAACATTTCAGTCAAGTTGCTACCAAGCTTGGAGGTCAAGGTGGCACCGACAAGCTGGAGGATGGTGTCGAGACATACGTCATGCTGGCCGAAGGTGATTACGATCAAAGTCTCACTGGTTTATATTTTGAACCCAAAAGGAAGATCGGTGAACCTCTTGCAGCGACAGCGGACGAAAATTTGCAGGAGATTGTCGTTAAAGCTTGCGAGGATATCATCGGTCTTAAGCTAGTAGCTTAAGTTTCGCATGTCGGCACCCATTCATCATCAGCGTGTACCTTCTAGAACACATATTGGATTTTGTAAAACTTCTTGAGATTTTAAGAACCTAGGTCCGGACTCTCAATTCATGAAATCGCGGTGTCCTTCATAACAAATAGTTGATATCACATTTACAGAGTTATATCATAAGACTATTTTCCGGGTAAATACATATGCCCACTATAGAGGGTTACACTATCTCGTGTTCTCTCCCTATTTCGCGTTTACCCCTACTTCCTATTTAGAAAGAAGACTGTACATAAATTAAGCTATAAGGGGGAGGTTCCGAACTCCCTAAGAAACAGTCTTTGAACAATCTGACTTAGTACCTTCTCTCTTACCTGATTAATAGGCCTCTACCCTGGCTAGTAGAGTATCTCTTTACATAATAATACTGCTATATACTACTTTCGCGGCTTCTATATTAGAGATATTAGCCGCTATAGCTTTAGCTATTATAACTAAAAGTATAGATCAGGGTTAGTTGATGCTTCTCAAAAGATCTAAGGGAGAACATAGTGTAGTACCTAAGTATATTTTCTGACTTAGACGGATTTCTGATCAGAGAAGTAGGGATGATTTATAATATTTTAAGGGTGGGAGACCTTAAATTTATATCATGTTTACCGCGATATCACCAGTTTTTGGCACGCCTCGGGGGCAGTAAAATAGTTTGAGTTACCAGGAGCCTAGGTGATTATGAGCAAATAAGTGAAAGACAGCTTACACCGTAGCAGAATAGGGTAGGGCCCAGTAGATTCCCAGGAGCAATGTCCTTGGGTCGAACTGCTTAGCCCAAAAGAGATAATCTCTCGCTCTCTGGAATATATCAACGTTTGATTAGACGAGGCAGCTTCTCTGGCGATTTTTAGTGGCTCGGTCGGGGCTCAAAAAGAGTCTACAGACAGCGTTAAACTAGCTGCATGAGCCCACAGCTAGATCGCCGCCCCTACATTTATCTCAGAGACTACCGAACAGTTTAGGCTATATATTTCTCTGACAATAGTGCACTTAGTTATAGGTTAACTGTCAACTCATCGTTGACATCAAAGAATAGCTGCATTGGATCCTTGTAATCAACGAAGCCACAGAACGGTGGGCTGATACCGTATCCAAGTAGTCGTTGTGCCTCAGATGATAGTCGCTTGGCTTTCTCTGGAGGAACCATAAAGTACTGATTCTCAACCTGTCGAAACATGCCTTTGCAGAGGAATATTCCCACTGTTTCTCGCGCTTGATCACTTCGAAGTTGTGAGCGACGTTCATTATGGGTCAAAATGCGTACTCACGTCGTAGTGTTCGCACCTCCAGCGTGATATGTGCGGCCAAGAAAGAATAAGGAGTCGCCAGGCTCAAGTTCAGCAGCAACAGCCTCGTGATCATAAGGACAGCGCTTTGAGGGCCACTTGTGGCTTCCAGGAATCACAACGGTGGCTCCGTTTTCCTTAGTGGTCTTCACAATCGCCGTTACAGCTCCAAGCATCATCGGCCGATCACCATCCTCCACGTGATAATCAATATCGTCTCGATGCAAGCCTTGCTGCTTACTTCCCGGGTTCACTTGAAACCCGACCGTACTCGAGATCTGAGGCCTAGAAACAGCTGTCTGTCTCTCCTGGCCTACCCAGTGGTGGAACACAGACGTCAGCATACGTGCCGCCACACCTTGTAGAAGTGGATGCAGTGCAAGGGTGACGCAGCTGTCAGACTTCCCAAGAAGACCAACAGCTCGGCGAGTGGTTTTGGGGAAAAATCCGGATGCATCGCCTTCATCAGCATCAAAATGCGGCTTTAAATCTTCTCGAATGCGAGCCGTTGCCTCTTTAGAGATCAATTCCTCGACAATGAGGCCTCCATCTCGTTCAAGTACAGATTGAAGATACTCCGCAGTGACACCAGGGTCATTGGCATTGACACGCACTAGGGTTGGGCCAGACATTGCATACAGTAATTCCAAAGAAATTGTCAGTAAATTAATTCTACTAGATTATCTCTGACCTGCGATGAAAGCAAAATATATATACCATAGTTTAGTAGTATGGTGCGGGGGTAACACGAGTGCCAAGAGACGCTGACAGCCGGATTGAAGGTCCCGTTCGGGAAGTTCAACAGAGTTGGTATTGGTATACTAGCGTCCCCCATCACGCAGAGTGCCAAGTCTCTTATTGGTTTGTTGAGAACCTCGGCCGAAATTATTCCATTTGTTACCGTGCGACACCGCTCTACGTACGTTATCTCCCATAACCTTGAGCTGAAAGCCTTAGTTTGCTCCGAAAGATGAACTACACCCCCGACCGTCCGGATTTTTTTGGCTATTTGAGTACCATCCTATACCTTGGTAACAAACGCACCCGGCCCCGGGTCGCTTTTCTCCCTAGATGTGCTCAGATCTACTCAGTGAGCAAAAGCGGCGAGGGGTTGAGCACCAAAACGGAAAAGGAAAGCCAAGTCGTGGCATAGGAAATCCGGTACGTAGGCAATATTGACGAGATCGTTGAAGATCAATCGGATAGATCAGAGAGGGGTAAACAAGATGGTGTTTTTCAGCAGCAAAGATACTTAGTAAGCAGGCAGGATTCAAAATGGCAATTTGGGCCCACTGCCCAGATATGCCGACAGTTATTATGGTAGTGAATCTATTGTCTGTAATCATCTCCGAAGGTCAGTTTAGGCTACCAAGAAAAAGCAAAAATAGGGCACAAGAGCAGGAAGGAGGGTAGGAAAGAGGGAGAGTTTAGCCGAGGGACTCCGCCTTGCTTTAGGGGGCCTTCGGGGTATTCGAGTGAAGAATAGAAGGGCTTTAGAGAGTTTAGGTAAAGAGGCGTAAAGGGACTGAAGAGTAAAGCGGCAAGGGCTTTCGTTCTAACGAGTCTTGAAAAAATAAACCAAAATAAAAACATACAACAGCCAAAAGTATGGCCGACTTCACCTAGCGCCCATCGTTCGGTGCTGAGCGGCTCGCCGCTTTATCTAGGCGGGCTTCAGGCAGCTTCAGGCAGCTTCAGGCGGCAGTTCACCCACCTGAATATTCTTCACCCGAAGACCACCTAGGGTGCAGGGCTGGCCGTCAAAAGGCGTATTTGTATATCTTGGCACAGGGAAAGATTTCGCGAACCGCTGGCATAGACAGCGACGATAGATGAATTATAAGTACGCGCTAGGAGCGTCTAGCAGCGGTCTCCTACTATTCAGCCTCCCCTCTTACCTCGTCCCGCTAGCCTAACAATCACTATTCACACCCACAATAACCAAGAGCAAGGATCAAGCCGCTAATTTTACCTTCGTCGTGGATTTCGATCACCATAACAACTCAGAAATCTTACGTGCCGTTCTCCTAAGAACCAAGGGAGACTACCGGCGTGCACTTTGCATCTTTGACAAGTTAGTGCCTCTCAACAATACTTCACCTTCGGGCGGCCACCTCTCCAGGTCTCTAATTGCTTCCGTCAGATTCCTCTCACTACACCCGAAGGCGGTAAATCCGCCCGATATTCAAACCTTCAAGGCGATTATAGAGTTTACGGCACGGAAGGATCCTTCCCCCTTAGTTAGCTCCCCGTCTCCTTTGCTTTCGCCACCTAGCCTTCTATAGCAGTAACAGCGTCAAAGGGTAAGTTCTTCCGCTCCAGTAGGAATGAGAAAACCTCAGCTAGACTGAAAACTTGATCTTGCACCTTTGAAGCAAAATCCTTGGCAAGCCCCTCAATCGTCTCATCACCAATTTGTTCCTTGGGTTACTTGAGGTTGGGCATCTACTTGAAGGCAGTGTGGAAAAGTTAAGCAGAAATCTTCTTATCGGCGAGCTTCAAATGCACTTTCTTATGTGTGCGCCCTTGTTTCCTTCCTGGGCGTCTCGTGGGTTTAAAGATCGAATCTTGTCGGATCTAATCATTCTCCGAGCTGGGGGTCCCATTAGGTACCTATTTCAATTTTCGAACGTCGAGGACTGAGCCGCACTTGAATCATAGCGGGCGTTGCTTTCCGAGCATTGGTAAAACTATGTGAACGACTTCCTGGCAATCGTCGCCTGTCACGTTATGTGTCGTGAAAGCTTAGTATTCCTGTAATGTCCGTGGGAGGAAACATTAGAAGAGATGGGAGGGCGTCAGCGTCTAACCTCTGAAGAACGGGCGGTCCCGAGAGGTGTATTAGAATTAAAATGGCAAAGGAGCGTGAGGAGAATCCCTAGGGCTATTTAGAGATCTATGTACTCAGACTTTTAAATTCAGCCTCCAATACCACCTGGGAAGCTTACATCGACATGTCCGAAGTCTCCACGATAGGACCAGTGTAAATCTTGCGGGCGCGCACAAAGTAATACAGCGTGGCAAGGATGGTGCAGCCGCCGATACCGACAACGCTATAGTTCATACCATCCACACCGGGATTCATTTTCGAGGGCCAGAAGCTGAAGAAAATGATTATAGTGATGTAGATGACGGCAAAGAGATTCACCAAAGTACCAAAGACACCAGGGCAACGGAATGTTCCCCAGACCAGCTTCGAACCAGGCACGTTGATAATGTCGTCCTCGTTGTCGTTATAGAGGCTAATGTCTCCCCGGACGCGGCGGAAGAGAAGCAGGACAGAAATCGTGAGGTACGACAGGTACAGGCCAGACACGGCCATAGAAAGGATATCCCCTAGAGCCACACTGGAGCCAATGTTGATAAGGGCCAGGAGAGTAGAGATGGCGACGGAAAGTATGACAGAATAGATCGGTAACTGATTAGACGGAGAGACCTAGAGACGATGACGATGAGTTAAGTGAACGACTTATGCAGACAGGATCATTGTTTATTTACTTACGTTGCTCCACCACCTCCATCCAGGGACACCCCTGTCTCGGGCAAAGGACCAGAGCTGACGGGACGCAGCGGCTAGCAGTCCCATGATCGCGCAACAGTAAATAACCAGGACAATCGAAATCATGGCTAAAGTCCCTGGCAGCGAATTAGTTGCTTGGAAGAAGATCGCCATGAACGGGTATCCCGTGGGTGACTCTAGCGCGGATTTCAGGTCGCTAGCGCAGAAGAGCATCGCAATCAACATGCCAAACCCTAGGCAGCCGTTGATACCGACACTCAGTAGGAGAGCCTGAGGGATGACGCGCGCCGCATTTACGATCTCCTCAGCCATCTAATTCAAAGATAGTTAGCTACAACCATCGAATAGCTTCCAAGCAACTCAACACTTACGTGGACAGCGGCATCGCCGCCAGCGAACGCAAATCCTAGGCTCGTCATCCCAACAAACCAGGACAGCCCCTGGGTGGCAAATTCACCATCGTTCTGGAAAGACAGAAAAACATCATGGGTCGCCGCGTGGTCAGACATATACACTAAGGGAATCATGATGCCGAAGAATCCAAGGACGTGCACAACTAGGACAACGGCCTCAAGTCGGGGCAGAAGCTTTCCACCAGCCAAGTTCACCAACAATGCGACCAGCAAAGCCAGCCAAACAATCAACGTTCCCTGCCACGGCAGGGCATCATACTTAGAGTGGGCCAGGACCGCCGTGCCTTGGATCATGGTTCCGGTAAGAAAGGCACTGGCGGCAAACCCGCACTGCCAGCCGATTATGGTAAACCAACCCGTGATGTAACTGAGGAATTTCTGGAATTTGATCGGGGCAAGCATGGCAGCCCAGTGATATTGGCCACCCGCAGTGGGAGCCCTAGTTGGAGGGTTAGCTCTGCCGGTCTCAACAGAATGAGAAGACCTTAAGACGGTGAGCAAGCTTACATCGATGCCAATTCCGACAAGACCACAAAAATGCAGACAGTCCCAACCCATGCGAAGATGAAGCCGTACACCGCGCCCCCTGGGCCGCCACTGGGGTTCTGTTAGCGATATGTAACGGAAGAGTCGTGGTGATATTCACCCACTTTGTAACAGGGCTCAGGAAGGTCCTTGGCAAGCCGTTAGCAATCCCCCTCACCATGTCATGACAAGATCTTCGTCAGGCTCGGACTCACCCAAGCATACCCTCCCAGGTACCGAGGACAGTACAACTGAAGCCCAGGATCGAGAGAATGCCGAAGTTACGCTAACCAGATAGAAAAGTTAGTGATTTGGACTCCATTGCGTCGTGAACAGGGAACATTTCCGCGCATACCTTAAGAACAGGCTTTTTTCCCATACGCCGGAGATGGGCATTATCGCGGTCTTGAATGGACATGCCACTCCGGGTTTCGCCCCCACTGATCACAGAGGCCTGGTTTTTCAGCTCATACGCCACCATGATGGATTATTGAACTTTTGTGGGCAACGTTGGATGGACAGAGGAGAGAGCCCAAGGGAGGAAATGAACGACAGAGGAATAGGACCGATTCAAAAACACGAAAGGAAAAATATCAACATAAGGAATGGAATACGCGGACGACGGTTTCAGATTGAGGAAGGCGCAGTCTTACATAAACTATTCTCCTAAAAAGATTTGGCAGCGATCAATATTCCGTACATGAGTTTCCTGTGCAATTCCCAAGTCGACAGAGAACGTGATGTAACCTCGACGGCAATACACCTGACCGTGCCAGGGATCTCGGATCGGCGTAATCGGGCTGAGAGGCTAATATCGAGAATGATAGTTCATAGGCCGCTGACCACCGTAAAGTTCAAGCTACTGCAAGTTGCCGGGTGAGGCCCCCAATTACTCCGTACGGGCCAATCAATTACAGGAGAGTTCGGAAGGATGCGATGCTCCATATCGCTTGGTAATGATCGACGTTCCCAGGTCGTAGGAGGCACTTGAAGCTGTTTGGTTGATGCATATGCATCCTGGGTACTGTAGTAATGCAATATCCAATCGAGAAGTTGTCTGTTAAAAGCTCATAATCTACCCCTGGGTCTACTCCCCGTAAGTTCCGCTAGCTGTATTCAGCAATCCCTGTTTAATCTGGTAATCTCACCGTCTGTACTAGGACTATCGCTGGCCGAGTTATAGGCTGTCAAATTAATACGAAACTGATGATGATGTCAAATTCTCGGGCTTTTCGCGGCCTTTGGTTCGTATGCAGCATCTCACTAGTATGGACTGCGCCGTTGAATATCTACACACTATCGGTTGATCAAATCTGCGTTGAAGCCAACTCCAGCAGCAAAGCCTGGGTTTATCTCTACTGACGAAGAGACTGGAGTCGTCTCACGAATGTGAACTACGCGCCAGCCCCATGTTTTTCCGTCGTGTTCTTGTTGGATTGGTGGTAGGTGTAGAAGCCAGCACTCCTGGTACTGGTACAGTAGCAATAACTGATCCCCATGTCGAGCACCGGAACGCCGCAACCACCACAAGGGGCGGGAGAGGAGCGTACGATAGTTTTGGACACCAGCAGCTTCGAATCCCTGGCATGAGACAATCGGGAAAAACCGACTTCCTATTGGATACGTCGCTAACCTGTAGCTGACTAAGTCGGGGGCCAAAATCCAAATTGGTGGGAGGACACGGCAGAGGTCAACTCGTGAGGTGATGTACATCCTTGCCTCACGTTGGCGCTAACCTGTGCAAAATCTTGGAGAAGTTGAAAAAATACAGGAGAGAAAAAAGGAAATGGATTTCGTGCTAGGCCCGACGATCGCATCTCACACAAACGCCCGTCCAAGATAATAAAAATGCAGCCACGAGCACGCGGGTTACAGACACTGCCTACAAGCTTGACTTTTAGAATCTCCGTGCTGTAGCTCTTTCTGTCAAGATTGTTACTTCCATCCCTCCATCCGTTTCTTGACATCCAGCGTTGATGGGTACACGATTCAAGGGCGACACCAAAGACCCGGCAGTCAATGTCACAACATGGGTCCTCCTGGTCACGATCATCCTCAGTGTCTCAGTCCGACTTGGGACGAAGTGGCGGCTATTTCATAAATTGACCGCCGACGATGTCCTGATCGTGACATCCATGGTAGGGTTCGCCCGAGGCGATCTATGGGGGGCGATGATCCAATATACTAACGAGGGGACCACAGGCATTCGGCATCGCTCAGAGTATTATGGTCAACCTTGCTGTCGGATCCGGCTATGGGAAACCTTTCAAAGAAGTCTCCAGCGATCAATTTGAGGATGTGATGAAGGTTGGTCGATCGTCCTGGAGTATTTCTCTTACCAAGGCTGACTAGCAATGCGATGGACGTAGTACCTGTACGCGGCGAGTCTTCTGTACATCGTGAGCCTGGCTCTGTCCAAACTCTCTCTGGCAGTGTTCATCCGGAGTCTCACTCCGTCCACCCGAGACAAATTCGTCGCCCATGTGGTCAAAGGAATCATCTATGTCTGGGCGGTGGTTGTGTTCTTTGGCTCTGCTTTCCAATGTGAGGTGCCGCGCACCTGGGATTTCTGGAATGGCCGATGCTTGGATATTGTAAGAGCAATTTGCTGCGTTAAATGATGAACAACACTGACGAATCTGATACAATCTAGCTGGCATGGCGCTACTTCCTCTGCGGCTCTGTTATTGTCACTGACCTGTTGATCTTCGCGCAGGCGATGGTCCTGATCTTGAGCATTCAAACATCGCTGCAGAGGCGCCTAATCTTCGCGGGTATCTTTTTGCCTCGACTCCTGTGAGTGTCCTGTCCTTGAACTATCGCAGACGTTCCCCAGGAAACTAACCACCCGTGGCCCTCTCTTTAGAGTGGTGGTCGCCACGATCACCGAGCTCACCTACCTCAAAAAGGACACCACTAACCCGACCTATACCCTGTGCGAGATCACCATCTTTGAAGTGATCATCCAATGCCTGAGCATTGTGACCGCCTGCTGGGGACAACTCAACCCCTTCCTTTCGTGGATGCGCTCCAACGGATTCAAGATCCAAGGCGTGGGGGACACGACTACGTATAACTATAAGATGAGTTCGCTTCGCCGCGACCAGATCCTCGTTACGCAGGACTGGGAAGTGAACAGTCAATCGAGCCGGGCGCAGATCATCTTGGAGGAGACGTGGCCCGAAAATACCAGTCAGCGATCACCTGATGAACTCAGTAGATCATGAAACCGACTATTTTGACTCTTTTGATTCCTTATTGATTCCCTTTTTCCTTATTTTCCCTTTCCTTTTCAGATGCAACATGCTAAAGTGATTCCTACTGACATCTAATAATCTCTTTCTTTGTCCTCTTTCCTATTCAAAACATGGACTGTCATAGATACGTATTGGTTTTAGCTATGTGAACAAGTCGAGACTCTCAGCCTCGAGGTACAGTTGCGTTGATGATGCATTTCGTCTGACCTACGTGTAGCCGAGGCGACTGACACACGCAAGGGGGTCGTGGCGCCACGCAATTTGGGCTGTTTCCACCAGTATTTGCTTGGTCTCATCGTTGTTCTTCATATGAATCAGATTAGGCCGAAGCCTATAGATCTCTGCCTAGAGAAGCGGCCACAGATTCTCAATTGGATTAAGATCGGGCGAATGAGGTGGCCAGACCATCACTTCGATCTGCATATCCTCAAGGGCTCCGAGTACAACAATAGCGGTATACGTTGGTGCGTGATCATGCATAAAAATCCCATCTTCAGCTGATAGTAAGGTCGGGAGTACTCGACGAGAGACTCCTCAATAACAAATCGATTCACGCCACCACGCTCGGAGTTAGGATCCCCGAATAGGGGGATTAGACCTGTACGGCGATCCGCAGAAAATGCAGGCCAAAATATCTGCTTAACCTGCTTACCGCGATGCGGTAATCCCTAACATTGACCTTAGCTACGCTATGCTATTTCTAATACTGAAAAACGCTATAAGTTACTATTAAAACCCAACTAAACCAACTTCTCGTTGTTGATAGTGCGATCTAAGAAATTGCATTTGGTATGATATTTTAGGGTTTCCAGGACGGCTGGGTGTCCAGGTCGGCTGGGAATTAATTTAACTAACGTACGGAGTAATTAGACACGGCCCCGATGCTATTGAGCACTCTTGCGGAGATCGCTTTGCAAGATGAAACGTCTGTCCAAAACAGCGGGTGAAAAATCGTATTTTCGCTGTGGAACACGCCCAGCCTGATACAACTACAGATTTTTCACACTAATGAGAACGGCGGCAGCTAAGTAAATTGCCCACCATACCGTGCTGGAAGCCACAGAAAGGTGGCAAATCAAGCATTACTCCTGCCTCCACTTTATACAGCCTCGAACGGGTAGCTAGATTCTTCCCGCAGTCTCACAGCCAACCCCCACCCTCACATAGTTTACTAACTTTTAATTGGTCGCTAACTCGCTGACCAATGTAGAGGCTCCAAAAATAGCTGAATATCTTAAATGTAACGACGGAGTAGCTGATAAACAGCCCCCATTTGTGGCGTCAGGGATGCCGAATCTATCGCAATAAAAGGTTTTTATGCTGGCGAAAGCTTGTAAGAATCCTTATTCGCATAATATCACGTGTCAAAAATAGTCGTCATTCGGTGTTTATCGGAGGTAACTACAGGAGACGGAACATTATTAAACTAGCATGCCTCACGCTAACTTCCTCGCTAATACCCCTCCGCCAAACTCCTACAAAACCACATTCAGGCCAATTCCCATATGGAATCAACAGTCAATTCTCTCGTGCTGGAGCCGGCTACCCCGGAAGACGTCCCTGCGATCACAGAACTATGGTTCGCTGCGTTCACACAGCCAGTGATTGGGCATCTATTTCCCAACACCCCCGGTATGCAAAAATGGCACCAGGACTGGCACCTTGGCGACTTTCAGACCAAGCCGTACCAAAAGTACCTGCGCGTGGTTGACACCAACTCGAAGGATGAGCAATGCCGACCGCGGCTAGTTGCCTTTGGCAAATGGGACCTGTCCATGCCCGAAGAGCGAGGTCGTCGCTTTCCGCCATGGCATGCGGACTCGCCTTATCAGGAATGTGAGGACTTGATTACAGCGCTGGAGAAGGAAAGGAAGCGCGTTATGGGCGATGAGAAGCATTACTGTATGGATGATATATCTCACAATTAACATAGGAAAGGATTATTACTGACTTGGAAACAAAGACCTGGATACCCTCGGCACTCATCCCGATTATCAACGGCGTGGGGCTGGCTCTATGATTGTCAAATGGGGCTGCGATTTGGCTGATAAGGACGGCGTTGCAGCTTATGTGGATGCTAGCAAGGAAGGCGCACCGCTATACCAGAAACACGGCTTTGTAGATTTTAGTCCTCCCGGCTCTGAAGTGGCCTCGATGGCTCGCGGCAAGAAAACTGCATAAGTGATACTCATTACTTTTACTATAGTATCAATAGGGGTCGGTCGAAGGCCGAAGACGGGTAGTTGGCCTGTCATAGACCGACATCCCAGGGGCGGATATTTTGAGATTTTGACCGCAGCCTCAGCATCCTCTATAAATCAAGATACAAAACGCTTAAGTTCACTCTTTTGAACCTTGTTTTGATTGTTTCTTACCTCTAGTGTGAATGTGTGGGACGACAACTCCCATCGCCCCACCGTCTAGTACTCGTTGGACAAAGCCGTATCCGCATTGGTAAGGTACTCGAACGAATGGCGTGATTTGGTTTTGCAATCCTGCGGCGCATATAGCACTCGCATCCTGAAGTGATAGTGTTGAATGCTCCAAGTCGACAAATAGAGCATCAAATCCACCATTCTTGGCAAGTTGCACAACCGCGGGATTGGTTACTAAGCGGATACCAAAGGCCTGGAGAAGTTAGCATTCTTTGTGATATTCACGTTATGAGTGATGATATAATTCTGATCTCACTGACCTTGCATAAGGCTCCTTTGGAGACTTGGGTGTATAGATTGTTGAACAAAGACATGACTGAGAGACTGGAGAAGGAACGGCGTAAAGAGGGCCTCGGATCGTATATTTCTCTCACTTTAATAGAATTCATGTCTAACGAGTCAATGGATCTGGTTAAAGTAATACATAGCATAACATACTATACTCTGCCCAACTGATATGGCCACGATGAGTCTCGGGCCGGTAGCCCGAGAGTCGAACCAAAGATGCCCCGAGCTAAGAAAAAAAAATCCAGATATGGCTGGGCTCGAAAGACTAGGTTTTAATGCTCTTTTATTGGGAAATATGTACAAGTAAACGTATTGTTCATTATTGATTCCACCTGACTACTTGAAATCATGCAATATCCGGGAAGCCACACTACAAACACAGGATCCAATCTCGTACTGTCGTTCAAGTGCGCTATATGGATGACTACCCACTGGAGCCCGCTGGTTTCGGTGTTGCTGGTGCAACCTGTGGGAGTTCAAACAGGTGTGCTTTTAGGAACAGCTAATGGAGTTTATATCCTCCCAAATCATCATGAGCGTCCCCATCTCTTTATGCTGCGGATGATACGGGAATGTGGTCAAGTGCGGAGTAGACCCGGACTCATCACCAGATGGTTCCGGCCTTCCGCTGAGGGCGTATGCGGCAAGCTGTCCCTAATGCTCTTAATTATTTTATCATAATGCTGGACTTGCTTTCCTGGCCCGTCGCAATACTCCTCTTGCTCAATTTTTACAAACCCGATATCTTCACCTCAATGAGCCAACACAGTCTTGATTGGCTGCGAGAGAAGGCCATTGGTTGGAACCACACACCTCCGGTTGACAAGATCGATACCCACCATCATTGGGTGCCGCCGTTCTATGCTAAGGGTAAAATCTTGATCAGTGACAAGCACTTGGTTCCCCCACAACTAACATTATACTAGCCGGTGAAGAGCGAGGAGGCGATCCAAGTGGTTGGCCAACTAGTGGCCACGGTGAATCTATTTTCCGTGATCAGCTCCGATCAGGATCAGTTCAGGCCACCAAGAAAAAGCAAAGAGGGGCCCGGGACGCGAGCGTGAAGGAGGGTGGGAAAGAGGGAAAGTTTAGCCGAGGGGGCACTTCAGCGCTTCAGGGCTGTTCAGGGCGTTCGGGTGAAGAATAGAGGGCCTTCAGGTGAAGGGGCCTGACGGGGCAGAAGAGTAAAGTGGCAAGGGCTTTGTTCCAACCAACGAGTCTCAAAAAAATAAACAAAAATAAAAACATACAACAGCCAGGATTCGCATGTGGTCACCCACCATACTACTAACTGGCCGGCGTGTGGCTTACGTACGGCTGAGCGGACGGGAAGCCCTGTTCTCCACACCCTATGGTCGTATGTATGAATTTCCACCGAGAATTAGCCTATACAGCGATCGCATACTCCAGACATCTTCAAAATACTTGCAGAGAGGGGTGAAGATGGATCAACATAGACGGGGGTATAACGTACTGGAATCCAATCATGGCCTGACTCAAATGCTAAGAACTAATAATTGTCTTAGGCATCATAGGCAGGCCGATCACGGTCCTGACCAAGACTAATTACAGGGCAGTGTTAGGATGACTTTAAGCCATTTTATGCGTCTTCCTGTGGAAATGTGCGAGTTGACAAAACTCCGCTTTAAAGCTCATGCTAATGCTCCCCGGCTTGATCGGCTAGCATCTTAATGACCGATAGCCCTGTGGATAACTCAAAGCAATCTCTGCCCGTGGGAGCTCCATAATTGTTTAATCTGATAAGAACTGGCATCTTTATCGATATGTATGTGCAGTGACCCTTCTATGTGGTGTTCGGCGAAAGATCGGCTCCCCGACCGAGGGAGCCACACGCATATTGTAATGACAAGACCATTGTCATATAAAGGGAGACTCAGGATTGCCAAGATAACATTCACCTTTTCATATCAATGTACACATGTATCGCAAGTTCAGGGCATATCCTTGTGCTGATACTCAATGTACTGTATTGAGTCGGCTACTTGGTTTCTTCGCTTGGGCAAGTTGCCCACAATTCACTTGCGATTAGCTCGTCCACCCAGCCTGATACCGCATAAGCATAAACGTGTACTGAATTGAGAATGCAGAGAGTTTTACTTTTAGAGTGCAAAAATAAGTGAATCCCAATTCCAAAATAACCTATGGGCCTAGTAGACAATGTCGTAGCCAAGCAACCGAACGCGGAATTGCCACTCGGCACAATCAAACTTTGCCGACGCAACCACCAAATTCGCCGTTTCATCCAGCCTACGCACAATTTCACCGATAATCATCTCTAATACGTGCATCTCGTGCATTCTCCTACTGATATCGGCGAACTAGTATCAATCCCAGCCAAGATGCCGACTAATGGAGTCCTCAAGCGGCAGAAGAAGAAGTCAATTGCGTCAGTAGAGCCTTGAGTGCCGTCTCACCTACTCCCTCCAGCCACCCTTGCTAATATCTGTACCCTAGATGCCGGCGATGTCATACCCACAAGATTAAATGTTCTGGCGAACAGCCGTGTACCAAGTGTCGGCAAGCCGGCTGTCCTGCCGAATGTGCCTATGTGAATCGAGATCGTCAGATCAAGGTGCATGAAAGGTATGTGGGTCAGTCATTATCTGAGTTGACAAGTGCTAAACTGTTTGTTTCAGTTACCTGGATCAGCTTGCTGCTGAAAATGAACGTCTCCGTGAACAACTGTCTCGTTCACCAGGTTTTGGCTCTCCGGATGGAAATGTCCGCTCCGAAGGTCATCCTTTCCAAGACAATCGTGGTCACCTACCATACTGATTTGATCCTCAGATGCTCCCAACCCCGAACCAGACACTCATGTGCGGAACCCTATGCTTGGTGAACGAGCATGGTTCCAACCATATGATCCCTCAACGCCGCCAGTACACATCGGCGAAGCAGCCTGCACAGCCTTTGCCACACGACTCCGCCAAGTCCTCTCCAAAAGCAAGACGACATCTCACATGCCACGCACACAATACACACCCGAGTCGACATTAATGAAACTTCGAACCCCAGCCACTCAATGGCCGAGTCTTGCGCAGGCTCGTCTACTCATTCAAATTGTGTTTAACCAAGTTAGCCGGGTATATCATTTGGTTCTGCGCAAATCGACGATTGATGAACTCGAAGAGGCTTATCGAAAAGCCGACTTTGATAACGCCGTGTTAAAGTGCAAGTTCTTTGCTTTGTTTGCTCTTGGAGAGGTATACTCGACCCGGTCGAATGTATCGCTTGAATGTGGTGTGCCCGGGGTGGCATATTATGTTCAGGCCATGACGCTGATTCCCATCTTGCCGGAGCGGCCGAGCTTGACGCACATTGAGTCGCTTTTGTTATTGGTAAGGGAGTTTATTGCGAATAATTGACCCATCGACTTACCACTCGGTCTAGTCACTCTATTCATATTTCCTTAATCGCCGCCATTCTGCCTTTCTCCTGGTCGGCAGCGCCATGCGTCTTGGTCTGACTCTGGGACTGAATTATGACATCCCCGAATGTCAATGCCCCGATCCTGTAGACCGGCAACATCGAATCCGCCTGTGGTGGGCAATTTATGTCTTTGACCGGATGTATGGGTCCAAGGTGGGCTGGCCTATTCAGATTGCCGATGACGATATCCACGTTGAGATGCCCTCTACTGTTCCGGGCGATGTCCATGACGAGCAATTCTCCGATACTCCGTTCTTGGTCGCTTCAATTGATCTGGCCCGTATCACAGGACAGGTGATTGAGAAAGTGTACAGTCGCAAGAAACAACCCGATTCCTTTTTGCAGCGAGAGCAAAAGCTGCTTATCTCACTTAAGCAATGGGCGCAGGCGCTCCCCCCGCATGTTCGGTTAAATCGTGATGGGGCTGGTCCCAAGAATGTAGTCTCGCTGCATTTACAATTCAATCAGGTAAGTCGTCCTAGTCAAGAATAAGCCTGGCAACGGGATATAGTTCTGCTTGGTTTCAAACTGACTGGACCAGTGTATTATCCTCGCCACTCGACCGATCCTTCTCTACACGCTCATCCAATCTCGCGATGCAGACCACGCTGACCAAACCACCACGCAGACGCACGTCCAGACTCTCAAAACGCTGAGCGACGCATGCATCCACGCTGCAAGACACAACCACTCGCTGATCGTGGGGGAATGGACCAACGGCTCTCTCCCAATCATGGGGTATTTCTACGCACATTACCTCTTCTCCGCGGCCCTAATCATGGTCCTCTCCAGCCAAATCCAACCCGAGACGCACAACGACTACGCATTATTCGAAACGGCATTCGAAATTCTCCGCGCCATGCGCGACCACGGCAACCTCGCCGCGACCGAATTCTACGATAACCTGCAATGTGTCCAACAATGTCTCGACCAGCATCAGCCCTGTAACCCACATCCGAGCGCCAAACGGGGCTCAACCGCACGACACTCGCTCGCGGGCGAGTCACATCGCGTGCCGGATCAGCACCCAACCGATACGCTGCCTGTGCTCCCTGAGGCTGCCCGACGAGCGAGTGAAGTGGGTCTCTCTGGAGGAGGATCGGCGCTGGCTGACACGAGCGGTAGTAGTGCGCTGGGAGGGTTTGGTAATGAGATGGTGTTTTTGGATGAGAGTATGGAAGAGTTCCTGGCGCAGCCGGACGTTGATTTTGGGCCGTTGGATCCGTCGGGAGTGCCGATCAGCGTGGCGGATGCGATGTACTCGTGGCCGAATTTCTCACTGTGGACGGCATGACCTGCGGGTGGGATGATTCTGAAATAGACATCTGCCTGTTATGATGGAGATGTACCTATAGTGCCTATAGTGTGGCTGACTATGATAATAAGGGCTGGTATGATGACACTGCCAGCCGTTCTAGCGAGTGACTGGCGTTGGTTGGGTTGTCCGATGGGCCGTTGTCCGATGGCCTGACGGATTTGGTGATGACCACACAAATGACTGAGTCACGCTCGTCATGTGAAATAGTTACCTTCCAATCTTCTCTTCCTGCAACGGTCTGTCCACCGAGTCAGCAGTTATTTCGCAAACTATCATAGACAGATACCAAACTCTGTTTTCCCTACTGGTCGTTCCATCGTTGATTGTCCCGTGGAGGCTTCTCCCCGCAGTGGGTCCATGTGTGCTGTGCCTGACCGCCCCTCGCTGCCTGGAGATGAGCCTCGATCGCTGGTTCTTTACTCTCCTGCAGACCATCCCGATGCTCCTCCTCAGATCTCATCCTCCTCTTTTGGCCCTTCACCCGATCGTGCCAGCCCCCGTCCTGCCATGGCCTCTGCGACCAGCCACTGGGGGACCCTGATCAACCCGGACAAGAGCCCGGCCCCGCTGTTGGAGCAACTATGTATCGGGATTGCACAGTTAATGGTGAGTCATGCAACACAGGTCGACAAAAGGCCCAGTCCTTGAGTTTCGAAACGACTAGAATGTACATATACTGACTGCCAGAAACAGCCCTCGTTCGACTCCAACCCTACCACCGATCTCACTCCAGACCGCCTCGCCGCGTTCTATCGCAAGGTCGGCGGGAACTACGATCCACTCTTTCTCGAGACCAAATCTCAAGCTCTCTCCTTCATATACCAGTCCCTCGGGTGTTTCCACAGTCTGCAGCCCTCAAAAAGTCCCTACGAACCACCCGCGGTTCCCTCGCTCTGCCCAAATGGCTTCGTACGCTGGCAGACCATCCAGCTGCTCATGGACCCGGATGAGCACTGGCGATTCCTCAATAACACGGTGGGCATGTGGGATATTGTCGACGCCAAGGGCGAACCCTTTCCCAAGAATATTCCACGTGATGCCTTCCCCTCAGAACCGGACCCGGAAATGCTGCAGTGGCATGAAGGTGTCGCCAAGAGACTGGAATACGACTATGTGAAGAGGAACGTTCATCGGACGTCTCCTCCCAATTTCGGTGCTTATCATTATCATTTCAGTGGGAAGGATCCGTTGCCAGATGAGGAAGATTATTTTTCACATCTTCCGCATCGATCAGGGTCGCGTCGACACAAGACCCATTATGACTCGGATCGGCCGAGTCGACGGAAAAGTCACCGGCGGCGGTTGAGCTCTGATGACCATCACGGTTCTAGTAGTCGCAGGCCGGAATCGGGATTCTTTGCCAGGCCAGATGGCGGTCGCTCGGGGGTCTCATCTCCTCGAGTACAGTCTCCAGGTGCCCCGCCCTACACGGATCGTCCTCTGCGGTCCAGAGGTCGGGATCATCCAGCGTGGTATACCAATCCTCTTAGCCCGGGGATGGACGACGCACCACCACACCCTCATTTTCACTCACACTCCCATGAGGCCGATGCATCGGATCAATCCCCTCGCAAGGATGTCCCCGATTCAGCCCCGAAACACCGCTCTCGCCGTCAGAATCTTTCCCCGCCACCTGATTCCCGCGGACGCCGCCATTCCCATGATGCATACACGCGGAAACCCTACCGCGAAATCTCACCGATGGGTACCCGGCGCTCCCATGGCAGCGGCAGCCACGAGCTCCGATCTTCAAGATCCAGCAAGTCCCGGCGTGAAGGACGATCACGCTCCAGACCTCCCCCTCCACCAGACATTCAATTCCGCGACCCGATCTTCGACGGTCCCGTGCCGGCACCTGCACCCGAGCCCCCGCAGTATAGCGCGATGCCTCCGCCGCGGGCTGTGCCTCGTCACCGGTTTAACCTCGAGCCAGAGGATACCCGGCGAGGTAGCTACAGCGGCGGGAGCACGGGTGGCAGTCGGCCTGGTAGTGGTGGGAGTGGCTCAGAACGGCCGCGCTCGTTTAGCAGTGCCGGACTCCACCCACGGACTTCTCGGTGGACGAGTCCTGTTCGAAGTTCTGCGGCGAAGCGGTATGTCCCGACTACGTTGGCGGAAGATGCTGCATATAATCCCTCGTTGCCGCGACGAGCGCCTCTATACGACTGATGATTTATGACTTGATGGTTTCTTTTCTTTCTATGATGCCTTTGTTTTTCCGTCCTCCACTCTGCATATCCATATCATCTCTTTTCGATTTCAATTCAGCGTCAGCAAGCAGCATTTGTCAGTCACGAGTCACGACATATATCGGTGCTTACTGGGCGGTGGGTTTATTTGATCTTTGGAGCGTTGTTTCTTGATTCAGTTCCCTGGTTTCTTGTCGTTTATTTTTCTCAATGTCATCCAACTCTTCTCTACATACTCCATTGTGGCATCTCGCATCGATAGCGACCTTATGATAGTCACGAGCATACACGAAGCTACAAGCTACAATGAATTCACATCTCATCAAACAAACCACAATCACCAATCCATTCATTCCTAGAAATAATAATAACCCTATCCCTACAATCCTCAATAAAAGGTCTTATCCAACAACTCCAAAATCTCCCGCGGCAACTCCCTATACAGCCCCAACTTCCCCCTCACAATCAAATCCTCCAAACTCCTCTTCTCCACCTCCCTATCTCCATCCCAAACGTCACCCCCCAACGCATCAACACAGTCACCTGCCCCCCACCGCCGTCGACAATACCACCCCAACCCCAACGGCTTTCCCAATCGCACACACTCATCAATCTGGCTGTCAACCTCAGCCAGACTATGCTGGAAAATCTGGGGCGCGACACCGTGCTTTTTCTGCAGGGCGGTGGCGATTTCGGTGCCTGTGCTGCGGAACTCGGAGAGGCCGATTGTGCGATTGTGGAGGATGCGGATTGGGGTGGTTGGGAATATGGTGGCGTAGGCTGTTGCGACGTAGGGTCGGGTACTGGCATGGTGGGTTAGTATAAGTTTTGATTGAGATATGGTTATTTAGCAAGATTGAGGATTGAGAAAGAAATAGGATTGATGTAGAGTTAACTTACCAAATATTCAACACCTGATTCCTCGAGTCCCCTGTGAATGCAATCCTGTTGCCCACGACGTCCACGCCCAGCAATCTATAACAATATCAGCTTCAGCTTCGGCGTCCAGCTTCCAACTTCCATCTCAATCTATGTTCAAGAACAGCAACAACAATAATAATAATCTGGAAACAAGACACATACCCAGTATTTAACCCAGACTCCGCAAAAACACCCGGCAAAATCACACAAGTCGCAACACCCGCTTCCCTCGCCGCACGCTCCACACCATCTTTCTCCTTATTAACGGAGATCCGCAGACCCTGCTCATCGCAGCGGAATGCCAGATCCGAAGGAACAAAGAGCTGTACGTCCGTGTGCGGGATGGCCTGGATAAAAGCGTGTTGGAGGCGGATATCTTCTCTTCCAACGAGTGATCTATAAAGATAAACCAACATTAGCATTAGTATTCGTATTACTTTTATCCTGAACGAGTGGAATGGTAAAAATCGTATTGTTTGAAGTAGGGGCCAGCTACATCAAAATATCAACATCCTCCAGCGCTGCACGAAGAGCATCCTGGTCTTGGACGTCTACTTTGATCTCGTCAAATCTCCCCTTTAACCCGTTTGCATTTGAGCCTGGTCTGTAGAGGAGTTTTGCTGGGGCGCCAGAGGTGAGGAGGGCTTGCGCGATAGCTGAACTGGCCCAGCCGCGGTGGCCATATATTGCGATGCGGTTGTAGAGCATTTTATGTGTTTATAGCGTAGTAGGAGTTGGGAGTAGAATTTAATGAGGAATTGAGTGATTCAAATAACAAGGGGGATGGGAATAGTACGTAAATTGATAGCTTTGGAATGTACTGATCGTGATGGTCTAGGAGCTGTTGGGTATACCGTCGTCTTTATAGGTAATTGCAATGATTCAGGTTGAAATATCATGATGTTGACAATGATGGTTGTGTTTGCACCACACTTGATAGTCTTTCCCATCTCCGAGTCGGAATGGCAGATACTCCAATAAAAAGCCGCGTCGCGTATCCCTCGCGTCAAAGGAGATGTTTGGTGTGTTTGGACTGTTTGAGGTACTACGTGGGGGCCAGCCTTCAGCCCTTTTCGCGCCAATGAGAAGTGCAGAAATTAGTATGTTGCTTTTTGCTGGACCAGGCTGTGCGTTGCCTGTTTGACTCGGATTTGGAGATGTTTGTCTTGAATGGATTCGCAAGATGTCTTCCCTTTTCATGAGCTTGTGAAATGATTTTTTTGAGTGGAGACTTCAATATATGTATTACAGGGAAGTAATATTAACAGTGCAGCATGGAGCTCTCCGACGCAACTCCACCCATAATGAAAGTCCCCAGCCAAATCCCACCCAGCACAGACATGAAATAGCCCACATTCATCGTCATAACTCCCAGCATGCTATACTGGCATTAAAAATTTCATCCGAGACAGCAAATCTGAGAATATAAGTATAGAACGACAAGAACTCACAGTAAATAAGCCATGCCCGCAACAACCAACTCATACGTCGCGCGACCCGCCGCCGGATTCACACGCCAGCGCGACCAGCGACGCCCAAGCTCCTGCATGCTCAACCGTACTCTAGAAATACGCTTCGTCCGAGCCTCGTCAGGAATATTCTCATCCAACATGCTGTGCCGTACGCTATCGGTCCACGCACGTCCCTCGAGGATCGGCCGGAGAGCAAGGAGGACGCGGAGTATGACGGCGAGCACGATCAGGAAAATGCAGGTCCCGGCGTATTGGCCTTGAGTGGAAGGCGTCCAGGCGGTTGAGTAGAGGGGAGTTTTGAATGAGGTGAAGAAGGTCATGGCCATGTCGGACATGTACATCATGGACGAGGACATGTCCATTGAGCTGGATGTTGAGGTTGTGGTGGACATGGACATGGACATGGTGGACGTTGCCGTTGTCATATCGGACATGTCCATCATTTTGGGTTCTTTTCGACGGAGCGGTGATTAATTAAAAAGGAGCCAGCGGGTGTAGCTGTTATATGGTATGATGTTCGAATTAGCAGGCCTTGCTAGGTGCTCAAAAGCAAAAGTCGCTCTATCTCAATAATTTCTGCTCAGCAGCCGAAAGGTATTATAAATAACTAACGAGAAAGTCCAAAATCGAATATCAGACAATAAGTCTATGCAGCGGCTGATTTTATTGATTGATTTTCCCATTTGTGCTCCCCCTTACTCGACCCGACAAGACCCACGCCCAGCATCGTTCTGTTCGAGTTGTGGAACTCCATGCGACTCGCACCACGCGAGATTCCCCAATAACGGAACACAACATTCTCCGAGCTCTGTACAGACAATCCATCGCACTCCAAACAACCAGTCAAATCCCAGCCCTAGCGGGCCCCGACCGCGTGCCTCAGCCAGATCAATCTTGGATGTGCACCATCAAAAAGGGCATGATTGGCTTGCGGGAATCGGGCGGAGCTAAGCAGCGGGAAGATCCACTTGGTGCGATGGAAACGCCCGCAAATATGCTCATCTTTAGACCGAAGAAGGGAACTTGCGAAGCGAATATGCAATGGGATTATGAGAAGGTATGTCCAGTATCGTTGTTCAGGATGTTTGATAGATTGATGTGGTCCTGGTTGGTCCACTTGGATAGCTGTGAATCCGCTCTGAACGGAGAAATGGAGTCCATGCCAGAGACTATTTCCAAAAGGAGAAACCGCATACGCGAGATATGAGAATATTTGCTGGCTTTTGAGCAGGATAGTTAAAGTATCTGTGTTAGTCAAGCATACTGACCGTGCGCGCAATCGCATGACATGCCGTTCGTCCAGTGTACAGCGAGAGCTCTTATGAGCACATTCCAAGCCTGCAAAAGCGAAGATTGAAGTCCTGGGCCGAGCACGATTTGAGTCGAGGGGCCGGCTTTGGAAGTGGAGTCGCGCGATCGAAGGAGAAAAGTCGGGTTTCCCAAACACTGGAAACTCAATGATACGTGTCTATCTGAAGGGTTCTGTGCTTGAACGTATTAATAATGCTGGCCTGCTCGAGAGGATCGTACTCGTCTATATTTCTTCAGCATATCCCACAATATACACCGTGAAACTAACCAAATCACAATACACAATACACCCTTAACAAATATTCCCCCTCAGGCACCGAGCGTCAAAACAGGTTCCTACCACATCGCAGCCATGGATATGGCCATGAGCATGCTTCCCTGGCTGGACCAGCCAGTCCTCCTGCACTCCAGTCGCGATGCCGGCAATTGCACAATGACCGCAGAGCAATGTGCATTCAAATCCTCTTATTGGCTGTTTTGGTACCAGGCAGACCACCGCTACGCCTTACCAACGGTAGCCTTCTTCCTGGTCGCAATTGGGCTGTTCACCATTGGACGTGTCGTTTCGGGGATATCGTCCCAGCGTATTAAGCAGCACTCCTTACTATCTCGGATCTTTGCAGGATTCCGTTTCTTGTCGTATAAGGGGTGGAGGATACGTAGCTGGAATTCGCAGTCGATTGGAATGTTCCTGTTGGGTACGGTTGGGCTGGTTTTCTTCTTGGGTATGTTCAGCGATGTCGGGTGTTGGATATGAGATGTGAGCTCCTCATTGCTAACCACCTTCCATATAGCGATGACCCTGGGGCCACGTCCATACTACTGGCCCAATACGAAGGAAATCTCCTACGGCAATTCCCCGCCCATTGCTACCCGGACTGGCTTCATGGCTTTGGCTTGTATGCCCTTCTTGATGTACGAACGCTGCATCCCTTCAATCAGTGCTTCGACTTTCTTATTATCAGCTCTAACTAGGAAACAGTATCCTCAGCGCAAAAGCCAATCCAATCACCGCTCTCACTGGCATATCCCATGAGAAACTCAACATCTGGCACAATTGGGTGGCTTGGGCCATGTTCGTGCTAGCCCTCATCCACACATTCCCGTTTATCGTCTTTCACATCTGGAAAGGCGACCTTGTCGAGCAATGGAGTAGCGGTGGAGTCTGGGTCACTGGTGTAGTTGCTATCATCGCTCAAGCATGGTTGACCTTCATGTCGATCCCGTGGATCCGGTATGCCCCTTTCCCTGATATGAATCTATACCCCAGGCCAGCGTAGTACTTACACGATCTTTTCACTCAGAAACCGGTACTATGAATTTTTCAAGGCAACTCACTTCTTCATGGCTATGGTCTTTGTGATCTTCTTTTTCTTCCACTGTGATTTCCGCATGTCCTCCTGGGATTATTTCATCGCCACGGCAGTCCTCTACAGCCTGTCCTGGCTCTACTCACAATGCAAGACATACTTCGAGCACGGCCTCCGTCACAAGGCGCGACTCGTACCCGAGTCCGAGTACACGCTCCGCATCATGATTGACACACAAATGGAATGGGGACCGGGCCAGCACGTTTTCCTTCGCTTCATCACTTGTGGCATGCACGCACTCACTGCACATCCGTTCACGGTCTGCTCAGTGCCCCAGAGAGACTGCCAGAATCAACTCGTCTTCTATGTCAAGGCAAGAGGCGGGTTAACGGGTCGGCTGATGGCGCTGGCTCGGAAGAACCCTGACGTCCAAATTCCTGTCCTTATCGACGGTCCGTACGGCGGTATTCCTGCCGGTCGGGTTGATGATTTTGATCGAAACCTTATCATCGGCGGCGGTGCCGGGGCAGGAATTACACTCGCTCTGATCGAAGACTTTATCCGGTTTGAGGTTAATCAAACGCCAAGAGAGATGAAGGTGATCGTTGCAACTCGCGATCCAGGGATGCGGGCTTGGTACATTCAAGCATTGGAGGATATTGCGGTGAGGCATCTGCAGCAAAAGCCCGTGACTGGTTTGTCCATTCACATTCACGAGACTTTTTCAGAAAATGAGGTGCAGCAGGTCGAGACAAATATCAAAGCAGCGAGCAAGGCAGAGAGCATTCGCTCAAAAGAGTCCAGTAAATCAACAAGGGAACTGTTTAACATCCAATTCTTCACTGGGCGACCGGATCTCGCGGCTGCAATTCAACGGATGGCTGATCAGGAAACTGTCTCAGTTGGTGTGGTCGTGTGTGGACCCTCTTCGATGATTCACGACGTTCGTGAAGCAGCCGCCGTTGCGCAGAAGGATATTCTTTCTGGAAAGCCTGGTTATGCGAGAGAAGTATGGCTGCATAGTGAGAAATTCTCGTGAGTATCTGTACTCCATTGACGGTCGAATGTTTTCGAAGAACATACTAACATGAGATTGCAGATACTGAGCATCTTGCCAGTGTGGAGGAAAGAGACGAAGCATGAGTTATTGTTGTGTTGCAATTTTTCCAACGGCCACATATACCCTTTGAATATTACACTGCTCAACTTTCCATTCAACTACTTCTCCAGCAGTTCTGTGAGGAACTGGATTCCTGCCCACCTGGTGTATGTCTCAGCTATCCTAGTGGAGCTCAATTCGGATTTGTTATTGTAGTCCCAGAGCTACCTATGGCCTTATACGCTTGCTGCCACCACTCCAAATTCGCTTATTCAGCATGAGCTACTGGGCTCGTCGGTCGTCCCCGAGGAACCCAAGCATTAGCCGGTATAAGAATCCACGAGATGATGGCGAAGATTGCCACGATAGTCAAAATGATCGGTGCATCTAAAAGTGTCCAATCAGCAAATTCCTACGCAGCAGAGACCAAAATTTACAGTTCAAAGTTCAAAGTAGAAGCATCCACAGGAAATGTATAAGGCGAAACCAGAACTGCCCCAACCCAACCATTCCAGATCACAGAAACTACCTGAAAAGTCTTGCTCAGTTGGCCGAGTGACCACTTTACCTTAAGTGGTTCGTTGGGAGTTAACACAAGTTGACCAAGACTAATCAGCCGGTACGCAGCGGCGGAGGGAACTCCTGCTGCCTAGACCAGAGAGATGAAGGCAACTCCAGATGGGAGGATGTGGCAGTGATTACGATAGCAGTATTCTACCCTGCTCTTAGAATCTCTTTCGAGGCAATGATGAAAGTGCGGAACGGAGCAGCCAAAGTGCTACCATCATTTCGCAACACTAATCAGCATACAGTACTATAGCCAATCCTCATTCCTATAGAGATCGTCATCAAAATATTCGGGGAGCTCCCTCTTTCGGACGCGCTTCACCTCGCCGCAACTTGCAGTCGACTCCGCCAGGTACTGCATGAAAATACGCTTGCTACTACAGACTCCTCCGCAGACAAATCCTTTGTAAAAGATATGTGAGGGCTGTACTAGAAGATCAGGGGGGTCTGCCGTCAAATTCCCTTCGCTGACTATACAGGTGTTGAGCAAGCTGGCTCAGGCCCTGTCTTATAGAGACTCAAAAGATGGAAAAGAAGAGGAATTAATAGATTCTAACTATCTTAGCTATCTTAGAAGAGTAAAGAGATAAGTTTAGTTATCGCCGAGGACGGGGCTAGCTATCGATCGGGAAGCGGCAGTGCAATGCAGCGGGTCTTCGGGCGTCTCATTTCAACACTTTGTCATCTGATTTAGCTCTTATCAAATTGTCTCGTCGCTGGTGTTCTTCCGAGTCCCTCGGGAATCAAGGTAAAATCTCAACGCCGGGGATACCTTCACAAAGGGGGACGTCCACCAGCCATGACATCCGCCATCATCCTCTGATACGCCGGCTTCCTATCGAATGGAATGTCGTCGGGCTCAGTCAAGCGCCTAAAATCATACTCCCCGCCTTTCCCAGCCGCTTCAAGGGCCAGATAACCAGGCGCATAGAATTCAATATCCTTTTCAAACTGTTCACGGTCGGAATATATCGTGTGTGGAGCGAGCGGGCCGCTTGGTTCAGCCACTGATAGTAGGATATCCACGATAGGTAGATCCATATCAATTCTGTTTGCACCACTCCGTTAGTATATAATAGAAACATATAGTGAGGTTCAAGAGGGGACAGCTCAAGGCGAAACGAACGGCTGGTTCTGATGTCCGTGACCACCTGGTCTCTCACGTATCGCTTGTACATCTGCTCTCCCAAATAAAAAGAGATCATTCACGAAAAGATACATATTGAAAGGGCGCAGGGAACTGAGTTCTTCATAGTCCCATCACTTTTAAAATCGACGACCGCAAAACGACCGGTTCTCGACCCCTCCTCATCAACTATCATAAAGTATCGTTCATAAGGACAATAGAGTACCGTTCCAGGACGTGTCATCTGGATAGTTGGAAACTCGGCATTCTCAAGACAATACCAGGGAAGAAAATCTTCAACAGAACAGGTACTTGTAGTTTCTGGGTTCAGAACCGCCGCCGTGGGGATGACGTTATCGAAAGGGAGACAGTGCCCCGATTCAATATCGTAACGGTAAAATAGAATCGCGAGCTTAACCCATCGCGCCCGGTTCACGGGATACGTCGCATCAATTGGTGCAATGCAAACAACATGTCTCGTTTCACAGGGCTGCTGAGTATTGGACACGTGTTCCAACGCCTCAAGGGGGTAGTTAAGCTCATTGCCTAAGGCGCGGTTATGGAACGACTATCATAGCGTCAATTTCGGTTCAATGAATGCTTGAAAATAATGGTGTTGGCCTAACATCACGAAACTCTTGCGACTCGGAAGCCCATTTTTGAACTAGGGCTCGACACTGGCGTAGTTCGTACTCCTTGTCGTCGTCGCTGACATTGGCCCGGTCGCGTGGAACCCAGCTTTCTTGGACGAAGAGTAGCCAGCCTTTGACTTCTTCCCTGAGCTCTTCTTGAGATAGATCTGTTTTGGGATAATGCTTGATCCCGCGGGGAATGCCACCGGGCCAGTGGGTTGTTGCCATAAAGCTGATTGACTGTTGGGTCTTCGATTTCGTGGAAAAAGCAGCTTGGAGAAAATAGGAGTGTTGAACGTAATCCACAGCCATTGCCAAGGACGGAGCACCCCAAAACACCATACAGAATGTAGTATTTCACGACTTCATCTTTCAACACTCAAGGACAAGTATATAATGTTATGGTATCTTAGTATTTAGTACATCGTACTACCTGGTATTGCCCTTGGGTCATGAAATATTTTGGAGTGTGACAATGTAGACCTATATATCTACATCACTGCGTATTTTTGGTATCGCAGGTAAGCAATTGTTTCAGTTTGCTATACTATTTCTGATGCTGAGAAGTCATGGCGTAAAAATCAGCCAAAAGCAACTTCTTGTTGTTGATATACTATGACCTGAAAAATCGTCTTTTGTATGGTGTTTTGGGGTGTTCCGAATGGCTGTGGATTACGTTACAGGTTTGGCTCCAGGAACGCTAAGTTTAGTTCCTCCAGGGCGGCACTTGGATCCGTGACGTCGGTGGAGTGCTGACTAAACACCCTACTGAGCGGCCCGGACCTGGAGGGCCTTCCTGACCCGGAATCTAGGCGTTCAAGTGAAGGGGGCCTAAAGGGGCTGAAGTGTAAAGTGGTAAGAGCACTCACTATCTTGGAAAGTAAAAAAATCCAAACCCAAAAAACATACAACAGTCAGGATTCGCATGTGGTCACCCACCATACTACTAACTGACCGGCGTGTGGCTTAAGTACGGCTGAGCGGACGGGAAGCCCTGTTCTCCACACCCTATGGTCGTATGTGATCAAACCAAGTCTTTTACAAAACATAACGCTGACATTGTCATTCTGCTGTTTCTTCATGTTTCGCGAGGGGATCTACGGTCAAATATTTGTTTGAGTTTGCAGGGAGGTCAAGAAGAGTTATAAGGCACCATTCGCAGCTTATCCATTACTCTTCGTCTGACACTGTGGTTGACTAAGAGATTGAGCCACTGGCTTAAATAAACGTACTGGAAGTTTTTTTAAGGGCTACAAATTTGGAGCAATGCTTAAGCTTCAGTAGACAATTTCTCCCGGGCACCTATAGTATTCAAATAAATTGAACACAAAGGAAGTAAGAAGAAATGCCCAATTTCCCGGTCAGTCAGGATGTATGATGAAGTAGGATGGCAATGCTACCTAACGGCTAAAGAGCCTCTGGGTCATTCCATGTTTTAGTCAACCACAGTGTCAGACGAAGAGTCGAAGTTAATGCTTGAGACTGTAATTCTGTCGGTGTTGCAGGTGATACCACCATCGGTGGACTTGAATGTAGAGTCCGTAACACTACCGAGGCTCATGACATTAGCAAAGCTGGTGTCGGCCTCACTCAGCGTAACTGTCAGGTTGGTGATATCTGAAGCAAAGTTAGTATGTACTGACAAGCAGCTAGATCTATCAAGACGTAGAATGACATGACATACTGTAACCAGCGAGCATACCAGAGCCGCCCGAGCCAGTATAGCATTCGTTGCTGGAATAGAGATATTGGAGAGCAGCATCGAGAACTAAATTTCGAGTCAGCCATGAGCGAATATCTTGAGGGTAAAATTACTACTCACTATCGCTCTGTTTTGAGATGACCTTGTCTTCCATGGTAACAGTCTGGACGACCTGACCATTCACGTCGGCGACTAAGATTATTTGTTAGTGACTTGTTCGGTATTTCGACTTGTAAGGTCTTCTGAATCTCATAGTCAACAGTGGTGTTTTGAGGCACTGTCACATATGCTTGTCCAACTTGGCCATCTGAGTACAAAAAGGGTTTAGCATCGGCGAAGCCATCTTCATCTCTGACCGCACAGGAGGTAGCGTTCCATACCTGGAGGATAGGTGCTTGCGGCGACGCACCACTCGTCCACAGAGGCAGAGCAACCTCTATAAAATATCCCGGTTAGTATGCGCCAGTGTGATGGTGTTCATGTTAACAAATTTCACGTACTGTGACTCTTGATCTGGGGACCAGTTGAATAACGGGTGGTACAAGTTGGCATTGTCGTCTCCCGCAGTTGATGAGGCCCCAACCCACACAGAGACCCAAATTTCATCATTGTTGTTGGACACAGTTGAACCTGATGGAACCAAAGGAGGCACAATGGAATAGGTGGCCTTTGTAATGCGAGCATTTCCCGAAGGAGATCCGAGATAAAAAAGACTGTTCCCAAAAGCTCACGAATCGGAGGGTTGTGTGGCGGCCGCACCAATAGCGGCGACCGCAGGAAGGAAGGTATAAGCAGTGCGCATTTTGGGTTCAAGAATCTCAGGCCTGTCCAAACTAAAAGTAATATAGTAGAAATCCTGATCCTTGTTGAGAGTTGGATACCCACGTTCTGCTTCAGAGAGCGAGCTGGAGGATAAATAGAAGAAGAGAGAAGAGAAACAGAAAAGCAACCGCTAGTGTACATATATACGGTTGGTTCAAGGGGCATGAAGGACCTCTGATATATTTCAGCCTTATTAGCTTAACTCAAGCGTGGGTCCGTGAGGTTTCATGCTTATGATGGTTAGAGTCCCATTACTGTGTTCGGCAATAGACTGAAACGTCGAAGTTTCGGATATGCCCTGAAGACTAATTGGAAGAACCTCCCTTGAAGAAGTCCCTGCCCGGGCCTTGACATTGAGGTACACTTTTGATTGCCAAACTCCTTCCCATGTGTCTAAATCTTGACCTGCTATTCTGAATTCCCAATTTATCATGTGCTCGTAAAGTCTAGGGATTCTTAAGCTGGGGGGAATATCAGATTGCTCGCAGACAATTGCATTTCATTTTTATCCAGACCCACTAATTCAAAACAAGCATCCTTCCGACTTATCATCTTTGGATTAACTCATTCGGATATGATCCGCTTATGTCTAGTGCGACTGAAGAACTCCATTTATATTATGGAAAAGCAATCCAAGGAAATCGATAATAATTCCGGACCTAAATCATCCGTCTGAACACTAAGCTACCCCTCCTCGACGTGATACTTGATATATCACTGCTAGATAGATGAAACAAAGTCGGAGAAATGCTGGAGTCTTTCTTCCCAAGTTTCATCGGCGGCAATAGACATCGCCTAAGCCCATTGATTCGCACAGTAGATGACAAGCAGCATACAACAGCAATCAATACAGTGAAGGCGATTTTACCTCCCAGGGGTTGGTCGAAAGCGATCCGGCGTCCTGTACACGCAGGCTCTGAGCGATCTCGCACATGTACATCATTTACACATCGGTGTAGGGCTTGAATCTTCACAGGTCCCCGGGAGATTTATCGCAAACGCGACATAGGTCATGCACTCGCTCTTCGTGTGGGCCGTAAAGCTTCATTCCCGTCAGGAAGCCGGAGTCAAGGTCTTCACAAACTCGACAAAGTGTAGGTCATCAGGCAAATCCAGGTCTTTGAACTCCTCGCGGGGAAATGGGCTGGTCTCCCCCGTCTTTCGGAATCCACGGCGCATGTACCACGATATAAGAGCCTCGCGGGACGAAAGAGCGTTCAGTCCCAGGACTTTGGGGCACCATACGCGTTGGCAGTAGTCTTCGGCGTGAGTAAGGATTTGTTTTCCAATTCCACCCCGATGGCATTGGGGGTCTACCGCGAGCATGAAAAGACGAGCGCTGTCGGGGTCATGCTTCGAAACTCCTACAGTTCCCAGTAGTGTGCCATTTGTGTCGCTAGCCATAAGGAATGTACTGTCGGGGTTGGCGATAACGTTCGCAACATTCTCTGCTTCGATGGAGAATCGTGAGGCGAGATCCGCGTTCCCGACCCATCCCCGTCTGCTGTCTTCGGCGCGAAAGGCTGATTCTATCAGCTGCTTGAGAGCCATTGTGTCATCCTGAGACGCAATGCGGAAACGAATATTTTCATTGGCCATTTCTCCTCTCTGCGCAGCCTGTATTGTGTATAACCATGGTATTTTCCAGTTTTTTTACGGAATTCTCGATATTTATAATTTGGAGTTGCAAGGTATCTAGCGCGCCCTATCATTGACACGCTACGCGCTCTAGTCCTATTTGGGCCGAATTCTAGGCATCTGTCATTTGGGCTTGTTCTGTCAGGTTAACAGCAAAATAAGCACTCCAGGAATGTCTGTCAACCCGAGAACCCAGTGAATCATTCATTGCCTTAGATAGTTATCTAGAGACAGGTATCGTGACATCACGAACAAAATCAGACCCAGTCCTTCTGGATTCTGCGTGACTTGGATGGGAATCATAGAGTTTCTCCCTGTGTTCAGTTGGTCAAAGGTCGGGCCTCATAAGGGCAGGGTGGGTTCGTGGACACAGCAAAGAGGAAGGAACAATGGGCTTTTTGATGATTATCTTTCATAAAAACCAAAAAAGCTTCTGCAGTAGATACCCAAAAGTATAATGGGGGCAAAAAGAAACTCTCCCTCGGGGAATCGAACCCCGGTCTCCCGCGCTTATCGGAGTTAATGACAAGCGGAAATCATGACCACTAGACCAAGGAAGAAGTGGATGGTCGAGTTACCGCTCGGCCACTTGGTGCTGGTTGATGTAACGAGTCAAGTTTTGAGTCTATGAAGTAGAGAGGTGCCATCGCGAAACTTCCTACATAGAGACAAAAGGTGGTTTTAGGTACGGGCTCTTGCGACTTTAAACATTTCCGATATTTCCTGATGATATTCAAAACACACAAAGTTTAAACTTGATCTATAATAAAGATAATATGTTCACCGTCGCAACCTAATGTTACAAGCAGCATTGAACCGAAGTCCGGGGGTCTGTGACACAGGAATATATATCTGGCAAGCGACCAGTTGGTACCTGTGTAGAGCTCCACGGGCCGAGCACGACTCCGGCTGGCAGAGGTAGCCAACCTTGGAAGAGCTTCAACTGCATCAATTTCTTATCCTTGCTAGACCAGGGACACCATAACATTCAAAAATATGGTAAAACTGAAAGTACAACTATAGTCAGTTGACATCATGTAAAGGGGCCATCCTTGGAAGGGTTCAAACATTCTTGTTAATGTCACTGTACACTGGTCCCGAAATAAACAGGGCTGCTGAGTTGACAAATGCATATGATCTAATGCAATTTACAGTATGCGGCAGAAATTCACGGCGTACGAACATATGTTAGCTGCTTCTTGAGGCACCTTTAGCTCACAGGAATGACCTTAGATAGCAATCAGTGTATTCTATATCACGATGACCTCTCGAGCCCCAAATAATTGAGAAAGCAGCAGATATTGAATCTTAAGGACGAATGCTATTAGTATGTACTCGCAGTGTGACCCAATCGCGATACAAGTCTATAACCTTAAATTCCAGCTTAGCGGTGAAACTGCAAGGTAACGAGCCACAGCAGTAACCATGGCCAGCGCCGCATAAAGCGCCCTCAAAGTCGATGTTATGACATCCATCGCTAGTTAGTCATAATTGAGCGTCAAATCCGGGGTAGTATCCAGTAGTGGTTTCGACGAAACTGGATCACCTCAGATTCAGTGTTGTTTCTCAAGGCGAGTCATAAGAGCTAAACTTACCCGACATGGCATTTCTCTGTCGTACAATCACCAAAGCCATTATAGAGAGAGCAAGAGTAGGTCAAACCGGTGACATAATAAGTGATGTAGATTTTTTGGGTAAAATGGCTCGCGGAATATTCCTTGTCACCGGCGGCCATCTGGCCCCATAAGGCACTGGCATGGCCGAAAAGGGCGACGGCACTTAGGAGAGCAGGAATCTTCCCCTTGTGGGTTGTATGTGTGCCAAAGGTTGCACTAGTCAGGATGGAATTGAATTTTGATAGTTGATTGCGACCATGGAGACTAATTAATCGAGGGATCCAGGGCCGGCTTTAAGGGTATATATAATCTCGAGGCTCAGAGATTATTAGCTATTCGCGTAAGTCGAGCTAATTAGGATCGGTCATGGTCATGCTTGCAGATGATAGTAATGCTTATTCATGCATTATACAGTAGTTGCATCATCTAGCTCGAGAGAACGACGGAAGCGCTTCTCCATAACCTGTAGATGCAGGAGAAAATTTGAGGATTAGTCGGAGACTTCGGGCGGCCCTGATGTGATTGGTGTTGATATATTATAGGCTATCCACCAGATAAACGGAGCCTTCTTGTTTAAGTATAGACCAAAACAACCAGTCCATGTCATTGGCTCTATCGTATTTTGTGATGTACACACTGAACATGACCGCGGGATTGAAAGGGATGGTCATGATCTGAATTTGTACTATGAGTACTGTCACAGGATTTTACCCATAGAACGTTGACGGAAGATTCACAAGAGAAGGGTGTTGTCATTGATTTTAATACGAGGTCAAACGACTGCTGCTTTGTGTTCCAAGCAGGAGCCGATCCCAGACCCATAGCTGACCCGCGGAAGCTGCCAAGGCGCCTCTCGTTGGTCGGTCAGAGACGAGGGGACTAAGTACTATCAGACCCTGAGTGTCCTCGCGATTCAGGAACAACCAAACAGTTAACGAACTTCGTGTGGCGCAACTGATCAGGCAGTTTAACTGCCAAATCGTTCTAATTTTTGTTCTGAAAATCATTCTGACAACAATATCTGACCGAAATGTAATGTTTCGTTGGAGCGATCGCTACTTCTCTCACATCTGCCTAGTCCAGCACCAAATGAAACATCTATATTTGGTATTGATCTACTTATTCTACTCTTTATACATAACCGAGTAAGATCATGGCTCTCTAGTTATTTAATTTATTCTGTATTCTCGCTTAAGACTACCTCAAGGGACACTTTGTTTCATTGGTATACCAAAATCCAAGGTCCCTGCAAAATTGCAGAATTAGGGTGTACTTGAACTTGTCGATCGGTGGGGAGTTCAACCTTGCTGCTTCATCTTCTCTTCAAGCCAAGACTGAGCGATACTAGAAAATGTGTGAAACTGCACCGAATCCCCCCATCCACGAAGCCAGCCAATGAAGCGGTCCACCATGCCAGTAACATGAGCCATTCCACTAGTGTCAGGGTGCATGAGGAGGGGGAAAACAAAGCTCCCATCTTCCAGGTCTGGATTCTCCCAAAGCCAGAGAAAAATGTCTTTCCAGCGCTGCTCAACAACGCGAGCATCCACATGTCCGTGGCTATTGTGAAGATGTGGGAAGTACTGGAGTGCCATCATGTCTTCATTGTTCCAACCAGTGGGAATCTCAACAAGAGGTCTACCAGCCGTCGGACTTTCCATATCAGACAATCGTGTAGGGCGCAGCCAGCTACTGGCAGGTTTCGAGAAATCAATTCGTTGGACAGGTGGTGCGCATGGAACTAAGTATGGCTGGGAGTCATGATGGCTGAGTGAAGAGTCATAAAGAAACCCGAACTCTTTGAGGAGCTCAATCGTGGTCTCTCGAAGCTGATACATGGGAGCCCGATATCCTTGGACTTTCTTCCCAGTCAAGCGCTGTGCTACCTCCATGCATTTGACCAAAACATCACGCTCTTGCGCCTCAGTCATCTGGTATGCCCCTTCATGAGCATAACCGTGCAACCCAATTTCAGCTCCACATTGAACAATCTCCTTCACGGTATCCTCAAAGGTTTCCATGGTGTGCCCGGGAATGAACCAAGTGACCTGATCGGCTATTCCATGCTTTTTCAGCACCCGAAGTAATCTGCGACCTCCAACTTGACCGGCAAAAATACCTGTACTGTAATCGGCCAAGTTGTTCTCTGGATGATCTCCCGTCCCAAGGAAGGCAGAGAGAGCATCAAAATCAAAGGAGAGGGCAATTTTGACGGATCTCTTCTTTATGTTTAAGGATCTGCATAAGGTCAAGTCGGATGCAGGGTATTCCGCCTGTGGGTTGTCCTGGTTGATCGAGTCTTCTTTGAGGGGAGTTACATCCTCATGAACAAGATTCAAAATCTCACTGATAGACACAAGTTTGCGGTCACTTCTCGATGAAAGAAGTATTTTAACAGCTGCAGAAACGGGTTCACTCTGTACATTCTCTCCAGAGCGCGCAAAGTCGATAAAATGAACGGTTGAATCCTTATTTAAGCGCGAAATATCTCTTTGGAGCTTTGTCAAGAGTATTTCGCAACCTGCACCAAAATCATGGCGATTTCCCAAGATAACCACCGCAAATCTTGGGGTGGACTCAAACTTCTGGATCAGAAGCTGAAGAAATGATTTTGCCCGAAGAAGCGTTGACTTCTGGCTGTTTTTAGTGGGGTGCTCTCGACACCACTCACTAAGCGGTACATCCCAGAGTGCATCTTCACCAGCAGGTGGAGGGCTTCTGGCATCAATGAGGAAAGTGTCCGCAAATCCTCTGAGCTCATTTAACCCAGCAATAATCGCGTCTCTCACGCTCGAATCACCGTCCGGACCTGAGACCGTGATAGTTTCGACCTGGATACTGGCTTCCCCACCAATGTTTCCTTGAGCACGCACTTGTTAAAACTTGAAGATTTTCGTAGGTGCTTAATTGTTCTACCTACTAATAATTTCATCTCTCAAAGCCGTCGCTCGAGTTACCGACTCTCCAGATATAAGGATACGTTGGGCGAACAAAAGAGGTGACATAATAGAAAATTTCAAATAATATCCCGGCTATCTGTTGGAAAATCAGAGTGTGTCAGTATTAAAAGCAGATAACACTGCGTTTGGTCACTCTTTAAGCAATATGCCCTGCTATACTGCACAACAGCAGATGGTCTCTCCCACTTCCCACTCCGAAACTCTAATTTAAAGAAAGGAAACCGCCAGCGAGGGTGGAACATTTGCACGATGTACGAGTACTACAGTCGGTGGCTTGATATAAAGACAAAGACCAAGCTTGACAGACATATTATTCTCATAGAATAGCTTAACTAGGAGTTACTACGCGTTGTACAAAGAAGCCTTTGCGGGGTAGCACCGGTAAATGAGGGGAGAGTTCTTCGAATTGGCAGGGGCGAGCGAAGCATTTCTTATCTCCTCAGAACTCTCATCAAATGGCAAGCTAGAGACTATTAGGTTCAGCAATATATCAATGAATATACTGTTCTTGGTAGCACTGAGCGAGGAAGGAGAGATTGCTCGGATATTGAGGAGATAAACATCTTGTGTCGAGTGGAAGCATAACTGGGTAGTCGTTCTACGGCACGCTACAGTTGTAGAATTCAGTAGATATATATGGCGCGCTGTGTGCAAGAATCTTCAACCGTTTCAAATCAAGTTCGCTTTTTGAAAAAAAAAAAAATATCTCAATATTGCCCGTCATGGTTGTTTCAAATATTGGAGAGAAGGACTCTAACCTCGAGGCCTCGAAGCACCACTCCGGATCTGAGATTGATGCTGAAGTCAACGTCGGAAGCCAAACTCCAGTACTGGCAAAGAGCTTTAATCTTCTCAGCGCTTGTGCTACCGGAATCACAACTGGAAATGCATGGGCTGTGCTTGGAGGTGGAATTGTTAGTCACTTGGTCATGGTATCTTGATTTCACTCCGTTAACGTGAAAAGGTTGCGTCGTTGTATAATGGAGGGCCTCCTGGTATTCTATACGAATTGTGAGCCTCTTCAAAACATCTGAAGTAATTTATTCTTACTCTAGAGCAGTGCTGTTGTCTCCGTCTTCTATGCTCCCATCGCTGCATCCATCGCGGAGCTCGCTTCATCAATTCCAGCTTCCGGAGGAGGTAAGTGATCAAAAACTCTTTATCAACGGCTCTAGAAATTTAATTCATTTGACCCAAGTGTACCACTGGGCTTTCATCACTGCAGGTCCTCAATATGGCAGAATCTGTGGTTGGTTCGCTGGATGGCTAAACGGCCTGGCGTGGAACTTTGCTGTGGCAGGGAACTGCTCCATGACCAGCAGCATGATTGTCTATGCGTATGCATTGTACCATCCAGAGTACCAGCCTCAACGCTGGCATGTATTTGTCTGCTATTTGATTATTTCTTGGGTATGTTGTTTTATTGTGATGTTCATGCAACGAGTGCTGCCCCTGATCAGTCGGTTGGGATCGTTCTTCATTGTGGCCGGCCTCCTTGTCAACGTAATCGTCTGTGCCATAATTCCAGGCAAGAAGAATCCTGGTTACGCATCAAACGATTTTGTTTGGAAAGAATGGCAGAATACGACCGGCTATTCGAGTAATAGCTTTACATTCCTTGCTGGTATGCTTAACGGTGCCTTCGCAATCGGAGCGATTGACTGTGTTACACATATCGCGGAGGAGATTCCTCAGTGAGTACTCGGTGCATGGGATGTTCTGTCATTATCTAACAGAGCACTCTCTTTATTAGAGCATCTAAGAACATCCCCAAAGCTTTGGCTTGCCAAGTGACGATCGGGTTTGCCACTGGTTTCTGCTACCTGGTTGCTTTACTCTACGCAATCAACGACTTGCCAGCGATCATGAGCACAGAGTCCATTTGCCCGATAGGAGATATTTATTTTCAGGCGACTGGATCCAAAGCTGGAGCTGTGGGCCTTTTGGTCTGCACCATCTCCCCAATATTCTGTGCAACGATTGGCTGCTACATCACATCTGGCCGAACCATCTATACACTCGGTCGCGACGGAGCCACTCCATTTGCTCGGCAGATCGGAGCTGTCAGCTCGAAATGGCACAGTCCGTTGAGCGCAACTCTGGCTTGTGGCATTTTTGTCGCCTGTACAGGTGCCATATACGTGGGATCGTTGACGGCATTCAATGCCTTCATTGGCTCGTTCGTTTTACTGACTACGCTATCATATCTCCTTGCGATTCTGCCGCATCTTTTGACAGGCCGCAAGAGTATTCGGCCTGGGCCATTCTGGATGGGCAAGTATGGCTATTTGGTCAATACTATCGCTTGTGCCTATATTGTGGTTTCCTTCGTGATTTACTCTTTCCCGTACAGTTTGCCGACGAATGCCGAGTCCATGAATTATACAGTCGTGATCACTTGTGGCATGACCGTTTTGGTCGGCGCTTGGTGGGTCATCCATGGCAGGAAGAACTTCAAAGGGCCACATCTCGAACACATGGAATAGGAGCAGTTTGGGGAAGAGGGTTTTCATATCGGGAATTGTCCGGCATAGCGGGTCGAATGAGCGGTTGGACTGGGAGATAGCATGGATATCGATCGATGTGTGAATAAATTTGATAAGATTGTGCAAAAGCAAAGGGGACAAAGCCAATTCAGTACTATAGAAGCTATAGAAAGAAGACTCCAGAATTGATAACGACCACAGACGAAAGAGGTCTGTGCCGTGAATGGCCGCAGGGTCTCGGTCTCGCTGGCTCCTGCTTGCTTCAGGAAACCCCTTTGGCTTGGCGAAAGTCTGAGCGACCGCCAAGTATCAACCCCGCGTGGCAATTGATAACCTAGACTTCTATCAATTCATTTGTCATGGGTCCCGAAACTTTGAGCTCCGTATCTGCCCGCTATCATTGATTCCGCCCTACTCCATACAGAGATAACAATTGCCGAGATATGCAGTAATGACTCACTTACTCCCCGCAGTCTCCATCGACCCCACACTGGACCGCCTCGAGCGAAATGCAGACTCCTCTTTCATGGATGATCTCGACTGAACGAACATTTCAATATAGCGTCATAGCGTTGTCTACACCATGGAGCTCATCTAAGCCCATAAAAATCCGGAGGAAATACCAGTCTATGAAGTAGTTGACCGGCCGTCGAATCTCGCGCAATCGGCAAATCTAGTTGGAAATTGCATTCATGAGCTCGATAGCGAAAACAACCACAAAGCGTGCCCCACGCGCACGACAGGCCCGGTTGAAGTCTGTGACATTTACCGGGTAATTTTAACGGCTGAACCAAAGTGGAACTGGTTCGCTAACAGATTCTAGGTGCTGGACCTGCAGGTCTCGTAAGGTGAAGTGCGATGAACGGCAAGAGAACGGCTGCGCTGCCTGCGAAAAAGCAGGTGTGGAGTGTGAGGGCTATCAAGTCAAGTTGTGCTGGGTGACTACAAAGGATCAGAATCCTCATGGCTTTCAACGCCGAAAGATTAGACTTGGTCAGTCTGCACGCAGTCCTCAGTTATTATTTCGAGTTGCTGATACATACGATTAGATCCCTCCAGCACCTCACCTTCCATTCCTGATGAAGAAATAAATCAAATGTTATCCCATCTGGACACAGTCTCTCCATGCCTAGATACCATCACAGTAGGGCCTTTCTCGATATTTCACTCACAGCCTGCTGAAATCGACGCCGACCACTCAGAAGAATTTCTTTCAGATTTGAGATTTACAGTCAATTCAAGAAGTGTCGAAGAAGAAAATATCCATAGTGCCCTGAGTGGTCTTTGGAGTAGCAATGAAGATGATATGCTCATTGATGAAGCAGCCTTTCCTCAGGAGACTTCAGCGTCAATCATCAACCCCATGCTCGATGATGCCCTCACAGGCAACAATAATATAACTCTGGACCAGATCCAACAGGAATCAAAATATTGGGAAAGATCCACTTCTCTAGTCATCGCTGGTTTGAACCGTACCTGCGAAACCCCAGCAAATAAGATACATTTCTGTCTCACAAGATCCCTCTCACCTCAGATGGATATTAGGGGATCCTTATTCCCAGACACGAACATATCTATGCTCATGTATCATTACACGAAGCATGTTGCTGAGCTTCTGCAACCAGTTCTTCATCCAGGAAATCCATGGAGAACCACATACTTCCAATTCGCTTTGCAAGGCTGCCCTGATTTTGCTTTCAACGAGTCTCCGGGCCCGGCATTCAAAGTCTCAACCGCGATCTTTCATAGCGTTCTATCTTCAGCTGCGTTTCACCTCCGGAATGTGACGGGAGGTTCTGCAAAATTTCACAAGCTCGGCCTTCGACACCGGGCGAAATCACTCCAGGCTTTGAATTCTGCCATTCTCGATCCCTGGGATTCCAAGCTGTACACAGCATACCTAACGGCAATGCTCTCTTTGGTTACAATTGATGTGGGTATTTCAGCGTATAGAACCGTTATGCACACAGTTTGTCTAACAGATTAAACTAGACGATTACAGGAGAAGACTCGGACTTTCCAATTCACTTGAATGGCTGTCGGCAATTGACGAGTTCTGCTCAAATGGACATCGATGATCCAAGCAATCAAGTGCGTAGCATTTGCCATGTTCTGACACTCCTTGCACGAACGACTTCATCTAAGCTTCTCGTTCCGCCCCGAAAACCCGCAAATCAATTCGACGAAGCACCTTACTTCCACGTGGAAGACACGAGTATCGAATATATTTATGGAATAACCCCAACCCTTGGTAATTTGCTACAAAGGACCTGCTATTTGGCCGAATGCATCTCAACCTATCGAGGATGCGATATACCCATCGAATTCTTTGAAGCATGCGAGACTTTGAAAGTCGATATACTTACCTGGGAGATTTGTTCAGAGCAATTTCAACTGATGGGATCTGGTAATACAATGAGCGAAATAGCCCGTTGCCAAGCCCGCGCATTTCACAGTGCTGTCTTGATTTATTTCTATCGGACCGTTCTGAACGAAGATCCCAAAAGTTTAGACGACGAGGTCCGCTTTATCTTAAATAACCTCACCGATGCTGAAGATCTCAAGGATCGGTATATGGGAGGGGACAAGAGAACGGCACCCATGTCTTGGCCCGCCTTCATTGCATCCTGTGAAGCACTTGATCGACAACCATGGGTAGAATGGTGGACACGAATACAAGAGTACAAAATCGGCAACTTCAGGAGGCAGTGGATGGTTGTTCAGGAGCTTTGGGATATCATGGACAGGGACGAAAATGTCAACACCTGGAAGGATGCCCTTGAAAAGTCGGGGATTCTAGTCCTACCAATTTGATGGCGCATACTACGACCGCAGATTTGGCCAATATCTAGTCTTTGGTCAATCAATCAATCAATCAATCAATCAATCCATCAATATATTAACCTGATGCAGCCTAACTAGTGGCGTAATGGCTATGCAGGCGCTTCCTCCGGCGGAAGCAAGAGTGATGCGAACGCCAGACCCGCGCATGAAACAGTAGATACATAGGAAATCGGCGCGTTGCCATATAAAATTAACCCCCAAATCAGCCCAAAACAGTACAAAAACGCCCGCAATGTCCTCAATCAGCCCTCACATTAGCCTGCTGCTTCGTTTGCATCTCCATCGCTGCCTTCACTCTCCGTATCTAGTCTTTGGTGGCTCTTTGCTCTGGCCCAAGGGCGTTGACTGTACAAACCCGCTATATGCTGTTTATGTATAAGTATATTTTCTGGTCATAATTTCGTATTTGACAGAATCCTTAACAATCATCTCGAATGTCCACGTCCGGCCCTCAATCTTCCCTGTCACACGAACAAAAAATGTGATAAAAGCCGCACATGTTCTTAACTGGTCTGTTCAGAGGACTTTTCTCTGTCAAGAATGTCCGTATCTTTTCTTCAATGCTGAGCCGACAGTAGTGCTCCCACATGACGCGAGAACTCAACCTGGCATTCATGCTCCTGAAATAAAGTCAGCGCAATATTTAAAAAGGTAAATAGGCTGAGACTCACCCTCATTCCGCTACAGCTTTCCTCGTAGAAGACTTCATAACGAGCGGTAATACCTGGGGAAACAAGATCAAACCCACCCTTGGTGGCCGTGGTGTAGTTTCTGTATATTGCAGTAACAAGGGTTGTCATCTCAGCCATCGCAAGGCTACACAAAATTAGCAGGTAGACCTTATGTAGGCTGTTGACGGGGCGGGACTTACTGCATTCCGATACACATTCTTCCTCCACTAGAAAACGCCCAGAACCACTGCTTCATCTTCACCGAGTCGGCCGAAGATTCTAGCCAGCGATCCGGGTTGAATTTCAGTGGGTCGACAAAGACCTCGGGATTTCGGTGAAGCGTGTATGGAGCAATTGAAACTGTGGTCCCGGCTGGGATGGAGTAGCCATCAATGGTGGTGGCTGTGGGAAGTGAGCGTGGCTCAGACCCTGGTAGGGGGGCATACAGCCGAAGTGTTTCTTTGATCACTGCATCCACGTAGGGAAGCTTGTCGCAAGCATCCGTCTTTGGGATTCCATCCGCATTCAAGTCTCTTTCGGGTATGTTCTTGACCTCCTCAATCAACCTCTTTTGGAATTCAGTATTCTGCGGCCGCGAGAGGGACCAGATCAAAAACATCAATGTGTCGCTGGTGGTGTCGATCCCTGCGAGAAGATGGTCCGCACATTCGGACGCGATGTCGAGATCATCCAGCCCGCCATCCTTGCGAGAGGCATGCTGATTCCACAATCTTGCGATTAAAGACTTTTCATTAATCTTTTCATTGTCGGGCGCCGACCCAAATTTCTGGCAGGCTTTCATCGCATGGTTTCTGATGCCGGAATAGGTCGTGGGCTTCTGCATGGGGTAAAACTGACTCGTAACGCATCCCAAAATGCCATTCTGGGCATAGAGCCACTTGGTAAACCCCGGAAAATGGACCGAGTACCACGAAAGCCTGCGCCGAGAAACATCGATGATATCTTCGATAAGTTCACGATCACTCTTGGACCCCTCTAGACATGATGTTTTCCCATATTTTCCATACAGAAACTCGGTGATATTATCGATGGAAAAGTAGTGCAAGGTGGAAAATATTTCGCTCGTTGGACCGTCCTTTTCGAGGAGCTCCAAGTACAATTTGGCTTTTTGTTCCACCATCGTAGCGTTATCTCCTTTGATCATGACAGACTTTGCATAAGCGTGGGCAAATAGTTTCTTTCTTTCCCCATGTTCTTTCACCGTGGAGAACGAGAACATATTTTTTCGTCCATACGCCTCGAACATTTTGTAAAAGCCGGTTCTTTGGAACCCACTCCCAGCGCCATAGATCGTCCGGAGCGCCGAAATGCTGTTGAACGACACTTCATTGGGACCAATGCGGACAACGGGACCGTATTCCACATGAATGGAGTGGATTTTGCGGGTTCGAGTGCCTTTGTAGTCCTCATACGCAAGTTTCGCCCCAGTCCAGGCGAATAATCGAGGGCCTGGGATTCTAGACAGGGGGCTGAAAAAAACCAAAAAACAAAGGTGATGAATGAAGGCTGCAATGACGCAAGCAGCGATCGCGCCGACCGCGAGAGACATGATTTTTTTCTATACTTTCGTGACTTTTGAGGGTTTGGGTTAACTGGACAATGATGAGTGAAATATCTTGGAGGGTTGGTCACTAGATCTTAATTAAGAGACATTCTGGTTTAATACTCTTTGCCTGTAGCAGGTGAGGGGTCCAGCGAAGCTCCACTCGATGAACCTCTGGAAAGGAAGGCAAAAAAAGCAGGGCTCTGGCAAGGAAAGCGCCAGCGAAATCTTCGTCGTAAGTTTAGTGGTTGAACCCCACCCCCGCCACGGTGGAAAGCAATCGGCTTCTCAAAGAGAGCCGATTTCCGGCCCTCCGCTAAATCTTGTAAGGTAGACAGTCAGCCGCTGTTCCTTTGATTTGGAGCTTGGTGAATCAACTTGTGCCAAGATAAGGCATTCACAGTGTACCTTCGATGTTTAATTCTCTTTACGGACTACTCACTGCTGGAAAATTTCGCGAAATCAAAAAGCAGCGTTCAACTCATTTCCCTCTCAAGTCGAACAGTTGTGAAGTACCTCGAAGGGAAATAAAGCCAGCAATGAGGAACGTCTCGAGCATCCCAATTCATTGACCAAGCACATGGGCCTAGTCTGCTTTGGAAGCACAATGAAACCACAAGATCAAGTTCATTTTTCTTCTCTCCTTTCCTGTGGCTAAGGCACTGATCCTGTCTGAAACAACTTTGTCTTCAGAGTTCACAATCATGTCTCTCAATGGTGGACTCCTAGAAGGGTTGAGATAGCTCGCCATTCTTTGTTTGTGACTTCTGTGCTGCTTCAAATCAAACCAGTGAATGCTTAAATTCTTGCCCTACGCCTTCCTTCTAGACGGCCTTGAAAACTGCATATCAAGCTACAACGGGACCTTTTTATCGACAAGTCTATCTTTGAACTCTTGCTACCTGTACCTCCTCCAAGTCTCAATTGAGAATTCATTTGATTATGTCTGAAAGCAAGAGAGTTCGTGTACAGCCCGATCGCGCCGCTGCGCGAGCGAAGAGAATAAGGAATCTCGCTGAAGAGTTTTCCCCAGCGCCTTTCAAACGATATCCTCCTTTTAATCCTCCCATCACTGACTACAAGAAAGTGCCTGGGGGCTGGAATGGAGAGGACGAAGACATCGATGAAAAGTGGGGTTTACCTCGGTCTTCGCACACAATTTTGCTAATGCGGTATATAGAGATGTTGCGAGAGTCATTCAGCGCTGTCATGACAGAATCCATGATGGCATCATGCCACAGTGGTGGGAAAAGAAACTAGCGGTGTACCAAGGAATCCAAAACAAAGTCGATTCAGTGAAAGCATCAGAGAATCCAAAGATGAGCTTGGAGGCTGCGATGCGTGTGGAGAATCTTGAGGTCATCAAGGAACACCTCGAGACCGAGGGAGATCCATTTACTCAGCTCGTCAATGTCACCGCACTGATAGATGGCTATAGAAATGGCACACTGGTTTGGCAGGACATGAAGGTCTCTTACTGGTCGGCTGGAAAGTGCATGGCTGGGCCCATGAAATTCGATATGACCTTCGAAGATGTCAAAAGGTACAACGCACAATGCGGTGGAAAGTCATTCTGGGTTGAAGGTGTAAGCCTTGTTTCATGAGGTTCTATTAAGACCGATTTCGAGTATCTTTCTGACACAGATCCAAGTTAAATGGGCCTGGGGCCGTTCCCATGCTTGCGTACAATAACCCTGCATGGAAATGTGAGATCCGTCCTATGCGGATGCTCCTTCATCAACATGAGGTGAGATCTCTCAGCATATATGATGTGTTTGTACTTGATACTAATTTTAGTGAATAGATTGATACCCACTTCAGGGTTCCTGGCGCTGGCAGTCCAGTCTCGAATGCTCCCTTTTCCCACTTTTCCTCGCATCGCAAGTTCTTAGACGACACAGGGTCCTCTATGCCTATCATATACCAGGATGACGTGCAGCGAATTACGGCCTACGCTGGAGGCTCAAAGCCTCCATTCTTGTGCTATATCAACTCATTGAATGCCGGTCGAAATACTGCCGTTGATCCGACCTGCCTGATTGAGTACAACATCAGATCAACACTCCCAGGGCATGGATGGATGCTGCCTGCTGGTAAATGGGTCACAGTACAAACCATCATGAAACAGCATGATTTTGATCCGGCGCAAGACTACCGACTGAGCGGAATGTGGATGCGACGTATCCTGTATACTGCAACGGCCCCTGATAATCTTGGCTTGTTTTATATGACTGAGTCCTTGACGACGCTGAAAGCCTCTCTGCCGGAATCAGACGTGCGGAATGCAGTCCCGCAACCATTTTACGGGCCATCGGATCCAGGTGTCTCGAGCATTGGGCCTACAATCTACGTTAAAGGCATGTTGGACGTTCCACCATGAGCTTTGCGAGTTGGTGCTCCAGAGCTAAGGATATTACATCCCCATCAACTCCCTCACCATCTGTCAGAAATGGAGGAGGTGGAGACAGAGTCAAATGTGACGAGACTGTCTGATTTCTTATTGTCTCTTGCTTTCTTATCTTTGGCGTCTTCTCATTGTTGAATCACTTTTACCCAGAAGATTGAAGGGCCCACAACAAGCACATCTTGAAGGCTCTGCTCAATCATTATGTTTATTCTGATGTTGAAAATATACTTGCTTGCTTAGTGATTGAACCCAAACTGTCATGTTCTTACATTTATGCTATTCCTCCTTCGCGTTATGTCGATTTCGGAAGCCCAATATACCTCTGTTCACAGAAATAATTTGTCGGCATTTTGTTAGATACCCTTGTTTGTGGTGGTAACAGTAATGCTAGGTAAATCTCTTCCGAAAGACCTTTTTCCCCTCACTGAATCTAAAGTAGGATTATGCTAAGAAGTGCCTTCAAAAGTTCCGACTATCAAAAGTGCGTACCTCAGGGGTAATGGGTGAAACAGAAACGTAAGCCGTATGATAAACATAAGCAACATTGGACATTTCCCGATGACAAAAAGGCAAAAGAAAGGTAAATGTGTCTGTGAGGAGAACTTGGTAAATTAGCAACCGCCAGCGAGCGAAGGATGCGGGGTACCTGTGGAGATCGACTCCAATTGTGAAGCGGCAGTGTGTTGTGTTGGTATATTTGAGTACGTATATAATGATGATACTCATTAAATATTTCTTATAAGGCGACATGTGCAATCGGCTTCTCGTCGATGACAGTCAGCTCAAGAGAAGCCACTTGCCAAGTCTCGATAACTTAAGAATTCGTCACTACACAATGTCATCCAATTACCGCCGTCTGTCACAATCGTACGCATCGACCAGAGTATCCTTGCGATGGTTGCCTGAACCGCCATTTGAAAACACTGAAACACTCGTTCTAACCGTGGGAGAGTGGTACGTCGACTTGAGAGTTGACAAAGGATCCGGTGCTCTTGACTGGGCAATCGCTGGCGAATGCACTGTGAAGGATGTCAACCCTCGTATGTATCGCTTGCTTTTATTCAGGCTCTCTTATTCAGTATGTTTGATTAATTGTTTTGATAGGGCGCATTGTCTTCACACACACAATTGACTCGCATGGCAACTTCAATGTGAGCGACCCATGTCCCTTCATACCCCTTCCCAACGGATATGACTTGGAGACTGGCGCGATGCCCCGCCCTGATTTATCGGGGAATCCAGTTACCGAGTACGAGGAATTATGGAGATATCTTTCGAAGGATGAGATTGGCATGGACGCAGTCGAGAGTCCCACTGCGTGGATCCTGGAATCCGAGGACGATTGCCCGAGCCACCATTTGCAGCAAGGATTCAAAACTTTCCTGGCTCGTATAGAGGGAAGGTACTTGGCTTTACAACAGACACGGCCTCGGGCAACGGATCAGATGAGCGGCTCGGAGAGAAAGCGGAAGATTGTCGGTGGTGAAGTGAGTGCCAAATCAGAAGAGTTCGTTGATGGTCGTTGGAGAGCGAAGTACGCTCTGGGACCCAACCATTCTGATCTTCCGTCAATCACCTGTGACTTTGACGCCCTTGATCAGCATTCATGGGGGTTCCCGGAGAAGAAGGTTAATGTGAGAGGCTGTAAATACGTAGTTCGGGCTTTCGAGGTCTCCGGGAAACTATTTTACCCCACACAACCGGCCAAAGTGTGAACTTTAGAGTGCCTAGAACTTCGGCTATCAATCCAAATTGCAATACACCATGAAGATTTATAACTAGTTATTAACTACCAGATGGGGTTGAATGACTAAGACCTTCTGGTGTAACTAACTAACTAACTAATTTTCGTAACGAGTGTCAGCCTCCGGTACCATATAATTCAAATGCCCACATTCAGCCCCAGAGGTATCGATTGGAAGTATTGAATTCAACTCAATAGAAGAAAGAATAGAAAATAGATTGAATAATCGGTCAACGTCATACAAGCAAGAAATTCCTCGTATCTACATGGACAACGTGAAACGCTAGGGTAATGGACCGAACTGAGAGAGGTATCACAGAATTAAGTTTACTGAATTATGGCCAATTCTGCCCATCAAGAATAGAAGAAAAAAAGGGACGATGGACTGGAATGTGCAGCACGAAGAGCAACGTATCAACATGTGCAAATGACAATGCACATATCACCCGTCACCAGTATATGCTGTCTTCGTCTGCTACGCAGGACTAATTATATCCTTAGATCTGCATGGCAACGGCGCAGAGAGCGCCGAAGACAACAGCAACCCCAGACAGGGTAGCACGGCCGGCCGCGTTGAACACAGGACTGGCAGAAGGGGTGCTAGCGCTTCCACTAGAGCCGGAGCCGGCGCCAGAAGCACCAGTGGGAACAGGGGAAGGCACATAGCGGATGGAGGAGGCCTTGCCACCGGGGGCACCGGCGGAACCAGAAGGGCAGATGGTGGTGGTGCTTTGAACAGTCACGGTGACAGTGGCAGGGCGCGAAGCGGTGGGGCGTCCAACGGAGGAAGATGGGCCGGCAGAGACACCAGAGGGTCCAGAGCTAGGACCGGTAACACCAGAGACAGCGGGGGAAGAAGAGGAAGAACCGGAAACAGAAGGAGAGGTACCGACGGCAGTGGTGGTGACAGAGCCGGTTGGGACGCTGGAGGAGATAGTAGAGGACTCGACAACGGTGAGGGTCGAGGTGGAGCAGTCCTGGCAATCGACCTCTCCCAGGACAGCAAGGCACACGTTGATCGGGATGTTGATCAGACCGCTGCCAGTGTCGGAGTGCTGGTTGCAGTGAGCCTCACCAAGGACAGCCAGGCAGATGTTGATGGGAACGTTGATCAGGGAACCACCATCGCTGCTGGAGGTAGAGGCCTGGTCACACTTGGCCTTTCCAAGGGCAGCAAGGCAGGCATTGACTGGGACGTTGATCAGACCGTTTGTGGTGCTCTGCTGCTTGCACTTGGCATCACCAAGGATGGCGGCGCAGAGGCCAACGGGAACACTGATCAGGCTCTCGCTGGCGTAGACGCCCTGCGGAAGATCATATTAGCTTCGGGCCATATTCAATGATGAGAGGATCCAGCCATTCTTGTGACTTACAGAGGCAGAAGCCGCCAGAGCGACGAGGGAAGTGAAAATAGACTGCTTCATTGTGTTCGGAAGAAACGTAAATATACGTGGATTGTCAAAAAGAGTGTGTCGTGATGAACGAATGGACGCTGAGAACAGCAAAAAAAGTGACTAGAAGGCTAACGAGAGAATGAAGCTGCTGGAGAAATCGGAAGAGAGACCTGGGAAGGCTAATGTTAATGTACTTCTCGTCTATGGAGTAGGGCCAAGAGCCTTACGGACAACATGTGCCGAGTCAGCAAGGACAGCGTCTTTGGACCGCAGTGTTGCAGCCCCCGACGACGAGAAGAGGAGTCAAATCCAATGTCGATCTGCATTTCCAAACGGTCAGCAAGCAGGAAAAGGGTGAGACAGCGAGACCAGACCGGTCTATTCAACCCCATAACTAAATTATGATTGGCCGTTTCTTGATGCTCACAAGATTTGGTTGACCAGTTCTGCTATGATCTCAACTGGGGAGGAGAAGGCCTTGAAAGTTAACAGACTTGATACCCCATAGTCGAACTCAAAGTGTACGGTAAGCCCCGCTACTGGTCCACTAGCTGCAAATATACTTGGCCTGATTCTCATGCTTCTCCACTAGCGTACCACACCCGGCCCCATATCGAATTTTTGCGCTCGTGACATTGTCGATCAGGGGTGAAATACCCGAAGGGCTCAAGTTTGCCTCGCTTTCGATGTACGTCCTTGATTATAGACCTCATGTTCCTGACTGGCGTTCTAGTTTATTTTGAGGTCCCAAGTGTAAGCTGATTTCAGTAGTCCGTATATTTAGTGATAAAACTGATCTTACCACTTTTCTTTCCCCATTTTTGTCATTAGACACCCCTTCGCTCGCAGAAGATGACCTCTCACTTGCCATGACCAGTCAAATGAAGAAAGCCTCCACCGTGGCTCAGTGCGCGTCCGAGGACTAATGCAAAGCAGCGAGCCATTATTATTGGTCTTCTTACCCCTTTCTTTCCAAGGCGAAAAGCATGAAAAATTGGAATGCGCGCTATGTCCCATCTACAGGATGTTGGCTCAATTATTGCACAAACAACATAAATAATTGAAAGCGACCCATATTCAGGGTAAGTTGGTGGCTTGCAAGCCACTGAACTAGACACTGCGAACTCATGTGGGCCTCGGCTTCCTGGCTGAAGATGCACATCTGTAGTACAGAAGTACTACCCCACACCCACCACAAATCCCTTTAGCTGTCAAAACTCGCCGCGGTCCGACAGTCAAACTTTGCATCTCGACGACTCGCGAATTCCTAGACACCTAGCGCATGGCTTCGGTTATAAAGATATTCTCGCGTGCATATGCCGCCGTTGCCATCCTTCACTCCTCCGGTCAGCTCGGTTGGTAACCTAGCAGGGCTGGTCGCCATAGATATGGCCATTGCAGAGTGTATGAGGGCATGCATGCATTTAAGATTCGAGCAGGAGTATGCGTTCTCGACAGCTGATAGAGGCGATACCTTGGCGCTACAGCCTCCTTCGTATTACTCCACTCAGGGGCGATAACGATTCAAAGGTAGATATTGTAAAGACCACGATTTGATTGATTTAATACCACTCCTTCAACCAAGTCTTTTCAAGCTTTGGCCGAATCAATAAATTTCTCGAGTATCGGGGGAGAACTACCTTGGAAACCGAGATTCATAGCCCCATTCTTAATTTAGCTACAGCTAATAATTTGGGTTATTTGCTTGATATGTACGTAGTATGTAGGTCCATTATTCATATCCTGTGGGACGGTGGGGCTTTCGTAAGTGTAAGATTGAAAGGCACCGGGATGTCGGTGAGCAATGTCTTTAGACCTGTCAGCTCTACACGACTCGTAACCTTCCTGACGCGTCGCTGGTCGCGACACTCACATTTATCATCACGTTATTTACTGCGAGATATTCATAAATGCTCTAGAAAGCAGCAAAGGATTGCTTTGCTCAAATATTTGGTTGGATATCTAAGGCTGGATGCCAGTATGGTGCGCGAGATACAGTAATCCCCCGAGGTGATACTCTTTGCCTTATTTGGGCCGCAAGGGGCGTCTGACCTCGGCTGCGTATGCAACAGCAAAAGTCCGTAATTGAACGCGGTCGCGAGTGGAGGTCTAATGGCAAGACAAATCATTGCATTTGGCATCTCGAGAAGATTGGGAACAGAAGTTGCAGAATAGAGACGTTAACAAAAACATCACAATCCTTCCAGGATGGTAAAAAAGTGGGAAAAAACCTACAACAGCCATACGGCTATGCTCACCTAGCGCCCACCGTTCGGCCGTGGGGCGGCTCGCCGCTTTTCGCAGTCGGCCTTTGGGCGGGTTCAGGCGACTTCAGGCGGCAGTTCACCCACCTGAATATGCTTCACCCAGAGGGGTGAAGCCCTACCCTATAATGTGCATTTGTACATTTTGATCAAGTGAATGATTTCGTGATGTGGGAGCAGACACTATGTTATTGTCTTTCATACAGTTACTGCCGGTCAACCTCGTCCTTCCACTTCACTCCTACCCCTCTGCCGTTTCCCTCTTGCTTCAAGCCGATGGTAATAATGACGAAAAAGGCTTACTGCTACCCACCGCTTCCACTTATAGGTACGCTACTACTTCGTCATCACAACTTCTTCGTTACATTTCGAATATACTACAAAATCAGCCAATTTAACTACGTAATATACCTAGAGCTCCTAATTTTGATACGGATCGCTTAGCAGAAGCCTCTTAAGTAGTTCTGGTATAAAAGAAACCTAATATTTCTAAGATTACGCGTCAATTTAACCTGTCTTGTATCTCCCTTACTAGTCGCGTTAAAGACGCTAAATTACCTAATATACCAATACTATCTATATAAAAGATGTGGAGTTGAGAGCAGGTTCGGGGGCTCTCTAAGAAACAGTCTTGTAACAAATTGACTTGGTTGCTTTCTACCTTACCTGTCAATAGGCCCTCTACCCTGCTAGTAGAATCTATCTTCACATTTGGAATATTTACTGCCCCATTAGAGAAGATATAGCCAAGAATTGCTAGACGGTTCTAGAGGCCACGGTACATCTATATCCTAGTGTCAGCTACGATCGGGATCAGTTCAGGTCACCAAAAAACAGCAAACATAGAGGCTAGGAGAGAGGGAAGTTTAGCCGAGGGGGCGAAGAGTAAAGTGGCAAGGGCTTTGTTCCAACGAGTCTCAACAAAATAAACAAAAATAAAAACATACAACAGCCAGGATTCGCATGTGGTCACCCACCATACTACTAACTGGCCGGCGTGTGGCTTAAGTACGGCTGAGCGGACGGGAAGCCCTGTTCTCCACACCCTATGGTCGTATGTGCCTTAAATTCTCTGAAAACAAAATACGTGGTATCTAAAATGCTGAATCCTTAAAGAATATGTTTCGTTGAGTCCTTTTTTTTGAGCCTCGAATGTGGTTTGGTTATCAATTAGTTCTTATTGAATATGTCACAACTGGTTTAATTTAAGGATACTTACATTCTGCTTCGGTAGGGTCAGGTTTATGGACAGCAGCTGTGTGAACACCGTCTGGACAGAACGAGAATATATATAGTCCGCGCATAGACACCACTGGTATCCATGGATGCACGTCCTTTATGTTAAGCAGAAAAAAAAATCGCTCTAATATAGGTATCAGTTACGAAGACAGGTCAGAGTACTGATTGAATCCCCCATTGCTATATTCCTCTGCAGTGAATTGACAGGGCTCCTCTACTACATAGTGGATCTGCCAGCGTTTGCGAATGTGCTTCATTCCATTCTTCAACTGAAAAAAATGACCCAGGGGGGGGGGGGGGGGAGCAAAAGGTAAAGTCTGGTACACATGATCTATGTATATGGTGATATAATTACAAAACTGCCTTTTTGACTAGAAGACAATGGCCGTAGCCCTCCGGATGCAGTCAGGTGCTTGGGTTACACTACTCAGCCGAGGCTCCTCGCCTAAGAAAGCCATCTCTTCAAGCCACAATTTTGTAAACTCCCAGGAAGAACTTTGGTAGCGTAGCAGGCCTTTTGAGAATCTTGCCGTTTTATCCAGAGTTTTATTTCCACCCCGACTTTGCCTCGTAGAAAACCCCAACGACGAACATAGAGAGAAAAAAATGGACTCAATACTCTTCCATAAACGGCTTCCTTGTAAGATGACCGAACCTAGACAATGAACTTCCAGATAGCTTATGTCATCATTGAATCCAGTGGCCAGTGTGGAATCTATGAGATGATATAATGGGAATAAGATATAACTAAACGGATGTCAATTTCGGAAGTGACAGTTACCTGCAGGAAAAATCGCAAGGTATGAGGATTCCCTCGGGCCGTCAGGGTGTGTACTCAAGCGAGATTGTTAGAAGTGGAAATTCCTACATGAAAATAAGTAGCCGATTGGAATTTACTTCGAGCCCGGGGATACGACTGAACATTGCGTGGACAGTGGCATTGTTTGCCTTAGTAGTATAGATGTGATACCGTGTTACGTCATGTCCTAAATTAAGCTCCGGAATGTGGTAACAATAGATTGTGGAGTAGTAGTAGTACTTCTTGAATGAAATTAACCTCCCTCGTTGGTTATCATCGTTATGTGACACTGCTTTTCTGCTCCCAAGCTGAAAATTTCTGCTACTCCTGTCTATCCGTCCGACACGCACAACAGAAGCAAAGTGTTACCCTCCAAAAAAGAGACATACAGGTCAACAACCAATTTTCTTACATACATAGAGCAAATTCATCATTGATGAACCTGAAAGGGGTCATTTTCGGCTTTTCCGGTGGATATATAACAGCTTGGATTCCCGCCATCATTGCTCAACTAAGAAACTACAACAGCCACTCACAGAACCAGTCCTTGAAAATCATGAAACTCCAATCACTGTCTTATACCTTGTGGGTGGGACCTCTTTTGATGTCAACTGCTGCTCTTTCTACACCCATTGGCCCCCAAAAGTCGACTCAGCATCAAGCGATTGCTGAATTAAGTGGAGCTGGGTGGAAGAGACTATTCGAGTCTTTGAACAGTACAGAAACAGACGAAAACTTAGATCCTATTGTTATCCAATGTGTATTGCAGTACTTCGTACTGGGATCATCCTGCGGTGAGTTCCGCACTTCATCCAGAATCCTAATTGCCAGATCAGACGCTTATTGAATCATGCATCGCAGTGGCTACTGTTTGCACTATAGCACCTTCCGAGCTTCATTTCTTATGCCCTTAGCTTGACCCCCTGTATGTTAGATTCTGAGGTTGAAATTAACTAGGTTATCTAACTCAATGCTTCAATTTGGCCAGTTTGCGTACAGCCCAATAATATATCTCCGTGATTAACTCTCGATCAATCATTGTAAGGTCTGTTAGACATGCCCTAAACCCACTAGCTCAATTCAACGGGAGGCGAGCATCCATATCTACCAACCAGAGACATAGGAACTGCTTCTACAGTAAGCAAGGAAGTTGGGATGAGACCAATAAAAGTAAAAAATAGCTTACTACACCGAGAAAGAGAGTACAGTCTTACCCAATGCCGTAATAGTATCACATGCTATGGTTTTCGCATTATTCATTTGACTTTGAAGTCGTCGTGGAACACACGGCATCCCAAGTTTATAGATTCTCAATTTGAGAATATCCAGAGGATATAGTGATGACAAACTGGGATGCCGCTCTGCGAAGGATTCTTCACTCCACCCCTGATATTATGTCTACATAGTGGACAATTCTCAGAAATAATAGACAGAATCCATTTGACTCTCGTAATCGTGAAACGGGTTTAACCACCGATAAATTCTGTCCTCCGTCGTAGGGTATACAGTGTAACGCGCTCATGGAAGGCTTACCCCAAAAGAATGATATCAATCACGATCGAAATAAAATTAAACAATCCAGGCTGAAGATATAAAGCTCTATGAAAGCCCTTGGTCTCTTCCTTCTTCAGAAAAGCGCACAATACTGAGATCTTCAGCTATTCAAAGCACTATTATCTACCGATTTTCAAGGCGACCAGCTGAATCTAATCAAGATGAAGGCCCAAGTTATATTCGGTGCTTTGTTCCCTTTCTTCCTTTACGTCAACGCCGCTTCCAACGATCAAAGTGTGAAGACTTTGAGACTAAGCGGAGCGGAACTTAAAGATCTGGCGGATCTGGTCAAAAGTCATGGCCTTGCGGACCGACTTGCCGCGGATCAAAGCATTTCCTGCAGCGTGAATTACACCCTGGCACTAAGTAATATCATCTGAGGATCCTTCTATATTGCCAATTGACTAATCAATTCTAGGTGCTGGACCTCCATACACTCTGAATCTTACATCTCTTGACCTCTCAGCCTGCGTGTTCTCCCCTTAACCTTCAGCCAGTGTCTGAAGCCATCGATTTCGACAAGACATATGAAACATGCCTGGAAGTCGATGGCTGAGCTAGGTATTAATTATGCTTATCGGTAGTATGATGATTGATGAAAAATCCTGATTATTTTGCCGTGAGCAGAAGAAATGATAATGGTGTTTCTTAAATTCTAGATTCAGTAAACAGGGAAAGAAAGACACGTAGACACGTACTTGGGACAGCCCGGGATGAATTTCGGATAATTCAGTCATCTGGACGTTCGGAAGGTTTCCTTGCTTTGATATAGGCTTCATTTTCCATTTAAAACTTCTATATCTTATGTCCAATATAGCTTTGCACTGTTAGCCTCGATATTTAGCTATTTGGTTACTCTGAGGGGGTTCAGGGCGCTAAGGGTCATCAAAGAGTGGAAGTATTTCATGGATAACCTAGGACTTGGATCACTACTTAAACTTATTTTTGTGAGCTTTGAGTACATACGACCATAGGGTGTGGAGAACAGGGCTTCCCGTCCGCTCAGCCGTACTTAAGCCACACGCCGGCCAGTTAGTAGTATGGTGGGTGACCACATGCGAATCCTGGCTGTTGTATGTTTTTTGCTTTTGTTCTTCTGTATTTTCTTTCTTGATACCCAATTGGTCTGAAATAATTGAGAGACGATATGATTCAGAAATCTGCGTTACCCTAGCGCTCCCGAGGCGACCAGTTGGTGATCCTGGCTGCGGGGAATAGGCCTGGACCATCAAATGGCCAGAACCTAGTTAGCAAGGTGTACTCCGTACAGATGCCGTGAAGGCAGTCCAGCAGACATCCAACGAACAAGTTGAATTTTGGTGGACCAAGGCAATAATATTCTCTTTGTGTGTTTCCGAGTGTCATCCTGACTACAGAATTTCTTTGCTATATAGCGATATCTCCGACCAAAGGGCATTAAACACTGAATTGAGAGAATTCGCTCACTGCCATCTAGTATAGATGTTTGGTGGGGCGATAGATCACAGTCTGACCTTAAGGTGCCGTAATTCCGGTAAGATGACAACATCGCCGAGCCGCCAAGCCCCTTGGTAATGCAAAACGCCATACTGCTGTTGCACTCCCACTATCGGCTTTAATGATAAAATCTAAGAAAAAGTGATCGGGATCTTCTATAGCTGGAGGGGTTCTAGCCCCTGAAAGATGTGGTGAATTTGACAACTTTAAGTTGAGTGGCTAAGAAAACTTGAAATCACATAATAGCAGAAAGACAAGCGAATCTGAGAGCTGAACATCCAGCGCAGGAGTTCACAACTTCTAATGGTTTCCTCGGCACGGTCTATATAAGAAGGCGCTTCAGAATGTCCAGGGAACATTAAAGACCTCCCCAAGCGTAGAAACTACAGTAATTGAAGAACACGTGGGGAATGTAAATCAACCAAGAGAGAACTGAGTCTATTTTATAATCTATAAACTTTTTAAATGAAAAAATGCCTGAAAGAATATCCACAGTACAACAAAGGGGAGCAAAACAGACCCTTGATGACTGCTGGCAATGTTTGAAGCCCGCATCGATCTTACTGTCACCTCTCTGTATTGATCCTGACCATATGTTGCGTTGAGTGTGACTGCGGCCGAGGTCGTATTATCTTCCAGACGAATCCATGTTTCTATCTCCTTCTCCATGGCTTCCTGGTTTAGAAGTATCTGGCGTCCACCGCGAAGTGCATCACCATATCCTCCATAGCCAGTGTGTCGACCGTAGCACATATTGAGACCATTGCCAGTAAGATTCTGATCGACAATGCTGCCATTCCATTTGAAACACCTGTACAGGTTAGAACAGAAAAAGAAAAAGATCAAGTGCCCGTTCATACCAGTCATTATCGTGATCATGGCCACTGAACGTTGCTATCAATCCGGGAGTATCGAGAAGAGCTCGCATAAACTGACTGTCCTGCCCGGAGTACTCAGTGTCGCCGGACCCTTGTGACACCACAACTTCGCCGTTGATACCAGGCGTAGTTCGGCGGTTAACGCCGTCGTCTTGATATCTGAGCATGGCATGTGCAGGGATATGGTAAAAGGAAAGCGAAGGAATGACTTTGCCATATTTTGCAGTCAAATTCGCATTTTGATTCGTAAACCATTCTCTCACCTATTTTCATTATCAGACATTGGGTTTCGAATGCCAAAACCATGGTATTTGGCAAGGGGCAATAGTCACACCGCTGTATTCACCCAGTCACCTCTCGCACCAGAAAGGTCATTTCTGACTCTGTTTGTTGCATAATGACCTCCTCTGGAATCAAAGAACCACAAAATCAGCGCAGGGGCTTCATCTGATCCTTGATGTGGATACACCGGCAAGTAGTAATTCGTAATCCCAGAGTTAGGTGATGATAGCATGCTTGTTGTCAGGCTGTTTCGATATTTTATCTCGTGGTTGTATATGTCCAGCATCGGGTCCAAATTGACATTGCTGTCATGATTACCATAAGTTGATGCCCATGGTAGGTCCTTGTCCACTACAGGTTTCACAACTTCATGGAGATATTGGCCTGGATTTGAGCCATTCACAGCTTCGCCGGATATCAAGTCTCCATTCAGAACTACCAACTGTGGACTTTCACTTGTCAGTACCTCTGACATGACATTCTGCGTCTTTAAATCAAGTGTTGCACCTGACGCGAGTCAGTAAAACTTGTTTCACGAAGTCGCACGATATTTAGAGGTTGAATACTTTCGGCAAAGTGGAGATCACTGAAGACTGAGATCTGGAAGGTGCCATTACTGGTAAACCGAAGCCGTGGGCTGTCTTGTCGGCTGGCGAGGGCAAGCTTCATGATATGCTGAGTCCCGTCCTTGAATAGCATGTCGAAGAAATTACAATGGATGCAATTGCTTCCATACATCTTATATGAGATAAGCTCTATACATAAAATTTCGAATTCGAAGCTAAGTCATCAACGTCATGATGTTTCGTTACCTACGAGTTCTGGGCATTTGTCTGGGCATTTGCCAAAATGGAAGTTTGACGTAGCATATCGCCGGAATTGGACGGGCTGAGATCACCATGACCCCCGCCCGGTCAGCATCCGAGTGCGGTATTGCGGTGATAAGATCCCGGAGATCGACTAAGTTAGCCGGAGCCATGAATTCAGATATCGAACAGTAGTTACTGTGGTTAGAACTTAGTGGGCTTTCTGCTGACATACCTAATTTTTGGATACGAATAATTTACTAACTAGTTAACTATGATCTACAATTTTTAATAATCCCTTTTTCAATTTTGCGCTCATTTTGCTGTTTTCTGCAGATCTTGTGTGTTCAGTGATTTTGGTATGAGCGGGCCGGTCGGAGGTTTCAACGCCCACATCGGTAATGAAACATTATACCGAATCCTCGCTTTGCCTGCCCTAATGAACTTATTATATTCTCGACTTGGAAAGATGCATCTCTGACCTCATAGGAGTCGATTCTTTGCTATTACCCCTTATTTTCGCCAATAATCGTATTACTGGGTTGCATATCGCCCGATCCGGAAGTTGTATAGTCTGTCTGGTAGTCAGCATATCGCCCCATTTGGAAGTTGTAGTCTGCCTAGCAGTCATATAGTTCGGATTCCTTACGGTGCCATCTCGTTATACATCGCGCTCAATGGGAAAGTTCAAATGCTTTACAAGCTCTTCAATGTAGTTTACTAATCTTTCTCCGTTTGGTCATTGCCTATTCATCTACCTCTCTTTCTCAATGCATCTTCTAAGCTAATTTCGCCCTATTTGACCTCAAAATCCCAAAAAATTCTTTTTTTGACATGTATGAAGACTGGTGTTAGCAGCCTGCGGCTCAATTGATACATAATGGTAGTAGTCACATAGAGATCCTCAAGTTTCCGTTGCACAGCATCCGAGAAACTCTTAAACATTGCGAACAATCGCATTCAGGCATCGCAAAGTGGAGGCGATCCCAAATTTCCTTCAATTTGTTTCGTGACCTCTCAATTTTGGCATTCATCAACGGCGCTATCGATTGCCACATCGTGTTGATTACTTGCGTCTCTCGATCCATGTGCTCTGCATATAGATCCACGTTTTCCTGCTTACTCAGGGTGAGTCTGCCGATGTGCTGAGCAATCATTCTCAGGATCTCTGCAACTTCACGAGGGGAGAATACACGCCCGGTTCTCAGTGTATCGATTGAGTCCAGTATTGTGTGGGTGATTACTTGACACTTTAACAAGAAGCAGAAGCTTGGGCGTTCAGCTTCTCCTATGATCCGGAATCGGTCAAAATCAACTTCGAAGCCATGCAGAAATCTCACAGCTTCCTGAACACTCTGGCCTCGACGAGAAAGCTTCTCACTCCAAAGCAAGAGTGAGTTAACAAAGTTGACCCGCTTATCTCCAAACACTGTGATGTTCTGGTTCGATGCCATAACTCCCCGGGCTAGGCTTTACAGAACCGATTTCGGGGTTTAGAATAGCTCTGGATTATTTGGGAAGCTCCAATATTGTAGAATTGCAAGGGAGTAATAGAGACAGAGATCTTATAGCTTTGCGACTACCTTATACGCCTTTGTTTACCGACATCACCCATCAATCAACACATTGCTTTGTTCTATCTAACAATGAGTATTGTGCTTAATGTTTGAATGAATATTTTAGCTTAAAGCCATTCTTGTGGTCCTCTGGAGTCAGCGAGCTTCCAGTACCTGGAATTGTTTGTGAGATTTAGGATCCTGGAAAAATGCGAGTGTGCCGGAGGTGGAGAAGGCAATAAATGATAATTGGGAGTTAGGAACAGCATGGAGAAGGGGAAACTAGTGATCATCCCTCTGACATTTTGTTTCGCATCAATAATTACAATTGATATTGGGAAAGTAATTCGCTCAAATGGCAGGGTCTGTTAAGAAGCATCCTGGATAGTGAAAAATACAATGCGTGCTTCCTAGGCTCTCGGTCGAGGGAGCGGCTGATCTAACAAAGAATTCTCTTGGCAGAGCCTTGTTTGGTTCAACCTCGCAAGATTAACCCTACAATCGCTGTTCAGCGCAGACAAGAAGCTTTAGGGAGGTGTCTGTGCGGTCTGTGTGACCAGGCACCGTCCGAAGCACTGGTTGGCCAAGTAGATCAAGGAAGCTCTGATCACTGGGAGTCACAGAGCGGAAAGTTATCGACTCGAGTCACTCAGAAGTTCAAACATCTCTGGTATTCAAGTTCTGACCTTTTAGCTTGGGATTCTCCTTAGGGTTATCTCACATTGGCACGCTTTGCTCTCTGACTTGCTTGTGGGAGCCATGCCGATCGTACAAGACTGTACAGAGCAGAGATTTGACTATGAGTCAGGTCATATACAAACGATTTCACGGTTCCTGGGTGCTTGCATGGCGTGCGATGCATGGAAACGTCCAGGGCGATCTTTGAGAGCAAGCATTTAAGCTAAAGCCTAGACCATCATTTCTATTTGACTTGGGAACTTCCGTGCTGAGAATCCATTTTTCACTGTCGCCTATCTCCAATCTATTACACCTAACGAATATTGGAAGGCCACCAGAGGAGTACAGGGAAGTCAGGGAAATATCGTGGAATAATGACCTTTCTCCACGACCTATCCCCTCGTCCGTCCGGGAAGGACAATTAGCGTATTTTACTAGGCTATACTAGCGTATATGAATAACGCGTACTAATTGGCTAATCGCGGTCACAGTTCAGTATGGTAATTAATCAGGCCTAATCGACTAGCTAATTCTATGAAATTCGTCCCAACACTGCCCTTTTACACATAGGCTTACACTGCCGCATTCTAAACAACCAGATCTTGACCGATTGGCCTGTTGGCCTCTTTTGCCCTTTTCTCTCTTATACTGACACCACACACAAGCTTTTCGCCTATCGAATTGAATTCGCTGGTGGTTTATACCAGGTACTGGCCTTGGTACTGGCGAAGGTGCAAAGGCAAAGAGCTGCTGGTAGAGCTTTCGCCGAAAATCTAGCTGACTAGATAGCTCACTAGCCCCCTGTTGCTTCTTAAAGATATATTGAATGCGGTAAGCATTAATAATTGCAGCATCAATAAAGAAGAAAAGCAGAGGGAACCAGACACGCTCGCACTTTCGATGAATTTCATAAGAAGCCCTATACTGATTTGCAATATCCACACCACCCATATAGTGATTGTAGTCATTGATAGCAGTAGGAATCTCGAGCTCCTTAGTTATCTCATCACCAAAAGGTATACGCGAGATAGCTGCATTCGTAGAGGTTGGTGATGGCCGCTTCCGCTTAGTAGGAGTGTATATCTCTGGCGAGTGGATAGTAGATAGTAGAAGGACTATATTATTGTCCTGCCAAGCAAGACATAGAACCCCTTCAGCCTCTGCTGCATAGAGTGTACCCCATGGGATCGTCTTAATGTGATCCTTTAGCTCAACGAGCTGAGAAGGTATCCCATTTTGAGGGCGGGTAGTACCACATGCACCACATTGAATATCTCGAAGCTCTTTGAAAAGGGCTACCGAGGTAAAGTAGTTATCTAAGTAGACAATATAGGGTGCTAGGGTATGCGAATTAGCCGGCGAATTGGCCATAAGGTTGGTATGCGAATTGTTCATAGGGGTAGCAGGAAGATTAGCTATCGAATTGGCCATAAGATTGGTATGCGAATTGCTCATAGGGGTAGCAGGAAGATTAGCCATCGAATTGGCTATGAGATTGGTATGCGAATTGCTCATAGGGGTAGCAGGAAGATTAGCCATCGAATTGGCCATAAGATTGGTATGCGAATTGCTCATAGGGGTAGCAGGAAGATTAGCCATCGAATTGGCCATGAGATTGGTATGCGAATTGCTCATAGGGGTATCAGGAAGATTAGCCATCGAATTGGCCATGAGATTGGTATGCGAATTGCTCATAGGGGTAGCAGGAAGATTAGCCATCGAACTAGCTAGGCCAGGAAGCTTCTTGACCATCTTAAGCACCATTCTTGCCGTAGGGCTAAGGCCTTCATATTTAAACATCTCCGCGATCCCCCATAGGCGGCTACTCCATGTAAATGTCCAAATATAGCCATGTTCTGCGAGGGCAAAGATCTTATAACCTTGTTGAATTGGCTTATTAGGCATCTTGACAGTATGCTTCGTACGGCCAAAGCAGCGAACCATAGTCTCATCGATAGAGATATTAGAACCTGGTTGGTAGTGCTTTTCAGCAGCCTCTTTGAAGAAGAAAGCCAGAGGGTCTAGCTTATACCACCACTGCTTCTTATCCTTCTCCGATCGCATCTCATCTTCGTCAGGGTGAGATATATGAAGATAGCGCTTAATCTGTTCAAAGCGCTTAAGGGTCATATAAAGCGGAGGAGTATGTAGTGGTCCTTCTCGTCTATCTTGCGCCCAGTAGAGATCAATGCGTGGCTCAGGGTGAACACCCATATAAATAAGAATACCAAAGAAGACCTTGATCTCTGCAGTTGTAGTATCCTTCCACGCGCGAGTAGTAGTAGTAGTGGCAGTGGTAGCTAGCTTCGCTAGATTTCGCTGCGCGTATGCATTGGTAGATTGGCTGATACGATCGAAAATCTCTTCGCTAATAAAGAGTGTAAAGATCGCGTATGGGCTATCTAGGTCAATGCTAGTAGGTAGGTGCAGCCGTGGAGGTTCGGAGGAAGGGATCAAGGGCTTTAGCTGCCGAGAGAGTTCTTCCTTAGTAGGTAATTCGGCAGTAATCTCGTCAAGCGTGCGCTTCCGTGTAGCCTTAGTAGATTTCTTTGGAGCCATGGCAGATTTATTGGCAGGTTGGTAGGCAGGTTGGTAGGCAGGTTGGTAGGCAGGTTGGTAGGGGGTTACGCGTGTAGAAAAACACGCGTTGATGACTTAGTAGATAGTGGAGCCCTATATCCAATAACACATCGAATATTTTAGTCCGATAACCTATTGGATAATATAATACGCTAATTGAAATGCGCTAATTGTCCTTCCCGGACGGACGAGGGGATAATTCTGCCAGCTTTCTATTATTAACGCTCAAACTGAACTCGAATGATCGGATCAATCAACCAATCAGACAAGTGGCATCTAGATTTCTTTGTTCCATGTATAAGGTAGGCGGAGAGCAGGTGGCGTTGACCAGCCGCTCCAGGTCACCATGGTACAATATTTCTTTGTTAGAGAACTCAGAGTACTAACCATCATTAGAAGCATGGATCAGCTCCTTGCTGCTTCCCCGCAGCACAAACACGCCGTCTTTAAGATCCAGCTCGCCCAGATTCATTGTTGTGTTACTTGACCGATCAAGCCAGGGTATAAGTACTGTAGTTTTGATTTGCCAAGGTTGGGACATGTCCCATACGAAAATCCTCCGAGAATCTCCAAGCCTCCGTCAATATGGAACACTGTTCACGCATCCATGTCACTGTGGGTATAGTGGGAGGTGGGATTGCTGGTCTATCTCTTGCCAGAATGCTCGAGCTATCGGGCATATCCTACTGTTTGTGGGAAGCACATAGTCAATTTTCCCCGCCTGCAGGTGCCAGCATCGGACTGATGCCCAATGGTTTGCGAATACTGGATCAAATCGGTATGATCGACAAGATTAACGAATATAACGTGAAGCGCAAAGCCTGGGAGCATCGAGATGAGAGGGGAAACCTTCGAGCGAAATTCAATTCCGGAGTGATCTTCGAAGAGAAGTATCGACCGTCCCTGACGAAAATTGAATCAACCATCCCGCTGACAGTTCATCTCATTGCAGACTCGGGTATGGCGGCGTCTTCGTGGAGCGACAACGAGTGCTTGATATCATGCACGAAAGCATCGAAGACAAGACAAGGCTCCATACTTCGAAGCGAGTAGTATCCGTGCTACAGACGAAGCAGGAAGCGGTTATCATAAGTGAAGATGGCAGTGAAATTGGATGCGACTTTGTTGCAGGTGCCGATGGTGTTAGATCCATTGTTCGGTCCGAGATTGCAAAAACAGCAGCTACTGATAAAAACCTCGAGTGGCGTAGGTCAAGCCTCGTAGAGATGATGGAGATTCGCATGATTTGGCTGAACCGATCTCACAGGCTTCGATGCTCGTTACGCCTGCATTTACGGTATCTCAGATCCTGTCCCCGGAGTAGAACCGGGTCAGTCCTTCACAGTCTATCGACCTGATGTATCGCTGTTGATATTCTGTGGGTACGGTGGCGACATCTACTGGTTTGTGAACCACGATCTGAAAAGGACAGTTCCATACGAAAGACCAGAGCGATTCTCGGAGCAGGATATCGAGGCGGTCTATGCACATGTCGCGGACACCATTGTGACGGATGGGGTGGTATTTGCCGATATCTTCCAGAACAGACGCGCTGCGATTATGGCGGCTTTGGAAGAGGGCGTTCTAGACCAATTCTTCTCTGGGCGCTTGTTTGTGCTAGGTGACTCTGCACATAAGGTAAGAAGTCGAATGCTGTCGCCCACCTGGGCAGATGAGTGGGAATGAGCTCTGATTAACAGCTATGTGTTGATTAGATGGTGCCTCATGCCGCCATGGGCGCGAACCAAGCCTTGGAATCCGCCGCCGCATTTGTCAATAGTCTGCGGCCATTTCTTTCGAGGAGGTCAAATTATTGTCCAAGCATATCAATTCCACAGTCTGGAGTGGAATCATGCTTGACGCAGTATGACCTCCGGCGTCGAGCTCGAGTAACCACGGCTTTTCAGATAGCGAATCTGACCTGTCGGGCCCAGTTGATGATCGGGCCCGCGGGAAAGGAATATTGTTCAAATCTGCCCAAGATGATGAGTGCAGCGGGAACTGAAAAGTTGTTGGAGTCTTTTTGTAATGCCGAGGTGTTAGAAAATTGGTCGATCGGGAGCAGTCGAGTGGCTCTGTATACGGCGTTTGCGGAGGCCAAGGCTAATCAGAGTATACCCAGGCTATGATTGTGCGAGGAGAAAGGGTTCCAAATCAATTCATAGTAATCGGTCGCTCTAGAGAAATTGCCCGATTATGAATACGAGAACAACCTCCATTTTTCTGGAGATTTGTAGCGACATGATTAGTGTTAAGCTTCGATTTCGTTAATGTTATAGCTGGAAGGCATGCGCTGGAATGCACTTGATATTATTAGTATCTCCTTCATGCCTATTGTTCCAAAGAGATACAGTAAACTAATTCTCCGAGGGTTAATGCAAGACGACAGAGGGGGGCGATCGGGTTGGCGGCTTGAACTTGCTGGGGCCTGAATGTTACCTCGTTTGATTAGTCCAAGGCAGTCCGGCTAACACGCTCCGCCCCCAGTTCCGCCCTTTTGGCCTCTCTCCGGCCTGCTTTTGGGGCTTTGAGCTTTGCCTAAACCACTCAACTCGACGATTTCTGGCCAGTCACTCGCACCACGTGCTCCCAGCACACGTGTGCTTTATCCAGAGATGGTGGCGCCCGCTCTCGCATGGTTGTGCCCCTCATCGCCGTAGCTCGATGCACAGACTCGCGCCTGCCAGAGCCCGAGCCTGGTCACTGCCACCACCGACCTCCCGGTCGGTCGGTCGCTGACACTTTGAGATCCTGGCGCCCTTTGGCACAATGTCCTCGCGACAGCTGCCACTTTTCATCTCTATCATCACTCGGTAGCCCCATCGCATCCCGCTGCAGTTGATAATGCAGCCATCCAAGGCCAACCTCGCGGATTTCCTGGCCTTCGTGCCTGGGGTCGATGCGGGGACTGCCTTCTTGTTCCTCGAGGTATCCACTGCGAAGCCCGTGCCCACTTGAAGATCAACCCTTTGCTAATATTCCGTGCCTGTCAAGGCTGCGAACTCCGTGAATGACGCTGTCAATGAATACTATGATAATCCGCACAAATATGCTCGGCGCCCGCCGTCCTCGATGTCCTCGATACGAAGCCCGATCACCCCAGTGAGCCCGACCCGGACCGCGATCAGCCGCAACTGGAGCAGTCCCACGGCAGAGCCGACCAGACTGGCCAGTTCACCACCGTTGTACCCGTCGCCACCCTCGTCGACGGTAAGCGGGAGTGCGACCGATTCACAGCGCAAGATACACACGAACGGGGTAATTGAGGCTGCGAAGGTTCGAGCGCGAGATGAGCAGGAGATTCAGAACATGCTGCAGTCTGTTCAGGCGTCCCTCCATATTTTCAATCCCGAGATCGAGCCAGAGCGGGAGTGTCCGTATCCATGCAACTGCCTCATCCACAGGTATATTCAGCGGAAGCTGGCTCGTTTGAATGTTCAAGAACTATGGGCCAAAGCAGTGATGTACCCGGGTGAAAAGTACTACCATGACTGCACACAGGTACGCCTGTTCAACAACAATCCGTACCAGATTGTGGTCTCTCCGTACGGCTTCGGTGGCTCTTCTTATTATGGAATACAACGACCCGACCCACAATACCACGCTAAATTTGTCCGCCAAACAATCAAGTTGAATGACTCGCTCAATGTCAAAGCACAGAGTGCTGTTGACGCCGTGGAGCCATCCTTTAATATCTGGGAAATCGAACAACTTCAATCTTCAATGTCGAACATCGGTATCGGACCATCAATAAATCACGACCACAATGGTGAGAAGTCAAAGCGTGCAACCTTGAAGAAAGCTCTCTCCATCCGATCTTCACAGGAAAAGGTAGCCTCCAAGACGTCGAAGATCTTCGCCGAGGCCCGCGAACTTCGAGATTCTATTCTCAAAGAGGAGAATGGCAGGTGGCCAGAACCAGAAGACCGACAGATTATCACCGCATACCAGGAACAAGTCGGATTGGCGGAGAAAATCGCCGAACTCCGCATTCAATGTCCTATACAATATCTTCACTTACTCAAGGCGGGGTATTTCGAGCCTATTCCAATAGCATGGGCGAGGCAAGCCTCCAATCCACTGAAGTTTGCCATCGACGCAGCTGCGGGATGGCGGGGCCTTACACCGGCTTGGAGAGGATACGAGGATACTGCAGAGGAACGCCTATACTGGGTATTGAATCATCGGCTGGGAACTTCTGCAACAAGGTTGAAGCCTGATTCAATATCTGCACTGAATCTAGCCCGCGAAAGAATGGCCCAGGCAGTGGAGCCCCCACCGATATACTATGCGTCTGACGATACCTGTCATCTTCAACACACTTCCAAGGGATACTCAAGACAAGTCATGCCCCCTCCATTCCGGGCTTTCGATGCGCCCCAACAGCGGACAGATGACACAATGATCCTGCTGGACGTGTCGGGCTCTATGGATTTCCAACCACGACGGCCAGAGTACAATCAATTTCTAATTACAGGCTACACAATGTCTACTCAGCCAAAGAATAAAGGTAGGCTTTCAAAGCCGATGGACTGAACTTCTTCTTCAAATCCTGACTATTCTTCCAGATTTGGCTCGAGCAGTCATCCACCGCTTCACCGACGCAATGTCCAACCACGATCACAACTGGTCCGGCTACGAACTCACCACATTCTCCAGCCAAGCCGAATACATCGGCGTAATCAACCACTGGAACTTTGACGAATTGTGGCGAACCGTCCAATTCGGCGGCCGAACAAGAGTAATGACAGGCTGGCAAAGCGTCAAAGAACAACATTTCCAAAAGCACGCCAGCACAGCAATCCACCACCCCATCTACGGCTGGCAAGCCGGACCCCAAACACCCATCCTCCGCCTCCTCCTACTCCTAGACGGCGAAGCCTCCGACATGGACGAATTCGAGCTCGACCTCCTCAGCCTGCCCTGGGTGCACGTCACCATCTTCTTAATCGGCGTTGACGGATGTCCACACCACCACCGACACGCCAACGAACTCCAACGCATCAGCGAAGTCAACCCACACGTCGCATTCGTCGATGCACAGGGCAACACACCCGAACGGTTCGTCACCCACGAACTACTTAAGCGCCATCTCGGCTATGAGCTCTCGATGGCAGAGTTCGAGGAACTGGAACGTGCGCCTGGGGAACCCCGGCGCGTGGAACTTCCGGCTCGTGAGCCGCCCACTCCGAATCTGCCGGAGCTGGAGCAACCGCGGAGGCGGTTGCCGGTAGAATTACCGGCTAATGAGGATGTGTTGCCGTCGAGGTTATCTATGGAGCAGCCGCCTCCTTATTTTGCGACTGCGTGATGGGAGTAGGAGGATATGTATGAACGAATATGTGATGATTGTAATGTAATACCATGCTGATTTTGGTGATGCGATATGCAATCCACATATGCAACTCAGCATGCTTGAAGACACCCATTGTATTACTATCAGCTGGAAAGCGCCTACCGTAGTCAGCTATTCCTAGAGGACTGAAGCTACCAACAACGAAAATATTTCTCGCTTGACATCCTGCTCACTTTACCACCTGTCCGCCACCATAGCAATTCCATCAATCACCCGTAAAAGCCCCCAGGTCTTTCTGCACATGTCCCTGCTCAACATTTCGGGTTCGAAGCCAAATGTCCAGAAAGACTCTTTGGATAGGTTGTTCCCATTGTACGCAGCGAGACTCATAGAAGTTTTTCCTGAATTGTTTTTCGCGTTGATATCTGCCCCGTTGTCCACTAGCAATAGGACCATGCGATGGGACCACAAGGAGTCGAATTCGTAGGCGATACAGTGAAGTGGTGTATCCCTGATGTCCGCGCCCATACACACAAGCAATTTCACCATGTTCATGCTTGCTCTTGAATAGACCGCTTCGTGAAGCGCGGCCGTTCGTTCCACCTTATTGATATTTGCGCCATACTCGAGCAGTAGAAGGTCTATGTCTCCAAAACCATAGACCACTGCCGTAGATAAGGGCAATAGCCACGTATTTGGGATTACATGTAGTGGATCGTAGCCAGTCCTCCAAAACATACACAGGAACCTTCGGGATTCACTCCAACAAGCGGGTAAAGTTGGCCTCAAAGCCGCTTTCAGTGCAGTATTCCAGAGCATGTGAGAAAGGATCCTTGTCTCGGAGGTCTTTGGCTGCCGTTCGATAGAGGATGTCGGTGAGGAGAGCATGAAGGAATTTGTTCGTGTGAGTGAAAGCTGAAAGATCCCTCAGATGAGGCAAGCTTTCAGCGACGAGTAGAATGATCTCGTTTGGCAAGTCGAGGAGGCTCATGTTAGCAGAAGAGGAGAGGAGAGGCCTAGTAGAGAGTGCGGTGTAAGAGTGAAGTTAATCAGAAGTGAGATCGAGAGGTGAAGATTCTTGTTTGAGGATCGATCAGGTGTAGGCCGTGAAAAATGTCTAGAAATTGTTAAGAGGCAGAAGCCGGACCCGTGACCACGAGTAATATAAGTCGTATAGGCTTTCACATTAGATATCTTGTAGCCGAGGAAGCAGATCAATTGCTTGTGTCAACCTTAAGCCCTCCAGCCAAAAGTTGAAATAGCGAAATAGGTCGACCACTTTATTTCATATAGGAGTGCCCGTGAGTCCGACAAGTGAATGTCGACGTAAGAGGGCAATGCTCTGATGCTGTCTGGTTCTGATCGACTTGATATGCTAGCACTCGTCAAGGATAACATGTTACCATAGATAATCACATTTCAATGTGTACCGCTTGTGAGGCTTCTTTGGCTTCTTCGCTGCATTGGCTTCATTGTCAGGGTTTTCGTCGAGATCATCGTCATTGTCATAGTGAAGTTGGGCATTACCTAGTTCCTCAGCTTCGTGAGAAACTCCCGGTGCTGGCTGTGCTTGCTGTGGTTCTTCTGATGAAGGGGATAAAGATATACCTCTTACCTGCTTCTAGACTCTAAGAGGACTGCGTATCATAACAAAACACGCAAACATGAATCGAAGATATTGGCTATCACTACTTGCAGAGCTGAATTCATTCTGTAAGCACTTTCTGGGTTTATCTTGAAGAACCTTGTGGGTTGATTGCCTCGTTCCTCTAAGTTCTTCCACGATGGAAACATCCAGTCGCTCTTCTGACTTGCTTGTTCATTTGGAGTAGCATGACGATGGTTCTGCCAAATACGGGATCGGATTACAACAACCAGAGCCATCTGCGAGGCCTTAGAGACCCCGGTCTGCAATCTCAACGAGACAGAAATATCCATACAAGACTCGAGTGTTCGTGGCAGTTTGACACTCCTTCGACTCACTACCCTTGTATCGTACCGAACCAACTTCAAATTTCCTCAGGGCGACTCGAACATTATGGACCGTGCAGCCGCACAACGAGTGCTCAGTACACCTGAGTTGGTAGGTACTATCTTTAGGCACCTATGGAACGACTTTGGTGACCGAGATAAAACCCAAGAGGCCGGACGGTGTTGTTGGCTTTCGCTCGTAGTCCCAGGTTTGACTCTCTCTGGTATAGAGGAGCTATGCGGCTGCTCCGGAGGAACCGACTACTGTCGCCTTCAATGTATTGTAAGAAGCACCGAACGCGCAGATTAGCTCGTGCTGAGGCTGAAAACGGACCCGAATGCATTCGTAGCTGTACAACTAATTAAATGGTACGGGTTGTCATCTTCGTTGAGCGGTGGCATCAGATCGAGATAACCAGCAATTGTCGAAAGGGGCTTTCATTCTCGTTAGTATACACTTCGCCGTTGTTGATAATAGCTGCTGACCATATTTGTCTTTGGAATTCCCATAGTTTGGAGATGGACAACGAAAACACAACAAGCCCTGTACACCTCGCTTCCCTCAACATCGCCGCGGAAAGAGTTCACATATTCTTCAAGACCGTGAGCAGGGTCAATAGCGGTGGGGGGATGTCTCATCAGAATGTGTCAGCCTGTCTGCAGACTGTTCACTGATATCTTAGATATGTGCGAGTCGTTCATAGTTGAATAGCAAAAGATCTCAAATTGACCCGTTTTTATTAAATCCTGGGGCATTTCTCGTTGATTTTGCGGAGTGAGTCAAGCAGTAGAATGTCTTCCGTACCAAGCACAAGCCTGTCGACAACCTTCCGTGGACATATACATTTGAGGCCGACATTTCGCAGGCCTTCAGTCAGAGCCACTAAATCAAAGTGTTAGCAAAGGAGCATGGGGGCAGAAGAATGTGATATCTTGCATTTTCTGAGCCTCTCTTGGTTTTCCGAAAGTTTCTTGTCCAGCCAAGTGGCTACCACCGCAGTTGGCACGAAGGGTTTCGAGTCTCCCCGAAAAACGACCATCTTCTTTATCGTCAGGCTCACAACCGTGGTCCATTTGATGTTTGTCTTCCAGGGATCGCGGGCTGTTAGACAAGATTATAACTCCCTTCTCCTCACAGCGGGTGTCAGGAGCCTTATAGAACATCTTCAAAACTGTTTCTCACGTGGAATATAGTACACTTCAAATGGCTGGCGAATAATATAAGTGGTCCCGCAGGAGGACGCAGGGCGATAATCTGGAGTGGAATAATAGGATTTTGAAATCTTTCTTCCTTCAGAGGAAGTGTATATCGGAAAGAACGGCGTTTGATAAAGTTGTTGGATAGCAAAGCTAGATCCGAACAGGAAGGAAGATGCCGCGTCAGCAGAATTATAAATTAAAATTGTCTTCAAAACCCCGCAAATGTGCTTCCGCAAGGGGTTCTGTCGTGTCGACGAGTCTCAGCTTTCTGACAAAGTCAATAAGCGGAAATGGACGATTCTCTGTTGAGGTCCGTCAATAATGAGCGTTATACTGGAATATTCCACTCAGAGGAAAGTGCCGGAATACTGAGGTACATTTTCAATGGGCATGACTTCGATTGACGGATCTACGATCAAGATACATGCAGATCTTGACTGATCAAATCTTTGAATCAACAGTGACAGAAAAGGTCATCAATCGAGAGAATCAACACATAACTTCAAAGACGTGATAATACTACCAAAAGGCTAGGTACATAGATCATGTAGAGGAATCCTCAGATTTGCATGGTCAACAAAGAAGACCAATGAAACGACATCTTTCAGTATGTCTCTGACTTTGTTCTGACTTTGTTCTGACTTTGTTCTGACTTTGTTCTGACTTTGTTCTGGCTTTGGTTTGTCTTAAGAACTTGGAATGTATCGGCGGCCTGAATATCTGCCAGGACACCCTCATGTCTGCCTCATTCTTCCGCTGGCTCTTTTTAATGAGCATGTCTCGCAGATCCACAGCAGTCTCCTCCCATAGCATCTCTAGCCAGCTGAGCGCGGCTCAAGGGGCGAGACTCTGGCAGCAGATCCCGGCCCATAAGATCTCGGACGTCGCTCCGAGCCTTGTTAACAAAACTTTCCAGGTCCCGCTTCGCGATCTCATTGTTATAGATCATGTTGAGCCAGTTAGCCAGACGATATCCACCCTTGGCAATCTGAAGCTCAATAGTTCCAATAGCCGAGTTGTAATAAGTTGGGTAGAGGTCACCAGTCTCCAAGGCAGCAGCTCCATCAGGCATGACAACGGTGCAAACATAGGCATTAGCATCTGATGCCCATCGGGTGGCAGTAGTAACGGGATCACTGATGTCATCTCCCTGAATCCAGCTAGCAGCCTGAGACTTGTAGCTACCTGAATTGATCTCATTGATGAGCGTGTTGGCCCAAGACTGCGCATCGGTAAGTGAGCTGCCGCCGATCAGTTTCTCGGGCATGTAAGTATCCCAATCGGAGTGGAGGTTATCACTGTAACCATCGAAAGTGACCTTGATACTGTTTCCGCCAACCTCGTAGGCCTCATCGTGCAGTGGCTGGGTCACGTCTCCAAGGAAGTGGACGAGGAACTTGACGGCTTCAGCAATGTTGGCAGTGCTGAGACGGCCGTCACCAGCACGCTGAGTGTAGTTTGCAATTGCAGAAATTGAGCAGCCTGAGCTACCGCAATCACGAGTGTAGTCCACATTGCAGCTGGTTGGAGGATTATCCTCGGCATCAATAAAGTGAAGTGGTGCTGACCATTTGCCAGCAGTCGTAGTACGGTACTGGTCAGCCCAAGAGGCGATATTGGCCAGGTACGAGGTGGACGTGTCTCCGAGGACACCTTGCGCCCTAGGACACCGTTAGCTTGAGTCATGATATCAAGTCGTTTGCTCTCACCATGATGCAGTGCTGGACGAAACGTAATTTTGGGCAATATAGGCAACAGTTGCATGACCCAACACACCCCATGCATTCACACCGGTCAGGGAGCCAAGGGTGACAAGAACAACCTTGGAAAGTCGTGCCATTATTGGACAATGATATCAGCACTTTTTATAAAATGATTTGGCGACAAGAATAGTCAGTAATCCTACGGCAGATTCCAGAAGATCCCTACTCTGATCATGCTGCCAAGATTGTGGGATCAGCTGTCTTTATATGTTCTTGGCCTGTGGCCCTGAACACTTAGACGAGGGCCCCGTTCTGCATCTCGAGGACGGCGATTTTCCCCCAAAATTGCTAAGTATGGCATAGAAGCTCGCTTGTCAATGTTACAGTAAGATAATCATGGCTTCAAGGCAGCGGGTGAGTCGGAGATAAGATCCTGTTAGTGGTGGACAATATCGACCAGCGAGATTGCTTGATTCATGTCGCCCAGTGATTCTTCAGGATGTGCGATCGGCGCTGCAGGGCACCGGACTCCCCGGGGCTACGATATTCCCAACGGAAATGATCGACGCAACTAGAGTCCAAGTATACAAGCAAAGCATCACTCGATGATTTTCATCCAGCTACCAGACCACATGCCCATCAAGTTTTAACGCCAAAGAGATGAGGATTTTATCTTCAGTGCACGTGGGGGTAGCATCGCACCTGTCTGGAATGCTTAGCATGCAGGTAATCCATCGGGGATCTCCCAAATGCGCAGAATACCCGGCAGTGGCGGGGCCCGGATCGGTGCTTGGTTGAAAGATGCACAGGGTTACATTGCCTGCAGCCAGGATAATTTAAAGTATCGACCCAAGGCGCGTGAGGGAGTATTAGCAGCAAAAAGATATATTCAGTGAAGTAGGAGTGCAGAAGGGTCTCGGAATATTATCTTTCGTTCGTCGTGTTGGTCGCTCATTCATCAGACATGAACTGGGTCAAGCCTCGAGAGCCTATCGCTCTTGAAACGCAGAAGAGGGGTGCAGCAAGGAAACGAATATTCAAGCCAAGGGATCAGAATTCCGCGGGTTCTTGGCGGAACTTCAGAAATACGAGACAGTCGAGAAGCTTTCTGGATACGAGAGTTGTGCTTCGCTGATCTTCCAGGACCCCTCGGTCGATGCACAAATCTTGGGCAAGGCCTGGCGAGCCGCGACCGGAGTTGGCCTCTAGGACTAGTGAACACATTCAATACCGTCGGAGCCCCGTCTGTACTACACAAGGGTGATTCCAGGGATGGGATTGGTTCTGGCTTATCGAACTCGGCCGCTGTCAGACTGGCGCTTCTCTTGGCAGTGTTGTTTCGTTTGTAGAAGCCGAACAAAAAAACGGCCGAAGCGCGAAGAAAATGTACTTGCCGTCTGATTACTCCAAGGTCCTCGTCCCACTGCCATCGGGCACACTCCCGGTCGATGGCCTTGTTGCCCTGGTCGAATTGTAGACTCGGCAATTTTTGGTGGATGCTGACGGTCGCTACATTCTGGTTTTCCTCAAAGTGAGGGGAAGCTAAATTGTACAATTCTGCTAGCTAAACGACATGTCAATCAATTATCTATCTAAGCCTCTTTGCGAGAATTACGACGCTGCTGAGTTCATCTAGTAACTTCTTCTTTAATTTTTGTCTCTATTCTTATAACGTCTTCTCGGAATATAGAATTATCTAAGCTATGCGTCTACGTTCATTGCCTGTTCTTGCCTCGCAGCCTCTGATGTCTCAAGCACCGGTAATATATTTTGAGGTATAACGCATCCCACCCTCACTGTGCCGAAATAAAGACCCTATATGACCCTTTGGTACGGGTAACACGGACCCCACCCGATCGGAGTTGAAACTCATTGCCTAAAATGATGAGGAAGTTCATGCTAGCGTGTAAGTGGATGTTATTTGTTAAGTTGGCAGCAAGCTGGTGAGATACAGTAGAGGACTAGTGTAGAGTCACACGATATCTCAACGCAAAACCATGGCACATTACTACGCATCACTAGTGACTACTAAGAGCAACATCACCATAGTCTGACTGGCACGCTGTAAGTATTGATATTGCGATCACTCTAATCAAGACGACATGTTCCATGAACCCATGAATCCTTCACCCACTGCCACCCGATTACTTCCAGGAATCCACAGGCCTCTACTATGGTACCGACACTGTTCAATCCACACATAGCAACTCATTTGACCAAGATTAGGCCACCCAGCTCTAGCCCAACATTACTCGTCCCAGACTATCTAGGTATCCATCTGCGATGTCTTTACACTTGAAAATTTGTTCGGTAAGAAGACGTGCGCTTTATTTGAAGAAGGATTTGATATTTTAGCTCAGCAGCTCCTCGACTGGAGGTCTGGAATGACTCCCTCCGGCTAGCAAATGGAAAAAACAAAACCTGCGCTCTATGTAGACAGCCTAGCCCCGACGAACACTTATTTACTGTAAGCTGCACTTGTCTGTCCGAGAGGGAGTTGCGCTGTCGCTTTCCTGCATATAATTGAATGTTGGCACCAGAGTTAAACTATTGCGCCTGCTTCAAGCATGATCAACACCCGGAGCAACGTGCGGGTGTACATAGACGAGTTGGCAAGAAGGGGTAAAACCATGGGACAGCCATTGTTGTACACGGTTACTGCTAAACCGACTGATAGGACATGTTTTGTGGCCAGACACGCAGGGTAAAAGAAATATGCTTGACAATGTGAGTTGGCCGATAGTGGTATTTGTTGGGTAGAGGTGGTTTGCGGTGGCTGGCTGCGGTCAAACACATTCTTCTGAAATGGGCTGTTCAAATTTGATCTTCGTCTCTGTGGAAATCGAGCAATCCCCTGCAGCATGACTACTCATTTTGAATGCGATTTATCGATGCCATTCCTCGTTTCGAATACTCATTGGTTTCGCAAATACCGCGCTATACAGTATAAGGGCCTCGATCTGAATTGTACTTTATTGGACACGTCACTTGCCCCAAACAGCTGATGTATGCCGATCAATAGTGTACTCTAAGTTTATGCAGGAGGTAGATCTGCCGCTTAATTCCAAGACCCCCTAAGTTCAGTTACTTTCGAGGAGTCGAAGAGACTCGGACCACCGAAATTCAACCTTAAGATAGTCATCCAAGTTCCAAAAGCGGGGTGCTCATTCGTCAGTTCATAACGATAGTGCTTGACTGTCCACAGTCATGCGGATATTTGGCTTGGTAAAGACAAAAGAGAATCTGTGACATTCATGCTCAGCTCCACGTCAGAATTCAGCAAATGGTTTCACCTGTAGCGTCCTAACACGAGTTTCCCCCCCCCTCTCCCCCAAATATACTGTAGATCTTACTAAACCAGCGAACGGAAAGCGCATTCATTGTGGCGTGCAGATCAATAGTGTCACAATTCTGCCCAACTTGTGATGTAAATACGATAAGAGACATGGCTAGTCATAGCCGACTCATCAACTCTGAGTCTATGTACGGTACTCGAAGACTCAATACACAGGAGGTCGCTCATATGTTTACTTGCTTTGGTCAAAATAGTATAGTTTGAAATGGGCCCAATCAAAATCTATCACAATTAGAAACTATAAGTAACCAGCTCATAGGTTTTTGTTCTACGGTCTCCAAAACCATAAACAAAGCTTCTCATTTACCAGGTGAACATGTTACACAACATCATGAAGTCCTTTTTCACTATCGGCGCTCTCGGTTTAATCCAATGGGCACAAGAATTGAACCCAAGGCCGTACAAAATTGGCTCCGACGCCCTTACACCTTCCGAGCTTCTAACTCGGTCGCAGTTCCACAGCGGCTTAGTCTTCACTGAGTAGCAAAGCGAGCCTAGTCAGTTCTGGGACTTCGTCCCATACAACGATAACACCTTCCAAATCAACAATACACAATATGGCTTCATCAACTGTGGAAGTAACGAGGGACATTTATGTAATACCGGATATCAATTTCAGCGTTTCCGCCCAGAGTTTCGTGGCGGAAGAAGCTACGAAATTGTTGACGTGAACTCCGGATTCTTTTTATGTGCTAATGAAAACAAGGAGTTGTATGTGTCTGGTTGGGATCAGAGCTTGAACGAGCAATTTGTTCTTATGGAGGTCGTACTTGAATGTGTACGTTGATTTTTTTGTTTCATCAATTTTTCACCCTCCGGATTGTTTACGATTACTAGATTCAAGCTATGGCACGACAGCAATTTGAGTGTTGATTCGACAGAGTAGGGTGAGGGGATCTGTTTGGTCACAGCTATCGACTTTGGAATTATCCGTCATATACCACTGTTATCCAACCTTTGGCCCGGTTGGATCATCCATGCCCACGGGTGACTCGTATAACCTCTGTTTGTCAAAAGTTATTGATTACTTAATCCTGCTCACTTATATACTCCAATCTCCATTTACGTCCCGACTTTGGCAGCGATCCTACGATCTTTGGGCCGTCTCTGTGTAACCTAGTCTAACAAGATCCGTTGTATCTTCTACCGTGAGCCTCAAATTTATGTGTTCTCGGTATTTAGAGACAGCAGGACTCATAAAAACTCAAAGGCTGTGTCCTATCGTATTTTCTCGATCACGAGAAGCGGAGCTAGAATTGGGTTTGTCCATTTCTTACTGTAATTCCTCAGTTGGCTTCTGATAAGGCAATGTACTGTCCATGCTTTTGTAGCCTCTATTCTAACTGATCCAATTTGCCGGAAGATGAGCTTAGGTGCTACCCTGTTGAGATGTATACCAGGACCAAGTTACTACCTCCGCTTCTCAATTCATCTCTAAGCTTTCAAATAGCCCTGAGCCCAGCGGGTTGTCAACAACATCTATCTGGTCACCCTACTGTGGGATGTCTCATGATACTCCCTGGGTTGTCGTCTCAAGTTAGTGGCTCCTAATCAGCTGATACTTGCGCTTTTGAGTCACATTTAGCGGGTTCTAGAATTTGAATATCGATGAAGTACAACTGGCTGAACTTGCCGCCCTGTCAATTCTCCAGCCTTTGGCCATAATCAGGTATGGAACAGCGCCAAAAGGTGGAACGGCAGAACTCGAGAAATAAAAATATGGTTGAACTAGTAAATTTTGGGAGGAAGCCTATTATTTCTAGGTCTCATTCATGCGTGGATAGCAGGCATCAAGAGCGCTTGGTGAAGACCAACTGACAGGAATCCTGATATGACGGTTAGCATGAGTCGTCGACTGGGATGTTAATAAAGAAAAAACAGGTAACTCACCATTGGAAATAGTGTAGCAAACACACGAATCTCTTCCGATCTTTCTGTCGCGTGGTGCGCCCAATCAAGCTCCAAAGCTGCCTTGCCAATCATCGCCGCCATCGATAGTGGCACATACCTTCTTGCGAGGCAGTCATGAGCTCCTGCTCCAAAGACGAGCCAATTCTTTGTTTTAGACTCCGCATCACCCGAAATCCAACGGTCGGGATTGAACACGTCAGGGTCAGGATAGACATTTGGATCGTGCAAAGCAGGATAGCATGAGGGGATGATCATTGACCCTTTAGGGACGGTATAGTCTGGCGTGACAGGGAAATTCTTGGTCGCCAGGTAGGGAACGAAGATGACAGGTGGTCGGTAGCGGAGGAGCTCCTTGACAACGGCATTGGTGTAGGAAAGCGATTCCAGCATAGGCAAATCGAAAGGTTTATTCTTATCGCCTCCTCTCGCGGCTAAATTCTCCTCGCGCAGACGGCTGAGCACATCTGGCCGTTGTGCCAGTATCTGGAATAGCCAGGTTGTGGCGCTGCTTGACGCATCTTGAGAGGCAAAGAGGAAGGTAAACAGGGTCTCACTGATCTCCTCGTTTGTGAATTCACGAATCAAGTTTGAAGGCTTCTCCACGTCCGTTTCTCCGGCCGCAATTCTCTCCCTATATCGATTTGACTCCATCATATGTGCTACCCAATGGTCAATGACACTGGTGGGTTTTGCGCCAGTCGCCAGGTGTGCCTTCGCCATGGCTGCACACTTCGCAAATTCAGCGTGGACGGCGCGGACAATTCTCCTTCCGAGCCAAGGCTTGGTAAATGGAATGTGAATTGAGAATGGAATATTGACTAGTTCAAGGGCTGCAGTGGCAAGATAGAAGTCATCAGCGATCTTCTTGACTGCACTCTGAGAGATATAGTCCCCGAAAAAGGTGCGGCACGAAAGCGCACAGTTTATTTCCCGGAACAGACTCATGAAGGCCATTGGTCGTCCCTGATTTGCTTTGCTGGCAGCAACAAACTTGTCGAAGTAGTCGGCAAACACCCGCTCTTGAGCAGGGAAATAGGTAGCGATGGCCTTGTTGGTGAATAGAGGAGTCAAGCCTCTGCGGTACTCCGCGTGCGCTTTTCCTTGAAGAAAAACCCATGCTTTGTGGCCCAGAATATCTTTTGCAACTGGAACCAGGCAGGGCTCAGCATATGTAGGTGACTTGAAAACTTTGTGGGCGATGTCACGATCCGAGGCCAAAACAACGAACCTGAGTAGAACTTAGCATTGGAGTGAGTGAAATAATGGAGACAATGCAACATACTTATGGAAAACTGATACACAAGATAGAGGGCCACTTGCCCACTGTGCCAGATACGATTCAAACTTTGGATGAAGAGCTTGAACGAATGGCCCCATGAGGGGGATCTTAAATGTTGGCCCAGCAATGGAGCCTTTGTGCTTGATATACATCACTGGATATTTACACTCAGCTGATGAGACCAGGTCAACCGTCATGAGTCCGTGCTTACCTTGATCATAGAAGATGATTCCTAGCAAAAGTGTTATGATGTATTGCCAGTTGGACCAGCACACGAAACGTTCAGATATGACCCTATACAGTGGTGATTGGAACGTGCTGGAGGATATCCATGTTTGTGATAGCTCCATTTCCATACTGGAAGAGTTGAAGATTTTTGTCTCCATGTGTAGCACCTCAAATTGATACAGGACTCGGCTTTGAGAAGAAACTAATTTTTGACAGGAATCGGAATATAAATCTGCAGCACCTCCTTAGATCAGGATGGGTACCCCTGATCTTAGACAGCATGGTATTTCAAGGAGGCCACAGCGGAACATAGAGCTATCGGGTCATTGAGGACAAATCGGTCGCTGGTTTCAATAAGTTGTTGGATGAACCAGACAAAGAATAGACACTGTTCCGCCAATCAGATTTAATCAAACTGGTGCTGAGGACTATATGAACATCGTATGAGAGTCTGATTACCTGAATAGGTTTAGACTCCGAATTGTTAGCCAATAGAAGGTGCTAGAAGTGTGGGCCAGAGATGTCAAGGAGAATGTCCAAACATCGGCGTCTAGTCCTTTTTGGGAAAAGTTTCGACCTCCTTCTCCGACGAGTTCCATCCACGTGCCTCAACGAAGAATTGAACCTGTCGGCGGCTCACGAGCTCCTGAAGCTGTCTGCTACCATACCACCGGTTGCTTGAGTCCTGAGGCCCCATCTAAGTTTATCCTGGACTCCTCTCTGTCAGGATGCGACAAACTCTTCGCCGATCTTGCTCTGCCTGTGCGAGGTCTAAATTAAGCTGTGACCTCCGCACGCCTCATTGTTCCCGATGCATTAAACGCAAGGTGTTGTGTGTATACGCAAACCAACCTTGGACGGCACAACCGGCAGTTTCCGGGCACAAAGATGGCAAATCAATAGAATCCCTTGAGCCATGCTGCACACTGTCAACCTACCGATTCGGTTCTATTGACCCTTTCGATTCGTATCCTCGAACGAGACTTTCTCGAGAGCATGTCCAACGCCTCATTCACAGCTGTACGTACACCTTGGATCGAAACTGTAGACCAATCAAACCGCCAATCAAAGCTTAACTGAGGCCAAATCCAGTTCTCCACAAGATTGCCTTCCAATACTATCCTCTCGACCTCAACGCAACCTCCAATCCATTTCTCATTTCTTGGTGGCCTCTCGCACTGGGAGATCCAGCCTTGTTCCATGTCTCACTGCAAACTGCCTGTCTTGATGATGAGCTGATAGCCCAGAAGGGATTTCAAGCCTCTGAAATGTTAATGGCTGACTCCGTGTCTTTGCTTCGACGAAAGATCCAAGATGTATCACTAGCTGTACAAGACGGCACGATGAACTCTGTCATCACTTTGGCGACGATTGAGGTGAGTGGAAAATTCACCCTCGCCCCATGTGTGACCCGGTATCTCTTTGAAACAGTCGCTGATGCCTCGGAATTGTCAGTTCGGCAAAGGAAACATCGAGGTCAGCACAGCTCATGTTGAAGGAGTGAAGAGACTAGTGAGCTTGCGAGGTGGCATAAGCTCTGTGAGGCAGACTAGCCCATTAACTGCAAGAATGATCAGCTGGTAGGGCTTCCCACGATTTTTTGAGGGCACGCTAATTCTTATATTCACATATCCCACAGGGTATCAATGCTTATCCTTGGTCATCCACAATTTCCCGTCCAAGATGATGAAGGGTTTGGAGACGGAATACCACCCATTCCGGAATGGCTATCATGCTCGAGCACCATGGAGGATGACACAATACCTGAGCTCAGCTGGGTTTTTGATGACAAGATAGTCAGAACTGCCCTCGTTCGGCTTCGTCACATCTTCAAACGCGTGGAAGGTGAGCCCTTCCCGGGCACAAAGCTTCATGACATTGTATTATTTGTCACGCATCGACTTCTTCTCTCGGTCCCAGACGGAAATGGCTCAAGCCCATTGCCAGTCACCGAATGCATTCGCTACGCCCTTGTACTTTACATGTTCATCATCCAGGGGCCGACATATTATTCACATGCCGTCATATTGAACTCAATCGTCACGAAATACATCGCGAACATGGAGCGTCTGGAATCTATACCTCACGTATTCGATGCATTGGATGTCTGGTTACTGACAATTGGTTCGGTAGCCTCCGCGGGAACCCCAAATCATGCTTTCTTCGCTGCGAGGATTCGAAATGTGTGTGTCCACCTTGACATCACTGATTTCCACGATATGCTCGAATATATTCGAAGCATCTGCTGGATAGGGGGCTCGCATGGGGAAGATCTTCTTTGCCCGCATTGGAATACCACTTTTGCCGATCATAGTCAGCTAGATCTGGCGAACCTGGCAGTGGATTTATCGCCAATAAGATTTGGCATCCAAGCTTTACAAAATGACTCACCGATGAAATTGACCTTCACGAAAGAGATGAGCGTCTCTGTTCGCCGAATGGAGCTGGAGGGCCCTCATTAACGGGATATATTTTGTCCATGAAACGCCTGCCCATCCATGGTAACCAATCATCCAAACGGTTGAGATGGGAATCAGTTATCTCCTGTATCTCGTTCCATGACGACCGACCCGGCTCGAAAGTGGGCAGTGTCTCGGCAGTGCTCCATATTCGATCCATGGAAACTACAAGGTACTCGACACCAGTTTGCTATTTTATCTCATACTCCGTTCAATGCCAATCTTCGCCACTGCTTTGCGCTTCGAACCTGCGACCTCGATCGTGCTGGTGACAGCTTTCCAAGCGAAGCAGTCAGGTAGCCTCTTCATCCCCCAAATCTATAAGAGGCTGCCATCAGCACGAGAGTCCCTGTTGTTTCCGCCCATCGATCAAACGAGGTCTCCAATTCTCGAGATGTACAGAGAATCTCCAGTTAATCCTAAGTGGCAAAACTGGAAAATGGGTCAATATGAAGGCTAATGCAGCCTGTGCACTTGTCTCATGAAAGAATAGTGAGCCACCAACCACCACTCAAATCGATATACTCCAGTTCCCAGCTGGAAACACACTCCGTAATGTTGCTGACTTCTCGTCTGCCTGACTTCCAGTAACCCTTCTGTTCAGCACACCGGACTGCGCATTATTGGGCCATCTGCACCTTCGATCCTTCGCCCCACTGGGAGCAAGAGAAAGGAGGATCCTGGGGCCCCGAAAGGTCGATTCCTATCGTCTGTTATCCACCAGAAGAAGGGTTACAAGCGTGGACCCAAGCTGCGATGGGCCTTTTGGGATTATTGTGATTGGTCGTCGTTGCTATATCCGTCCATCCTGCCACAAGTCATATTGTGGGTTACATTCATGCAATTGGATATTCTCCTCATTGAATCAAACCGAGGCCGAATTCTCGGTGCTATAACCCCCTACCGGCATTCTACAACACTGGATGGCTGCATCGGCGTCTGGATATGCTCATGGCACCCCTTGCATCGCGCTATCATCTGCTCTGCCCATTCGAGTTATTTGTGCCGCTCCTTCCAGACTACATGAATTCCAGCCCTCTCTGGGTCCACCGTGTCGTAATTCGCCAAGCGGTAGCCCTTCGTCCTGATCGGAAGAAGCACGGAGTGGCAGGATATTCTCACAAGTCCAGTCAGGACGTTCATATTGCATGCTGAATCTTGATTATGCCGGTCTTCGCATTCGTCTACTCGGCAACACCATCTCCGCGCTGGTTCGGCTATGTCCCCAACTCCGTCAGGGAGATCAGGTCTCACCGTTGGCTGATATGCATCCATGAAGTACACATATGCGTTCTTGTGGTGGGGGCATTTGTCGGCTGCTACCGATTGAGTACGGACCGCTTTATGCGCTCCAGAAGAACCTCATCACGTTGAGCCCCAGCTGTCCGATCGATGATGCGTCATTGGACCGTTGCTCACTTCAAGATGCGACTGCCTTCGCATACCTTTTTAGTGCCACTTTAATTATGTCTCCTTGACTCCAGATCGGATTAGAAGAACCGCCAGCCTTGGTACCTTGAGCTTGGCCTGTCTGATTGGCTACTCATGAATGGAAATCCTGTTTCGAGTGCCTGGGGCATCATGATATTAGACTTGATGACCTTGCACTACTTGATAGCGGGTATGTCACATGGATTGATGGAACCATGGGGCAAGTGCGGGAAAGCTGCATATCAGTATGCATGGCGTGAGAACATCTCCCGGTCTAGCCGTTCCTGCAAGGCTTCACAGCACCCCGAGTCAGTTTAGGCTCATTACTGAATTGGGATCAATGCATCGTTGTACATGCGCAGCGTTGAGAATAATAAAATTCGTCTGAATTTGATGTTTGTGTTCCATTCAAGCATAAGCCAGCCATTTCATGCTGCCAAGTCTCCCATATCAAGTTCAACATGCTGGAATAATTCTCGGTCGTTACAGCATAGACATCCGACCCTGTACGTTCTGCCGTACGCGAGTCTCATAAAATAATGCTAGTCTATGATTTGTTTTCGTCTCGCGTTACTGTACCCAATAGTAACGCCGATCTCAAAGTCTGGAATATGGGTTTGTCAAGGTGGAATCGGGCGATCGCGCTTGGCCGACCCGCCCGGATGGCGAAGTGGCGGTCAGGAATCCTTTCGCGGCATCATTTCCCACCGCGTTAAGCTTTGGTCAGTTAAATAGTTTCAGTTAGCCCAATCACTACCATCCTGAAGCTGAACAATATGGCTCGTCAAATGCTCTATGACCTCGTAAAGAATCTTGAAGCTTTGACCCCTTCATGGAGCACGAGGATGGCTGGGTATCTGCTGTCAACCGAGATGCGTAAGCTCCCGCTAGTGCATATGTTTATGTGGAAACTAAGTTGGAGATCGGCACTGTATTATTGACCTCTCATATGGAGACTGCTTAAAAATGTTCGGGTTTTTGCTCAAATTCAAAGGTGCACTATGTCTTTTCATGCCCTTCAGACCTCATCGATTTGATACACCAGCTTACTGGCTCGTACTTTACCTTCTCGTAGCAGCTGGAGTCCACTCAAGACTCCAGTCAAGCCACCTGGCTTCACTTGGTGGGGATGCGGAAGAATCCGCCTTTCTTCAAGCAGTTTTTGCACCAAGCCCCACCACTTAATGCCAAACTCAGGATTGCTATCATCGGGTGAGATTTCTTGCGCACCCATACGGTAAGGCTCCCCCAACACGTCGTACGCCATTGAGACATGTGAATCAACATCGTCTCTAGGAGATCGGACATCCAATAAGGCATTGTAAGCTCCGCCGGCAGATGAAATAGCGGCACTGCAGATCGAAGCTGATTGGGGGGTTGATATGGTGTCTAGAACGAATTCCAGCGTATCATCAGTATCCTCCCTGATCTGCTCGCCGACACTTGCATCGTGGTAGTCAAAGACAGCGTCTGCTCCGAGCTCAAACATCAAATTGCGATTACTTTCAGAGCATGTTGTCACGACTCGCATCCCTGAAAGTTTTGCACACTGAATCGCGAGAGTGCCAGTAGCCGTTGCGCCCCCGTAGATCAAGATGCTCATTTCGTTTTCTTCGCTTTCTGCCTCGCCCGGAAGTGGTAGCTCCATGCTCTGATAGAGGTTTTGACCAACAGTGGTAAGGCCAACGCCCAGGGTAGCTGCAGCCTCAAAGCTCATAGAGTCGGGGATAAGGATTTGAAGGTCTCCTTTTGCGATCAAGTACTCAGCAAATGCGCCACCCTGGGGGCGAACCGCATTGCTGCCATGCACGAAACCTGCGACACGGTCGCCTTTGTTGAAGCTCTTTTTGACATTCGGGCCAACAGCTTGAACTATCCCAGCGTAATCGCAGCCAACAGTGGCAGTATTGCAAGAGACAAAGTCGATGTGACGCCAGTCTGTGGGATTCAACGCAACTAGGATATATCTTAGTTTGAGTTCGATTTCGGAAAAATGCACGGAAAGATGATATACCAGCTTTTGTTTTGACAAGAATATAGCCATCTGGAAGCTTAGGCACCGGTGCGTCGTCAACCAGGACTGCGCGGCGGGTTTCCTGGACGACGATAGCTTTTTGCGTTGCCATTTGGAGTTGGTATCGTGGCGTGGGGAAAGAAGAGAGCACGCTAGAGAAGGAGAAGGCCTGAAATGCGCCGAGGTAAACCACCTGTGAGACAGGTAGATTTAGCTTGAAAGAGCTGTGGGAGCAGAGACTACCACGGAGTACTGTGCCTTAATAGGCGGCGCCATCTTGACAAGCTGACGCTTGTATAAAAATTGAACTTTCCATACTAACTGAGGGCGGGGTCCAAATAGGCAAAATTGGTATAGAGGCGCAACACCGAGCTCCATTTGGTCGTTTAAAATTTACGTACGGAGCACATAGTGCGTATGGGTAATCTGCGTGAAGGGAGGGGCAAGCGCCACGATTCGATGAACAGCATGCCATTGAGTATCGAGGTCCACAGGGATCGCAGAAGGGTCGGAACATGGGAGATCTGTTGGCCCGAGTTCAACCGATAGCAATTTTATCTTCAGCCACCGGAGACACCAGGATCAGACTAAGTATGACATTAATTGATATCAGACCCGAATAGGCAAACTCTGGAAATGAGGTCTCAAAAAAAGTACAATGTGCATGAACGTTGAATATCCCTGTCAGAGTAAAACCAGAATGACTGACAAATCTTCAAAACACTGTATTCCCGCGGGTCCACGCCGAAGAACGGATGGATTCTAGTGGAAATTAGCGCATCATCAAATCAAGGCACTTGAATGAGAATAAGAGAACTATTTACGGGGTAAGGTTGCCAGGTTGCCAGGCTTGGGGGCTGGAGGAATCACGATTCTCGATTCGATTCGGGGTCTGCCACCCACGATAAGGATCGCGCTCCACATCGAGACACCGTCGAGTGCCAAGATGGAAACAGGGCACTTATGGTTACAATAGTGGATAAGCATCTGCGGGCCGATGGAGAAACCTGAAGATCCTTGTCCACGGGTTGGAGCCATCGTGGAGCCGTCGTGCCGCGTCAAATACAAGACCGTGGCTGTGAAATACGGTGACGGCGCTCGGAAGGTCCCGTAACATTACCACAGTATGTACGGGTCCCGTTCAGCTTGTCTTGTACACCAAAATGCACCTGAGTGAGGGTGATTATTAGCTATTGGCAACATTTTCGTAACGAAACGTACACTGAAAAGACTCCTTCCGCTTTTAATTCAACCGTACACAAATATGACACTGACGATCACGTTTGTTGATCAAGGGCCCCACCAGGAATTGGAGGTGTTGAGCTACAAAATACATGGAGGTATGATCCCCTCGCTTAGTCGGCCGTCTATGTCCTGTCGATCATGTATATCACTGGGAGTGGGTGCCATACAGACTGCGTGCATGAGGCTGTGTTGGATGGACAATGTGTTATCAACACCATTAGCTGCCGTAGAAGACCGGAAAACATTCTTGTTATGGTGCAGTTGGTCCGAAGAAAGAAGGAGTCCTAACACCAGGATTATGTGGTGACCCACACCCTCCGCCGTGATTCTTGTCCGGAGCTGATCAAAGTTACATGGAAACACTAAAGTGTCCTTCGCATGCAGAGTAATGGGATGGGAGTCATGTTCCAGCCAACCGCCTGGAGTGTACGAAAAGGGGTGTCTTCGGGAGCGGGCTTCCAGAGGCGCGATTAAACAATATTATTAGTTTTTACCACTAATCAGATAGTGGGTAAAATATGCAAGTCAATCATGCGAAGCTACACCCCCTCATGGCACGAGCTTTCTCAGATCCGTGACCCACTGCTAGAGTAATCGAGACTCGCCGAGCTCAGGAAGCTCAATACGGGTTATAATAATACCCCACAACCTCCTCCCTATCCCGCAATCTTCACAGCAACAATTTGTCTGCACATTTCGATACATATACGATGTCCGGTCGACCAACCGTGAATGCTTCCGACCCTGTGTTGGACGCAATTGCGGTCATCGGAATCGGATGTCGCTTTTCTGGAGGAGCTAGCTCCGTGGAAGATTTCTGGCAGATGCTATGCGAGGGACGTACTGGACATGGAAAGATCCCTCCAGCCGATATGAGTCTTCAGCGTGGCATCATCCAAGCCATGATCGTAAGGGCGCGGTGAGTAAAACTCTTACGCAATCCCAGGGCACAGGTAGAACGTATTGGAAAGCTTATGAAAGATTAGATCAATCATGATAGTGGGTTCTTCCTAAAAGAGGACCCGTCGCGTTTCGATGCACCTTTCTTCTCCATCACCGCCAAGGAGGCGGCTGGCATGGACCCAGCACAGAGATTGTTACTTGAAGTTGCTTACGAAACCTTCGAAAATGGTGAGTTCGGAAGTATCACGTACATTTGCAAAACATTTTCCAATGTTGGCATGGCTGAGTCTAGCATTGCAGGCGGAATTCCGATCGACACCTTACCAGGGAGTAACACAGCTGTATACTCTGGATCCATGACCAATGATTATGAGCTACTTTCAACGAGAGATATCTATGACATGCCACATAACGCTGCCACTGGAAATGGAAGGACCATGCTGGCAAACCGTCTATCATGGTTCTTTGATCTTCAAGGCCCGAGTATAATGATGGACACAGCGTGCTCTTCCAGTCTCACTGCGGTCCATTTGGCTGCTCAAGCACTACGATCTGGCGACTGTGGAATGGTACGTAACTTACTCCGGCTTCTCGACCTTCAAAGAGAACTAAGAGTTTCCCTAGGCCTTGGTTACCGGTGCCAGTCTCATTCTCCACCCCAACTTCACACAGAGACTTTCTTATATGCACATGATGAGCCCAGACGGCATGAGTCACTCATTTGACGAGTCTGCTAACGGCTATGGGCGAGGAGAAGGAATAGGTGCTGTGCTGCTGAAGCCTGTTTCTGCCGCCCTGGCTGATGGAGATCATATTCGGGCTATTATTCGTGGCACCGGAATCAACCAAGATGGAAGAACCCCTGGCATTACCTTACCGAGCCCAACGTCTCAAGCCAATCTGATTCGATCAACCTACGAGCGGCATGGCCTTTCCATGAGAGACACGGCTTACTTTGAAGCGCATGGGACCGGCACTCCCGTCGGAGTAAGTTGGATCCGTGCAATGCATGCCCACGCTTAAAATTGTACTTAACTCTGCCTGTTTAGGATCCAACAGAACTGTCAGCCGTGGGTTTGACTTTAGGTCAAGCCCGAACACCGACCGATGAGCCAATATATGTAGGCTCTGTGAAAACAAACCTCGGTCACACCGAAGGAGCCGCAGGAGTGGCTAGTTTGATCAAAGTAGTCCTCTGTCTAGAGAAAGGTATGCTGGTACCAAATGCCGGATTCAAGAACATCAACCCCAAGATCCGCCTTGATGATTGGAGGATCCGTCTCAGCAACGAAACGATACTCTGGCCAGATCATCTTCCACAAAGGGCTAGTATCAACTCTTTTGGATTTGGTGGATCAAACGCCCACATCATTATTGAGAGCACCAAGAACGCTTTCAAGATATACGAGGAGGAGGAAGAAGCACCTTCCCATGTGGTGGTGTTCTCAACTTTTGACCGACCTGGAATCGAGCGCCTTGGTCCAAGCTGGAGTGACTACGTCAAACGTCAACAGGCCCTTGAGCGTGATATTCCATTGAAAGATCTTGCACACACAATGCTGGCGCGCCGGTCGCACTTGGGCTTCCGCAGCTTTGCGGTTGCCAACTCGCTAGACCAACTACGCAGTACCTTGGAGAAAGGACTCCCCAAGTTCACCCGTGCAATTCGCAAAGCCCAGACGAGACTGGCGTTTATTTTCACAGGCCAGGGTGGTCAGTGGGCTGGCATGGGCAAGGAACTTCTCAAAATCCCTACTTTCAAGGAAAGTATGACTCGGTCGCAAGAGATTCTTTCGTCTTTGGGGTGCCCTTTCGATATAATCCAAGAGCTCCGAGTAAATGCAAAGAGCAGCCAGATCAACCGGCCCGATCGCAGTCAGCCTATAACCTGTGCACTGCAAATTGCTCTTGTTGATCTCTTGGCAAGCTGGTCCATTTCCCCCAATGCGGTCGCTGGTCATTCTAGTGGTGAAATTGGTGAGATTTCTGCTATAATTTTCCCAAATGAAGCATTCCAGGAAGCTAATGGATATGTTGAAATTAGCCGCCGCATATGCTGCTGGGTATCTCTCACAAGCGGACGCTCTGCGAGTGTCATGGGTCCGTGGCTTTTACTCTCAGAAGATCTCCGAAAGTGACAAAAGGGGAGGAATGCTGGCCACAGGTATCTCATCCGTGGAGGCACAGAAGTACCTCGATGAACTTCCCCCTCGTTCGGTGGTTGTTGCATGTGTGAACAGTCCCTCGAGTACAACTCTTTCGGGTAATGCCGATTTGATCGACCAACTTGAGAAGAAGCTTCAGCAGGATGGTCATTTCGCCCGGAAGCTTCGCATTGACACAGCTTACCACTCTCCACATATGGAAGACTTGGTTGAAGTTGTAGGCAACGCCATCGCAAGCATAAAGCCGGAGGATAGATTCAATGAGTCAATCCCCATGCTGTCCTCTGTCACGAAGAAGCGTGTTCATTCTGCAGATGTAGGTGGACCATACTGGGTGCGCAACATGGTTAGTCCCGTCGAATTTACTGCCGCCGTTACTGAGATCGCAAACTTGAGCGAGTCTAGCAAGACTCGCCGACGCCCAGTCCCAATCAAATGGACTACTTTGCTCGAGATCGGTCCACATTCTGTTCTGAAGGGCCCAGTCACGCAAATCCTGCAAAAGGTCAACCCGAGCATGGCAACACTTCCGTACTATACTTTGGTTACACGAAATCAAAATGCCCTACGAACATCACTGGATGTCGCTGGGTCTCTTTGGTGTACCGGTCATGCTATTGATCTTGCTGCGGTTAACGATTGTGTGGATCCTTCAGCCTCCAAGATGGTCGTGGATCTGCCTTCCTATCCATGGAATCATCAGAAATCATTCTGGCATGAACCTCTGGAAACAACGCAGTTGAGACAACGCAAGCACCCCCGTCACGACATCCTTGGATCTCCTCTGGACTATCAAAATGCCCTGGAGCCTCGTTGGAGAAATTTCCTGCGGCTTTCGGAAAATCCATGGATGGCTGATCATGTTGTAGCTGGGACGATTGTCTTCCCAGCGGCAGGTATGATGGTGATGGCTATTGAGGCAGCACGTCAGTTGGCCCAAGGCCAGGGTAACATCAAGGGAATAGAATTCCAAGATCTACACTTCATGCGAGGAGTGGTTATTCCTGACGAAGAGCGCGGCCTAGAGACACTCCTGCAAGTTTCAACACATCCAGGCATGGCCGGTTGGTACGAGTTCGGAATTTTCTCGCTTCCATCAGGTGGTGGCTGGATCCAGCACGCAAAGGGTGCATTCATTCCGCGGTTCGAAAAGCCGGAGGACAACGAGCATGCTGCAAACTGGGCGACAACCTTGGCCCGAATCAAAGACACGCAGTTTATCGCTAAAAAAGGAGATATTGAACAGGCATATCAATGGTTGTCTCAAATTGGAGGACTAACCGTGGGCCCATGCTTCCAGACTATCACGGAAGTTTCATTCTGCCACTCAGAGCCTCGAATCTGGTTGTCGGGAGTTGTCATTGATACCACGCAAGGCATGCCCTATGAGCGAGAGACTCCCAGTTTCATTCACCCGACTACCCTGGATTGCCTCTTCCAGTCCGCGCTGCTGTCATGTTCAGAGGCTCTCTCCAGCACCAGCGCCAACATTCCCATCGGTGTGGATCACGCTTACATCTCGGATTGTTTCCAACCTCAAACAGGCGAGAAATTCATCGTCCACACAGAGACGCAGTGGCGGGATGGCAAATCTCAATCCCGATGCATTGCGTCAGATCTCTCGCTATCACAGCCATGGATTACTTTTGAAGGTGTTCACCTCGGTCGCCTGCCGTTCAACCCGAACTCGCAAAAGCAAGAAGAAGATATGGGCCCCCAGAGTCGGTACTCCTCTATTGTCTGGGATGAACACTTGGAATCGCCCATAATCACTAGCAGAGTCTGTTCAGACGGAACGAACGGCAGTGCCGTGGAAATCAGTGAGCTGTTGTTGACCGATTGGGTGGAGCGTCTCTGCCACACCAACGGAGATGGGAATGCGTTGATTGCTACTTCTGACGCATCAAATGATTGGATTCAGAGTCTTGCAAAATATTGTCCAAGTAGTGGAACGCGGCCCTACTTGAGCAAGGTCACAACTGCCTTATGTGGCTCGACAAGTGACAAACAAGCCGGAAATGATATTTTGGGATCCCACATCGTCCCAGTCACAACAATCGGCGATCTTCCATCCGCTTCGCTCTCCGAGGAATCGTATGACATTGTCATCATTGATCAGCTTGATATTTGGAATGGTAAAACGTTACAGTCACTTCTGCACTTCCTAAGCAAAGTTCTGGATCCCGGAGGTTTTGCCGCGATGCGCGTCTCTGAAGCGATTTTGAATTTCGCAGCCGAGGCTCTAAACGCCTTTGAGGGCCTGGATGTCCATAGCCTAACGTCCGACCGCAGATTCATCGTGGCACGAAAGAAGCCAGCCTCGTGGACCACAGATTCAGAGATCTACGTTCTGAGCATTGATGACAAGTCAACCTCCTCATCCGTGTTCGCGCATCTTGAGGAGGTGTTTGCCACCCACAATGTTCGCGTGGTTCCCATTGGTTTGGACAAAGTATCGGAGCAAGAGGGAAAGACAGTCATCTCACTGCTCGACCTGTCGGGGCCTTGGATATCTACCTGGACGCAAAAGGATTTGCAGAGACTGCAGCAGTTGGTTCGAGCCCAGTATGTGCTGTGGGTCTCACCATTTTGGAGCCAAGGAGCCGTAGAAAATGCTGCCCACGGTGCGACAGCCGGTCTTCTGCGAACCCTCCGCAATGAATACTTCAACGCTACAATTCTACACCTACTTGTAGATATCGATGATCTAAACGACAAATTTGGTCTCGCCTGTGGAATTTTGCAGGTCATGCAACTCACAATTCAAGAGGGCTCTCGCCGCGCTGATCTCGAATATCGGTTGACAAAGAGTCGGCTCCTAATCCCCCGTGTTCTTCAGACTGCAACAGTCGATGAGGCAATGCACACCCTACTGGATGGACCTAAGCCTGTCCTTGCCGATTTGACAGTGGACTCAAGGCCCCTTGAATTGAAGCTACAAGATGGCAAGGATGCATACTGGGAAGAGAAAAAGGCCTTCACGGAGCTTCAGGCAGACCACGTCGAACTTAAGGTGGAGATGGCCACTGTCTTTGACACAAATGGAGATACAGGAAAGACATCTGAGTCCGTGGTTCCAATGTTTGAAATTTTTGGAAGAGTCAGCCAAGTCGGATCAGGCGTGCGTGACTTGGCCGTTGGCGACAAAGTGTTGACCCTAACCTCTACCGAATCGGGACTCTCAACAACCTTGCGTGTTCCTGAGGGTGATACTATCAATATGCCTGCGCTTTCAGACCCAATTCAGGCAATTTCAGCTCCTCTTGCGTATTTATATGCATACCGAATTCTGACTGAAGTTGCCCGCCTAAGTGATGGTGCCTCAGTGCTCTTGGTCGGTACGATTAGTCAGACTCTTCGAGCCATGATTGACTTTGCCCTTAGCATGGAGATGCTGGTCATTGTTGCAACCGATTGTCAGAATACCGCCGACGTTCTTTCTTCTCGCTATCCGAGCTTGAAGGACAGGATTTTGGGTATACACAGTGGACTGGATGCGAGCGTGTCCAGACTTACCAAGGGCTGTGGGGTTGAGGCTACTATCTCATTCTTGGGCGGGTATTCCGGCCGAGTTGCTGCGAAGTGCCTGGTTGGAGGAGGCCAGTACATCAACCTCTCCAAGGATATGAAGCTTAGCGCCCTCCCAGAAAGCTTTATCGACAGTGGTTGCACCTTCTCATCTCCACAGCTGCGGCGAATCTTCTCTGAAAAGCCCGGCAGCCTCCATACTTCACTTCGGGAGGTGATGAACTTGATGCAGCAGCAGCAGCTCCTTCATCGCGTGGAGGCTTATCCGTTGTTCCCAGCGTCCGATATTCACGGGGCTTTCCAATGCTGCAAGGAGACCAATGGTAGAGTCATTGTTGACCTTCAGGCTCCGGGACAAGTCCCAATTGTTCTGCCATTGCCGGAGCTTACAGCACTGCCGTCTGAAAGGACCTACATCTTGGCTGGTGGACTAGGCACTCTAGGCCTCGCATTAGCTGACACCTTGGTAGAGTCTGGGGCCCGCCACTTGGTTTTCCTTGGACGGTCGGGCGTCGCTCAAAAACAGCAGAAAATTACTCTTGATACGATTCGGGGTCGTGGATGCCTTGTAGATGTTGTCCTCTGCGATGTCTCCAAAGCAGAAGATATGGAACATCTCTGCTCCGAAATTAAGAATAAAAATTGGAATGTTGCCGGGGTGATCCAATGCACGACCGTCTTGAAGGTAATTCATACAAATATACAGTTCTGCCAACGTCATAACTAACTCGTCCCTGCGTTTTCTAGGATGCAATGTTTGAGAATATGACCTTTGAAGAGTGGTCTCAGTCAACAGACCCCAAGATTCGAGGAACGTTGAACTTGCACCAGCTATTCTCTGAACCAGATGGACTTGCCTTTTTCGTGACTCTGTCTTCCGTTTCAAGTATCATGGGCAACATGGGTCAAGCTAATTACTGCGCGGGCAACGGCTTTATGGATGCGCTCATGGAGTGGCGCAGAAACCATGGCCTTGTCGGACATTCCATCAACGTTGGTCTTGTCCCAGATGCCAGTGGAGTGAGCGATGTTGTCAAGGATCAAGAGGAGCGCCTTCGCCGGTACAATAATTTCAGAGGCACGGAAATTTCGACGCACGAGCTTCAGACTTTGCTCCGGGTTATCATCAGTAGCAAGCTCTCACTTCCCTATCAGATCATTGCTGGTATGACGGACTCTTTGTCCCGCAAGGATGCGGCAAGCGCCTGGATACTGGACCGCAAATTCGATCACCGTATTTCACTTGCTACCAATAATAGTGACTCTTCTACGGTTTCCACAGCCACTTTGCTCAAAGAAGCCGATTCCTCTGAAACAGCGGTTCGGATTGTCCTTGACGCCCTGAGTGAATATTTGGCAACCGCTATGGCTACAACCGCCGACTCTATCGACGCTGATTTGCCTTTGTCAGCCTTGGGTGGTACGTTTTATATTCAACTGCTTCTCACATTACCCATATTTGTCTCTCTAACTAACATGATTCTCTAGTGGATTCACTCAAAGCCACGGATGTTCAAAACTGGGTCTCGCGAAACTTAGGCGCAGAACTGTCCTCGTTTGAATTCCTTGGCTCACAACCAACCAAGGCTCTAGCCAAGAAAATTGCTTCTGCTAGCTCTTTTGTGTCAGTGTCGGGCTAAATGTGCCACCATTGACTCGGCCATAGACGCCAAATGCCGTCAGCCTTGGTGTGAGGTGCTCGATTTTGGTAAATTGTAATTGGTAGGAATTGTCTCCCTTGCTTTGGCGTTCAGTGAATTTCCTGGGCGTTATCGGCTTCTTGATTTCCAACTGTTCTACGAGAATGTGTTGTCTGGCTCTAGTCTCAAAGGTCTCGCATGAATCCACGAATTCAGTTTGAGCAATCAGGGGCTGTCTTTGGTGTTTTGTTACATACAATTGAGTGTATCTGAAAGTTATGTCGTCTCGTAAGATACGTAAATACGAAACTTTCATAGGCGTAGGCGCCGATCACGATGGCGCCTCTGCAGGCAAGCGGGTCTCGGGCGGCGCCCGTTTTTCAGTTGGTTAAAGCATTATGTATTCACATGCAGCAATAACTATCTCCAAATTATTATTATTCTGGGATTATTACTTTTGACAATCGCAGCTCCGTCTTCTGTGCGGGGCACTCCGAGGTGGAGGAATTGCCCACCGAACATGGAAGCCACCCCGCGCAGCCCCGGGGCCGCTGTACGTGCAATCCTTCTGGAGCATATCCAGCTACCATCGTCAAGGCTGGGGCACTAAATGCCACCAAGGACGATTAGTGATACAAGTGGGGTGTGAGAACCTGTTCGCCCGCCTCCCGACATTACTAAATTAGCTCCGGTCTATCGCCCCAACACTTTACCACATTGGACTAGACCTGGACTGGACCACATCGATATTGTTTCCACGATCACGGCGCTGGAAATGCAAATCCCCTGGAAATCGCCGATCTCTGGAAAGCCAAATGTTCGCCCACCACTGTGCAGAAGTGATGAGAAAATTTCGAGTTCCCCGAGGCAACCCCGCGGAGGTGTTTTTCACGGCCAGCGAATTGTAATTGTGTTAAGTTTTATGCATGATTTTCGGGGTCTATCGGGCCTCCGACATGACGGCCGACGAGACTCCGGTTCTCGCCTCAATCCCAGTCAGTCTCTTGCACTAGGGCAAAACTCCATTGTAACAATTACCATTAGTGGATGCTGGCTTGGATAATGGTCAAAGGTCCCAGGATGGATGGCGGTGCGATCAGCGAGGAGGGTAACTGGTGGGTGGCACGACGGCCTGTTGCTAACTTGCTGCTGGAAAGCTTTATCGGGAACTAGCTGATGCATATCCCATGCTTGTAAAGATGTACACCTAGAAATTTGTCTCGGCCGTGGACCCAAGTGGCCCCGCTTGTGGTGCAAGACGGGAACGGTGGGCTTTCGCGAATGCACTTGCTCTCTGGGAAACTCTTTGCGCGCAATTGGCTTTGGTCTTTTGCCACTGAGCCTTGTCGTAATTTATCCAGGGCTTCTTCTGGCCTCCCATAAGAGAGCGACCTCTTTCAACTTTGGGTTCTCCGTTCCACTTTTGCTTCTTTGCTCATAAGCCCTCCGCTATGACGGACACTGAGAAGAGTGAGGCACACTTTCCTGCGGTCCCAGAGCAGGCTATCTATCCTCAATCTGGTTCCGAGGATACCAATGGCTCCAGTTCATCGGACTTGGAGAAAGTGGTGAAGACACAGGTCTCCAAGAAGCCTTCGCACAACAGGCATCTCTCTATCACTCTTGATGACTTAGAGGCTCAAACAAAATCCGAGCTCCCGCTGAAGCGTTTCGCGTATTTGAGATATGCCGTCTTTACAATGTACCGACGACTATTCACAGTGGTGTTCCTGGCAAACTTGGCGTGTTTCATCTACGTTATGGTTGCTGATCGCCAGATCTTAGCGCTGGTGAATGCGACGGCCGTGAACTTGGTAGCCTGCGGTTTGGCCCGGCATCCAATGGTGGTAAACGGTATCTACAGGGTGGTCTGCTCACTTCCCAGGTCAGCACCACTATTCCTCCGTCGCATGGCAGCCAAGGCAGCCCACTACGGTGGTGTCCACAGTGGTTGTGGTACTGCATCCTTGGTGTGGTATGCGGGATTTGTTGGTGTCGTGTCGAACATGTACTGGACGTCGACTCCAATCAGTCCCTTGACTGACCGTACATTCTCGACCGCCTCAATTGCTGTTTCTTACGTGATCCTTGCACTTCTTATGGTCATGATTGTGGTGGCATACCCAGTCTTCCGCAGGAAGATGCATGACTACTTTGAGCTAACACATCGATTCACGTCGTGGCTAATCCTTGCCCTCTTCATTGTGTTGGTGATGCTCTTTGCCAACGATATGGGCAAGGCACAAGAGAAATCCTTTGGGCATGCTCTTATCACGCTCCCCGCGTTCTGGCTTTTGATTGGAGCTGTGGTTGCAATTGCCCATCCTTGGCTACTGTTAAGGAAGATCCCCGTCGAGACAGACCCTCTCTCTCCACACGCTATTCGGCTGCACTTTAGCCACACGCCTATTAGCTTTGCCAAGGGTATCCAGGTGTCCAAACATCCTCTTCGGGATTGGCACAGTTTCGCGGGCTTCCCAGACCCATCAGAATCTCTCGAAAACATCAAGAGGATTCCAACCAACCCCACAAGTTCCGCAAAACCACATACGGCCTACAAGAAGGGCCACAAACGGAACCAAGACAGTTGGTCAATTGTCGTATCAAAAGCCGGAGACTGGACTGCAGACACCATCAACAGCCCGCCAACCCATGTCTGGAAACGAGGTGCGCTGATGCGCGGTGTTGGCTACGGATTAAGGCTTTTCAACCGGATTATCGTCGTGACGACCGGATCTGGAATTGGTCCTTGCCTCGGATTTCTGGGTGACGAACACAGGCCGATGATCAAGGTCGTGTGGCAAACTCGTAGCCCAGTCAGAACGTATGGCCAGGGGGTCATTGACCTAGTCCACCAGATGGGACCAGATCCGATTATCTTGGACACATCTCGAGACGGCCGTATTGACATGCTTCCTATTATCCATCAACAGGTTCAGGAGTTTCAGGCGGAGGCAGTGTTTGTGATCAGCAACCCACCAATCACCCGGAAGATTGTCTACGAATTTGAGTCTCACGGCATCCCGGCTTATGGACCAATTTTCGATTCATAATTTGGCCTGCCTCTTGATTTGGGAATCATTGTATCTCGGACTCAGCAGTGCAGAAGTCTTATGCGACGCAAATACTGAGGATGGAAATGGCAATTTGACCCTGAAGCAAAATCGAATGAGTTATTGATAAATGATGTACTGAGAGAGTTCGATGGTGTCCTTGTGAACCTACAAGGTATGACAGGAAACGATACATGTTACATAATGACGCAAAAGATTGATATAATATTGGCACTATTTCATGGGTTTGATCGTATCGCGTACTGGTAATGGTATTTGCACGGCCCAAAGTCTTGTTTACCATCCAATCCAGAATCATGACCTGTAGCGGCCCACTCAGCTAGCTTGAATCCCGTAGGTACTCTTGGGATACGGCGAAATGAGTCGACCCCTCTTCTAGGTTCATACGCAAACTCGACAAGTCGCTAAAAGTTCTCTTTCAAAACACTTCGTGAATACCTTGTACAGTAGTGAGGCAGAGACTTTTCGTTGCTTATCAGATCTGCATAGTCACCGCTAGGACTGTCTCACATGTGGTCTGTCCTACAAACCCCGTCGGCCCACAGGTTCATGCAGATATGAACCACGCGGATCATATACGATTATCCACAAAAGCCATGAAACCGTCATTATACCTCTGGAGTATCTGACAAAAAAGGTAAGAGCCACAGAACTGTGATCGTCCATGCACCTGGTCTCTTACAGTAGATGCCAAGGTCTACCGTCTGCAGTCCCACATGGGCAGCGCCAACCCCAAGATTCTCTCAAGTGAGGTTCCATTCAAGTAAAATTAGAAAACTAGAATGGTTAAGTTTTTCATTTCTACATAGTGGTATTCTGCCCAGAAATTTCGGTTGATGAGGACCGCTCTGAGGAGATAACGGGTTCACCAAAATGGATTCGTTCAATCGTTATAACCAAGATGCCAGGCCCCAGGCTCTCAAGTTAAACTACGTGATCTGAATTTCATGTCTGATTATATGTTGTGTAACGTTACGACATTGCCGAACTCCGTGAATTTCAACCACCGCGAGGGTTTCTTGGGGTGTGGCAGCCAAACACTCATATCATAAAGTTCCAATATTTCTATCTCGAACATACTGAGCCGACGCTAAATGTTAAGAGGAAGAATCGGGTCAACGATGGGAAAGTCATCCTGAATAAATAATGGACCACACTGATCATGCTGAGAAACTGGAAAGACGAGATATACATGTTCTTGTGCAATACTAGCGTCGCTATACATAGGCCATAGCGTAGAATAGATTGAGGTTGGCACTCATTCAAAATAATTCGGACGCTATTCGCAACATAACCGCGAGCGTAAGGAAATAGTAGACTTCTATGGGCTTGTCATGACGAATCAATGGTTAACCGAACCAGTTCACTAGAAAGGACACTAGATGAATGTTGATGGCACCATCGGTTCGAATTTAGGGGACTTCTTGCGTGTGTAATTGTACTGCAAGCTCTGAGTCACCCACGAAGCATTCAAATGGCTAGATGGAGATGTATATCCACTTTCCTCTAAATGGTTCATGACAGTGGAGCTACATTTTATCAACTAATAGATTAATATTGAAGGAGAGGGAGTTTCACTCACACCCAGAATCGACAACCCAAACCATTAGATGACAATCTATACCCGTTCCTGCCTTTGATATACACAAGCTGAAGAACATTGTTCACCGTCAGACCGTGTTGGCAGGAATGTCAAAGTTTTGGAGCGAGCTGGTAGATTCTACGTAAGAGCAAAGCTGCACCACAAGTGTACCTATGGTGGAGAGAGGCTCAGTCATCACTCTATCAACGGAGAAACAATTCCCCATGGAATGATAAAGAACCCCCACTGGCCTCCTCGTCAATGTTTATTCGTGATTTAGTTAATCTCCCTATCCTCATGACTACCGTAACTTAGGATATCGCAACTACCAGCGACAAATGCCTGGTTGATCTTTGTCACCACGCAGAGAAGGAAGGAGGCAAAATTGAGGGAGAAGAATATGGAGACCGGGTCATCAAGCTCTCCGAGCAAATCGCCGTCAAATATGGATACGTAGTGACAGCCTCCGAGGCAGCCACACAAGATTTCGCACACCGTAAAGTTGATCCTCGAGTTGTTCATGTCCCGCGTGTCTACCGTTTTATTGAATCGAATGAATCTTCAGACACAAGAGGGTACCTCTTCATGGAATATTCCCCGGCCAGAGCTTAATAGACGTGGATCTCGAAGCCCACCCAGAAATTGTGCCCCGCGTGGCCAACTTAGTCTTGCACCGAAGTCAAATTCAAGGAGAGAAGAAGCCCGGTCCGATTGGTTGTGGTAAAACACGGGGATATGTATGGGGCGATTCTGGCGCAAACATCAAATTCGACTCAATAGAAGATTTGAATACCTACATGAACAAGCGCCTGGAGATACGCAACGACTCCATTGACCTATCACCCTATCCTCTTGTGTTATGCCATTTGGATCTTTGTCGAAGAAACATGATCATGATGGAGGAGAATTCTTGACTCTGTCTTGTGGACTTGGGCTTTTCCGGCATCTATCCCCGCTTCTTAGAGGTTGCAACAGTTCCCTTGGTGGGTGTGGTTCCATGCGATGTCACCTTTGAGCCGCAATTCATGCAAGCGTTAGAGGACTTCATGGAATTCACCGATGAAGAAAAGCGACTAACCAAGTTGATTGGCTATGTTCGCGCTGCGAATGCGAGATGGACATTGTAAGGAAATTCACCCCTTGACCTCTTATCTGACTTGGCTAATCAGATGAAACAGTGGTGAAGTCGCTCCGTTCGATTACGATGCATTCATGTCAGCGTCTCAGGAAGTGAGCGAGCCGAAGGAATTGGTGCAGGTCCACAAATCCACATACTATAGCGGGAGATATCATTAATTAATTCATATTAAACTGTTGCCTTCATCTGGGAGTTCACCCAGCCTAAATATATTCATGGCCGATCAGCTATTACTTTGCGATACATGCCTTTCGAGGATACTTTCATTTTTAAGCAAACATTGTATGTTTCATTGATTTACTGTGCCGCTCCTCCAAGCTGAATACTTCGGACGGCAGACTATTAAAGTCTTGTGCCCATATGCCAGCTAGTTTGTGATGCGAATCGTGGCTATCTTTCGAAGAAGCCGATAGCACCCACACTTAGGAAGCCGAAATAAACGCAAAGCTAGGAAGACACCAAGTGAATCAAACAATGTCACCAAGAAGACAATTTTCCAATAAAAACGAAAGAACCTAGCAGAGCAGAGAGAGCCTCAACAAAGAAAGTAAACAGCGTTGCTGTTGGAGCCACCTAGCAGCGGTCAAAGACTATGCATCTTATGAGTATGATTTTGCTTAGTTTCAACCTTTTCTTTCTCTATTATTGGGTGAAGTATCTACATCCACCTGTCCGCAACGATAGCCAGGCGCTCTAAACAGCTGATTGGAAAACATTTTGGCTCTCCTTGTCCTTGAATTCCAGCCCTCCCTGTATGTCAATCAGGAGGCCGTGCTTGACAATGTGAGAGCTGTCTTTCGTTGTTCCCCAGCACTCGGTAATCTCATCGTTGAGATCGATGAATGGCTTGCCCATGCTGGCTGAATTTTCCTTCTCTCGCTTGTTCTTTCCATGTTTGAGTATGTGTGAACGCCGGTGACGGTGCTGTGGCTGCTGGATGTGGTGGCTGTGGCTGGACGCCGACGACGCTTGAAGTTGATGCCTGATTGGTGCCCGATACTGCGGGCATCAAATCAATGTTATATTCCTCTCGTGTTCCCGTCCTGCCATTTGATTAAGCCGAGCTTGTTTCATCCTGGCACTGCTATTACATCTAAGAGCTTCTCGATATAATGACGCTAGTGAGCATCTGTATACCATGACTACATCGGCTACAATGTGCGAATCAATCGATATAACCGCCGACTGTATTCCCAGTTTTGATAATACTGGCCACGCTCCGCTTCAAGTACCCGGCTTCAAAGGCATTCCAATTCATTATGAGCACTCACCAAGCGAGCGCTTCATTCATGGAATGATGGAATGGCGACAGGCGCCCGCAGTGACCGTCCGTGAGTTGGCCATGGTTGCGGTGATGGAACAGCTCACCGACCGGCCCAGATGGGATATCGACATATTTGACGACCAAGTTCTGGCGAGCTGGCGGGAGGAGGTCTTCACCACGTATCCGTTAATGAGTGACATGGCATGGACCTGGTGCATGAAAGAGCTTCGAGATAAAGCAGTGTTATTCCGCGAGAAGCAACATGTCCGGGTGCTGGATGTAGGATCCTGCGTATGTAAGTCGGACACAGCGACTCTCAGTGCTCTGAGCGATGTGTTCAGACAATCGGTTCCTTCTGTTATTGAGCAGCAGCGGTATGGTGGAAAGCTTGATTGGCGATCTAGTCAGGTACTGAGCCTGGTAGATCCGTCACTATTCCCTTTGGTTTATGGGAGAAGCCCGGTCTTAGTGAATGGAGGAAAAGTGGACCTGCAAAATATCTTCGACTCCCACCACAATGCGACTACTGCGTCAAAACATGTCCATAGACGAGAACATTCCGCGGCTTTCCAGAAGCAGATAGAAGAAGAAGCTCGGGAAGATTTCTCTACAGGGCTAAGGCCTCATCATCGTGGTGATTCTAACCTCAAATTTTATCGTTGGAGCTCCAATTATCAGTATCTTCCTTGCGAGGTCGAGTTTAGCAAAGATTCTGGAACGGAGGTGCAGATTACCTCATACATCAACAATCTACATCCGATGCACACGAAGGTATACCAGGCCATTGAGAAACTCGTGTCTCTAGCAATCAAGCCATGGAATGGGTGTCTGGGGCGATCTCTCTATTCCTGGAAGCATCATGAGACCCAGGGACAGTTGGGACGCATGCCACTCCGGATAATCACATACGGGGTTGAATGGGAGAATGAACTTCTTCGATGGGCCATCGCTTTTAACGTGCCTTCCGAGGCTGAGAAACGAATGTTTCGCGAGGCCCAGGAGAAGATAAAAGCCAGCAGGAAGGACAAGTCCCCTGGGAGTGTGGATAGATATATGGAGGCGGTGAAAGTACAGTCGTCGTTAGGGAATACCGGAGACAAGACATACTTGGAGTTGCCACCCGCGGACAGAACTTTGGGGCCGGGCCAAGGCGTATCTTGAGCTCCCCGAGGATAAAACAGTTCGCTTCAAGCATTCAGAACCGGGAACTGCCTTTTCGTATAAGGAATGGAAAGATAGCCGGCACAACGACAAGGCCATCGTTGAGATAGCCGGCAGATACCAAATGCCACCTCACAATCCTTATTCTATCAATCTCCAGGACGCATTTCGGAAGCAAGGTCTACAGATCATTGTGAAGATGGAAAACATCGAACTCACCCCTCAGGCTCCCATCTACGTCAGCGATTCATGGGAGCTCGAAGGCCAAAAGAACGAGCACATCGCAGCTGTGGCCATCTTCACATACGACGTTGCAAACGTTACCGAGCCCCGGATTGAATATCGTCAGTTTACCCGTCTCCACAGACGTTACTATCAGTACAGAGAGGAGCCGCAAACACTGGACCCCGATGAGGGTTGGCGGGATTCGTACCCTCATCGAATCGGAAAGTCTTTTGAAAAGGAATGTAAAGGAATGGCTAATGTGCTTGGGTTCCCGCCCGGAAATTGCCAGCAATACGGCAATGGATATCACCGCGGTCTAGCGTTCCAGAATACAGGGTCTGTCGCGAGCCTGCAAGGGCGACTAGTCACATTTCCCAGTGTCCTAGAGCATCGTCTCAAATCGTTCCAGCTGGTTGATCCAACGCGCCCTGGACACTATCGGTGCATCAAGGTGTACTTGGTCGACCCGCACTACCGAGTGTGTTCCACCCGCAATGTGCCGCCTCAGCAGCATCACTGGTGGGCAGAAGAAGTGGGCAACGATCTTGCATCATTCGGATTGCCTCGCGAACTGCAGGATGCAATTTTCCAGGAAACAAACAGCTGGCCCATGGGATTGCATGAAGCAAAGCAGCACAGACAGGAACTTAACAAAGAGCACCGTTGGAACAAATTGACGAGGCTTAGTGAAATGTACAGTGCTAGTATTTGATCACCGGGTACTCGAAAGACTCAGACCCGGAGCATGATACAGAAAGATCAAATGATAGTGATAATGGAAAATTCAAGTTTGGCTCCCAGTTTTGATATGCAGAGTGTCAGGTGATTACTGAAAGCGGTAGTAACCCTAGATCAGGTGGTCACATCATCAGGAAGACACGCAGTCTCTCTCATTTGCTATCTCTTTAGGTGTCTCCCTCGTCTTAACTATAATGATGAATTGTTTTTTTTTTTCCTTAAAATCGGTTAATATGCTGTACATTCTCCGCAATTGATGGTATTCGAAAAAAAGGGTTCTCTCCTACCGCCGCCACACACGTTACCTGGTTTCAGATGTGCGTTGAGCTACCCCTCCTCCGGCCGCTCAACATCTTATTCTGCATATCAGAAATTCAAGAATACCCGGGATCTTCACGCCTCGAATTTTGCAAGAGGCAAGGACAGCCTTACGCGCTATGGTAAAAGGAATTTGACGCAAGCCAATACTGGCTCCACCAAGTGCATGGATTCCGAAACATGGCCCCCAAACAAAGTGACTTGCCCCTGCACATGAGCTACTAGAAAGTCTTTCACAAGTCTTTCACCGATAGACCAACTAACAACAAACATTGAACCGGTCTACCTTTTTTTCAGTGGCAGCGGATCACGATCGGATTGTCTCTCAGGCTTCTGCTGCCACCTCAAAAGCAGCAAGGCGCAACAAGGGGCTTCTCGAAAAGCCTGCAAAGCGCTTAGGGTGGCCCGCATCACCCTTAATCACAATAGAGTATGTTTTATGTCGATCAATTTCTTGCGTAGCCAATTGGACGTATCGATTTCTCTCGCGCGCCAGCGATTTCCACTCAGCCTCCAGCCTCTCATACGAAATGAACACAAAAGGCGGAAAGGGTACCCACGAGTGCGGAACTCGCTCTTCTTTCCCTGGTCACCACGTCTAATAATAATGACTCTCGACTGGAGGATCAGAGGCACTATAACTTATGCCAGTATTGCCCTTGATGGCTTACTCTTTTTCCTTCTTCTTGGCCTCACGATTACAACTTGCATGCTCCATCGACAACAGAGATTCGGTCCCCATGTTCTACCAATAAAGACCCTCATCAGTTCCCTGGTGGTTTGGACACTGTCAGATGAAAACCCACATGATGACCACACTCGAATACATTGGACTAATAATGGAGTCTTGCAGAGCTGAATGTCTTTGGGCCGTTTCCCTCGCGTTTGGGTACTTATTACTGCCATCGGAATTCCTCTACAACCTTGGAACAACTCTCCTATTCTATGTGTTCTACACTCTTCTCCATAGTCTTACTGAGAGCCTCCCCGGGAAAGAGAATGGGTATCCCAAGACCAGAGTCTTCCATTGGGGATTGGTGGGCATCATCGCAGTGGCAGGAATAATCGAGTGGATACTTTACGTGATGACCGTCGTCGTTATATCAAATTCCCATTTTTGGTCACTGGTGTGGAAAATAGCAGACACCGCAACAATGATCATTCGCTGGCTCGTATCTTGGGAGATTCTGGCCTGGTCAATTGTCTTGGCAATCAAGTCTGTCAAACTGAGGGCAGACGTGCTAGTAAGGGAGATGGCAGACAATCCTTTCTTTGTCCGAATTTCGCTAACTTTTCTAGGTCCCGTCACTATTATACGCTGTCGCATGCGTTTTTTTCTGCGTCAACTGGTTTACCTGGTCCTGTTTCAATATTGTATCCTACATCGTCTTGCACTACTCCATGTCAAACACTGGCGTAAATGCGATACGTATTGTCCAAGTCATCATGTGTGCGTGTTTCTACCCGTCGATTCTCACATGCTGCCTCAGATGGGGGATGATATGTCGGTCTTTGGTCGATCCCGAATCAAAGCCTGGAGTGAAGCAGACAAGTCCCATTCCTGTTGAGGCGGAGGGCGGGGTTTCAAAAATAGAAGCGGACTCAAAGCCTATTGCGGAGGTGGGCTCATCAAAGCCTATAGTAGAGGCTGAATCAAGACATATTGCTGAAGCAGACTCAAGGCCTGTCTTGCATAGAGCACCTGGGATGTGACCTTTTGCCTTTAGTGGGGATATATATTCTTGTTTCCTTGCACGAATTCCTTCTCTTGGGGATTATCTTTAGCATTTCGTCAAATCTGAGTCACGTCAACCGAGCCCTCGACTCACGCTTTCCTTGAAGACCTTGGGGCACATCAGTATTCATCTACTTATCCTTTGATACTGAGAAAAGCAAACCAGCTTCAGGTTTACTCTTATTTTTCGAAGTTTCTATACCAGTCTTTGTCGACACCTATCTGTATGTCTGTATGTACCTGCTTGCTGGCTTTCGGTCAATCGAGGCATTATCCATGTCTTCATTCAAAGACAACAATCAAGGTATTCCCCCAATAATATAAAACTTCGTTCAACTTGTTCAAAGAAAATCTATTTCGGCTGACATTCATAATTAACGTCATTGCTGTTTTGTTTGTCTACCAGGGGTCTATGAGCGTCGAGAACAAAGCCAGACCTCAAGATTGTCCGAGGCGACAATGCCTTTGAGATTTACGTTGAATGAAAGACCATATTTTTGTCCTCGTTGACCAGGCATTGTTGGCTTTTTCATGGTCGCCAACAAAGCCCCTACTGTGTAGGTGGCCTTATATAAACCCTCGTTAGTTCCAAGCATGGAATATCAATCCAATTACTCAGGATCTACTCTATTATCAGAATAACTCGGTTCATACGTTATCGATTCCACTGCTATATCTATTCCACTAATCCCTTGCCACACCGCCAACATGGAAATGGTCGAGGAACCCCTTCGCTACAGTGGATACCAAGCTCGCGGGAAAAAGATCCTAGAATGGGTAAATAACCCATCAGCTTCTGGCTGTTTTATCGAAGCTTGCAATGTGACATGGAATGAACTCAACGACTGGGCTTCAGTGGGTGAGGCTCAAACTGATCCTAATTCTATCGAACATCGTGAAATTGTAACTGATGCCCAACAGCGGAAAGTCAAAGGCCCCTGGACACTGAACGATATCTCATCGCGAGAAGTTTCGCCTGGTGGAACAGCCGGGAAATGGAATCTTTGGGAATCTTTCATTGCCCCTGGTAATCTCTACATCACTAATATGTTCCGAGAGTCAGGCTACCATGCTTCACAGATCGCTCAAGTTTTGTACGAGAGGCAACACCCTATCCGCACCCTTAAACATGTGATTGTGATCGATGTCGTGAATGAAGATACGATCCAGTTTTGTGAGGATGAACTTTTCACAGCTAACAATGCGCTTGTATGGCCCCCTCCTAGACCCCAAACTTTCGTGTATGGCAGTGCAGAATACGAAGGCTTGGTGGGTACCAGGCTTGGTACAACTGTGACATATCTAGTTCTTGGAGCATTCGCACGTGGAACGCACCGAATTTCTCAAATTACTGTCGAGCATCCATACCGGGCTTGCATTATGATTCGATTCGACATTGAAGACCTCAATTCAATTTCGTCACCTTCGTCCAAGGGCTCGAGTCCCGGAAGTAAACGCCGCCAAACGAGTGACGACGACGAGGAATATGTTGAGGGGCCGAGAAAACGTCGGAAGTCCCCTGGAAACACAGACCCAGAACATTACAGTGGTCCTGCCAGACGTACAAGAAAACCCGTTGGTGGGTATACGGTGCTCCCAGACGGACGGATTAGAAAACCCCCATACTAGATTAGACTCGGTGAGTTTCGTTATTCAATTTTTCTATAGACAATTTCAATTATCATTCATTTTGAATAGGGTTCCCAAAACATACAAAGTTAGTTCCTTTGGACCGTGAAAATGGCTAGTAGAACCGGATTTTGGATGTGAGATTCCGTCATTACGTACTTCTAGTCGCTCCTAGAGAGCGAGAGATTTCTTTGTTTCTGGGACGAGGAACATAGCAGAGTCAATCTCAGCCCACATGGTGCAGGACGCAGTTGTTGTAGTATGTGAAATTATTGTGGATGAACCCGAAGGATAGGTCAAGGTCCGCTTATAACCAACAGCGTTCATGAACTATTGTCGATGTGGCATATGCGACGACCGTGTCGTCTGAAGTTGGGGTTTAGAGGAATCTTGTTGGAGCAGGGATTTCAAGGGTAGTGTTGCTTCCGGAGACATAAGTTTCAGTCAATTCAAAGCCAATAATGTTGAGAGTGGGCAAGGCAGGTGTCGCGTACGCAATATCAGAGGCATCATTTGTCTTTCCGTATGGAGAGGGATCAGTGGTGGCTGGTAAGTTTGTGCATGAGTAGTGACCATTACTCACAAGAGGAATAGATATGTATTAGATTTATAGGCATGGTCATTAATCAATATCATATCTGTTAGTATTGGCATAGTTGAGACAGGAAGTTGTTACGGCTGTTGGAGATACATGCAGCAAAAGCTTGCTCGTCGCTGCTGAATCTATTGTTTCTCGATGGTGCAAGACCCTTAAACAATAAAGTCCGAGCCGAAGGTAGTAGACGGCGACCATAGGCGCCTTTCATCCCTCGCTGCAAGCCCCTCCTCGATGACTTTCTCCATTTCTTCGCCCCAGAAGGAAGCATAATCCGCCGCACTGCCAAAGGCGCCCTTCGCAAACGGATCCGCCCCTTGTTTTAGAAGCCACTTGACACGCTCCATCGCTCCGGCCATCACCGCATGGACGATAGCATATTGAGGCTCCATATGTCGTGATACAACCCTGTGGTTCACATTGGCCCCATTGTCGACTAGTAAGCGCATCACAGGGATCCTGCTAACATCAAATTCCCTGCTTGGCTTAACGCGGCCCGCATGTGGGTTGGCCCCTGGAGGGCAAGTACCAGCAGCACGGTGCAAAGGTGCCCCATTTTGAATCAAAGCACCAGCATCAAGTAGCATTTGCACTGTTTCCACACTGCCATGCGCTGCGGCTGTTTCCAGCGCAATGCATGAATCGGTATCAGAAAGGCCATGGCGGTCGTGAAAGCTTTTCTGCTGCCCCAGATTAGGATTTGCGCCGTGTGCCAAAAACCAAGACAGTACAGGCAAGTCGCTGATTACTTTTGGGAGTAGTGTAGCACCATATAGACCCGGGGTATTTGGTGTCCAGCCGTGAGCAGTGAAGAGTTCGAAAAGGGCAATTTGGTGGTGGATTGGGGCCTTTAGAATAAAGTCTGGGGTTTGTCGAACGATAGGTGCGCCGTTAGAAAGTAGATAGCGGGCGGCCTCGATGTTTCCAGCTCGCAGTGCAATCAAGAGTCCTCTATGGAGGAATGCCGGTGTTCGAGCCTCCGAGTCGACAATTTCCGGAATCGTAGATAGCGGGCCATCTTTACAAGCGGAGTCGAACAATGAAAAGGAACATGGTTCGGGGCGTCTATGCTCTAGATCCTCGGCTTTGAGGATGGGAAGATCATCAAAATGGGAACCCATTGCCATAGACCGAGGCTGGAGGCGTTGGCTTGGTTGGGACGTTCTGTCTTCCAGTTCACTGGTCACAGTTCCTGCTTGTTGCTTCCGTGTCATTATCTGCATCTGTTGTTGACGCGCCTTCATCATCAATTCATCCCGAAGCTGCTCCTGAGATGCCATCTGACCCCCTTTTGGTATTATTTTTAAAGGGTCCGATATGTATGGATTGCTGGACGTATAGGTATCAAGGACGGAGAGCCTGCCTGTGGAGGTCAAGCCAAGGTGAGCGATGACGAAAAATGCTCGGTGGTTGTCAGAGGGGTATCTCCACAGGCAAACCTGATCTGACAAGAACAGTGCTCCTGTACTCGTATAATCGGTAACTTTCCGGTCAGTTTAAGCTCATCAGCCGACAAGGACTCTTCAAGAAGCGGAAGTGAAATTAATAACAGTGAAGTTGGTGCTTATGTGTTGCTCAGTTTGGGGGCCAGGCTCCACTCATCAACCCCCTTCACTGCTCTGCACCAAGCTGGATCTGGGGCCGCGTCAGTACGTTTAGGGGCCAACGGGCAGACAGAGGATGTTTCGCAGGAATAATAGAGGTGCCGAGACGTGAATATGTTTCAAATTCACAGTATGGGCATCCATTCCGCTGATGGATCTGACCTGGGACTTCGCTTCTCGGTCGCGAAACCGGTGCCACACTGACCACCGGCAAAAAGACATTCGCTTATGTTGCTATCCATTGTACGTTGGTATCTAGTCTAGGTAATTTGCTCTGATAAATCTTTGAGAATAATTAATTAGCAGTGTATGGCATATTTCCGCATGAGAATGGCGTGCTATGTGATCAGTGAATTGGTAAGCAGGGTAAAGTGTTGCAACTCACAAGAATATATTTAGCCATCTGCGTGCTCCAGCAAGATAGAGATAGAGCATACGGTTTGAACAAAGAGCGACAAATATGGTTGGACGAACGCTTATTGACGTTGCCATTATCGGTGGTGGGCCAGGAGGACTAGGCACGGCCATCGCCCTATCTCAACTCCCGTTTGTTCGGATCACTCTGTATGAGAAAAATCCGGAACCTCGTGAGGCTGGTGCTGGGATAAGTCTCAGTGCAAATGCGTGGAAAGTACTGGACTTGCTTGGAGCCAGCGAGGAGGTCAAGGGAGGATCCAAGTCAAACACACATCAACGGTACTCTGAAATTTTCAGCGTGTGGCTAGAGATTTGAATGCATTCTAACCATATTTCTGAATAGTAATGCATTTACAGGTGATGTTCTCGGCGTGGTTAAATCACCTGAAAACGCACAGGCAGACTCCCGTGGGGCGATTCGTGCCCGCAGGACACGCCTCCAATCGGCACTGCTCTCTCGAGTGCCAGAAGGCACTATCCAATATGGAAAGAAGCTCATTCATCTAGAGAATCTGCCGACTAGAGGAGTGCGTTTAGTCTTTCATGATCAAACAGAGGCAGTTGCAGACCTTGTTGTCGGGGCAGATGGGATACAATCTGTTCGTCGAAGCCTTAGAGACCTCATTTTCAAAATTCAAAGGCGCGGGCTTATAGTGAACTTTTCTCTAGATTGTTCGCCGGACATTATTGCCAGATCATCACCTCTCTTTCACGGGAACCATTGCGTGGCGGGTGATTGTGGCCAAAGCATGCCTGGCTCATATCCCGGACATCACAACTTCTACGAGCTGGTGGTGGGGTGAATCGGGCCACGTCTATTTCTCAGATGTCGATGATGAGGATGAAAAGAACCCTTACTTTGAAATCACTGTGCGTGGATATCGTGAGCCCGAGATCCTAGGGAGGACTGTTGTCTGGGGAGTTCCTGCCACTAACGATCGCGTCGCCTCTCGTGTTGAGGTACGGGGCGTCTACCTTTCCCTTAAACCTAGATAAACTACCAAAGCTAATTTTCCAACAAGAAATACGATCGACGAATAAAGGACGCTGTGAGCATCGTACCAGAAGGAGCCTGGAGAGAGTTCGCCATGTTTGCAGGGCCACGCCTAGACAGGATCATTGGCTGGGACAACAAGGTCGCCCTTATCGGAGATTCCAGTCATCCTCTCTCCGGTAAGTCTTCGTTCACTGGGAAGTATATTCTAATGTACAGGGTTCTCATTATGCCTTAGGTGCTTTTGGTTCAGGCGCAACATTTGCCATGGAAGACGGTTGGATTCTTGCACGGGCCTTGGATTACTCTCAATCACTTGGTCTTTCTATAAGAGACGCTCTCGAAATCTTCAACAATATCCGCTCTCCATATTATGCCAGAATGTATGAGCATCTGGATGAATTAGAGGAGAAGATGCGAAAATCGCGACAAGAAAGCAAAGACTTCGATGACTTCCTACGTGCCAAGATTAAGTACTTGATATATGGAGACAAGGACTTCATTTACAAGAATGACATTCAGAAGGTTTGGGAAGACTACATAGTATCAGCAGAAGGACAACCACGATAGAGAGTTTCAAGAAGCTGAGATCTCTTATATTTTTGTGAAATGAAAATGAATACTTCACACCAATGTTCTATGCCAGTCTTGGGTATACCAAACCTCTTCCAATGGAGTCAGTGGGAGAATTGGAATCTCAGGGTGGGACTCGCCCGTAAATCACAAGAACCCCGCTTCCTCCAGGGAGACATCTTGGAAAATCGTTGCCCAGTCGTGTCACATCTACGCCTATCATGGAGCAGATCACTCTTATCAACCAAGAACCTCCATCTTTCTGCATTAGCTCGGCCGGTCGCGGCCGCAGCGGAATCTGATTTTTATCCGTCCATCGTCCTTTCAAGGTCAAAGGAAGTACAATATGCCCCGATTTCTCTGGACAGTTAAATATACAGATCCACCCATGGCCGATGCATCGCACTACCAACAATTTACTACCCTCAAGAATCAATGATCGATATGAAATATCCGACAATTTCTCTCGGTTTGCTTACATACTCATCTCGGGGATTGTGGCTGATTCAACATCAACTATCAATGGTGTTTTCTTTGAGACCCGAGCTCACTGGATGCGCTTAACAAATAAAGCAGCGTGACATCGGAGATCACCATGCCAGTTTGCGGCATTCGGCACCGTTATCGTCGATCATACCGACTCTTCCACTGACAAACTGGTCTGTATGAACATCGACGAGAATAGCAAGACAGGGAACCCAACTCTACACGGTACAAGCCGACGAACTACAGACGCTTGATTTGGATGTCATGAATCTAATCGTGATCACAGGCGAAATTTCAGCAATCAACAATTGCACTAATATTCTCACCAACCCCGAGGGCGAGTTTCGACTAACAGCATCCGAGGCGCAAAATGCATTTGCCGACCTGAGTTTATACACAAATACTGAGAGTTGCCCAATGGTAGGTCCTCCTCACCTCAAGAAGTGGGAGCATCGAAGTCTTGTTTTGAACCCAATTGATTTGAGCAAGTGTGTCTCCGTAATTCGCTGGGAGGGCTTCAGAGAATACATCTATGGAATGTCATTGCGACACTTACCGAACATGGATGGGGTCAGATTAAAATCCCGTCAATTGACGTTTTTGAAGCTTCTTATGACTTACCAACAAGATCGGGCCTCATCAGCAATGTTCTGAGCAACGAAACTGATCCTTACTTTCTGTGGCAATATGATCCAAGTTACCCATGTCCAAAGGGCTGTTCACGAACTCAGACAGGGCTAATTGTGTGGCATCTTGATTATTCGGAATTGAAGGCTGCGAACTAGATTCATGTATATCCCGAGGAAGATGTCCACATGCTACGATATTCGAAATCAACCCATGGAATTCGAGAATCAATATTAGAGAACAGAATCCCATCTATCGGGTCTACTTCCCGATAAATTCCCTTCGAGCTGCGGCAATTATACCTCCTCTGGACCTATCTGTTCAAATCGAGAGGTACATGATATGCCACCATTTATGGAAGTTATCTACTTGGTAAACATCCACGCCGTCTTATGGGCATTATTTTCCTACAGTCAAGGCCCTAGATAGGTTCTCAGACTTGCGTTTGCACGCAAACGCGACCATTATAAACATGTTCCAGGGACATATACGCGATATTCAAGCTACTATCTTGTATGTACAGTCAAAACTGAAGATTCCACATTGTATCAAGACACCGTCGCCAAATGGCTCCGAACAGGCACATTCTCCTCTCTTCCTGGCTCTGGAAACCCGGACACTTTGACGCCCTTCCGGAAAAGCAAGCAGTGGGTAGACCCACCAAAGTGGAACATGCCGATTTCATCACCCTTGTTGAGATGATCACCTTCTTTGACTGTGATGTCACAAGTCGAAACTTCAGCCATTCCTACACCAATGAACGCCATCAATCCAATAGCCGGCTCGTCCGCCTCTATAAAGATAAGTGCACGGGTGGCGGTTGCTGTGATGTACGACTGCGAGATGACCTGTCCTTCCAAATCGATATCCTCAGAATGGGCTGCCGGGTTACCGACACCCTCGAAAAGTGGCTCCGAGTAGTACGTGCCATCCACAACATAGGCCTTCACGACTTTTCCACTAACGGGTGCATGCCAGCGATGATAGCTCAACGCACTGAGGAACGCCTGGTACACCGTACCACCAACGAACTGCGATGCGAGCTCGTCATGACCCAACATATCGAGCACAGAGTACGGCTGACTCTTGATCCAGAATTTATCGCGGGCGCGAACATTGTGGGCAAGTCGGTATGGCTTGGACTCACACGCGTTGGCAATCACACGACCGTTGTCAGGCTCAGCAACCGGGCGCATCCCTTCAGAAAACTGTCTCGTGAAGAAATCATCCCAGGAGTTGAAGCCAAAACTCGGCGCGGATGGGTCGCACTGGAACATATTATGGAATTCCAAATTATCAGCTGCCGTTAGTCCGACTCTCGCTGCGATTGTCAGGTCACGGTGGCCCGTCTCGCCGAACCAGCCATGGGAGGTAGTGTTCAAAACCTCAGCCGAAGCGGGCGATCGCAAGAACTCTCCCCATGCATTGAGAACTTTCTTCAGCATGGCGTTGATCTCTGGGTCTAAGAATGCAGCATAACCACTAGGGGTGCCCATTGCCCAGTCCAGGACAGCATTGATGGGTAGGCCGACCAGGCCAATTCGGTGAGCCTTGTCGGTCCACGACGGGGCCGAGGTGAGCAGATGATTGAGAACTCGCAAGAAATGATCATAGTCACGGATCTGAGCGGTCCCGGTGGGATCCTTGCTGTATGGCTTCTTGTGCGGGACTTCTCTAAACATGCCAGTTAAGAGCATGTAGACCCTGGTGTTGCTTTCGATCAACTGCTTGAATTCCTGAAGAACCGGATGCAGGGCCTTTTCACTCTTGTCGACTTTCTTGATCACCCCGTCGAGCCATTCGCGGTGGGCTGCATGGTCTGCTGGCATCCAATGGCCAAAACTGGTGGATGATCGAGTCAGAGGAGGCGATGGTGAGTTCTGGGATGGGAATATACATACTGATGCAAGTGGTGAGTATCTTTCTTCGACGGCATTATGATAAATGTGATCAGAACACGATTAGAAAGAGTCTGAATAAATATCCTGGCTCTGCTACCCTGTCGAATGATCGAAGGAGGTGAAGTTGATGAAATAAAAAAGCTTGTCTATGACAATCTTCTTGGCAAGCGATTGATCTATTTAAGTTGGTTAGTTGTTTGCTTCAAGTTGCATCATCGTGACGGGCGTAGACGAATGAAAGGCACGGAAGAAGTCGCTATTATTAACGCTTAGGCCCGTCTGGGTAAGCAGTCCCCGTGTCTTGGCAGTTTTGCAGGAAAACCTGGAGGCCCTCCGAGTATCCGGGGGAGATGATGTCATTGCCAGCTACGGTGCCATTCACCCACTGTTGACGATCAGGAGATGCGTATAGATCTTGACGTGGCCTGATTAAGGCAATATACACTGTTAAATCTTTCTTGATCCCCTAATCTATGTGGAGTGGAACTCCATATGCTAGAGAATTGAGTTGTCGCATTGCCCATCGAATTGATTACTACCGAGGGACCAGGTGAGGGGGATAGGATTATGGCAAAGGTTATGCCTAATTTGATGCGTTGTATCTTGCCATTTGTCTAAACTGGTTCTTTTTAACACCCATCACACCGTTCATTTTTATCTGCAGAAACATTTCTCGCGCCTAGATCGGCTCACAAGCCCTCTCCTGGTATGAACAGCCTTTGTCTGGCCAAGGCCCAACCAACAATATGGTCACCAGTGTTGGTTCAGACCATCCCGTTGGTGGTGAACTCAATCGTTATCCGAAAGCCGTTGGTGTAAGGCAGCTGTCCATTTTCGATCGGGTTTTGATTGTTGGGATCTGCAGTCGTGTTCTGAGAGCCTTCATGGTGCTTCATCACTGTGTCAACATCGCCGTTAACCCCGTTCACATTGTTCATACCGTGGACTGTATTGATTCTATTAACTCCACTCATGCCGTTCATTCTCATTAGTTCGTATAATATCGCTGTCAGTGTCCAGGTCGCTACTCCCCGCGCTGGAGGTCTCCATGGAACCTGTATCGTCACTCTCGACCCTGGGCTCAGCACAGACGTGACTGAGTGAGTCATCGCCATCGTTTGTCTCGATTTCCATAGAAATATCGCCCGTCGCACTCATGCCATCCTTGAGAGAGTACGATTGAATGTCGTTGTCTAAGTAACGGATGTACGGCTCCCCCCAGGTTCTCCCAAACTCCGCCTTGACATGATCCAGATACTCCCGTATCTGATCCTTCAGCAGACTGAGAAAGTATATGTCAGGCCAACCATCACAAGCCTCCATATGAAAGTCTCGAGAGTCGAAGAAACAAAGTCGTACGAGGTCGGCACAAGCAACAGCCCCAAATGCAAGCGGACGACAAAAAGTGGACTGAACGAGACATCAGTCTCGCAGGGACGGCTGGCGACTCGAATGACATTCACCCCTTCAAGCGAAGCTGGTAGCCTTCGTCGGGAGGAAACCAGTACGCCAGGATGCTCGTCCAGACACTGGCAACGTCCGTAGCTGTGCACTGGTAGCCAATGAGATCCGTTTGGTCAATTAGTGCTTCGCAGTTCAGGATCTGTGGTAGGTGAGACATAGCAAGTTAGCCTTTCATGACCAGTCAAAAGCAGTGCTGGTTTAGAGAACGCGGTGACGCGCGCGTTTGACTTACACGCGGTCTTCTCGGTTCGGGGAATTCCATCATGGCTGACTGTCATGATAATCCTGGTTTGGGACTGGTTTTCACTGTGCTGGAAGCCGAGCGCTGTTTGAGGAAAACGGCCGGGTGGCTCAAATATGCTTGTGGAAGGATGGAAACTTCATGAAGTGAATGTGAAATTTGCACTTAACAGATCGCGTCTCCTGGGTTGTTTGCTTTCATTACCCTGGTGACTCTGTCCCCAACCCAAGGCAACTACCTCATCCTCTAGGTAGCACAGTCATCGCTCTCAAGACATGAAATTTGCATATTGATATTCGATGATACGTTGTGTTGAATCCTAGAATTTCCCCCTGTATAGAGAGACCTCGATGCTAGTTACTGTCAGCCGAATAACATATCGATTAGGTTAGTGCGATGGGCAATCGTTGGATTTTATTCGCCTGAGACACCTCAATAGCAGTTTGCCGATACAAGTTGACAGTAACAGTAACTCACCTCAAATATCCTCGAAGTGAGCTACTCTGACGTTGACTGCTCTGCAGTGAACTTGGGGAATCGGTTCCAATCCTGGCGCCAAACCTCCTCAGCGCAGGAGGCCACATAAAGTTGACGAGACAATTCTGGCCTCGTATGTTGAATGACGAAATGAACCATTGGTATGCCCCCAAGACATGCAGTCGACCCACCAAGTAGTTATTTGCTGCAGAGTGTCAGTGACTCTTTGACAGAGACAAATTCCAAAGGCCACCGTCAGTCACCTACAAATGCTATTGGACTACAACAATATTCGCCCCATCTGCTCTGTTTATTGGACTTCTTCGGTTATAGCTCATGTCCCTCGGCATCTGGGATTGGAGATCACGTCTGACCTATCATTGCGCACTCTGACATTCGTCTTGAATGATATCGATTCTGCTCGCCTACGAGAACTTTTTTTCTCGGGGGTTACCACGTGTTACTACACAATGGGCAGAAAGTAAAACGTATCAGGAACTTTCAATATATAACTATGGATCTAGGCTTATTGTTATCCTCTTTTTTCTCCTGATCTCCATTCCCTCATCTCTTAACATCAGCAAAAGGGAAGGCGATGTGGGCCCGGCACATCCACCGTCCCACGACTCCTTTCAAGGATGCGTATCACTAGAAAGCTCTAATGTAGCTACAATATCCAAGAGGGTGAATTCAGGAATAAGCCAAGATTGCTGAGGCATTTTCTTGCAAGTGAAGCGCTTTGAACTCCAGCATTTCATTGTTTCAGTATACACATAACAGAACCCGAGATATTCCGAGCTGCCTTAATAGTAAAGTGGATGGTGCGAATTCAGTTCAACTAGTGTACAGTGGCCCTGCAATTCGGTAGCCAGACAAAGGTACAAAGCTTGGATCGATCGTCATTCAACAAAGTCTGGTGTGGAACTCCGAGGATCTCCCGACCGGTCGATCTTCCTCGGTCAGCGAACGAGGCAAAACAGCCTTTTGACTACATGCTCGCCGACTAACGATATAATAATCCCAAATCTGCGGTTTCAAACCCGCAATAGACATCATTATCACCGATAAATACTTTAGAAACAAACAAACCAATCATTACTCCAAATTTCGGCTGGACGGATGATCTCTGATACCAAACTCGGCTTGCCGGTCTCCTCCAGTCCGGTGGGGCCGACTCCAAGGCATGCCGATTCCGTCGGAAAGAGCAGGGTCGAGACTGTGTCGGTCCCTCTTCGGTGTTATCAGCACCCACGCCGATAAATGGTGCAGCGGGCATCGTCCGATGCCGGTCAAGGCTGTTACCAGGTGGCGCTTCAATCTCTGCATACAATTCGTCCTCATTCCCGCGGTCCACAAGACTCATGCAACAAGAGATTGGTTTGTACCGGGCCACTCCCAGTCCTGCATGAAAAGCACAACACAGTGACGATAATGAATGAGACAGAGACTCTCATCCTGTAATTGGGCAGCTATTTTAGTGACTTCTTTCCGTCGCGCGACGCAGGAAGCGCGAACCTGATGCTTTCAAATAGAAAAGCCGAGGTCGGAGCATAGTAGCCCAAACTACAGAATGCATACAGGAGCTGTATTGCAGATGAAAATTCTAATTGATCAAATAACCAGCCTGAGAGCACGTTTGATCATTATGGAGCATAACCGGACTAACCCCCACACCTGAGCGTCGCAGTTCCGTGTCGCCGTACTTACAAACCATGAGTTTTGCGGATGACGACAGGCAGTACCCCTAGGAAAGGTGACTTTATATGGGGAAATATCTCTCTCATCTTTTTTCAAGTTTTTTCTCTCATGCCACGTCCTCTTCCTAGAGTCCAAGACAATTTCACAACATGAAATCGAAACAACAACAGCCTATCACGGCTTCCCATGATGAGAATGTGCCTTCCTCTGGGTCCTCAGTCGCCGTGAAAGAAAGTCCTCAAAAGTGTTGGATCGTTGGAGGAAAATACCGAGAGACAGTGTGCGAGGATGATTCACAGGGATTTGAAAGTCGGCTATTACAGGAGGTGGAGATTGACCTTCCCCTTACTGTGACCAAGCCGACAGAACATGATGGTCAGAACTTTATTGCCCTGGAGTTCGCGGAGAGGGACAAGGAGAATCCATTCAATTGGAGTGGAAAGAGAAAAGCCTTTATCAGCCTTCTCCTTTGTTTAATGACACTCTTCATCGGTCTTGCAACGACAGCATACAGCTCCGGTATTTCTCGAATGACTGAGGACCTGGGTGTCACATCAGAGTTAGGGCAATTGGGCCTGTTTACCTTTAACTTCACTTGTGCTCTTGCACCTCTTTTTCTGGCTCCTTTCTGTGAGTTAGCGGGTCGACGAGTCATATACGTTGGTGCCTATGTCTGCTTCGCTCTCATGTTCATTGGCCTGTCACTGGGCAAGAACATTGCCACCATTTTGATCTGCCGTGCTCTGCTTGGTCTCTTTGGCTGCGTTGGCACCATTCTTGTTGGTGGCACTTTCGGAGATATGTATACTCCAGCCCATCGTGCTATTCCGATGGCCTGTTTTGCTTTCGTTGCCATTTTCGGTACCGTCGCAGCCCCCATCTACGCGGGCTTCATCGATCATGCTCTCGGCTGGAGATGGGTTGAGGGCATTCAGGGTCTGGCCAACATTCCTTTGGTCATTGCTATCACTATTTGTCTCCCGGAGACTCGCGGTGGCGTGACGCTTAGCAAGCGGGCTAAGATGATTCGCCAATCTACCGGAGATGAACGCTTCGTCACTCTCAACGATCTAGAGGCACCCGGCATCAAGGAGATGCTGCACAACTCTTCGGTGAAGGCTATTCAGATGCTGTTCTCTGAGCCTGTTGTCTTTGCCTTTGGTCTTTGGATCAGCTTCGCTTGGTTCCTAACCTTCCTATTTCTCTCTGCTATTCCTATTACTTATCAGGAGAAGCGTGGCTGGGGTGAGGGTCTGTCAGGCCTGCCTTACATTGCTCTTTGTGTCGGTACAACCATCGGCTTTGCTCTGAACTTTTTCCAGATTCGAAAGTATAAATCAATCATCGCCGACCCGAACAGGGAGGCTCATCCCGAGGCTCGTCTCTACGGAGCCTTGTGCGGTGCGGTTTGGCTACCCATCGGCCTTTTCATCTACAGTTTCACCCAGTATAAGGAGCTGTTCTGGTTTGGTCCCATCGTCGGTCTGGTGCTTATTGCTATCGGCATCTTCTTCATCTTCGAGTCTTGCTACAGCTACACCTCTGACTGCTATGGTGAGAACTCATCATCTGCTATTGCTGGTCAGGGTTTCATGCGTAACACGCTCGGTGCTGTGTCTCCCCTTTTTGCCTCGCAGCTCTTCCACAATCTTGGTAGCCAGTATGCAGGTCTGCTGCTAGCTCTCATCGCTACTCTTCTGACATTAACTCCATTTGTACTGTTCAAATTTGGACCCGATTTGCGGGCAAGATCCAAGTTGGCTAGCACTACCGTCAGTCTGGGTACAGGCAGTTTATGAGATTGAAAAGCGGAACGAGGCAACCATTGACGTGTTTTAGGAAAGAAGAGCTCATGGTCCACGGTCAACTGAATCGTTCTCTACAGTAACTGTCGGATCATGAATATAATGTGTATAGAAAAATTGGACGAAAATAAACGAATTCCAACCAACATGATTCCCTTTGCCTTCTTGCTGCCAAGATCAGACGGGCCACGGCTTCTTGTGTACGCTCTATGGTAGCGCTTTGCATGCCCTCACGGACAACAACGTTCGTTCATCACGCATGCTAGGTGAGCATGCTACAGTCAAATTATGTTATGAACTTAATAGGAATTTTGGGGCAGAAGGGGGAGTCTGGGCATTGTATAGATCCCATTACACAATACATTGTGCACAATGCCATGGGATGAGCATTGACAAAGTGTCCGATCAGCTTGTTATATTTCTTCTTTGTCTTCCGCCTCGATTTCAAGGGATCTGCACTAGTCCACATATGGCGGTGCTCATCTGGCTTGGTGACTTACAGGCTTCTCATTAGTAAACCTTGAAATGTTAGGCATCAATATGCGGAAGCCATAAGGGGGTCGAGGACAGTGGCCTCTGGCGGATGCCGCACCCGCCCCTAGTTGCGGAACCGATTCCATCGAAAGTTATTGGTTGGAAGCGAAACCGCCCCATCAATAATCTCAGGATATAATTTTTCGTAATGAATACACCCCAGGTTTTAAGGGGACTTGCAGACCAGCGGAAGAAAAATACACCAGCGGAACACGATCTGCTTCGACCATTTATTTTTATTTTTCCAGCGTTATAAGTTGCGGCCATACGGAAAGAAGCGATTGGCCGATAATCCGCTCCATAACAATATAATTTTTTTCCAGTTTTTGAGTCCGAATAGAGAGCGTAGACTCGCGGAACGGGAACATTTGTATTCTCTCGAACAAACAACATATTTTCTCCCTCGATGAGTTTAACGCCTAGCCCAAATGTCACAACAAAATGCTAGCCCACCGCAACGATTCTTCGCCCTCCATAGTCCAGAGAGACATCTAGAGCATTCTCAATCTCGGCGATAGTAGGAAGAGGGTAAGGTAAGTCAGCTGCGTAGAATAGAATTTCGAAGGCTGTCTTCATTGTAATTCAAGTTCGGTCAGTGGATAAGCTGACAGGTGCAACGTAGGCATAGGAGAGTGACAGCACCCCTCCTATGAAGGATACTGATTGCAGATGCGTTTTTGTTTCAATTGTAAGAGATTAATAAAGCATGAATGTATCTGAACAGTACATTGTTTGAAGATAAGAATAGTAAGAATAAATCAGGAGGGTATATATGTCTATCCTATTATGAAGAATTTTTGAATAGGGCGCCCACTCCAATCAGAAATTCCCAATCCAGTCAACATCTCAAGGCGGTCAGTCGTGCACATGACCATACCACACTTGGCGGTCCAAAGTCCGGCAGAACCTCAAGGCGGTAACCGAAATATTTTACATGCCGAGTTTTTTCAACTTCACGATCACGATCTTCACTCCACCCATTTTCCGCCAGCAATTCCCTGTGTTTACACGGCAGTGATCCTTTGCGTGAGCCATTTCTCAAAAGATTTGGTTTCTGAACTCCGTTTCATCTCCCTCCACTTATAACTCCCCGCACCGTCGCAATGGCTGAGGAAACTGGTGTCGCCTGGCCCATCGCCGATGAGGCTATGAGCCAGCAGCTCCTGGATCTCGTCCAGCAGGCTACCAACTACCGCCAGGTCAAGAAGGGCGCTAACGAGTGTGTTCTAACCCCCATCCATGTGCACCTCGAGCCATGCTTCAAGGACCAGGTCACTCTTGATCAAAAAGGTGGTTGCTAACTTTTTCTCCCTTCTAGGACTACCAAGACTCTGAACCGTGGTACCTCCGAGCTCGTTGTCCTCGCTGCTGAGTAAGTCTTTCGTTGATTCTGCTCGTTATCTTCTCAAAATACAATCCCATGCTAATGTGTGCCATAGCACCACCCCTCTGCCCATCATTCTCCACCTCCCCCTTCTGTGCGAGGACAAGAACGTCCCCTACGTCTACGTTCCCTCCAAGATGGCCCTTGGCCGTGCCTGTGGTGTCAGCCGTCCCGTCATCGCCGTGTCCATCACCACCAACGATGCCAGTGAGCTCGCCAACCAGATCCGCGCCATCAAGATCCAGGTCGAGCGCCTGATGATCTAAGCAGTCGGTCAAGGCTGGAGATTCGTGGAGGAATATCTTGAGATGGAGCAGGACTTGAAGCTTGCAGTCCGCTGTCATGGCGGATGCGGGATATTTTCCGGAAAGAAAATGTTGGCACTTTGTTGCTGTATAATCCCGCCCCTTGCTAGTGAAGTCTTTGGCTAGATTTCTCCTTGGCTTGAGGTATCAATTCAGAATCTTTTTTTGAGAATTTCATCGTCCATTTACCGCAGCGGTCGAGATTGCTGAGCGCTGCATAGCGTAGTGAATGTCGCGTAGTTGAGGGGTAACTACAGAGTCGTTCAAGGATCACTGCAGATCTGAGATATAGCGTTCTTTGGTTAAAGTATAAGTATAATGGGATGCCACCCCGGAAAAAATCGATCCCGATAGATAAAGGATTAGCGTTACTTGGTTCATCTTTGCAACGTCTCCAATTGACATAATCTGACAAAACTTCTCTGACAGATAATATTGTCCGTCAGACCGTCCCTCCACTACCAACCGCAACGACCAACTTCGACACGTTTAGGGTCAATCTCGACCATAGTGGTCAGCGTACACCGATTTAATTAACTTAACCCAGTTGCGCTATGCCATAAGGCTCCCCTGAGGCTGGCGTTTAACCGAACAGATCGGCCAGCGCTTGCCGGCCCCGTGGACCCGCAATCAATTCTGAGGCAAGCTAAAAGGAGGCTAAATTATCCCCAAACACGATGGAGCCAGGGGACCGTCACAGACAGAGCAACGTGAATGGATCATGGCCCTCAAAAGGAACCCATAGCGCGTAAGCAGCTGGTCACCAACTCGCCGATCAATCAATGTCAGACCGGCGTCTGTCCGTCTCGGGTCTTCTTTTGCCCTCCTCCAATCTCAATGCCGTATCCAAAATCCAGCATGGAGCACCAAATACTCGAATCGGTCGGTAAATCTAGCTCACCCCCGAGCTTGCACTTCATATCAGAGCTATCAATCACCTTGATATTATCTGTCGCTTGTCAGTTTCCTGATATGGTGTGGCACCATGTGGAACTACAGCGACCAAGCCAAGGGGCCATACAGTTCGTCTTGTCTCTCCTTGGGGCTCGGGCTCTGGGGTCTTTGGGTTTAGCGTGCAGAATGGCCCCGAATGGTCCGACTGAAGTATATGGAAGAATTCCCTTCTTTCGGTTCTCGTACTGTACCCCGTCTTTGATCAGGACCGTCAGCCAGCGCCGAGTTTGAGATATAACCTCTGGCATCTCCTCCAGCCTTGCTCGAAGTCCAGGAGCCGTCTTCCTTGGTTCTTCCTTCTTTGCGTTCATTCTCGTCATTACATTCTTTCTGTGTTTTCCCTTTTTTATTCACTCTTTCAAAACCCCAAAAGCCAAGATCTCATCATGATCTTCAACGCTGCCCTCCTCGCAATCGGCCTGGTGCCATTGCTGGCAACCGCCCAACTGGCTGGCACCGTTGGCCCAACCACTTCCTACGCGACCAAAGCAACCAACAAGGTCTGCAATGTTCTGGACCACGGTGCCGTCGCCGACAAAGAGACCGATATCGCTCCCGCTATCACTTCAGCCTGGAGCGCGTGCAAGAGCGGCGGCGTGGTCTACATCCCGTCCGGCGACTATGCCCTCGGATCCTGGGTCACACTGACCGGTGGTACGAGCACTGCCATTCGTCTGGACGGAACCATTTACCGGACTGGTACTGCCGGGGGTAATATGATCTTCATCGAGCATACCTCGGACTTTGAGCTGTTCAGCTCGACTTCCAAGGGTGCAGTGCAGGGCTCTGGTTATGAGTTCCATAAGGAGGGATCTTTGAGCGGGCCTCGAATCCTCCGTTTGTACGAGGTCACGGACTTTTCAGTCCATGATCTTGCTCTGGTTGACTCCCCGTCTTTCCATTTCTCCATGGATACCTGTGAGAATGGCGAAGTGTATAACATGGCTATTCGTGGTGGTAACTCTGGTGGTCTGGACGGTATTGATGTGTGGTCTACCAACATCTGGGTTCACGATGTACGTATAGTCTATCAGCTGATCCCTTCTCGCATTCAATATGCCTAACCCATTCTCTAGGTTGAGGTCACCAACAAGGACGAATGCGTTACTGTCAAGGTAACAATACCCCCTATCTAGCGCTTAATCCATTACATGAGACACATCTAATCCTTGTACAGAGTCCCGCCAAGAACATCCTCGTCGAGAACATCTACTGCAACTGGAGTGGTGGCTGCGCCATGGGCTCCCTGTCGACCGACGTCAACATCTCCGACATCCTTTACCGTAACGTCTACACCTGGTCCTCGAACCAGATGTACATGATCAAGAGCAACGGCGGCAGCGGCACAGTATCCAACCTGGTCCTGGAGAACTTTATCGGTACGTCCCATCCTCTCTCTCCTAAGCCTTCCCCAATCAACCCGCGCAACCCATCAATACTAACAACCACACAGGCCACGGCAACGCCTACTCCCTCGACATCGACCAGCAATGGAGCAGCATGGCCACCGTCGACGGCGACGGCGTCCAACTCAACAACATCACCATCAAGAACTGGAAAGGCACCGAAGCGAACGGCGCCCAGCGCGGACCCAACAAGGTGAACTGTGCCGCCGGCGCTCCCTGCACCGATGTCACGATCGAGGACTTTGCCATGTGGACCGAGTCCGGCAGCTACCAGAACGAAATCTGCAACAACGCATACGGCTCGGGTGCCTGCCTGAAGTCTGGAAGCGGTGGCTCGTACAGCACCACGGTTACAGTTAAGACTGCGCCGACTGGGTACTCCGCGGCGACGATGGCGGCGGATCTGAAGACTGCCTTTGGGACTGTTTCGCCGATCCCGATTCCTACGATCCCAACTTCGTTCTACCCTGGTGCGACGCCGATTAGTGCTTTGGCTGGTGCGGAGGCGACTTCGGCGTCAGCGAATTCGTTGTTAGCCACTTCATTGTCGTCAACTTCGGTGTCATCGACTTCCTCGTCAGCGACTTTGGTGTCAGCTACTGAGGTATCAGCATGCTCTGCATAGTCTCCAGGTCCTTCTATTCTTCTGTGACCTCCCTCCTGCTGTCTTGATTAAATATCTCGCATTGATTTTGTATGTCTTTCGCCTCTCGCCTCGCCAAGAGGCAAATGCAAGCAAATTCACTGTGGAATTTCCCATTTCAAATACTGTACAATATCCGCAAAAATGGCAGAGTTTTTTATCGGCGACTCTACCATAGCTCTACCAAAAACCGTAAATGCCCCAACCAGGTAAATAGTCAGTACGTTCGTGGCGCACCCCCCTTTTCCATCTGGGCGAATCCGCCCAAAAGTGTGGGCAAGTAACACGCGAACAAACACCCAAAACACCAAACGCCCTGACGGAAGGAGTTCCATCGATCACGCCATCAAAGGATCCAATTGAACACGGGCAACCTCGCAAATCAGAAACCAACCCAGTACAAACCAAAGGAAGGAATGCGCTTTGATAGAGTTTACGACGCGCCTTCGAGGGACCCTGATTCGACAGTCCGCCCTTAATGCAGCTTCCACGCTGCTTCCGCCAGGGTCGACGTTGCAACGAGGAACTGAGGTCCCCACATCGAGCGGAGCTTCTCCTCGATATAAACACGAGCGGAAGAGACATAATATAACCCAGGGGGAAAAGAAAGCTGCGGTGTTTGGATTCATTTTCTTTTCACATCCAGCACTCACGAGCAGCTGCCATGTCCTCCACCAAATCACCAGCGAACGAGCCCACCGCGCTCGGGTCTATACCCGCAGACGCGACCCCGCCAGAGTCAGACTCAAGTCTCGATACAGCCTACAAGGCCAAAGCAGACGTGCTGAACCGCGCGATTCAAGACATCGGCATGGGCAGATACCAGTGGCAGCTATTCGTGGTGATCGGATTCGGCTGGGCCAGCGATAACCTCTGGCCGATCGTGACATCACTCATTCTCCCGCCGGTATCATACGAGTTCCACGCCTCAAAGGCACCACTACTCACGCTCGCCCAGAATATCGGGCTCCTCGTCGGGGCAGTATTCTGGGGTTTCGGGTGCGACGTGTTCGGGCGCAAGTGGGGGTTCAACCTGACGATTGGTATCACGGCGGTGTTTGGGTTAATCGCGGCGGGCTCGCCCAATTTCGGTGCTGCGTGCGCATTCGCGGCGCTGTGGTCTGTTGGTGTTGGTGGAAATCTGCCGGTGGATTCAGCCATTTTCCTGGAGTTTTTGCCTGGTTCGCATCAGTGGCTGTTGACGGTTTTATCCGTTGATTGGGCGTTTGCGCAGTTGTTGGCGACTCTGGTTGCATGGCCGCTTCTGGGTAACATGACCTGCGGCTCAGAGGAAGGTTGCACGAGAGCGAACAATATGGGGTGGCGCTATTTTTTGATTGCCATGGGCGGGTTGGCCATGATCATGTTCGTCGTGCGCTTTGTGTTCTTCACCATCTTCGAGTCGCCCAAGTACCTGATGGGCAAGGGGAGGAATGCCCAGGCAGTCGACGTTGTGCATGAAGTTGCGCGCAGGAACGGCCAGAGCTCGTCATTAACTCAGAACGATCTTGATAATTTCGACGAGGGCGAGTCGCGTGGTTTCACAGCGAGTAACATTGTTCGCCAGCGCCTGGACAAGCTTCGTTTCGAGCATATTCGAGCTCTTTTCGATACGCCCAAGAGAGCGTACTCCACCGCTCTGATCATTCTCGTTTGGGCGTTTATTGGTCTCGGTTTCCCTCTCTACAACGCCTTTCTCCCATACATCCAGCAGTCACGGGGTATCGAGTTTGGCGATGGCTCGACATACATCACATACCGAAACTCCCTGATCATCGCCGCAATGGGCATCCCCGGATGCCTTCTCGGTGGCCTCCTAGTGGAACTCCCACGTTTCGGACGAAAAGGTGCACTATCAAGCTCAACGGCATTAACAGGTGTATTCCTACTCGCATCGACAACGGCAAGGACATCAAATGCCCTTCTAGGATGGAACTGTGCGTATAACTTTATGAGCAGTCTCATGTACGCCGTGCTGTATGCATACACTCCGGAGATCTTCCTGACGAAAGATCGAGGAACTGGAAACGCATTGACAGCAAGTGCCAATCGAATTTTCGGCATTATGGCGCCTATTGTGGCGATGTTTGCGAACTTGAACTCTGCCGCGCCGGTTTATGTGAGCGGGGCATTGTTCATTGCTGCGGGCATTCTGGTCATTTTGCTGCCTTATGAGTCCCAGGGTAAGGCAAGTCTGTAGGGTGTTGCATAGCTAGATTCATAGACGAAGATGACATGTCTGAAAGCATTCAGACCGAGTTGATTTTGGTCGAATACAATACAATGACGGGAAGTATTGAACGTCCAATCCGGAGTACATCCTGGATTACTGAGTCCACTGTACTGACGCCTCCGCCCCACAAAATTCAATATAAAACACTCCAAACAAGCCACGCCTCCAAACCCGGCATGACATCATCCCTGCAACGGCCACGCCCAATAGATACACAAACACACTCAGATGATGTAGACACAAAACCTGTATATCACCAATCATCTAATCACCCAGTTCTCACAATCACGATCATCCCACCGTAGCCACAGCATCAATATAAGAAACTTCGTCTCGTACCATACCTCCGCCACCTCTCAACGACCCCGGAGAATATCAACCAATAGGCTCTCAATTCTCTAGCCAACATCGATGAGATCAACATTCTGTGGATACTCCAGTGTCTTTTTTACGTCAGTTTATCTCGACTGGATCCGATCGGGTGGCTATCATATCGCGGCGATGATGTTGGGAGGGGTTTCTGTGCGAGGAACATCCAACCCAGCGGCGGTTGTTCGCTGGTCCGTTGCGCGTGGTCCACATGACAGTGTGGCTTGTGGTCTTGTATGTGGGGTGGTTGTACGTTGTATCTATTATATCATATCTCATCGCTGGAACCTGTTTGGAAACCTGGTTTGGGGGGTATGGTAGGTATAAAGGTAGACTAGATAAATCTACAGGAGCTGGTCTAGTCAAGTCAAAAGACGAATTCAAACTACATACTCCAAGTCAACACGACTACTTATCCATATAATCTCAATTCCCATCTCCATCTTCACAAAATGTCCCAGCAGAACAGTATGTCTCCATCCCACTCCCCAACTCTAATACCCCCGCACCTCCAAATGGATCTAACCATATCTTCTCCTTTCTATAGACGGTGGACTCCTCGGCGGCCTCGGCGACACCCTCGGCAAGACCGTCGGCGGCGTAACCAACACTCTGGGCGAAACAGTCGGCGGACTAGGCAACACGGTCGGCGGCGCGACCTCTGGTCTGGGAAACACCGTCTCGGGTGCTACCGAGGGCTTGGGCAATACTACCAAGGGACTTGGCCAAGGTGTTGGACAGGGTACTTCGAAGGGTACTTCGAGTGGAACTCAGAGCACTGGGGGTCAGAAGCAGACTGCTGAGAATCCGCTTGGGTTGAGTCGCTAGGTTGGTTGTCCGCGGGACTGAATCTTAAGGATATATATTTTGGAATTTATGATCGAATGATGCACGAGGTACCCACGCGCGAGGTTGGCATTTGAGATTTGATCGATTCGTGTTGATGTATTATAACCTATATGATTATGAATTTATTTGTTGCAAGTCTTCAATTGCTTAATTGAATACGTATGTTATGTAGTCTGCTCAAACCCAACCATGACTGTAGCAATACACGATGCTAGATCGGAACTTTTCGGGGACAATCCTTAGAGATACGTTTCACTCTAGGTAAGTAGGTCAAAGAGTCACCATCCCGGCCTAAATTGGACTTCGTACAATAATGGTTAATATTTACTTAATCTAAACTTGATGGAAGGACGCCCCTGCACTGAGCTGATGTTTAGCCAATCTCTCACTGGATTTATCTGTTACCAAAAAAGTCTCGTCCAAGCTATGAACGAGTAGTCGAAGTTGATTATAATCAGACAGGTTCCACCTACTGTTCTTCCATTCAGAGATCCTAATCAATTATACTCATTTTATACCAATATCTAACACATAATCAAAGCCCGCAAACCCCTCTTCTCTTCCGTTCACGCGCGAAGAGGACACGATTTGTCATCCAAGCCGCTTTCCCGGGGCTTCCCTTGTATAACGCTATTTACCCATTTTCAAACAAGACAGTTTGGCCGAGTGGTCTAAGGCGCTTGACTAGAATCCGGGAAAAACCGGCTGAAATCAAGTCTCTTCGGAGGCGGCGGTTCAAATCCGCCAGCTGTCGTTTTTTGGTTCAATTGAGCCTAATTATTGTATTTTTTGGTGGCTGGAAAGAATTTTGGTGCAGCCACTAAGCGAGTGGGGTTGTGGGTCGAGGCCGTGGATGGTCGTGCTGGCAGCCAAAGCAGCCGGGCCTCTGGCTCTTCCTGGTTGATAGAATAATGTATGGACTGTAGTAGTCATTGTAGATCAGGTTTGAATGACTTGCATATCAATCATGGATTGAGTTGGTACTGGGGAGCACGTGCTTTCCGTAGAGGAGTTTTTTGCATTCACGGGACGGTCAAATTCTGGTCGGTGCTACTCCTTACATATTCGGGCCACACTCTCTACGGAAGTTAAGGACAATTACGGAGCAAATATATACATAAAACCGTATAAAACCTAGAGAATTCCACGATTGAGTTGATTCAATGGTTTAGCTGGAGAGAAGAAGAACTAAAATCTGTTACTTCATGGAGTGCTAGCCTGATCATCGCATCTCACATGCCGGGCCATCGTCTCTAGATTAGACTCTATGACCCAATTATCCTCCGCCCTGTGAAGGAACGGTCTATGGTAGATGTATATCGATTGCAAACTATTCAAATCAATTGACCGTTAGTGACTGCCGAACCTATGTAGTCATCACCGAGCTTTTTTTCTTCAATGCTACCCGCATGAATTGTACGGCTTTGAGAGAATCTACATATTGAAGAGAAATATCAGACTTCCTGTACAATGATGCAACGCGATTTGAGTGATTCTATACCGCGAACCTCTCTTTTACGTAAGTCTTCGGCATATAATGGTCTTCATATGAGGACGCTGTCAACCCCGTAGCTCGGCCGGTGGGCTCATAGCCTTGTTCAAATTAAAAAAACCCAGCGGAGACTGGGATTACCATTGAGATCAACCTCCAAAGGAAAATAGTTCTATATCAACAGGTGTCAGGTGTCGCGAGCAGTACTGTGCTCTAAATTTGGAGTGAAATGCGGGGAAATGGAAGGCTGAAGGAAGGCTTGGAACAAGAACGTCCTTCCGACAGAGCCGAGTATGTCGGCCGAATCCTCTGTCGAGTCATGCCATGACGCCAGTTTAATGTTCAACATAGATTATCATTCAACAATAAATACCCAGAAATAACTCAGCTTAGTGATCAATCCAAATCCCTACGTGATCATTGCATTCAACCGCCATTGAAGCCGGAGTGCACGATCAAGATGCAGGCTACAGACAATACGTCACACGAGTCTGACTATTCAACTGTGAACGATTCACCTCAACTGTCTAGTAAATTTCCCAAGTCGACTCAAAAAAGCTCACTACCTCAAAAGCCTCTCACAAAGCATGACCAAGGATGGCGACGCGTCGTCCGTAACTTCACACCTTCGTTCGTCCCCCGTTGCGAGGCCTTGCCACCCACAAGCTAACTTAACCTCCACCAGATGGTTCTCCGTAACGATGGGCACAGGCATCGTGTCTATTCTACTCCATAATTTACCATATAATGGAGTCTGGATCTATTGGATCTCCGTTGTTATCTTCGCGCTCAACGTTCTCCTATTCAGCATGGGCTGTATCATGAGCATCTTGCGATATACACTCTACCCTGAAGTTTTCCATGTCATGATCATGCATCCGGTGCAATCGATGTTTATTGGGACAGTTCCTATGGGACTAGCCACGATAGTCAACATGTTTGTTCTCGTGTGTGTCCCTGTCTGGGGGGAGTGGGCGCGGTATTTCGCGTGGGGGTTGTGGATTTTTGATGCTATAATTTCGGTGATGACTGCACTGTCTTTACCATTCGTCCTGTCAGTCCATCCTAAGATAAATCTACAGAGAATTTGCTGATTTTGATGCTAGGATGGCTCGTGGAAGCGAGACTCACCTGTCGTCGATGACAGCTGTCTGGCTTCTCCCCATCGTTACTTGCATCGTGGCTGCCTCTTCCGGGGCCATCGTGGCCGAGGTATTACCCAACGATCAGTATGCACTATGGACTGTGCTAGCTAGCTATGTGCTAAGGGGAATTGGCGTTCCACTCGCCTTGATGGTTATGGTGATCTATCTGCAACGCCTGACACTGCACAAGTTGCCATCCAAAGCCGTCATAGTCTCCGTCTTCCTGCCTCTTGGCCCGCTGGGACAAGGCGGATATGGGTATGTATTTCTCTCAACTTGTGTGATTTCACTCTGACTTATCTTCGACAGAGCAATGAAGCTGGGTCAATGCGCCCGAGAAATTTTCCCCAAGACGCAGACCCTTGAGCAGGCTTCGGGCCCGACGTTCTACACGCTCGGGTTTTTGATCGCTTGATTCTCTGGTCATTTGGATTGGTTTGGCTATTCTTTGCATTGGCATCGATTGTGAGATCCAAGAAGTTCCCTTTCAATATTGGATGGTGGGGCTTTACATTCCCGCTGGGGGTCTTTGCGTCGAGTACTGTTCAGATGGGAACGGAGCTGCCTTCGATATTTTTTAATGTCCTTGGGACGGTGAGTTATTTGAAGTGGAATACCTGCAATTTGTGAGAAGCTCGGCTAATTGAGTATAGATCATCTCACTCTGTGTAGTTATTCTCTGGATGATAGTAAGTGTTGCCACTCTTCGAGGCATCGTATCCGGAAAGCTCTTTGTTGCTCCCTGCCTAGGGGATCTTCGAGTCGCAGAGGAAGTCAAGGATGTCGGAAAAGCAGCATAATTTACGGAAACTACCAGCCTTGTTAAGTTATGAAAATGTAATCTGATAATTCATATATAACATCTTCGTTATATCACACTGGGATGTATACCGTACTCTGTAAACTGTGGTAGGGTACCCCAGACCCCGTCACGTGATGTGGAGAACCGCTCGAAATTTTGAATTTATTTTTCGCATTTTATTTTATTATTTTATTATTATTTTCCCTTTCGCCCATCGAGAAGATCCAGCCAGCGTCATCCACTTGGTTCCCCGATCGTCCCATCTTGTCAGTGTCCGCTTTTCTCGCCAGGGCACGGCAGTCAGGGACATCGGACTCGGTCACCGCGCAGTGTCCAGCTCTGCCCCCGCGGTCCTCTTCACCCCCTGAATCGCCCTTTGGTGTGCGCCTGGCGATTTTTCGTTCTTGCGCTGACTGGCATAACTCGGCCTCCGTAGCCGCTAGTCCTATTCAGGAAGGAACCGCTTACTTTCTGCCTGAGCCGTCTGGCATCCACGCCACTTTGACACCTTGACACCTTACTGCCTTGGTGCCTGGGTGACTCAGGCCACCGGAACAACAAAACACGCGGCGCGACTCCAGCTGGACGTCCTCGAAACCGCAGTTGTTGGCTGGCCGCGCGACCACTGTTCAAAGTCGGCTGTGAATCGCATCGTAATTAGATTGGTAACATTTCGCGACTTGGAATAGCGGTGGTCGCATGTGCCGCGCGTGAAAAGGAGGAAAGCTGCCATTCCACAGTCTTTAATCCAGGCGCCGCTTACCGCTAAGGTTCGAGGCACCACATCAGCGAAAATGATGGGATACGGGGGTCAGGCCTTTCACCATCAACAGGCGCAGCAGCAGCAACAGCAGCAGCAGCAGCAGCCTCAACAACCCCATCAGGCATCCCACGCCCAGCATTCGCTGGGACCGCAGCGCCAGCAGCATATTCCATCTCCATCTTTGGGCGCGGCCCCAAATTTGCCGCAACATGGAGGCAGTCCATTCCCCAGTACCAAACCCCTGTATCGCGGGGGTCCATCCCAACAGCAGGCATTTTCAACCGGGCAATCGCCTGATATGCGCAAAATGGCCCCCGCATCGTCGAGTCCATTGGCGGGTTACCCCGCTGCGACTAGCTATGGGCAGTATCCAGGTCAGTTTGCGCAACAGGCCTCTCCCGACTTTATGTCTCGTCCGGACTTTATGACCCGTAATTCGGATCCCATGGCCTTGCAAAACTTACAGCGTGGCTTTCAAAATACCATGACCCATGTACGCGCAGGGCCAGGGATGAGCTCTTCAACGGGCATGACCCAAGGTCATGGCATGGGAATTCCATCACCTCAGCAATCATTGAACAGGCTCCCCCACTCGGGCATCCAGCAAAGAGAAAATCATTCTTCTGCCAGTCCATCTATGGCCAGTCCCTCAATGTTCGCTATAAATCAGCAGCGCCAGCAGCCACAATCCCAACCACAGTCACCCCAGCAAACACAGCAGCAATTGCACCAATTCCAGCAACAGAGACAGCACCAGCAGCAGCAGTACCAGCAACAGTACCAACAACAGCAGTACCAACAACAGCAGGAGCGTCTTCAGCAGCAAAGGTTAGAGCAACAGAAGCAACTCCAACAGCAGCGCCTTGAAGAGCAACAGCGCCTAGAGCAACAGAAACAGCAGGAACAGCAAAAACTGGAACAACAGCGCCAGGAGCAGCAGCGCATAGAGCAACAGCGTTTAGAACAGCAACGCGCTGAGCAACAACGCGCTGAGCAGCAACGAGCTGAGCAGCAACGTCTTGAGCAGCAGCGCCTGGAACAGCAAAAGCAGCAGGAACAGCAACGACTGGAGCAGCAGAGAAAGCAGCGCCTTGAACAGCAGCGGCTGGAACAAGAGCAAAAACAACAGTTAGAGCAGCAACAAAAACAGCAGCTGGAGCAACAGAGGTTACAAAAGTTGCAGCAACAGACTATGGCGCATAATCCATACCAGCAGCAGCAACACTCTCCATTCGCACAACACTCCCAGATTCCGTTCCATCAATATCAGCCGCATGCTCAAACTCAAAATCAGTATTCGCAGCAGCAGCATCAGTTCCCTCAGGCCTCTCAACAGCCTCATTTTGCCCAACCTCAACAGACGCAATTCCAACACTACCAGCCCCCCTCACAGTCTGCAGTTGAAAAGTCTACCCGGCCTGCCGCGGTTGCTGCTCCTCCACCCGCGCATGCGCCTGCGCCTAGTGGTAATTTGACCATCAAGCCTGAACATCCGAGTCCAGCGCCAAAGAAAAAGTCAAAGCCTAGGCAATCTACAGCTGCGCAGACTTCAAATCAACCTCAAGCCACTCCTCAGCCCCCACCTCAGTCTCAACCTTTGGCCCATTCTCAGGCTCATTCTCAGGCTCATTCTCAGGCCCATGCTCAGGCCCATGCTCAGGCCCATGCTCAGGCCCAACATCAGGCTCAAGTTATACCGAACGCTCCTGTCCCCGTTACTGCAACGACTGGCGCACCAATGCAGACAAATGGGCAAGTGCAAGCACAAGCAGCTACTGCGCCAGCAGCCGGTGGTGTACCCCTTAACCCAGCGGTACCTGTGAAACGCAAGCGCGGCCGCCCAAGGAAAGAGGAAGTTGCAGCCAGACAAGCGGCGGCGGCCGCTGCGGCAGCAGCAGCAGGTCATCCTCTCCCACAACCTGGACAGCCATTCGATCCCACGATGGCTTCCTCTGCATCAGGCTCCGCTGGAGCGCCCGGCTCAACCCCTCAAATGACGATCGGCCCCGATGGAAAGCCGCAACTTCCCAAGCGTAAACGTGGTCGCCCTCGCAAGGCTGATCAGATCGCCTGGGCGAAATTAACTGGCCAACCCCTGCCACCGCCGAAACCGAAGAAACCGTCTGCTGCAAAGAAACCCGGTACTGGCCGACCTCGTGGTAGGCCTCGTAAAGCTGATTTGGCTGCGGCGGCTGCGGCTGCGGCTGCGGCCGCCGCCGCGGGCGAAGGTGGCGGTGGTCAGGCACAGGGAGAGAGCAAGTCGCAGACGAGTGACAAGGTTGACACGAATGGCGCTCAAAAGCGCTCAGCGCCCGCTGACGATGACCCACGCAAGCGAGCTTGCCCAACGCCTCCATACCCTCAACAAGGCCAGCCTCTGCCTCCAGCCCAACAACAGGGACAGCAATTGCCGGCTCAGAGCCAAGCACATTCGCAACAAAATCAGGCACTGCCGATGCAGCAGCAACACCATGGAATTCCACAAAATCAACACATACCGCAGCCAGGACAGCATATGGGACACCAACCTGGTCAGCACCTGCAACAACAGCAGAACCAGCAACACCCACAGGGTCAGCAATTGCCTATGCAAGGTGGTCATCCGATGTCTTTGCCCCCACACATGCAGATGCATCCACAAGCTGGTGTTCACCCTTCCCGACAGACGCCATCCCATCCGTACATGCAAACCCAAATGCCTTCGATGCAGTCTCCGATGCAGCAGTCGCCAATGCAACTTCCCCAGCCAATTCACGGCCACCCTTCACATCCGGGCCAGCAGCAGCAACACCAGCAGCAGCAGCCAGTGCAGGGCCAGCACTTTGCTCAAAGTCGTGCCCCCGCTCAGCAGCAGAACCGAGCTCCACCGGCTCCAGCACCGCAGCATCAGCACCAACATACCTTCCAGGTTCAGCTCCAGCCTCAGACAACCTAAACCATCTGCACTCGGTGTTTGTGACCTCCGCGCACCCCTCATGCTATCAGACTAGCGCTGTATGACGCTCCCACGTTTGATTACATCTTATACGATTGGCTCTATTGCTTTCTTTCCAGCATCCCCCTTTTCCCCTCTGCCATGGCACTGGGTCACGCCAATTCTATGTTCTTGCCGATTCTCATATTCAGCCGCTTTTTGTTTCTATTTCACCTGGTATTTGATATACGATATCACGGGCATGGCCAACCCCCCTTCATGACTTCGATTTTAAATTCGGTGGTCAATTGATACTGTATTCTGCGGCATTTTCGCGTTTTCGCGTGCGCTTGTTCTTTTTGTTTCCCATTGTTATTTGTCATCTTTTGCAATGTCCTGCTTTCCGCGGATTCCTGGCATGATGGGCATTTTGTTTGCAATTGCGGGTTGTTCTTGTTTAGTCGGGATCGTTGCGGACTACTGATCTTTGGCTTTTCTTTTTGGATGGTTGTTTGAGATACATATCTAATGCTGTAGTACATACTCCTAATCTTATGGGCTATTTTTCCAAGTCAACTGAGTTAAGTAGATATTGCGTAGAGATAGTCACAACATTGCCTTGCGCAAGGTTGCCTCGATTACCTTCTTTCCTGCCATCATTGTCGCCTTTGGTCAGGCACTGCGATCAAACTACCTATTTTTACGTAACTTAACGAGCTAGCATACAATCATAGGGTTACTGTGCTCTTTCTTTTGTTCTTGAGGTCGAAGAGGTAAATAAAGTATACAGCTGAGAAGCGTGATGTTGAATATATGAATGCATCGGATAAATGCCTCGAACTTTCAAGTACAAGAGGAGTGTAGTTTGGAGGCCTCTCGAAGCTTCCTTTGTTGCTATTGGAAGACCTGGGGAGCGCGGTTATAGATAGGAAATGAGGCGGTTGCGGATACGTAATAATCAACTCAATAATCCCATGGGAAGGATAGGATTAGACAGCTCATCTTGAGGATTTTGCACTGTCTTTGAGCTTTACCTGGGAAAGTAGGTAGGATTTCCTTCTACTGTTATTGGGATTAATTCCTGCACGAATGTATAGATTTACAAAGTCCTTACATACAAGAATAATATAGATATATGCCACGTCACAGATGAGCAGCAGGTTCTGCTAACAATGCCTTGACCACCTCTGTGCCTCCGCGCTGTCCAGATCGGACAGCACCCTCCATGTATCCACGCCACTCACGAGAGGTCTCGGTGCCTACAAAATGCACCCGTCCAAAAGGAGTGGCCAGGTCTTTGCCTACCTTGGTGAGCACACCCGGGGTTGTCATCGGGCAAGGAGCACCGAGGAAAAAAGCCTCCTTGGTCCACTCCATTTCTAGCATGTTTGTCGGTACTGGAACGTCGACAAATTTGCCAAAGCTTCGACTGAATTGCTCCCAGGCCTGCTTTAGGCGAACGGCTCGGGGTAGCTTGGACCAGTCTCTGCCTTTATCACCAACCAGGAAACAAGTAATAGACCACTGGTCATCCATAGGGATACTTGTGTCTCGGGTGAAAATTATCGGTCCCTTGTCTGAGTCTAGTACGCCCGAGAACCCAGCCTTTTGCCACCAAGGCTCCTTGAACACGTAGATTACCTTGGTATAATACCCCGTCGCCGTGTTGTCGCTCAGAGTAGCCTTCTTCTCAGGCAAAGAAGGTATGAAGGCAATTTTATGATACAGAGTAGTAGGAATAGAGACAATTACTCTCTTGCATCGAAAGATCATGCCGCCGTCCGTATGAACAACACAGCGTCCGCCTTGCGACTGGTCAATGGAAGTGACTGGCATGCGGAGAAAGACGGAGCCGGGACCAAGCTCCTCTGCCATCTTTTGGGAGATTGTTTGGTTTCCTGATTGTGTTAGCTCGTATGTCCAGAAATCTTCCAAGTTGTCTTGCCTTTTCGGTTCCGCAAATATTGCCCTCCATCTTTCTGGTCTGAGATGATGTTGTCGATACCAGCGCCACTCTTGAAGTAGAGAAGCATGTATAGAGCACTGACTTCGTCACTTTCCACGCCGAGGAGGCATGCAGAGAGCAAATTAGCAAGCGCAATTGCGTCTTCTGATTGGGTCTTTTGAATGCAGTACTCTCGGAAAGTGAGTTGATCAATCTCTCTGGCGCGAGCAGAGTTAGTCGGGTTGTCCAAGTCGATCAGCGAACATTCAGTTCGAATCGCGGCGAGAAGCCTTAGTAAGACATCCAAATTTCCCTGCGAGGTTCTCAGTAAGCACATTTACACACTAAATGAGACTCGTAGGACGTACTGGGAGCTCCCCAAAGGGCACTTTGGTAACTAACCCATCCGCCGACTCTATAAGAGTCTCGCCAGTGTCGCGTTGGACCTCGGTGTCGATGTCATACCGCTCGTATAGCTTGAACATCTCGCTCTGATTGGTATCATTGATCCAGGATGCTCCAAGATCATTGTAGCCTTTCTCACAGGATTGGGCAGTTAATGTCTTCCCGCCAACGCGGTTGGTTGCTTCCACCACACACACGCTGAAGCCCGCCGCCCGCACCCAGTGAGCGGCTTGGAGGCCACTGAGCCCGGCGCCAACCACCACCACGTCGTACTGTTTGTAATCTGTAGATGCCATTTTAATCTGAAAGGTTATACAGACAGCAAACACTCACCGAATCTAAACCGCAGTCTTATACGCGTGTCTACATAGTTCATGCAAAGAGAGCTATGCCCATCTGGGAATAGTGACAAAGCTTATTCTTATCTGCAGCCGCGCTTATCAACCAGCATCTACAGTTCACAGCACCGAGTTGTCTCCTCACTTCTGCGCATACGACTTTCCACCTTCATCCTTCCTCTTTCCCATTGCTGGCAAAAACTGGCCCCTCGAGAATGAGCCAGATATATCCCCGCACTAGAACAGGCTGCTTGACTTGCCGCCAGCGAAAAAAGAAATGCGACGAAGCGAAGCCGGGTTGCCGTGCGTGCAAGCGTAACAAATTGGACTGCTCATGGCCACCCCACATACGCAGGAGATTCAATCTCGATAATAACCAGACAACATCTAATACTGGAGACACCAATGCCTTGGTATTGGTTGGGAAGAGCTCCTCCGAAACCTCGGCTGAGTCTACATCCCCTTCTCTTTCTGCTGGGATCTCCCCTGGGTCTACGCTAAACACCGAGCGGTCCCAGCTCGATGAAGTCGCCTGGTCTCCAAGATTCAACAATTTTATTAGCCCCATACGAGCCGGCATGTTGTCGCCTGTGTCCCAGGTCTTAATCTCGCATTATCTTGAATCTACTGCCCCTAAATTAGCGCCCTCGCCGGACGTGCCATTTGTCTCTTGGATTATGCCCGTCGCCTATAATGATGATCTTTTAATGCACAGTATTCTGGCATTAAGTGGGGCGCATCTCTCTTGCTCAAAAGAGAGTATCGAGATTCAGCATGCAACTTCCCGGCACTATTCCTTGGCTGTGCAAACTCTTCGCCGAATCTCGGAGGATGAGACGCTGCTTCGCGAGCCCCTCGTACTCCTTCGATTAATACTTACTGTGATGATCCTTTGTCACTACGAGGTATTGTGATAACTTTTTTGTTTTAGGTCAGTGTCACCCTGCTGACTTAATTTGGGTAAAAAGGTAATTTCAGGAAACCTCGACGGGTCCCCCTTTGCCCACCTTCGGGCAAGCCGTTACCTGCTTCTGGAATTGCGGAACAGACGTGAGCAGATCAAAACGGCATCAGAACTAAAATTGTAAGGTTTTGTAATGGAGCTCTATTCCTACATTGTCCTTTGCAATACCATCACCCCCTTCGGAATGAACTGCAACCGTACCCTTGTTCATGACTCATTCCTGCAATCCCTCGATGACCTGCGAGATCTTGGTGCATTTGGGGTCATGTTCGGTGGTGGACACAGCCTTTTCGAATTGATCTCATTAATATCTCTCTTTGCCGCACACAAAGAGTCTCTCCCTTTAATGGGTGGTGACACGGACTCGGAACGTTATGGGATATACGAGCAACTCAAAGGCCGCATCATCAACTGGAATCCTCCGGCGATGGACTCATCAGGGACTGACCATGACGTGATGTCGGGACGCAAAGCAACCCTAGAGCTGTGTAGACAGGCATTGCTGATCTTTCTGGAAACCGCTATCTCCCCCTCTCCAAATACGACTCCGCGCGGATCCATCATCTACAACCTCTCCTCCATGTTGCCATGTCATATCTGCCGCATGTCGTGCCTTCCAAGTTTTCAACCATTACTATGTGGCCTCTTATGATTATTGGCTCTTGCTTGGTGGAAGAAGATCAGCGCAGAGCCATGAAGAATATCCTTACCCACAATCATTACATGATGAGAAACACAGCTCAAGCGAGCAATTTGCTGGAGTTGCTCTGGGTTGATCCAGATGAATATGCATTTGGGCCATATGGACTGGGATTATTGATGAAAAATTATGAATTGGATTATGGGGTTATATGAATCATGAAATTGGGACTCAAATCTGAGAGATTCGAAAGTTTATGTACTCATTATCATTATCATTATCTACAAATGGCTTCTTAGCCTAATATTTGTCCACTGGAGAGTCATAAGCTATGGCTATTTTCCAGCTACCTCTTGGTCATTCAAAAGTGTCCCCGAGACTAGTATTGATACGTCAGCGATATGAAGTTGCTATCATTCCTGGCGCGGTTAGAGATAACGAGCAGGCAGGCTAGTACCTATACCTGAAGGACCCTTTGAAACGCAAGTTTCACATTCACCATTAGAATGGCAATCATTTCGCCAGGTAGTTTCCAAGTGGTGTTACTTCTGTTTTCTGGAATTCTCAAGAATTTGAAGCCTTTTCGTCACTTTCCAAATTTCAGTAACGCTATGCTTGACATAATCTGGAATCCGTTATTATTGATCTCGATCATCCGCGCTGGGTTTACTTACAGCAGCCGACAGCCATCCATATGAAATTGAAAAAGAAATAATAAAACCAGAAATAGTATCGTTCAGGCCTGCAATACGATATGTCGAGCAGGCTCGTCGCATAGTAAAGGACATCGCCGTAAACCTGGCCCGTCGATATGATGATTTGCAAAGCATGTCGGGCGGGATGCTGCACTGCGATGCAATATGCGATAAGGAAGGCGAGTGGACCCCAAGCAAACTAAGGGAGACACACATTGTATTAGTAACTCAAGTCACAGAAACAATGACGGGGGTACATACTGCGGTTACAGCTTCCATGCACACTAAGAACACATCCGAGGTCAAGTACCGAGAATCGGAAAGAGAGTATTCTTTCCATAGCTGGGAAAACAAGCTTTGGCCACCAGCAAGCGTCTTGTGATTGAGAACGAAGTGAGCCTCAAAGAAAAGATGGATAAATCCCGCTGCTGCATGTCAGAACTCGTTTTCAGATATTATTGCAGGGAATAGCAGGAACATACTCAAGCACATCCAAGTGAACGCGATTCGATCTGACAGCCCCACTGTAGGTCGGAGGCGACCTATGAGGAAGAAAGAGATGCCAATAACAGCAGCCCATTGACAACCAAACCGAGAAATTAGAGAAATCACTGAGCTCTGATTATGAACAAAATGGGGTAACTGCACCCACAGAGGGTAGTAGTCGTGCGGAATAGGCATTGAATCAGCCATGGGGTACCCTCGTAACTCTCTTGCTTTTGAGGCTTTGAAAGGAATACTGAAGTAATCCAAATTGAGTTTCATCCTATACGACCCCTTCGTAGTCTCATATAAAGAGCTTCAATGGAGCAGAAACAAAGGTTAACGTCTTGCCAAGACACAGTGGAGCTACGGGTTCCGAGGAGGCCGTCGGGAATAGTTCAGCCTGGTCAGGCCACATGAGACTCATAAAATGGAAGGGGGATGTAGTTCCAGCTTGATACGGTTTTCTTTTAAGTCGAAAAACTGTCAGGTTAAAGAGCAGTAATTTCTCTGGCTCCCAGCATTGAAATGTGCTTTACCTGATAACCTTTTGTTACTTTTTACTAAAGAGAAAGCAAGACAGACCTGTTGGGGCTAGCTTGTATGAGAAAGCAGAAATGACTTCTGCCTGCGCCCTACTGATAGCAAATGACATTCTCCAGGCAGTGGACAATGTATACCTTTTAATGTTCGTAATTTGAAACCATGAAATGGCTCATAACAGGGAAGCTCCGAGAATCTTTACATGGCAAGAGCTAGTATTTGGATTTGGACTTGATGCTTAGTTGTATAATAAAAACGCTATTTTTTGCAGCTAAAGAGAATCCATTCTCTGTTCATAATCAACCGTCATTCTAAAATAGTCGTTCGTCTGAATTGCCTCCCAGGGAGTGTTCATTGATCGAGTGTAAAATGTAGGAAGCCTCTTGGATCTTGATCTCCTAGCGCCACCTTCCCAACAGTCTTATCGCGTTACTAACCCCTGCCCATCCGATACCGTACCATGCTAGATGAAGTCATCCATAAAGGGGCTTACCACATTCATGGACCGTGCTCATACTGTAGTTGCCTCTACTCCATACTCGTTGGGCTTATCACTGCTGTCAACAGCTCCACACCGCGGCATCGCGGCTACGGTGGAGCCAGATTTCCCATTTCGGCCCGCTCAGCGCAATGTTCAATAATATTACAGACTCGGGGCAGCGCACACGTTGTTTCAGGTACGGTTGACTTCTAAGATTCTCGGGTTCCGCGGACCACAGGCTAACCAGCCGAGGTCTTGGCTAGTGTCGGACGTTACACTGCGCACATCTCACCATGGGATCTGTGGAAATATGAACGCGCAGATCAGTTTAGTATACCCCTAGGCCTACGGTAGAGAATGGACAAAAAGTCGTGGCAATATGGGCCTGGCCCACTTACCTCTCTCTGTACAGTACATGGACCTGCCATCTGGGCTTAATCATGCAAATTCTCAATTCCACAAACATTCCCAACTATTCCTTCCCTTTGCCGTTCTTCTGGCGTTATTTCTGATCAAAGATAAAGGCGTACTTCCTCCACTGAAAATGATTGGAAAAGGACCTAAAGCAGTAGAGCTATCAGGCGATATCGAGTTTATCAAGACTCCCGCAGCCAAGGCCCCTGCATTTGGGACTGGCGAGGACTGTGGGATTGATATAAGCAATGTTCGTTCCTGATTTTGCCTAAATACGTCCATTTCTGAACCCTGACTAATTTTCACTCAAGTCTCCAGCTATTCACAACGCACCCCTTCCAGCTGATGGCGCTGGCAACGAAAGCTTCTCTAACCTCCTGCTAGCGGCCGCGCTCGTCGGAATCCCGGGCCTTGTCACTTTCATGTTGAATGGTGGAATGAAAACCTTTGTCGCCATTTTCCTACTTTTAGTCTTCCCGATCTTGATCGTCTTCTGGACCTGGACTTCCTCGTGCAGTCCCCCTACCAACAACAAAGCCAAGTTACCTGGTCGGCCTATCGAGCACTATGTGACATTCAAACGCGAAGGGGACCGGTCTAGGTGGCATGGAAAAAACAAGATACCCCTCCAGACTTTCGCAGAAATGTACTTGGATGGCTTGGTGGATTTCAACGGCGATGTACTTGAAGTCATGGAGTACCGACATGATTGGGCGAGTTTCGCGTTTACCTGGCAATTGTTCAAGTTTATCATCTTCACCTTCTTCGTCGACGTCGTCTTTCACACAAAGGCCCAAGATGATGAACAGATTCGCCCTAACTACGATCGCGGTAACGACCACTACGCGTGGTTCCTCGGTCCTCGCATGATCTACACATCAGGGATTATCTCGGACCCAACGCACGAAGAAAGCCTCGAAGAAATGCAGGACAACAAGATGGCCATTGTTTGTGAGAAAATTGCCCTCAGGGAAGGTGAAACAATGCTTGATATTGGATGCGGCTGGGGAACTCTAGCCAAGTTCGCCAGCATAAATTATGGCGCCAAAGTGACTGGCTTGACTATTTCAGAGAACCAGACTGCTTGGGGCAATGATGCTCTCCGAAAGGCTGGTATCTCCGACCAGCAGAGTCGCATTGTCTGCATGGACTACCGCGATATCGCACACACAAAGTACGACAAGATTACGCAGCTCGAGATGGGTGAACATGTTGGTATCCGAAAACTGACGCGGCTTTTCCGCCAGTGCTATGACATGCTCAATGATGATGGGGCTATGTACGTGCAGCTTTCTGGATTGAGACAGGCCTGGCAGTACGAGGATTTTATCTGGGGTTTGTTTTTGAACAAATACATTTTCCGTGGCGCGGATGCTTCTACACCTTTGTGGTATTACGTCAAGTGTCTGGAACAAGCTGGGTTCGAGGTCAAAGGGTAAGTCATAACCGAATATACTCCTTCCATTAACCAACACTGATAACGAACAGAATTGACACCGTCGGTGTCCACTACTCGGGAACGCTCTGGAGATGGTACCGCAACTGGCTTGGGAATTTTGAAGTAATCAAGGCCAAGTATGGTCAAAGATGGTACAGGGTGAGTGCTCTCCATCCTAGCTATTCTCATGACCAAGCCTAATTTTCTCTAGATTTGGGAACTCTTCCTCGCCTGGTCTGTCATTGCGTCTCGGCAAGGCTCAGCTACCTGTTACCAGATGGTTGTCGTCAAGAATCTGAATTCGACATGCCGCATTGATGGAGTAACTACTCAGTTTGGCCTGGCCGGTGCCCTCGCTACCAGCAGAGAGGCAGGCAAGTCCCGATTGGCTTGAAAATGTTGCTGGTCCTATAAACGAACTGGTCAACCTGCATCTCTTCGCCCATTCCCTCTATGAGCCTGGTGCACCGTACAATTGATGTTCTAGGTCAACATCAGCCAAACGGATTCCCGGGACCCACGAATGGTTCCATCTGACTGTGGTAGACATCCTGCCGTTCTGGTTGTCCCTTTAGATGATAATGCCTCTATCAGTAATTGGGATTGTGTGAGATGAGAACACATAGGGACTACATACATGAAATAAGGGCAGATTATTTTCACATAGAACTCGAAGAAAAAGGTGGTTTGAACGGGAAGGAATCCATTCACAAGATCAACTCACACTTCCATCCCACCTAAATCATAACTTATCATACAAACATCTAACAACCACCACCTAACCACATATAACATACTCAAATCCTAACCTCCACCGCCATCGAAATCAACCAAATCCTCCAGGCCCTCCATCCGACTCGCATGATCCCCAACCATCTCGCCCTCCCTCTCATACTGACCCTTTCCCATCCCCATCCCCTGCCCTTTCAGTCCACCCCCACCACCAACCAAAGATTCCACACTCGGCCAATCCCTCAAATCAATCTTCAACATTGGCGCAAGTTTCCTCACCACACCATCACAAAGCAAAAACGCCCGTCGCGCAGCAGGATCAACAGTCGCCATGGTATGAATCGAAATAAGCGCCTTTTTAGACTGTGCGATGACAATTTCGATATCCGTATCTAAGAGGGCGAGCGCATTAGACATCGCATGGTCAGATGCTGATACAGATGCCGAAGCTGATTTGGCGCTCGGCTTCGCGTTTGAACTGGAGCTTGGTGTTGAAGTTGAGTTCGAGGATGAGTTTGGTAAAGTGGTTTGTTCCGGGAAACATACAAACGACAACGAAAGTAGCAGTGCTGTCGTCGCTTGCATGATAAAATGCAGCACGCTCCACCAAGGCGTGACGCGGACGAACCATGCGATGTCCGGGTTCTCGGGGAGAATAGAGATTAGCGAGCACGCAGCCTGCAGACAATCAGTGGCCATATCGGTCCTCAATTTCGCGCGATCGTTTGCGTCTTGAGCTGGCTGGGTACTAGACGATTGCTGGGAGTGTGACTGCGAAAGACACGGTCTGCATAGGATCACGCGTGCGGAGTAGTATTTCATCGCAAGACAGACTCGTTCACGCGCGTGGGGGGCGTCTTCATCGTCCAGCTGGGCGTGGTTTAAATGCCAGGGTCCGGCATCGGGGATGGTGAATTGATAAGGGGGTGGGACTTTGGCAAGCCATCGGTCCATGCACAGACTGTATTTTTGTAGACGGTGCTCTGTGACGCTTGATCTCTCGCGGACTCCTTCAATGCTGTAGACTTTGTTCAGGACAGCCTGACAAATTAGAGCGAGGTCCGTGAGGTGGTAGAAGAATAGGGCCGGGGAGGGCTTGCACTCTGCCATCCAGGATGGGCCGCTTTGTAGTAGGGATGGTGTTTCGAAGATGGTTGCTCGAAGCTGGGCTTCACGGAATGAACGATCTTGCAGGAGGCGGGTGACTTCTGGTTGTTCGAAGAGTTCTTCTTCGAAGGGGATGGGAGGGGTAACGGAGCAGATGCCTTCGCTGATACAGGAGGCTCGACCGTGCATGGATGTGAGAAGATGTTCGAGGGAGTAGATGGACCACCAGAGTCTGCAACGGGCTTCTTTCGAGGCGTCGTGCGTTCGGCCGTCCGTGGTGTGCAGATTAATACCGAGAGATAAGGCAGAGCGGAGAGCCATACTTGAGAATTTAGATGCTCTGATCATTCTGGGTCAGTATACTTTCAAAACTTATACAAATGCAAACTCAAGATGCCGTACCTATTGACCTGACCCAAGCAGAGCAAGTATATTGCCACCAAGAACTCCAGTTGAATCTGCTGCAGATCTGTATGCTCAAAAAGGACATTCTCATGCAGACCCAACTGCCGAGCCCGAGTCAAATACACAAGTCCATCTTCCCAAGAACTGCCCGCGCCAGGGTCAATGAGCTTGCAGTATCGACAACCAATGGCAAAAACCATATTCAGAATCCCAAGCCATTTCTGGGGTGGCTGCGTCGGTCTAGTGAAAAACTGCCGATACTGCGACGTGAACGTCGACTTACGCAAGACACTAAACGTCGGATGGACATAGGTCATAAACGCATCCAAGTACTTGTCCGCAGTCTCACGCGGAGGCACGATCAACGGATCGGAATCATGACTGACAACGGGGATATCCAAATCATCAAGGTGATAATTCATCATTGCAATAGGAATGTCCCGATCCAGCCTTTCCAGAGTAGGAAGCACAGCCGGCAGGGCGAGTGGACTCTGCGACTGGGAGACAGCCGCCGATGAACCAGATGTTGACTGAAGCCGGGTCCCAGGCCAAGAAGTCTTTTGCTCGATGCCATCTTCTAAGCGCTGCATCCATGAGACCTCGGAGTTCTTGCCGAAGAAGCCCGCAGCACGGGTGCTTTCGCTGCGATTTATATCCTCCTCGACCAAATCCACCGCTTCCAGCGATCCGACCGAGGAATCCGAGTTCGAATTATCGGGATCGTCATTGCCAGTCGAGGGTTTCTTATTCTTGACCTGGGAACGCGCATGTATACTTGTTAAACCACTGCACATAGAACACAAATCCGAAATGAAGACTGAATTGAAGGGTCGGGGTCGTGCATATCTTGTACTATCAAAAGATGCAGTTGTATGATCCGGGCGACGAAACACTTACCTTCAGCGCTCTCCTGATCCTCCGCACTGTCGGTGCATCGACCTCGCCCTCCAGATCGCGAAGCAACGATTCATACCGTTCAGTTCGCTTGGTGAGCAATTCGAGCATCTTCTGGTCGCGCACGCGTTTGACATCCTCGTAAAGGCAGCGGCTATGATGATAGGCGCACTGGCCACACGTTGGTCGCACGCCATCGCATTTGATTTTACGCTGTCGACAGGGCTCGCATGCCCGAGCCGAGCGTCGTTTGCCCCTGAAAGTTGTTGGCGCCGCCAGTCGTGGGATAGCAACCTTGTTGTTGCTGGCGGTGTTGCCAGGAGCTACGCGTTGGTCTGGATTCGCGAAGCCTGATGGGACCATTGGTGGTGGGTATGCTGAGTATGACAGGTGGGCGCTTGGATTTTCGACATGATGAGCAGCCGGGAAGGGTGCATTCTGGCCAGGAAATGCTGGGGCTGAAGCTGAGGGAGCTGGACTTATCGAGGCAGGGGGCCAGAAGGAGCCATTGACGGAGGAGGAATTGTATTCATGGCCCTCGTGTCCAAATGAATCACTCGAATTATGCATGGGCGGGGGTACAAGTATTTTATCGAGTAGAAGGAAGATATTTCAAGGATTGAGAATAGACACACGAGCAGTGTAGTCAGGGAGAAGCTTCAAAAAGATGGAAAATTCACGGTCGATGTGTCTTTGCGACCGATTTGAAGTCATTCGCGCATGCATGTGGCGACCAATTCAAACAAGTTTAGATTGGCAAGGAATGGCCCAAGCTGTCGGTATCACCTTCAGCCTTTTTAGTGAATGATAGTCATAAAGGACCAGCATTGAACTCGAGAGACTTGAAATGGTACCTTTCTTGTCCAATGGAAATGCCAAAGGTGGGAAAGGTGGGATGGGATGGTTTGGTAACTGGATGAGGTGGCGGCGGATCCCCCGCAAAGGCGCTGAGAGGCCCAAACTAACCGCGTTTGACGTCAGAAGCTCCTCTCCAGTTGACTTGACCAGACTGACCAGTCTGACCAGGCGGGGTTCAATAATTCAATCATTGTCGGTGTGCGCCAAAGGATCATTGATCGACTGGAAAGACTACAAATCGCGAACGAGGCACCTGACACGAGTGATATCATAGCTGATACCTCTCCAGTCTGTCCCATCTCTTGTACTTAGAACTACTCAACCAGACACAATCTATACAGTCATATTATTATTCTTATTATTATAGCACGGAAATAGTCACATCAATGTATCCTACAACTTCCCCCTCTCGGCAAATACATCATCCTTACCTAAACTCAAACTCTCATACCGATCCAACATTTCCGACAAGCCCAATCCAGGATACTCCTGCAAACTCTGTCCCTCCACCCCGGAGATGCCATGGTACTTCTCATCCTGATCAAGTTTCTCCAATCCCTCCGCATACTCATCAAACCGACTATGCCCCTTAGCCGAAGACTCCTCATCAAATAAATCCTTCAACTCAGCCGGAATAGCACTCGCATCACGAATACGACTCCCCTGCGCCTTGGCCCGTACGGACTGACGGAAAATATGAAATAGATTCCGACCTAGCGCGGAACGACTGGCCACAATGGAGAATGCGCTTGCAAGCGATAGGAAATCCGGATCGAGGACGTCAAAGGAGTCTTGCTCCAGCATCGTGAAGAGGGCGAGGTTGATTGCGTACATGGCGAAGTGATGAGCCCGACTAACGCCGAACTCGCGTCGATGGAGACGAGTGAGTGCGGCGATGTTGCGGGCTGCGGTTTGGGCGAGTTCCCATGCGTTGTACTTCGATGCTGGCTCGGGGGTTTGTCGGGGAGGGCTTTCTGGTGTTTTGGGGCCTTCAGTCGTAGTACTCGAGTGTCCGATGCTGGAGATACAACTGAACAGATTGATGATCAGGGAATTGTAGCGCATTCTGTAGTATCAGTTAGCAGGAGGTTCCTAGAGCGTAAATGCTATACGACTGACTTTAACAGGATGACGTGCGGTGCCACCTTTTCCCAGTCAAATATCTCCGGCAACAGCTCATCCCATCGCCTCAATCGTCCATACAACACATCGCGACTCTGCCGTTGCAGCACCTCTGATGAACCCTGCTCGCCAGTAAACATACTCCGCGAGATATCGCAGGAGATCGTCGATAGGTTGCACGCCTCATCAAAGTATAGACTCAGATATGACGGCCTTGTATCTCGATGCGATGGATAAGGCATCCACTGAGACTGGTCTTCCAGGTGATCCTTGTCGACACGCGGCATATTGACATGATTGATGAGGCTGGGTCGGAGAAAGCCCGTATGGACCATTCTAAGAGCTGTCAGTATACAATTATATCTAGTTTTCAGTGTCAAGTACACTTACGTATCCACATTAAACAATCCCCAAGCTGTACGTCTGCACGAGGAATCCATATCCTCTGATAATTGGTCCGAGGTCATTCTCGGCCCTGTACTTCCCACAAGCCCAAGTGATTCACCCATGCGAATAGCTTCATGGAGCATGAGATAGCCCAAGTCATCTGTACGGGATATGGAATATCTATCTCCCTGTCAGACTGATATCCCAAATATAAATCCGTTACAAGACAGATACTAGCTCAACATACCTTTCATACATAAGCAGCGTCCCCTGCAAAGCGGCCAGACTCGGCTGCATGGGCAACTCACCCTTCAACCTCTCAGCCTCTGCAAGAAAATCACATCCCTTGGACGAGATATCCCCCGGAACAACATAAGCCTCGGAGAATTCCGAAAAGTACTGCCAAAATATCGTCAGCCACATGCACATTCAGACCCACGAATCCTATCTCAATAAGAATCCCAAGATCCAGGGCAAGACAAGGGTAACACCCACACAAGCATTACTCAACAAAGCATTCACCAAAAAGGGACTACAAAACTGACTCCCCAAGTCCGCACTGGCCATATGCCTCAAAAAAACTCCCTCATCCAAAAACGAATTAAACGGATAATCCCACGTAAAAAAAAGCGACACCAAATGCGACACCAGATCACTATCCCCCGTGACATCCGTCCACGGCCTCGCAGGCACACTAATCGGCGCCTCATCACAAAGATAATGAATATCCATGACCTTGCGCCGAAACGCAGGCGTGGTACCCTCCACATTAATCAAATTCTTCATATCCTCCAGTTTAACCGCTGCCTGGGCCGAGGCGCGACTAGCGGATGTGTCAAGCGTGGAGAGGGTTTTATTGATGAAGGTGCGGATTTCCTCGGGGGAGGCGTTGTGGCGGATTACCTCGAGGAGGTCGAGGGCTTTGCGCTCGTCTGCTTCACGGACGAGCTTGAAGATGTCGTTTAGGAGGTCGCGGTGGTAGGAGAGTTCGTCGGCGGTGCGTTTTGCGGCGACGCGGCGGCGTTGGTCGAGGGATTCGTCGAAGATGCAGACTCGTCTGAAGGTGCGGCAGTTGTCGCAGGGCGGGGTGCCGGAGCACTTTAAAGAGGAGTGTTAGCATTATTCGGCATTGGTGGGATTGATATAGTTTCAAGCAGCTGCGTAGAGTTGCAGAATGGAGCGGAGTTCACCAACCTTCCGCTTAGACTTCTTGCACGCAAGACAAGCAGTAGAAACCCTCCTCTTCCACGAAGAACCAGAACTCGACGTCGCCGACGACGACGACGGTCTCGCCTCTTCCCGATGCGAACCATTATGGTTAGAAGGCGGCGAGGGCCCTGGCACAACTTGGCGTTGATCAGTCATGACGGATCATGAGCTGGTATCGTAGAGGTATATGCGTATATTGTAAGTGCTTCGTATATGCTCTATAAGCGGATTTGTATGAGCAATGTGTATATACAACGGCTTCGCCCTTGCACATCAGTACAGTGTGTCGAATGCAAAGGCACATTCGATATCAATATCGATTTACAATATCTTCGCGCCAACGTCAACGCCAACGGCAATCATAACCGCAGATATAAATCAATGTGAAACAGGGTGGCTATCGTGGCTATCACGGGAGGCATGACACCACGGCAATGACGATGGAGGCAAGAGGCGCTGGACGTGGGCGTAGCCACAGTGTAGACGAGGCGATATGATAATCACTGGGTAGAGAGGTGAGGCGCAGAGGGAGAACAGGGACGAGAACATAGAAAAAGTGGCAGTAGTGGCTCAAAAGGAAAGAGCTTGGAAGACACGATAGTAAGTACGTAGGACTGTAGTTAGGGAAGACACCCAGCAAGACACGACGATCAAGTCCGCGCCAACACCAAGCCAAGTTGCTTTGTCTTGTTATGCCTTGACTTATGCTCAAAAACAGGGTCAAAGTATTTCTCCATTATGCACTCCACCACTGCCAACTATTGTATCTACTGGACATCAGGTCCTTATCTAACCCCCTACAGTATAAGTACTCTAAACCCAACTCTGGATTCGCCTCAACAAATCAAAAACCCAACCTCGGACACAAATCACATTACCGTGGCACAGATCCCAAAAATCCAGGTCAGGTCCATTGCACGCTATTGCAACATACCAGCAAAAATCGACGTGAATCTGAAGTCATCAGGGAAGTCGTTACCCGCCTAGCCAATCAATGGCTGAGAGGATCCACACAACCCGTGAGTGGTCCGTGGACTGATTAGGGGACTGATCCACAAACAGGGATGGGATGGGATGTAGATTGTACTGTCGCAAGCTTACTGTAGCATGCTAAGATAAGACGTGCTAAGTGCAGCACGTTGGACATGAAATATGTATAGTATAACTAGACTGTGTCGAAGGTCCAAGTCTGACTTGATCTGCCATTCGTGTGGCTTGATTTTGTAGCTCGTAGCCAACAAGCTAGCTGGCACTGATAGCTGATCAGTCTCCCGTTTTAGTCTTGACACTAGACAAGCTAGGATTCAAACCGGTCAATTGTCATTGTGGCGTTACAGTGATTGTCCGGAATCAAGTGCCGGAATACACGTGATAAGACAAGAAAGTATACAGTATTCCGTAGTTATATCTGGACTAGAGTAGAAAGGTGCAAAGAAACCAAGTACATCTATTCTGTAGGTTAGTGCAGTACGATTTACCAATTAACTCGCTAATCAGTGGAAGAGAGTCGTAGGTCGCTGTTAATATTTAACGGAGGGCCCGGGAGAGCCGAGAGATAGTACACAGTCGCCAACCATGTAAATAGCATTATAGCAATAGAACAAGGGTCCAGCTCGGACAGGGCTGAAACAAGTGCTGCTCTAGCCAGTAAGTTAGTGATCTAGCAGCGAGTCAGCGAGTCAGCGACAGTGAGTCCTCCATAAATAGACCTGACCCAGGCATGAGTATGACCCACACTGAGACTAGTCTCAGACATCTTCCATAACAGTTGTGGTGAGTTCTAGCCATCCCATCCAAAAACCAGCAAATCTACAAATCTACAATCGTCGTTCAATGAGAGAGTATATAATTTCACCAGAGAATAGCAGGATGGCATTGACTCGGAGAGACCAGGGCAAAACAGCAGCAACTTGGCAGACGAAAAAGAAAAAAAAAAAAAAAGACCGCAGTCCCAGCCCGATGAAGCCGATTAAAAAACTAACAGAAGAAACGAACACACGCTGGATTATTGTAATGTAATACAAGCACACATCTTTTGCATACTCCAAGGACTTCCGTAGCCACGAATGCACCTCCCAGGAAGCAGAACAATAAACACACACACAAATTCTCGGTTTTGGATGCAATCCTTCCCCCACACATCATTTCCACCATAGATACGGTCGAATCTCTCGATGTGTCGGGAGGAGAGTATCCAAAATACCAGAGATCATTAAGAATAAAGTATCAAGTGCACATCTATTTAGTGCTCCAGGATACGGAGACTGCCCTGCACAACGCAGTTCTCCAGAACGGAACCGGGAGGAATATCAATGGTGCTGCCCTCGGTAGCAACGATGATGACTGTACCCTTGAGGGTCACGTTGCGGCCAAGGTTGACGGCACCAGTGATAGTCAGGTGGTCCAGCTCGACAATGCGGGGAATAGAGCCAATGTGCTTCTGGAAGTCGGAGACCTTCTTGAAGTCCGAGCCGAGCTTGATGACGGGGACACCACCGAAGCGGTTAGGGTCCATGACCAGCTGGCCGTGCTCCAGACGGTACAGATCAGACTTGACAACCATGAGATCGGAGCAGGTCTTGACGGGCAAGAAGCGCCGACGGGGCACGTTGACACCGTGGGCGTTCTTGAAGTGACGGATGGCGGCACCGACGGCGGTCTCCAACTGGTAGATAGCCTGGTCGGCCTCACCCTTCTTGTCGGCGGGGATGGACTTCTCATTGGCGATGATCTCCATCTCGAGCTCGTTCTCCTCAACCACACGCTTGATGGCACGCACGTTCATCCAGATGTTGTTGGTGTTGAAGTACTTGAACTTCTTGATCGACTTGAACTCGTTGACATGCTCCTTGGGGACCTGAGCAATCTCGAGCAGACGGACCTTGCCGTCGTAGTCAATGATGGTACCACCCTTGACGTCAGCCTTGGTCTTGTCAGTCAGCTCCATGATGTACTCGGCGTTGGAGTCAACCATGTGCTGCAGGATGCGGAGATCGACAACGGCGCCCAGGTTGTCAGCGTTGGACAGGAAAATGTACTCGATGCCACGCTCGATCAGCTTGTCGAGAGTGCCAGAGTTGTACAGAGACTCGAAGACGTCACCGTGACCGGGAGGGTACCAGTCCTGGAGGGGAGCATCGAAGCTCTTGGGGGCAGGAAGAAGGGAGTCCTTGATGATACGGGGGTAACGGGACTGGTTGAAGGTAATGATATCGACGTTGTGGCCCTCGTACTTCTTGATGATAGACTGAGTGTCCTGGTCGGTGTTGAAGGAGTTCATAAGGACAAAGGGAACGTTGACGTTGAAAGTGCGGTTAAGGTGCTCGATCTGGCGGACAGAGAGGTCCAGGAAGGACATGCCCTCACGGACCTCAATGACAGACTTGGGACCGACGCAACCCATAGAGGTACCCAGACCACCGTTCAGCTTGACGACAGCCAGCTTGTTCAGGAACTCGACCGAGGCATCGGCACCGAGCTCGTCGTAGCCCACGACCTGCGAGGGCTGGGGAGGGGCAATGCGGTCCCAGTTGACAACGTTGCCCTTGGCCTTGTCGTTGAGGAAACGGCGGAACAGAGCGAAGAAGTTGTCCATCTCAGTCTCGAAGCGCTTCTTCTCACTGGGCTCAGTGACAGAGTCGGCGAGGGCGTTCAGCGCATTGCGCATCTGTGAGGCAGCGACACTGGTGGAGGCATTCTCGAATGCCTGGAGGGAAGGGACCTTGGTCAGTGTTCGTCCTTGAGTAGAAGCCATCGCGTCCGCGTAAACGATGCGGGTCGCATCAGGGGGGGGTAGGGGAAGTGGAGTGCATGTTTCTCCAGGGGTTGATCAGATGGTTTGGAGGGGGAGAGTGAGTGTAAGCCAAGATTGCTCTCAGCACGATTGAATTGGGGGAGGATAAACAAATCGGGCAAAAAAATGTTGGGATGGAAAGAAGGGGGACAAAAATAACAGGCGAAAGTCATGAGGTCAAAGGTGCAACAAGGTTGGGAGGGCGTTCCGAAAGTAAACACTGGACCAAAGCTGGAACGGGTTTGCCATCTTCACGACGAACAGGAGCGACTCAACACCGCAATCCAGAAAATGGCAAGAGCGAAGAAGAAGAACAAAAAAAAGTATATCACCGGCTCTCCTCCGCCGGTCGGTTTCCCCTTCCGTGGATTGTCTCGACTTACCATGTGCGACTGGGACTTTCCATGGTGCTTAGCCTCGAACGAGCCAGGAGAGGCCTCGTTCGCAGGAGCGCGGAGGTGAGTAGGAAGTGCCTTGGCGGCCATTGTATGTCATAAAGGAGAAATCGGTAGGGGGGAAGAAGAAAATAGGTAGAGGAACTCGTAGGGGGATCGGAGAGCTGCTCTAAAAGGGGTGGCGAATGTTAGCTTGAGTGGGAGGCGAACACAAGCAGCAGAGAGAGGTAAACAAGGCAGACGAGAGACAAGAGACAAGAGAAAGCTGGTACAGTGAAGATGGGGGGGGCGCTATCCTTTATAAAAGTAAAAATAAGGGTAGAAGGAGGGGTTGCCCGAATATTGCCACAAGGTTGATGTCGATCAGTCGGGTAAAAAAGCGACTTGCAGGATGTCGACAAGCTGCCGTCATTGGCACCGGGGCGGGCTGGGGATTGGGTGGACGATGCAGCTGGGGCGGGGGAGGGGGGGGGGGACTTACCAGATGATTGAAATCAATTGAATATGATTCAATTGAATTTGGAGGAGAGGAATCAAGAGAGGGAGAGAGAGAGAAAGTAATAAGGGAGAGGAGGAGAGGAAGAGGAGGAGTAAAGTACAAGACGGTGAAGAAGTAGTGGGGGAGTAACGTGATATTTATTTGGCATTCTGTTCTGTAGTACACCTCAACCTTGATGGTACTCCTGATGGACTGCCCACTCCCTAATACGGACCAGGGATCACCAGGTACCTACCAAGTACTCCGCCGTACTCCATATCAACGACCATAATTCGTAGTAGCTTTGAAAAGCTCCGACCGTCCAGCTTCAGCCCGACTCCCCAACTCCTATTTATTCCCGTTCTGAAAACCACTACTCTCCTTACTTCCCGCTGTCGTCAGTGTCCAGCCACTGGCACTCGCAGCTCCGTCCACGGGTCGGACCTTAAACCCAACGGCCGCGCAACGAGTCCGGGTTGGGACTGCTAAACAGTGTTCATTATGGACGGAGTGCTTTGTACAACTAGTCTACTCTACACTAGTCAACAATCTCTCGGGTTCTTCTCCCGGAGCCCTGCAATCAAGATCGAGATCCGATGCTTACAGAACTGCGACTACGAACACTAAGGAACTGAGACATCGCCCGTATAGTCCATTCCCCAAATCACCAGCCCAGCGCCTCCTGTTATCCCCATCACCAATAACCACAAGACTCAATAATGCCTCAGTTCTACCAACCCAGTACTCCATACTGTACAGCACTTCCCAAAATAAAAAGGAACCTGCCAACTTTCCAGAAAATAATTTAAAAAAAAAAGGGGGGGGGCGCATGATCCAGCCCAACAAAAGACTCTCCCCATACCTCTCGAGTCAAAAGACACGCACCAAGAGGGGCAGAACACTCTCCCGTGGGGGTTACCTATGGTACATAAACATGGACAAGGAGAAACCAGACCAACCCTATAACCAGGTTGGAGTCTAGTCCTACAGACTATAACAGGAGTCACTATGGTACAGTCCAAATCATAATAGATAATAATAGTCCATCTCCATTCCCAGCTCCATGTTCCAGGCCAGATTCCATCCAAGTTCCAGAATGACAGCAAAATACTGTCAATGCAAAGATTCCAGAGTCCAGGCCATTGCTAATCTGCTATCCGCTATCCCCCTTTTTTAAATTCCATTTTTCTTTTCTTTTCTTTTTTTCCATCTCTTCGCTTGACTTGCCCGTGCATACCCACCGGAAAGTGGAACCAGGCGCAAAAGAGCACGCCCCTCCTCCCCGTTTCCAGCCCCACTGGGTGTCGCTGGCTGCTTGGCGGTTGAGTGCCCTGTTGCAACTTGCAGTTGCTAACTCGGTGGCAGGCTAGCAGCCTACTGTAGCAGTGGTACAGGAGGCAGTTGCGGGCGCCACTCGGACAAACCGTCCTCCTTTCCTCCTTCCTTTTTGCCTCAGGAAGCCACCAACACCGACCACCGACACCGAAATCTGAGACCGGGTAGACCCTTTTTTTTGCGCGCGCTTGCCGATTCGCTCGTCCTAACGACTGGCTGCGATAAACCTCGTATACGGAGTATATTCGGGATCGTTATCTATGGGGCTCTGGTTATATTTGTCTGGAACATTGCCTCTAGACTGTACTGTACTCCGTAGACCTTGGTGTTTTGACATTGAGCTTACTGTAAGGCATAGCAGAGTTAGGTAGAGAGAGGATCTTATCCTTATCTCTACCGTCCCTGACCCCGTCCCTTGGTGTCTTGTACTAAGAATAACCTCCCAATTATACTGTACTTACAGTAGTATAGTAGCAATGCATCATCCGTCAGAATTTGATTGGTTTCATTTTTCCTTCCGATCGATAAGCCGACCAAGTCGTTCACCTGGCCTTACGCGGTACAGTACTCCGTACACTTCTTCAAACTGCGAAATTGCAGGGCGACACGAATCTCACATATACAACCAACTGCACTCAGACCCCCATCTACCCAATAATACTGTACACACTACAGACTACAGTACAGAACAACTAGGAAAATCACTTCAACACCCGACAAGTCCAAGATCAGACCTTGAATTCGAAAACCTGCAAAAAAAAAGCCCTCGACGCTCAACACGAAGCCCACACCAGCGTAACACTGAACACCCGTGCCAGCCCATGTGGGCCAGCCAGCAAATTAGCCTCCACCAAACCCAGACAAGCAGCGATGGCCAGGCCAGAGATCTTAATATTAATAACTGGACTTGCCCTACGTAATCTGCCAAGAAAAAGGTGGTCGGATAAATTACTGTAAACTAGGATTGAGATACAGTACTTATCACAATGATCACTTTTATACTTAATCCCGCGAGATTATACCCTGTCCTTGTACGATGGTTTGAATCGCATATTAAAAGGATGTACAGTACTCCGTACAAGGCTGGCAGTTTGAAATAAATGTCCAATAACCTAAATTGCTACACAAGTTCATTCACACGATATCCGTCGCGGAATCGATCACACCTACATAGTACTGCACAGTCCATGTCCATCTACAACTACTCATTATTGCTCTCCTCCGTCTAGAGTTTACCAAACCCCATCTCCAAGCTTTGTACAAGCATGTACATATGGTAGGTATCAACATTTAAGCCTCAAAGGCAGAATTCCCCGATCACCACACCACACTAGTGACACCACAATCAATCACTCATAGCGTGGACGGAGTACTCACCCCCGGAAAATCTCTGCACTCCCCTAAACACTAACCCCAACCATCTCCAACAACCATCTAGGGAACGGAGTACAGTACAACAGTATATGTAATTATGTATATGCAGAGTTTAAAATTCGCCTCCTCCTCGCACCACGGAAGCCTCACCCTCAACCACCATCCCGAAAAAATCCAAATGTAACTACAGTACGGAGTACGGAGTACAGACCGTAGCGTAGCCTCCATGAAAATCGCCGCAGATCATCCAAGCGCAGCGCCCCACGCACCAGCACCACAAGGGGGGAGGCCCGGGAGGGAGCTCAGGGCCCGGGGCTGTGCAGGCTGAGGCAACCAGGTTTTGGAGCAGCTCCAGGCAAATCGACGGGTGAGGGGGGCCCATGTGCCGGGCAGTGGGAACTGGACAAGCAGGACTGGGCGGGCGCTAAGTTAAATACATACTGTACACATTTAGGTTTGAATTTTTGAATTCTTGGATTTTTGGATTTTGGATTGGCTTTGGGTTCCATTCGGTTTGACGTTGGACCCCTATTTTATCTGATATCGAGTGCTCCGTCCAGTTACTACTGTACTACCTACCAGGAGGCATTAACATTAATTACGGGTAGAGTGGCGAGTGGAACCTGGAACTTAGCTCAGGTAGACATTTCTATGAGCGACAAATAAGAGTAAGAAAGTGAAGTATTAGTTACTCAATTTGAATTTTCACTACCCTAGTGACAACAGTACATACGCTGCCCAGGTGCTATGGTTAACTAAACTAGTCCGCCGAAGCCAGGGCTAGTACTGCGGCTGACAGGCTGAACAGCTGTACTCCGTACATATACACATACTGGATGTACACCCGCCACACGAAAGCACATAGATCTACGATGGGAGGCGACTGAAACTCCATCCACCCATCCTTCATCCATGAACTTGATCGGGATAGGGCACGTCAGCGCCACTGCGTAAGTTACAAAGCACGAACTGCAGACCACGATATCCTCGCAGTTCGCGGCGACTTGACTTGGCAGTAATAACTAACCGCAGTACTAAAAATTGAAAGCAACCCAATGGCGAAGTCAGCACAGTCTGTCTTCTTCTCTAACTAACTACCCAAAAATGGATTATTAGAGTCATAGTCAAGAAGATCTCGGATGTACCCGAAGGAGACTGCAGTAGAGTATTGTAGGTACGATACGATAATGCACTTTTGACTTGAAAAAAAAAATACCGCAAGTCTTATTTATAGTTATAGGTTCTACCGAATGCTTGCACTCTCTGGTACCTAGCGAGCTACCTAACCTAATATAAGCTGGAATTGAACAGACAAGCGTATCGGACGGACGTGGACTCCGCATGTATATCTAGCAGTCCATTACAAGCCCACGAATAAACTCGCCCAAAGAAGAACTTTTTCTCCAGGGGTCTAGCTAGTACTGTAGAAAAGGCCGAGCAGCATCGCAGAAAACAGAGCAATAATGGAAAGAAAAAACGAAGGAAGGAAGAAAGGAACAGAGAAGAGAAAGAAAAGGATATCACATAACTAAACTAATCCCAACCATTGGAACCGAGTATCACAATCACAAACATTTCAGTATACTTAAGTTCTTTTCATAGACTCGCCCATCCCATGCCATCCAATCCAATCCAATCCAATCAAATAATACCCACCACACAACATGTTCACCAAGTACACACCAGACCACACGGGCCCTATTATCCCCATCCAATCCCTGCAAACCACACCACTCAAACACAAATCACGCCCCGCTAACACTCCTCTTACTCAAAAAGCTCCTCCTCGGCATCTTCCCAGCAGGCGACTCCCCCTCATCCGCACCACCAGCCGTAGAATGCGACGTACTCGGCCTCAACGACCCAGCACCAGCGCCAGCGCCAGCACCAGCACCAGCACCGCCAGCCTCAGGCGCATCAAAACTAGACCGAATAACAACAGACCCGGAACCAACAGCAACAGGCTTATCAACACCCGCCTCAGAACCCTGATCAGCAACGAGGAAGAATCCCTCACCGAGGACTTCGTCCGAGCCAAAGGTTGAATGATCGACGACACGGATCTGGTACTGCGCGGCGGCGGTGACCTTGGGAACCTTGAAGGATTCATCATATGCGACGGCGTCATCGCCTGCCTTGTGCGCTTTCGTCTTGTGGACTTCCTTTGCGCCCTTGCTACCCTGTACGCGGACGATGACGCGCAAGTTCGCGGAGGACTGGAAACCGGACGCCGAGACGATGGTGATATGCGCGGTGCCTGTATCGCCGCGGCTACCACCACCACCGCCGCCGCCGCCGAAGACGGAGAGGCGGTCGCCGTAGATAGATGCCGTGCTGCGGTTGCGGGTGTGTTCCTTTTGCGGGGTGGACGGGGTGGGAGGGTGTGTGTGCCGTCGAGGGCTACGGCGGGGGTGTTACGAGTTGCGTCGACGAGGGGGCGGCGGAGACGAGGGAGCCGTTGCGGTGGTCTGTGGCGGGGTCTTCAATTGTGCTGTTGGCGACGGAGGCGGCGTCATCGTCGACGTGTTTGTCTTTGTGGAAGCGGCCGAAGATCTTTCCGCCGATGGAGGTGGCTCCGTGAGCGGCGCCGCCGACGACGGCACCACCGACCTTGAGAGGGACGCCGCCGATTGTCTTGGCTGTGCCGCCGACTTTGCCGCCGATGCCGCCGACGAAGGTGGCTGAGCCTTGGCTGAGGCGCATCACGTAGTCGGGCTTGAAGAGGAGGTTTAGGTGAATGGTGCTGGGCTGGCCGTTGGTAGGCGGCTTGGCGTCCTTGGATGGGTTGATGAGAGTAAGGACGACGTCCTTTTGCTGGAAGGGCTCAAGTTGCTCGAGATCGATCAAGGCTTCGCCGAGACTATCGTCACCAACACCACGGTCATAGTCCCACACTTCGACACGGAACTTGGAGTCAATACGAGTCTTGACCTCGACTTCGAAGGCTTCGTTCCAGACAGGATTCAAGTTCTTCTTGATAACCTCGGTCTTAAAGATCTGATGCTTGTCGTCATCGCCAATGAAGAAGCGGCAGTACGGGTCACTCTTGCCGTTGCTGTCGGCAATGGGGAGGTTGACACCCTTGATGACCTTGACTTGCAGCTTACCCATGTTGTTAATGCTCTCCCTAGGATCCAGGTGCATCTGGACGGGGATGTAGCGAGCGCTAACAGTAATCTTGCTGACCTCGCCAGTGTTGGACCGAAGGACCAACTCTTTAGGCTCGTACAAGATGTGCTGCAGAGTTGTGAGGGTGTTTCCAGTAAGTTTGGCTACGGTGTTCTCCTCGCTCGAATCGTTGGGGTCATTCTTGTGAACCAGGCGGACGGTCATCTTGGAGAACTCCAGCTCGCGCACGAAAGCCTCGCCGATATCAGAAGAGTTGAGAGTCTTGGAGTGAATCTTGGACGAGGTGTAGGCCGGGAACATGTAGTCGTCGATGACGACCTCCAGCTGCACATCGCTCTGAGCTAACTCGCCATGATGGAACTTGAACACGACGAAACCAGACTCTGAAGGATATAGTTAGCGGGTGCAAGGATTTTTGAGAATCGCAGAGCGCGTATATTAACGCCAAGTGAAGCGGGGGACGTCTTACCATATTTCGGCAGGTCCTCCTTGCTCAGCTCCATCTTAGGAATCGACTTGACCGACCTCACAGAAGACACATCCGAGTCCCGGGTCAACGGACGAGAGAGATTAGTCTCCAAGCTAGCGCGACCATTAGTAGTCGGCTCGCCATTCGTAACCCCATTCGTCGCAGCGCCATTTGACACCGCCTTGGAAGCCTTGGAAGCCTTCGAGTCAACGCTGGCAGTCTTGGCATGGCCAGGCCGAACCTTCGAGTCCGTGCTCTTACGAGGGGCATCAGCACCGGCAAGTTCACCCTCCTCTTGCTCCTCCTGCTCGGCCTCGTCCTCGGGGTTGGACACCGGGATAGTCGGGTAGAAAGCGACAGTGTAGTTGATGTGGCCCTTGAAGTTGCCCTGTCCGTAGCGCAGAGGGGAGGTAGTAAGCTGCTTGTCATCATCAATCTCATACTCGCCAGTCTCCTTCTCGCGAACGAAATCAGCGGCCTTGAGCTCGACCCAGCCGAGGGAGCGGTCCTTGTTGAGCTTCTCTTCGTCCATGACCTCGACGACCAGTTTTTCGCGGGAACTGCGAATAGGAACGTAGACAACCTCGTCCCAGACAGGGTTGAGGTTGTTCCGGAAGGTGACGGTACGCCCGCGGGTCAAGCCGGACAACATCACACGAGCATAGGGGTCAGACTTGCCCATCGCCTCAAGGTTCCGCAGATCCGTCGCACCCTTGAAGTGGAAGCGCATGACACCGATAGGATCGACATAGCCAGCACTACCGGCAACGCCGCTCAGGGCAACAGGCTTCCACTGCAGCTTGAGCTTGGCGCGGCCTTCCTTGACGCCGTGCAGGTGGAACCAGTCCTTGCCCTGCTCCATCATCTTCATCATGTCGTTCATCTTGATCTGGTAGCGACCGATGATGGGATCGGCCATGACATCGCGATCGTCCTTGATGATCAGCCCCAGGCGGGCATTCTTACGATCCGTGACGATGAATTCCTTCGAGGCATTCTGGAAAATAGGGTTGTTGGTGCGCTTCAGCTTGCTGGTGATGTGGATTTCCTTGCCGTTGAGCAGCAGCACGGCGTACGGGTTCAGCTTGCCGACGAAGCTCTTACTACCGTCCAGATCCTTGGCCTGCTCGACGGTGAACTGCGCGATACCAGTGTTCATCTCTGGTGGGGGTTCGATCTCGCCCGATTCCGATTTACTGCCTTCGAGGACGGGGAAGAAGCGAATGTCGGCTTGAATTGCACCACGGTGACGGCCGCTAGCCATGACTTCCAGATAGATACCCTGGTGCGAGGGCTCCTCCTCGAGCTTGCTGAGAGCAAAAGTAGCGGTTCCCAGTTCCTTGTCCTTGCGGTACTCGTTCCAGTCGTAGGGGACGATAGTCAGGGCGTCGGCGAAAGAAGTGATAATAACATAGATAGTCTCGTTCCAGCGTGGGCTGTCGGTGTCGTGCACGGTCTTGGTACGGCCCAGCTCGGTGCGGTTGTTCAGCGACACCACAGCATACGGGTCGGGAGTGCCGGAGAACTTGTCCGGGTTCTTGAGCTGCTGAGCGCCGTGCAGAGTCACGGCAACCACACCGATCGCCTGGTCGACCGGGTTGCCAGCAAGCATCTTGGCAATCTCAATGGGGAAGACATTCGGGTCGTACATCATGGGTTGCAGGTTATTGTGGATCTGCTCCTTGATGAAGTTCTCCAGACCGGGGATGAAGTTGATATCGAAGCCAAGGTGGTCACCACCAAGAGGCTTGCAGACGTAGTCAATTTCCGGCTTGCTCAAGAAGCAGACGTCCACGCGCTCGATGTGTGGGAAAGGCAGCTGGAGCTTAACCTTGACGCGCATCAGGCCGGAACAGGCCATGTCCTCGACAATGACGTCCAGACCTTTGCTAACCACACCCTTACCAACGCGAACTTCCAGAACAATCTTGGGGTTGATTTTATCCTTCAGCTGGCGCGCAGTCAAATCCATGGTATCATTAGGGGTGAAACTGAACTTCCAGTCCATGATAACGGTATCCGGCTCGGTCTTAGGGTAGGTCTTGACATGTTCAAGACGGGGCGGCTTCGTACCGAGAATAAAGGTCTTGAGGCGCAGATTGTCGAGGAAGGCAGGAGTCGAGGTGCTCAGAACCTGATCGACAGAGTTGATAATAGTATCGCACATAACGGGGGCATAGATGGGCCAGAACTTGACCAGGAAGCTGTTGATCCACTCCAGACTCTCGGTGTCAGTCTCCAAGCGCTGCTTGGACATTTCCCGGTTGATATCGTCACGGAAGTTACGGCGCACGCGGCGAATAGACGTGCGGTAGTATGTGCTACACGCTGCCATGACCAGCAGCACCCAACCCACACCACCACCCAGGGCTGCAATGAGCCACGAACTCAAACAGGCAAACACAATGATCGCGACATTATGGTACCAATCGCCGAAGAATTTATCGGGTATCCGGCCCTCCAAAAAGTCCTGGTGGTCGAGCAATGTGCCCTCGGCCTTTTCCTCCTCGGTCTTCTCGACGTGAAACTTGGGTGCCCATCCGGTGCGGTCGCGGGCCCAGCGCATATCCTCATCCAGGTTCTTGCCGCCCTGTGCGTCGACTGCATTAGCCTCCTCGGCCAGGATCGCAGTAGCTGAGCGAGGAGGAGGAAGATCGTAGTCTGCTTTGCTGTCATCCTAGTGTACAAAGGTTAGCTTCCAACGATCTTGCCGTAGACAGCCTGCCGAGGGAGATCCAAATTGTCGCCCTTACCTTGTCCGTCATCACAGCCATCCCCTCTGGCTTCTTATCGCGATGAAACCCCGGCGGCACTCGCTATCAGAAGCTGCAGTTAGCCTCTGCGCCTTGACTCCAATTGAGGACCAATCGCTTGCGTTCGAATGGCCATGCCAAAACCTACCGATTCCGCAGCTGCCGCCTTATCTTCAGGCGACGCATCAGGATCGAATTGATATGCAACGCCACCCGCCTGTCGAGTCTCTCTGACGAGGGCTTCCTCGATCGTTTCTGGGTTCACCTTGGATTGGGGATCCTCGGCCAGCTTCGTTGCGGCCTCAATGATCCCTTCCTCCTTGAGCTCTACCTTCTCCGCGGCGACGGACGCCATCTCGGCGGTCGGGTTGTGTGGAATGGGGCCTCACAAGGGCGCGGGATCGTGAGGGATGGGATGTCGGATACTCTGGCGGGCTGTAATGAAAATTATGAGCTGGTTAGATTCGCGCGCGTGAAGGTGGTGTATGGCATGGTGGATGGTGTCTGGTATGGTGTGGTCGAAGGGGAATCCGGGGATTGGTCGTGGTGAGGGGGGGAACGGGGCCGAGGGCGCGCTTACCACTCAGAAGGCTGGGGAGAGAGCTATCGCAAGGACCTAATAAGATGGCTGTGGTCGTTGGAATGGAGGAAGAATGGAGGGGAGGGGTTGGAGGTGAGGATGAAGAAGGAATTGTCCGAGGTGGGGACCGTCTGGATTGAGGAAGAAAAAGAGAGGGCGAGAGGGCGAGCGAGTCCTGAACAAGGCAAAGACGCAAAAGCAAAAAAGGTCGAGAGCCGACGCCAATTTGGGGATGTATCGGGGGACTCGCAACGCCCCAGACGCTTGCGTCAAGCATCGGCACGCTTGTGGCTGGAGCCTGCCCCGTCATTCAGGATTATTACGGGCGATTACAGCCGGGACGAGGAGGCCAGGTCCGGCGTGAGCTTGGAATTGTTCATGAACAGAGGACCAGGAGCTGGTCAATAATTTCCAGAGAGCGTATGCCAAGTGTACGGATAGATTAGCCTACGCAATGATCCTCGTCAGGACTTGGTGTAACTCTCCTCCTGGACAGCGTCATGTCATAGTCCTCCGGAAGTCAGAGCGCACCGCAGAAAAGGGCGGCGATCGGCCGCGGGCGATCGAAGATCAGTGACGTCTGTCGGACTACTGGAACTAAGGAACTAGTTGATCACTCCTCGAGCGACCGAGTCGTAGTACAACAAAGATAGCAAGATGGACAAGGGCGATCGAGGAGAGCTATACAGCCGAACGAAACAATTGATCAACTCGATGATCGTAGAATATCGTAGCTCACCCTCTCTGATCCGAGATCATCCTTGGTCCTGCCCACCATCCAGAGCTCCCATCCATGGTTCCATTCATCCCCCCCCGCTCATTAGTTCTTTAGTTCTTTAGCTCTTTACTCCGTACAGAATACTCTCTCACTCTCCCCTGCCAAGCACTCTCTTTTATACTCTCTACGAAGTTCAGACTCATGATAGGGGGCAACACCTCCAAATCTGATCTCAGTAATTTATTCTGCCCACCTCGTGTGTATTTTTCTTTCCCTCCTAGCTTCCAATCCACTAGCGGATCTAGCGATAGGGGATGGTTCAGCCACTAACAACGAACTATTACGAGTTAGCACCGCCACACGGTCGCCCATTATTCCACCGCATTTCTGTTTTCGGGCCCAGGAAGGAACTGATCAGCCAATTAGACGGGTCACTGATGTTCAGTTTACTCCGGCTCTTGCTGGGCAAAGTCATGGCGTCAACCACGTAGCGTTGTACTCCTTGTTCTCTTTGGTGGAGTTGCTGTGGCTAGGCAGGGGAAGTCCCAGCCCTACGTGTGATGGGCGCCAGGCATCAGCGATTCTCCGGTTGTACGGACACTTGAGAATGAGAACGAGAATAGGGGAGGGGATATAGGAAAAGAGGCAACTTATACTCCATATACTAACTATCCGTTCTATTTCTCTTCATACCGTCCATCAACTATATTATCCTACCACACCCATCAAGACCAACGCAACAATCACCCGAAAAACACCCCCCTTAATAGTTCCCCATCGGCCCTATTCCCACTAGCAGTCTATCACCCTTCCCATTGGGAGCTCACACCGATCGCCCTAACCCACAAGTTCCCCAAAAACCCACCTTGGACCTTCACCTGCAAAAAAACCAATAAAAATAAAAATAAATGAATAAAAAATAACAAGGCCCCAACACCCAGCCTGCCCCCCAATCAAATTCTCCCGAAATGTCGTGGCACCAGACAATGGTTCCCGAAGCCCGAGGCTTCGCCAGAGTAAAGTTCCCTATCTTCTCTAGCTTCTACGGCCTTGTCTATCTCCAGCATTGTATTCAGCTATAGAGTCTACGTACGGAGTATGGAGTACTGTATACTTCAATTGAATATTTACACAAGTTATCTAGGTATTGTGTACTCCGTAAAAACAGTAGAGCACTCACGGAGCCATTACACTCCTAGAACATAGACTTCGTTCGACACTTTACGGAGGATATACTGTAACAATATCTATAGTGGTAGTATCTCTATCATGCACATAAAGCGGGACAATGGGACAAGAACAATGCATACGGAGTATGTACTCCCAGTGAATAATAACGACATTGACAAAACACCAACACCAACACCAACACCATTGCCATTGGCCCGATCGGACACTCTCCATTGCATCTCCCACAACACATCATGCAGCAAAAGGCTGATTCGTCCCGCCGTCGAGTGGAATACACTGACTGCACTAAGGTAGAACTTGCAGACCGCAACCTCGGGATTTCGATCTATCAGCTTCCAACTTCCAGGCCCCGCGATCGTCATCGTGAATATCAATGTGAATTTCAATGTCAAAAAGCTATGTACCGAGGAATCTGAATCCTCGATGCAAATCCTCAATGGCAATGCCACTTGACGGAAATCAGGAAATACACTACAGTGTACGGAGCTCGGAGTAGTCCTACTCCGTAAAGTACTTTTTCCAGTCCTAGGTCTGGAGTGTAGATACTATAGTAGAAAACTCTCTCGTCGAGCGAGGGTGGCTGGAAACTACTCATGCTAGGACCTTGACTTGACAATGCGTGTCACACCATGCAGGGCCCAGACTTTCCAAGGTTTCCAACCCCCTCCTTCCTCTTTTCTTCTCCTCTCCTTTCATTGAGTTCGCTGTCCGAGCTACTGTACGGAGTACTCTACTCTACAGTAGTGTACACACTTACTCCGTAGTAGAAGTCTATTTGTATGGAACGTATGTGTGCCTGTGCTGTCTTTTGCAGCGGGCTGAGAATAGGGAAAGTATAAAATGTAGCGTCTACCTATAAGTGCAAGTACCCCCCGCCCGTGCTATTTAGATACCAAGCCCTTCCTGCTAGAACTGCTTCCTTCTCCTGCCAGTAAGACATTCCCTAACTCATAACTAACTCTAATAGTTGTTCTATGTCTCTGTACTTGACAGGCCTTTCCTAGCCCTCTGGAAAGAGATTCTCTACTTGTAGGGTAGAAGGCCTGTTAATCAGGTAGAAAAAAAAGTACTAGGTCAGATTACTTCAGAGACTGTTCCTTGACGAGAACAGAGTCTCCTCCTCATGGCTCGATTTAGACATAGTCTCTCTCTTCTGTGGAACAGGAAGGAGGGGTAAACGTCAAGCCGAGAGAGATGAGAACCTCAACCTGACGCGTGTGGAGCTGTGGGAGGCACCACTCCAGAAATTGCAAGGGTGCGAGTTGCTATCAATAGTTGTGTATCGAGTTTTCGACATACCTTTTCCTAGTGAGAGATTCTCAACAGAGGTAACCGGTTTGAATGCATCCCTGCAGATATAATTCAATTCAGTGATTGGCCATATTTATCCTGTATTCTCCAAAAAGGTTAATGCCAATATAGACCATACTAGAATCAGGGTTTAATTATTGAGTCAGTCTACTCCCTTTCTCTAATAATGCTACCATCAGGTGCGATTTAATTATTTTTTTGTCGATAAGAAGATCAGTCGAAAAAGCCCAAGCCGGAGCGCATCTTGGGTAGACATTGGTCTCCGATTTCCAGATTCAGTCTTCTGAATAGCTGCCGGCTGTATTGTCCAGGCTAAAGACACGCTTCGTGATAGTCAATTTGACCTCTCCAGCACAGCATACAACTATCACACGAAAGACTCTACTCATCAACCAATACAAAGTATAATATATGTAAGCAAAACCATGACACAAACTCGATTTTGGCATAAACGGAACTAGGTACGGATATCTGCAGCAGAGCTCATCACATCTTGAAATTCGTGGCAATAGATTACGCAGGGCAGTACTAGCTCCCCGAATCAAGGTCCAAGGTCGCTGGTCCCTACAAACCTTAACTTGACAGCCAGCCTGCTCTGAAATAATAAAATATCTCGGCAATTTGCTCCAGTTTACCGGCCCATGCGGATGACACCGGCGGCCATCAGCTTCTGGATCTTGATGCGCACGGACGCGTTCTTCATGTGCTCTTGCAGGGCGGCGGGGTCGCTCTTTGCCTGGTTGAGGATGCTTTGCATGACGGGGTCGTTGAGAATGGCCATGATCTGAAGATCAAATTAGTATCAAAGTATCAACTTCCAACTCCTATGGGATAAAACCATCCGGCGAGGACAGTGTGCAACATACCTCCGGGTCATTCTGAATACGCTCCATCGTCTGCTGCTCAGTCTCGCCAGCACGAGCACTGAACTGCGCCTCCAAACACTTCTGCTGCTGCTGCTCGATCTCACGAGCGTGAGTACCATCATCCTGCTCGGCAGCCTCGGTAAACGTATCAATAGCACGGTTATACTCCTTCATGGCAACGAGGGCCTGACCCTTGCGCATGTAAGCGCGGATGAACTTGGGATCGCGAGTAATGGCCTCGTCGCAGTCCTGCACGGCCTGGGGGAACGCCATGAGCTTGATCAGTGCGGCAGCACGGTTGGAGTAACCGCGCGGGTCCTTGGGCGCGCGCTTGGTCATCTCGGTGAAAGCATCAACGGCACCGGGCCAGTCGGCTTCTTGGAACTTCTGCTGGCCGAGCTCGCGGGCCTTTTCAGCGAGGGCGGGGTCCACGTAGGCATCCTTCTCAGCGGTGAGCTTGTTCTTCTCGGCGGCGCGGAGCTTGGCCAGGGCCTCGGGGGTGCGGTGCTCCATGAGAGACTTGTTGTAGTAATCAATGGCCTGGTTGAGGTCGCCCATCTTCTCGTACGAGGAGCCAATACGGGTGAAAGCCCTATACACCTTGTCAGTAAAGATGACCTTTCACAGGAGGTGGTGGTGGATGCCATACTTCGAAATGGTCTTGAAATCGGCGCGCAGGTCGCGACCCTCCTCAACAGCCTTCTGGCAGATCTCCACGGTGCCCTGGTAATCGCCCTTCTCGAACTTGGCGGCACCAATGTTGTTCAGGTAGGTGATGTCCTTGTTCAGCTCCCAGGCCTTCTCGTAGTGCTCAATGGCCTTGTCGAGATCCTTCTTCTTGTAAAAGTCGTTGCCGATCTTCTTCTCAGCATCACCAGCTTCTTGGGCCTTCTTCTTGGCAATTGTCTCTTCATCCTCGGGCTCGGGGGTAGGCTCCTTCTTAGGCTGTGCGGGAGCAGGCTTGGCTGCAGGTGTAGGCTCAGCCTGGGCACCAGCAGGACCACCCTCGGGAGCACCGAAGCTCATATCGATGCCCAGGAGAACGCTCATCACCTGCAGGAAGCGGGGGTCGCGGATCTCCTCGCCAACACTGTTGGGGTTTTGTTGGATCTTCTTCAGCTTCGCCATGAACTCAGCATCGTTCAGCAGGCTCGCAGTCTTGGGGTTGCTGGCGAGCTTCTGGAACAGTGCAGGGTCGTTGAACATGCCACCCAGACCACCGGTAGGGTCACCCTCAACACCGTCAGCCGTGGCCTCGGCATTGATGGCGCGCTGAACGGCGTTCAGTCCAGACTTGGCCTGCTCGTTGCCGGGCTCGATCTTCAATGCCTCCTCATATGCGTCGTAGGCGGCCACTACCAACCACTCGTTAGCGCCTACAGCTCTATAAAGGTCTTATCTTGCCTATTCACAACAGATATCACTTACGGAGGTCACCCAGGCCCCGGTAGGCAGCACCCTTGCGGAGGTGACCCTTGGACCAGTCAGGCTTGATGCTAGTAGCCTTCTCGGCATCCTCGAGAGCGTTTTGGTACTCGGATTGGGCGGAGTAGACAGCGGACCGGTTGGAGTAGAGGATGTGGTTCTCGGGTTCGATGGCAATAGCTTGTGTGAACTTCTCACTGGTGGAAATTGAACATCTCATTAGCGACTTCCGTTGAACCCATCATGAGCCCATAAAGGCGGGGTAGCAAACATACATGGCAGTGGGATAGTCCTTGGCCGAGAAGGCCTTGTTGCCTTCAGCCTTTAAAGCGTCAGCCATGGTGGAAGCAGTGGGGGTATAAACAGGATGTGTTCGAGGAGAAATGGAGGTCAATGAGGTTCTGGGGGCCGTGGTTATGAGCTCGCGTTGCTGGCCGAGCTTCTCGAAATTTCCGGAAGATCTCTGATGCCTCAGGCCACAGGGCGGCGTGACAGGCTTAAGCTCTGGACGCACTAAACCCAATGAGGGCACACCCGACCATCCCCGCCGGCGAAAAAGTCGCCAAACGGTGTTTTTTGTGATTCACACTTCTCTCAATTCAATTTGACTTCCTGACTCATGATACCCTGTCCCTTCTAAGCCAGTCACGATGATCCTTTAACTGGCTCCTCCCTGCTTCTGCAGATGCTTGAGTGGAACATGCCCTCTCCCCTCGACCCATAATCGTGTCTCTACCCTCCCTCCCAGCTGAGCATCCTCCCAGCCTCTCTCACTCTCTCCACAGTCATGGCGTCTCGTGTGACCGAGGTCGCCTCGCGACTCTACGACGCCTGCATCGAGAGGTTCGAAGCCAACCACCTCTTCTATCAGCAAGACCTGCTCGCCCTCGATGTCATCCCCAAGGGAGAAATCGACCTGTTGCTGAAATGCGCCCAGTCGCTGGTCGATCAAAAATTGTTCCGACTCCACCAAGGCGCAAATAACCGCCTCGCATGGAAGGTTATTTCTCGTGACGATGCCGAGAAGTAAGCCTCTCTCCTTTCTATTCGATTTTTTTTTTTTTTTTTTCAAATTTGTGAATATTCCAGGCGAGAGCACAGTTGCTGACTCAAAATTCTTTTCCCTTAGACTTCAGAGTCTCAGTCCCGACGAGAGCTTGGTGTACAACGTCATCCACTCCAGCGGCCGCTCGGGTGTCTGGGTGCGCAACATTCAATCACGTACAAACCTTCACAAATCCATCCTCGATCGCTGCGTCAAATCTCTCGAGAGCAAAAACTACATTAAGAGCGTCCACAATGTCAAGTACCCGACCCGGAAGATGTACATGCTCGCGGGCTTGGCCCCGAGCGAGGACATCACCGGAGGTGCCTGGTTCACAGACGGTGTCCTTGACGCCAACTTCATTAACAGCGTTGCTGGTTTCATCGAATACACCGTGAGCATCCGCAGCTGGCACGAAGTGCCCGCCGCCGACCTTGGCCGCGGCAAGCGCATCAAGACCGCGACTGGCATGGCTGAAGTGAAGGCTGAACCAGGGAAGACGTACCTCCCCTACCCAGCCAATTACACTGGCTACCTGACTGTGGAAGGGATCACCAGTGAAATTAACCGGAGCGGTATCACCCCTGTGCGTCTGGGCGAGGACAGCGTCATGCAGCTAGTGCAGATGCTCTGCTTCGACAAGAAAATCGTCGCGCTAAACAACGGCAACAACTACAAAGCGCTTAGGAACCCCGACATGGTCAAGGCCAGTCAGGCACGGAAGCCTGCCGCCGAAGAGGAAACCACCTCAACTATCTTTGGTGTGGGCAAGAATGGAATGACCGAGTCGCCCTGTGGATCTTGCCCTAACATCCGTCTTTGCTCGCCCGGCGCTGCCATCAGCCCGGAGACTTGTGAATACTTTGACCCGTGGTACGAGAAGGTCCTCGGGTTTTGATTCTCGAAGAAAGAGGTTATCTGGATTGTCGTGGAATAAACTGGCTATTTTTCCTCTGCGGAGAAGACTGCCGCACGACCCGACTATCTCGCAACCGATTCTCACCTACCACTACAGAGGAAGAGAGCATCTCCCACTCTCGTTCCTCCTCTTTCATTCTGGCACCGTGATCCACACCGTGCCTCCCTTTTGCATGCAAGATGGAAGGACCCAAAAAAAGGATTTGTGCATAGCGATGGCGTTGTTTTACTGTGATTATTATCCCGGCATCAGCTGTCCTTCGAACTGAGCAGCGATTGCTCATATGTATCTTTTGGACGAGACAGGGGCTGCGCTGGATGGCTTTGGCATGAGGCTACACGAATCATGGATCTAGAGATTAGCTAGTAGAAAATATGTCTACGAGCATACAAGTGTCAACCTCCAGTTCTTTTAGATTCGACGTAGCGAAGTCATCGTATCCGTCTGCTTGTATAGTGTATTTAATTAGGAATTATTACTAAATAATCCGTTTTATATTTAGTTCATCACTTTGATGTTCCGTTTGACCTTACTGCTGTGCTAGTGATCGAAAATTTCCTAGGACGACAAGACGAGCTAGGTATGTATTACGCTAGCTCGCAATAGAGGGAAACTCGCGCTGGCTAATCATTTTTGATAATATCGGTCGATACTCCTCCGCTAATTACGCTACTAGTGATATATATGATATTGGAGAATTCTTCCCTACTACCGATCATGGCTCTATTCTTCTGACGTCTCGGCTCCAAAGGTTGACTGAGCTAGGGAAGTCTTTTCAGCTCAACAGACTAGGCTCCAAGGATGCAACCCAACTACTCTTGCAAAGCACCCGCTTATCAGCTACGGATACCGTTAGGGAACTTGAGAGCAATCCAGGTACTAAATCCTTTAATACATAGATCCTGGTCATAATACTAATTAACATATATAGATACTCTTGCTCTTGCTAGTCGTCTAGATGGACTTCCATTAGTAATCGTCATCGCCGGGGCCTTCATGCGTGAGACTAGAACCAGCCCTACCGAATACTTGCAGTATTACCGAGAGTCTTGGACCGAGTTACAGCTATAGTCAAATCCCGAACGCCAGTACTAATAAGGTAATATACTATAAACATAGATGATCTTATATTATGAGATCCAGAAGCGGGACCCTCACGCAGCGAAGTTGCTTCTTTTACTTGCTTACTTCGATAATCGAGATATCTAGTATGAATCGATAAAAGGCAGCCTTTATAGCTCCAATGTTCCTGCTTAGCTTGAAAGGGCTCTATCAACCGGACTCGCGTTTAGAGCCGGCGTCAAGAATCTCATCGACTTCTCTCTGCTTGAGGCTAAGGCACGAGGCGGAAGCTATACAATACACCCAGTAGTCCAAGACTGGTGTATTCATCTTTCCAGGACAGACAAAAATGTGGATTCGACCCAGCTTAATGAACTAGCACTGAAATCTATTGGATTCAATATCCCAAGCTCAAGTAACAGAAATTATTCCGAGCTTCAGCAACCGCTTATTCCACACGCTAATCATGTACGTTATAGGGAGTGTTCAGGTAGCAACATTGATATTGCAGTATGGCCAGCATTCGATGGTTTAGGGTATCTCTACTTTGACCAGGGGAGGCTAAAGGAGGCAGAGGAGACGTACCAGCGCGCACTAGCAGGTTATGAGAAGGCCCTCGGTCCAGATCATACGTCTACTCTCAATACAGTCAACAACTTTAGGAATCTCTACAAATCTCAGGGGAAGCTAAAGGAGGCGGAGGAGATATACCAGCGAGTTCTAGTAGGCAACGAGAAGGTCCTCGGTCTAGATCATACGTCTACTCTCGGAACGATCAACAACCTTGGTCTTCTCTACTTTGACCAGGGGAGGCTAAAGGAGGCAGAGGATCTGTACCAGCTCGCACTGGCAGGCAAGGAGAAGGCCCTTGGTCATGATCATATGTCCACGCTTGATACAGTCTACAACCTTGGGAATCTCTATAAAAGTCAGAGGAAGCTCAAAGAGGCAGGGGAGATGTACCAGCGAGTACTGGTAGGCTATGAGAAGATTCTTGATCCAGATCATAGCAAGATACTGCGGCTTAGAGAAAGATTAACTAAGCTGAGCATTGCAGATTGAGAATATTGCATTACTATATAATACTTTTCCACTTTTGGACGGTTAATGCATGATCCTGATGTAGGTATTCTTCGGAGTGGGTTTAGCATGTGTCTTCTCTATAGATAAAAAACAACGCAACTTTCCTTATGACCATATAGAATGTATCTCATTCACATCGTATTATTTTCAAACATCTTTTAAAAATGATGCTCTTAGCGAGGTTGGGGTAGAACCGACCTTACTAAACAACGTTCGCAATTGTGGAAGATCTATACATACTTATAAGGCTTGATGTACTGTGCCGTCTGTACTGTGGCTCCCCACAAATAAGGAACCCCACAAAACTGCCCCAGTTCCCGAACACCGCCTTTGAATGCTGGGGCTAAAGCGGGCACTTTTCGTCCGACCAAACCATCTTTTCGCGGATCCGCAATGCCTACTACTCCCGAGTCCAGCACTTGACACTTCACTCGCCAAGCCTAATGTCGACGACTCTTGCATGAGCGGCCATGCCTCGATCCCCAGACAGCAACGCGCTGGCCCTTAAGCGCAAGCTGCAACAAGCCGACTCCCAGTCCGAGCCCACCTCCAAACGCCACCACCTTCAGGGCTACGATCCCAAGGCACCATGGCTACACGAGACGAAGCCAATCAACGGATGGCGGACGCTGGGCAATCCAGCAGTCTACAACTCGCTACCGCTAGCGAACATGGTCTCTGCCGTGCAGGACCTGATCGATCCGGACTTTGATCCGCTGACGGCGATTCTGGACGATGAGCCTCGCTTTTTGAAACCGCTGCCGGATCGAATTGCGCCGGAGGATTTGGAGTTTTTGCGCTTTCGTGGGGCGCTGTCTATACCTGAGACTGGGTTGCGGAATGAATTGTTACGGTCGTATATTCAATGGGTGCATAGTTTTATGCCCGTGCTTAACTTGCAGGAGTTTTTGAGATGTGTTGCGGAGAATGATCCGCGGGGAAATGTTAGTATACTGCTTTTTCAAGCGGTGATGTTTGTCGGGACGGCTTTTATCGATTTGAAACACTTGCAGGATGCAGGGTACTCGACTAGGAAGAGTGCCCGCAATGCCTTTTACACCCGGTTAAGGGTAAGTCAATCATACCATCATGTGGAAACGTCAGGGATTGCCTGCTAACAATTTCTGAATATAGTTGCTATACTCTCTTGACTGCGAGGAAGATCGTATCGTCATCCTGCAAACACTGCTGCTGATGACCTACTGGTCCGATCCGGAGAACAGCCTGCATCGAGATATCTGGGATTGGATTGGTATCTGCAATACTCAAGCACATTCCATCGGACTCAACAAGGACCCTTCCACCGGCGACATGGATCCGGAGACTCGCCGCTTGCGCACTCGAGTTTGGTGGTGTATATACTCACGCGACCGACTGATAGCTATGGGCATGCGGCGTCCACTGCAGGTCAATGAGGGTACTAGCAACGTACCGATGCTCAAGCTGGAAGACTTTGATTTCGAGCCGTATTCGCCATCAGTGGTGGCTCTCTTCCACTGTCGACAACTCGAAGACGTCTCACATCAAAAGCGTCTGGCGACCATGTTCATTGAAAAAGCAAAGCTCTGCCAGTGTATTGGCAGGGTACTGTTCGCACAGTATGCACCGTCGCAGCGTCAGTTTGGAGCTACAGACCGCACTACGGTCACTTTGATTCCCCGACAGGCTTCAGAGTCGGAGTTCACGCGGTGCAGCCAAAAGCTCGACTCTTGGTTGAGCGCACTTCCAAAGGACGCCCAGTTTATACCAGCATCACGAAATAACTTCTGCGACGGCGAGGACGTATTACTCGTACATGGTGCGATGCTGCGCATGCTCTACCACGCCACCACCAGTGCCCTGCACCGGCCGTGGGCCACATACTCAAAAGATCAGTCCAAGTCCCGTCTTGAATGGCGAAATATGGCCCGAACCAAGATGCAAGATGCAGCCACGGGAATCACGCATATCATCCAAGGCCTCAACCAGCTCAACCTCACGCGTTTCCTCCCACAGACCGGCGTAACCGTCATACTCCCGGCTGCAGTGGCTCATTTATCCAACTCCATGTCCGACAACCCGGCTCTCCGAGAAAGCAGCATCTCCAATTTCCACCGCTGCGTCCAGGTCCTCCACGGCCTGAAGGATATCTACCCAGCTGCTGCTGTGGAATTTGCCAACCTCGAAGCCGCAATCAAAATGCAGACTGGCAATTTAAACTCCAACACATTCTTCCAAATCATGCAAAACAACTTCGACTCTACAACGGCCCCTGCGTACACCGACGCTAGGAAACCAAGTAGCGCGGACTCTATTACAACCACTCACTCCCTCCGCTACCTGGAAGATAAACCCACCGGCGATGCTGAAACCCCAACCTCCCGCGCACAAGCTGCATCTACCAATATCAACAGCAATGGCAATGGTCAGAGCCAAAGCCATAACCATCAACACAACATAAATACCACCTCCTCACCACATAACAACAACACCTCCCAAAACACACGCCGCCCCTTCCCCAACGACTTCGACGACCACTTCGCCGTCTCCAATACCCAAATCCCCCCCTCCGCCGAAAACCCCTTCACATACCTCACCTTCGACTTCGACAGCTTCCCGGGCCTCTCCTCCCCTCCTTCATCGACAAACCCCAACACAAACACTAACACTAACACCCGCAATCCCATAAAAGACATCAACCTCTCCCCAACAACGGACCTCGACGCCATAGACTGGACCCAAGCCCTATTCCGAAACATCTCCGTGCCTGCCCTCGACAAGCCCACCGACACTATGGACGTCTTTAGCAGCGATGGCCCGCACCGGACGCAGAGCCTTGCACAGCAGGTCAGCGAGCCGGAGCAGGATCTCTTTGCGTTTTCGTTGAAGGATGACGATGAGGCCGGCGGGGGATTTAGGCATCATTCTACCGGGCATGGACATGGGCATGGACATGGGGATATTACGGGGGATTTGGATAAGGATTTGGGATTTCAGACTGGGGATGAAGGGTTTTAGCCTGATGATGAATCCCTTTATGAGTATATCTTTCTGACTTTTGATTTTGTATCTATTTTGGGGGGAATGTGGGTGCATAGGATATGTATATAATCATGGGAATCGGGTATGGATGGATGAATGGATTCAAAGCATCAGTATATCCAAATTGAATTAATCTTTCACTTGTTACAATTTCAAATTGAAACTGTCCGACCTTGAATATATGCTTATCACATTGCTGAGTCTGCAATCTCTACTCTATTACTGGATATAATTGCGAGTCCCCAATTCCTCCCCATCTATCAATAGCACATCATGCCCGTCTTCACAGAAAGCAAGATAATTAACCCTTCACCTGGCGCAAACAACATGATTTCATCTAATTTCCCTGTATGCCCGACCATTTCACCATGTACCCAAGCGCAGGCACTCGCTACCGCCGCCCCGCCCAGCGGTTACTCTCATCACCCTCGGTCCAGGTCTGCTCGATATAGCCCAGCTTCTTCTTGACCTCCAGCACCTTGGCGCTATCACCCATGTTCTTGCCCATGTTATCGCTCAGCTTGACAGCTGGGCGGCCGTTGGCAGTGGCGATCTTGATGACGATGTTGAGGGGCTTCGACTTTTGGCCGTTGGATTTGTTTGCGAAGTCATCTGGGCCGCGTTAGCACAACCTGATCTGGTAAAGGACGTAGTATGTAGTATACAGCTAGGGGGTTGGTCGACACTTACTCGTAAAGAAAGTCCCCACGCCAAATGTTGGATTGAATCCGGCTTCTTCGGAAATTGCCTTGTACTCCAGACAATTCTCGATATTCAGCGAGTCCGAGAAGACAACCGTCTTCTTATCGGTGATGCCTTCGCGGTCATAAAATTCGCGCACCATCTTGACAAAGTAGGTCGGGTCGCCCGAGTCCTGGCGGACACCGGTGTAGACCTGGGCGTATGTCTTGGTGGAGCTAGAATGGTCGGTTTGGACTTCATTTGTGACGGGAGGAGACGCGGAAGCATCGCTTTGCACTGGAGCTGCGCGGATGGGTTTGCGGAAGGCGTCGAGGAAGGCAGGTGTGCCGAAGGTATCGGTGAGGGCAATTCCAAGGACCTGTATGCCTTCGTTAGCCCATATCTTCTTCGAATTCTTCCACGACCGGATAAAAACTTACACCCTCGCCAAAACATCCAAGCCAATACCGCAGCGCTAACTCATTGGCATTCTCATAGTCCTCCGTAATCGCCGCAATGGTCATATACCACTCATGCGCCACAGTGCCAACAGCACCAACGTCATACTTCATAGCAAAATGCACATTGCTAGTACCCGTCAAAACACCCTTCCATCCCTGCCGTTTTCCTTCCACCGCAGCCCGACAAAGACCCTTCATGACCAAATCGTGGGTATGATAATCTCTCCGCCGCCGCGATCCAAACTCTGAGAACACACACCCATTCTCCAAAAGCTCACAGCCCTTCCGGAACGCCTTTTCTTCCTGGTTGCTGTGGTCCCAGTCTTTATCGCTGAACATGAAATATGCCTGGCTAGTCAGCGCCAACAGCGGGATCTCGTACAAGATCGTGTCCACCCAGAGACCCTTGATGATGTATTCCACCGCACCCTCGTCCTCGTCGCTGCCAGTGTCTTGTGTGGGGGTGAACTTGATATCGATTTGCTCGGAAGGTCGCAGCTGGAAGGTCTCAAGGAAGGTGAGGTAGGTATCATTGAGGTAGGGGCACTTTTTCTTCAGCCATTCGCGCTCTTCGGCGGTGACGCGGATATTGGCGAGCTCTGTGAGGGACGCATTAGAATACATGATGGAATGGCCAGGCTGGCCTGCAGTTCCAAGGGACATTACTTACTCGCCATCTGCTCCAGAAGCCATTTGTATGCACCGCGCCGCAACTTCATGTGCGGGGTACGATTCGTGAAGCCATAGGTCACGTCTATCTCGAGTTAGAGACCCAGTACTCCAAGAACTCGGTCTTGACCACTTACAAACATCAGGAAAGTACTTCAGAATAGCGCATTGCATCGTCAGCTTGTACAAATCCGTATCCAGAAGGGAGAAGATGCCCTCCGGCCGCGGAGGGGTCGCATCCTGGCCCATTCTGCTGGTAGATCGGATGCGCCGATCTCGAGATCTGAGTGTCAATTGAGGAAGTTGGACTCAGAAGGCTGGATTTTGGGTATGCAGAGGGGCACGGATGAGTCCGACCAGCAAGCGAGTGAGTCGGAAGTTTTTTAAGGTGATCTTCCTGACTCAAGCAAACGCCTCATCGCGGGGGAAATCCCGATATGATTGGCTGTTTGCTCTGTTTGCATGGACTGTGCATGATGTATGGACAGGGGTTACGTAGACGCGCGAGATAGAGAATGAGAAATGGAAGAATATGCTGTATGGAAGGTTCTTGAATGAACAATATACAGTCTTATATCAGTAGCTGGTACTGGGGGGAAAAGCTGCACATTATGTTATAATCATCGACGCAGTAGCCAGCAGACATATAGGTAGTACTCCGTAGATATAGCGCTGGTACCGTGCTATCAAATTCGGCGACAGTATTTGAATCATATATCGAGCAAACACACGATCTTTGTCCAGTGTAACTCATGGCAAGAGTCCAAACAGAGCAGATCGTGCTTTGTCTATTGCTTCCACCCGCCGATGTGCGTTTAAAGGTTTGCCTGCGCAGCAACAAAGTGAGAGCAGTTGTTTCACTCTGTCATCTCTCCAAAACACCAAAACCTATTCACATACCGCTCCCACCTCCAGTAACCATCAGCACTGTGACAACCACAGATATCCCGCTTCTGCTTGAAAGTCCTGCCCGTTGGAAAGCATCTACATTCGGTCACGTGATGGATACCAAACCAGAGCCTCCCCCTCAAGCTCCAGACCTGGCTGACTCAGCGCCAAATGAGGCCAGGCCCGCTGAGGCCAAACCCGCTGACTCAGCTCCGCCAGCGGCTCGACTGCGGTTGACTCTGAAGGAGCCAAAGTCAGAAGGCGCTATCCCCAAGAGCCCATCCCCATCTCGGCCTCGTGGTAGACCGAGGACAAACGAATCTGCTACCTCTCGCAAGAAGACCCCTCGCAAAACCAATACCCGAACGAAACGCCCGAAGCAAAACGCAACAGCCGACCCGAAACCGCCCATGGCAAACGGCGCGGAGGACTGCGCGACAGTCCTCGAACAATTTGTCCACGATGCAGCCAACTTGCCACTCGAGATCAACCATCTGATGGAAGAGATTCAAGCAAAAGACAAGGTTATGCAAGAATGCCGAGCCACAATCAACTCCCGCGACAGCAGTATCCAGAAATTCATCAAGCTGAACGGCAGTCTGGCGCCGAATCCCAAGGAGGAGCAGTACAGCAAAACGGTGCTTCAGAACCTCGACCGGAGCCAGCAACTACAAGATGAGAAGATCCAGTTGAGCGAAAAGGCATGCGTGCTACTGGATCGTCAGATCAAACGGCTGGATGTACGCCTCCGCGATCTCGTGAACGAGGGGCTGCTCTCGAATGACCCGCCACTCCCTTCGCTCTTTGACAACAAGAATCAATACCGCGATCCACCCAAGGTGTTCTTCCCCGACTCTACGCCATCTGATTCCCCCTCCTACGCTACGCCACTCAACACGACATCCGGAAACGTGAATCCCATCCTCGCGGCAGCCCAGCGCTTGAGCCAGGCCACGCCGCGAGTGCCAGGCCCAGGTAATCTAGCTGCCCAAGGTGGTGCACGCAGCTCTGCACCTGCAACCCCCGCTGCAACGGCAGCCGTCCACCTGCATCAGCGACAACGCGAATCTTCCGCCGGTGCAGTGGACACCAAACGCCGACGGTTGAATGCCTCGCTCGGTACACTCCCAGCTGCATCATCCAACCTGCGCCAGTCCTCCATAGGTCCTGGAACACCTAAAGCTGGTACCCCTGCTGGCAGCCGCGCGGGCAGTGTCGGACCTCGCGCAGCCACAGGCATCAAGAAGGCCTTGACCAAGAAAGTTGCACCACATCAACAAGTCAAGAAAATCAAAGCCTCGGCAGCTAGCAAGCACACCAAACGCTCATCCAGTGCCAGCGGTCGTATCAAAGCATCTAAGAAATCCCCCGCTGGCGAGGGCGATGAAGACGACGACTCCATGCTCAGTAGTGCTGACATGTCGGACTCGGATAAGAGTGATGCTGCCGAGGGCGAGGAGGATATGGATGACGACGAGGAGGAGGATGAGGGTGCTGAGGATACCAAGGTCTATTGTACGTGTCGCACTGTCAGCCATGGGGATATGGTGGCGTGTGACAATGACAGTTGTCCGTACGAGTGGTTCCACTGGAAATGTGTGGGATTGACGCGCGAGCCGGTTGGGACGTGGTATTGTGATGAGTGCAGGAAGACGCTTGGGAAGTAAGGGGATCCCGAGAATACTCGGTTGACGTGCTTATCTGGAGATTCATGGTCACTGCTATTCTTTTGTATGATGTATGATGGTCAATTGTTATACCCATGGCGTATCGGGGGGCGTTGGAAAGGAGTCTTACTGTTAGGTCAATATTATGTGCACTAGCTTGCTACTGTCTACTGGAAATGGTTTATTGATTTGGAAATGAGTGTCATCACCTAGATCTCGTCTTTGACTAGCTACGAAGTAGCAGACAAGGCTCGTCCTATCAAAGGATAATGCAATAAACACAGATTAGTTCTTCTCTGAACCTCACAATTGATAGCTCCTCCCAACATAATAGCAATTGACAATCATAAATCGTTTCCTCCCAACTAAATCACCCTCGCCTCAAAGAACAATACCCAAAAACACCGCAACCAGCCAGGCTCCCACAGAGTTCCTCTCCAAAGCAGACGCCGCAGAAAACACTGTGGTCTGAGTAGACTGTGCTGACGACGATGCAGACGATGCAGGAGAAGTAGCACCAGACGACGAAGAAACCCCGACACTGCTTCCAGAAATAGTCCCACTCCCAGCCACAACAGATGAACTAGAGCCCACAGCACCGGCACTCGACGACGTAGACACCGACGTACTCGATGTCACACTACTAGATATCCCACTCCCCACCGACGCCGAGGTCGAGACCGTAACAGAACCCTCTCCCACGCTCGAAGACGAAGTCGTGGAAGAACTCGATTCCGACGACACCGTCACCGTTGCCGCAGACTCAGACGAAGTAGTACTCACAACCTCCGAAACACTCGTCGAATACGTCACCCCATACTCCGAGCTAACGCAAACACTATTCGCTGAACACGCATACCCCGTATCACAGCATAAATGGCCGCACACCACGTCGCCATAGCAAACAGCATCGCAGCCGCGCTGCCCATCGATGACGGTGCATGCTGCGCCTGAGGGACAGCAAGCTCCCCAGCCTACGCAGGAAGTGTAGCCTGTGTCGCAGGTGTAGGAGACGTCTTGGCGGGCTTGGAGGGCGTGGTAGATAGGTGCGGCTGTAATTTGGGCGTGGGCGGCGAGGAATTCGGCCTTTGTGGGAGAGAGGAGAGATAGGATGAAGAGGATGGATATGCTGGTGATTTGGATGGACATTGTAGATGTATACACCGTAGGTAGTAGTTCAATATTGATAGGTTAGGTTATGAGAGTCCTGTACTATAGAGAAGAGTGAATCTTGGCTAGAAAAGAGTGCATATAGCCCGCTTTTTAAACCGGTCAGATCATCCTTGACCGTTTAGTGTATACCTACCCAATATACTAGCGAAATGAGGCTCTCTAAGCGAGTTACCCGTATACTCGCGGAGCGGGGGAATCCTCGTATTCGACGTGCCCGTGCAGCGGGCTCCTGCTATGTATAGGAAATGAGGCTTGATGGTATACGTACCACTCTGTTCGTATTCGTTGCGTATACCTACCCTAGTGATTACTAGAGTGGCGTTCCTAAAGCTCAAGTCCCTGGCAAGCCTTTGTAATCGTCTTATAGGGTAAACCTACGGCGGGGGGATGAGGCCTGAGCTTTCAAGGTGATTTGAGATAAATTGGATATAGTATACCTTACTTTGCGGGATGTTATCGCCTCTCAGTATCGCATACCACATTTAAATTCGGACTTGAATGTCGAATTGCATATCACCTCAGAGATGTAGGATATGTCGAAACAATATATGACCGTATAGACTAAGAATGTTGCCTATAGTGCATTTTTGGTCTAGAGGTATTTTGCCCTATATTTGCTTTAACAGGATACTTCCCAGGCTTCGCGTGCATATCTTTCTTTGGTCGAGAAATACCAAGACGGGATTCACGTAGCGCGACATGATGTGCCGTTGGACCAGGTTTCGAAAGTCGGCTAACGTGTCGAACAGGGCCAGTCGATTGAAGCCGCCAAGAAGGCCGAGGTAGATGACCTCGACGACTTGGCTGCTCAGCTTGAGAGCGTTACTGTGAACGATCCAAAGCCAGTGGAGCCGGCAGGAGTCTCCAAGAAGATAGTCTCCGAAGACAAATCCGAGGCAGACGAAGACAAGAGTCTTGCTGCTAAGCAGGAGGAGGATCATGTCGAAGTCGATGAGAACGAGGATGAGGAGGACGAAGAAGACGACGAAGACGATGAGGAGGACGACGAGGAGGATGATGACGGGAGTGACGATGTTGCCAGGCCATCAGGACCAGAGACTTACCAAATGCACCCCTTATACGAATCCTGTCGCCCGGCGCGGGTGATTCTTTGCGTGGGAGTGATTTTCCCGCTTCCACCTTCGTCTGCTCCGCTGTTGGAACTCTCTCGGATGTTACAGGCGGCGCTTCCATCGACGGAAGATATTGCCCAATTGAATTCGTCGGTGCGTATAAAACTCATATACTGGTGCCTTGTTCTCGGCGGTATCGGCGCAGGTGGATCGCCAGAGAGGCTGTGGTATGTGGAGGAGCTTCGACGTTTTGCTGAAAAGTATGGTCTGTATGCGTGGAATGGGATGTAAAAGGAATTTCAAGATGATCTTATGGCTGGATCGGGCGTGTGACTGCGCTCAGAGGTTGATATGGGAGGAAGTTTTGTGCTTGCGGCAGAGTGTTCGTGTCCCAATAAACCTACGTCTGAGATAGACATTGAGAATATAGATGTCAAGTCGTTCAAGAACTGATCGTGGGTACGTATGATGTAAGAATGGTAGAGAATAGAAATAGATAGTACGGCGCAACGGTGGATTATTAATTGAGATTTTTCGATTCTAAAGCGGTCGTGTACTGAAACCACGACCTGTGCTACAGCAGAATAATCCTTGGAAGACACAAAATTTCATACAAGGGTGCATAAGTATTTGTTGCACTATACTGAAGAAAGACTCAGCTCACGCCACTTCTCGTCCGATGCAGCCAGTGCCTCGCCAGCAGACCGAGCATACTCAACCGCGTTAGGACCAATAATTAGGCGCAGAGGAGGATCCGTTTCATCCAGAAGCTTGAGAATAATAACCGCAATCTTGCTCGGGATAGACTCCTCACTTCCGGACGACTTGCGCAGATATTCGACAAAGGACCCAACCGTCTGCTGATAAGGCTCGCTCACTGGGGGAACTTGCATAGACGAGCCCGCCCAATCAGTCCGGATACCACCAGGCTCAAGAACCGTGACCTTGATGCCGAGGGGAGCAACCTCCCGAGAAAGGACTGTCGAGAAACCACCAACAGCCCACTTTGAGCACTGATATGCAGACAGACCCGGAGAACCCAACCGTCCACCGAGTGATGAGACCTGGAAAATATGACCGCCGGTCTTCTGCTGGCGAAGGATAGGAATGACTGCTTTTGACACATAGACTACGCCAAACAGGTTGGCATCGACCTGGGATCGGAAATCGTTGATATCCATGTCCTCGACAGCGGCAGTGTTTGCGTATCCTGCATTGTTGATGACGACATCAATTTGGCCGAACTTTTCATGTCCAGTCTTCACAGCTTGAATGACTTGGTCATTGTTGGTAACATCGAGAGCAACCGGGAGGACTCGATCAGGGCCGAATTTATCGACGAGGCTGGCAAGCTGCTCTGGCTTCCGAGCGGTCGCGATGACAGAGTCGCCATTATTAAGGGCAGCTTCGGCGATAGCGAGGCCGAGGCCGCGAGAGGATCCAGTGATAAACCAGACTTTCATGGTGAGGCAGGTGAATTGAGCAAGATAGTAAGTGATGTTTTTCAAGTTGATATAGATAGAATGGATATTTGAAGGAGAATACGACGAATTTATATGTGAAATGCTCCGCAAGAATGACCCATGACGCATTATGCTCTGGTACGGCTGCCGCCGGAGATTGAGGACTATACCCGAGCATCTGGAGGTCGAACTCTAGATCGTGCATCATGCACGCACGGCCCCAAACTTAGCGGTAAGCCTAATTCCACTTTATCTGCGAACTTTTATCTCCGGAATCAAGCCGCTGCGAATCAGTTCTCGCATCATCATCTTAATGGATTCCTGGTACATATACTCCACCGAGTCAATCTCTTTCTGGAAATTGAACCGTATGCTTGATCGAGTTAGTACATTGTCAGCCCGGGCGTGCCAGTGCTGAACGTGGAAAAAAGCGGGGGTGAACCTAGCTGAACCCTGGTCCTCATACCGCTTTGGGATGTTGGATGTCGACGCGACTGACATTATTGTGCCCGGGCTACTATGTATGTTAAATCAAAACAGTGCTATACTCGTATAAATGGAGTTGAGTTTCATTAATTTGGTCCCTCCGAAGAATATTCAAACCGATCTTTTCGAACAAGAGTTGAACGAAAGAGATGGAGAGAGTATAAGACTTAACTCAATATAATAGCTAATCGAAAGGGATTAGGTTTTTATATTTCGTACTTAAATGAATGGGTTAAGTGCATGGAAGGAAGGAAGGAATGCTATGGCAGTGCGGTTACGCCCTTTTGTAGTGTTCAGCCATATAATATATCGGGTACTTCTGTAATCTAGCAATAAACAACCAACCCGATAGCTAACACTCCGGACTTGGGCATCTAGTAACACTCTGTAGCAAAGCCTTGAAGGAGAAAGGTTAATGCTGTACAACTAATATGTATCATTCTATGAGTTCTTTTGGAGCAGAAGTTGTCGTGATGATGATTTTTTTCCAGTAGGGGTGTGCTTCGCTTCAGGGATGATATCATGATCTAAAAGCCCTTTGAAAGTTTAGAAAGAAAGTCATTGCGCTTGCCAATACTTGAACGATGATGGACCGACCGGCAAACATCTACCTACCATTTGGAATAGAGAATATAATATAAGAAGTTCCAAACTAGGAGTACGCACATGTCCAACCGTTATTTGTAGGACAATCTCGACCACTCCTTGGTACTACTCATTTGTTGGCCCAGACTTTTCGAGAAGAGTATTCGTAGTCCAAGACCTCCTGCCGCTTTTTGATGTAGCTGCCTTGACAATGTCCCCCGTGATTGGAATATCGGCTCCAAACTCCTCAAAGAGCGTTTCGATGAGATATCTTATCGCCAGATCGCCAATTCGACACCGTGGCTTGACAATATCCTCTGAGATGTCAATATCTTTTCCTTGCTTGAAGATTGTCTGCATGATTTCATCCCCTGTATCGCCATTTGATACCGCAGCCCTTAGCAGGTCGTTAGTAATGCTCAAGTCCTGGCTCCGCGAACAGAGCCTTTATAACCTTATCCCCACTCTTGATATTGGATACTGCTGGTTCGCATATGCTCTCGGTAATCTCGACATCAGCCAAACACCTCGGTAGAAAAAACCACATGAACTCGTCTCCACTCTCTTGATTTATAGTGCTTTCCCTCAAGATTTCTCCCGTAATGACTTAGGCTCTGCAATGACCAAAAAGAGCGGGCAGAACCTTCTCCCGCTCCTGGGATTCCATGCAGCTGCTTTGACTAGACTTTAAGTGGTCTGGATAGAAGCACCGGACTTGTCGAAGAGACAGTTGACCACTTGTCTCATTGAAACCTCCGGTGATTTGAAACACGACTTTTTCTGTAATCTGTCATAATTATAGCTATCTACTCCGGTAGCGTGCATAACCACCCACGATATCTAACGAGAAAACTCATTGGAGCATTGACCAAAATGCCAGCGCGTAGGGTGTGCAGATCTCCAGACACGACATGTTTCAGCATGAGCCAAATCTACTTATGACGGGGCCGGAGGGAGGGGACTCCATGCGCTTAATGGCAGGAGAAGACCGACTCTAAAATTATACAAAAATTGGAGTACCTAAGAGGCTGAGAGTGCCCATCATGAGAAGAGAGGTTTGTGTTTCGCTTCCGTAAACAAATTACCTCGTTATAGTTGTACTCAAGTCTGTGAGAACGTCTTTTACACAGCCCTCTGGAAGCACGATCTGGGCAGCTTATCTGCTAGGCGTAATTCCTGAACGACAGCAAAAGCAATGCGGTAGTTGAGCCTGAAATGTGAGTATATAATGGACACGGCGCCTATCTAGCGAACACTAGCACCTTTTTAAAACCGTGCATGCCAGATCATAGCTCGAGATGATAATCCCGTTAAGCGACCCTTTTGGGGGTCGAACTCCAATCCGAACCCGTAGTCGTTGCGACAGGTGCAGATGAGTGATACGACCAGTTCCAAGGACATCTCTTTCAGACTCTATAAGAGGGTTGATAACATTGGTATTTAAAACAAATCACCTAGGCAGAGCTTGCCTAGACCTGCCATACGCCTCTTCCAATAACTATGATACAGAGGGATTCCAAACACATCAAGTGTCTATGCCGCTTGTCCCTTCATTGATGCTTCTCTTGTGGTATTCGAGGAGATAGGTCGATCCGAGAGAGAGATGATTCGTGGGTAGATGTTTTTACATACTGCGATATTTATCAGTCAAGGCTGGTCGATTCGAGGTATCAACACGGATCGACTCACGGAGGGAGGAGGAGCTCGCCGAGGCTGCTGTGGAGGAAAGCGACACCGGCCTAGAAGAGAAGAGATATTAGCCTTGTTTCCGACTCGACGAGCAGCTCGAGTGTTGAGGACATACGCCGAAGACCAGGAGGCTGCGGACAATAGTGGCGTTCTCTGGGTTGGTGGCCTCGTCGTAGATGGTGCTCAGGAAGCTCTTCTGAGGACGGGTGGAGTTGGAGGCGGCGACACGCTTGGGAGCCATTTTGACGAATGATATGAATGGCAGGTAGATGGTAATAAATGAAGGATATGGGTCGAGGTTGAAAACCGGAGAATGTCAAGAAATCTGCGACCGCCGGACCGCTTGGCGTCACTGCGTCTTTGGTACAACTCGGCCACCGTATCACTTTTCGGCGCGCGCGACAGCTGGAAATGCGACGATGATTCAAATCGTGCACTTGGAATCAAACGGCATTTCTAGCGGATGCCTTGAGTTTGATCTATTCCGATTAATACTACCTGTCGAACGCCTTCCACTGGCCTTGGGTCGTTCCCACGCGCTGCTTTACTGTGAGACCGCTCGTATCCCAGCAACCATGACGAGCGTCGACGAGCTCTTCAAAGTAAGTCCTAGCGGAGCTTAGATTTTGTCTGTGGATGTGATCTGACAATTAAACAGAAGCCACTGCCTGCAGGCGGCTCCAAGCGCAAGTTTGAGCCTGTCCAGGACCCTAGTACGTCCCCTTCGTATTCCTCGCAAACGTTCCTCGACACCTCGCTAACAAAACACCCAAGATGAGCTATACAAAGCGGCAAAGCTGGACTCCAATGGCGACGTGAAGTCAAAGGGCAAGGGAGCCATGGTGGAGGACGAGTTTGACGAGGACGATGGCGAGGCTGGACCTGAACTACCTCCGGATTTTGAGGAAGACATTCCCGACGATGAGGAGGGCCGCTTTTTCGGTGGTGGCATGGAGCAGAAGACTGCCCAGGCCATGCAATATATCGATCAAAACGAAGAGGAAGAAGTTGCGGTATGCATTCGTGGGATACAACCTGTGAACTCAGTTGCTAACAAGCTATCCGACACCTTAGCCCGAGAAATTCGATGCCGCCTGGGTGCGCCGTTTCGCTTTGAACTTTGAGAAAAAGATATCCAAGAACGCCGAGCTTCGTGCCAAATTCGAGAATGACCCGCAAAAGTATGTTAGCTCGTCTCTGGAGGCTAGGGTCAATGCTAATTGGCTTTGGCAGGTTCATGGCATCCGAAGCCGACCTCGACACCGAGATCAAGGGACTGTCTATTCTGTCAGAGCACCCTGAGATCTATGAAGAATTTGCCAAGATGGGCTGCGTCGCCTCATTGGTCTCGCTACTGTCTCATGAGAATGCGGATATTGCCATTGGTGCCATCCAGATTATCGGTGAACTAACAGATGAGGATGTCGAGGCTGAACAGGAGCAGTGGGATAGCCTTGTTAATGCTATGGTAAGTGGTCTAGCGATTTGGCAGTTTTGTAAGATTGTGCTGACATTTGCCAGATGGATGCCGACCTTATCGAACTCTTGACTCAAAATCTCTCGCGCCTAGACGAAGGCGCAGACACTGACAGGACGGGTGTCTACTACATTCTGAGTAAGTTGGGCTTTCAATGTCTCTGTTCCGCTGGTTAATATGTCTAACCTATTGTAGGTGTTCTGGAAAATCTATCATCCCAATCCCCACTCGCAGAGAAGATTGGACAAGATGCTGCCATTTTGCCTTGGATTCTATCCCGCATACAGCAGAAAGAAACCCCGGTGTCCCAGAACAAGCAGTATGCTGCGGAGATTCTCGCAATTCTCCTGCAGTCTTCACCAAAAAATCGAGAGAAGTTTGTTGGTCTTGACGGTGTCGATGCCCTCCTTCAACTCCTGAGCCAATATCGCAAGCGGGACCCGCCAAAGGACTCCGAAGAGGAGGAATATGTGGAAAACCTGTTTGACTCCCTGGCTTGCCTCGTCGACGATGACGCTGGGAATGAGAAGTTCCTCGATGCAGAGGGCATTGAACTTGCTCAAATTATGCTCCGAGAGAGCAAGTTCAGTAAGCCTCGAGCTCTCAAGATTCTCGACCATGCTCTCGGTGGTGCAGGAGGAGGCTCGGCATGCGAGCGACTTGTTGAAGCGGCAGGGTTGAGAACAATCTTTGGAATGTTCATGAAAAAGGTAAGCCCTCCAGTAACACCATTCCACTACGATGCACATGGCTGACATCATGCAGCAAGAAGGTCAAAATATTGAGCATCTGCTGGGTATATTCGCTTCTCTTCTTCGTCTTCTACCCGGTGGTTCTGCTCCGCGGATTCGAGCACTCGCCAAGTTCATGGAGAAGGATTACGAGAAGATTGAGAAACTCATCAAGTTGAGACGAGAATATGCCGCTCGTGTATCTCCCGTCGAGCAGGCAATTGAGAAGGAGCGTAAAGGTCTTTCTCAAGATGATCAGGACTTTATGGCTGGAGAGTGGTTGTCACGCCGGTTTGACGCTGGTCTATTCTCTTTACAGGTATGTCCCAGTTTTACTCTCTGGTTTTGGCTCGCAGAGGCTCATGGTTTACTGATGACTTGTTTAGACTATCGATGTCATCCTGGCATGGCTGGTTGCCGAAGATGATGGAGCGAAGAAGAAGGTTGTCTCTCTTTTGGCAGACCGGGATGAGGATCTGTCCTTGGTTCGGAGCACTCTGCAAGGTAAGAATCTTCTGAGATTGGAGAGTAGACGCATAGCTAACTGTTGTAGAACAATTGGAAGGGCTTGGAGATGAGGACCAGGGTCAGAAAGACTTTAAGGATATGCTGAGCACTTTGCTTCAATTTGTGTAAGACAAATTAGAGAGCAAAACAATACCCTACTGTATAGCAAACTGCAGTTTCCAATGCTACACTTTCCCTTGTTGTCATCAGTTTGGTCCTCAACAACTGGGGTTACTTCAGGTTCAGACTTTGGGAGACTTCGCTAGAGATTGAATTTAGGCAGTGGTTCATCTTGTAACTCCGTAGAATGAGCAAGTTCCACCTTTCATTGAGATACAAGGGACCACGCCAGACTTTAAAATGGTAACTTCTCACTGGCTGAAACTCTCTCGGCATAGGACCTGATTTTCTAGGCTACCGTCCACGTGATATTTGATCACGTGCATGGTATGTCCATATCGGGTCTAGTTTACTTCGGCGGCGCTGAAGCATCAAGATCCTCGGAGATCAATCAGTCCTTTCATCTTGCCACGCTGGGAGATCCTCATCCATCCCACCGAGCTCTCCAGTCGCTCCATCCCTCGTCTGTGACACTCGCAGGAAATTCCTTTTTTTTTTGCCAGCCACTGACAGGCGGGTGTCGCAGCGCGTTGGGTGACTCTCAGATCACTTCCTTCCCTCGCCGCCGACGCGCCCTCCCTGCGCCCTCCCCCCCAGATAACTTCTCTCACCTCTCTTCCCCTGGGGACAACCCAAAGTTCTCCTGACATATCGCAATCATGGCCGACTACGACGAAGCTTACGAGGAGCAGTTCTACGACGATGCGGAGGATGGCATCACCTCCGAGGACTGCTGGACGGTGATCTCGTCCTTCTTCGACGTCAAGGGTCTCGTTTCCCAGCAGCTCGATTCCTTTGACGAATTCATTTCCTCGACTATGCAAGAAATGGTGGAGGAACAAGGACAAGTGGTTCTCGATCAGACCGTACCCCCCGATGAAGACGAACCCGAGCCGGTTGTCGTGCGCCGATTCGAAATCAAATTCGGCACAGTCATGCTCACCCGACCATCCGTAACGGAAGATGATGGATCAACCGTCAGCATGTTGCCGCAAGAGGCGCGTCTGCGAAACCTCACCTACGCCAGTCCTCTATACCTTACCATGAAAAAATATGTCACCGAGGCACGAGAGTGTCAAGTGGCCGACCGCGACGACGACGAGGCTGGCGAGGCTGAAGACGAGAACAAAGACCGCGGCACGTATCTTAAGTGGCAAGCGAGGGAACAAGATGCAGCTTGGCAGGAGGAGGAGACGATTTTCATTGGCAAGGTACCCATTATGCTCAAGTCCAAGTACTGTTGCTTGAAGGAATCGCCGGAAGAACGTCTCTACAGCTGGAATGAGTGCCCTTACGATTCTGGCGGTTACTTCATCATCAACGGTAGTGAGAAGGTGCTCATTGCGCAGGAACGCAGTGCTGGAAACATCGTGCAGGTTTTCAAGAAGGCCCCTCCAAGCCCGACACCCTACGTTGCCGAAATCCGAAGTGCCGTCGAGAAGGGATCACGACTTCTCTCCCAGCTCGCGCTCAAGCTCTTCGCCAAAGGTGACAGTGCGAAGGGTGGATTTGGTCCTACTATCCGATCGACCCTGCCTTACGTCAAGTCCGACATTCCCATCGTTATCGTTTTCCGAGCTCTAGGCGTTGTTTCTGACGAAGATATCCTCAACCATATTTGCTACGACCGCAATGATACCCCAATGCTGGAGATGCTGAAGCCATGTATTGAGGAAGGTTTCGTCATTCAGGACCGTGAAGTTGCTCTCGACTTCATTGCCAAGCGTGGCTCTTCTCAATCTAATCTAAACCACGAGCGGCGTGTGCGCTACGCCAGGGAGATTATGCAGAAGGAGCTGTTGCCCCATATCTCGCAAAGCGAGGGCAGTGAGACCCGAAAGGCCTTCTTCTTGGGTTACATGGTCCACCGTCTGCTGCAGTGCGCTCTCGGCCGCCGCGATGTCGATGATCGTGATCACTTCGGAAAGAAGCGTCTGGATCTGGCTGGTCCACTTTTGGCCGGTCTTTTCCGTGTTTTGTTCACCCGTGTCACTCGTGACCTGCAGCGCTACATGCAACGATGCGTGGAGACTAACAAGGAGCCTAACCTCCGTATTGGTCTGAAGGCTGCTACCCTGACTGGTGGTCTGAAGTATGCCCTGGCGACGGGTAACTGGGGTGAGCAAAAGAAGGCTGCCAGCTCCAAGGCTGGTGTGTCCCAGGTGCTGAGTCGGTACACCTTCGCTTCCAGCTTGTCCCATCTCCGCCGTACCAACACGCCTATCGGCCGAGATGGTAAGATTGCTAAACCGCGTCAACTTCACAACACTCACTGGGGTCTTGTGTGTCCAGCTGAGACACCCGAAGGTCAAGCTTGTGGTCTCGTCAAGAATCTGGCACTCATGTGCTATATCACCGTTGGTACACCCAGCGAGCCAATCGTTGATTTCATGATTCAACGGAACATGGAAGTCCTTGAAGAGTTCGAACCCCAAGTCACGCCTAACGCCACCAAGGTGTTCGTGAACGGTGTCTGGGTCGGTATCCACCGTGACCCAACACACCTGGTCAACACTATGCAGTCCCTCCGTCGCCGCAACATGATCTCTCACGAGGTCAGCTTGATTCGTGACATTCGTGACCGAGAGTTCAAGATCTTTACGGACGCTGGACGTGTGTGCCGACCCTTGTTCGTGGTTGACAACGATCCCAAGAGTGAAAACGCTGGATCGTTGGTCCTCAATAAGGAGCACATTCGCCTGCTGGAGCTTGACAAGGATCTACAGCGTGAACTGTCACCAGAGCAGCTCCGGGAGCAAGGTTTCGGATGGGACGGTTTGGTCAGATCGGGCGTTGTGGAATACGTTGATGCAGAGGAAGAAGAAACGATCATGATCGTCATGACCCCCGAAGACTTGGAGATATCCAAGCACCTCCAAGCTGGCTACTCCCTGCCAGAAGATGATAAGAATGACCCCAACAAGCGAGTGCGCACCGTGACTCAACGAGCACATACCTGGACGCATTGCGAGATTCACCCCAGTATGATTCTCGGTGTATGCGCCAGTATCATCCCGTTCCCTGATCACAACCAGTCGCCTCGTAACACCTACCAGTCTGCCATGGGTAAGCAGGCCATGGGTGTGTTCCTGACCAATTTTGCCCAGCGCATGGAGACTATGGCGAACATTCTTTACTACCCTCAAAAGCCTCTCGCCACGACCCGGTCTATGGAGTTCCTTCGCTTCCGTGAGCTGCCCGCCGGTCAAAACGCCATTGTGGCTATTGCTACATACTCTGGTTACAACCAGGAAGATTCCGTCATTATGAACCAAAGCAGCATTGACCGCGGTCTATTCCGCAGTCTGTTCTACCGCACATATACAGATTCGGAAAAGACGGTGGGCACGTCTTTCGTCGAAAGCTTCGAGAAACCCATGCGAACCGAGACACTTGGCATGCGCAAAGGCACCTACGACAAGCTGGACGAGGATGGTATCGTTGCTCCGGGTGTGCGTGTCTCTGGAGAGGACATCATTATCGGCAAGGTTGCACCTCTTGCGCCTGACGCAGAGGAACTCGGTCAACGCACCAAGGCACACACCAAGATCGACGTCTCGACGCCGCTTCGCAGCACTGAGAACGGTATTGTCGATCAGGTTGTGATCTCAACTGCTAATGACGGCCTCAAGTTCGCCAAGGTCCGCATGCGTACCACCAAGGTCCCCCAGATTGGTGACAAGTTCGCTTCTCGTCACGGTCAGAAGGGTACCATTGGTATCACCTATCGACAGGAGGATATGCCCTTCAGTCGCGAGGGTTTGACGCCTGATATTATTATCAATCCACACGCCATTCCATCTCGTATGACCATTGCTCACTTGATCGAGTGTCAGCTGAGTAAAGTGTCTGCTCTCCGTGGCTTCGAGGGTGACGCTACGCCTTTCACAGACGTGACTGTCGACTCCGTCTCACGCCTGCTCCGCGAGCACGGTTACCAGTCTCGTGGATTTGAGGTTATGTACAATGGCCACACTGGCCGTAAGCTGGTTGCGCAGGTGTTCCTGGGCCCGACTTACTACCAGCGTCTGCGCCACATGGTGGACGACAAGATTCACGCTCGTGCCCGCGGTCCTACTCAGATTCTCACCCGCCAGCCTGTTGAAGGTCGTGCACGTGACGGTGGTCTGCGTTTCGGAGAGATGGAGCGCGATTGTATGATCGCTCACGGTGCCAGTCACTTCCTCAAGGAGCGTCTCTTCGATGTCTCAGATCCCTTCCGTGTTCACATTTGCGACGACTGCGGTCTGATGACTCCTATCGCGTGAGTTTCCTCCTTTAACCCTACTCTCAACTACCAAATACTAACATTGCCCGTATCTAGAAAACTCAAGAAGGGTCTCTTCGAATGCCGTCTCTGCAACAACAAGCACCGCATCTCGCAAGTACATATCCCCTACGCCGCCAAGCTTTTGTTCCAAGAGCTGGCCTCGATGAACATTGCCGCTCGGATGTTTACCGATCGATCCGGAGTATCAGTTCGGTAAAACACAAGCCTGGCTCTTTGCAGGTCTGCATCGTCCGTTTTTTTTCCTCCCCTCGGCTTCCCTTTTTTATCTTGTATTTTAATGATTTGCTCGAAAAACTCCTGTTCGTTGGGACTTCTGCTGTGGCGTCCGGGAGTGTTATCATGGCCGAAGCATCTTCCTTTTCATCTGGTCATACATAGTTGAAATCATAAAATTTTTGTCTATGACTGTTATTCCTGGATGGAAGTAGCTTTCTCGTAACGTTAACGTTGTTGACCCCGTGACTTAGAAAGGGCAGATATGGATACCTTTAGGTGTGCAGCTGGGACTAAGGAGGTTGCCCGCAACAGAAGTCTCCCACGTAGTCATAGAGGTCAAGATCGAATTTCTCTTCTATTTTCTTGAGGATGCATTCAAATGATCAGTATATTGGTTCGCATGCTAACGGGAACAGTGAGTCACATAAGGCGGTTAAAGATAAAGTCTTGAACATACATCGGATACCACGCTATGATTCTAAGGCATCCGGGAGAGATGAGAATAAAAGCTATACACAGTGGAATAGCAAAATTATCCTATGTCTAGAAGAAAGTCTACAGTCTTATCAAGATTAATCAACGCACGTATGGCCACGGGCATTCATAGTTAGGCATCGCCAGCCGCTCGTATGACTGCAAACTTACAGTGGCCCCAAGGCATTGTCCTACTTCCTTGTCTAAAGACCCTTGTTACTTCGAGCTTGTTAAAGTTAAAGGTAAGTTCTAAATCATATACGGCAAGCATGAGCAAAAAGGGATAGCAAATGAACCGGGAATATTAGAATGAAGTAGCTTCTTGGGCTGGGCCAGGAGGAACTACACTTTGGCAAGATTTGAAAATCTTATTATCAGTCACTAGTTAAACAACAGGACGAGCAGTAAATGATGCTGTCATTCAAAAAAAAAAAAAAACTTCCAATAAACTCAAAGACTGTTTGACTAGAGAGCTTGTGAAGCACATCTACTTGGACCGTTACTTACTCTATTCTCTAAATCCAGTTCTTCGAATTGACCAATTTTCAAAGAAGAATACTAAACCGAACAGAGAATCACATGAGGTCATCAACCCTAAAAGAATGAATTCACGCTGGATATCCACAGCCAAGACACCTATTCGATAGATACAAGGAAAAAACGAAAAAGCTACAGTGTAGCAAAAAAAAGACAGTAGATACAAAAGTACTTGCCCGTGATCACCGATCAAACGGAAAGAAGTAACATACACCTCCAGAAATAGGTCCAATTGTCATCTCATTCTAAAGGATTCCTGATCCCGAGGACCGCTTCTTCTTCTTTTTCTTCAACTTCTTCTCACTCGGTTGCGGACTGACAATCACCTCGGACATTTCCTGAATCTTGCCCAATGATGCACGGGGCTTTTTCCCCGAGGAGATTTCGTCACTGCCGCTAGCCTTGGATCCGGATCCTGGCCGGTCACTCTGCGATGTAGGACGTTCTGGGCTGGATCTTGGGAGGGGGCTTTGAGTAAGATCGATGATCTCAGATGTTTGTGAAAAGCTCAACTGAGACGCGGAAACTGGAGCGTGGCGTTTAGAGCGGGTCGAGGCTGCAGGAGAGTCGTACTGGAATAGAGAGTCCGCGTTGAGATTCGGCGAGAGCGGTTCTTGTTGCGCGCTTGTTGGGGGTTTGGGGGATGGCTGTGGTGAGAGATGACGGCTTTGGTTGCTGTGGATCACGCTGTCATGGTCTTCGGGTTCGTTCAGATCATTTTCTGCCTCGTCTTTATCTTGATCTGTGTCCTCTGCACCTGGCCAGCCGCTTTGAAGCAGTTCTAGAATACTGGCTCCCTGTGAGGGTGTCGGTTTTGCAGACTCTTCTTCTCGTGCACCGTCATGACTGGCTGAAAAAGCACTGCGGACAGGGGACGATTTTGCGGAGACGTGTTCTGTTGGGTTATGTACCACGGATAGAAGCGAGTCGTTGCCTCCAGAGACCAGTGGATCATCCACAACCTGACGATCCTGCTGGGTGCTGTCTTGCTGGATATCGGAAAATGATTGATTGGCAGATAGGAAGGACAGAGTCGACATATCTTGATGTGAGTGGTCCACCGCAAGCATCGACTGGTCTCCGACGAGCGTGTGACCCTCCAAATTAGACTCGTTGAAACGCGGGCCTAGCCTTGCTCCAGGCGACGACCACGCAGAATGGAATCCAGAGAAAGACGGCGAAGGAACGGCAGGCGTGTCGCTGTGCTCATCATCCGCGTCTCCGCTCCGTGTAATCAAGACCCGGGCGGCACCAGGTGTTCGGGAGAATGGCATTCCAGAAGCTCTTGCGGGAGACTCATTCGGTGATTGAGGACGACTGGCGGCGGTGACGAGGGTGACGAAGGTAGTTTCATCTAGGTCCATGTCGACAGGTGGAGGCGGCGAATGCGGCTGGACGTTCGGCATGGAATCCGCGCTTACGGAGACACTTTGAACGAGGTGAGCGCATGCAACAACAACCAAGGGTCAGTTTACTGACATGCTACCTTCTCCGACTTTTTCCTGGTCCTTGTCCTTCTTGTCGTTCTCATCAGCCACATCGTCGTTGACACCGGCTGCAGGTCGCAGCAGCTTAGGTTCGCTGAGTTCGGCAAAGGCGACCTCCCGGTAGCCGTCGTCGTCTTCGTCGTCATCCATCCCCGGCATTTCGAACCCACTATACTCACGGGGCTCGTCGTCCTCTGGGTCAATGTCGTCTGCCTTGGGTCTTCGGTCGCGTACTGCTAGACGAACATTGAGATTGCCATTGGCAAGAACCTCGTGGACCTCGGCCACGCGATAATTTGACAATTGAGGTTGCCAATTCGTCGCTTTAGACATGTCCAACTGTCGGAAAGCGATGATGGCTCCAACCTTGGCTTGAATTTCAAGCAAATCTGCAACAGAGCTGGGGTCACTCGGCATGACAGGGAGATCATCGTCCACAGTAGCTTGGGCGGTCTCCTGATGGTCCTCCACATTCGTAGTCTCATCCTCGGCTGTAGGCCATTCGTTGTCGTAGTTGAGGTGCAGGCCGTCCTCGTAGGCGTCATACCCATTACCATCCTCATACTCGCCATATTCGTCTCCATTATAGACCTGGATTCTCTGCTTGCGCTTGCGCTTCTTGCCCCATCCCTTTCGTTGGCGGATAAGTGCATCGGCATCATCATCCCAGCGCTGCTCGAATGGGAATGGCGGGGCACTCAGCTCAATATCATCATAGATACACTCTGTAGCTCTGATGACTAGCCTATTTTGCCAATCGTTGTCTTCATCACTTTCCTCTTCCATCTCCTCGGCTGGCCATGGTTCGGCTGCTTTCCGAGAAGGAACCGTACTAGCCTTGGCAGCTAGCTTTTTCCGAGTAGCTTCTTCGTCCTCTTTAGTTCGTGGCGTACGGACTCCCAGAGATCCGAACAGCAGGCGCCGCGAGCTCGCGATGTCAAGAGAGCGCCGAGTAGACGGCTCTGGCTCGGCTTTTTCAGTCGCAACACTCTCTTTGGACACTGCTTGTTCCACAACAGCACGCTGCGAAGGAGGCTTGTTTTCTTTTTCGGAAGTCTCGTCAACGTCAATTCCACCGTTAGCCAGAGCCTGAAGCAGCTTCTCTCGCCTGGCTTGAAACTCGCGCTGCTCCTCCTCCTTCCTCTGCGCCTTGGTAGCCGCAGAAGACATTATGCTTGATTCGTCGGGTATATGCCAGCCTCCGTTCTGTTCTTCCCAAGCGCGGAGGGCAGCAAAGTCGGCTTCCTCTGGCAGCACGCCCAGCTCCTTCAATTTGGAAAGTCTGCGCCGGAGCTTGAAGCGCTGGTTGCTTTTCTTGGTTCGGGTAGATCCCTCTCCGGGAGGGTTGACGATGGTGGGTTGGATGATCTTCTGGGGAGGCAGTTCAACTTCCTCGTCCTCGGACTCAGAGGTGTCCTCTTCTGAGCTTGAGCTCGAGTCATCCGAGTCAGAAGATGAAACAGTAGACGATTCATCTTCCGACGAGTCTTCATCTTCCTTGTCCTCGGATGACACACTCGAAAGGCTGGTCACTGATGAAGCCGATGAACCCCGGAGGAAGTCAGAGTCGGTGATTCCGGGGACACCCCCTTCCCCCTTATTAAACCTCACAGCCTTTGATGCCCTGGGTGAGGAATCCTCTCCCCCGCGAGACCGTTTACTGGACAAAGAAGATGGTCCAACCACGGAGCTTCGACCCTGGGTATCCGCCGACGATGGTCGCTTCGCCACAGAACTGGCCCGCAGAGCATGTCCCGCAGAGACATGACCCTGAGAGCGAATATCAATGAACTGAGATTCAACTGGGTGTTCAAACTCCTCCTTGAGAGCTTTCAGCTCATTTTCGAGTTCATCCGCTTCAGCCTCAGAATCAACTGCATCCTCCTCGGACTCATCTGACTCCTCCTCCAATCCATCCGCCTCATTTTCCGTGTCACCAGAGTAATTGACTGGGTGTCTGATCACAGTCCCCATGTCAGATACCTCGTGGTCCGCGGGCAGAATTGAAAGTTCCTTTCCAAAACCGGCGTTATTCGGAGGTAACCATTCTCCATCACCGGCTTCATCAACATTCGCACCGAGATTCCCATCTTCATACTCAAACGCAGGACCATGGTCCCAACCAGAGAAAACAGTGCGTCGTTTCTTTCTAGGCGGGATAGTGATCGCAGGCCGGTTGGAAGTGGTTCGTTTGTAGAAAGGCATTCCGAACGGCACACCGTCGATCAAATGCTTGCCATCGCCGGTAATCTGGTGACGACCGCATAACCGTCGAGCGCGAAGATCAGCTAGCTGGAGCGCCCGAATACTGCAGCACGCGCAAGGTCAGTAATCCACGCACACATCTGCCAGCAAATGCTAACAAACAAGGCAAGAAGACTTACACAACTTCATCCCCATCCCTCAACAGGCCATCCACCTCCATGAAATGCAGACATTCGGACCCGCCAACCTCAACCACATAATCCTCCAACCCCCACTGACCACTGAACTCCGGGTCGAATATGGTAGGCTCCGTCTCCAGTGGCACAACCTCATTCACATCCTCTAGCAACTGCGCAATCGTAAAACCGCCATTCGCAAAGGCAATATTCGGTGTCCGCGACGACGCAACCATAGAGGCTGAGGCCGGGCCGTGGGAGCCATATTCTCCCAGCGCAGGAGACGAGGACGTCGTCGTCCAGAGAATGCGTGTGACCGGCAGCCCATGCCGCGAGATTATCAGGTGAAGGCGCATAGTGCAGCAGATGTAGGAACTAGACCATTGAGACGGGCAAACGGAGAGGTACGTTGTTTGGGGAGTTGCGGGTTCAAGAATTGCGCGTGTGCTTGTTCGGCTTTACTTGGAGCCTGGGTGGTGATTGTTGTCGAGTTGGATATTGCCGGTCCAGGGGCAATCGCTCACGAAAGAAGTCAACGGTGGGAAATGGTCGAGGCCCGGCCAGACGGGCTTGATTGAGAGAATCGGTGAATGAGGAAAACGTGCAGCTTCCCCAAAGAGCTCGACGCGGAGGGGCGCTAGCCGTATTTGGTCTAGTGCCTCAGGCACAGATCGGCGCTATGCAAACACTAGTCCTGTGGGAGGATAATAATTGTCAGCGGAATTTGATATGCCTGCATGGAACCGAAATAAAACTTCAAATGCATCTTATAAATCACATACAATCAGTGGATCAAAATATACTAGAATGCAGTTAGATTTGCCTTCCGAAAGAAAAGTCGAAGAATACCTGGTTGAACCGTTTCACCAGCTTCTATATTGGAATTTTTGAACTACCATACATACTACTGGACAATACAACTGTACTCCCCATAGGAGGCATGGTGCTTTTCGAATTATTCGAGATTGAAGCCGGTATGCATAACTTCTTTTCAACCTTTGATGTCGTATCACAATAATCGTATAATGCTAAAGAACACCAACAATATCCCCGCAATGCAGCAGCCTCCAAATTAAACAACCAAGAACCAAGTCTCTAAGAATATGATCGATGACGGAGGGTATCAAGTAATGCAGGTGGTGGTAATGATGTGCGTGATAAGGGAAGTGATGGGTGGATCGATCTGGCCATTGTTGGATGGATATGAATAAACCGCGCTGGGCATTGCGTTCCGACTGATTCGTGACAAAGTTGCCTCTCTTCTCATGTAGGCGATGTCTGATGTTAGAAACACGATGACCCATTTCAATGCAACCTGTTCGAACTCTGCGGTACTGGTTTCCGGGTAGGCACACCCAAATTCATGGGCCGCGAATTATTCTGCGAAGGCCGGCGCTCAATCTCATTTGGAGGCTGGAGCTGTGTCTCCGCGATGGACTGGTATTTCGGCGGGCTTTCATCGCTCGCCTGATTCCCTGGGACCTTCATCATACTCTGTGAGCGTCTGACGGGCGATGAAGGCGGGGATCCAGAGGGCGATTCCGGCGGTGTGCTGGGTAACATGTCAAAGGACTCCGAGGAAGAACGGCCCTCGTGGCTAGGAGGGGCCCAGGAACCTTCGGCTGCGGGTCCATCGTCACGGGCCTTTCCCGTTTGGACTGGGGATTTGGCATCAGCTCCAGATTCCACTGTTCTTCGGGAGGAAGAGGCGTCTGGTGGGTGATACTCGCGGCGTGGTCCATCTACCGGGCTTAGATTTTCTGCCATTGCATCCTCGTAGCTTGGGGGTGCGTCATCGTAGGCTGCGCCTGCATCCACTGGCACGGGTCCTGTGCTGGGTCGTGGAGGCATTGGAGGTCGGCTGGCCGCGCCGGTAGGCCAGGAAGGTCCAGAGGTTGGTTTAGAAGGTGATAATTGCGGTGCAGCAGCTGCCATAGCATCTAAAAGGGCTTGAGGCGGTGCGATTCCTGAGTAGACCTTGACTGGCATTCGCAGGGGGAGAACGATCAGTTGGGGCTGAGGACAACGTTAGTCAAGGAAATTGAAACAAAAAAAAAGCACTTGTGGTCGAAGCTTACCTTCATATCGCCATAAGTGCCGTGGGTTAGCCCAACCCGTACTTCCAATTCGTAGCTTCTCTCAATATTACACGTCTCAAAGGATGGCGCGACCGAATTAGGAAGGGGCAAGGTACCCCACAACTTTGGATCAATGGACCACTCTGTACCAACAGCATCTCCTGGCTGTCCAAGGGCCACACCCATATTACTGCGACTCATCACAACCCATGAACCGCTCTCCTGCCGCGTCAGGTCATGTGCAAGAATGTTTGTATACGAGATGAGTTCAATCTGCAGCATTTGCAGAAAGATTGTCTCCGGCGAATCAGTCAGCTTTTTAGCCATCAGGCGAAGCGGCACTGGTTCATTGCAGGTGAGAATGGAAGGATTTGGAAGTCGAGCGTCGATCGAGACTCGAGTAGGCTCTGTATCCATATCTTGTGGATTGGTTCCCCGATTGAAAATACCGCTCTTCTTCCTTGGCATGTTTGGCTGCATTTTAGAGAATTGGAGTTGTCGCCGGGCGTATGTCTCCTCGTTGGGATTTCCGGTTCTTGGTGGCTCGATTGGGAGGAATTTCAAAGGTACAATCTAGCATTTTTGTCAGTTGAGTTGGTTCGAGAAGACATGGAAGTTCTCCCTTCTCGTGCTCGAGATGGACATACCGAACGAATATTCTCTTTATAAAACTGCGGTCTGATGACCGTGGCCTTGATGAAATACTCGATTTCAGCCATGCCGGAAAATCCACTCAAGGAAGGAGGTAGCGTCTTTTTGACATGACGGGTAGCATCGCGAGCCATCTCAACCTTGAGGCCTGTGGTGACGAGGTTGGTTCGCATGCTGTTGGTCGTATTGCAGGAATTATTGAAAGGAAACTATTCAAAGGTCAGAGACTGCCCAACAATGTGTATATATCTACGAGGTGAGACAGCTGACCTTGAAGCTGAATGGGTATTCATAGGAACCAGGCGCAAAGGTGTACGATACTGCTGGTGATCCGGTCTGCATGACACCCGGCGTGGGGAAGACGGTCGCAACCTTGTACAGGATCTGTGAACCTCGTCAGCAAATACTGCCCAATCTCTACTCTCGCAGAACCAAAGCTGTAGTAGCACTCGAGCTACAGCTCCATGAGTCCCTCACCTTATGAATCTCTAGCTCCGTCCGTTTCTTGTCCGAGTTGACATTGTGTGGATTGCGAGCGCCAGAAAGCCGGGTTCGGCTCACGCCCTCGAGCTTGACTTGAATTCCTCCAATTGCCGCTTCAGTCGGAAGCTGCAGCACAACCTTTCCCGACAGAAAGTCGAGATTGGTATAATGCGTGTGTCGGCTGTCCAGGAAGATTGTTGCGGACATGGCGACTCGCGCCCGGGGCCCCGGAGTCTCGGTATCGGTCTCGGTATTCCGCTGTCGATCTTGGTAGGAGACGATCGGTTCGGGAGCGTGGATCGGGTCGCGACGAGAATCGATCCTGTGGTGTGAAGAGTGGAACAAGAGGGAGAATTTGTAATGTACAGTAGTGGGAGGAATGCGGATTCAAAAGCGAGGGAGGCCTGGAATAATGACGTTGGGCGGATCGGATCAACTGATTTGTCAACGGCTCGGCAGGGCCACTCGCAAACGCACCCGTTCCTCACGACGCTTGTACTTAGACTTCTGTAGGGGTGCCCAGCAAGGCTGATGGAAGCCTGGACTACTTTCCAAGTTTCAATGGGTTTAAGTGCTACAGCTGCGCCTCAGCCAAAGCCGCTAAGCCACCTTTGTCCATGGTCCATGGGTCCCTAACTTTCCGAGACTACTACAGTATGTGATGATGTTTTTTAACTGGCATTCTAGCTCTCGGGAATACAGCATATCGTCCTATTCTACAACCTATTCTCTGGAGAGAAAACCAAAAAGGGGTCCAGGCCAATTAATCCAGCAAGTCTAAAAATAGGCTCCTCAATAGACCTGCGACACACTATCTTGGAAAAATCCCGGTCGTTGACAACAAATGCCAGGGCTCCAGGCACCAGTGTTTCCGCCCAGTCAGATAACTCAGTGAATCAGCATCTCACCGACAATGAGCAATTGCGTCTCCCTCGCGATAACCAGAATAGATGTTCCTGCAGTTGCATACAACATCAACTTCCAACAAAAATACTGTTCTGCCGAGACCTCGAGCTTGATTCGCGGGTTGCGATGGAGCACATAGTACTGTAGAACTGCAGTGGGGTTCCATAGGTTGAAACACCCAGAAAAGCGCAGAATCATTTTCATCAGTCATACTTGAAAGATAAATTGAGGAATAATGCTTGGGCTATTCAGAGATATAATTCAAAAGACATTCAGGAAGACCTTTTAAACAAAAATTAAATAGGGGCGTAGTTAGATGATCTTTGTTCTAGGTCTCTATTTTCAGACCTTTGAACTGCAACTGCCATGTTGCGATACTGTGTACGTAACCATAAATATACGAATCGAATAAGTTACAACTTGGCAAGGCTACCTAGAGATGATTCTAGGAGCAAAAAGAAAAAAAAAAGAATTGAAATAACAATATTCATGCCAACGTCAAGGCTATACAAAAGTAACAATGCGGGGTATCCAAGATCTATGCGTATGTCATCCCCACGACTGCTACAAACAACCACCACCCTCAAAGACCCTCATTCGCCAACATATCTATCCAACAAACCAAAATTAGTAATCGCATTACAAATCCATGACTGAAGCACCTTCATACCTGCAATGTCCAAGTAAAACGCAATAGCATTAAACTTTCGCGGGTTACCTGTCACCTCCGCCGCCAGCCACTTCAACCGATTGGTCCAATTGATCAGATCAAGATGGCTGACGCCCACCAAAGTTCCCTTATATCCCGCTTCTCCACCCCAGAGACTACTAGCCACGCTAACAAGGCCGTCATTGGGACCTTCGGCTTCAGCCAGGATGCGGTGTGAGAGTCGGAATACAGACCATAGACTTGGTTTGACGGATGCGCCGTAGGAGAAGTATCTGGTCGAGTGGTTTAGTCAAGTGGTTGAACTCGAGACGGTTCTTGAATGCTGGAAAGCTCACCGAACGCCATCTAGATCTGGCGTGTTTGGGTTGAAGGTTTCGGACATGTACTTTCTGGTCAGCTGTGCGAAGGCGCCAGTCTCGATGTTTAGTTTGTTCAGGGTATAGTATATCTGCGGTAGGCGCTCGGCTGTATCCATTGTTCAGTTCGAGAGTATCCCATCTTTAATGAGATATTGTACTGACGTACCTCCGATTTGATCCAAACAAAAGTCAGCAACGGCGGAGCCTATTGCGACAACGTCAGCTTCTGCCTCAATCGGTACTTTGAGGACTACGCTGGCATACCTCGATGGGGCGTCGCAATTGTAGTGAGTGACAACACTTTGAACTTCTGCGGTTGGAGACGGCTAATCATGTATCGAGAATCAAGGCCCCTTTGCGACTTGTTATTAGACCTCGAGTCAAAAGGAATGTCGCGATGGTATCTCACCCCTAAGTCCATATTAGCACCTAGTCACCATTACCACCACAAGAGCTGGAATATAACTCACCATGCTATGACTGTACACCGTTCAGTCCAATGTCAGCGTCTGCACACCATCTACCAATAGTCGCGGCATCCACATACGCAATGATATTCACATCCTTCCCCCGCGCCCCGGCTTCGATTTCTCGCGCCAATTCCTCCGCCCGTTCCTCAATAGAAGCTGACGGCGGTACTGTAGCCGTAATAACCTTGACGCCCTGCGCCGTCAACGCCTCTCTAATCCCGCGCCAGTATTGCACGCCTGGAAAGTATCGACCCGCAAGCCGAAGCTCATCAAAGCCAAGCAAACCGTGGGCCAGGACGACAGGGTGTTTCGGGGTATCTGTAGCTCAAAGCAATCCATTAGCGAGTGCCCAATGCGATAGTCGTGGTTCATGTTCGCTGCGCACCGTAGTGATCTCGGACTACCGAGTACTGGTCGTGGATGACCCGGCCATGGTCCTCCAGGCGCGGCTCGAGGATGGATCTCGAGTTCTTTTGGGACGAGTGATATGTTCGGAGGGTGAAATGAGTGGCATCCTGCCGAATGGAGCGCCGGGCTAGCGGGTGACCAGCCGTTCTTGAGATAGCAGCCGCATATTTCATGATCGGCTCATCGGCGCAACGCGGTTGGAGCTTCGAGGAATGACGCAACGGATAGATATCATGCTGGTGCCTGAGGCTGCCATCTGGGGTAATGATCGTTGTCGCTGGATCGAACAAACTATTCAGTCGCCCGGGGTTGGCATTTGTGTCTGAATCAAGTACTGACATCGGTTGAAAACTATCCGCTATGGGTTTTACTTTGCATTATCGACAGTACCCGATCTAATCAGACGGTGGTCAAGATCTACTCATGGTGTTTCGGTTAGATCAAGCAACAAAGCACATATGGACTTGGTCCGATATGCAGCAAAATCCCTCTCCAAGCTCATACAAGACAAAACATCCCCAACACAAGATCTGTAAGAAATAGAATCATATTTCCCGAAGATTGGATATCGATGAACAGCCACGAAGACGCATCTTTCTAACAACGGCCGAGGCAAAAGAAAACAAAGAAACCCAAAATGCCCAACTCTATGCCTGCACAATCTTCTCCGGCACCTCAGGCTTCACATCAGTTGTCGCCTTGATAAGATCCTCGACGACCTTGTCGCCCTGTTTCTTGCCGGCAGCCTCGATCTCCTTGATCTTCTCCACGGCCTCCTTGTCCGCATCTTCCTCAGCCTTCTTGAATCCACTCGAGTGCTGGAAATGACAGAATAGTCAGTGGAATTGCTCCTTCACGCAATATCGCAATGTGATTTGCATCTCCGGGCGGGCGATCTCACCTCGGCCTCGAACTTCTTATATTCTTCCTCCTTCTGGTTGCGGTACTCTTCAATTTCCTTCTGAGCCTCAGCCTTGGCGTCCCTTATCCGCTTAGTGCGATCTGTAATGAAGAATTCGGTCAGGCTGCAAGCGCACGTTATCGGAGAGTCTCAATCTCGTACATTCTCGGGCTGTAAATGATCGAGCATGTCAGTATGCAATCCGGACCTGCAACGGGGGAATAAAGTGGAGACAACCCACCTTGCTGCACAATCTTTTGAGCCTCTCTCTCGGCCTGAAAACATGATTAGCACGCTGTATCAGCAACCGGCGCCTCGGAAGCACATACATCGAGGAGGGTCTGAATGCCCGCGGAGTTCTGAGCTGACTAGATCAACGACAGCAATCAGCATGGTCAACTCAACACAAGCAATTCTGGCATCCTATCTCACCATATTTGCCCACAAACCCCTCTAAATATCCAATCAAAAAGAGGTGACAAGGAAACGATAGTAAGGCGGGCGACGAGGATGCGGAGCTTGGAGCTTCGATCAGCCACGCATGACCCCCCAAGGCGGTGGGGAAGAGTACTGCCATCCACCTCCGCCTTGTGATAGCGCGATACTCCGCCGCGCATTTTTGGCTGATCGAAGGTCCAGGCTCGCCTCAGCATTCATTAGGAACTTATTTCTAGGCCCGCATTGCGCATATCTGTGTTTTTGCACTAGTCTCTCACTTTGTCATGTCTCGCGCATCGAAGCTGACCCTGGCCGCTACGGGCCTGGGCACGGCAGGCATCGTCTACTTTGTCCACTGGGCTCAAGAGAACGATAGGGCGGTATGTACTCGAACTGTTTTCTTGTATGGAGATATACTAATAGTTTATTCTGTGATACAGGCCATGCACAGGGGCGTGGAACGGGATATGGAGAAGCAACGAATTCGTCAAGAGCGACAGGCCGAGTTCGAGATGCAAAAACGCCTTGAGCAGGAATACCTCAAGCTCCAGACTGTTCACAGCACGACCGACGGCACGGATACAGCTGGTCAGAGTACGGGCGCAGGGTCATGACAAGGAGCTAGGGGGTTATGGGTGGACGAATTGCTATGGCCTTTGATCCAGCGATCCCGGTCTGGAATGCACATGGCGTGTCTCTGCATGGCTACGAATATGAGACATTGTTCCGACGACTGAACTTTACCGGGAGACATCGATGGGGAGCACGCAATTCGTGGAGGCACACGATGTGTAATATCATCTGAGTACTGTGTACGATATATCCTGTTGTATATTATTGATCATGAAAGCCGTTGTTTTGTGTATATTAGAGAAAAATCTAGACTCCAATTGGTTGGGAAAAGAAGCTATCTGATACATGTGTTTCTGCAATCATATCAGCTGATCTGTACTTCATCCCTAGCAGTCAATAGTCAAACCGATCTCCCGTCGTTGCTGGTTGTTGAGGTGGAGCAACATCGGGCTCTCAAATCACAATACTACCTTTATTTTCGGCTTCTCAAAAACGATCTCTTAATAATGAAAAGATAAGATCTTGACATCGTGTTCCAATATGTTAGATCGAGCACGACTACAGAGAGTGTAGTACCACGTGAATACTATGTTACCTCCTTTAGAATTACGCAATCAGACCTTACACAGATTGTTAGGTAGTATCGTAGATTTCTCTTACGTTTATCTATCAATGTTTTTTCTTCAGGAATATATTGGAGTTACTCTTCTATAGCTAATCTGAAGAATCCTAGGTGGTCGCACGCTAAAATCCAGACTCACAAACTTGGTGGGATATACAAAAGATAAAAGGGCCATTTACTAAACTCTCTAGATGCAGGTCCTACAACAATACTACTTTTGATTTGATCTATGGCGGTTAATTGACCACAATCGAGTTGCGCCTGTCGTACAGTTTGATAGAAGAATATCAAATCGGGCCGATGCACCCAACACAGGCCGGCTATTATCGGAGGCCGGCTGAATTCCGGCCTCTGGACGCTAGGAAAGTCTAAATCGCCGTTATCGGCAAATCAAATCGCGGGATCTGGGCCTCCAGCCTTAGCACCGGGTGGAATATAGAGGTACAAGTACGGCCAGCTTGGAGAGAAATACCCCATATTGACCTTATTTCGAGATGTTTGTGGCGAATTAGTAATTCAGAAGCACCTATAGGATCGATTCATACATGGTTCATCTTATATTCTAGCGCCGACCCCGCGAAAGAAGTGCTTGGGTGGCTCCTCAGGCATCGCTGGAACGGGCTTAGCGTGTTCCCGTGACCATTTACTGCCCTCCTTCGCTGGGCGTTTGTATAGAGCATCTGGATAGACAAGAGGAAGGCCAAATATCATATTTCAGCGTGGGAACGTGGTATATGTGTCCCTAAACTATCTCCATGATGATCAGACCCCTTAAACTCAGTTCAACCTGCGATGTCACCGGATCCACGCGAAGTTGCGTTCTCTTTCGTAATGGTGGACTTGAGGCCGGAATTGATACCGGCCTCTGAGTATTATAAGAATCGCCTCCTTTCCCGCCCAAAACCCCCTTCTTTCTGTTCTTCTTTCCATCTTCTAAGAAACCTGAACTTTTCTCTCTACCTTTTTAGCCCATTTTCTTTGGTTCCTTGGTACCTGACTTGGTCGTTTGGCCCCTGGGACTTAGGCTTAATTCCCCTTTCACATATCAAACCTTCCTATACTAAGGCTCTTTTTGCCCTTCACCCTTGACCCATCACAACTCATTATTATCATGACTCGGACTCAAGTTCCTTTCCCTTCCCCTGCTACCCTGAAGCGGTTCCCCCATATCCATGATGACCCTTCTACCCTGTCTCATGCCCTAGACCCCTTCACTATCACCACTTCCACTGGCTTCCTGCCCTACCAGACTGCTCCCTCGGAGCTGCCCGAGGCCTTCAAGGCTCTTGCCTCCTTGGTCGAGCGTCTTCCTGTTGTCAAGCTTGATGGCACCCCTGGTCTGCTGGCCACCTATGAGTTGGGCCCGGCTACTGAGGCCGAGCTGACTGACCTGACTGATGAGGTTGAGAAGCTGAAGCTTCCCAATGGAGAGTGGGATCGCTTCACCATTGCGGCTGTCTTCCGTGACTACACCTTCCTGGCCTCGTCTTACCTTCTCGAGCCTTGCTGGGAGAACTGGTGTAAGAATCCTGACCAGGGCTATGGTCTTGGCCGTGACCTTTTGCCCAAGTCCGTTGCTCGCCCTATGTATCGTTGTGCACAGATGTAAGTCATATGTCACCCTTTCTTGATAACCCCTCTGCGTGTTCAACCCTTTATCACTTCTCTGTTCAATGTCCAGTCTGTCAGTCTATTGTCGCTGCAGATGTCTCACCTCGTTGGATTATCAAACAATATATGCTAACCCTGATCTAGCTTGGACTTGCCTCCCTTCATGTCCTATGCTGCCTCTTATGCTCTCTTCAACTATACCCTTGCCGACCACTCCAAGGGTCTAGAGGAGTATTCCAACCTCCGTCTGATCCGCGCCTTTGAGCGTGGCCTGGATCCCAAGAGCTCCGAGGCTGGCTTCATCCTGACCCACGTCGACATGGTCAAGGAGACTGGCGCACTGATCTCTGGTGCCCTCAAGGTCATTGATACCCTTGAGCAGCATGGTCCTCGTCCCGACATCAACGATGGCTTCCGTGAGATCTTGAAGGCCATGGAGAAGATTGAAGCGTCCATGGAAGGTATGTTCCAATTCCCTTACATCAAGACTGGCGCAATATCTATCAAGTTGAACTATACTAACGTCTCAATAGACATGTGGGGTAACTCTAAGCCAGCCGAGTACCTCTCCTTCCGCGTCTTCATCTTCGGCATCACCAACCAATCCATGTTCCCCAACGGCGTAATCTACGACGGCGTCGAAGACAACAAGCCCCTCAACTTCCGCGGCGAGAGTGGCGCCAACGACAGCATCGTAAGCCCACCCCTTCTCTCTCTTCCTCTCCCTTCAATCCCACCAAACACCACTAATCAACCTCTCTTACCACACAGATCCCCCTCCTCGACCATCTCTGCCAAATCCCCATGCCCTCAACCCCCCTCACCAAGATCCTCCACGAATTCCGCGCCTACCGCCCCCACCCCCCACCGCGAATTCCTCACCTACGTTCGCGAAAAGGCCGAGGAAATCGGCGTGCAGGAGTACTCCATCCAGGACTCCGAGACAGCAGTCCTCTTCCTCCGGACTCTGAATCACGTTCGCAGCTTCCGCTGGCGCCACTGGCTGTTCGCCCGCGAGTATATTATTCGCCGCACTCCTCATCCTACTGCTACCGGTGGCAGTCCCATCGTGACGGTAAGTAGGAAACACAAACCTAAAGAGAGAAAAATCCATTACGAGGCCAAGAAAAGACGCTAATGAGAATCTTTACAGTGGTTGCCCAACCAGCTCTCCGCCGTCATGGAACTGATGATCTCCATCTACGACCGCTATCTCGCACCGAAGGAGGGCGTGACCATCGTCGATGGACAGGAGGATTTGATTGCCTCGCACAGGAAGCAGGTTGAGCCTATGATGGAGCTTGTGCGTGACCAGAAGGAGAAGTTGGCTAAGGAGGTTGAGAAGTGGTGCCAGGAGCGTGGGGTTTAGAATTTTTTAGATTGCGTTTTTCTTGTTATTTGGATCTTTCTTTTCTGGACATAGAGCATTCTCCAGTCTTGCTGATGTACAGCGGGATTTTACATATTTGATCAACGAACTTCAAAATGATATCGTCAATCGTGCTCGAAAGTTTATGAATTATATCCTACAGATACCTGAGGAGACGGTTGGAAAACATATAGAACGATTTTCCAATTGAGAGCAAGTTGACCGTATTTAAAAGGTCAGCGTAAAAGCTGTAGTCACACTCGTCCAGTTCATGTAAGTGATTATTTTGTTTTCAAGTTGAGACATGGATCTAACGAAACTTGTGTCGACAATTCGCGATTTCACAGCATGTCATGTTCCAATATCCCCGTTCAAAGATTCTACCAGTATTCATAGGCCACATTTCCATCCTCTTTCACAAGCATATTTCATGTTCCAACGATTACTTTCTTTGCCCTGCATAGGGACGAAAATTAAGCTCCGTGTTACGGGCATGTTGGGCATGGTGCATGGTATTATCGCCGAGAGTGATAGCATTATCAGCGCTATACATCAAGTAATCACCTCCAACCCCCTCTCCCGCCCATAGGCGACAGCATCCGAAGAAACACCCTCACAGCCTCGAACGACCAACCGATCAAGTTTGGCACCCTCCCGAGACTCGGAGATCCGGGCATCAGCGAAAAGACGGATAGTCACGCCCGTGATTTGTGTGTAGGACAGGTTGAGCACTTTCAAGTCAAGAAGCATCGTGAAGATACGACGGGCTCCGACATCGTCCACGCCACGCATATGCGTAACGCTCAGTTCGGTCATGCTCTCTAATTCAGGGTTCGGTACCTCTGTGCTCTGAATCATATCGAAGAGATCGTAGATCTTGAGGTTGAAACATTCGTTGAGATATAGCGTTCGGATCGGGGCTTGTGCATCATTGAGAAAGACGGGGAGGGTCTGGGGCGAGATAAACCCCGTATCTATGAAGATGAGGGTGTGCAGATTCGGAAGGGTTCCGTCTCGTAGCTCTAGGTATGTTGGTCGTCTTGCTGATCCGCCTTGGACATGCAGGTGTTCAATGGTGGTTGGTAGGATGGCGCAGAGGTCCTGTTCAATTGTTTTCCCACGGAGCTCCAGCCGGCGAAGAGGGGGAAGATGACGATCTGGGCCATGGGGGAAGGTGTAAATGTTGTGGACTTCTGGATCAAAGTCAAGACGTAGTTCTTCCAAATTTGGGTACATGGGAGATTCATTGCTCTAAAGAGAAACGTTAGAACAAGATTAGGATACTGATTCATGAAGTGACCTACTTTCGTTAGGTCCGGCACAGATAGCGCGGGCATATGCTGTGCTGTTGGTTGAGGTACATTCTGCCTCGAAGCTAGTGTGATGCTTTTCAAATTTGGAAGATATTTGGGCCATTGACCAGAATTGTATAAATCCATATTTGAGCTCTTCACATTCCAGAGCGCAATGCGCTCAAGTTTAGGCAAGTCTGCCAGCAGCCTGCCAAAATAATCATGAGAGATGGGCAAGTCTGCTGAAAGAACAAGGCTCTTGAGTTTCTTGCTGCCTTTGAATTTCTGGTAGAAGTCCTTGCAGTCGTGAGATACCCATAGCTCGAGATGTTCAAGGCGAGGACAGCGACTGAGAAATTCTAATGTTTTGGGCGTTGAAGCCGTAGATAGGTTTTTGATGGTGGCATGGGTAAGCATTGCCTTGGAACGGCGAATGTAAGATCTGACTGCTGTCCATGGGACTTTTCCACGGGCTCCGGTAAGGTCGATGTGCATCCATAGGTTGGTCATAGAGCCGAAGAATCGCTCCCAGTCTTTGCAGACACGTAGAATTCCTCTATATGTTCGTGTTAGAACACGGGATGAAATAGTGATAAGCCACGGAGCATCTTGAGACTTACACAATCTGCTTGAAGGAAAGCTGCTGAACGACCAGCATCGCAACCTCCAGCGGCAGCATAGTAAAGGGGTCATGTCGATTCAAGAGCATACGATCCTCTAATTTCTTATGTAATTGCTCCAGCATCTAGAAGGGTAGTTATCAGTATACTGAGACCAACATTGTTCTTTTTGGTGACAAACCCCTCGTCGTGGATGCTCACTGGGGAGCATCTTCAAGCCATAGGCATAGATCTCCTGAGCCTTTTCTGGCTTGCCTTCGAGGAGAAGAACCTTGCCACATCGCATGTATCCCTAACAACTGGTGAGAAGGTGAGACGGAGCTGGATGGACAGTACACACGTACTCGTTCATCATCCTTGGCCGTTTTGATCATTTGCTTTGCATCACGACGAGCCAAGTCATACTGCTCTAGCTTGCAATACGTAGCACATCGATTATCCAGAATGCCAATAGTATCCACATTGGGTTGCCTCAATGCCTATAATTCGCGATTATTAGCATGGTCTGCCATTTTGGGTTAGAGTGAAAATGGAGCTACCTCTCCAAAGGCCTCAATCGCGCCCTTAAAGTCCCCCTTTTGATAAAGTTTCTGTCCCCTTTGCTGCGAGGCCGACACTTGGGCGCGCATAACTCCTGAACACACCGTTTGACTCGGCACACGAGTCCAAATATCGACGGAGTAACGAGAAAACGCCGTTTCGAAAGCGCGTTTGTGGTGATCGGCACGTGCCTTGTGGGGTCCTGCTCTGGTACTTGCATTGTTTGTCCTTCTGCCCCGCCGAAGTGGCCCATGTTTACTTTCTTCCGCATTGGATCATCGCTAGCTCTACGCAATAGCAACGGCCCGACATGGAGGCACAAAATCTACAGGCCGCGTCGACTTATGTTAATAATCTCCTGCTGGCTCGGGGTCTGTTGAAGAGTGGCCAGGCGATTGATTTCGCTACTCCCGACAGCCATGAGGGAGGCACTGATGCCATGATGGCGCGGGTTATCAACCTGGTCAATGATCTGGTTTTGAGGAGAGACGTAAGTCGCTGCTTACTAGTCTATATCGCGTCCAATCTGACAGACTTATAGCGAGAGGCCGAACATCGTGAAAGCTTAGCGACAACGATTCGAGTGTTGCGCGCCAGCGAGTCAGAGCAGACACTGGAAATTGTATGTGCATCAACACCGAGACAGGAACAAGCATGCTCATGACACTTTTCTGTCCAGGGGAAATTAAAAACAAAGGCATCAGAGCTAACTCGATCGCTCGCTTTGGCTGAAGCCTCGGAGCGTGCGCTCAAGTCGAATGTGTCGAGCGCCGAAGCCACGATTCGTGGACTCAAGGAACAAGTGCAACGCATGAAGACCACAGTCCAGCAAGTGCGGGCGCAATGCGCCAACGATATTCGCAAACGCGATCTGGAAATGCAGAAACTAAAGTCACACCTGGCCGAGCGGCAACGAGGGAAACGTGAGGGATTGAGTGTTACTACAATCAACATCAACCCTGCTGCAAAGGGGTCGCAGTTGCGGGCAAGTGGTGGAGAACGCGTCAACGATTCGGGATACAGCTTACAACAGGAGACGACCGAATTCTTGACGGAGCTATGCCAGAACCTCAGCGACGAGAACGACACCCTGATTGAGCTTGCGCGAAACACCTTGGCGACACTGAAGGAACTACAAGGCTTGCCGGAAATAGAGGACCGGGATGGTGATGATGACATCGCTGGAATGACTGCCAGTGTTGGACCACAGAAGATGGCTTCTGCCGTCACTTCACTCCCTACATCGTGCGAGGAGCTGTCTATACGTATGGACGCCGTTCTGGACCACCTGCGAACATTATTGACCAACCCTTCATTCGTTCCGCTGGAAGAGGTTGAGATCCGAGACGAGGAGATTGGACGACTGCGTGAAGGCTGGGAGAAGATGGAGAACCGCTGGAAGCAAGCAGTCACCATGATGGATGGGTGGCAGCGACGGGTGGCAGACGGCGGCGACTCGGTGCGAGTGGAAGAGCTCAAGCGTGGCATGACTCTGGATCTGAGCTTCACGACTACCGAGGATACTAGCATGCAAAGCCGGTTAGAGACCAGCAACATCTCACCAATTCTAGAGGACCAGCAAGAGGAAGACGCGCAAGGAGAGATGATTGAGACCGAAGATCAGGATCAAGAGCCTGAGACATCGAACCCACCGGCGACTCGGTCCAAGATCCGCAAAGTGCCCGAGCGGTCCGATCGAGCCTTGCGAGAGCGCAGCGACAATGCTGCGGCCAGGCCCAAGCGGCTCCGAAAGGTCTCATTCACACCTGGCCTACAAGGGTCTCCCTGTGACCCCAGCACGCAAGACGAGGAGACGTTGCAAATCAAAGCGCATAAATCAGAGGCTGTGACTCGACGGCCTTCTCGACGAAAGACCGAAACCAGCTCAACTCGTCAGGTGAGGAGGATCCACCCCTGGAAAGGAATTTAACATTCAATGCTAACACTATATCCCAGGCCAACGCCAAAGAATCCCAACTCAGCGTCTCACAAAAACTAGCCGCCCTCGAAGACGAAGCCCGGCTCGCGGAGCAGACACGCAAAGAGCGCGAATCACGAAAACGAAGCCGACCAGAAAAGACCTACAGCCGGGCTGGTAATCGGCGGCGGAGTACTCTGACGAGCGACGAGTTGGAAGATCTCATGGGCGTGCCATCGCGCTAGAAATGGAGTTGACCTGACGCGGAGTGGAATTTACTTTCCATCTAATCTACACACCTGTACATATACATTGGATGAGCGCGCATTGCACATATGGAGTCGCCGCTTTTCGCTTGCTCTTTTTGTTCGGTTATGAAAATTATCTGTGGACACAGTCATACTTCTATCTAAGAGGTAACCGGATGTAGGTTGTACCGGTTCTTCTTGGATAGGATTCTTAAGTATAGACGGAAGACGCTAGATCGGATTCGTTGGACAAGTCTGATGAGCAGGTAATATCAACCTTCTTCCCTTTTGGAAGGGTTTTCTATATCAGCTCTATCGTCATTCTTGATGGTCCAAGTATCATCACGCAGTCAATTGCTCAACTTGACGGATAAAACGATTTTGAAATTTTGTCCAGATTGCAATCTTGTGGAGGTGTACCGTACAAGTTTCATAGCGTTGAATTTCGTTATACCCAGGCGAAAACTAATGGTAGAGTTGCTTGTGCTGAGATACTAAGAGAGTTATGTAGTTGCCAAATCCACATCCGGCTGTCTCAACCTCGGCTCGTTGCTAGCTCGGTTCTCCGCAATTATTCAGATGTTATGGCCGATTTAGATCGCCCGGCCAGTTCCTTCTTCCCTGTTACTCACCTACCTATGCAATCCCTATATGGTCCGGTCCTTCCACCTCCTATCCTTCAATTCCTAGCCTGAAATACATCCTCCTCCTGACGTGCATCCCCACGTACACTCAGGATCCTCCGCACACCTCCATAGTGCAACACCTTCTCTACAAAAGCTTCACCTCCAAACCCTCAATCGCCTACACTCCCCCTCCACAATGACCACCTCAACCCCCGCAAAAACATTCACAGGCTGGGTTGCCCACGACGCCACAAACCCGCTCACCTACACAACCTTCACCCCCAAACCCTTCACCCCCACCGACATCGAAATCCGCATCACCCACTGCGGCATCTGCGGCACAGACGTACACACCCTCCGCTCCGGCTGGGGCCCAACCAACTACCCCTGCGTCGTCGGCCACGAAATCATCGGCATAGTCGAGCGCGTCGGCACCGCAGTACCCACCCTCCCCACCTCCCCAGCCTCAGCCTCCATCCGAATCGGTGACCGCGTCGGCATCGGCGCGCAGAGCGGCGCATGTCTCCGGCCAGACTGCGAGGCCTGCGCAGACGGGCAGGAGAGTTACTGCACCCGCATGACGGGCACGTATAACGGGCGGTACCCGGATAAAAGCAAGTCATACGGGGGATTTGCAGCGCGGTGGCGCGGCCCCGCGCATTTCGTGTTCAAGATCCCCGATGCACTACCGAGTGCCGAGGCAGCGCCGTTGCTGTGCGGTGGTGTGACTGTTTTCGCGCCATTGCGCAAGTACGGCGCCGGCCCTGGGAAGACCGTCGGTGTCATCGGTGTTGGTGGATTAGGCCATTTGGGCATCCTGTTTGCGAAAGCGCTTGGGGCGGAGAAGGTCGTTGCGATTTCGCGGTCCTCTAGTAAGAAGGCGGATGCGCTGGAGGGTCTCGGTGCTGATGCGTTTATCGCGACGGGGGAGGATAAGGCGTGGGCGAAGACGAATTCGCGAAGCATGGATATCTTGCTCTCGACTGTGTCTGGGCCTGGGATGCCGTTTGGTCAGTATTTGCGGTTGTTGAAGCGGGATGGGGTGTTTGTGCAGCTTGGGGCGCCGGAGGATGCGTTGCCGCCTTTGATGGCGTTTTCATTGATTCAGAAGAGTGTTAAGGTGACGGGGTCGAATATTGGGTCGCCGGAGGATATTCGGCAGATGTTGGCGTTGGCGGCGGAGAAGCGGATTTTACCGTGGATTCAGAAGAGGCCGATGGAGGATGTGAATGCGGCGTTGAAGGATATGCATGATGGGAAGGCGAGGTATCGGTATGTTTTGGAGAACGGGGAGGTGCAGGCGAAGTTGTAATTTTGATGATGTATCAAGTACATGTGTATATACTGAGATGGTTACATCGGGTTGAAGGAGTTGGGGAAGTATGTAGTTGGTTTGTACCAATGAACCAGCGAAAACCTGGCATGTCTAGGTCCACTATCCAATTGAAACGAATTCTCAAGAGAGTCTACTCTGCTGACAAGGACTATAGTGTGTTATATCCACCCAGCAGAGCTATGATTCGATCTTTACTCTTCCTTCGTAGCACAGCCATCCTCACAACCCGGCTATAACTCCTGCCACTATGAATCCACTTGCACTGCCACACTGCCAACACTAAGACTATGAATTTAGGCAACAACTGGTTTGAGCAGAAAGAAATGGGTTCAAAACACTACTTAAAAGTGCACTGTCGCTCTCCTTCACTTCTTTTTGAATTAGTACTTATTCCGTGTCCAAACTTCCTCGATAAACATGTGGATTGCAAGGATATGGCTGTTGTGGAGCACCCGCTGCCAAGGCATACCATGCCACATGCACAGACTACTGTGCAGTAGTATACTGGGGTCCCCACTGGTCTGGTCTGATTGCCAACTGGAGGGCGAGATGATCCAGAGAAGACTATCAACTTCATACTGACCCAAGATGGCTTTGCCTGTGACATCCAAATGGCGAACATATCAGATGGTAGCTACCCATCGGCCGGTGAAGCGCCCAGCCAACATGGCATCTCAAGGCCGAAGCATTAATCCGAACAGCTCAATCTCATGCACCCATCTTCAATAATATCTTCTTACCATACGGACTGTGAACCTGTGCCATTAATCAACTAACACTACAGTACAGCCTCGGACCAAAGCTACAACCAGGTATCCCCATCTTGAAACGATACATACAGTCCTGCCATCCACAACCAAACCCGAACAATATCACAACCCACTCACGCCCTGATCCCCATCAATTTACCATCAATTCGGGAGAAAAGGAAAAAAAACAACCAACATCTCCAATCCAATTCCAACCAAACCCACCCCCAAACCAAAAACGTGCACACTCACCTCCTCAAAAAAACCCTATCCCATTGGACCCTGGCCACCGTCCAGGCTGCCACTAAAAAAAAAATACAATCCACTACATCCACGGAAGCGAGTGTGGAGCCTGGGATATACTCTGCTCTGCCCTGCTCTGCTCTGCTCCAGGTCCCCACGACAAGCCTCGACGCTAGACTTGTTATGGCGAAGGGTACGAAAATTGTTTACCGGGTGCGGTGTGCACTATACGAAGAGTCCGGGCAGCGAAGCGCGTTATGGCTGTGGCTTTTAATAACACAGGCAGGAGAGGTACTGTATGTAGGGCTCAGCCGGGTGATGGGCGTATCGCCCATCTGAGACGGAGACGTTTATGAGCGGGACAGTGCTGAAACTGATGAAAATACTAATTGGAATCATATAGGGGTATTTAACTAAATCATGGTTCTGAATCACAGAAAGAAATAATCTCGATCCGACACTTTCGACTCGATACACATCTGGGCTTTTGAAAGGGCCTGCGATGCGATTCTCTACATTGTGGCAGAGGTGGCCCCAGTCGCCGTCATTTGGGCGTGATGCGGCAGTTTATTCTCTTGTTGAATTGATGTTGTGGATGGTTGATGGAAGGTGGATATGGGCTTATGGCCAGTCGATCAGACGGCTTTTCAGAATGTGGTGGGTTCAACCGGGGCAGGGCAGAAGATCTTCACCGTGGATATATCTGGTGTTATCTTCGGCTTTGCCTTGGCCAGTATGGCACTTCAGGCCGGCTTGGGCTGTCAATTATGCAATGCACTGGCGAGTTGATTCCCGCCTGAGCATGGAGACGGTCAGGTGTCAGTTGTGCTTGGTGTGGAGGAGGGATGCTCATTTGCAGATGGGGATTTGCGTCTCAGTTTTATAGTGCTGATGTTTGTGCTGATGATGACCAACAGTATTGCTCGGGTCGGACAGTGTGGGATGGTGAAGGGCGGATTCGGCGATACCCGAGCGTCGAGGATGATGTATCATTGATGATACAGAAAAGGTCATAGATCACGTTTGATCGTGGTCACAATTCTGACCACAGTCGTGACGTGCTCCAAGGTGTTGCCCCTTGCAGAATGGCGTGGGTTGCGGGTTTATGTCTGAGCCTGCAAGCTCTCGCTCTCTCTCCCCACGATTACAAAGCGCATCAACCGCGCTGTCTCCAATAACTCTCACAGAGAATCCATCTTTTCCAGATAATTCTCACCCAGAATACCAACCATCGCCCATTGAACCAACGGTCTCCACTGATCATCCAGAATCATCCACACAGCTTTGGCAACGCGCACACACCACTCATCAAAGCACCAGCGATGCTTAAGAAACTGCAACAGCACGCCAAAATGAGCCAACATGACCAGCGCCATGGGTTCACGCTCCCGAAGCAACTCCAAATACCGGGGAGGCAATTTAATAGCCCACCGACCAGCAATCACGCTGGACGTCATCCCACCATACACCCAGCTAAGCATCTCAGCTATATTATCGATAGTGGCGGTATACACCTCCGTCTCATGGGACTGGTCACGCGCACCACAGACCTCATTCGCCTCGTGCAGATTGTTGATCGTCGCCGTAGCGTCATCGGGCAGTCTCGCATGAACCTCCTCTACTTGCAGGATCGGCGCGAAGTTACTATGGCTGAGATAATCCGCCGGCGAGCGGATAACCTGCTGCACGCCGCGCGTCAAGACGAGGACCTGGTACAAGTCGTCCACGCAGGTCCATGGGTCCTGCACGTCTGGGGTATGCGGGAACCCGAAGGTATACACGACGATGATGCCGGCAAAGGCAAACATAGCCTTGGCATTGGTCTCGTTGATGTCGCCGAGCAACTCGCGGAATAAAGCGAGGGCCTGATTCTGGTGCGTGACGGCACGATTGAGATACGCCGCGCGCCGCGAGGGCTCGGGACCCGTTCGGGCGAGATGTAGCGCGGACAGCGCCAGGATGCCGTGCATTAGGAACGGGTGCGAGAGGGCCTCTTCCGGCACGGCATTGCGCCAGACTAGATCTGTGCGGTCATTGCGGGAGAGCGTGTGGTAGGTGTCATTGCACCAGTGCAGCATGAGTTCTAAATCATGCAGATTCAGCGCCGGCGTGGGCGTGTTCGCGGGTAGACCGTCGCCGCTGAGCCGGCCCAGGATGCCGAGGGAGTCGGCTGGCGGGCTACTTAGAATGGAGTCGCCGGGATGGCCGCTATCTGAACCCGATGCCCGAGATGCTTGTCTCGCCACGGCTGGTTCTTCATTGGCCCAGAGTAAGGAGCTGGACGAGCCATATTCACATTCTGAATGGCGCTTGGCGCAATTGGAGCAAGTTGGTCTGGCTTCGTCGCACTGTGAAAGAGGGGGATAATGAGGATTTGTTAGAAACTAAACAGAACTAGACAATACGCCAAAAAAAGAACCCCCATGTTTTTTTGAAGGTGTATCACGCGAGCCTCATACCTTGACTCGTCGGCGTTTGCATTCCAGACAGCCGTGGCGGGATTTGCGATGAGGTCGACGGAGCGCCATAGGGTCATGCACAACAAGCAAGCGGTCTACTCGTCGCCATGATCTGGGGAAGAGAACTCGAGGCTCTTGCGAGGGATTAAAGAAAAAAGGGAGGAGGGGAAAAAAAGGCTTGATTTTCTACTAGATACAGAAAAAGAGAAAAGAAAAGAAAAAAAAAAATTAAATTTCGACTGTCCTGGTTGATTTGGGTGATGAAGCGTAGGCAACAGGATTCATCGCGAAAAGAACGGGGTCCGCGGCGGGAGGGCAACACCTCGTATGGGAGAAAAAAAACAGTACACTCGGGAAAAGTAAAATGATCATTCCTTTCTGGTTAGCCCTTACGAAGAGAAACGAGGAAACAACCAGACTCCCAGTAACAAGAGATACAAGAGTTACCAGACTAGATACTGACTCGGTCTAGCACCAGGGGGAGGGGGGATGACGCTTATCTAAGGGCCGAACCCTGTCGATCAAACGGAGAAAAGGCTTGTCCACACCATTGTGAAACATTGTCTTGCTTCGCTTCGCCAGCACTGCCTCCCTTGGTATTGCTCCATTTTTTTGCTCTATCGGGGCTTAGGGTTGACCTTGGCCGGGCCTTAATTGTGCTGGGCATGGCTGGGCATGTTACCGCGAGGCCGTGATTGGACCCGCCCCATGCGAAGCTGACCTTGACGAGCGGGGGCTGGAGGCTGGTTCGAATGAGAAACTGGAACGATGAAAATGGACTAATCGTCTCGTGGTATCACGCAACGCACACATTACCCAGTTGTCACCGTTCTATCTTGTATGGGACAGGAGATGGAGAGTCTGGCTGGCCTCAAACACCAAGTTTACGACAGCCACACACCATACATGTTGTTCGTACGGTACGTGACATACTTCCATAAATTACTACGCTAGATCTGGCCCGACTTAAGGTTATACGGGAATATACACCATAAAGTTACCTACTAAACTACTCTAAGAGAGACCCTGAGATGCCTTAAACCTAAGTTTCTCGTAGGGCAGTAAGTTAATTATCACATCAGGTAACGTTAACGAATAGATTAAAGAACGTAAGCAAAGTATAGTCATACAATCATACAATCATACAATCCACCACCTAAACCCTCCCCATTCCCCACTCCGCCGTTCCATCACTTCGTATAAACGTGCAGGATTCCCACTCCAATGGTGTCTTGGCTCTTCTTAGGTTTCCCTCCGAGGTCCCATTTCCCCTCTCACTCTCCCCCAATTCGGCTCGCTTCCAAGTTCCCAACCCATCAGCCAGCCAGCCAGCCCTTTCCAGGCTCCCGGTCCAGGCTCCAGACCACCTCCAGTATGGTATATCCATACAATACTTACCTACGCTCCTACTACAGTATGTAGTAGTAGGGTACAGCAGGCCTTTTAAGCGCCCCCACCCCCCCCCCACCAGCACCAGCTGCACCTTTTCTAGCCCGAGCCAGTTTTTCCCGGAAGGCCAGCCCACTCACCAACACCAGAAGCTGAAACCGCTCTCCATACTGCACGTTGATATCCAACAACCCAGCCGGCGAGGAAAACCTCCCGCCCGACATCACCGCAACTACCCGATCCGACTCGTCCACCAACTTCAACCCGCCAGAGTGACTGCTCAGCGCGCGTGTCTTTTTCCACGTAAACGTGCGAGGCTGCTGGTCGCTGCTGCTCACGGGCATGCGGATGGTGTATCGGACTGACATCAGGCTGTCGCGGTTGAGACTGAACCATTCCATCGTGTGAGGCTGGGAGGGATCGCCGAGTCCGATCTCCGCGTCCGAGGAGAAATGTCGGTATTTACTGACCCCCGCGATGCGGCCGGTGGTGGAGGTTCCCGTGTGGAAGGTGAGATCGGGCTTGCCGGGGGTCCAGTGTGAGTTGTCCACATGGTAGAGGGGTTGTCCGTTGGATGTGATGTCGTAGGAACTGCGGAAGACCCCGCGGGTAATTTTGTATTGGACGGTGGGTGTAGAATTGGAGCCTGGCATGTTTGGGTTGGGATATAAGGATGTACCTATATATTGTAGTGGGTGTACTCCGTATAGATTGACAGATCGGATTGTGTAGAGACTAGATGAGGAGGATATTGGATTTCACACTTGCAAAGATTTGTAAGGTTTTGCTATGGACAACATCTAGTTGGCCCTCTACTCTTTATAAGACATCTCTCTGTCCTTATGATTGTGCTGCGGTCGTGCTAAATACAATCATCCTGGGTCGTCGCAAGGCTGAGGTCATCCAGCGGTCTATACCCCCCGGTCAGGTCAAGATCGTCGGCGCGTCGGGCGCACTGGCCCCAATTCGATGACGGGGCAGCCCCAAGAACCCTTTGGCAGGGCAGTGCTCGAACGACCATACGCCAATCACCCCCGGCCGCCCCCCAAGAGAGGCAACTGGGGATGAAACCATCACGCGAGGCGCAGTCGATCGTTGATCGACTTGATTTGAACATCACGTGATATTCATACAAGTAAAGTCACATGATCCAGACAGCTTGCTTATCACGTGATATGGGATCTCGCGGGCGCTTCTCAGGCGCGCCTGGAGAAGACGAAACGAAACAGAAAAAAAACATTCTGGCATATCGCCAGATGATGGACCACGTCTAACTCACCGACCCATCTCTCACTCTTCCCCATCATCTGGCGCCACCCACATCTCACTCATTGCGCCATTGCCACTACTTTCCCTCCCTGCTGCAGCTGTTGCGGCCCAAAAAGTGTCTCTCTCGGAGAACAAAGCTGTTGATCCATCTTTCACCTCTGTGATCTCCCACCTCCCAACCACCCATCATGACATTCAAAGTTCCGTACGAATCGAATCCACCACCCTCTACACCGGATAAGTCCAAAGGTCAGAGCTTCTGGAGTAATGTCTCCACGACACCTGCCGGCCCGCCGCCATCAACGGCAAACTCCTTCACGCCGCAAGGGCAGCCGCAATCCACCGCGTTTGGAACGTCGCAGTTAGAGTCGCATTCCAAGCTTAATTTCGGACAATCGACCAACTCGTTATTCACCAAGTCTGGAGGTTTCAAGACGGGCGACAGTATCTTTGGATCCTCGTTCGGATCAGACTTTGGTCTTCCCAAACCAACAAAGGCACCACCTGCCAGACCGCTCGCGCCTACACCATCGCAGGGCCGGCTCGGTGGCGCCACGAATGGCGGCTCGTTTGGACGGTCCGTGACCTTTGGCCAGTCCAATGGGTTCGGTTCGTCTCAGATGGAGGAGTACGAGGAATACGAGGACGAAGGCGAGGAGGAAATGGGAGATGAAGAGGATTACGAGGAGGAGCTAGAGGAGGAAGATGCGGAAGGCGATCTCGACTTGAGCACTCGGGAACCGGCCAACCGACTCAGTTTCCTGGATTCCACCTATGGTAACCCATTGCCGGCACAATCCCCCAAGTTTGGACAAGCGCGCAAACCGATCTACTCGAATCCTACCGATGCGAAGCGCCCGAAGCTTGATGAGCGATGGGCTGATCAGTCACCACTGCGCAAGACGAAATTGTCCCCCAAGAAGGCGTCTGCAATGCCCTCGATCCTGCACAACCTGGCTTCTAGAGCCCGACTGCCGCCCGTCGATGAACCTGCTGATATGATTCTCAACACGGAGGATACGGTGGATAGGCTGTATTTTGAGCTTCAAAATACAGAGTACCGACACCTTGACCTCGATGCTGTTCTTGCCCACGTTGCCAATAAGCTTGTCAACACGTGGGATACATGCGCAGACCGCAGTGGAATTTCCAGACCGTATGGCGTTGGATCGAGCATCGGTCCTGGAGAGCAGGCCCCATCACTCGTCAAGGCTAGCTTCTTGGCCTCTCTATTACTCCAAATCCACCACCCGTCTCGAGGCTCTGCTCCGATCGCCACCGCTTCGAACCCGGCTGCGCGCGTGGCACCTAATAGCATGGTCAAGGCCATGCAGCGTGCTAGTGCGGCCACCCCACTTCCACAAATTCTGCTCGACTGGTTGAATGGAAACCACGCATCTCAGACCAATGATCTGCAGGCGCTGCGGTATGTGGAGCCGAACCCGACTGCTTCATCGAACTTTTGGGATATCATCAACGCGGCCATTCTCCGTGGCCGCTTCGCCGAGGCAGCTGAGATTCTTCGTTCCGCCGATTTCAACTATGCCCGCTCAGCTTTGGAAGACGGCCTGCCCCAGCCTGGATATCGTGGCATGCAGCTGCAAAACATCCAGCGCTGTGTGAACAAGGCTCTTGAGATTCTCGACTCGTGCCCCGGCTTCCAGGACGATGACTGGGCCATCACCGGACCCGACTGGACCGACTATCGCAAGAGCGTTCTCTCCGCCGTCAACGACCTTGAAGAGTTTGCCGAGGGTGAAGAGCGGGATCAGGCTGAAGTGCCTTTGCAAGACCACCGGTTCCAGGCTGTCAACTTTGGATTGTCGAATTACGGCCAGGGCCAGAATCAGGTCAGTTTCACGCACTCCGCGCGCATGGCTGAGAGCCGCGTGCCGTGGACGATTTACCAGAGTCTGCGAGCCCTGTACCGGATTATCCTGGGCGACACCGCTACTATCAAGGCCACCTCGCAAGACTGGGTTGAAGCGACTATTGGATTGACTGCGTGGTGGGACGGGGAGGACGATGACGGTGCGTTCCGCGCCAGCACCTCGAGCCCGGATTTCCAGCGCTCCCGTGGATCTAGAAACCAACTCCGGGCTGTGGACCGAAACATGCGAAATGCGTACCTGCGCCGCTTGGATTTGGCATTCAGCAGTGCGACTAATGAGCCGTCCGATGACACTGGGTTCCGCGTGAATACGATGAACAGCCTGGAAGTTGGTCTGGCGTCCGTGTTTGAGGGTAACGTCCAAGGCGTGCTGGAACTGCTACAGTCATGGTCTCTCTGCATCACGGCTGCAATCACGGAAGTGGCCGAAGTTGGCGGCTGGTTAGAAGATGGAGGCCAGCAGAAAATGCCGGGTCTCAGCGAGAATGACTTGATGGTTCTATCCTATGGGCAAGGCAACATGCCTGCCTCCCGGGGATTGACTCGGGATGAGGTTATGCGCAACTATGCGCTCGGATTGAACGAGCGTCGTTCTATCGAGAATGAGTCTAATTCCCGTGAGGGCTGGGAATTGGGTCTTGAGGTGCTCGCCCGCGTGCACAATCCGGAGATTGCGAAGAAGGCTGTTACGGATATTGTGGAGAAGTTACCGCTTGATAATCTCGATCAACTTGATAAGCTGGTTGTGCTGTGCTCGGATCTGGGGCTGGAAGAGCAGGGTCGCAAGATTGCCGAGGTATGTATATTTTAGCTCACTTATGCACCAAATTGCGCGGCCAGTTACTGATCCCTCTTATAGCGCTTCGGTGATTTGACCACCGACACCTCAGAGAACTACGGTCTCGCTCTGGTCAGCTACGCCCGTGCCCATAACCGCCGCAAGGTCAGGGCCGTGGTGGAACTTCTCATTTCGTTTAGTTTGGTGCAATCACGCGCGTACCCTGCCGCCGCCGATCTGGACGAACAGCTCCGCTCTTTGCTGAAGGAACCCAAGACGTGTCTTTCGTCCATCGCATCTATCAACGAGGAAGCTGCCAGCATTCTGCAGTTCTACCTCAGTGGATACGCCACGCTCCGCCGGTTCTACGAGATTCGTGACGAGGCACTGGAATTGGAGGAGGGCCAGCGTCCGCGATTCAAACCGCTTGCTCGTCGTCGTGCAGCAGCCAAGGCCCTTGCCGCGGTTATCAGCAGTGCCGCTGACAACATCTACGGAAGCCTATTCGATCCGGACCGGGACTCGGCCGTTCAGGTAGACGGGTTGATGGCGCTATTGGGCGAGGCATTGGTATTCGTCAACCGTGAGTTTCATCCCGCATTCCCCTTCCTTGATCTACTGTACTAATTTATGCTAACACCCCACAGAACCATCCCCCATCCTCACAGTCTCCCAACAATTCACCATCCTCTCCGCAATCGAAGACCTCGAAACAGTCACCCCCCGTGTCTACGCCCAATGCGAAGAATGCTTCCGCTCCACCCTCCTCTCCGCAAACCCATCCGCCTCCCACGCCTCCCCTCCCTCCCCGCGCACCCTCCTCAAGAAATCCGTCTCCGCCCTCTCCACATCAACCTTCTCCATCATCGGCTCCGATATGCTCGAGTCCGCCCGTACCCGCTCCGCGTCGGGCTCCGGCCCTACGTCCGCCGGTAGTTCGGGCGTGCTTGTCCCCCGGCCTGGGGATAGGGATGGGAATGCTGGGTCGGTGCGTGGTTGGGATTGGAGGGTGGGATTGCCGGAGGGGACGAGGGGGGAGGATGTTTTGCGGATGTTGAGGTTGGGGCTGGCGCGTGGTTTGAGTGTTGGTGCTTTGGGGTGCGTTTAGACTCGGGTCTGAAATGGATTTGGATGTGGTCTGGGGTTTAGTGTGGCAGTCAGGAGGTGTGTCGCTGTCACTATTCACTGTTACTGTGACTCTGTGACTCTCATGGCCATGGCCAGCTGAGGAATCTGGCGATTCGGGGTCTGGATCCCTGTATGATTATTTTGGTTATTGGGGCGATAGCCTATCTTTTTTTTTTCCCTCTCTTCGTTTTTTCTTTTTCTTTTTGTTCTAGCTGGGCTGTCGGCCCTCGGTGCATGGATAGCAAGTAACCCATTTTATCTTTTTTATCTGGGAGTTTGTTTTTTTCTTTGGCTTTGGCTTTGGCTTTGGTTTTGGCTGTTTGGTAGCTGGTAGAACTGTAGTTTTTTGCCGATGTGGCTGGTGGTGGTGGTGCAGTGGCAGTTCGAAAGTTAGATACAAGAGACCAAGTAGGCGAGAATGGTCTAGCTAGATACGTTTCTACTTTCTCTGTTCTGGGAGACCTTATTGGAGTTCTTTTGAATGTTCTTCTGAGAATCTATGGCTTTGGTGGTAGATGATCAAGGGCTTGAGGCAGAATGTTGTGTATATTGTGTACATTCATGAAGGTTGGTCATAACAGGCTTGCAAAATATGTTCGTACAAATTATTCTTCAAGATAATATGAAATGCAATCTACCTTTCATGTTGACCGATAGTATCTAGCCAGGTCCATGCCGTCTCTCAACTCCTGCAGGAGTGGGTTTACGTTTACCTTTGCCATCACCAGCTGACACACGTTTCATCCCTGCAGCTAACCCCTCCTCACCTATTCTTCTTCTATTTTTCTACTCCACCACCAATCACCTCTCCCCCATTTCTCAGCCCTACGACTCCTTCTCCATGGTTCCTGACGAACAAAAACAGAAAACCAGGGAACCCGAGTCCTGCCAACCCGTCAGCAGCTGAACTGGCGGGAGCCTAACCCCCTTTCGTGGGACGACGGCCCCGCCGGACGATGGTGAGTCGTGACAGCACCAAGGCAAAGATTCAAGGACGAACTCGAGACACCGCTGTCCGGGGATGATTTTGGAGTATACTGATCGTCTTCAGTATGAGATATCTTGCATACCGAGACGGTGTACGATGGATGCATATGCAGCAGCGCATCCCGAGGTACAGTACAGTAATGCCCGGCGAGGTCTCCACAATGATGCACAGCGAGGCGGAGTCCCAGCGCCCGATGATTCATCCGATGGAGTAGTTACGTCCTAACTAAGTTACTGCACCTCATGCACTCACAACAATATGTCTGGAGTACTACTGCTTAGTAGCACTGTACTAACTACAGTACTTTGTCCTGCCCGGGGGGATTAATCCGGTTACTGCAACCAGTGACTCGACAAGCCTAACTCCATTCTGATCCCAGCGTCCCAGCAATCCCAAGAGCCAAGCCTCGTCCCTCATTTCTGGGCCGTCTGCCTCCCCGTCAGCCTCGCGCCATGTGGCTGGGCGGCGCTATCTCCCAAAGAGACTAGAGTGCAGTCTGCACCAGCCGCAGCCTGCAGGATTTGGCCCAAGGTCCCTCTGCCCACTGACACTCACCGACTCGCCCTGCCAAAACCTGGTCTCCTGCACCCCGGCTTAACGGTGCGTTCACCGTCTCTGCGGCTTAGCTACCCCATGGATGACAGAGATACCATACGGTCGGCCCTGGTTTCTTTCTCGTGACTATTTCGAGCTCCAGCCACAGATGGCTTCATTCACCTCGGCTCTTGCACACTACCGTGCTTACTACTCTTTTGTTCTGACGTGAACTACTGCTGCATCCTCCAACGCTGTTATCGGGATTGGGACTCGGAGCCGCAGTCGTGTGGCTCACCCCTCGCTGCGCGGGGCTGCCGGTGTATGTGGATAGGATTCCCTGTTTCTTTTTTTTCCTTTTTTGGTGCTTTTGAATGAGGTCTTCGATGGTTGAATGTATACTGGAGTGCTGGATTGTTGCACAAAGGGGCCTGATGGGTGCCTATTATTCGACAGTTTGTGGTGAATTGCTTTTTACGACTTATTTCTACCTTTACCATATCCAGCGTAGTCCTACTATTTTGCCTGTCAAGTGCGGTGCCCTACAGTGATTCAATAGAGAGCAAATGCCGATGGTGGAGAATCCTAAATATGTCATCACTCATCTCATCCTCATCCTCGTCAACATCATCCAGCCTGCTACTGTAGTTAGTTACTATCTCCACTTTACTAAATACAGCAACAAAACTGCTCCTCCCTCCTTTTCCTTCCTTCGGCAGTAGTGGAGACCAGCCAAGTACACAATGCATGATGCACCAGTCACGAGGAAACGCTAACTATCCTCACTAAACTAACTCCGACTCATCCACCCCTCCATCCAGGCTTCAGCTGTCATTCGTATTTCCCGATTGGCGTTTCGCTGGCTCGCTGGATCGCTGGGCTCGTCGGTGTTTTCCGAGTGGGCCCCGCGCTTGGGCTATTTTGGCTTTTTCGCTGCCTGGGGTGTCCACCGTAGGGCTGGCCGTTGGCGGGATGCCTTGCAGTGTCAATTAGCAGCTGGAGGTATTTGAATTAATGGCAATCGATGATGATCTGCTGTATATAACATCCCGGATGGAGCCGGCATGTTGGATCTTCCCTCTCTTTGTTATCCTTCTTCTCTGTCTGTCAGTAGACCTACCCTTCTTTAGTCACGGTCCTTTTTGTGTCTTTGCGGACGAGGTTCCTTTGTTTCGATTCTTCCCTTTTTTTCTGCTTTGCCTTCGTTCCGGCTTGCATTCCCTATTTAATTGACTAGGACTGGTTCCGACGCTCGCTCGATTCTTCCATTATCGACTATATTCTGCGCAGTGACTACTATTCTATCGACCCAGGTCTGTCATTGCATTGCATCGCATCGCATCGCATCACACCGCAAGCGCATCTACATATACATCTATCTACAGTACATCTATATCCACACCAAGCATCCAACAAACTCACACCCTCCCAATATACTCAACACACTATCACCAAACCTGTACTACAACCTCCCCCATCACCAACACACCAAAATGTGCTATAAAGTCGTCGAACGCTACTCCGTCTGCAAATGCGTCTACTTCCAACACTCCATCGACCCATGTTCCGCCTACGGCCAACACGGCCACTCCGTCCAAGAAAAGACCGTTCTAGTCGGGTACACCTGCACGCGACACTCTGCGCGCGGCACTTCGTCTTCGCCCACCGCTGGCCGTGGGCCTGATTCGGGTTATTCCAGTTCCAAGGGCTCGTGTAGGTAGTTCAGTCATGCGAGGTGTGAAGTGTGTCCTGGGTCTACTGGTAGACTGCGGGACTGAAGCTTTTGCCTACGGCAGGACTGACTATGCGTACGATCATGATGTGACCTATGAGTACGAGTATGATTGCCATGAAAGGGCGATGATCCGAACCGAACCGAACCGAAATAAGCCGAGCGAGTGAGCTCGGCTTGGAAATCAGGATGAACGAGAAAACGACCGCGAATGAAGACGAAGAGCGATGCTTTCTTTACCTTGTGCTTTGCAGAGCAACGACACGCGAGAACGAGGTATACACGATCGGAACGACAAATGACACCTAACCCCACCCCCACGGACGAACAAATGAACAAACACAGCTGATTCTCTGCGAGAATCTGCCATGTATAAATTCTACATACGATCAGCTCTGCTCTGCACTTCTCTTCGCTTCGCTTTGTCAATCTTCACACGCGTCCGTCAGTACCGGTTACTGACGGACTTCTCGATTCCCGGAGAATCGAATCGACACCAACCGCTAGCCACGATCGTTGACCGATCAAACAGCACTTCACCACGATATATCGCCAGGCGCAGTATCGCGGTGAATTGGTACGGTACGTGCGAGGTCGACGCGAAGCAAAGATGAGGAGTATTGAAGTTGGAAGGGAACGTGAAAACAGACGAACGACACGACACAACCACGGGGACGGACGGACGGACGAATGGACATGTATAGTAATAGTACATCACAGCGACTCTCCCTTCTGACTTGACTGGATCAAGTGAGAATGTTGTGTTGATGCTTGGCTTTGACCATTGGCTCTGCGAGCTATGGCTGTTGTTGATTGTTGAATTACTTTTTCCGGAGTCGCTGTTAACAGGTTTCGGCGGTGACGATTTTGTATGTGTATTGAATTGGTGGGGTGGTGTATTTGTTAGAGTGTTCGGTTTACTGTCGTTTACGATGGGTGTTTAATATTAGCATTCTTTTTGGATGAGATGATTTTTGTTGTATGGATGTAGAATGTCGTACACGCTTCTGAAGAATTTTAGTTGTAGGTGAAAAGAGGTTTGATAGTATTTAGTAGTACCCTGTTGATGTCCATGAAAATAGTTTTGATCGAACAGGTGTATAGTAGCCGTTCAAAAGCTTGAACCTAGAAACTAAGGACATGGACTAATTAGAAAGAATTCAAGTCTATCTCGTACCTAGACTGGAAAGTTCCGCATGCTAATGGTATCCATCATAGCATTTCAACGACCAGGAGATGCCATCTGCATATCCGATTCGATTCAATAAGCCTGCCTAACAGCAGCAGAAGAGTTTTCATACATGTAAATCGAGTCATGGGATCACTGGGCTTTTTTACTCATACTGAGTGCTTTGCATTTTCTAATCCCATATGCCCACGAATGGCTCCTCTTCAATCTGTCGACACATTGAGCCTGCCTACATGGTCTTATAGCAGCGTACAAGTAACACTTGATTAACGGGTAATACTCTCAACACGTATATTAAAAATTAGAGTTGATACCTTGGCCGTAAAAGCTGTAGCCTCGTGATAGTTTCTTCTCGCGCCTTGCCTCCTCCCAAATCCTACGCTGCTTGCCTGGTCCCTTCTCGTGTTTTCTCTCATCCTTTCTCTCACTACCACAACACACGCTCTTAAATACCCAACATGTCTTCTCATCTTCTACGCAACACATCCTCTTGCCATACACACACCACGCTATCACACCGTGAACTCACATCAAGCACTGCAACTCGCACCACACAATGAGTTGGGTTCTAGATATTCTCAATCACCCCGTGCAAAGCCTCGCAATGTGGTCTTTGTTCCTCGTCATCCTCTTTACGACACAGCTCCTATACAAGTTCTGCTACCTGTAGTTCGAGATGATGGACCAAGAGACTCTGTTCGCGTAAGTTCTGATCGCTCTGTTGAGTATTATCTTCACGATATTAATACCGACTGCCGTACAATGACTCGTGCCGCTCTCTGCGAGCAATATGCCACTGAAGCCGAACACCGTGCCACGTCCGAGTGTGAAGAACCCCACGTACTTAAAAGCTATCGAGAAGAATTGCGTCGATGCCGTTAAGGGGCTTGCCGCTTCGATTGAGAATCTTGTCTCTGCGTTTGATTCTCGTGTTGACACGGTCGGGATACGTGTCTTTGGGCTGGAGCGTGCTGCTACTGCTTCGATCATGCAGCGCTCTTCTGAGATCAAGCGCATGCTAGACTCTGGTCTCGGTGTTCTCGCAATGAGCTGATACCATGCATCACTTTGAGAGTACCCAAAAACATGACGATTGCTTTCTCTGAGATTAACGAGTGGTAGAGTCTTCTCGCTGTGCATCACCATGAGAAGCCCACTTGCGCATTCTTTTTGACCCATTTTGCACATATCGTCCTACTTTTGCTTGTTATGGATTATGGTCACAGTCCTCGGGTTCGTGGTTTAGTATAACCAGAAGAAATGAAATTCTTATTTCTTTTCCTATCCCAAACACTTGTCCCCATAATAACTACAGCGTACCGCTTCTCTGGAGTTCAGACAGTTTTCGGCTGCGCTACAGCTGCGGCATCCTCATCAGGGTCATTTGAACGATCGTGCAGTGTGGTAGTATGAGCATACATAAATTATCTTCGAGAGCCGCGGCTAGGCTGTTTTGGCTAGTGCTTTACCTTCAGTGCACGTCATACTCACCCTCGCGTAACTCTCTTCTGTCTGGTTTGATCACCAGTTTGGAGACGCAGTATTCATGAGTTTTTCCAATCACAGCCAAGATTGAGGCATCAAGTAATTCAACAATTTGCGACAAATATATCATATCAAGGCTCGTATTTAATATCGATATGCCTAGATTATGATGAAACGCATCAAAAAGACGTTTGAGGGCGCTAAAGGCATGGAACCAGTCGGAAACTGGGCCAAGCAAGCGGAGGAAAGACGCATGCTTCAATACAACAAAGATATTTGCTACCACAAGGAAGTTCCTGCCACTATCATCTATATTGAAAATGAACTACGAAAGTACAGGCAAGTGGAATACCGGTAGGTAATTGATCACCGGGCATTGTTGAAGGACTTTTCTCAGGGCGATGACTTGACTAAAATTCGTGAATGAGAGGAAATGATCAAAGAGTACAGAGAATACGGTGACATGATAGCGCACATGCTTCATTCCACTAAGATTCTACTCCCTCGGGGACCCTTGAAAGGATCGTATGATAGGATGCGAGAGATTCCCGGTTGTATATCCGACAAGAACTTGTCAAGGTCTGTATATCCCATGAAAGTTAATTTGCATCACTTTACAATTCTCTATCGGTCAAGATGCAAGTTTGATACAATCGTGTTCTTAGGGTCTCAATGCGCGCACATATCAGATATAAATGAACCATGGTCTTTGTTCAAATTCGGCCCCCAAATCAACTTGGCCCCCAGCTTCCGACATGCGTCATCTGACGGAGATAGAACGAGGCAGCGAGGTAACCTGCGGCGTCCCCACTGAGACTAACACTTTCAACGCTCAGTCCAGATCTTCATTTTCGCATACATAATATCTTGCGCCGAATCATCGCCAGGCGCATCACCACAGTGCAAACGACAAGCTTTACTCCAGGCTTGCGAAACGGCTCCTGACGGGAAGCCTGTGATGCACCCGCGTCCAACACCAACAGTTTGGTTCTGGTTGGGCGCCCGTCCAACTCTAGAATCAAGATGCATTCAACAACATTGATAGCCATTTTTGGGCTGCTAGTAGGCGTCTACGTTATCGCGCGACGTAAATCAACCTCGTCTTTACCGCTGCCGCCAGGCCCCAAGCCATTGCCGATCATTGGCAATGTTCATCAAGCCCCGAAATCCCACGGCTGGAGGACGTATCGCGAATGGAGCAAGAAGTATGGACCTATCGTTCACGTCAATATGCTTGGACAACCGGTCATCATATTGTCGACCTCTGAAGTGGCCCACGACCTCCTAGCGAAGCGTGGAGCCATATTTTCAGACCGACCTCGTCTATTTGTAAAGACTCTCTCCTCACCCCGCACATGCTGCACCAGCTAACAAAAATTTTAGTTGGCGACGGAGCTGGCCTTGAAAGGGCTTAATATCCTCATGATGAACTATACCGACCAATTTCGACAGCATCAGCGGCTACAGGTCTCGGTTTTGAACGCGACGCCGGCAGCTGCTTATCTTCCCATCCAGACTCTGGAGTCACAGCAATTGATGCACGATCTCCTGGACAATGCAGGTGTTCCTGGAAGTTATGTTCAGGGACATTTCCGGCGCACCGTCGCTAGTATTATCCATACATTGCTTTATGGCTTTCGGGTCAAAGACTACGACGACCCAGTACTTCGCTCCGTTGTTAAACTCAACGATGAGTTTTCCGAGTTTATCCAGGTTGGAGCGCATATTGTTGACCAATTTCCCGTGCTCAATAACTTGCCTGGTTTCCTGGCCCCATGGAAGGTGAAGGCAGAGAAACACTATACGACCAAGTATGATCTGCGCGACAGAAACTTTCGGAGGGGCCTCGACTCAGAAGCGTGGAATATTTCTAAACATCTCAAAAAAACTATTGAAAAAGATAACCTCAACATGCCCTTGGATGAGCTCGCATTTGAACTTGGTACCATGATTGACGCCGCGCTGGATGGTACTACAGACAGCTTGATCTGGTTTGTGGTGGCGTGTATAACGCAAGATCAGGGATTCATTGCCAAGGCACGCAAAGAGCTTGATGCCGTTGTCGGACGCGATCGTCTTCCAGCCTCAGAGGACAAGCCGAATCTGCCGTACATCACTGCGATCGTCGAAGAGATATTCCGTTGGCGGCCCGCTGGCCCCGAGGGCGTCCCTCACCTGAATAGGGAGGAGGTTACCTACAATGGGTACACTATTCCGAAGGGATCTGTCATTGTTCCCAACGTTTGGATGATCTCTCGAGACGAGGCCTTATTTGGTCCATGCCCTGACGATTTCATCCCGGATCGTTGGATCGACGACGACGGCAAAACTCTCAAAGCTCTACCTCCAGCCGTTTTTGGTTATGGTAGACGGACATGCCCTGGTCGGCATTTCGCTCGCAATGTTATTTGGATTGTAGTCGCCCAGTTGCTGTGGTCATTCGACATCAAGGCTGGCCTGTCCGAGGAGACTGGCGAGCCCATCTCTATTGACCCTCTTGCATGCACCTACGGTCTGGTTATGCGAGCTCTGCCTTTTAAGGCTTCATTCAACCCTCGTGGGCCTTGGGTGCGTGAGGTTATTGCCAAGAGCGGTGTCACTTATGCCGAGGATCACGAGGCGATGCTCAACCAAATTGGGGCAGAGTTTGCTAAGCTGTAGTTGGCCCTTTTTCCCTTTGTTTTCTCTAACGTAGTCATACAAATTCACCACGAAGACCTCAGCTTCCAAAGACGCGCTATGGAGCAAGTAGCTCCATCGAAGTGAGTAGAACTTTGTAACTGCACTTGCAGGCACGAGTATGCACGCTGGGCGTCAGGGCCTCACGGGTTGGGACGGAGTCTGAGAATACTTCAGTATATGAAAAGTGACGTCATTTGGTGACTCTGGCCAATTCTAATAATATATAAGTGACTGCAGTTCAGCTATTGGGGCGGAATTATCAACGGTCTTCTTGGCAAGCTCCAAGTTTGAACCAGCCCCCAAGAATCGCTGAGATCAGACACTACGACCCCGCAGTGCCCCAAACGCTAGCTTGTCATCAGACCGACTAGCAGAGCCTAAATTCCATAGTCATGACAGTGCCACTCGCATGACGGTAACCACATTCTCACTATTCACCACTTGTCAGGGCTATCTGCCACATCTGCCACACCAAACGCCATGGAACAGAAACTCACCAAAACCAGTTCCTTGCTGACGATTCCACTAGAAATCCGAGCACAAATTTACGAGCTCATTTTGGGTGGTAAAGTCATCGTGTTTATATCTACACACGGGCATAGATTACGGCATTGTCTATGTTCAGAGAGAGGTCAAAAGTTTCATTTCCTACAATACAATGACGAAGATGGTTCATGGTGTCATTGCGGTAGCCACCGCAAAGAGCCAGCCACCTATAAACGACTTCCTCTTCTATTAACGTGTCGACAAATGTATGGACCCAATAAGCCATATCTTGGTCATGACGTTCAGATACTAATTTTATGGATGCTAGTTACTCTGAATCAGTGGAGGTTCTATGGGCCCAGAATACTATTCATCTCCAAGCTGGAACGTTTCCCAGGTTCCAGATTCTCTCGCATCTGAAAGCTACATTACTATCTCACGCCTTTACCGGAATTCGATTCCTTGAAATCTCATGTTTGCATGGCATATATTACAGAGAACAAGCCCTTGATGAAGAGTGGTTTAGTTGTTGGAATGGAATATGGGACATTGTAAAGCTCATGAAGAGGCTCCTAGAGCTCCAAGTTTGGGTGAAATTGGACCAAGACGTGACTATCCATCAAGAAGCACGGATTTTGGAGCCTCTCATGGATCTTGAGATCAGAAATTTCAAGTTGGAGGTAACATGGCCAGCAAGCGAAGGCTCGGAGGCCTTTTTACTGGGGGCACCATTCTCCCTGGTAAGGAACAACGATCCCGTCTTTGGAAAACCAGAGTTTGGCACGGAGATATTGAGCGGTGGCCCACTTTGAGAATCTCATATATGGTCTTGCATTGTGTCCTGGATGCCTGGGATGTTACGTGAACGTGCTGTAGTCAAAACCCCCTCCTTCGCACTTCGTTTGATACTTTAGTCAAAACTCGGCGGTCCCAAGAATCTGGTCTCGTGCTGCTCCTGTTTCTCTAGATAAAATATTGACCAACTGAGAGTCCAGTAAAACGCTACTATAGACCGAAAAGATTATTCATCAATTGTTCATTACCTGACAGGTTTGTCTGGTCACCAAAGGGTATGGCGGAAATATAGTTATGTCCTAGCACACATGGCGATCTGCATTTTGATATAGGTACCGGATTGCACGATGAACGAGTTCTTCCATCTGCGGCTCGTGGATGATACCTAACTTTCTCAACGATGACAGGGAACTAAAAATCCTATAAAAACTGAATCCAATCGATTTCAAAATGAGATATAATTCAAATGTATTCTTTCACCGCCATATAATCCAATGTCTCTTCCCCCAACTCTTGAAGTGTTAAAAAGCTAAACCACAATTACCAGCCTCAGCCAGTCCAGGGTTTCATAACCATTTGTACATCTCGCTTTCCGGGCTTTGGCTTGTTCTTCAACAAGGCCATATTACCCTCCTTGGTGAAATAAGCATTCTTGTTGAGCAGTTGCACACCTACATGGAGGAGTTAGTAAAATGAAGCAAGGTATCATGTGGTGCAATTTCGAGGGTAAACATGGGCAAGTACTTACCCATCGCAAAGTACGAGATAGATTCCGCGTTATTGCACCCTACTGGCCCAGCTGACATACAGCCTGCCCATCTGTATTCCCAATCCTCGGTATGTCCCTTATCGTCGGCAAGAGCATGTGAGAACTTAAAAGCCAGAAGTTAGCCAAGAACTGGAATTTCACTACGGAGCTCTGGAAAAGGAACGGGGCTGTTCTTACCTCGTGCAACAGAGAAACGTCGAGTCGACTACCAAATACATCGGCGTTTGGCTCCCCGTCCGAGGGCGGACGCTTCGGGTTATAGTCATTAAGATTCTTGTGGTTGGTCACAGCATCAATGGTCGCATAGGCTGAATGGCCAAGAACTGTGAGATACCAAGGGCAGAGCTGGATGGAGTTCTTGACTAGCTGTCCATTCTTCAATTGTGCTGACCGATAAGCAACAGTGTCGCCGGTTTTGCATCCATCATACTCTTTCGACTTTGGCACAAGGAGATTGGTGGTCTTGTCAAGAAGATATGTAGTCTCTTTTCCGTCTTCGCCCTCGGCTTGGGTTTCTTCATACCGAGACAGGTCGCAGTAAAGGATCTTGATATGTAAGCTGTAATTCTTCGAAGTTCTTCGTCCTCAGTTATCACTCACTGGGTCATGGTTATCATTTAGATCCACATTTTTCAAAGTCTCGAAGTCTTGCACGTTCTTATAGATATCTGTCAACAGCAAGACTGTTAATAAAATTCAGAGATGCAATGTCTAGTAACTTTACCTTTAACAAGATCAAGACGGTAACCGGCGAAGAACCACCCCTTCAACTCATTAACATTTGGGTCATTTCCATCCAATGCAGTTTGTGCATCCTTTGCCAATGTCATCGACTTTCCGACAGCGTCTATGAGAGTGGCTCTGATTGCTGCTTCCAATGTGAGTATATGCAAAAGTATTAGAAAGGACAGCGCACTGACGATTGCATGATTCGTCGATTGAATAAGCATCTACCCAGGCGACCTGTAGCAAGACAAAGGATAAAAGAAGCATGACTTTGGACCATGCCATTGTAGCCATAGCAGCCATCACGAAGTAGTGAAATTGCTGTTTTTTGAAGTAATCGAGGGCTTCAGACCAGCTTTTAAATGTGTTAAAAGAGCTCGGAATTTGATAAGTGTCCCCTGGTGGCATGAAAGTTGGATTGAGTGAGCGCGAGTCAGCCTTGCATAGCCCCAGTTATGTTCAATGCAAATCCTGAAATGTGGTTTCCTCTAGATACTCAGTATGTATTGGCAAGTATTGAGCTAGCTACTGTCGACATCTGACGGGGGTCATTTGCAGTATGCGGTATTTTTAACAACCTGACTTCAGGGGCCGTCTCCACCTGATAGTAGTTGTTCGGGGAAGCCGATACTCGGATTCATCCAAAATCACAGTTTTAACGGGTGGTGATCACATGTCTGCGAGTAGGAATGATCCATCAAGCTCAGTTATCCTTTCTGAGATGTAACCAAGGGGCCACAATGCTCAGCTCTGACAGTCACCTCTTCTTGGGCCTCAAAATAACGTTTCTAGGGTTTATTGAGCTATTCATGACGATATGGAATCTTTTAGTGCTGATCTTTGGAGGCCACTTCTATCTGAATGATCACATTGAACTTCTTACCTTCCAAAACTGTTGCGCCAAGATCTTACTATACTCTAGGGGCCAAAACAAGTGATACCGCCGTCATTCGACCGAATCATGAAAGAAGTATGAATCTTTCAAATCCGACATCAAGTATACTTTAATGGGGCTGAATTATTGACAGATAAAAAGCGTTTCTATGTGTTGTTCAAGTATTAATAAGGCTTAGGGTCCAAATCTTTACGAGCTCAGACCACCTAATGCTGATATGCAGGGTCCAAACCTATTTAGATATTTCAAAATATGAGCCACCTATCGTTAGACGTCAGCGTCCAAAACCGCTAAATCTGGGGCCATCGTCAGGAGCTGCAGGGTCCAAATCTAGTCAGGCGTGCCACCAAGTTTGATCCCACCTCTCTGCACGGCTGTGCATATGCACCGGGCCGGACTTGGCATTGATTCCAGTAAGCCAAGATTGCCCTGCATGGTCGGGAAGTATTTTGCATGCAGTTTCACTGGGGATTTCATGGAAAGAATCCAAAAACATCTACCAGCCAACTCTCAGCTTCCGAGGGCCAAATAGGTTTTCGCTCTGACGTTCGGCCTTTTTCTAACGGAATGGGGCTGGGAAAAAATGCCTTGTCGGGTCTGACTTCAGTTGGATGAACCTGAGGGATCATACTATCATGGATCGACCAGTTATTTAAAATAAACGTGAGAGGTATTTATATCTTGGAGTGGTGCCCTCCAGCAACCCAACTCACTCTATTCATTCGCCTCTTTCTTATTCAAAACTAATTATCATCTTTTGTGCTTCGAGAGAGATGATTCAGTTTCTACAGTCTGTCCTAGTCCTGGGGCTGGCAACCCAGCTTTCATGGGCCAGTCCTCAAGGCTTTGCAGACTCCGAAGCCCTAGTCAAGGAGCGCGGGCTTGCACCTGGTGATCAATATGTGTTTGCATTCTGTCCAAAGTATGTTATTTCTTGATGATACTTCAAATCATTTTCAAGCATGTATGAATGAGGCCCCATATCTGACCATGCCTGGGCAGACAACTTCAGAAGTGCAAGGAATGCGGCGGTGATACTAAGGAGAAAGGATTCTGCGACAACGAAAGAGCCCAGGGATCGGCCTTCGAGTACTATCGTTGCAAGCAACTCCACAAAACAGGCTGCGGTCTAATCTGCGAATGCATATCAGAAGAGACAGGCAATCCTGGGTAAGCTTGCTATCTTTTTTCTACTAATTTTAAGTCTTTCAAGTCTAATGCTTTGTCCTCTGAAGAACGGGTCTCCCACCTATCATTCCATTCCCACTTCCCCCGCCTGGATTTGCTGTTCCTCCAGCAGGAGTTCCAAACCCTAAGACTCCGTGCAATGAAGACTACACCAAGTCTAGTTGCAAAGACTGTAAAGCTTTGGAGGGCTGGTGTACTGTGGGTGACAACGCTGGGTGCCCTTGTAAAGAGGAATGCCCTGCAGATGATAAGGAGCCTAAGTGCTCCGACGACGGGTGCAAGGGAGAGGATAAGGGAACCTGTACCATTGTTCGTTATCCATTTACATTTCCTGATTTGCTGGTCAGATTTCTCACATATAACAGGGCCATTACAAGGATTGCAAGTGCAAGGCCGAATGCCCCGACCCAAAGAAGGAGGCACTCATCTGCAGTAACAAAAGCTGTGCAGGGAAGGACGGCAAATGTACAACCGTACGACTCTCCCTCTTCTTTGCTCAAACTCGTGAACTTGACATTAACTTGTTCCAGGGTACCAATAATGGTTGCGCCTGTCACGATCTTGCAAATCTCATTTTCACCCTCGGATCCAAGTCGCAGACGGAAAAAAGCGAAAAGATCATGGTTGAACTGGCCCAGTATCTTAAGGATCACGAGGGAGAGGGCGACAAACCAAATGAACCGAAGGAGATCAAATGCTCCAGCACTGACTATAGCAAAGCAGTCAACGTGGACATTTCGTTCATGCAACAGATTGCGGATAAGTTCTGCGGTGGGGATATGAGCAAAAAGCTCAGTCAAGACTTGACAAATAAGGATGTCTCAAGCTCTGCTTATGACAATTATAAGTTCCACCTCGAGTTCGATCCAGGGAAGAGCTGCAAGACCGACTGCAAAGCAACTTTCAAATCCATGATTGCCAAATGTATGTCTCTGACACTGACTCACCCTATGATCCATTCTAACACCTTGAATAGGCGAGGGTTATGACAGCCATTCTATTCAACTAGAAGGCAGTGCCACGTTCGACTGTGACGCCAGCTATAGCTACAAGATCACTGTTCCCGACCAGCCAAAGCCAAAGCCTGACCCTGGATTTGAGCAGCATGGCTTGCAAGCAAGACAATGCCATACTGCGGATCAGTTCGGAGGCCATGGAGATGTTCGTGGATCAGATATTAGCATGGCCGCCACAGGCTGTGCTGGTATCTCCGACGACAAAGCCATGCTGAAGGAAGGATCTGCACCTGTTCAGTTGCAATCAACATATGGAGGCACCAAGCTGCAGTTTACCATGTCTTGGATTGACAACTGCGAAGGACCTGAGCAAGATGCCCGTTTCCCCTTCGGAGAACCGCACAACCTTGGCAACACGTGCTGGCAGCTCCTGTTAGATGATTGGCAGCAGTGTGAGTGATTTTGTTCTTCCACTTATAGAGATAGATACTGACCTATGACATAGGCAACAATGGCGGTGCTGGTGGATCCATTGATTACAGCTGCGTGAGATATGACTTTAGGCCAACATTTGACTAGGATGATAGTCTTCGTTGATTTGAATTGGCATTTATAACACTCGAGTTTGAAATTTCTGTTGTTTTAACTATTTGAATAAAGATTCAAAAAATTTTCCACTTTTACTAAATACGGATAGCCATCCTCATAGCTAGAATATTATTAGAAAACAAGATTCCAGAATTTCAGTTAGAAATTATAGATGTTAAAACCTTCAGTAATGAACATGCGACCTGGCCGAGTGGCCCAGGCATCATATTTGCGCAGACGAGAATTCAAATATCACCAATAAAGGTGACGCAGTTTATTTTTGCAAGCCGGTATTGTTCGAACAGAAATTTGTACAAAACAGTATATCAAACATACCCATAGACCAACCCCATATATCGCCGGATTTCCGTACATACTGGCCCAACTCCACATGACTAGCCCATCCAACACCATCTAGGATTCTGGAGGAAGTATACTGGGGAGGTTGCTAGACGGATCATCCTCACACCACCCGGAATACTCCCCGAAGGCCTCTTTGAACATTCTTGAAAATTCAACGGCTTGGTCGGCCTCGTACAACCCACAGAACTCATCAAGCATCCCTTTAAGCTCACTTTTTTGATCATCGCTAAGTTCTGAAACTCCTGCAATGGAAGAATCTCGGTGTTCGTCCAACTCGGACGTCCAATTCAAAAGTTTCAGCGCTTGCATCCTTTTGCGCATATCCTTTATGACCTCGTCCGCCTTGATGACCTCATCTGCAGAACCAAGCTGCGGGTATTCTTTCGCGATATCTGTGAAAGAGGCAAAGATGCGGCTGGTGAGAGCAAGATCGAGATCTTTGATTGCTTCATCGAATTGAGCAAGGAGAGGTAAAGACACTTTCATCCAAGTGTGCGCGTTTCGAATTTCCTGCCAAACTGTGGAGAAGTTTGATTCCCCTCCAAAAAATTCAGCAATAATCTTCAACATACGGTCGTTGAGTATGAGGCATTTGTCCCAGTCACGAGCCTCGGTTGCGCTGGTTATTTGTTGGCGTAGCTCGAAAATCTCGTTGAATTTCTTCACCGTTCCTTGAAGACCAATACTGTGTGATTTTAGAAACCCTTGACCCAATTTTTCGTGTGTTTCCTTATCCATTTCTACCGGTGTGATGCCTTCTGCTCGTAGCTGGAGAACCTGTTCATGTAACCTTGCCGCATCCTCTGACTCACTTCCCATCTCAGTAAGGGCTTTTAGAAACCAATCCCAGGCCATGTCATCTGTATTTTGAATGCCAGTTTGCGGTCTATTCGTCGGAGTGAAAATATTGGAATCCGGTAGCCGTGTAGTCATGAACTCCATGAATCTCTGCATCCCTTGCAACTGACGAGAGAAGGTAGGCGAGCGGCTGTAGATATCCAGCACGGCGTCGACATGAGCCCTCATCTGCTCAATGTCGAGGTTGATCAACCAGCTGTGATGAAGAACAGATGCTGCTCCCCTACGTCGCTCCAGTCACCAATGTCTGCCGATGTCTCCATCCTCTCCAAACGCGACAACATATTCATCTCGCCAAACCTATCTTCAGCGTTTGTGTCTAGCATATTTTGAATGAAACGGGGCGTCTGTCGGGAGAGGCCTTGGCGCTCATAGAAACAGTCAATGCGTGTGGATAATTCGTTCAGTACTTGCAGCATCTCACGGTCTGGTCCCATGATCAAATTATTGCTGTGACCTGGTTCTGCATTCTGTTCCATACCGGACATGAGATCTTCCATGTACGCTTTAATGGCGTTCATTTTCTCATACATGACCTTAGCAATTTCTAGAGTCGACAACTCATCCATACTGCTTTGCGTTGTGCCCATATCATTAACGGCTCGTAATAAGCCATCGAGAAAACCATCGACGTTAATCGCTTCAATATCACTTTTGCTGGTGCCTGTCTCATTCGCCTCATCGTCCGCTGCCAGGGCCATCAATTCCAGAGCCTGCTGCCAGGAGCTCCGTGCTTTCTGCAGCGCACCCAATTCCAGATTCAAAAATGTGTCCATAAAGTAAAGCCAACCCGAGCCAAAAAGCATTCCACGGCTCGAAGGCAAGCCATATTTGCTCTCTGTTGCCTTGAATACTTCGAGTCCGCGATCAACCAGTCTCATTGTCACTTCCGGTGACGACATGCCCTGACGCGCGTATGCAGAAACGAGGAACATGTGGGCAGAGCTGGCAAAAAATTGGTATTCAATTGGAACTTCAAGCGAGCCGAGAGAATCGTAGAAGGCATCGAGAAGAATCTCAAAGGTCTGAGCAAATAGCCGAAATTCAACAACCGAGGCCGCATCCGACACGATCCCCGCAATCCGTATAAAGGTTTTGAGCGGCCAGGATACCAGTGGAAGATCACTTTTCTCGTTAATGCATATATCGAGACAATTGAGCATGTTTGGAAAATTCGCCATTCCCAACTCATAAAGGTGATCAGACGGTCCTCCCCGATCGACGCGAGCGTGCCAACGAACTTGCACAGTTCCCACCACGGATGTCACGAAAAGTTCAAGCCACTCAGGCCCCAGAGCGAGATCAGAGATGTTTCCAAAGGGTTCTGTCTTTGCCCCTTCCGTCAGGCCGGGTAAAGAATGTCCGCGTCCATATGTATGTGGCAGTCGCGAGTAGATAGACAGCATCGGATGGATTGACGAAGGTCCAGCTCTGCCAAGTGTATCGTCATCTTGATCCATATACCCAAGATCTTGGAGAGACTCAAAGATCCTGAGTAATGTTGAAATTGACTCATCATCAAGTGGCAAGCTGCTGCCATGGGCCCGGAGATGGAAGAAAGGGAACAATGTCACTATCACAGTTGCAGAACCTCCTTCATGCCAGAAAGAACCCAAGAGTGAGGTGAGTGGCTGGCAATAATCTGGTACATCATCTAGCAGATCAGAAATCTCCCGTAAGTGTGGCCCGCTTTGGATGTCTATGGCTCCATGCCGGCGCGGCAAAGAGCGAAGATTGTCATACAAAATATGCAGAGGGACATGGACGCCCTCAAGCAACTTCAAGGCTCCAGGCAGCCCTTGGAATAAATTGATAATCAACTCCAGGCCGTCCATATCTTGACTGATCATTTCCTTGCCCGCAACATCACTTTTTCCGCGCATTCCCTGGATCATTTCAATCGCATCCGCCATCTCGAGGCCCGGAAGCTCGAATACTCCGTTCGAAACGCTGTATCCAAGCTTTTCCTGAGCCCAGGAAAATGATCGGCAGCCAACGAGGACAAGGTATGTTGGCTGATCTCGAGGACAGGTATGCACAAAGTCAAACAGGGTCTTGGCAAGCTTATTGAATATGGCTTTGAGAGACTTGCTCATAGCACCTTTCAAAGTGTCCGAGTGGGACACATTCAGATTATCAAAAATGATGAAGGTCGGTACCTTTCTCAAAATATCGAGAAAACCCCCCACGAGACCAGCCTTATCTGTTAACCATACATCCAGTATATGTGCGCTCACAACGGACTTTGAACCTGTTCGTATTAGATTCTCGGAGAGCTTTCTTATGAGGATGCGGATAAGATCTGTCAGACTTTCCATCTTCTCCGCGGCCATGTCTAGATAGAGAATCGCCTCAACACGAGATGTCTCTTGCCACAGAGAGGACACATATTGAACAAAGCTCGATTTCCCTGAACCTCGGGGGCCGTACAAATATAAAAGACGCTCTTGTATCAGCGATCGCTCAAATCGTAGAACATCGAAGTCCCGACCAATCAATGGAGGGCTACTCCGAGGCTCCACAGGACGGTCTGTTTGAAGGACAGAAACAGCGACAGAGCCATATACGACAGGAACAAACCAGTCCATGAGCGGTTTTTGTAGTCCGAAGCGTGCACTGCGCTCTGGTGAGCATCTCAACAATGTTCGTGCTCTGCGGGCCGAGGCTGAAAATGAACAACCGGTGACAAGAAGACTGGTATAGAATTCGCGGAGGAACATTGAAGCAGCAGAGCTGGATATCTTGAATGACATCGCCACCACATTTCGGATATCTCCTTTGCAAAATACTTTTGCGATATTTGCATCATCTCCCATCCCAGCCCTAGCAGACTCGCAAGCATTAAGCACAACGAAAGGTACTTGGTACCGCTGCAGAATCGCCGCTATTTTTTGTACCCTTTCGGGTTTTGTTCTCCCCTCGCTAGGATGAGAGAAGTAGAGGAACGCGTATTTTTTCTTTTCCAGCGCTCCCGACCGAGCGCCAATCTTGCCGTGGAGGTCGAAATGCACGACGTGGAAGTATCCCGGGCCATGTTGACGTTCTGAAGCCGCCAGATGATCTTCGAATGCTTTGAGGGTGCCAGGCCTGACAATTTCGATATTCATGTGGACTCTCCTGTGGTTCCGCTCAAGGTCACGCTTGATGTTGAGGAGAATATCTGTCGCGAGAAATGGGCTGATATCGTGGTAGAGAGCGGCATTTCTATTTGTGTCTCGAGCCACCACAAGCAGAATATTGATTGTAGATTCTTGCTGTTTAAATGCGACCTCTCGTATCGGCTGCCTTGGATTCTCAGTACCTTTTAGGGATCTGACAACCGTAACAGTCTGGAAGTCGGCGTTAAAAAGCTGGGGATCTTCCAAAAGTTCCCAGAAAAGCTGATGAATTGTATGAGAATTTGCTTCAGAATCGACCACCTCAATCGCCAATTCCCAGCCTTCTTCCGTATTCGTGTCCAGATTTACCCGCGTTTCAACAAGGCTTCTGAGCTGCAACTGTTCCAGAATGCTGGCAGCGTATACAGATAACAGCCGTAGCGCTTCTCGAGATTCAAGTTCTTCATACGGGTTCTGCTGAATAAATCGCTCTAAGTACCAACGGCTTTTGACGTGCTCCTCCGAAGTCAAAGGATCTGACACCTCGACATTTCGAGCAATCACTGCATGGCAATGGAAATATCGACAAGCCAGCCAATTTTGCCTTCTGCATCGCATGGCAAGACTTTATCGCAAGTTTTAATTGTGACTTGTATTTGATTGCTCGAGATCATCGTGTGTGATCATCAACGGTCGGGGATACGTTGGTGAAGATTCAGAATTGTCGCGAGTTCGAGTTGCCATATGGAATTTCATTAATGAGCACGAATAAGCACTAATTTATAGTGGAAACTTTGGTTAGGCACCACGTTTCTTGTTACCAACCGATAAGCGCCGTGGCGTTTGTGCTGATTCAAAACTTTCGGTGTTCGTGTTGATTGCCGCATCCTTCCATTATTCAGCTCTCCTCCTCTTCCGTCCCAACAAGTCTGCAACCTTTTACCACAGAAAATCAGCAGCTTTGTCAACAGCATGAGGAACCGATATTTTCTCCTTGATGAAACGATTTCAGCCAAGGAGATCAATCGGATGCTGTGCCGGGTGGTGGTGGATAAACTGCTTCCACTCCATCACTTTGCTCCCTCAGAGCCACTGTTCACTGAAGAACCAAGCCACCACACAAACGATATCATTCCTAATATTCTCCCCGAGCCTTATATCTCCACGTCCAGGCAGGACTTCGTCACAAATGTGCAACGCTCCGATATTGCGTCAACCTTAACTACCTACCTTGGGTTAAATCTCTCTCATGTGGATCAGCGAAGTGTCTCTCTACAGAGCGAGTCGGTCAAACGATATACGCTAGCAAATCCAGCGCAGTATTTTGACCGCTTGATTTCTGATGAGCTTTATGCTCGGGATGTCGCCAACCTCTTGCAGAAGGCCAGAGGAAAGGGTTTCCTCGTCGTTGGGTTTCTCACAGTCACTGGGGCCGTGTGGAAGCGCACGAAGGCTCAGAAGCACTCTACTGGGGCCAGAGTTAGCATCCCTATTGGCGATATCACAGGTATACCTGGAATAGGAACTCAAGCTGGATTGGACGTTGGATTGAGTATTGGAAATGAACATGGAACTCGCGCCCAGTGCACAATGCATGTAGCGGGAGAGGAGATTTTCGCGATTGCTTACTGCGAGGTCAAGTTGAAACGGGAGTTCAGTAGGAATGCTCCGCATTTGATAAAGAAGACGCTAGCTTTTGGGCAGGCTAAGCGAACCAAAGGTCATCATCTAACTTTCGGAGACGATGAAAGTGAAGTAGAGCCAAACTCTGACGAGGAAGATGTCATAGGGAAGGGGTGTGTTCTTCTTGTTGATGAGGACGACGAGGATCCAACCACTACTCAAATGTACGAGGCGGGAGAGTTTCAGCTAAATTAGAGCATCCTACTTACCCAAAAGTATCTTTGAGGCCTGAGCAATTAAATGAATGATCGATGCACGGCTATCACTCTGAGTTGAATGACACCACATGTGATGTTGATGCTCAGTGGTGAGTTTTGGGCCGTCCTCTCTTCCCATATTTAGAGTAAAAGGTCAGATTGTTCTTATCGGAGCCCGGATGGTCTAGTGGTATGATTCTCGCTTTGGGTGCGAGAGGTCCCGCGTTCGAATCGCGGTTCGGGCCTTCCTTTTTTGGAGTAATTGTTTTTACTCCTTCTTTTCGGTCTATTAAGGCATCAACCTGCTAGCCGCTTATTTTACGTAATCTTAGGAGCACCCATTCAGAGAAGGGTTCTTACTCGTATCACTATAGGGGTGAGAGTCTGGTCTCCAGTCTCCAGAATTCTCTCTTATCTCACTCACACTCACCCTAGTAGCACTTTCGTTGCCATTTTAACGAAAAGGGTGTAGAAAGAATTGGCTGAGCAGAGTATGTAGCTTACGTACGGCTGAGAGGACGGGAAGTCATGTTCTTACTACACCCTATGGTGATATGAGCCGGAGCATTCTGTAAAAAAAGATTCGCAGAAAATAACACGACGTCCACTCCATTTTCTATTTTTGTAGCTTTTATGCACTTTCTCCCGTTCAGGCTTCTTCTAGTCAACTCCCATAAGAAAAATCTAAACTGTCTTTCAAAGCCAGACATTCTGGAAGTTTAATCGCAGAAAACGGGAAGATAAAACTATGTGAAATTCTTGAGTCTATGGTGGCAGGGAAACCTCGGATTAGGACAGGTTCAAAAAAGGATGCGGATAAAGAAGCTTCCGATCGAGATAGTGCGTTCCAACGTCCACTACGTCTTATGAAAACAAACGGGTCCACAGCTTTCCAGTAATTACATCAGCATATACCTCTCTCGGGCCGCAAAATTCGATACTCAAGAAATACTCAAGAAGTGCTTGTAAAGCGATCTCAAATCGACCGAAAGAAGCATGCATTGCTTTGTCTTAGATTACTTTTCTGTCTCCTCCATCAAACGATATCGTTTTCCAAAATCGATCATCTATGACAATAGGGTTCCGGGGAAAGCGTCTGCGGACTCGGCAGGTTGTTAATTGTGGTCATGCACGCTTTAATTTCTATGAGTAATTGAATGAACTGTCATACGATGTGCAGGCAAAACTTATACGCAAGCCGTACAGCAAAAGATACGTTTATATTCCTGTATCGATGTACTACTCCCAAGGAATCATAACATCATTCATTGTGGGCCCTTCCCAATGATCCCCTCCAAGAAGTCAAAGCCTTGCCGCTGCAACCACCAAGTTTCCGACCCGACCTTCATCATCGCCGCAAAAGTGTGCTCCTCGTTGGGAACCTCCGTCATTCCACATTGTACCCCAGCATCCTGTAGCCTCTTCAAAAGCTCGCGACTCAGCTCAATTGGCACCATAGTATCTGCCTGTCCATGGACAATATATGTTGGCGGGAAGCTAGCTGAGACATTCTGCACAGGATCAACTTTCTTGAAGTCTGGGTCACTGCCCTTTGACTCCGGGTAGATTGCGGAAAGCACAGTTCCCGAGGCGATTTGCGTGAATGCGAAAGCGTCGCGAGGCTTTGAAAAATCGGGGCCCTTGGAGACTCCAGATTCAGTCTGCCCTTCGAGGGATACCGAGCTGTCGGTTGGGATAGGATTCTGGTCGTAGACCTTGTTGAGGAAGGATTCGGACAGATTGGGAGGCAATTTACCTGCGACATGGGGCAAGGGCTTGGTCCAGAGGGGATCTGTGAAGTGCACGGCACCGTAAAGAGATAAAATGGCCTTTGCAGGCTTGGGGACGTTGAAACCCTGAGTCCAGATTAGGTATGGATCAAGATAGAGTCGACAACATGGCCTTCTTGAATGAAACAGATTTTCATTTAACTCACCAATCCCAGTGCGAGAGTTCCGCCCGAAGATGTTCCGAAAGCAGCAACGTTCTCCAAATCTGCGCGGTAAGCCCCTTGATCCTTGAGAACAGTGTCCAAGTGCCCATCATACACCCATGATAGCAGATCGCGGATATCCTGCATAGGACCCTCTAGCAGGTTTATACCAGGACATAGTCGGTGGTTAGGAACGAGCACTATCCAGCCGCGCTCGAGACAGTCGTTGACCTGCGGCAGGGAGACCATGCGAGAGTGGCCAAGCATGAAAGCCCCGCCATGAATGTCAATAACTGGAGTTGTATCAGTATCGTTGGACGCAACTACTTGATAGTACAGTGCACATAAAGATATATTTTCCTGCAGGGATAAAGGGAGACTCACCAACAGGATACTTTTGCGGAGAAGCCGAGGTGTTAGGCGGGAGATACAGCTCCGTTGTGATTTTGCTGGCGTCAACCTCCTTGTAGAGGACTGTGAGAGGGTTCTCGAGAGACATTGTGGGAGATGTTTCGAGTCTATGTGGGCTCTGGGTAGCGATGTTCTGCAGGCATAAATCTATCGCTTAAGGCTATGGAGGGGCACGCGTTATATAAACCTTGATCATCGGCAAATCCCCGGGCTGGGGAACTCGGCTTTTCCGGGAGGTCGGATGTGCGTGGCACTTCGGAGCGAAACTGGGCCGATCACCGGCTTCTCATTGTTAGTAGTGTTATAGTAACCTTAACAAAACAGGTAGTGCGTAACTTCACCTGAATTTATTCTATCATTGCAGGGGGTGACGTGTCCCACAATACAGTCAAGTAAAATCTACTATTAATTTAGAAATATAGTTTGTTTTTATCTTGATAATAGCACATACGACCATAGGGTGTGGAGAACAGGGCTTCCCGTCCGCTCAGCCGTACTTAAGCCACACGCCGGCCAGTTAGTAGTATGGTGGGTGACCACATGCGAATCCTGGCTGTTGTATGTTTTTGTTCACCTGTTTTTGTTGATTCGTCGGGACGGATGCCCTTGCCCCTTTACTCTTCAGCCCCTTTAGGCCCGTCCACCTGAATACCCTGAAGGCTCTCTATTCTTCATCTGATCGCCCTAAAGGCCCCTAAAGCGCTAACGTAGCTCCTCCGCTAAACTTTCCCTCTTACCTACCCTCCTATCTCTCTCCCTTATCTTTAGGGAGCTAAAGTCTTCTCCTAGTCGGAGCTAACCCTAGAAAATAGATTTACGGTAGCTATTATAACCGTCTAGTCTAGTCTTAGATATCTCTTCTTTAAGGATATAGTAAAGATTCTAACTAATGAGGTGTATATACGAACAGTTTAACGCGATATAGATAAGGAAAATTTATTTAAACTTATCCGTAACCTAATATATAGTCTACTACTCTACTTCCCTAATCAAAGTGATTTAAATTAGTAATTGTTGGCTATGCGTCTGAGATCCCAGGTCCGCGTCAACCAGGGGAATCATAGACCAATCAGCAAAAAGACAAGGAAGCAAGTCCCACTAGGCCAAACCGTCCACCAAGACTTCTGAATACTCAGAAGTCTTTAGCACGCGGTTTATATACTAATGATCCGCGGGCCTCGCGGATCTCAACGGCCTCTAGGTCGTACTACTTTCCATCGTACTATAACTAAATAGCTATTTCTTATACTATAAATTCCTAGATACTGTTATGGAATTATCTTAAGAGATATAGGGCAAGATGCCTAAACCGTCATGCAGCATATCAAGCCAGATTCATAAGGCCTATACAAGATGGCTGAATCTCTATAAGCTTTATGCTATACCATCATCACTGCGGTCAATGACACGATCTACATCATCACTACAGTCAATGACATCGTACAATCAAGCAATCACCGATCAAACAGCTACTGTATGAGATCACTATGCATCTAGATCTGTCTGCATGAGATCATCATGCATCATCTAGAACGATCACATGCAAGAGACAAGCTGATTATAAATATGCCCTGCTTTCTCTACCAAGATAATAATTACGGATAACACAGACAAGCAAGATTCAATACAATCAACCAAGCTTCAGTCCTACTTTACTTTTCTCTCATCTTATGATTCTAAGCCGAATTGAACTTATCCTTCCTATTCAATCAAGAGGAAGAAAGATTAATCGATCTTATTTAATCATCTTTAATTTATCTTCCTCTTTACCAACCTACGCAGCATCGCTTGCTCACATATCTACTAGTCAGGGTAGATGGCCTGCGAATCAGGTAGGAGAAAAGCACCAGGTGAAATGGTAACAGAAGCTGTTTCTTGAGACCCTCTAATAACCACCTCTTACGATTACCCTTATATACATGGGGGGAAGGCCTAGAAGTTTGTATAAAAGAGAAGGGTGTACAGAGAGAGGGGGTGTTCAGGCCTCTGACCTTCATAAAAGAAGGGTGACGCAGTTAGCACCACCGCAAAATACTTGCGGCACCACCTGGTGCCTGAATTTCTGCCAAGGTGCCTGAATTTTGCCAAGCCAGTTAAAGTATTTACCATCGATTTAACCACATAATCTTTCATACGCACACACACCCTTTTCTCCTCGGCCGGCCCTTCTATTTAATTTAAATCTCCTCTAAGGATAAAGGGAAATCGATTATTATCTACCCCGCTAGCTTATCGCCGCTAATAGAGGCGTTACTATTATCGTCCGAATCTAGGCTATCCTAAGCCTCGCGAACTACCTCCGAAAAACTATCGAAAAAGGCTCGCTTCCCTAAAGTCTAAGTAATATAATCCTCGTTACTAGGTAGTAGGCAAAGGAGTTACTTTAAAAAACGCTCCGCCTCCTACTTAGTAGTATCGAAAAACTAGGAGTAGGAACGGGGAGAAGCTTAGTTCGACGAGCTATAAGAAACGCGTTATAATTAGCCTAGATTTACTATCGAAACTGTCAACATTTCGTGTACGTATAGTGGGGTAGAAGGTTGGCACGGTCACATGATATATCCAATAGGCCAAAAATGCTCCATGGGCTACATCTTTAGCTTTCTTAGATATATATCGATCAACCGTGCTATTCACCTGCTGGTGTTCACTCATAATAGCTCTTACAAGAGGTGTTAACACTATCAGAAGAAGTATATCCCCTTATATGATGACATAGGGTGCTACCTGCCGACAGAAACCGTAGTTAGAGTATATCAAAACCTACGCTTTAGGTAGTCTTTAATCGTTTGAAAACCGAAAAATTTGGCGTAACCTGACTGCGATCTGATAATGCGGAAAGTTTCGCGTATGTACTATCACTATCCGGAATATGCAGAAACATAGATGAAGTCTCTTCGTGGGCAGACCAAGGGAAGAAGATTGATGGATTGCGGGAAAAATGGTATTATGTCTGGGAACTTGCGTCTTCAAGTTGATTTTACCGTACAAGTTTTTGGCAGGCCACCTACATCCGGAAAAATCCCAGTCTCTAGTCATGTCCAGGATGCTTCCCTCCCTCTTCCTTCGTTTGTTTCAAGGCATGGTTCCTAAGAATGAAAAGGAAAATAAATGAGCGCGAAGGACAAGGGGGCAGATTGAGCTGCCGTATGGCGGTTTAACAAAGTACTCGAGTTACCTACAATACTGGAGCCCAGCTATCCCCCACATATTACTTTCAAACGTTTAAAAATAGGTAGGACTCAATCTAGGCCATTCTCTCGTTACTATATCGAAAAGGTCCTCATTTTCTCACGTTAAGTACCCTCTCTTAAATCGTCTGTATTTCGATAACATCGCAAATGAACATAGGGGCCTTGGCTGAAAGTGTGCCAGAACATGTGTGATCCACAGGCACCCTGCAAAGTGCGAGGCCGAAGGAGGTTCACATAGCTCATTGTATATCCAAGGTTACGAGGGCTGGATTTAGAACAACAGTGGTAATTCAATGTAATTGTCAGATGCATAGAAGTAAAATTGTAATTGTTGTCTGCTTGAGACTTCTATATAAAACGTAAGCCGCCGCCAACCATACACCAATCCTTGGTTCCATATCGGAAGCCTCGACAGATCCCATTCCTTGCTGTGAAAGGTTGCCTTCTCTTCCCCAAGTCTGGCCAACCCCAGTGCAAATGCAGATTCTCCGACTAGATTAGAGCTCCGACAGCCACACACGGCAGTCCCAGACCAATCAAATCTCCGCTCTACGTGATCGATTAGTACCTGATGCAAGATACAGAAGGAATTTACTCACCGCACTGGAGGGCGAATTCTGGCAGCAGGCAATGTTCTGCTGGCAGTGCTTCTTAATCAAGTCTTGCACGCCAAGAGCGAAGATGAGTGGAACTACAAGATATTAGTATATTCTCGAGATAAGTAAGGTTGTACAGACCTTGTGCATCAAGCTGTGAGCACTGGTCGAAGAGACCAAGACCGCTAGCTCCCGAACCAGTACCGACAAGATGGCTAAGAGTACCGGCAAGAATGCCGTCGTTGACATCAGTAGTGTCTCCAGCGTAGGTCGCATGATTACAGCAGGAGAGCTGTGCTTGGTCGCCACATTTAGCCTGGGCCTGCTTGACAGTCATGTTCTCGGGAACAGGGAATCGAATCTGGGTATTTCCCTTGTTACCGACGCCATTGGCGTTACCAACACCACCTGCAGAGGGGCCAACAGGTGGCAACGCAGCCACAGTAGCAGCGAGGCTGAGAATGGCGGTGAGAGCGAACTGCATTTCGATGGGTTCAAATTCAGGCGAGAGATTCAATGAAACGAGACAGAAGTAGGCTGAGCTTTTGAGGAATGAAACGCATTCGAGGAAGTGCTCGTGCAGTACAAAAGATGCCGATGGTGATAATTGGTTACTCTTTTATACTCTCTCATGGCATAGTCAGTGGGTCGTAATTAGTTAGCTAATTTATCCCACATCCTTTATTTGTTTTGTGTTAAGACTGAAGAATTTTGCCCAATCTCCGTCCGGAATGTTGGATATGCAAGGAAACCACAGGAGGCGAATCATTTGAAACCCTCCACCTCTTGGAGCAGCGCAAGCTCAAGAATGCTCCCATAGGACCCCAATTATACAGTAGACTTAAAGGTTAAATTGTATAATTCCTTGTTCGTGAGAGAGCTTCCTCAGCAATCTCGCCAGACCTCCCAATATTTTCCAATCAGCAAGGGTTGCTGATCGAAGTTTTTCCCTGTCTGGCTCAGTAGGAAGCAAATTGTTACTACCTTGGCGAGAGGGATATATTTGAGGATCATCATAATTTATGGACAATGTCTGGATATCGGACCTGTTGTTCGCTGCTGCGCAGGCCATCCTCCGAATATCGAACATACCTTCTATCCTAATAATTGGCGAGTGAGTCTTCAGAGCATTGTCTCTGAATGAGTCAAGAAGATATCTCTCTTCAGTCAATCACGCTCGACTGATGGGTCTCATCTAAGACTTTCAAGCACCACAGTCACCAAGGCATGTGACCAGGGTAGGATCAGATTACTAGGACGGAGTAATGTGCAATGTCTTTCTTTTGAGGATGTCTTCTTTATCGCAGGGCTCTTACAAGAGCCACTGACGTTTGACATGTTCAAATGTTTAACCCTTGGAAGGGATTTCGCGAGATTAACGTGCAACCAATCCTAGCCAACGATAAGCAGGGCGTCCCTGCCCTCTCGTTCTGGCGTCCTGGTCCTAAACCACGAACAAGGATTGAGAAACGCAGACTCGATCCATTGTACTTTCTCCAAGTTGACTACCTTGTTATCTGAGTCTGACTCTTAGAAGTAATGCCCTTGTAATTGTGGCTCGAACAGGGGTTCATTTAGCCTTACTTCAGAGTTGCGGGGGCAGTTTCGCCTCACTGTAAGTCTTGATCCGCTAAAAAGTTCTCGCGTTTCTACAAAATATGTTCATAGTGTTGCCCTTGTTCTCGTAAGGCGTACGCGGTGGGATCGTGATTTCATCTGTTACTAAGCCGATGATGTGCAACGTGGAGTTTAACGTAATTCCCGGCCGTCCTAGACACCCCAAAACATCATACTAAATGCAATTTCTTTGGTCACAGTATATCAACAACAAGAAGTTAGTTTTTTTCGATTTTTAATAGTATAGCATTTCTTAGCATTAGAAATAGCATGGCATAACTAAGGTATACGGAAAATTAATATTTACTTGCGTTACCAAAAATACGCTCCAGTCTAGCGACGCCGATATATATCTCCATAGTGTGAAGCCTTAAAAATTCTTATTAGCCTAGTAAATGTATTTGGAGAGACATATTAAGTACTACGATAACTTTATGCCTAGTACTAAGCCTTGAGTGTTGAAAAACCAAGTTGCAAAATATCGCATTTACTATAGTGTTTTGGGTGTCCAGGACGGCCGGGTGTCCAGATCAGATCGGCCGGGAATTACGTTAATTCATTTCTTCAATAGAGATCGAGCTTCCCGTCCAACGAAAAGTAGTTGAAGAGATGTGCGCCGGGTGGTTTTTTTTTTGAACCAAGGGAAGAGATTCCCACACCAGAACAAGGTGTGGTATAAAGCTGAAAGATATCACTCATTGTCCTTGGTGGTGAAGATGGCTTGTAGTTGCGATAGATACACGACCGTCGCACTACACACTAAGCCTAATTGGGAGCCCCACCAAAAAGTAACCTTCGACATTTTCATAAATCCTGCCAAGCCCTTATGTATGCACATTCCCATACATAAGCGCTTTTCGCGGTTGTCCTCAGTGTCTGCCGCTACTTTATCACGTGACCCACCTTAGTAGACCTCTGTTTTCAAAACAATCTACATACCAACTACCCCTACATACCAAACCCCTTCTTCCACCACTACTTTCTACTCACCCCCCCCCCCCCCGGGGTCTACTACAATCTACTAACTTTCTCTTCCTTCTAGGCCCTATCCAAATCGTTCCAAATCGCTCAAATCCGCGGAGTTTTCGAAACAGCCTCTCTTTCCTATTCTAGAAATGACCCTTCTTCCACCGCAGAACAACTGGCTTATCCCGGTCGAAACTAGCAAGGAAGCTAGGGCGATCCTCAACGAATTCGCTGCCCGGCAGGGCTACGCTATCACTGTCAAGAGCTCAAATAGCCGCGCAGTACAGTTACACTGCGATCGCAGCGGGTAGGCCCGTAGATCTTCGAAGCAAGCCAATAGGCCCTCTCGCGATAGGCCCTCTCGGGCGTGTGGCTGCCGATTCTCTGCTTATATGAAGAAGGTCCCCGGGGGTGGTTCTTTACCGTTAAGGACCCCTCTCATAGTGGCCATATTGCCTCAGAACCAGCTGCACACCTAATACACCGCCGCCACTAATTAGCCAATCTCAAAGAGCGTGTGCTTCACAAGCCTGGTGCGGACGTGGAGGACCCATATAAAGCCCAGATCCGCCTTAACGCAAGAGATCTCCGGAATCTTCGCTACCGCGCCCAAAAGCAACTTCTTAAGGGCCGCTAACTACTTCTACTCTTCTTTTAGGTCTACAAGATTGGGATATTTTTTGGAAGAAGGAGGATAGGGGTTCTCAACGGGTACAACATGTCTTCTGCGCATCTCATTCTGGCCTTAACCTTCTGACTAGATTTCCCTCTTTGCTTTGGATTGATGCTACATATAAGACGAATTGCTATAAAATGCCTATGGTTAATATCGTTAGTAGGTCAGCAAATGGCAAAACCTTCTATATTGCATGCACTTTCGTCTCTTATGAGAGAGAATCTGCCTACTAATAGGTCCTAGAGACCCTACGAGATCTCCTGTATACGCGTTCGATTCCTCTTCCTGTCACTATCTTTTCTGACGATGCAAAGAGCTTACTAGCCGCTCTTGCTACTATCCTTCCTACTATAATCTCTCTGTTATGTGTGTGGCATATACAGATGAACATTGAGACTCGATTGCGACCGATGATTGCACAGTATCTCCTTCTTAAGAAGGATGGGGATATCCGAGATGAAATAAACTCGTGCTGGAGTTCCGCAAAGAAGCTCTTCAATAAAGTCATCTTTGCACTAATAATCGCAGAGATGGAGGCTTCATGGCAAAGCTTTAAAGAGGAATACGCCTATGAGGCTTATGCAGAAGCGATTCAATATATCACTGACTAGTGGATGGTTGATGGTGTAAAGCAACGCTTCCTTCGCTGTTACACTAACCAGACCCTCCACTTCGGCGAAACTGCCTCATGAAGGGTAGAGGGCGCACATGCATATCTTAAGCGATTTATTAGATGGTCAACATGCGATTTATTGACTGTCATGATGGCGATTCGAACCGCGGTGGCTACTCGGCATATTTCTATTAATCAATCGATTGTGGAAGATCGCCAGATGGTGCTAGAGCGCCTAGCAACTGCACTATTTCGGTCAGTCCTAGGCTGGATAGCCCCGAAAGCCCTTTTGATAGTAGCTAGGCTACTAGAGGAACACCAACAGGGTAAGGTGGCAGATTGCACTCATTACCATCGGCAGTCACTCGGATTACTATGTATCTATGAGATCTTGGTGGCTAAAGAAGCCTATCAAGCTCTCACGAGGGATCAATTTCACGTACAGTGGTGGTTGCGCACTTCACTTGAAGACGATTACCAGCTTCTTAACAGAGACAACGTGCTTGAAATCGATGACCCAGCCACTGCGACCACGTCTGGGCGCCCCAGGGGGCGAGCCAACCATCCTCGCAAGAACCCCAAAGCAGCCACAGAGGAAACCACCAAGAACGCTACCAGCAAGAAGGCCCCTAGCAAGAAGGCTACTGCCAAAACCAGTACCAAAACCACCCAATTATCCCGGTCAACTCGGCAATATCCCTCGAGATTTGAAACTGTGGCGAAGCGTACAGCTCGTATAGGGCGTGAGGGACGCGGAGGGTGAAGAGAGCGAGGGTGATTTAGCCTATGTACAGTAGATTAGCTTCCGAATTAGGAAACAGTATCTCTTTCAAAAACTCTGCAGATTTAAGTGGTTTAGATAACTGTAAGGCCTTCGGCATGAGAGGGTAGTAGAAAGTGGTGGTGGTAGAAGGGGTTTGGTATGTTGGGGTAGTTGGTATGTAGATTGTTTTGAAAACAAAGGTCTACTGAGGCGGGTCACGTGATAAAGTAGCGGCAGACACTGAGGACAACCGCGAAAAGCGCTTATGTATGGGAATGTGCATACATAAGGGCTTGGCAGGATTTATGAAAATGTCGAAGTTACTTTTTGGTGGGGCTCCCAATTAGGCTTAGTGTGTAGTGCGACGGTCGTTTTTTGTCGTGCGGTTAACTAAATCCTATATAAACATCATTCTGTATTATCTTCACTCTCCATGCGAGAGTTGGCTTCCGAACCGTCTCACTCCGTATCATATCTTGTTGCAAATCAAAAGGAAAGTTGTGTTTTATTGTTATGCTGCTTTTTGAGTACACAAGAGCTTCCATATACAAGAAAAGGCCATGTCGGGACATATCCTTCCATTAAAACAACTGATAGATCACATTTCTGTGCTTAGTTGACGTAACTGTGCGCCAAGCTGCGGCTCCGGCGTATGGAATTCAGGGGTATCTTTGAACCTGAACTGGAACACACATCTACATACATGAATCAATCAACCTTTGTTTTAGAAGCATAAACTGTTCACCTAACTGTGTACACAGTAGCTAGCTGGTGACACCAACAGGCCAATTTTGACTAGGGTCGGTTGTGTGTAAAAAAGTGGGGAATTAGTTTCAACGTTGGCGTTTTGAAGGATTATTACAGCAGAAAGCCCCGGGACACGTGATTCGATCAAAATACCAAGCTGAGACTCACCGATTCAAAAGGGCCCTAGGGGTCTGATGGAGTGCATATTTACCTCGGAGCTACAATCAACTCTCTTGTGTTGATAGTCGATCGAACTCATAATGTGAACCGAGTGAGGATTCGGAACTATCACGTGATAAATGGAGTGCTCAGAAGTGAAGACAAGGCAAAATTCTTGACGTCTACGCATCGGCTGTATCTCAACCCTTGACTGTCGATTAATTTCCGATTCATTCTGCAACCTGCAAATTGGTTGTCGGCAATTTGGCGGTATCAGCCAAGGGGTGAATTTCGCTGGCAGAGACTTCCCGCATAGTGAGGGGAACTAGGACCCTTACCCCATTTATTGGCGCACGCGGTAAGGGGGTCTTTTCTTTTTTTATTTTAACTGAAAATTTCCCAAGGCGGTACGAAACGAGGAATTGGAATGTCTCCCCAAAGGCCTGACGGAATATATAAAGGGTATTGTTGTCGCTTGGGAAAGGCCCCGCAGGTTAATATCTTCTTCATGCCAGATGTGTTTTGCTGTTGCGTGAGAACCGAGCGCCGTGAACCACTTTGTGATTTGTGATGAACATCGCTGAGTTCGATCTCCGTTCAGTCTTGAACAACAAATGGTATAACATCGATGCCAATTTCAAATCTAGTGTTGCTCGACAATGTTCGTGACTTTGTATTTGCACTACAAGATGAGTAATCATTCCGTTTCCGAGGCCAGAAAATCCATGAAGCAATTGTTCCATATGACTACCAATCTACCCAGACGCTGTATGATCGATTATCCACAATAATGTGGCCACGATGGGTTCGATCTACAACGCCAGCCCTTGTGTACGGTCATCACGTACCATCAGATAACTCCCAGGGAAGCTGAGCCTGGTCACCACACTGGAACTGCCTGTATTTTTTACATACGGTGTTATTGACATGTCGTTCTTTTTTAATTTTTTATTTACATATTCAGCCAACAACCCGAGGTCCAGTGTGCTGAGCAGGCTCAGCTATTTTGTGGCGGCAAAATAAAAACCGATAACGTCTATAAAATTAAGATCGACTTTGCGAAGTCTGATTCCGAATATATTCAAGCATGTATACAAAGATGTGAATATTGTCAAGGCTTGGGACCTCTCAGTTTACTCAATACTTTTAATCTACCTCGGTCATGTCAATTGACGTTTAGGCTGAGGTCTTGAAACAGAATGTTTTTATAGGGGTTGGACGATGAAAACAAGTCGTTAGACTTTTTAGCCGTCGACAGAATTTCTTCAAGTGTTTGACTGAATCTTTGTATCACTTGAAATAGAATGACTGAAACTACGAATATGGCAATGAGGCACCAAAAGGAGAGGAATAAAATTTTAATCTGATCTCGGGAAATGTGAAGGGAGAATAAACAAAAAAGACTGCAGGGACCTGACCTTATATGAGTCTTGAACCAAGTCTCGCCAGGGAAGAGTGCACCAGGAAGGAATCACTGGTCCTGTGGTCCATAAAAAGCTGATTGAGAAAGATGGATAAATCACGACACATGCCCTTTCCCATCCTATTCCCCATCTCCAGTCAACTTGTGCTCCGCGATGCTGTTCAACCAACCTCTCTTACCCCCTTTCGTAACCAAAGACATTCTTAAGAGCCTTCCTTGGCACAATAGCCTACAATGCTCTATATAACCATCCAGGAGAATCAGATCATTAATCAAGCTGTAATGGAGTAGATCGTGGAATTGCAGTCGCACCTTCGCCGGGCTGAATTATTAGGAATTATAACGAGTAGTGTAGTATATTTAGCCACCTGAGGAGAGAGTGAGGTGGCTAGCTGGTTTCTTCGTAGTACTGTTGAAAAAAGCAGCAAACCTGAAATTCCTTGTCAACTTTTATGGTCGTCGTAAAAAGCACCTTTATCATTTTTTGATAATCTACAAGAATACTCCTTCTTAGCATTTCTGGTATGATGGCGAGAATGAGGGGATAGGGTGCTAGGCTGGAGTGTAACAAGAGGAGAGAGGGAAGTGATATTTGCCCCCTCAGGAATGTTGACAGAAATGCTCAGGACCGTCCATATAAGACCCGTGTTCTCCTAACGCCTAACCATTGTTTCCTTACGCTAAGGCACAACTAAGTTCTCTTCTTGTTTCTCTTTGCATCTTTCTCCGTCGTGGTCAATATGCGCATCCTCAATTTCCCTCTGGTTCTTTTCGCCACGGGAGTCTTCGCGCTCCCACCCAACGCGGGAGAGAGCAATGGGAGTGGTGATGTCGGCAAGGGCAAGGGGCAGATTCGCTTCCCCGTCCCGGAAGGCATGACGGTGAAGGAGGCTCAGGCCAAGTGCGGCGACCAGGCACAGCTCTCCTGCTGTAATCATGCGACTTACGCTGGAGACACTACTGATGTCAACGAGGGCATTCTTGCCGGTACTCTTAGCCATCTTGTCGGTACTGGTTCGGGAGCTAGCGGTCTTGGTCTTTTCGACCAGTGCTCACAGCTTGATGCACATAGTATGTACAACCTTACTTATCTCGAGAATATACTAATATCTTGTAGTTCCAATCGTCGGTATCGCCGTGCAAGACTTGATTAAGAAGCACTGCCAGCAGAACATTGCCTGCTGCCAGAATTCGCCCTCCAGTGCGGTGAGTAAATTTCTTCCGTATCTTGCATCAGATACTAATCAATCATGTAGAGCGGAGATTTCATTGGTCTGGGACTGCCGTGTGTGGCTCTCGGAGCTCTGCTTTAGCTAGAGTCAACCTTCAGCGCTCAACTTTTCGGCCGGTATGATTGTTCATATTGGTGTAGTAATATACCATCGCTGTCTCTTGGTCTCATAATTAGTTGTTTTTGGGGCCGTATTTTATCAAAGAATTAATTTTTGAACTTATTGTTTTCATGTTTGCCTCCCGACCTCTCATCAGTTACCTCAATACGACTAACTTGAGAAATATGCGGAACAGTAGATGCCACCACCCAACGTGATGCCTGCACAGCCCCAACTTCGTTCATCCTCAAATTACCCCCTATCCTTTCAAGAAAGTGCTCGTTCTCACACTAAATCGATATTGTGCGGTCAGCCCTCTTTACGTTGCGATTTCTGCGAAACAAACTGAGGACCTTGGCTGATACTACCTTTTCAATCAAGCTTTCGACGTAAAACTGCAGCGATCGGTGAATCGGTGGCCAGTTGCTATTGTGCAACAATGCAAGCGCATATCAGGAATACAGCAACAGCAGCGGAAATAATTCCAAAATTTCGGTACGAGTAACAAATTCGGCTTTCGATTTATTTCAACTCCAAGTCTCTACCTTCGCGTACCCATCTACGGCGGACCATACAAGCAACCTGCAAAAGGGCCGCTTTTGGCCAACCGTCTCTGCCACCGGCTTATCTCCTCAATCCCGATTCCTAATTTGGAGCTGTCTGAACATGTATCTGGTAAGTTACCCATCTCTGTTAGCTGACTCGATTTCCCTCCGAGTCAACCAACTTAGTACAGTGATGTTCCATAAGTTTTTAACACACGGCCCCACATTTCCGCGACTATGTAATATTCTGCCCGCTAAATCCCATGTGATGGAGCTGAGTTTATCAACTCCCACGAATTAATTTCTTCATGGCCGTTAAAATCATGAGTTGACGATTTCGAGCAAATTAATTAGGTCCAAAATCTCTTAGTTTAGGGCGGGATAATAAAGTAAGCCGTATCTCTTGTACATAAATATAGTAGGCGGTGATGGCGGTGAGATCGGTGGGTCCAGCGTGTGTTAAAAACTTATGGAACATCACTCTACACTAAAGCAAGGGGTATTAGAAATGGTCTCCATCCCTTGCCGATCTCAATTAACATCACATGTGAGCTATGATCAAATCAAATTGATGCTTCTATTGTTATAAGCGACCGAAAATCTCAGCAATATGCCCTAAAGATGGGTTGTCCGACCACTTCGAGAAAAAGCTGCCTAGGTGCATCAAGTCAACCGAACTCGATAAAATCCCATTGGCCTCCGACAATACTATATATCTTCCACCATTCTGGTCAGGTCTTGCGACAGCCGACAGATGTGAGATAATACATGATGAGCTTGAAGCAAGCAACATGTTATCCCAATGCCAAGAATATCCAGATTCCAAAGACGGGCTCATGTCTGACGCAGCATACGAAGGGAGATCCAACGTGCAAATGGCGCTTCGGTGAGAGAAAGGGCTCGAATGATGAACATGGACTTTCTCCCAAGCTTCCCGGGAAAATGCGTTCGATAGTGGTCGTTTCTCAGGAGATTGATGCCTGGAGCAACTTCAAGCAGCATTGACGCCGTCCTGATTTCCACATCGCAAAAATTATGGTGTGTGACCCAGCAACCTCACGGACCATTTTGTCCACTGCGATAATAATTCCCACATCTATTCCGACTGCTGATAAATTCCCCTTATTCTCTGAAGATGGTCGTTCTTTAACAATAGCAATCACACCAGCAGCTCCAGCCAAAGCAATTTCGGAAAAAGAGCTTTCCCTGATGAGAATAATAACCCAAGTCTATCTTCGAATCCCAGATTTTAGTTGTTGGAGATCCGAATGTGATTCTCTGACTCTGTTCGTGCCAGATATTCCTTTTCAGAATCTCCATGATTGGCTGTGCTCCCATGGAGGACAGGAGCTGGCTCAGAGTCTGCTCAAGAGCTCTGGACCATCAACCCTTCTGGGGAAAATAATCCGTGACAAAGCATCCTCGAGCCCTAAAGCCCTGCTGGAGCGATGGAGAATTATTGATACTTCCGGGAGGTGAAATGAACTGTCAATCATTGCCACTACTCTCAAGCTTGCCTGCGACACTGCACCCGCTCAGAGCAAGGCGCAAAACCAAAGTTTACAAAATCAACACAGAATAGTCTTGTTGATAAGCTGCCTATGGAACATGTGACATTTGGTCTATGTATCCCGATGATTCTCGAAAAGACTGCGTGTTCTGCTGATAGCAAACACTTTAAGCGCAACCTTAAAAGTGCCGAGTTTACTCGTTTGGAGCTCATTGCAACCGCTATCACCACCCCTGCTACGCAGTCTGGTATGAGCTACCAGCGATATGAAATGATTGGGGACACGGTCTTAAAGTATCTGGTGTCATGCTGGTTATTTCAGATGAATCCCACTTGGAATGAGGGACGACTTTCCGCCGAGAGGGACAAATACGTCCGTAATGATTACCTTTCACAGTGGGCTTTAAAATCTAAGCTTGACAAGTTTATAGTGACCCAGAAACTTGCTACGAGACATTGGATCGCACCGCGTCTTTCGGAGTCCCATGAGTGGATGGTGGGATTGAGAAAGCCAAAAGATGTTTGCGCTGTTTAATACCTCGGATATGGTTGCCGTATCAAGAATCGCAGCACAGCCTGACAAATTATCACCCGGTCGAATGACAGCCATTAACATGCTGCGGTCAATTCATCTCTGCTTGGGTTTTTTTGTCTAAAGCAGCATGTCAATGTCTTTGCGCCGGAGACCGAGAGAGCCACAAGACATAAACGAGATGGAAGTTCAATGATAGTTCGGGCCCGTCTCTGCGAGTACATTCAATTTCAAGGAAACGACTCAAAAGGAGCACTCGATAGCTGCCTTAACAGATTTCGATTTCTAGAAAGCGAGATAGATCGGTATCTACACTGTCACTTAGCCAGCATATCCCTGGGGTCCCCTTGGTCGCTTATGTCCTAACAAGTTTCTATCTGACATCCTTGAAAGTATTTTGGGTGCTATTTATCTTGATTCGGGTGAATCACTTCATTTCTGTAGCAACTTTTTGGAGAAAATTGGGCTTTTGGATTACGTCGAACGAATGTGTACATATAATATAGATATTTCGCACCTACACCAGAATGGTCAATCTCTAGCATAAATTGCGAGACAACCGACATCAACCAGTATTGTAAAGTACACACAAACTAAAGTACTCTTCATGCGTTCGATCTTTTACTGTCAAAGAACGGAACTTCAACATTGACCAATTACCTATAGAGAAAGTAAGAATTGTGGCTGTAGCTGGGACGAGAGACATCAATTCTGGGTGCTCAAGAATACTGTCTCATTTGAGCAGAGCATATGAAAATCTTTTGACCGTTTAACTAAAGGTTCCGTTAATCACCGCAGAAGGATTACATATGTTTTGGATTGCCCAACCAAGGCGCCTCAGATCCAATGGGTTCTAGAATATAAGTGGTAATACTCTCTTTGGGACCAAAATTGAACGTATTCACGAACCTAACATTTGGTAGCTTTAGAGGAGGTAGCCAAAAGTTGATGTAATTTTTACTATATATACCAATGATAGATGTGATATTTTGTCGGGGGGTTCATTCCTTGGATAATGTTACCTGATATACGAAAAGTACTAACGGAGTCGTCACATAGAAATCATACAAGTACACCACTGGAATGAATGACAGGGTTGGTTAGATAAGATGCCTAATTTAAAAATCTGTCGGTCCGGGCTCTTCTGGAAGACCTAGCTCCTGTTTTAACTCTTTTGACAATTTTTTCTGCATTCCGATATTGCCATTAGTGTTCAACAATTGTTGTGTATCATCGCCCTTATTGGAATTGATCACTTAGCTGCGGATAGACTGCACAGAGTTGAAGGGTAAATGCCGAAGAGGCAATATGAATACCGTGCTAGCCTAGACAGAAATATAGTATAGAGAGGGTGAAACAGTACCGAGGCAATATTCTGGATGCCGATTCTATTAAACCTCACCATTGGGAATATGAACTCCACTTGTAGTGTAGTAGGCCAATCCGTTCGGCCAGAAGGCAAGTTCAATTGTGGCAAGACAGTTATGGATGAGCCTGCTGTAATATGAGATTGTAAACATATAAAAATTTAATTTTAAATCAATAATAAATAATTACTAATTGATCAAATAAAGAAAAATAAAATAATTATTTATATATGATATTAATATTAAACAAAAATTTATGAATATGAAAAATTTTCATAGTAACTTATACTAATTTCGATCTATTAGTATAGGTAATAAAAAATACAAAATATTTCTATATTTTTTATTTTAAAATATGTGTTGCACCTCAGGAACCAAGCGTACCGTCTGAATTGACCTGCGAGATATCTTTACCAACAGCCAGGTTGAACCCCCAATGAACCCTGTTCGAGCGAGATTATTGTATATGGTCACCTCTCACCCTCAGCGAGGAGGATTATTCAGGCTTCCTTGGTGGCTTAAGAAAATGAAGTGTTACGTTTAAGCACAATTTTTGGAGTTTAATACGACGGACATATGAGAGGGGGAACATTGGATATTATGAGTTTTGGTCTGGAACGCTGTTTCCAGATAGAGTCAATTTTACAAAAGCAATGACCGAAATAACGCATTACCATATTCCGGCTGTTTTATGACACGAACACACTAAGGGCTACTTATCGCTTGCAGCGAGCTCAGGGAGGTCATTTAGTCACTACGACTGTAGGTAGCTAGTTTGTTGCCCTCCAGCAGTTTACACAGTAAAGACCCAATTGTGTTTAAAGTCCTTGCTCTGTACCAAAGGACTTGTAGCGTTGAAGAAAATCTCATGTACTTCCAATGGGGTCTACCGAGTCTCCAAGACCCTACACTCAAGTAGGCCCCTTGGACCCCTCAACCTACGCATGGTAATACATAGGCGAAGCCGATGGCACTAATTAACCAATATAAAGATACAGAACGTGTATTTGTCGATCGTAGTTATAATAAAGATTGAATTCAACTGAAGGTAAGAAAGGAGAGAAGAATGGGCTAGAGAGAACGGGCTAGAAAGAACGGGCTAGAGAGAACGGGCTAGAGAGAACGGGCTAGAGAGAACGGGCTAGAGAGAACGGGCTAGAGAGAACGGGCTAGAGAGAACGGGCTAGAGAGAACGGGCTAGAGAGAACGGGCTAGAGAGAACGGGCTAGAGAGAACGGGCTAGAGAGAATGAAGGAGGAGGAAATGAAAGGAGAGGGAATGGAAGGAGAGGAAATGAAGGGATGGAAAATGAAGGTGCGAAATGAAGGGATAGACAAATGAGGATTCTGCTCCGAAGAAATTGAGATCGAATGTTCAGGAGTAATTATTTAAGGCCGACCTTAGTACAAGTCTGGGATGTTCCAATTAATAGCCATCGGTATTTCTTCCCATCTCACTTCAATCAAAGTTCACTCTTAAGATGCAGTTCACAATTACCGCATTCCTCGGCCTCGCTGCTCTGGCGGCCGCGCTGCCACCAGTTGGTCCCTCTGCCGGCGGTATTGGCAACGCCAACGGCGTCGGTAACAAGGGAAATTCCCAGATTCGATTCCCTGTTCCCGATAACATGACTGTCAAGCAGGCCCAGGCCAAATGTGGCGACCAAGCACAGCTCTCCTGCTGCAACCACGCCACCTACGCACGAGATACAACCGATGTTAACAAAGGTCTACTTGCCGGGACTCTCAGTAACTTGGTTGGAAGTGGCTCTGGGGCCGAAGGTCTTGGTCTCTTTGATCAGTGCTCTCAACTTGACGTTCAAGGTGAGTCGCTTTCATAAAAGCTATGAAAACACAAAACTAATAATTCTTTAGTGCCTATCTTTATTGCTCTGGGCGTCCAAGACTTGATCAAGAAGCACTGCCAGCAGAACATTGCCTGCTGCCAGAATTCTGGTTCTAATGCAGTGAGTATCAAGCTATCCGTCAATTTATCGGTTTTTATTCTGACAAATACAACAGAAGGGGGACCTGATTGGCGCTGCACTGCCATGCATTGCCCTTGGAGCACTCCTCTAGTTCTTACCATCTGGCATTTTGGGACAACTCTGCGTATCATAGCAACCCTTTTGTTGCCTACTTTTTAGACATCGTCTTATTTAATTGATCCTCACATCTTTTCGAAAAGCATGCAGCCATTGATGGAGATTTCCAGGGCAGCGCCTGGAGTTTGCTAGCATCGCCTATTTAGGCTTGCTTCTTTGCCTTCTTCTACTGCTGCCATAGATAGTTCTCTCATAGTTCGAACTAGATCTGTTCGCTCCCCTTCTGTTCTTGCTTCCTTGCGTAGAGGCGCTAGATGCGCCATCAGCCATAATATTCTATAATCTAGGGAGTTGAAGCTGGCGCTCAGCAACGTAGGCATGATGGCGCAACCGTGCCAAATTCTCGAATTGTCAGCGTATTCTGGCAGCTTAATCCAGCAGTTTCAGTGAAATACGTGCCAAAACCGTTTACGGTGATCCAGACGAAGGAAGCTGCGTAATGAACGTGTGAGGCGCCAAAGCAACCTCTCGATCTCACATGTGAAAAAAGCCTTCAAAGTAGAGAGTTGCACGCTGCATAAGTGGCAATCCGCCTTGTCCCCCTGCCAGTGGCCAAGACCGCGATGGTTTCCCAGAATACGAGCCTTCCAATCCGACGTCCGGTTCGTGACCACAACCACCCTACAGTCAGCCATGTTTGCAGTTGGGACGTCGAAAATACGCTGATCTGGATCAATGGCTTCCAGAAGCACCTGTTCCAACTCACTGTGTCATACCAACTGCCTTTGATCATCCGCAGCACCCCTTGGATGATGCGATTTAACTTGACTCAAATCGCCAATAGCCAGCCAAGCTTGGTATTAAGCCACGGTGGGTTGCCCGCAGGGCAGCTTGTCTTCGCCCGCCGCTTATGTTTTCAGTGCAAACCTGTAACTAGCGGTTGTACCGGTCTCGTAACTAATCTAGACCTAGGATGATCGTTCAGGACGGATTCAAACGGAATCCTGTTTCATATGAATCTCTGGTCCCCGGGAACAAAATCATTGTTCCTAGTTTCTTCCATTTAGGTGGTTCGAAAGGCCAGAGCGAATGCAGAACAGGAACCCTGCAGAACAAATGTAAAGCGGAACCCTCCAACTACCTAAGCAAGCACACGTGGCACCATCTGCCCACGACACGCTAGAATTTGTATTTTGCACTCTGCTCCTCTCTATGGGGCGCGCGGCCTTTCAGTGGTTTAAAACAGCGACCCCCAAGAAAGCTGTTACGGACAGCCATCTAGAGAAACACGCACGACTTTCTAATGACACCAAAAATGACTTAAATAAAACCCTGTCCCCTTAACTCTTCATGATCATGCTTTCAAACGAGATTCAGAAAAGGAAGTCCAATCTTGACACTGTACTTTAAAGCCGACTCTTAAGGGTGAGAAGGCTTGTGGGAGGTGAGGTTGACGTAAGCGCTCTTCTTCCATGTTTAAAGGCCCGACTTTGGTGCAAGAGATGCCTTTGACTGACAAGGTAATATATACCAAGGTTTAGACCAAACAGTGCGTGTCACGAGATCCGAATGCTACTCCAGTCCATCAAAGGTGAGTGCAATCAGCCCAATAAACGATTCGGTTGTGTCTGACGCTACCGTGGATCTAAAGCATCTCTCAATTAATCTTGATAAGGCGTTGCCGGACCTCATTAACCATGTTTCTCCAAGTCTCAGTCCATCTTCCCCTTTCCCGTCCCGTGCATGGTTTTGAATAGTGTCAGAATCGGACAATCTAATTATCTGAACAGGATTGAGTTCTTGAGATATTAATACATCAAGCTTAGTCCTGTAACGTAAGTCTCCGTTTACTCTCAGTTATAGTCACAATTATTTATCAAGGGGCAAAACCAACGATGGGTACCGCCACGGGAATTCCAGTAGATGGTTGGGTGTCAGCACCAGATAGCAGAGGTCCTGGTGATATTATATGGACTTGTGGAATGACTGTTCCTCTGTTGCTGGGTCTCTGTTTATCCTAACGTGGGCTCACCAAGCGATCAATGGTATCACCCATATCTTGACAAACTCAATATCTTTTGCATTGCTCTATTAGGCCCAGATTTTCTATTTGCTATCGCATTTGGTCAGTGGTCTAAAGCACGAGCAAGTGTCAAGGCTCGTGAGTTTCCTTGGGTATCTCTCGGAAGTTGCCTACCAGGTATTCATTCTGCTTATACTATCTCGCTTCTTCGATAAAACTCAGCTTTTTCACAACCATCCACCTTCACAAGACAGTACTAAGTGGAGATATGCCTACGCATTCTTCGTCAATTCCGGAGGAGTCCACTTGAAAAGTCCAGATTTTCCTCAAGGTTTCCCTATTGATACTCAACGGCTACATTATTTGATAAAGCATAATTTTGTCGCTCCACTAGACTTCGGTAGCATGGACATTCCCGAAAGAAATTCAGTGGATTCGCTGTCCCAGTGAGTATCCAATCTCCCTTCAGAATTTACCATACCGGCTAATCCGTCTCTACTAAGAGTGATAACAGTGCTGCAGGCCTTTTGGTTTTAGCCGGTATAATCCAAAGAGCGTGTACTGGCATTTCAATGACAACATTGGAGCTGACGACGTCGTCGTTTGCGTTAATCATGTTTGCTACGTCTGCGGCCTGGTATCACAAACCTTCTATCGTGCAGCCCCGTTTCATTTCTACAAATAATTCAAAGACGATACAGAGGATTCGAGAGTTTTCCTAGGCAACAGTAAGTAGAATAAGGCATAATAAAGTTAGAAGGATACTTGCTGAATCTTATACCAGACTCACCCTATGTTACCAATTCAGTGGTATTAGTCACCCCTCGAATATCTCAGCCATGAGTACTTCGGTATCAACACTCATTGGAGCTATTACACGCGACTAGCATACATGCTTCATATTCGTGTATTCTTAATACCAGTCAAATCGCGGCCCTGGGATCGGTTTCCTTCTGATACCTGGCTGTGTCTGTCCTTTGCTTGGACAATTCCTGCTACCGGCGTGACGGTACTCTTCAGCATCCTCTTTATAGCAGGATGGAACTTTCACTTTCCGATAAGCACAGAAAGAATACTGTGGGGAGTATGCAGCATATACCATGCTGTTTTTTTCCTTGTATGGCGCATCTTACTACTTGATTGAGATGGTTAAAAGCAAGAAGCGCCTATCACATTCGGCTCAATCACGTCAGCACTTGCATCCGATCGAGGAACAAAATTCTAACTCCGATGCTCATCGCAGTCCCTCGGTCATTGCAAGCTTTCTCGTCGTATGTACGTTATATGTCGGGTTTACGTCTATGTGGAGGACATCATCTCTCTCCAAGAACAGCCGTCTAGTGTATACATTAGGACAGATCGACTTGTCTGGGTTTTTGGGGCTTGATGTAAGAAAATTCCATCAGCGACATGGACTATTGCCTAGCACAGAATGTAAGAACATTTACTATCCCAACACCCTTTGCGACAAAGATAAGGCAGTCTGGAAGACCGTAAATCACATTCGACTGACTATACCTGAGGTTGAAATGTAGGGTTGTGCAAGAGCATGAGCAGACTAACAAGATCTATAGAGCAAGGACTCATGAACCACAAGTTGCCACAATCACGAAGAGGAACAGAGTCAGTATATCTATTGGCTCTTTTTTGTCCCATCAGGGCCTGGTTTGGAAGCTGAAATGGCCACATAATGCCAGTGTTTGCGGCCCTGATAAGCCTCGAATCCAGCCACCGTGTTGATGAAAAAGCGTTCCAATCCGAAGATTGTAACAATAAGGAAGGGAACATAAGCGAGGATGTAGAAAAGTCGCGTCATTGGCTGAATGTTGGAAGAGTAGTCCCGGACAATGACGTCGGTAAATCCAGCATCTTCGAGCATTTGTTGAAATACAGCTTTCTTGGGGGTCGCTGTTTTAAACCACTGAAAGGCCGCGCGCCCATATTAAAAACGTCGGCAGGACAGTTTTGAGAAAGGAGTCACAAGGAGACTCGATATGAAGAGACTTTGAGGAGGAAAAAAAAAAATAAGAAGGAGATCCTGGCCTTTTGAAACATCTGGAGGCTGGGGCTGTTAAGGGCAGCCTTGAGGTGAATACGCCTCATGCGGGCCCCCGTACAGCCTTTAGTTTGCCAAGATCCTTCTTTGTTCTATAGTTTTACTCCCTGCACCTGCACTAAACTCTGTTCCCTCTTCTTATTCATTCATATTTTACTAGTAGTTATTATCCTTTCTTTTAATTATCGCTATTTACTCCTTCATAATCTGCCAGGTAGTTATCGACGTATATCCCATTCCTCGCTATCCATTACGTAAAATTCTATGCTTTCAAAAAATACCAAAGTCTCAAGTAGATTATGAGTAAGACGAAGAAGATTAATTTTGAAGGGGAGAATTCGAACAGCTCAAGGAAGAGTCGATGGAAGAGTCGATGGAAGAGTCGATGGAAGAGTCGATGGAAGAGTCGATGGAAGAGTCGATGGAAGAGTCGATGGAAGAGTCGATGGAAGAGTCGATGGAAGAGTCGATGGAAGAGTCGATGGAAGAGTCGATGGAAGAGTCGATGGAAGAGTCGATGGAAGAGTCGATGGAAGAGTCGATGGAAGAGTCGATGGAAGAGTCGATTGGGCCTAAGCTTCCGAATTATCTCTTAACAGGGCCATGGGCGACACTGGTTTATTCTTCACCAGGACAGAGACCGCACACCACTGTGAAGACCAACACGTCCGCTGAGCCCAAATTAAGCAGATGCAACAAAGGTATTCTTCTCCTACCTGTGCAGGGAAATGGCTTTGAGGCGGGAAACTGCCAAGTTGGCTCGGGCGGGTTAGGCGAACAGAAGTGCTGTCGTCCTGCAAACGGAGAAGAGCGGGTACCCTGTTAACGAGAAGATGCGGCTCGAGTAGGCAACAGCAAACTCTTTGATGCAGCCCAACTCCAATGTCACCTTCAACACAGGCAGTACTGAAAGTAAAATTGGCTGTATGGATGACTTAGAGAATGGTAGTTCAAAGGTCTTAGCCAGAACTTTCCTTCTCATTGATGCATGCCTTTAATGTGTACATTTTGCCTTGCTGTCTACCCTGCGGTGGTTGGCTTCTTTTTCCCGAGAATTTCCAATCTCCCTCATGCCTCAAACTGTCTGTTTTGTCAAATTTCCGTAGGCGTATCCCCTCTTTAATAGCCGTAAAGTTACTGGGATTTAATGAACAACTACACAATTGTAAGTGGAGCCTTACTAAAGTAATAACTAATTATCGTCGTAATAAGAGATAGTCTTTCAGAGACTCTTATACTAAGCTTAAACAGAATCCAACAAAACAACAAGGGCTAAGCATGAGAAGCTAAATGGCTTGCAACCAAAATTCGATTTTTGAATATCTAGCTAGCTCTCTGACAAAGGAAGGCAATTCGACGAAGATTTTCGCACGAGGAAAACTGACTACTGTTCAAAGGACAAAAGAGAATGTGATACATAAGGCCAGCAAAAGGGGGTAACTCAAGGACAGAATATTGGAAATACATACTAGTACTTTGTCTGGTCCTGCCAGTGACAGAGCAAAAGGGTGGAAGAATCGAAATCTGATGATAGGATCAAGTAGTATCCTACCAAGCCTCAAATTGCGTGGACCTGCACCCAGAAACGAGTATCATCAGTACGATACTTGGTATTGCTCTCGATCTGCTGTTTGATCCAAGCAACGGCATCCTTATACGCTTTTCATTTGGTCAGCCACCTATTAAGATAATAATGCATCGTATTCGCTTTAACATACCGTGGATATCCACCGTGTATGGGTTCTCAACTCCGTTGGCTCCATTGCGGTGTCCAGCAAACCAGACATCATATCCATAGTGCTTCTGTCCATCATGACGGGCTTTGATGTCCTTCTTAAGATCAGAGCTGTCATTCGCCGTATTAGCCTCGTGTGAGGTATCAGCAGTGTATGACGCAGAATGCTTACTTGAGAATGACACCTTTGGAGACTTGAGCCTCACTTTGGCCCCCGAACTCGGATGCGGAAGTACGCAACATGAACCAATTCTGCTTGAAAATGCCAAAGTTGGTAGAATCACTGGTCTTTCCGTCACCTATTGATAAGTCAGTCAACACTGACGGTCAAATCACAAGAGGTAAATCGTGAATACCGTAGGTATATTCGGTGGTCATGGTGCCCCTATCAAATATTAGTTGAGAATACGAATCCCTGGTATGAATTTGTAGGCTTACGTCTCCAGCATCGCAATGGCCAAATCTAGGGTGTTGCCACCAGCTTTCAGCACGGCCCGCTTGCGAGATCCAAGACCAGGGACGGTGTAATGGCCTCGATCGCCATCGCAGGATGCTAGGCCATCTCCAGGGGGACTTGCCACTGAAGCCGAAAGGACTGAAGGCACAAAGGCTAGAGCGCCCAGAAGATGTAGACGCCGCATCCTTGGGATGAATGAGTGGCGAAGATGTTGATTGAGGAGTGATATTAAAGATTGGATGACTGAGCTCCAGGGCGGCTCCGGGACCATCATCTGACTTTTATACGATTTTGATGAATCTCATTGTATATACGCACAGTAATCAGTTCCATTTCCCAACTATTCCCGTGTAAGGACTGGAAGGGATCGTCCTGTTTCGAGTTGTATGATGGCATATCTTGGCAACAAGTATAGTTCTGAATTATGCTGCTGTCTCCGTTCATCTGAGACATCACGTAACGAGGGGTTGCAGCACTATTTAATATCAATATAATCCCGATCTTTAGTTATATTCAATAATACTTCCAAAGATATCCCCAAGCTTAGAATAAAGGACAATTCTCGGAGTTTTTGTATGACTTGAAACAGGGGCTGTGGAATGATAATGCCCGTATTCTATGTGGAGAATATTTAAACTTTTTGCTAGTATATTGATTCGAATAGATGGCAACGGTAAGAGGTTTACCCTTGAGTTATGTTACTGCCTTGTTTTAAGGTGCATGGAGTCATACCCATTGCGGGCGACAGTACTCCCCGCGAATTCATGTACATGTCGGATAGGACATATTTTCGTGCGCTTCCCGCAATCATTGGGTTGTAAATCGGTGTCCAATTAGGGCAGGCGGCTGTAGCAAGTTGTAATGCCAAGTCGCCTAAAACGCCCATGTTCGCCTCGGTACTCCTCGGACCCTTGCGGCAAGCCGAGCCGAAAGTGGGGCTGTCCGTTTTGCTCTGCAAGCCTTCAAAGTCGATCAACAGTTGAGCCCGAGAAGAAACTATATCTAGTCCACCACGCAAATACGCCAATCAAAAAAGGATGATAAGTAAATTTCTTATTTGTTGAAAGACTATTCAATAACTATGAGATTGCCATGTTTGACTGAATACCGTCAAAGTAGAAGAAGGGCGTCTGCGGGTCCAGCAAGTTTCGTCTCAGCACGTGAGCCAAGGCGGGATACTTCTTCTTTCGGCAAAGAATAGGCGGAGAATGGTAAGGACCTGGATGCCTGTCTGTCTTCCATTTTGAGAACCTCTCTGGCAAGGTCAATATCATGCCATCTGAAGAGGTACGAATGTAGTATTCCAGATGGTGGCGCATCCTGCATGGTCTAACTACTATGACCAATTCGGCTTCTATACACTGCATTAAGGCCAGAAACCTATTTTGTCCATGGGAATTACTTGAATGGTTCAGGCAAGGAGCGGCAATTCAGATTTGCTGGGGGTCATTCTTGATTCTTGATCCTTCCACGGACGCATGTGAGCGAGATAAAAGGGTTCCAGGATAGCAAGAGATTTCGGGCTTTTCCCAAGACTCGGCTGTTCCTGACTAAATCATCTACTTGAGTCTCTTTTCGTCCGAGTGTGAAAGAAAAGCCATTCGGAAGTATGCCCGAGACACTGAGTCTCCGCCGCCTCTCCAAGGAGGAGGGTGCGATCGAGTCATCACACCAAGAAAACCCCGAGGGCGTCAGGGTTGAAATAGTCCAAGGATCTGTGGCGCTGGACACAGCCAGACGAACCAATCCCCCAAAGCCATGGAGTCGTCAGATGAGAAAGCTTTATCTCTGTTTGACTGTGGCTTACCTTTGCTCAGCCCTGAATGGTATGAGCATCGGCTCCAGAGGCCAATTGAGAGTTCATACTAACTAGCTGACTTAGGGTACGATGGTTCGCTCATGGGCGCTTTACTTCCTATCCCGCAATTTCAGGAAACTTTCGGCGGCGGTCTAGTCGGATCCCAAGCATCTTTGATACAAGGAATGTATACAATTGGAGGTGTCAGTGCGCTACCATTCGTTGGTCCTTTCTTGGACAATTTTGGTCGCCGGTTTGGTATGTTCATTGGATCTGGTGCTGTCATTCTCGGCACTATTCTGGGAGGAACGGCAAATCATATGGACCAACTGCTCGCAAGTCGATTTTTCCTCGGTAAGCTGTACAACCTTTCTTCTTAGATGCAATACTCATCTATGGTGAACTAGGCTGGGGTTACTCTTTGGCCTCTTCTGCTGCGCAGGCTACGTTGTCGAAATAAGCCACCCCGCATACTGTGACCTTTTGACAGGGTTGTATAATTGTCAGTACTTTGTGGGGGCCATCGCTGCTGCAGGTGCCTGTCGCGGGTGTCTTCATTTGCCTACCTCTCTCGCGTGGCGTATTCCAATCTGGTGTCAATTGATTTCATCCAGCATTGTCGTGTTATTTGTATGGTTCCTTCCTGAGTCACCTCGCTGGCTATACAGCCACGGTCGCCATGAGGAAGCATGGGATGTCATAACCGCTTATCAAGGCGAGGGCAACCGAGATAATGCATATGTGATCTTACAGATTCGAGACTATGAAGAAGCAATCAACCTCGAAGGATCAGACAAGCGAGCCTGGGATTTCCGAGAGCTCGCGAATTCGAAACCTGCCAGATGGCGTCTTCTTTGTGTCACAATTGCCGCATTCTTCAGCCAATGGTCCCAAGCTGGAGTCACAACATATTATATCGGTGGTCCTCTTGCTACTGCCGGAGTGACTGATACCACAAGAGTACTAGACGTTAATCTGGGCAATACGGTTTTGTCTGCAGCAGGTGCCTATTTAGGGAGCTTCTTTGGCCCAAAGATCCGGCGAAGACCTATGATGATTGGTGCGTGTCTCGCATGCAGTGTACGTATATCACCCCAGCTGAATCGCACTTCCTACTAACGAATCAACCTGAAGCTCGGCTTTGCTGGTTTCTCCGCCACGGCTGCAGTCTATACAAGTTCAGAACAACAGGGGGCCGCCACAGCCTCAATCGTGATCATCTTCCTCATCGGATTTTGTTTTAGTTTTGGATGGACGCCCTTTCAAGCCATGTACCCTGTCGAATGCCTGTCTTACGAGACTCGCGCTAAGGGAATGGCCACGTACTCCGTCCTCACAAATATTGCATTGCTGGTGAACCAGTTCGGAATCGGCAATGCAATCAACGTGATCGGTTGGCATACCTACATCATCTTGGCTGGCTGGAATATTATACAGGCTTTGGTTATCTATTTCTTTGCTGTTGAGACGAACAAACAAACCCTCGAGCAGCTTTCAGAGATATTCAGTGCCACAAACCCCCGGAAAGCGAGTACGGAAGCACGGAAGATCGTTGTCTCTGAGCGAACGAATCAATTCACACTGGCAAAAGATGAAGAGAGTATTTAAATGTTTTCTCTTTTGGATCTATGATTTGATGTACAACAACAGAGATTCTTTTTGCCGATATTACTATCGATATCTCTCGGCGCGGAGATGCGTTCTTGTTTGCTTTTGTCCAGCGCAGACGTGATGTTGGAGCTTCAGTCAGAGTTTGATTCTTCTAGACTTTGCATCAACCATAAATTTTTGACTTTGTTAGGTTTCTGTGAACAATAAATTCATTGCCGTCTTAGTTTGAAAATGAGTTACACATCTAGTTAGCCTCGGAAATCTGTTCAAAATAACTTTTGTAGGGTATACACGCTGTAGAATCAACTTAAAACGTAGGTAAAGGTATAATACAGTAGAAAGCAGCAGGCTTCACATTTCGGTATCGACAGGATCCAAAAACGCCATCACCTCGGTTTGCACATTCAGCTTCGAGATCTCTGGCCAGACCTCGCCTGATTCCCAACCCAAATACTCCCACATGGACTCGGACCAGCCGTTGCCAAAACCTGGAGCCATCCGATCCGCCAATTGATCCTGGCCGATACCTTGTGAGTTGGTCAAGATGTTCATGAACGGGAAATCCTGTGCACCAATTTGACTTGAACTGGCATCAAATGACTCCCCATTGGGACTTTGCATGTTGGCTTCGAGGATACGTGAAATGACTTCGCGGGAGCGTTCCGCAGTATGTCCGTAGAGTTTCAATCGATCAAGAGTCAATATAGCGGCGTCAACCTGCGCCTTTGAGTCATCTGGCAATCCAGAAAACCCACCATGCGTGGAGCCGAGGGAAAGGCAGACCAGCGGAACCATTGTCGCCTGGAATAATAGCCACACGGCGTTCCAGCCGATTATGTTGTTCATCGGTGACGTGATTGAGATGTCCTGGATCAAGGACTTTGCAATTTCGCGGCACTTCTCTATCGCAGCACGCTCCTCAGTGCGGATAGCCATGAAAGGGATTCTTCGTATAGCGTAGTTGAGAAGGGTGGGACGGTATAGTAACATACGCTGGTTTTTGTATCGCCAACGCATAACCGTACGCACTGCAAACATTGACTCTGGACAGGGTTCGTAGTCCCTTAATAATGGGGGGAGATTATTCCACCACTGAACGAGTTGCGAGTCTATATCGAACATTTCCGCATATTTAATTGTTGGAAGGGATGCAAGTAATCCGTGGATTTTCGTGGCAATTCGCACAAATTGGACGTTCTCGGTCAAGGCCAGAATCTTGGTGTAGTTTTCCTGTGGATGCGTCTCGGGGATTAGGATGTGGTCTTTATCAGGGTTAGATGAGATTTTGATAGCGTACCTTGTCATGGAGACTGGGTAGATTGACAGTGATACCAGGGCCAAAGCAATCCATACTTGGTCTACCAAGTGTCTCAAGACCCCATATCTCCAAGCAACAAAGCGACCACCAAACGCGGCGTTTTGACTCTTGGGCTATGGACCTTGAGGGATTCACGGATATATGACTGTCATATGGCTCTCGTTGTAGACCCAGCGTGATGGCCATTCGCATGGCCGCGCCCATCAGAGAATATCCCAAATTTGGCTGGCTAATATAGTGGCAATACCAGCCGCCCATAAGCCCCAGTGCCTGGGTAACTTCCAAACTGGGTGTCCCGAGCGAACTCAAATTCAACTGACTCATTGCTCGTTGGAAATATTCATAATGCATCTGGTTATCTGCACCCGATCCTGATGCTGCAATGTTTCCCAATGCAAGAACGATGTTCACCAAAGACAGCCATCGGTTGTCCCTCCGTTGACCATTGAGGTAAGTTTTTCGAAAGTTCTCTTCATCTAAAAGTGGTGTGAACGGATGGAAATTAGCAAAGTACGCATCTACCATCTCCATTTCAGTAGGTAGAGAGCATGAGGCGGGTGGAACCAAGGCATTAGGTGACACGCTGTTTTGCTTGCCACTTTGCTCCTTGGTCAAAGCAATGGAAAAATAGGCTTCAAATTCAGGGTGGAGCCATGCGATCACCTTGAGCGCGGCTTGGATGGATGAAACCCCTAAATATGATGTGGGATTGCGGTTTGTTAAGGATAGTGCATTCACGTCATCTGAGATGTGTCCGATCGATTCCGAAGTACCAGAACTTTGGTTTTCTTCGAGCTGTTCTCCCGGTATTGAATGCAAGGACTCCAGGTCGGGTCTTTCCATTGACAATGTGGAGGCCTTTGTCCCAACGGAAGGGACGTTTGCTGGTGAATCCTGAGGTTGGGCATATTGGGACCCATCGATGGACATCAAAGCCAAGAGTTCTTCTCTTGATAAATGGGCGATATTTTCGGGAGCAGTGTCAGGAAACAGCCTTGCTAATGTACTCCGGTAGTCGGTTGGGACTGTTGCTGGTTTCTCTGACTGAGTATTCGAGTGGCTATTGGAGTTGATTAGTATATTCAAGTGTGAGTCTAAGTTTTCGCATTCTTGCACTCAGTTCTGTTCCTTTACCTTGGTGAACTTTGAGGGTCATGACGCTCTGGGTAGGTACACAGCTCAGGCTTCCTGTACCATCGACAAGCTTCGCAAGGTTTCTCGCCATCGCATTTTATCTTGCGATGACGGCAGGAAGAACATGCTCGCGGCTGAGAGCCTCGCCGACTTGAGCGTGCATGTCTTTTCGAATGTTTTGGGTTGCGTGGACTTTTCTCGCTCTTTTGAGATGATTCAAACGTGAGAAACATGACGGCCGAGATGAGAACGCTGGTCACCGAAGATGCTCTAAGGATGGAGGTTCGGGATCAGATAGCGAGACGGATCAAGATTAATTACATGCGATCCACCAGGAAGGGATGTAGCCTACCCCGGACTTCAAAGAATGAGGGGTGCAGCTCGTCGTGAATCAAGTAGCTTCGCATGGAGTACGCCGCCCGAGGATGTCGGAGGCTTTAACTTTCTGCGGTCCGTGTATTATATGGACCCATGCATACGTATCAGAACGTACCAGTTCCCTTGCAACGGCCGCGAACTGGTGCAATTAGTAAAGGATGGAGCAAGGGGAATCTGTATCGTTTCGTACACGGGATTCCTTGGCGTGACCCTATTGGAAGCGACCGGCAAATCACAATCATTTTATCCGATGAGGCTGGCGACGAATTCCAGACACTAGCTCGTTGAACTTGCCTCCTTTCCGTGTCCTTTTGGGAAACGAGGATTCCCCGCACACGCTAAGCCTACTTGGGTGGGTATGAGGCGGGCAGCCGGTTCCGACTCGTGGAAGTCGCAGCAGTTCATAGTCATACAACTATTAGTATTTTACGATGCGATTGATTGGCTTGACGCTCGCTTGCGTATGTGAATGACCAATCATTCAAGTGGGCCAATGACTCGGATCCAATTGGCGTACATTTAAAAAGGATGATCTCTCGGTAGAGTGAAGGCCTACTATTGACCACATACTGTAGGTAGCCAACTGGAGTCAAAAGTACCTTTTGAAAGGATATTTCATTCATTGGAGAAAAATTTGGGATATGGCAATTCATTGAATCATACCTTCTTGTAATGAAAACTCGCAACTAATGCTTCTTGGATCTTCAGAAGATTTACATAGTCCCACGCGAAAATGGATCTACTGTATCACCAGTCTCATTCCACCGGCTTAATACATAGCCAGGATAAAACCTGTAGGTTTTCAGCCCAAGATCACTTCGAGAGATTTTGGCGCTTTTCAGTAATCCCTTACGGATGATTAGCAACGTTCATCCAACTACTCATAACGTGATTAACCTTAGTGATTTCTTCCGCGCGATGCTGGCCACTGGTCCACATCCTGCATTTCAAATAACAAAGAAGCTAGCTGCCCCGCAAACCGAGAACAATATGAGCATGTATTAACTAACTAGCTCGAAGATCATGACTTGGTGATTATTTTTATCTGAAAAGAGTTTCCGGTTATCCGAATCCCAGGCTACACTAGTCATGCGACCGCGGCCAGGCGATAGCACCTCAGCATGGTATATTTGCGTGTTCAAGAGTGACCTTGAAAAAGAGTTTCAGATCTCAAAGCACAAAAAGAGAAGAGAAATGCATCATCCGTGAATCGAACACGGGCCTCGTCGATGGCAACGACGAATTCTACCACTAGACCAATGATGCGGAGCCGAATGCTATGAGAATCGCTGATTGGCTACTTATATTCCATCTTGCCAGAATTGCTCTATGGAGAAAGGTTCTGCACGAAACTGTAAAGGCTAAAAAAGAATTGTGCATCATCCGTGAATCGAACACGGGCCTCGTCGATGGCAACGACGAATTCTACCACTAGACCAATGATGCTGGAAACCGCAGGCGATGGAGACGCTGATTGGCCGCTTATATAGAGAATCTACCTTTTTGACAACATGAGCAGGAACAATTCTAGACGCTCACCACAAATGGTAGACTGGTAGAATCTGTATAAAAATGCCACCGGATCAGGTGGCCTACTAGAAAAAGGGATCATAGGCGAATGAACTCCGCCGCAAAGACTATTAAAGACAGCGGGCGGGTGAATGGCTCAGCAATCGCGAGTAAGGTCTCCTTCAACCATACACAGAGCACCATGTAGGTGTATATAATTGCTGGACAGCTTAGTAGGACGACGCAGAGTCTGTTCCCTCAGAACTTGGTATCTCGTTGACACCTGGTACACATAGTGCTGGGTCTGGTAGAGACATGCTTATACTACCCTACATACCTAGTACAGTGCATGGCCCGGCTATCTCATGGCCGAGAGGCTCTTCAGTTAGCTGATTATAATCTGGACCAAGTAGTCGAGATCTCAATTTCTACCTGTATCTTTCGGTAGCGGCAACGCCACTATTTACAAGGGTCGGATTAGGGATATACCACCTTCGTCGCATCCCCAGCGTTATTCTCTATCTTGCCGTTCAAACATTACTCTAAAAATCCACTCAACTCGATAAAATCCTGAGAATTCTGTCCAAGATACCTGTCAATCAACACGCGACATAACGGGATAGATGGCCCGGCCAGTCTTTCCCTCGTTGACCTTGTGAGAGGAGGCCAAGCATACCTAGTTCTGCACCGCCACCGATGGTAGACACGAATGCGAATAATGGGAGATGCAGTCATACTACGAGGAATGAGATATACTTGGATGGACTGGCAAGTGCTTAGTTAGTCCTCAACACCGGCATTGTTTCCTATGCATGCGGGGTATCATGCATGCATGTCTCGCGCTGGTGGTGTCAGACGGGAACAGTAATGATATCAGCAGAACGGGGATTGATCCTGGCCGTCCAGATGTGCTGGACTATGTCCATGTCCACGTCCCCAACGGAGGAGGAGCTGCAAGTCGGCGAATTTTTCCCGGTTACGAGGGAGCCCGCCCGTCTGGATCATGGACTGTGCGCAGGCTGGGCGCAGGGGCCCTGGCTCTCATGACAGGACGTCTGTTGTCAAGTCAATTATGTATCCCGGCAAGGTCTCTGACCGTGATACATTCGAATGTAGTACGGGTTAGTCGCTGGCTTTTCCGAAGGAGTCTCTTTGCAGACAGCTGGCTTTTCTAGGAAGTTGAATAGGACAACATCATGGTTCGATTGCTTTGTACAAGGAAAAGTTGGTCAGCACGGCACACCGAAAACGCTATGTACCGGTCATCCGTCGAGGCGTATTCCTGCAGAAGCATGACGTCCGGGCGCATCTCGGGTGGTGGTATCTTTCCTGCATGAATGCTGGCGAGGGCAGGGGGATCAAGGCATAGAAGCTGGTCTTTTTGCATGAGATAATCCACCAGGTGAATGAAAACAAAGGGATACGTGCGGCTGATTCGACGATGGGGGAAAGATGTGACTAGCCACGTCGATACTAGCATGGACTTTGTCCGTGAAGACAGTGAAGAGGGGAAGGTGGAGTTGATGTAAGTTGATCGAGGCCAGCGTCAAACCTCACCACGTGATTGGTCGGACAGCAGGTCGAGTGTCCATCACGATGCACGACGTGAACTGGCCAATCACATGGTCAAACTACCCGCTCAACCCATAGCCAGTTCAGCCAAAGTCCAACTGAAGAGTCCAGCCAACAGACTCGGTGCATTCTGTCGTTGCTGCAGTCTACTGTGCCGTTGATCCATTCGATTCCCTTAAAAGATCCCCCCTGCCGCCCAGGCAGACTCGGTTTCTTTCTTTTCTCCAGCGAGCGTTTGTTGTTAGAGCTGCCCCCATTCGAGTCGAAATCCTAGCACTGGCTGTTAGGTGTTTGTTGTTTCTCTTGCCCACTTTATACTTCTATTCTAATTCTATTCCCCGGCTTCCAAGCCACCACCAACCCCAAAAAACCCAACATTACTATCCCCCATCAACACAAACGAGCTGTGCTCTTTGTGCTGTGCCCCCTTTCCCAAATCGATCTATTCTGCCTTGTGCTTTGGATTTCGACCTCGAATCCTGTTTACTCGTCAACTACAGCAAGTGCATTCCGCCTTCTCGCAACACTTCGCCGGTCGATCGTGTTGCCTTGCTGTTTCAGCTCTATACAACAAATCCCACTGTTAATTTAATCTCGCTCGGAATTATTTTTAATTCCTATATCTTTTCTTTGTTGTCGTGGGCCGGTTCCACCTCGAACAGAACAAAATTAGGGTTTCTGACTCTCCTTTTGCGCCGATAATTCTCTACGACAACCTTATACGACACGTTTTTTCCACTGTCTATATTTTATACTTATATTTTTTTTCAACCGCGTATTCCCTCTGGTCTGATTCGCATCTTTCATCATGGCCGCCGTTCAACTTAAGTTCTCCCTCCGGACTTCGTCCAACGTCAAGACCGTCCACCTGGTCGGCTCCTGGGACAACTACTCACGCCAACTGCCACTTTCTGCTGAAGACAAGCCCGGTGCCTGGCTTGGTAAATTCCGCTTCCAAACCTCCATGCTGCAACTCGGCAGCCGCTACTGGTACTACTATATCATGGACGGCTACCAGGTCTCCCACGATCCAGCCGTCGAGTACACCGTCGAGCCCACCACCGGCCGCAAACTAAACATTCTCGATGTTCCCGGTGGCAAGTCTAGCAGCGGTGGACGCAGCGCTCCCAAGGCCCGTCGTGGCTCGACCGTCGCTACTGGGCGCGCTCTCTCACCCTCCAAGATCCAGCACCCAAAGCCAAGCAAGCCCTACGCCTCCCGCAACCTCCGTGAGGCAGAGTACACTCCTACCGTCGACGACTTGACCCGCCGCTTTGCCGGCTCTCGTCTGTCTGATGAGTACTCGTACTCCAACAGCCCGCCCTCTTCGGCTGGTTCCTCACTGTCGTCCCGCTCGGGCGGCTCAACCTCGCCCTCGTCGCTGTCCTCCATGAGTGATCCCCCACTCCAGTGCCGCTGTGAACGCTACGGGATCACCCGCAAGGGCGACCGCGTCAAGCTGGACTGTGGCGGTTCTCGCTGCGGTTACGTCACCGAGTCAAGCGAAGCTAGCTGCTCCGAGTCTGAGGTCAGTGATGAGGAGTACCGCCGTGCGCGCAGTGGTGTCCGCCGCCAGGGCATCGTTGTCCGCAGGTAGACTGTAGACAAGTTACAGTACTAGTTTCGGCTTTTTGTTTCTCCTTTGAAAGCTGAATTCTAGTCTCTGCCTGCCACTGCCACTGCCAATGCCGATGCTCGACGCATCCGCCTGGATTGAGGTATCGAGGGACCTGAACTCGGTCATCGCTTCCTTTTGAATGCCTTGCTTTTCGCCAAGTTGAAGATACGGTAATATTTATAAAACAAAAAGCAAAAAAAGCCCTGCGCCGCGGGTGAGCCGGCTTCACGCCGCGGCGGGGCGGGGACGATAATGATGCCGTTGGAGAGGAGGGGAGTGCCCGGTGGATGGGTTGAGTTGAGGAGGAGAGCAGAACAAACAAAGAAGACATCGATGAACGCAACCCCGATGCCCCTGACAAGCATCCACCCCGGAACTGGACCACTTACGTCAACAACTGATCTGATCTGATCTAATTCCAACAGATCTCGTCAGACAACGATCCAGGTCCAGGCACGTGGATACCCCCGATAGGCTTATCTTGCAACAACGAAACCCATCTGCAAGCCATAAGAACACAAGGATCGCTCTGTGGAAACTTTGCTGCTTCGGTTTACTTTAGCAAAGACCACAGCCTCGCGAGAATAATTGCATTGATTCCCCATTGCATTGCATTGCATTACTGCATCTTTACATCTCAGCACCGATGAGCATCCGTGGATGTCTTGACTTGTTCATTCATCTCCATCTTCTTCGGGGTGGATGAGTGAGTTCAAGGGTTGGTTATGGTCTTATTCTTGAGATGCGTTACGAAATAATGAGATATGACCACTGGATTCTCTTGGTGCATTTAACTTGAATATACTTGGACGTAGGGTATATCATTGTAGAGTAGAGTGTGTATTGCTTAGTTCCATGTAGCTCTGGGCCGACCAAGTGGGAACCGATTGACAAGTAGAATGTAATGCTGAGGTTCTGCTGAAGTTATTCTAAGGACAACTAACACGATCTGTATTTTCATGATATTCTATCATCAACGGGGCCGAGTGAGACCTTTATTCCCGCCATCAGCAATTCAAGTTACACCACTAAGTTCCAACCACTCACGAATCACCAACCACATCTTCGACCCACACCCCCACTGGCTTACCCGTCCCACCAACAAGAATCCATCATGCAAAAATGTTAGGAATGCTCCAAGAGAGCCCAAAAAACGACAGCTGGCGGATTTGAACCGCCGCCTCCGAAGAGACTTGATTTCAGCCCGGTTTTGCCCGGATTCTAGTCAAGCGCCTTAGACCACTCGGCCAAACTGTCTTGTTGAGAAACTGGCCGAAATATGCTACATAGCTCTTAACGATTATTTTGCAGCAATAATTTCAATTTTTGGGCTCAAAGCAAGATCAATTCACAAATAAAACTAGGGCATAATTTTTGACTGAGTCAAATGTATCTTGCCAGGGGTAATAAATGTAGAATATGATCTTGGAAGGTCGCTGGCAGCCGACTGATGATCTCGTCTGCCCAATGTGCGAAGGGTCAGGTGTTGATGCCTAGTTGTTGCCTTGTGGCGCGGGCAAGCAATTAGTGTTTAGATATTCTGTCTCAAGGTATGATGTTTTCTTCTTTCTTTTACTGCTACTACTCTTATATTTCTTGTGAATTTGAAGATCTCTCATGTGAATGGTCTCTGATCTCATTGTGGCTGGGGGTGATTGCCCTTTAGCAAAAGTAGAACCGTTTCTGCGATGTGAGAGTAAATATATACTGGCATGTACGTTGACCATCCAGCCCATTGACGCACTGTGTCTCCGGCGAAGACTTGTTCAGCTGATATTGAAAATGTCAGGCTATATGCAGTAACCAGGTATCGGGCAGTGCTCCGTAGCCATTCAAATAGATAAACCAACTACCCACTACAAAATATACGAAGAAAGATACCTTTATGGATATGATTAAGTTTCCCTCACAGCGTCGTTGCACCGACCTCTATATTATCATGGATCCACCCTTGCATGCTGCTAGGAAAGTTAGAAAATTCATTTATACTGCCAAAGTTTAGGAAGTGTTCGCATATAGTTTTATACTTTAGATACGTCTAAGTGCGTTGTTCTCGCTTCCATGGACCAGCTCGAATATGGAGTCGTGTCCATCTGGTCCATCCGGTCTATCCTTCCGCACAAACCCCTGTTCTTAATAAGTCCTATACACACAATTAGACCTCGATTACGACCAAAAATTTTCATAGTATCGACACAGATCATCATTGTCCTATATAAAAACAAAAAATACGATGAAAACACCAAAAAGAAAAAAAATTGACCGACGCAGGGGTCGAACCTGCAATCTCTTGATTCGTAGTCAAGCGCCTTGCCATTGGGCCAGCCGGCCGTATCCAGACTCCTTAACCATTAGGCCACGAGAACATCTGGTATTGATAGAATGTCAATAAAAAGGATTTATCACCTTGTAGCGTAAGATTGCAGGTTTCTGGTTATCTGATTGGTGGAGGTTGCTCAAATGTGGGACCTTTTACTCAGGCTAACCAGATTCAGTGGTATTACGTGGGAGCAAAGAACTACTCGGCATCAGTATATCAACCTGAAGACGTCCAAACTATTGGCTGCACACAATCCAATCTAAAGCTAAATCTAGAATTTCATAGAGGAGCAATAACTGACCGAGGTCTCAATGGCGCTGAATAAGAAGGCCCCCCAACCTGGCTCGGCATCGGGTCTGACCGTCGATCAAGACCCACTATTTCCAACTTCCTAATAGGGCTTAGTGTTACATATAGAGCCCATGTTTTCTCGCCACGGTGACGCCCTTCTATCAACAAGATGCCTAGTCTTACCTGCCTTAGGAAATTAAAAGGAGTGGGGGAATATCGGGACAAAGTGAATGGCTCTATACCCGAGAGCTCAATTTTAATAACAAATCAGGTCATTCTGAAGAAATTTTCTGGAAGGATTCTGGAAATGAAATGGAAAAATTGAAGTGCTTACGAGACAACTGTGTGAAGTCCGCCCTACGCCCTAGAAGAAGTATAAAAGTCCCAATTGGCATTCATATCAAAACGTCGCATCTTCATTCCATCGCATTCTGGATCTGCGCACTCCCACTTGCCAACTCCAACCCGAAGTCATCTACTCCCATCACAACTACCAACCACCACAATGGCCGCAGCGCGCACCGCCCAAGAGATCCTCCAAGCTGCCCGCGTAGCACCAGAGATATTCGCCCTGCGCCCCGAGTACCGCGCCCTATTGATGGTCGTCGAAGGCATTCCCCCAGGCCCAAGCGACGCAGCCAGCGAGACCATGCTCCAAGAAGCCGAGCAACAAGTCAAAGCACTCTCAACCAAATCCGCCATCACCAACTTCCCGCACATCGCCGCCTGGCGTGACACATACAAAGCCTTCGGCGCCAAACCCCAAAAGACCCGAAACAGCCTGGAAGCCCTATCCCGCCGCGCAGAAGGTGGTCTGCCGCGCGTGAACCGGCTAACAGACATCTACAACGCTATCTCGGTGAAGCATCAAATCCCTCTCGGAGGTGAGGATCTGGATAAATATGATGGCGCGCCGTTCCTTATCCGCGCCAAGGGTAATGAGCCGTTTCAGACGCTTTCGAGTGGAGAGCCGCAGGTGGAGAATGCGGCGGAGGGGGAGCCTGTTTGGTGTGATGAGAGTGGTGTTACCTGTCGGCGGTGGAATTGGAGACAGGGTCCGCGGACGGCGTTGACGGATGAGACTACGCGGGTGCTTTTTATTATGGATGTGTTGGAGCCGCTTTCGGATGAGGATCTTGGTAAGGCTGCGGAGGAGCTTGAGGCGGCGTTGAAGAGTTTGTCGCCGGATGTGCGGACGGTGCGGCGGATTATCGATGCTTCTTCTTGATGCATGACATGAGGAAAGTTGGGGTTGTATATGGAGAGAATTTGAGGGCTGTATAAAAAGGGGAAGCGAGTGTGGTGGTGTGTTATTTCTGTTGTGATGGGAGTGCGTGAAAGACTCGACAAAAATGTATTGATTCATTGGTTCAGGTAATATCTTCATTATTTCCTATGAGAACCGCGTGAACAACACATACGACCACAGGGTGTGGAGAACAGGGCTTCCCGTCCGCTCAGCCGTACTTAAGCCACACGCCGGCAGGTTAGTAGTATGGTGGGTGACCACATGCGAATCCCTGCTGTTGTATGTTTTTCTGATTCCTTTTTCCTTCCTGTCGCTTTGCTTGATTTTTATAATAGAACATCATCATCATCATCATCATCATCATCACCGCGTGAACAACATCATTCATCATCCTGGATTCTGTACTAGAGCCATCAAATATCACTCCCCATCTATCTCCATTAGACACTGGAAATCCGCATGACGGACAGATTTCATGACTCTGCTCACAGTGCAAGATGGCTAGCGTGGAGAATCCACCTATGTCGTCCTCTGAATCTCACAATAGTATGCCACAACATGTCTGGCAAACTCCTTCATATCCTCCGCATCCCTGATGTTGAAAGGACCATATTCCTCCATCACCATGATATCAGGGACCATTCTGAAGGGGTATCCGAGTTCAGAGTCCTCGATGGTCCTGATGTACTCCTCATATTCCTTCGAGAAATTGGCAACGACAAGGTATATCTCTTCCTGCCACTGAGAGATACACAGGTACCTACCACAATCAGCACCGGACAATCAAAAGCAAACAACCTTCAAAACCATAGGGTATGTAACTCACCGAGGAGGCGGGCGGGCACGGCTCTTCCTCACATCATGCTGAATCCAGCAGACCATCTTGGCAGTTTCCTCCCAGAAGAGTCATCTCCGCTCTCTACTGCGGTAGACAGTTCTCGCATCCAGGATGGCAAAGACCTCATCTGTGCGGCGATCTGCCAGAACCCCATCAATCCGAGCCTCCATAACCCCGCGTCCAAACAAAGCCGGCTCGATGGCATGCCGCGTAAAGCGCCAGGCAAGCGTCTCATTCGGCACCAGCAAGCTCAGCCCGTCCAGCAACTGGGTCAAGGCATGACGGACTACCCCCTCACTGTCAGTGGAGTGGGGAAGGAAGTTACTCAGAACTGGCCAGTTGAGGCGCTCGTTCCGGAAGAGGATGGAGATACTACCGCGATTGCTGAGGGGGGCGATAGGTCTCAGGACGCGGAGCTGGGCAAGGCGGACGAGAGCGAAGATAGCCAGTGCGCACGAGGGTATTCTTCTGCCAGCATTGATATCGTAGAGGTAAGCCTGGAAACCGCGGTATCCATCCAGTATCTGATCGGCCTGCTCGTAGCTCTCAAGTGAGGCCAGGCTGATCGTGTTTCCCTCCTTGAGTGGTGCCCAGATAACGTAGAGGGCTGAGTAGAGGTCATTGGTTATGTGGGATGTAGTGACGGGAGGCATGATGAAGGTTGTGGTAATGTAGCGGGAATGTGAGGATGTGAAGAAAGAGAGGAGAGAGGATGGTTGGTTGAGTGTTGAGTGGTGTGTTTACGACGGTGTGCTTGCAAGATCGATTCTCGATCGCGGCGTATTTGAGATATCAAGGGTTGTGCCTCACTCACTTCTCGACGAATTCTGGTAGCTTCGTGACCTGCTGCCTTATATCTACGCGGGGATGGATGTTTCTGGGCAACCCCATCTTCTTCTCTTCTGTCAACAGCATGTTGACACTAGTTCTAGTGAGTTTACATAGTCCCGGACGTCAATATCCAGCTTTGCGCGATTTAAGACTATATTTCGTCAAGACTCTTAATTATTATTTCATAAGGTTGAGGATATGAATGCTTCAAAGATGAATTAACAATAGCATGTCCCCTGCTGTTGATCCCTCCCTGGGCATTCGCATATTATATGAAAGAATCTGGCAGGCTAGTACATGAGTAGAAAAAGGTTATACTGTTCCACAACATGTACATTACAGCAACATATTCAAAGACCAGTCAAAACCAGGTAAAAGAGCAGATATTCATTCATCATAACAGAAAGCTCCCGCATACAAAGAAATCTTTCAAGTCCTATAAACCACCCCTCTACCAAAATATCCACCATCATCCTAACTTTACCTCTCTCAAACATTCACACTCAACAAATCAACCCCATCAACAATAGCCTTCTTCCCCGGCATATGACCCCTCCTCATCAACTCCGCCGCCTTAGCCATAACCGGATCCATCCCCATAGTCGCAACCGCCACAACAGTCTCCCCCTTAACATAATACGCCACAAACTTGGCCTCGCCAAGCTGGCCCCTAATAACAACGTCATCATACCCGTGGACTGCATTTCCGCAATACCGCATCTGCGCACCGAGAGCGGACCAGAAAATCGGGATAAATGATTTGGCAGGCAGCGAAGCTAGTGGTGAGCGTCTAGCGTGGACGACGGCACGGGCAACTCCGCGACCCATGTTCTGCGCGACGTTCCAGTGTTCGATGCGGACGGGTTTGCCGTCGCCGCCGGGTCCGTTGTAGGGGTATGTTGCGATGTCGCCGATGGCGAAAACGCCTTCCAGCCCGGGGACGGCGAAGTGGACGTCCGTCTCGATCGAACCATCTTTCTGCAGTGTGACTGCGGGATTCTCGTGGAGGTAATCAGTGGCTGGGCGGACGCCGACACCCAGGATGACCAGGTCTGCCGGGAGGACGGTGCCGTCTTTAAGATGAACGGCTCCAACGGCAGAGTTGTTGGATTCAGAGGGTGTGGCTTTCTCCACGCCAGCGGAGAGTTCGAAGGAGACGCCGTTCTTCTCGAGATTCTTCTGGAGGGCAGCGCCAACCTCGGCACCTAGAACGCGCTCCAGGGGTGCGGCTTCCATACCCATGATTGTCACGGAATGATCCTTGGCCAGCGCGTTACCAACTTCCATACCGATGAAGGAAGAACCGATGACGACGATGTTCTTCTTTGAACCCTCGGCTGCAGCGAGGATAGCCTTGACGTCTGATACATAGCGCAGAGTAAAGATATTGGAGAGCTCATTTCCGCGGAATCCCGGGAGAGGCAGGGTCCGTGGCAGGCCGCCCGTTGCGAGGACGAGGTTAGTGTAGGGGATAGTCGAGCCGGAGGCCGTTTTGACAGATTTTTCAGAAAAGTCGACGGAAGTGACCTTGTCGTTGACGATGTCGATGCCAGCTTCGGTGAACCACTCGCGCGGACGCCAGAGGATCTTGGCTGGGTCGGTGATTAGGGCTTTGGAGAGCTTGGTGCGGTCGATGACGATTTCAGGTTCTTTGGAGATGATTGTGATGCTGCCGGGGTATTTGAGTTCACGGAGGGCCTGGACAACGCCAATTGTGCCGCTTCCTCTGGGGGAATATTAGTCTGAGATTCTTATTCGGGAATTTTATATTTAAATGGAGAGGTCATGGATGAAAGGGGCTTATATAAAGGGAATCAGCTTACCCGCCGACAATCACGACCTTCTCTTCAGCACTGGAAACGGAGCATTTAATGACGGGGTTACGCTGACCACCCTTAATGTCAGCCTCCGTGCCGCGGATGTACACAGCACCGTCGCGCTCAAAAATGTCGAATTTCTGAAGCGCATTAAGAGCGGGCGCGTCTTCGACGTCACCGGTGCTGATATTAAAGCACGCTGGAATAGATGGATCAGCATTGGCCTATCAATATGTATCAACCACCATCTTATCCCTCCATTCGGGTATACTCCCCTAACTACAGTACCAAACTAATACGAAAGTAGGGGGTCAAACATACCACCGTGCCAGGGACATGTAATCCGGCCATCCGGTACGACAACGCCAAGCTTCAATGGTGCCCCGTAGTGCGTGCACCGTGGGCTAATGGCGTGGACGTGGCCATCGTATTTCACAACGAGGACCTTGCCATCAGGTACGCCGTCGACCTCGCATTCGATCTTGTCAAAGGAGGCGACATCTGCCAGGGCGGCCAGGCCTTTGAGCTTGTATTCCTGGGCCATGGTAGCGAAGGTGCGAGCTTGAAGACAAGGTGGGGTTGTAGTTGGAAGTGGTCGTGGTAGATGGAGATTCCAAGTAGAGAATGCCCGTTTAGACAGGCAGTTCGATGAAATGCGAGCTGGGAGTAATGAATCTGGATAATATTTTCGTAATGTCGAAGTCCAGAAAGACGTAATTATTCTCGAAGTTGGAGCTTGGGCGGACGATGGACTGCGGGCGGCAGAGGTGGAAAAGGGAGAATGCGCGCAGCAGGAACAGGCGCAGTTAGAATTGGCGGCACGTCGACAGCCACAGCCACACCGATACCGATGGGTGTATCGTGTTGGGGAGGTGATTGGTGAGCAACGCTGACGCAGACCCGAGCGGGGGAGTTGATTGCGAGAGAGGGGTTTGGGCGATGAGACCATCGGTGGGGGATGGGAGGAAGTAAGAAACGGGATCGGGGGATGATCGAGACGAGATTGAGGGGAAATGGGTGCACCGTAAGACGGGATAGGATGGCTTTTACCAGGGCTCGTGGGTAGTTGCGATTTAAATAGGGATCAACTGTTATTGGGTTATCTTTCTACTGGATTTCCATTCAGCAAGAAAGAATCATGAAAGCAGGCTAAGATGGTGAAGTATACATTCGCCCAGTGACATCACTGTGACAGCGGGGCATTGGCCAATCAGCGAGCTGGATTGGTCACCATTTCTTGTTCGCTGCTTCGGCCGGAAAAGGGCAGACAAAAGAGTCGAGATAACCAACAAGATTAATTTAGAGACTGGGTCTGATTACAATCATAGAAAGCTATAGACTCGGGTTTACCTTCCCGAGGTATTACTGTCTTACTGCTGTAGCTCAGACTCGAGGGATTCCACCGCAGTCAGTAGTTATAGTAAGGTAGTATAGTATAAATTGCTCTGAGACATATACACATGTGGCATGAATCTTTTAAACCGGAACGCCCACCGCGAATGTAAAGTCCAATGTAAATGGCGAATATCAAAACAGATCGACAGCCTCAACAAGGTACTGCCAATTCTCTTTCCCTTTCAGTCAACAAGCCCAGCCAAATCTCAAAAGTTCAGCTCAGGATCAACCTATTTCTTGCTCTTTTCCTTCTTCTCCTTCTTCTCCTTGGACTTGGACTTGTCCTTTTTCTCCTCCTTTTCTTTCTTCTTCTTCTTCTTCTCGCTCACACTCTCACCAGTAGGCTCTTCAATCTCCACAACGGAAACGTCAACCACCGCATCCGCAGCCGGCGAGCTTGAGATCGGCACAATCCGACCATTCTTCTTCATGGGCGAACCGAAAAACGAAGGCGGCAGCGCCTGACCCTGTTTCTCCGCCGCAAAAAGCGCCTCTTCCTCCTCAACCGTCAACATCGTCCCCTCAATACTCAAGAACCCGCGATCCCGTTCCGAGCCCGGAATCACATCGATATCGACAACACGGAACTTGATATTCCCGCGCACCTTGTGACCAGAGATAGACTGGAAGTATCCACTAGTCGCCTCCTCCTCCTCCTCCGCCTCGCCCTCAATATCGAGCTCATCATCTGCTAGCGCAGCAGGCTGGAAAAGCTCCTTCTCAGCATCGAAGCTGGGCGGCACGGCACTTGCGCCGGACTCGTCGTCCGTGGTTGCGTCTTTGACGGCGTTCTCAGACGTCTCACCGTCTTCGCCGGGGGCCACCCACGTCCACGATGTGGGGAGTCTCTTGTGCTCGATACCGACGGAGAACAAGTTCAGCACGACGGCTCCCAGGAAGCCCTCCGACTGGACGTTGACCCAGCCCTCGAGGGTCTGGCCGCGCTGCGGGCGGAATATCAGGAATGTAGCGGTCAGGTAGACGTACAGCACGCCGTACTCGTCGGCACTGCGGGCCATGGTGAGCGGCTTGGGGTTAGGATCGGAGGAGGAATTGCGGGGTATAGAGGAAGGTGGTGTCGCGGAGATCGAGGCATGACTGTAGGCCAGGACGATACCCTTCAGCGGGGGGTAGTAAGTGAGAAGCAGCGGGGAGATATGCTCCGTGAGCAGCGATTGTAGTGCAACGGTCGACGAGATGGAAATTGGCGCCAGCGGCAGGTATAGTGTGGCAGTGGTGAGGGAGAAAGGAGATCCAGAGGCTTCTGCGAGAGTAGTGCCAGCGCCAGCGCCAGTCGAGCTTGTGCTTGTCCTATCCTTTTTGGAACTGGACTTGGTCTTGTCGCCGGATTGTTCGACTTGCTTGCGCTTCTTGGACGGCACGGCATCCTTGTTCTTGTGCTTGCGTTTGCGCTCCACGTCTGTGGGTGCGGGCGTGGTATCGAGGTCCATTGCGTCGAGGGCCATATTAGACGCAATTGAGCGCTCCGCGGAGCCGGGTGTCGTGATAATAGGTTTGGAATAATCGAGTTTCTTTTTTTTTTCTGCGGCCTGAAGATCGAGAACTTTTTTTTTCTTTCTGCGCTTGGAGAAGGCGGTGGGGGAGCTGGGCGGTGACCGGCTGGTTAGTTACCGCCCGGAGTTTGGCTTTGGGGCCGAGTATCACCAAGTCGCCAGCCTGGCCCCATGGGGAATTTGAAAGTGGTTTCTCTCTGAGTTCCGGGACTGGTGTTGACTTGCCAGTTATTGCATCTTTGCTATGGCGTCTATTCTCCCCTTTATTGGTTGGACGGTTCTTCCCAATGTATGTGGACATTCTCAATGCGGAGAGCACATGCCGCTTTGTATACAAGACCAGGATGACAACTAATGCTAATCATTCTCGCAGTATGCCACGTCTTTTCTCCAGAGTGTCTACTATGGCATTACCATTCGTGCGGGGGACCCTCGTCCCATGCCCCAGACACCACGCTTCGAGCGCGATCGCCGCCGCATCTTCATCGTCGTGATCATCAGTTACCTCCTTTACACGCTCTACGAGACCTTCCACCAAGTCCAAGTCGCGGGCGACTACTACAAAGTGCTAGGCGTATCACCCTTCGCCGATGAGCGCACGATCAAATCCCGCTTCCGCAAGGTCGCAGCCCAGTTCCACCCAGACAAGGTCGGGCTAGACAATGGCGCCGAAGCACAATTCATCTTCCTGCGGCGAGCCCAGGAAACACTGGCCGACCCAGTGAAACGGTTCGCATATGACCGATTCGGACCCGACATGTTGAACTGGGGTGAAAAGAAGACCATGCGCGACTTTGTGACCGCCTCGCTGTCCCGCGCAGTGGTTCCGCAGTATATCGGAGGCTTTGCAACCATGATGGTGCTCAACTGGCTGTGGTGGGCGAATTGGGGCCGCTACGTAAGTAATCACCCAGGACGGGGGTGAATCCCACGAAAAAGTCATCTCTCTTCAATACGCTAACACAACCACCCCCCTCCCAGTGGCGCTTCTTCACCTTCGCCGCCATGCTCACCCTCGAACTCGCCCTAATCACCCACCCCCAAGCCGTCTTCATGCCAACGTCCTACCTCCCCACCACCCTCCGCGCCTGGCTCCACGCCTGGATCCCCGAAGAACAATCCTTCTACCTCCTCCCTTCCAAATCCTCACCCTCGCCCGTCGCGCCTCGATAACCCTACACATCTTCATTTCGCAAATGGCCCCGCCCGCCGCCCGCGCCAGCGCCAGCAACGGCGAGACCCTCTCCCCGCAAACGATGCAGCGCATGGGCCAGCTCGTGCAGGCGTCGCGGGCGACGGACTTTGAGGCTACGCGGTTGTTGCAGCTTGGGCTGGCGCCGTTCCGGGGGGATCGGGAGAGTGTAGGTGCGTTGCGGAGGGGGATGAAGGAGGGGTTGATTCTGGGGGGTGTGAGGTCTAGTCCGGAGGTGCAGAGGGCTGTTGCGCAGGTTATGGAGAGACGGAAGGGTGAGAAGGAGGATAAAGTTGATTAACGATGGGGGGGGGGGGGGGGGGGGACCGAGGAGGAAGGTTGATGATGATGCATTTGTAGATTTGATTTGATTTTGTACATGATAAGATATCTAACACATTGAAGCTGGCGTTTGATTTGGGGAATGGGACATTGTTTGGTGCATGAGGTTAGATCTGGAGATTCGAGTATTCGTTGAAAGAAATGCAGAACTCTGATATTCTGATCCAAGTCCAGAAGCCTGGTGATTTCCATTAATGAGTGAAAATTGACTATGAGCGTGATTTATCCTGTTAATGCAAAGTTGAAGGAAACCCTCCTATCCTTGACCGAACTTACACGACCATACGGCACAATCCAGGACCGAAAAGGAGGCTGGTTGGTTTCTTCTCCTCTTTTTCTATAGTCTTCGAGAATAGCATCATGCGTATATACCAGTGCCAAGTAGTTAATCTACCAAGAGTGATCCCGTAGAGCAAAAAAGTCCCCAGTAAATGAATGATAATAGGATTTCCCTCGAAATCAGTAGTCATCCTGTGACCCGTTAATTCCAAGCTCCGCTCCTTGGGATCTATCCGTGGCTTCCTGCTTCCCGTGGCGGGTTTCCAAGAGAAAAGCAGTACTGTAAATAATGGGATAGCATTTCCGAGGTGGCGTGCATGATCACCAGAATATTCTCTGGAGAGGTCACAAAGGCCGAGGAGGAGTGAGGGTGGCGGTCCCCGTGATACCCGTGATACCCGTGATCGGAGGGATCAGGCCATGGCGTTGCGAATTTGGCTTGGATTCTGGGTCGTTTGGGTGTCTCTGGTGTCGTGTGTCGTGTGTCGTGTCTTGGTTGAGATGTGGAAAGGTGATGTGCAGACTACTGTAGAGAGGGTCATTGCGTATGAAGGTATTTCGTCTGAGTTAATAGGAAGTACATCCTGTACTTACACACTGTGTGCTCGTGAGTATTCTTTGGATGACTATACACGAATGAGCCATTTTCGGGATGCGGCGGAGCGGTGCCAGGAATGAGCTCGGGAAAAGAAACATGATTCCGGCTATACTCCTGCGATGGGAATTTTCGTTAGGGTTGGCGTTGGCGTGGAATGTTAGGAGGGGAGAATTAGAATTAGGGTTGTATTGATGATTCTAGACAGATCGTACATAGATGCGATCCCTCTGTATGAAAATCAAAGACTAGGAAATAGAGTCATCTTGTGATGCTGTACGGCTCTGGCGAATCTGATCCCTAAAATCCCTTTTTTAGTCGTCGTGGATGCCTCCGTCAAATCAAAGGCGAAGGACGGGGAGTCGTAGAGTGATCTGCTTTCGTTTGCATCGAAGATTGGGGCTCGTATTGGTATTGTCATGCAACTAGAGACATGGTTGGATTTAGGGGCGTGGTGGGGGTGGCCGAGTGGTAATACAGTGACCCGGACGCGAAGCCTCACCCGGCGTGTACTAGCAGTACTCCTAGTCAGAGTCCCCCGTAGCCGCGAGTCAATACAAAGTGGAAGGGCCGTACCACAAAGTCGCTCACGAAAGAACCTTTTCCCATCGTCAGAAGAACGAGATGAAATCCACTTCGACGCCCTCCCCCCCCTGGCCTCCCCTTCCTTTTCCTTCATCTTCCCCTTCCACCCATTCTTATTATTCCTCCCTCCTCTTCTTCCCCATACCCGACTCCTCCATACTATGATCCCATCCCCGCTCAACACTCCTACCATCGACTACTTTCGCCTCAACCTGCAATCTCGCCAATTAAGGAAAAATTAAAAGCCCACGTCACCATCATCCGCTGATTGCACTCGGACCCGTCATCACCCCCTTCAATCCCTCCCTCCCACGACCATCCCACGACCTCGCCCCGAATCCAACGCCTCGTTCCTTCGTTCCCTCGTCTCTTCTCCGCGTCCACCATGCCAGCTGGCTCTACCCCCAACGGTCGCTCCAATCGAGCCGGGGCTACAAAGAATGCTCCCACAACGCTCCTCGTAACCCTCAAGCTGGCCCCCGACGCCCTGCGACAGTTCATGGAGGAAACCCCCGACTCCCCCGAGACCAAGACCCAAACCCCCGAACCGACATCCAATCCCGACAAGCCCACCGAGCAATCCTCACCGGCCTCCTCCACCGAAGCCCCAGCTGCCCGGCCATCCTCAGCGGACGCAGAATCAAACGCCGACGCGAACTCAACACCCGCCACGGGGGCCACCCCGGGCGATACCCCTCGACGGAAGGGAATCCCGGGTCCCAAGCCCGGCACCAAACGCGCCAACAGCCAGCTGGAGCCTATCGCGCGAGTACGCGGTCGACCCGGTCCTAAGAAGAAAGCTCGCCTGTAGGTTTATCCTCGAACCCGACCGTGTCTACACAGAAAGACAAGAACACAAGAACACAAGAACACAAGCTAACATACTTTATCCGTACAGTGACGAAGGCGGCGAACCAGGCAAGCTCTCCATGGCCCCTCGACTGGGCCCCAAGGCCAACACCGGCGCTATCAATGCACACCTACGCGCTCTAGATCGCAGCGGCACACCCTGTCGCAAATGGGAGCGTCAACCCCTCAAGCTGCGCAGTTTCACCGGCGTCATGTGGCAGCTACCGGCGTGGGGCAGCTACAAGGTTGCAAAACCCGAGTCTGATGAAAATGAAGTGGCTGTTAGTCTGGAGAATGGGGATATTGATAACAAGACTCTTGCTGCCCCGGGTACCGACACAGTCAATGGCAGTAGTGCTGTCCCGAGTGAGAAGAGTACTGGTGATGGGGAGATGACCCCAGCACCATCGAACATTGTTGAGCCCTCGTCCCCGGCTATTGCCTCGGCTGCATGAGCTGGGGCTGTACATTAGATTTACACTGTTCTACACTGTTTTTGGGGAGTTCCGTTCCCGGTTTTGCTTTTGTCTGTCTTTTTTTTTTTGCTTGATCATCTGGTTTTGGTTTTGGTTTCGGGTTCTGGGCTTGGCTTCTGGCGTCTATGGAAAGGGTATGGCCGGTCTGAAGGCTGTATAGGGGGTTTACATGTTTCCTGGCAGTACCCGGTGGTGACTGTTCAGTCTGCTTTTTTTTTTTTTTTTTTTTCGTTGAAAAAGGTCCCTGGAAATCATCTTGTATCATAAATCATTGAGGATTCTTTTTTTTGAACTTTCGGGATCGGGGATCTACTGGTTCTTTTCTTCTTCCATGTCTGGTCTGTTCATTCTACAGAGTACTGACCCGGGAGGATATCTTCTCTTTGTTCTATTGCTGAACTATGGCATGTGCAGCATAATGTTTCTTCCCAGAAAATTAAGCTTGTTTTATGGCTGATTGTATGGAGGATCTCTTTGTAAGAATTTAAACTCCCGAGTTGGCCAGTTAGGGCTCGTAGGAAGTATGACAGGTCGCTGTAATCACGACCCTCTCTCTATAACCACTCTAGACAGGATAACACAGTTGCTATCATGATCTCTACACACACATATCTATCTATCCTAGCCTTGTTGACTATTTTCGTTCCTCCTGCTTATCTGCGTGTGCTGGGCCTGAACGGGGAGGGGACCTCGTGACAAAGCACCGTGCTCGTCTGCAACTCGTCCTCTCTTTCTTCCCCCTCCTTTTTCTGGCCTGACTATAAGACACTTTTCCCCGCAGTTTCACTCCAGAACAAGACTCCTCGGTCCTCACCTCCCTGTTGCTTGAACTCCGCGGTAAAACCCTTCACGGTGGGGGTGATTTCCAGGGACCAGACGTGGACTCGTGGGCACCAAGGGGCCATCCGAGGGCTGCCCGAAACCCTCTGGTCCGTGAAACAACATTGTTGTTCGGCTTTTGGGAGGGCCTTGGTCCTCTGGACGCGGCCCTCGTTGCTGCTTCCGGTCAACCCAGATGACCCGCTTGTCACGCAACATCAGCAACAATACATACCATTCTCTGGACAACTGGCCAAAACAGACAAAAGCAAGGCCACCACGGGTGTGGGCCTTGGTCGTGCCCCAAAGTCTATCAGGTTTGTTGGGTTTGTCCACCGTCATCCACTCCGCCTGTTGTGGATGACTTGACCCGCCCGCCATGGCCGACCTTCCCTTCCCTGGTGGAGCTTCTCGAGCTCCAACATACGGCATCGCCTCCGGTCCACGCCGCTCCTCCTACGCCTCCGTTGTCTCTGGCACCGCTCTATCTCCTCCAATCTCCAGCTCCTCCCCCTCCTTCCCACACCTCCTCACCACGAACCCGGTCTCTTCATACCCCCCACTCTCCCAGCCTGACGCTCGTCTCCCCCGGGCTTTGTCCGGCCTGGATGCCGCAGACATGCACCTGAACTCCGCCTGGCGCACCTCAGGGTCCCCAGATGCCCTGCCCGCCTACTCACGCAAGTATACCAACCATCTGCGCCCAGCCGAGTTCCCCCACGGCCTGGGCCTTCTCGATACACCGGCCTTCGTTACCCCGTCCTACCTCCGCAACTCCCACTACATCTCCCGCCTCGACGCCGCCCATCGAGCCAAGCTCGCCGCCCAGCAGCGTGATGCCTCTTCATCCACATCTGCCTCGGGTCCTGCCCTCTCTGCATCATCCAGCCATGTGCATCTCCCCCGCATGGCCCCGTCCCATCGCGGAATGACATATGAGATCATCGAGAAGGAACCCTCCGCCGCAACGACGGACCAGCTTAGTCCGCTCCCCACGCAGTGGAGTTCCTCGGACAAATATGCCGGGTTGGAACTGTCTAATGAGGGACTGGATGTGCGATATACGGGGCCGGTGCATAAGCATGATCATGAAGCGGCGGCCTTGCGGGCGGATCATCCTATGCCGCCACAGTGCGGGATCTACTACTTTGAGATCAAGATCGAATCCAAGCCGAAGGAGGGGTAGGTTTTTGCATTGCTTTGCTACCAGTGGGACTTGGTAAATGAGGTCAAAGAAGGAAATGAGCTAATTCTGGGTTCTTGCAGGATGATCGGTATTGGATTCTCCAGCCCCAAGGCTTCAGTCGAGCGGCTGCCTGGTTGGGAACAGGAATCCTGGGCTTATCACGGCGATGATGGAAAGTCATTTTTTGGCGAGAGCCAGGGTCAGGGGCGGGGGTATGGACCGACGTTTGGCGTTGGAGATACTGTGGGCTGTGGAGTGAACTTCGCCACGGGATCGGCGTTCTTTACTAAGAATGGGAATTTCTTGGGTACGTTATCGAGTATATCCAGTACGTGTGGAATGACAAGCCGCTAAGCAATGATATACTAGGAAACGCATTCCATGAGTTGCGAAACGTCAAGCTTTATCCCTCGGTTGGGATGAAGAAGCAACCGCCCGTCCATCTGAAAGCAAACTTTGGCCAGGAGCCGTTCATGTTTGATATCGATGGGATGGTCAAGGTAGGCATCATCGTGGACCCCGGTTGATTTTTGCTACGCCCTCAACTAACCACCTTAATAGTCAGAGCGAGCCTTGATACAAGCAGAGATCAACGCAACCAGCACTGATAACCTGCAACCCCCACTCAACGAGTCAGCACTGCTCCAAGAACTAGTAGCCCAATTCCTGGCACATGACGGATACGTCGAGACGGCGAGAGCCTTTGCCGAAGAGGTAGCCACCGAGACGGTCGCACTACAAAACGGTCAACGAGAGCCTCTGAAGAAATACGAGGTCGAAGAAGACCGCGAAGCCATCAACCGTAACAGTAATCCCTCCCTCCTCCCCGCCTCCTTCCAAATCCCATCTCTAATCCCGTATTCAGAAATCCGCGCTGCAATTCTAGACGGCGACATCGACAAAGCCCTCAAACACACAAAAGCCTACTACGCCTCCGTCCTCGAAAACAACCCCCAAATCCACTTCAAACTCCGCTGCCGCAAATTCCTCGAAATGATGCGCCGCTCCAGTGAATTAACACCGGGCACGTCAAACCCCAAACGCCGCCGCCCAGACTCACCCAGCACCGGCGGCATCCCCGACGAACACGCCGTGTTCGACCAGGAAATGGAACTAGACGACGGTGCCTGGGACGGCGGTAGCGGTAGCGATGGCATGGACACGGAGGAACCAGCCACAACCGTAGCGCCGTTCAACGAGGTTCTAACCGAGGCGTTGCAGTATGGTCGACAGTTGTGCGTGGATTATCCCTCTGACGAGAACGGGGGCGATAAGAAGATGCTCGATGCTATATTTTCGTTGGTGGCGTATCCGGATCCGCTGAATTCGATGTATGGGCATTATCTTGATCCCGCGGGGAGGGTTGCTGTGGCTGAGGAGTTGAATTCGGCTATACTAGGTGGGTGATTACCTTTTACACTTGCTTTTGCATTTGCATTTTCCTTTGATACTGTGTTTAGTATCCATGCTAACGAATCTGCTTGACTAGTTTCCCTTGGGAAATCCTCCTCTGCTGCACTGGAACGATTATATCAGCAGACGGAGGCTTTGGTCAATGAAATCAGCGAAGACGGCGGCGCTGGGGCGTTTATCAATGTTCGGAATGACGTTTTGCTTTGATTTCTGCTACTAGCGGGGGAGTTTCCTCGTCCTGGTTCATGTCTCTTCTTCTCGCCTATCTGGTCTCCCTTTTCTACACAGTTTTTTTTTACCTAACTAGGCCGAGTTAAGGGGTTTTCGATCTCACTTTTTTTTTCTTTTTCTTTCTTGGATTCATCATTCTGGGATCTACTCTACTCCTTTTTTTTGGTTCTGGTTCTGGTTCTAGTTTAGGTGTGTTTGCGAGGCGCTGGGTTTTTTTTGGTTCTCTGACTTGGCCTGACCTGGTCTGACCTGGTCTGATCTGACTTAACTTGTTCTCACCTGCTATGGCTGGAATGGGACGGATTGGATCAGGTTCGGCTTAGTTTGAGGGATCTTCATCATGTGTCCCTACCGCGTGCTAGCCCAGCCAGAATGTGTGATTGTGGTCTCTTCACGTAACTGAGGCCTGTTTTTGAAGTCCTTTCTGATTCTGCTTTATAGATCTTCTTCTAGAAGTATCTTGTTAGGTCAGTGTTTACTTTGTGGTTTGTGGTTTGGGTTCTGTAGAGGAGAGGAGGGCTACACCATACTGTATGTGCGGGGTGACGAGTGGAGTAGATTGGATGGACTGTGGTAGGAATATGGATCCTGTCGTTAGGTAGCTAGGCTAGGCTAGGCTAGGTGTGTGTCCTAGTGGGCCTTGATTTGAGATACGGAGAGTGAATGGAATTAGAACTAGTAGGGCGATGGTTGATGGATTTGTAAAACTTGAATGTCCGACATTAATTTTTAGTCGAGTCCTACCTGGCTAATCCTCATCTTCCTCCTCATCCTCGCTACTATCACCATAGGGTGGACCCAATGGCCCGCCCCATTCATAATCCTTCCCAATCCTCGCATTCGCCCAACAACCATGTTCAGTCAAATAGCAATCATCCAGATTAACGTAGCTTGCCGCATCTTCCACAGTCTGGCGATACGAGCGAATCACCCGCCCACACTCATCAAACCACACAGCAAGAACCTTGCCTGCATTCCGGCCCTCCTCGGCAAACGTCTTCGCATCGATGATGTAGATGCGGCCCATGATCAGAGCCATATGGTACTCGTCATAAAAAAGGGGCCACGGCAGCGCGTCCTCTTCCGGATCATAGCCATCCATCTCTGCTTGCTCCGCATCTCCGGCTTCGGCCTCGATTCCGGAATCAAGAGCCTCTTTCACGCTAGTCTCGTATTCCTCGGCGGATTCAGAGCTTTCTAAGAGCTGTGGCATGCGGAGGAAGACGTTTGCCCAATTGGACCCGAAGTCATATTGGGATGCATCGTCCATGATCGGGTAATCACTGCATTTCTGTTCTATCGTGGTTTTAATGCTTGAAAATGCAGCGTCTGTCGAGGGCTTATAGCAAGTGCGTAGCCATAGCCTATCCGTGGACTGCCTTTCAGCAGGAATATAGCGCACACTGGCCAAGAGGTCTTGTTCCTGGGGAGTCAAGTCCGAGGCTTTTGAGAGATGCCGCTCTGTCTTCTGGTCTTTGTATGGCTATAAACGTGATCAGACGGGGCAAGGGAAAAAAAGGTCACTGGAGAAATACCTGGCGACCCTTAACCCCGAGGCTCACAAACTCGGCGAAAAGCTTTTCGCGTTGTGCGTCTAGAGAAAGCGGCGAATCCTCTTTCCATCGCTCCTGCAAATGATTTAACATCAGCTTTATCCATCTCAGTCGGCGCTATGTCCTCACCAATAGGAACAAGTCGGGTGAATGAATGCGAATTTTCGAAGGGTCCATGTTTAGAGCTCGATTTAAGGACTGGTAAGTCCTGAACAGTCGTGGGTGAGGTTGTCAAGAGAAAATACTCTTCAAAGCTGAAAAGAGGAATCACATGTACGAGGAAAGTTGAAGGTGGAAAACAAGCCCTTGCAATGAGGGCTATTCAGTGCGCATCTTGCGGAGGAGACACGGAGCGAACGACTTGGTAGTCCCACACTAGCCAGGCAACTTCATGCCTGAGGCATGAAATTTAACAGATGCACTTAGACAGGTTTAGGCAGTGCTAGCATTATTGGTTTTAGTTAGCCATTGAATTGTATAGCAGCATCAGATCAAAAGGCTAGAAAATCCAAACGCGATCTGTAAATTGTGCCTCCCAAAAACCCCAATATACTACTTTGAAGGTTCCAGTCCATCTCGAACCAACTACCCTCTATCGTCCTTAGGATACATCTTTCGGCCCTGGTTAAAATAATGCAATAAATCCATGAATTTCGTTTCAAAGTACAGATTCAGTGTGCTATGGACTTTGCTTAAACATATACGGGCTGGTTCAGGTCATACTTCCCACCAACAGACAATTGAGGAATCTGCGAGTATTTGTTCTCCAGCATGCCTCTGGTGCTTTGCAGGACCTATAATTGATGGTTTCGGGTTAGTACGTCCTAAGTTAATGATTTGCGGGGTGTTCAGACCTGAATGTAACTCTGGCGTGGATTGTGCCTCATGGTATTGATGAACGCCCAGGACATTGCACCTAGATTTCCATTAATATACACACATCCAAAGGTAGATAGATCATGGATAAAAGGCACTCTAGGTAAGGGAAACGCGATACTGCTTACCTGTTGCAAGACCTTGCATACTCGTATCAGCAGATGTCTGATCATCAGCACAACCGCTAAACATCCACACATCCTTGCCCTCATTGCGCCAATCTTCCACGAAATTCTCATCAGCGAGCCCATTTTCATCCGAGGGTGCATCTGGATGTGTGAATTTATGCAGCAGAGACGATCCGCGCCCAATCAATGACTGTACATCGCGGACTTTCTCCACGGAGAATCCGCCGTGTAGCAGGGCTGATGCCTCCTTTGCCAGCGACATGCCTTCTTTGACATTGTTGACCATGTTCACTCTGCCGTCGGCGTCGGGTCGGAACACGTAAGGTAGTTCCACGGCAGAGCCAGAGTGGCAGCAGTCAAAGAGGATGGTTAGCCGGCTCCGGGGATTCATGGGTGAGACGATCACTTTGTGGAGCTGTGTAATAACTCAATACATGCTCATTCTTTTTTGGTAAGTTTGTAGTCATTATTTAATTGAACGTACCGTGTCACTTGTAATCTGTCCATTCTGTTCGAAATCAACAGGACATATAGTGTCATCGAAGCTAAGAATCGTAAGCACGGGGTTGATCTTGCATGTTACATCCAGATGATTCAAATGCATACCCAGAATCTCGGTCCCCATCAGGATCTCGAACTTGGCCTTTGAAAAGTATTTTGTCAGAAATTCCCCACTGCACAGTACAGCTTTCAACGAAAACATACTCCCATGACCTGAATATGACAACCACAACGAATCACCAGGATTGTTGCCGGAGACTAGCCACTTGAATGCAGCCAGCATGTTGGCGCCAGTAGGAAAGAATGGCGTGCCTCGATTCTCCGGCGCATCGGTCAAGATCACCATATCCCGCTGATCTGGAGAATAACCACGGTCTCGAACTAGGTATTCGCGAACGTTCATGGCGTCATTGATGCAGCCATTCAGCTGATGCTTGGAGCCGGTGTAGTTGATTCCAATCAGGAGGGCCTTCTTACGGGGCATGATGGGCGAATAGTAGCTGGATAGCTGGAATGCTGTGGCCAAAGTACCGAATTATGTTGATTGTAAAAATGGACCACCAGAGAGGTAGGAGAGATTTACAACTCAGGGTCAGTGGTTCCTAGGTTTGATGAGGTTCGGACCGCTGGTTCCCCCGCAGACATGCACGTGGCCTAGGCTACCACGAACAACTGGACTGTTCACATGACTTGGCAAAAGCTTGACTGGAGGAACGGACATACAATTGATCCGTGGACACCTTTAGGTAAGATAACCTTAAAATCCCCATCGCGAACTGGTGAATCACCTTTTAAGTGACTTCTGCCGTTTCTGGCTAGACCCACCTAATGAATAGTTCAGTACCCAATGAGCGGCTATGCTATGCATTCTGTACTACTGCACTTAGTGTTCTGACTGTTGTCTGCTCTCGGAATTTCTTCGGAGCGGGGGTGGAGCTCCTGAATTCCAATGTCCCGGCGGGGGTGGAGCGTCCCCGGACTCTCCTTGCCGATCTGCTCGGAGACCCCACGGGCTGGCTTTGAAGCTTTAAGTCAGGCTCGTTAACCTCGACCAGTGGAGCCGTGTTCTGGCCATCCAGCATCTGATCTTCGACTACTCTTGTCACGCCACTCGATGCAAGTCCCGGCGGAGCACGATGGTTCATTGTGACTGACAGGGCTATATATCTGGAGCCATCTGTCTCCAGAATTACTCCCCCGCATGACAAGATTCGCCCACTGATCGACTGCTGATCTGGTGCTTCTTATTTCCCTGTCCCGACATTTTCCAGGATCCTATTGCCATACCGTTCATCATGGCTGTGGATACTGTTGTCCTGACCGAGCGCGAAGTCCAGCGCTTGCAGCTCGGTGGTGCGGAGACTCTCGAGCTGGTCAACCAGGCGCAGGAGAGTGATGCGGCGGACCGACTTTTGACCATTCGCGCTGCCTTGACGAAGTACAAGAGTGCCGTCTTCTGGGCCATGTTCCTTTCCACCAGTTTGGTCATGGAGGGCTACGATCTAGTCATTGTAAAGCGAAATCCTCTGCCTATACCCATTACTCACCGAAGTTCTCCAGAGCTCCACTAACATACAGTCCCACCTCTAGATAACCTCCTTCTACGGCCAAACTCAGTTCCAAGAACGATTCGGAGTCTATGACCCGGCCACTAAACACAACCTTATTCCCGCTGCATGGCAATCCGGCTTGTCCAACTCCTCCGTCGTCGGGCAGCTTGCCGGTCTCATCGTCAACATGTATGCGCAGGACCGCTTCGGTTGTCGGCCAACTATGATGTTCTTTATGGCGTGGATGAGCGTAATGATCTTCATCCCCGTTTTCGCACCCTCCCTGCCGGTCCTAGCGTTTGGAGAAGCCATGTGCGGTGTCTCCTGGGGCGTGTTCCAGGTGTGTACACATTTCTTCCGCTCGCCTTTTGTCGGGCCATCCATCAATTGAATCTAACTATCTTAATCTCTCCCCAGACACTCTCTACTAGCTACGCCTCTGAGGTCGTTCCTACCGTTCTCAGACCCTATGTTACGGCCTATGTCTGTATGTGCTGGGGTGCTGGTATTCTCCTCTCTTCGGGAGTTGTCCGAGCTGTGGCCAGTCTCGATGGAGATATCGGCTGGCGACTTCCCTTTGCGATCCAATGGGTCTGGCCTATTCCGCTTCTGATAGGTGCTTACCTTGCCCCCGAGTCCCCGTGGAACGCAGTCCGACGTGGCAAGATGGAAATGGCGAGAAAATCTTTGATACGGCTGCGTCAGGATACCCCAACCAAGGAACGCGACGTGGACGCTACCCTGGCTTATATCCGATACACCACCGAGCTGGAAAAGGCAGAGACTGATGGAGCCTCCCTCTTGGATTGCTTCAAGGGAGCGAACTTGCGCCGGACTGAAATCGTGAGTTGATGCCTTCTCTCCCTTTTTTATGGACCATGTCATTCAATATTTCAAACTTCGTGGCAAAACTGACTCACTGAGCTCCTTTGTAGAACTGTGTTGTCTGGGCCGCGCAGATCCTCTGCGGTAACGCCATTCTGGGTTACTCCGTTACCTTCCTCGAGGCCGCCGGCTTTACTTCAATCCAGGCCTTTGACGTGAACATCGCGCTCTCAGCATGCTACATCATCGGCGGTGTCATCTGTTGGCTGCTCTTCCCGCACTTCGGCCGAGCCACAATCTACATGACGGGTCTCACCTTCATGTTCTTCTGTCTTATTGCGATTGGTGGTCTCGGATGGGCGACTGGGACTCAATCTCAGCTCGCCGTTGGCATTTTGCTTGTCATATCTACTCTCGTCAACATGATTACCATCGGCCCAGTCTGTTATCCTATCGTCGCTGAGACCCCGTCCGGACGCTTGCGTTACAAGACTATTACCATCGGCAGATTTGTCTACAACCTCACTGGAATCTTCCAAAACTCTGTTACCCCTCACATGATTTCATCGACCTGTAAGTTCCTTTCTTCTTTTCTTTGACGTGGCAGCAGCTTCTCCTTGAACCCAGCTAACCAAACCCTTTTCTTGTAGCTTGGAATTGGGGCGCCAAGACAGCCCTTTTCTACGCCGGCACCAACCTCCTCTGCAACCTCTGGTGCTGGTTCCGACTTCCGGAAACCAAGGACCGCACCTTTGGTGAAATCGATCTACTCTTCGCTAATAATGTGCACGCGCGCAAGTTCAGGACCACCAGAGTCGAACGTAAGTATTTCCACAGCTGTTACCGGCTATGTATAGAACAGAGGCTCTAACAGCGAGTGTATAGAATTCTCCCAGCAAAGTTATATTCCCAAGGAGGCGGAGGCCGGTGTGCAGTCCACTACTCATGTGGAGGAGGCCATGTAAGGAAGCTTGGAGAAAGTCTTTCTAACAGAGTGTTAGCGTTGTATGTTATTACCTAGGCCATGTAGTTAAGAAAAAGGTGAACTTCTTCTTGCTGAGAACCAACATGTATCGTAATCCCGAATTCTTAGTACGCAGGCTGAACGAGGAATTTGTGTACCAAGCCAAGATCAGAAATTTACTTAAATAAGACACTATGATATAACGATTCGCTTATCTGCATATTACTTGATTTCTCATCTTACAGACTACTTGTAAACAATTGCTGGCGGATAGATTTTTTTCTCGGCAACGCAATTCGATGGCTATAACTAGGGGTAAACTAGATGATTAATCCAACACAAGCTAGAGATCGTTTGGGCCTTTAAGGGCTATCCCTATGTGTTGCGACACAAGATTCTCGAGGTTAAATCCATCTTTCAGCACCCATGAACCGTAGGAAGTTTAGGAAGACGCTAGGTGGAAACCCCCCGGAAAGCTCCAAGGCTAAAATCACTATTTCCGCATGTGCGTGATGCAACGCTCACGTGGCTGTAACGACACAGGAGGTTTGTCTGGAGTAAAATTATCTTTATTGAGTTAATCGAAAGATCTATGGAAGCTAATTACTCTTAACCAAGGAGACAACTAGCATGACCCCTCCGAAGTTCGAGAGCAACAGTAAAGAACTGTAACAGTCCCTACGGGCCCGGCCAAGATATCGCAACATGTACAGTGGGCAAAATCTGGATCAGAGCAGTCGGCATTCGTCGAACAAGTTCCCGTTACATCTCGGTTCAAAAGAACAGTAGCGGGCGTGGAGGGGGCAGCATTCGAGACCCAAGGAAACAGCATCACCCAGAGTGCTGCAAGTGGTAATATAGTCTTGATTTTGGGCGACATTATGAGTTTAAAATTCCTCAAGTTCTGGATGAAAAAAGTGAAAGCAAACCTCAATATATGTTTTGATGATAAGGTATTCTGCTCGGAGCTGCGGAGTAGAGGCCGTTGCCCGAAAAAGGCAGATTTCCGGAACACGAACCGAGCCCCGCAGGCCGCGAGATCGAGCCAGGAGCGAATTGCGGGGCAAACTCCGTGGGAGAGAGTTAGAGCCCGGTCCAAGTTAGCAAGTCATGAATCTTCTACCGGAGCGTTTCGTCAGGCGTAGGGCAGTCAACTCCCCCGCGCGGAGATTATCTCGGTTAAGGTTTCCCCAGATTCTCCGCTCCACGTTTAATTCCTGAAGAATTGTGCAGATTCTGAACATTAACATGGTACTCCGCATGGACAGGGGTATCATGCTAGCAGTATATAAAACAGCCCGATAACCCGATAAAAATGAGGTCTGAAAGAAACCACAACCTCCTCATATTCCCACTTCGAGAGTACCTTTTAAAACTGCCGAGATGCGCTGGGACTTGGTACATGCTCTTGCCCTTGTACAGTTAGCTTCTGCAGGCCCTGTTCGGACAAGAGACACTGTTACAGCTCAGGTGAACTTCAATAATAACACCGGCACCCCGCAACATCTTGCATCTGGACTCTTGTATGGAGTTCCTGATACTCTGAACCAGATTCCGGTAGGATATTACCATTCTTCTACCAAATTGTTGATTCTCAAACTAACCTCAATCACCTTTTCAGTCCCACTTCTATCAGAATATTGGGTACAATTATGAACGTGCTGGAGGCGCACAGGTCGCGGCTCCTGGCCGAGGCTGGATCTGGGGCCTGACTGAGTATCAGGTAAGAAAAGAGGCTACCAGTTACTAGAATGACACTGACAATCTGAGTAGAACCGGTTTAAATCAGCGCTTTCAAATTATCAGACGGCACGCGAGTACGGTGCAACATTCATTTTCCTGATTCATGATCTCTGGGGTGCTGATGGAAGTCAGAACTCGTCTGCTCCCTACCCCGGAGATAATGGAGATTGGACTAGTTGGGATGCATACCTTACCCAATTGTTCTCCGATATCAAGGCCAATGGCATGACAACTGCGCTTGTCGTTGATATTTGGAACGAGCCAGACCTTACAGCATTCTGGAATCGTGATCAAACACAGTACCTGCAGATGTGGGGTAGAACATACCACAAGTTCAGGTGAGACCCCTTCTGCATCTAGCTTTTGTTCCATCTTGTTCACTCAACTTACTTCTATGAAGGAATGAGTTCGGTACTGCTGTCCAGCTCTCTGGGCCAGCCAGTGCCGGTGAACCTCTTTCTACCAACACGTGGTGGAAGGCATGGGCTTCCTTCGTCGCCGGTAATAGCTCGATCCCAGATCAGTATGCTTGGCATATGGAAGGAGGTGGTGGAGACCTTCTTTCAGCACAAGCAGGCCTCAACTACTGGCGCTCGACTTATAACCTCCCGGCAAAACTGATCAACATCAACGAATATGGCGTCTACGATGAGCAGGTTCCCGCTGGATCTGCTTGGTGGATCAGCCAGCTAGAACGCATCAACGCCCATGGTCTGCGCGGGAACTGGCTAAGCGGAACTAATCTTCATGACGACATGGCCTCTCTCTTGGGTAAATCTGGATCCACCTACCACCCCAACGGAGACTATCAGGTGTACAAGTACTACTATCAGAACATGACTGGCTATCGAGTTGGAACACTTCCTTCTTCGGACTTGAAGTTGGAGGCATATGCGACCGTTGGCTCGGATTATGCTCGTGTGCTAGTTGGGGTTCGAGTCGCCACGGGCACCTGGGAGTTGGAGCTGAACTCGCTATCTTCTCTTGGATTGCCCACCAGCGGAACCCTCAATGTGCATACCTGGGGATTCCCTGTAGCCTCTGATGTGCACAATGGAGAGGTGGATGGGCCGACTGATCTGGGCTGGTACGGCCATGCCTATTCGGGAAATACCGTTACCTTCCCTGTTTATCAGACGGACGAGGTGACTGCATATGTTTTCGAGTTTGCCATCTAAGGGATGGGAACTCGCTCGATGAGCTGTTGTCTTTAAAATACTTGCACAGTGAAATCATCTCTTCCGATAATTTTATCGTTTTACTCCACGACTGTCAACCACAGGGTAGTGTGTAACTGCATAACAGAGGATGCTAGTTGCAGACCGAGCCAGCACCGATCATTCAATCGAAAGAAAGGATCTTCAAGTACATCCACCTGCGGCATCCACCAGCAACACGAGCCCGATAGTTATTCTTCAACTGGTATTGGAAATCTAGTGCACGGATACGGTATTATCGGTCCCTGTGATTAGCGACAAAACCAGCCACTCCAGTGGCCCGAATCAGTCTCACAACCTCGAAACCTGAGATTATCTTGCGTACGTTCCATAAAACTAGAAGAGAGAGTGTGTTAGAGCGGGTTCAAAATATTCCCTAGAAGCACATCGTAAAGGCAATTTCGAAGTGTCATTGAAGGACTACTGTAAAATGCATCTTGTATAGTATTATATTCCCCCTGTAAGAATACACCATACGCGTTGACTGTTAGGCAACCAACCCTAATGGCCACTTTCTACCAGCTCCAAGCTCATATGTGCCCGTAACCCCCCGACCCAAGCACAATATCTGTACATCTCCTTTTCTCCCCCCTCTCAATGCAATTGAGGGATTCTCAGTTCCCCAGACATCGTCTTGGCCCAAGTATAACACAGTACCCAATTCTACAAAACGATGAAAAATATCATTAATATCACCTGTCCGAGTGGAGATATGCCAGCGTCCAGTCTAACACCTCTATTATGCGCAGCACTTGGCGAAGTTGTGGCAGTGGGTGCAATGTTGTTCGTCGCCCCATTGCCCGTGTAGGACATATTGGTGGCATTGGCAGTGTGTACAATCAAGGTAGAAGGAATATAGGACCCATTGTTGTTCATCTTGAAGAGAGCTGAGTAGTCCCGCTTCGGGCAGTGACCAGATGACGAGTCATACATAGCATTAGAGTGTGGCACACTCCGCTCCAGCCGCGAAAAAAACAAGAGACAATCACTCGTACATTCAATTGAGAGCGAGAGAGTACTGGCAAAATTCTTGGTTTGCAATGGTGCCATTGGTCGGTGTCTAACGGTGTGCTTATCGGCCCGCTGATAGGAGGCTTGAAAAATAGATTGAGTGTCTATCCAAACCCAGATTGAATCTAGACCATACTGTAGGCCGATAGTGCAAAGATCAAATGATGCCATGATGCTGACTGAATGTACCAAGGGCCCGGCAGTGAGCCTACTCGTGACATGCAACTAGAGGTACACACAACTCGAAAAACCCGAGGCTTCCAGCCATATCATGGGTTTTCATTGCTGAGCTCAAAGTTTGAAAGCAGCCTGATTCCTTCAATCTCGGATCCTCCATGTTGTGAGACCTCGTATTCTCGTGTCATTGTTTCAGCGCCACATCCAATAGAATGTTGCTATTTGATGGGGTTGATAAACCAGCGCATGCAGTTGGTGAGGTGAGCTTTTGCTCATCTAAGTCGTCAGTTTCATGCTGGGGATATTCGGTGGACGTCCAAATGGACCATAAATAGGAGACTGTTCTGCTCCTCTTCAAACTCCATCCAGACACTCTCCAAGCACATAGATCATCAGCCTCCAGATCAATTAACAATTATGATTGTCAATTTCTCCTTAGTCACGCTGCTCGTGGCCACAATTGCCTTAGCCTCCCCGTCGTCTGGCCTCGCTCGACGGACCTGTGGCCTGGGTCCCTCATATATTGACATTCTCAACATCACGGCGCCCAATCAGCCGTCATCTACGTATAGCCAATTCACTCTCACCCGCGACGATAACCCTGTTAGCAATATCCAAATTGTTGCTATGACCTTCGACCTCATCCCCCCCTCCGCCACGGGCTGCCGACTGCAGATAACCATCCCCCAGCTCACCGAACCAAATCAGATCGCATGGGGTTCCGCGACCCAGGCCGAGTTCTGGACCACCGACCCATGGTATCCCAATACTCCCCCGACGTGGAACAATCTACCAGCCAAGCGGGAAATGGTGGCCACCTTTGGGTTTCCGACATACGTGACCAACTCTGTATTTCAGACCAACCTGGCGAGCAATGTCTGCACCGACCCGATGAGCTATCTCATTTCCTTGAGCGATTGGCAGACTCAGGCAGGAGGGGTGAATTTCGTTAATTCTCTAGGTGGAAAACAGGGATTGGAGGTGTTAGGTTTTGAGACGATCTTTGATTGTTGATAGGTGTCGTAGAATGTATCTTCCATAGATATAGGCAATGCCGAGGGAGGCAAATATTTTCATGACTATAAAATTTCCATAATTCACCCCTATACAATATTTGTCCAGTTGGCTTCTCAGAAAAAAGCCATGCATCAAAGCCACCTTACTAAACATAGGGGCAGTTCTTCGTGATGGCCTGCATTTAATGTGCAGACCCGCCACTTCTAAGACCGATACTGCGGCTGTCGATCACGTATGTATTTCTTTTCCGTGTATTCGAGTCTCCTTTCTTGGGAAGAGCGGGTATAAGTAAAGTCAGCATTGGAGATACCACCTTGCAGGGTCCTCCAATGGGGAATCTGTAAGGACGACCTGCAAACTCCAAAACAAAATACGGTGCTTCAGAAACATGCTCGTCAGGCCAGGTCCCTCTCAAGCACAATGATGTGTTTGATGTGGCTTCATGTTGGCTTTATTACAATCTATGTACTAACAAAGGGCCAAATAGACTCAACTGCGAGTCTGGACACATCGCGCTCACGATTTCTTTCTGCCGAATTCTGTATTCTTGTTCCCTCCTGTCGTCGGAAAAATCCAGCTCCCCTGACGTTTGATGAGTGCTGATTGCCTCATTTGATCCTCTACATATTCAGGGGTTTATGAAGCAAATTGCAACATTGTCTATAACGCTTGCCAGTCTTCGATCTCTCGTACATACTGATTATTATTACGATTTATAGAACTCATATAGAATATATAGTATGCAGGATATGTTATCATCATTATAATACTAACTCTATAGCTAACCCCGATGATTTATAACCTCTTGAATATCCCGCATACCCTCTTGCCGCACGGCCTGAGAGCTATAATCTTGAAATAGGCTCTTTTTCACAGCCTCTAACTGATCCTTGATAGAATTTACCGCGAATGGAGATATCTAATCCGTATTAAACCAAGTAACGCTGAACAGTCATAGAGCCCCTTACCATATAGCCACCCTCGATCATACATTCACAGGCAATACACTTGCCACGATGTAGACACTGTCGTATATCCAGATTATAGATCGACTCGAGTAGTATAGACTGGCAGCCCCGGAATATAAAACCCGGCGTACTATCAGCGTGGCGAACGGGCGATTGGGTATGCGGGGCCTTCATTGTTGATATATAAGGAGATGATTAGGAAAAAAGATAGGTAATTGAAGGGTCGCGAATACGAACCTCTGAATAGATGTTTCATTGCCTTATAGCCCTTCGATGTAGCCCGGAATAGTGGTGTTCTGCCGAAGTTACCGAACGCCCCAACATTAGCTCCTTCGAAACGCAGGTTCGAGCCGTCGCCTCACTCCCTCGCCCGGCAGCCCACAGCAGTGCGGAACTCTCCGAGTTCTGCGAAGCATGCCGATATAGGTACAAATTGAGGAGGGAATTAAACTGCTAGTTGGTTTGATCCAACGAGTTAATCTCTCTCTCTGTGTGTGTGTCCAGAAAATTTGCAGCCAAAAGTAGGAATTCCGCAGGTGAAAGGAGATAAACAAGGTTTTTTACATAAGTATATTCCAAGCATGAGCCCTATCTGGCCAGGACTCAAAGGGGATCTTAGCTGACTACGAAATTTTCTCATGTCCATTTTAGGATTCAAGCCTTGGTTTTTTTTTTGAGCGTCGGGTATGCAATCTTTATTATGTTGCCATATCACAGTAATTCATGGTCCTTGTCGGCTTTGTCGCCCGCAAAATTTGACATGGCCACGCGCCGAACATGACTTGCCGTCCAGCAAGCTGAAATCCTACTTTCTCCCATCCTAAAGACTTCAATATACGGCAGTATTGGTTTGCATATCCACTCAGCTCTAGGACAACCAACAACCCACCCGGTCGCAAAACTCTCGCCGCTTCCATGATCGCCTTTTCGCGGGACTCTTTAGCCACGTTGTGAATTGATAAGCTTGCAGTGACCAGTCCCATTGTGTCGTCCGCAAAAGGTAATTGTGTGAAATCGGCTGTGTGTAAGACAATTTGGTCAAGCAGACCGAGGCTCGCCGCGTTATTGTATGTTGCCTTAGGTGAATTACCACTTTGATCGGCTTTTATAAAGAGATCCACGCCATAAACAGGGTAAATAGTCTTGCCAGCGCCGGCGGAAACAGCATCACCCTTGTATTTGGCAATCTTTAGCAAAACCATACCTCGACCACAGCCCACGTCAAGGGCGGGTAACTCGAAAACATCGGCCGGTAACTCGGCTAGAAGTTTGTCCCATGCATCAAATTTTCCTTTGAGCGAAGCATAGAGGTATAGCGGTGCCAAGATAGAAGAAAGGCATAAGCCCATTGGGGAATCTATCCCGTACGATGGCTTTGAAGGTGGTATCCCGTTTGTGAGTTTCAGCTGGATGACGTGGTTTTCAGGCTGCACGGTAGAGTACATGTTAGGGGGCGTCATCGTTTGAAACGAGAAGAAGAGTCCAGTATCTCACAAATCGATATAACTTTTGGAGGTACCTAGGCATCCATAAGATGGATGGAGGCGGACAATGTATGCTTACCTAATCCGTATCAGGCACCAATTACATCAGCCGTCAGCTGATCACGTCCCCCCACCAGTTCTCCGCTTTTCGTGCCTGGCAGTCTTTGTGATGATGATACAAGAGCTTTGTGCTCTGTTTCTCTCTGACTCGGTCCTCTCTCTTCTCTGTACTGCTCCTGCAACTCGCTCCCCTCCTAAAAGCCTATCCTCGGCGCCGGTCTCTGGACGATAGCTCTCATCCACGGATGAACAGCGACTGCTCCCGCCGGCGCTCCGAAGGGGCCACATTCCCATACCACCCATGGATTCTCACCTGCTCCCGCATACCGGGAGCCCCGACCCGGAGCTTCAGGTACACTTCCCGAGCATTCCAACGCACTCCCGCACGGCAGTCTCCCTGCGCTGCTGTTGTGGTCGCGAGGACTGCGCGCTGCTTGAGCATAATCATGTTGCGCTCGAGGGGCTGGAGAAGGACCTTGAAACAGCGGCTAGATTAGGTCAGGTACGTGAGAGTTTTTTTTTTAATTGCTTTATTTTTGCTTTTTTGGTGGGCTTGCACTTTCGTGGAGAGGTGGATCACATCGTTCGCGACACGATCGGATCATCGGGTGGGCTTTTGGTGTATCCCCAAGGCTGGCTGGATCAGAATTGTATTGTTTGATACATCATTTTTCATCATTCTTCAGTGATCAACAGGCGCATTGGCCTTAAGCTTTTTGCTTCCCACCCCTCCTCTCGATTTGATTCTACGATGATCAGCTGCGTTTGATCTATTTTGCTGTCCTGCTCTGCCTTGTTCAATGGATACCCTCATCTTGAGGTCCCCTGTCCTCTCCCACTGCGCTGGCGTTCGTCATGGCCACTCTTGCTTCCCGCAATAACTCTGCCTTGGCAGAGACATCTTGTCCCGGGTCGTCATCGCTGACATTTGCTCTACAGGCCCTACTCCAACGCCATGAAAGCTATATAGCCGAGGCGGAAGAGGATCGCCAACGGCTTGAGGGAAGCGTGGATGTATTGGAGCGCGAAAAGTGCCGAGTCCAGGCGGAGAATGCACGCATCGTCGAGGAAAACCGCGCTCTCCTTGAACAGCTCGAGGGCCTGAACAAGGCAGTCTCTGAGTCTGATGAGCACGTGCAGTCACTTACTAGGACACTCGAAAGTACACAGGCAGAGTTACGCCGCGTTACTGTCGCTGCAGCGCGCGCAGCTGATCTTGAAGCTCAACTTGTGCTCATGGAGACGGAACAGTTTAGATTAGAGGATAGGCTATCCTCGGTGCAGGAGGATGAGAGATCCGCCATGCAGCGCTGGAAGACTGCCGAGTCTACGCTGCGCGATCTTCATGATCAGGTGGAGCGCATTGAAGCTGAAGCCCGTGAGGAGCGCGAGCAACACCAGGAACTCATGCAGCGGCTGGAACGGAAACGAGCCGTGGAACGCGAACTCGATAACGCAGCCGGGCGTCTCAAAGGTGCGGCAGCTGCGTCTGAACTTGGTCGCAACCCTGGTGCGCATGTTGTCTCGCGCTTCGTAAAGGATATCTTGCAAGATAATGCAAACCTGCAAGTTGGCATCATGGAGCTGCGCGAGATGTTAGAAAGCTCCAATCAGGAGGTACAAAACCTGCGTGAACAAATCCACAATCACCAGCCGCTGGCCGGCGTTGGTGACGATGAACACGCTGAGCCTCTTTCATCCACCACTCTCAGCGAAGAGCTCGAGTCGAAGGAACGCCGAGTCTCACAGGAATTCCACATTCATCATCACTATCACACACCCACATCTTCCAAGAAAGACAAGGGCTCACTCAACCGTCGTGTGAAGAAGCGACGCCCTGCTCTTGGAAGCCCAGTTCCTCTTTACTCCGCCATGGGCACTCACTCTCCTCGTCGCTCTATCCATCGTTCGCAATCTTCCGGCTCATCTATGAACACAATTCTTTCTCAAACATCCGTGTCGATACCTCCCACCTCATCCGCCCGCCGATGGTCGCTGCAATCCCCAGCAGCTGACTCCCTAGCAAGCTCTCCGCAATCAGCCTTCCGCACATCATCCATATTCGACCGTGTCGATCGCGGGTACGACTTCTCCCAACCCACCAGCCCCGACAGCACTGTATTTTCCTCGCCACTCATTGGCGCACGTAATAACAAAGGCTTTGATATGCCGTTCCGCCCATTAGCCGCGCTTGATGATCTCGATTCACCTAATGCCGAGTCATCCGATTATTTCAAAGAAGACCAGTATGAGCGGCCAGGGTCTATGGGTATGTACGGCGATGGCCTCGCACAACATCCATCTATTCCAGAAGAATCAGAGCCATCTCCAACGAAACTCCACTCCGATTCCATCGAGTGCAGCCCTGCACCGGCCACCGCGGAAGAAATCTTTGCCATGCAATTTCCACCCTTGCGCAAATCGACCTCGCACGATAGCCTGCTCTCGGTAGCTGGCATGGACATCCACACACCAACCAACCGCCACTCTCGCATGGGTGACTGGCACCCGGGCATGCGTATTCCACGGCGAATTGTCTCGCCTAGTATCGAGCTAGTCTCGACTCCACCAGTTCTCTCTGTGCCAATGATAACCGCAGACCGCGCCAATGGACTTGGTCAATCCTCACGGTCCCTTCTCGCCTCCGTCGCCGCAGGCAATAACCTCCCATCTGAATCTGCATCTGTTGTCTCTGCGGATAGCAACAGCACAACCTCCACCGCCACGCCAGTGCCGCGCAAGTCGTCCACGCTCGGCCGGCGTATGGGAGGCTGGGTCCTTGGTCGTTGGGGTATGGCTCCGGTCCCGGACGACGCAGCGGAATCTGAGACTGAGTCTGTGACTCCGGCCTCGACATCAGTAGTTCAACCCAAAGCCATGCCTGCAGAACCCACACCGCCGCAATTACACTTCAGATTCACAGGCGTGAACCAGAAAGGCCCTATTCTAGGACTGCGCCCTCCACCGCCGGCACCGATCAATATACGGCCGAAGAATATCAACGAAGAACTTCTGAGGGAGAGTCTTGCTGAGGGGAACCAATAATTCTTATCCCATCTCCAGTTTGACTGATAAACTGTCCCCTCTCCTCCCCCTTCACTCTCTACACTACCTCATAAACATATGGCTGGCTACTGACCCAGTCATAAACCTAATTACATATCTCCTGTCCATTTCCTTCTTCCACCACAGTCTTTATATACTACATTTGCATTGCAATCGGATTCCATTTGGTTCTTACTTTGGTTCTGCATTGATCGGCCGCCGCTATATCTGGGGTTTTTTGGGTTTTGGTTTTGGTTTGGTTTGGCTTGGTCTTTTTATGATCCTGGTTCTGGTCCCATCCGAGCTCATCCTCGTGACTGGGCTGGATGGTTGGATGGCGCTGGTTATTGGTTGTGATACCCCGACGGAGACATTCCTTCGAACTTTCCTTTGTCTAGCTGATGAGTTACTCGTCGATGAGAAGATGGACGGATGGCTCCCATATAATCTTCAATCTAAGAATTGTCTCCTGCGTTCTTCGCCCTGATAACATGTAGTTATACCTGTATATGGAAAACCTGCTACATTCAATCGCCTTTCCAATCATCCTTCATCCATTACTTGGTCTGCTGGAATGGATGGAAGACATAATGTGTTTGAGTTTAGTGAGCGTTGGAAATTTTACACGGCTCGATCAACTTCTTTCGCAGACCAAGGCTCTTGTTGTGGTGGATACTTGATTAGCAGTCCCTAAGGAAAGCCTATCGATAAGGCATCGCGGAAATGTGGTATGCAATTCGTTTCTACAGGCAGTCTTCGCTCCTGCACTAACTCATAATTTCGTGAATCTTCATGAACCTTGGAGCATAGGGTCTCACTCCACCTTTGAGATGCGATATGTTTTATTTGGAATACTTGTCGAGTGAAAGAAGCCAGTTTGCTCTTCCGTGGGCGTAGACTCGAATGGGAGGGCTTCAACTTTGAACGCATTGTTTTCTGTTAAGGAATGATTAGAACGTCAGTTCTGAGGGCAAAATTCAGCCTGTGACATGCTTACCACATCCATCCAGGAATGTCTGGAATGTTTTCTCGCTGCGTAGAGTCGCCGAGATGATAAACTCCTTGACGTGGTAGTTCTCGAAGAGATCATGAACAGTCGACAGAAGCAGGGGTATTATATCTGTGTCGTAGATCTAGATAGAACAGTCAGTCCCATCACCCCTTATCCTGCGGAGAGTGAATTATCCAAAAACAGGGACAAGCATACCAGGTCTGCGCCTAGCGCAACATCGAACCTCAAGCCATCTCCCTCCACAAAAGAGCCCAATTCCTCCGTCTTCTCCAACGGTGTACCCCAGTCCCACATGGCAGGATAGAAGGAGAATGAATCTTTGCCTTGGTGATTAAATCGTACACACTCGCGCATATTCTCGATTAGAACAGGCTCGCGATCACTAGACACAACGCCTTGTACGCCAAGATGCCGAGCACAAAAGAGAGACAAGAAACCTGTTCCCGCCCCGAGCTCAATGACACGTTTCCCATGAACGAGTGCCTCGCCAGCAGGCGAGGCGAGGAATGAGCCTAAATGAAGAGCAGCTTCCCATGTGCGGTTTCCAGTTGTACCGCCAGAGAGGATGAGACCGCGTGATTCAATGGTATTTACCTCCCTGTCAGTCGTGGAGGAGGGGTGCAATGGAGCAGTGTATTTGACGTGGGAGAGTTGCTGGGCCAGCTCTAGGGAACTAGGCTTGGGTTGAGCCACAAGCATGCCCAGGGCATCCATTAAGTTGTCATTGAGTTCCTGCATTTGATTAGCAAGGTCCTGAAAATGAATGAGGAGATATTGGATGGTAGTTAATCAGATAAATGACCCAAAAGTCTTGCCAATTGGACATTGGGAGAAGGTCAAATCTCATCCATACATCTTCTTCGGGATCTGTTATAGATTCTTCAATTCGCGCTATTATAAGCTTGAGGATCCGTGTTCGATAGGCAGATGGTGGGAGTGGGGTGAGAGAGTCGTCGAACATGCGCTCGTACAGAGCTTCCTGTACAGCGGGGCGTAAAAGAACATTCCCGGGCGGCAGGTCTAGCTGTGGTGGGTCAACCAGTTGAAAGTATTGCGCAACCAGCTTTCGCACCTCATCCGCCATGATGATGTAGTGGAATAGAAAGTCGGCATCCACAGATTGATCTTTGATAGCATCAAATCTCTCGTGGCTCTTATCGATAAGCAGATAAGGAGGTAAATCAGGTGATCTGGCAGTCACGGTACTGCTGACATCAGCAACCCCTTCCCGAGTGGGTTAGCGCCAAGTCTTAGCCGAGCCCACCGCACGAAAATTGAAAGTCGTCGACATCCACACGCTCCTCTTCCTGCATCACCACGACACCACCAAAATGGCCGACACTCCCGTTACCCTGCGGACTCGCAAGTTCATCCGCAACCCTCTGCTCGCCCGCAAGCAGATGGTCGTGTAAGCATCCCCTTTTCTTGCTCTCCGGCGCCCCGACCGAAAGTGGAGGAAATTTCGACGTCGCGAAGGATTCGATTCGAGGCGATACCAGTGTCAAACAAGACTGCACACGCCCATCTCGATCATCTATGCAGTACACCTGCGACTCTTTTCCAACGAAGATGAGAAAGTGATGCAGAAATAAAATGCGCCAGAATCCTTCCGACGTCGAATTGGATATCCCACAGTCGAGACGCACAAAATTGCCCGTGGAACCGCCCGACTGACATATTCTTTTCTTCGCTTCCAGGGACGTCCTCCACCCCAACCGCCCCAACGTCTCCAAGGATGAGCTCCGCGAGAAGCTGGCCGACCTGTACAAGTCCAACAAGGACCAGGTCTCCGTCTTCGGTTTCCGCACCCAGTACGGTGGTGGCAAGTCCACCGGCTTCGCTCTGGTCTACGACTCCGCCGAGGCCCTGAAGAAGTTCGAGCCCGCCTACCGTCTGGTCCGCATTGGCGCCGCCACCAAGGTCGAGAAGCCTTCCCGCCAGCAGCGTACGTTCCCACTCTTCGTAGAATATTTTCTCCCCTCCCTTTTACCACGCCCCCCGTGACACCGACGGGGTAGGGCCTCCTTTTTCACGAAGGGAGCGCCCAGGCACTTGGATCCTCTATATTGATCCCATGAAACTGACCCTGTCCCCACAGGCAAGCAACGCAAGAACCGCTCCAAGAAGTTCCGCGGTACCGCCAAGACCAAGGGCCCCAAGAAGAACAAGGACTAAGCGTATCGCTCCGCATGAATTATGTCCGGATGCAACGTTTAGTGGCCTGGTGGTCGCGGCCTGTTCTTGGTTCTGCATTTGCATGTACCGGGAGCAGGTTGTGGTGCAGTGTATGAGAGAAATGGAAGGGGGATTCGGATTATACCTGCCATCATGGATGCTATCACTCCAAAAAATCAAAAATGATATCACCATGGTGGTTACCTCTTTCATCAGTGGATGTTACTTATTCCCTTGTTGGTCGGTTATCTCCCATGGTAGCCGTCAAACCTGATGATCTCCCTTAAAAGGCGTCAGTGTTGTTTCTTTTCACGTGGTATGGATCATCCATTGTCGATTCAAAAACAGCGAGGGGATATGAGAACTCGGGCTTCGGCTGTTGCCCGGGAATGAAATTACAATACTTTCTATTTCTGTTCATCAAGTAGCTTGATGGGGCTGTTTTGTAGATAACGGGGTGCTCTGTCTGTAGTTCGTGCACCTCTCGCTATCATCCCCTCGCCCTTGCAGTAACCATACACATCCGACACATCGATCTCTCGTGGATACTTTGTGGTCCCCACTTGAGCCCCAAGCGTGCCCTAATCTCGGCCAGATACCGTAGATCCGGGGTTAGTGGTGGTACCCATGGCCAAGATGACCTATGTATATACTGTAGTTTCATCCCTTCAATCATAATATCTATTTACTATATCTTGGTTACACCCACAGTTCCCATCCCCTTTAGAGTCTGATGATTACAGTCCATGCATATACGGACAATTTGGTGTCTCCCCCTGTTTCTGACTATACATTTCTCAGACTCAACCTGTCCGTGTCTACAAAGACTACTCAAATAATGTCTATCTGCTATCTGCTAAGGTATTTTATCCAGCTTATGACAAGAAGAAGAAAATCTTTTTTCAGAGCGGACAGTTAAAGGTCACGGTTGTCGACGACGAGCTTGATCCCCCTATTAACAACAAGTAAAAAGAAAATCGCCGAGTCGTCCTCACCTACGCCATTAATAACTCAACGTCATCCGTATTACCTTGTGTACACGATGCATCAAGTCATGGTCTCTACATGATTCATTATCTCCTGCCATTCCAGTCCCTGCTGTGGTCTTGTCCGTGCATCCCTTGTCCACCACTTCCACCACAATTATGCAGGTCGCAAAGACTAAAAACAAAGACTTTTTAACAAGCTACACAAAGACTTGTCGCACCGCATACCCCGGACCGTATTCCCCAAAGTAAATGCGCCCTTCACACATGGAGACTAGGGTCTAAGAGTCCCCGGCTAGCATTGGGTTAGCTTGCTATCACTCTGACTAGTCCAATGCTTCATCGCAGTAGTGGCCATTTCTCTCACTGGCAGATATTAATGCAGTTAGGCTATTGAAAAATATGGAAATCAACAACCAATGAGCAAAAGAGGATGCACTTGGACAAAGTCAAAGTATTCTCAGCTATACATCTACACGGATATTGCTCGGAAGATAAACGTCCACGTTACCCCATAGCTTTGCCGGACCTGCATCTGATTACCTGTTACCTCGGCACTTACCTATTAAAGTATTCTTAGCACTTGTGATCATTTACACTCTTTCCAACCAAAGAACGTGGCCACAGAGCCTGTTGCCAAATCACGACGCAGGGCCGGGGTTATACAGCGTGAGGGAGCTAGGGGCAACATTACACAAGCTGAGATATGGCGTCTTCTTCACCGTCTCTGATTGGGGTGTTATACCCTACATCTTGTGCCTTATCTCCTGAAGAGGGTGGAACTTGAGGATTACTCCCGTATCTGGATTTATTGCTCATAGGCGCCCCGCTAAGGTACATCACATGCACATCTTAGGTAGACATAAGCATAAATAAGCCACTGTATTTATTTCCGGGGAATTCGGGATTCGGCCCGATACTGAAACTTTCTATACACAGTTGATGCCCAGTAGAGTTTATGCTATCGTATTTTGTGCAAATGTTTTTGTTTATGTATGTATATGGTAAACAGCGATTTACATCAAGTGTCAATACTGTGCATGTGCTTCGCCGTTGTGTGTTACCTCCACGGCCCGATCTATGTAATGGGTAAGAAAGTTAATCTAGTTATTCCCCAACTCGTGCGCGACTTAGCTTTGTGAGTTGACTGGATCTCTGATTTTAAGGGGAATTAGTAGATAGAGTATCTCTCACCATGTTTGTTCGTATTTAAGTAGAGGTTAGTGACTAACCAAGGAAATAACATGAGAATCACAGCAATATTATATTGGTATCGAGTCATTAAGTATCCAAATCCATGATAAAATATTAATTATTCAGCGAGTAATTCAAATCAGAAATCAGAAATCCCCGATAGACAGATAGGACAAAAACCAAGACAGATACAAGTCATGATAATTAGATATTGACTACTGCAGATAAAATTCATTGTGCAACATGCCAAACAAGCTTTCCATGGGGTATTAAGGGGAGGAGAATTCCTAACATTGAGATAGCGGTGGACAAAAGTAATAGTGAGAATAAAGAAATATAAGAGAAATTCACCACTTTGCTTATATCGATAAAAGATACATGGAGTCCAACAGATGGACGGAGGTACAGAACAGGTAGAAGGGAGCAAGGTGAACCATCCCCCAAGAAATAATCCGCGACATACATGCTATGAAGAATAAAAGGCAGGTCGAAAGAAGGCAAGATTGGAAAGACATAAGGTGAGGTAAAGCCGGGGATAGCAAAAGGCCAAAAGCAAAGACTCCAAAAGACAAAAATGGTAATGGGTCACAAAGCCAAGGAGCAAGAAGTGGAAGTAGATGGAAAGCCAAAAAATAGGGGAAAAGGCAAGTATAAAATCCGCAATCAAAAATAAAACCGCAATACATCCAGATTAAGGTTCATGCCCAGAACGAGATAGCAAGGCCACAGCCTGTAGGGAACTCGCATTCGTAGTGTGCACGGGGACCTGCCTTAAGGCTTGCTGATCCGGGTTCCCCGTGACGGTTCAACAGGGGAATTAGACTGCTAATTCCGCGGTGTAATCGGCAGTACCATTCCCCTAGTAGGGTTGAGATGGTGAGCAAGTGAACTCAACAGGGATGGTGTTGGATATGGATACACCCATCCCAAGTGCTGTTCCCTGACTCGCAAAATCAAGTCCAAAAGAAGAAGAAAGAAAAAAAGAATTCAGTACACGTAAACATAACCTCCAGAAATTCAAATGGAAATCAACAGTGGCCAATCAATAACCACCTTGACTCCCCAACGTCGAAACAGGCGCCCGATGCACCCCCTCCACAACAGGCCGATACTCCGGCAAGTCACCATGAAGCACCCCAAATGAGAACGCCGGATTAGGAGTATGCGCATGCCGAACAGGAGCATACTCCAGTCCACCATTCATCAACGTACTCGTACCTGTTGTGCGACCATCGCTAGCACGCTTGCTCTTCTCACTGCTGGCGTAGTTGTAGATGTCCGGCGTGCAGTCGGTCGTTAGATGGACGAGGCGTTGGCCTGCGGTGGTTCGGTTGTGGCCGTAGATGCCGCGACTTAGAGAGCAGTCTGTAGATGAGGAAATGGGAACTTGGGTTGTGGGTGTGTTTGATGGGACGGTTGGGCGTGAGTCTGGGGTGTTGTCCAGTTGTTCGACGGTGTAGGATGTGCTAGCCGCTGTTGTGGGGGGTGCTGTTGTTGCGGAGAGGGTTGAGGAGATGATCTCTTCGGTTGTGATGGGCATTGGGAGACCTGAAAAGATGAGGTCTGGGTTTGTGGTGGTTGTTGGGCATCTTGTTGTTGGTGGAGGGCTGTTGCTGAAAAGGATGGTGTGGGCTGGGCTGCGAACATCTTGAAGTGAGCCACGGCGTGGGCTCCAAAAGGCTGGTCTAGCTTCAGTTGGAAGGGATAGACTGGATTCTGGTTCTGCGTGTGGAAAGACAAGTCCTGCTAATGTACCGGGGAGCTGTTGGCTGCGGCAGGTTGGTGTTGGAAGTGTTCGATCCGGGCCAGGGAGATCAGCGGATGAGATACTCGCCATGGCCACGGTTGTCGACTGTTGGCCTTCAGTAGATGAGAGACCTTGGCTTGGAAGCATGTAGGTGAAAGGAGACTGGGCAACAGAGCCGTTCGTCTGGGGATCAGGGTAGATTCCTCCGTTGCTTGGTCTGCTCACGCCTAGCACAGAGTCCCAGATCTTCGGGCTCCACGGAGACCCTCCATAGTCAAAGAGAGTTCCGGCTGGAGCATTGGGGTGCATGTATGCTGGTGACTGGCTGTAACCTGCGGACTGGCCGTCCTCGTATGGCATAGACTCTACGGCTACCGAGCGCTCGGGAAAAACTGACCCATCGGTAGTGCCAATGTCATAGTCTGATGCTCGTTGGAAAGCAGACATGCGAGCCGGAGGAGAGCCCATAGAGAGTAGGGTTGGTTTCCCCGCCGTGGTGGTTGTATACATGCCCAGTCGGGGAGAGGACATGACTGACGCTCCTGGATTAGGATATGGCCAGCCGTTGGCCTTGGGGGTTAGCTTCAAGGAGTTGACCTAGTCATAGACATGTCAGCATGGAATTCCTATATTTAAGGAAATTCGCTTCTTGTCATGGATGACATGACTTACTCGCAAGAACTGGCAGTCTGTGTTGCCAGCACTCCGGCAATTTGAACAGCCTTGGCCATCGCCATAGTCTCCACTGCATTTGATCTTTCGTCGTCGACATCGGCCACACTGTTATTGAGTTAGACTGAAGAGTTCGATTTGAAAGATAATCAAAGATTAAAAGCCTCTTACCGCCACTGGCACTCGGCGACGCTGGGGATTCCGCAACTTGCTATCGATCTCCCCAGGTTCATGCTGATTCAAGCTCCGTATCGAGCGGGACATAGAGAGCGAGCTATCATGCCGGGACTGCTCAAAAGCAGGAGTCTTGTCTGTATAATACGAGTCCATTCCTGAAAACAGTCAGTTATCGGACAGATAGACAGACACCAGACGGTAAGGTTGTCTCAGAATTGCTGGCTACTTACTGCTCGTCCTATAGAAAGTCCGAACCCAGAACCAGCCAGAGCTAGCACACTGCAATAAAACCAGTATAAATTAACCCAACAGTGACCACCTTCAGTTTCTAGATGTGCATGAGCATGTCTGATGGGAAAGGGAGGAGCTTAAGAGAGAAGAAGAAGTTGAAGAGGTCAAAGAGAAAGCGTTCTTTGAGGGTGATTGCGGAGAGTAGGGCTCTTTTCTGTTCTATTATTCTGGGTTGGATTTTTTTTTCGTTTCCTCTATCAACTACCAGTTTACTATGTTATGGAGCATTAACGATCTTCTGAGGGCCCCTGGTTCAGTAGGGATTTGTTTTCTTTTTTGCTTTCGATTTCCGGTATAACTTCTTCAATGCTGTTGCCTTTCTTGGTGTAGCTTATTATTTCTATTATTTTACTGACTATGATAGTCTATGAGGTTAGATCCTATGGGTGTGCAAGACTATGAAGGAGGGGGGCTAGAGCCCCCCGTACACCGTTAAAAAGACGCCAGAAGTACTGACTGGGGTTTCCGTGAATAGCGTCTCGTTGGAGACCACCGTTTAGATTCTCTTTTTCTTTTTCTTCTTCTTTTTCTTTTTCTTTGAATCTCGTTTATTTGTTTTTTGGCTTCTTTGCACTTGTTGTGCTGGTTGCACCCAGGTGAGATATGCACTCATCCGTAATGTATCCAAGATTCTTTCCCCAGTCTGTCTACTTGGAGAGGCGTGCAAGGCAAGACTTGCCCGGCGTTTTAGTATAGGAGACGAGGTTTCACAAAGTAACGTCACACGAGACATGACCTGATAGCCATGATCAGAACAAGTCCAGCCAAGGAGGTAAGAGCCTGCTGCCCGTATAGCCAATCATGAGGGAGCGGTTGTCTCTCTCCCTTTGGGCGACTGTCTGATTGTGTCTTGGTATAGTCTGAGTCTGAGTCTTGGGCTTGAGTGTGGATATTTTCATAACCGAAGGCACGAGTGACATGCCGAAAATACTCACCACCTTCATTCCCTCATAGAGCGGACTGTCCCATCTTCCCAAATACAAAGGAGAACTGCTTCAGGACGTTTGCAGAAAAACATTCCTTGTGTCGATCCGGAAATGCTTCGGGATCGCTTCCGCTGCAGCGATCGAGATGAAGATCCCCTAGGAGGGTGGATTGTTTGCTCTCCTTCAATCAGTCTGGTCCAGACGCTGATTGGTGTGGATGCTGCATCCATTTGGATCTGGGAGGCGCCATGTTCAAATGCACCAAACAGGGCGTTAAACAGTCTGAACTCGGCCCGAGACGTTGTGGGCGAACCTTCTAGTGGAAGGTAAAGAAGGTGGTAGAAGGCCTAGGTTTCCACCATCAGGGGCCAAAAAAAAAAAATAGCGTTTGCCCATCAAACAGCGTAAGATTGCGATATCGTGCCTGACGCCTTCCGAGATTTGGCTTTCTTAATTAGTAAAAAATTTCCCTGTCTAAGACCTGATTTATTGGTACTGCAAGTGTCTCAACGTGTACCAAGAGCGAAAAAGGAAAAATGAGCGATCTTTTGACACCTGTCACTTGCGATCGTCCCGGCGCAAGTAAGAGCACCCTTCAGGTGGGCTTCGCAGGCCACGCAAAGGGCGGTCTAGAAAAAAGCTGACCAGACCTGCGCCCTACAGGGAATCTACTAAAGTTGCGTGCTGATTCTGATCGCCGACATGGATTAGTGGATCTGTTCGTTTGGGCTCCAGTGTTTAGCGCGTCCGCCTGCCCCGCAGCTCGATAGAATGGGCAACCCAGAAAAAAAGGAATGATGGCGAACCATCAATTGAGATTCTCTGGAAGCCAGTGGTTGCCAGGTGGACCTGGAGCTTGCTGGCGGTGGAGGCTTCAAATGAATGAGATTTCATCATGTCTGGATCTAAAAAGGGAAGATCGGGGAAGGACTTGCGTTGATGATGCATGAAGTTCCGGGATACTACTGACAAGCTTCCTTGCAACAGACTGTAGCTGGTACTTTTGCCCCGGATTGACGTGCCAAGAACTAATGTAAGAACAAATGTTGTTAGATGTCCCGCCCAATTGAATTTTTGGGTCAGTCACCTTGGATGAGGTGGGTGGTGTCTCGATCGTATTCGGCAATGTTGTGATCATCGCATCGATCTTGCGTACATGAGTCCTCCCAGACAACATGTGGTGTGGGAAGACATGGGACTAAGCCCTGTGTATCTGAGATGGTCTCAAATACACGAGACCTATAGGAAGGAGGAGGAGGAGCCGATTAGGAAGGACCTTCTCAGAGGCTAAGATCCTCCTTCCACGCAGCCTCAAGGGTCGTACAATGCACGACATGGGTGGGGGGGGGGAGCAGAAGTGTGTCTTGACATGAGTCAGGAGAGTTCCAGGATCCAGACTTCAAATCAGACTCCAAGTCAACTGACTTACATCTAAACGCGCCAGGAACGCTCATTGGGATTGAGACCGGCCCTTCATTTTGCGCTACAAAGGGGAGCCATTGCTGCTGTGTTCATGATCTCGCCCCTGTTGCCCCGGGGTCTCTGGCTAGCCAGGGCAACCTGGGAAGATAAGAATTAAACTCACTCAACAGCGAATTCTTCATGATTCATATGTCGGTCGGCTTCTGCCTTCATTTTCCAAGCTCAACAGACAACTGTCACGATGCTTTCCGCTGGATGCTGCTGCAGGAGCCCGCCCGTTTTCCCCCCACCGTTTTCTCGCTGCCGTGGAACAGGTCACCAGAAGGCAAAAGTTGTAGACTGAAGGTCATTGCGAGGGAGGAAAACCCGTTGTCCTGTGTACACGGCCGAGGATGGAGACATGGTGTCATCCTGACTCAATTCTGGGGAAGATAGTGGCTGTAAGTGGACGAGGGCAGAGGGATATGAATCACCCCCCAGCTTTGCCCCAGGTTGACCCCAGCCCTCATCAGCAAGCCCGGGGTGGTTCATGCCTTCGTGCCTAATTCTGTCTTCATTTTCCTCTCCACCTCGATGTCGACTTCTTCTGCGCTTTCGGTCAGGACCAGTGGCTGCATCAAGCGCCATTCACCGACGCCCGGTCAAGAATACCGAGAGGGGAGAACCTGAGAACCTGCACCAAATAGGGGACTACTCAAGCCTCCTCCTTGATAAGGTGCATCGCATTCTCTGCCAGTTGACCACTGGCCTAGTGCCCCCAGTGGCGTACATATCCAACGGGGACCCTCGGAAGGATATGCCGCTCGATTGATAAGAAGCGTCGTACAGGCACCGGGTCGATCATCCGCGCCAGCGCTGGTTGATCGAAAACTCTCCCAGCGGTTGCTGTACAACCAGACCGCAGAGTGATCTGCGTGAAGAAAAAAGAAACTCAATAACGAGAGAAAAAAATAGAACGAAGTGTAAGGAATTACAAAAAGAAAGAGAGAGAAAAGCAAGTCAAGGTAAAGAGCCCAGAGGAAGCTCAGCAGCTGCACGAGGCTCAGTTCCTCGGACAAGCGGGCGGTGATTGGCCCAAGCTCCGTCGATCCTCCGACCTCGACTTTTGTCTTTTGTCCAAAGCAGCTTCTGCACAAAACAGCCACTTGCTGACCAGAGACGCGCCCGCAAATCTCCATGAGCGCGCTACTTGAAACCTCTCTGGGCGACATCGTGATCGACCTGCTGGTCGACGAGTCGCCCAAAGCCTGTGAAAAGTAAGCGCCCTTCCCATGTCCTCCTCCTCCACCCTCCACCCTCCTCCACCTGCCCTCCCAATGCCGCATCGTGCTGAACCCACCCAACTAAGCTCTTCCCTGTCTCCCCTCATAGCTTCCTGAAGCTGTGCAAAATCAAGTACTACAATTTCGCGCCCGTGCACAGTGTCCAGAAGGACTTCAGCTTCCAAACTGGCGACCCGCTAGGCCCCGACGCGCCCGGTAGCGATGGCGGATCCTCGATCTGGGGGTCCTCGGTGGCCCCGCGAAGCGCACCTTTCCGATCGATCTACCGCCCAAAATGAAGCATATCGAACGGGGGACGGTCAGCATGGCTACGGTGCCGGCACCCAATGATCCAGACCAGCGGGTGGCCGGCAGTCAGTTTCTGATCACACTCGGCGAGAATTTGGATTATCTGGATGGCAAGGCGGCTATCTTTGGCAAGGTGGTCGAGGGCTTTGACGTTCTGGAGAAGATCAACGAGTCGTTTATTGATGATCGTGGCCGGCCGTTGAAGGATATTCGTATCCGCCATACCGTCGTTCTAGATGATCCATTTGATGATCCAGCTGGGCTGGTCGAGCCGCCGGAAAGTCCTGTACCGACGAAAGCGCAATTAGCTACCGTGCGGATTGCCGACGACGAGGATCTAGACGAGGAAATGGATGAGGCTGCCATGGAGAAGCTGCGTCGCGAGCGCGAAGCGCGTGCCCAGGCGCTGACGTTGGAGATGGTAGGCGATCTGCCTTTTGCCGATGTCAAGCCCCCCGAGAATGTGCTTTTCGTCTGCAAGTTGAATCCAGTCACACAAGGTCGGTTTGCCTCAATGGCTGTGTCTCGTCCCGATAGTAGCTAATCACAACTGAAAACAGATGAGGATCTTCAGTTGATCTTCAGTCGCTTTGGAACAATCCTGTCTTGCGAGGTGATTCGAGACAAGCGCACGGGCGACAGCCTGCAGTATGCGTTTATCGAGTTCGAACATCAAAAGGACTGTGAACAGGCCTACTTTAAGATGCAGGGCGTGCTGATTGACGACCATCGCATCCACGTTGATTTCTCGCAGAGTGTACGTGCTACCCCGCTAGAGCTAGCTCTCTCTCCCCTTACTGTGTATCTACATCAGCATCTGCCATCGCAGCTGTCTACCCCAACCATCTACTAACACGGGATCTAGGTCTCAAAACTATCCGACACCTGGCGCAATGCAACAGTCACCAAGCGCCAACAGCGCGGCGGTTTTGGCGGTGTTGCAGATCTCGAACAGAAGCGACAATACCGAGTGTCTGATGATTCTCATGCAAAGGACGGGGACAAGGCGTACAATATGGTGTTTGATCGTTCACGCAAAGATCGGCCATCGGCGCCAGCTACATCTGGCCCTCGTCGCGAGGGCCCGTCCGATCGCAGCCCTCGGCGAGATTCATATCGTGATCGGCGTAGCAGTCGCAGTCCTCGAGGCCGAGACTCACATCACGAGCGTCACCGCCGGCGAGAATCCAGCAGGAGTCCTGGACGTTGGGACTCTGACCGGCGAGATCGAGATCGTGGGGATCAAGGGCGCTATCGGGATGACCGTGGGGATCGGGACCGGGATCGGGATCGAGGCCGTCGAGATGATCGGTATGAGCGACGACGATGAGGGGGGAATATGTGTTAATATCGACAACATCAAAGCATATGTATCCAAATATTCAAAACATCTTGTGTATAACAGATTGACCGAAGATTGTGTTTAATATTGTTTCACTCCCCTGGATTGCCACTCAACTCTTGGGATCTCCAGTGGCGGGGCACACCGCGCATTCGGCGACGTCGACTGGTCAGGTCTCAGTCTCCGGTAACTGGCTCCATAACCTGGCAATAATAAGAATAGTTGGCACCATTATTTTCTTATTTTTAGGTGGATTCATGGGCGTGTTTGTTCCGAATTAATTGTCTAGCTTTTGCGCTAAAAATAATCCGACTGTACTTGGTAGTTTACTTGTTGGCTGATGCTAGCGCATTCCACGGCGTAGTTACGGTGTGTAAAATCACCCGAAAGCTTCAGCTTCATCCCGCGCTTTTCATTTATTTACTTTTCTTTTCTCTCCCTCCCTTTCTTCCTCCTCCTCCTCCTCCTCCCATCTCCGCCCTCCTCATCCAATCTCTCTAATTACTTTCCATCTCCCATATTTCCTTCTTTCTCGATCTACGTCTACACATCTCACAATGGCTGCGATCAAGGAAACCGTCTCCAACCTCATCAGCAAGATTGCCGGCTCGGCCGAGGAAGCTCCCCGCGAGCCCTCCGCCGAGGAATTCAAGGCCCTGCAGAAGAAGTACATCGATGCCGGACAAGGACAAGTCTTCGCCTTCATCGACGAACTCCAGACCGCCGACAAGTCCCGCCTATTCCACCAGCTGTCCACCTTCGACGTGACCCGCATCAACGAGCTCGCCGACAAGGCCCTCAACCCGCCCAAGACCGACGAAGCCCCCACCACCGTCGAGCCCCTGCCATCCTCGGCGACCGCCTCCATCATCGACTCCGACCCCGCAGACCTCAAGTCCTGGTACGACGCCGGCTTGAAGCAGGTTGCCGAGAACAATGTGGCGGTGTTGCTGATGGCCGGTGGCCAGGGTACTCGTCTCGGCAGCTCTGCCCCCAAGGGTTGCTTTGATATCGGTCTGCTCAGCCAAAAGTCCCTCTTCCAGCTGCAGGCGGAGCGCATTGCCAAGCTGCAAGAACTGGCTATCAAGGCTTACGGTGTTCAGTCTGCTACCATCCCTTGGTATGTGATGACTAGCGGGCCGACGCGTAAGCCTACCGAGGTGTTCTTTGCGGAGCACAAGTACTTTGGTCTGAACAAGGAGAATATCTTCATCTTTGAGCAGGGTGTGCTGCCTTGTATCTCGAATGATGGCAAGATTATTATGGAGAGCAAGAGCAAGGTAAGATCCGCGCTTGTGGTTTCATCCCGGCTATTTTTGAATGTGAGCATCTTACTGACAGTCATTTTCTTTTTTCGCATCATCTAGGTCGCCGTGGCTCCCGATGGCAACGGTGGTATCTACCAAGCCATCGTCACCTCGGGCGTGCGCGAGGACATGCGCAAGCGCGGCATCAGGCACATTCACGCCTACTGCGTGGACAACTGTCTCGTCAAGGTCGCCGACCCCGTCTTCATCGGTTTCTCCGCCTCCAAGAACGTCGACGTCGCGACCAAGGTGGTGCGCAAGCGCGACGCCGCAGAGTCCGTTGGTCTGATCGTGCAGAAGAACGGCAAGCCCGATGTCGTCGAGTACTCGGAGATTGATAAAGCGACCGCCGAAGCCCTGGACCCCCAGGATCCCAAGCTGCTCAAGTTCCGCGCGGCCAACATTGTCAACCACTACTATTCGTTCAACTTCTTCGAGTCGATCGAGAACTGGATGCACAAGTTGCCCCACCACGTTGCCCGCAAGAAGATCCCCTACGTCGACCCCGAGAACGGCGAGGCTGTTAAGCCCACCAGCCCCAACGGCGTCAAGCTGGAGCAGTTTGTCTTCGATGTCTTCCCCTTGACGCCGCTGGAGAAGTTTGCCTCCATCGAGGTGCGCCGTGAAGACGAGTTCTCGCCGCTGAAGAATGCCGCCGGCACTGGCCAGGATGATCCCGACACCAGCCGTGCCGATATCATGAAGCAGGGCCAGCGGTGGATCGAGGCCGCGGGCGGCATTGTGGTCACCGAGGAGGACAAGTTTGGCGTTGAGGTTTCTCCTCTGATCAGCTACGTATGTGACGTGACCTCTCTCTCTCTCTCTCTAAACTATCCCCATCTGACTGGACTTGATACTAACCTGCTGTGCTTTGCTTGTAGGGCGGCGAGAACCTGGAGTTCCTCAAGGGCCAGGAAATCAAGGCCCCCGCGATCCTGGAGAAGGAGGAGTAAAGTATTTCCAAGAACTCACCATAATTTAGAGTAAAAAATTGTTTGTTGGTGACACGCTCGACGCTCGAGGCTCGGGCTTGCAGCATGGGTAATTGGGTATATCTGTCCTGGATCTTGGCACGAAGAAATGAATTGCATGATCGATTTCTCTGGACAAGTCTCCCGAATCTAGTAAACACTAAACCACTGTAGTTCGTAGTGCGTTCATTATTCTTTCCTGTCAGCTTTATCTCATACAAGCGTCTGCATTATCTCGATTTGATTTTGATCGACGGGGAATGAGGTGCGGGTTTTGCATTGGCCCTTACTGGGCAGGAATGTAGGGGCTGCAGCAAAACTCGAACAAGAAGACCTGACAAGTATAATGCATACGTTATTTACTGAGTATAGCATGGTCGTTACAGTATTTATTGAAATTTGACGTTGAACTACTGCAAGTATGTTGAATACTCGAGATCCATCTCGTGCACATACTTTGTTGTCCGCAGTACCAAATCCAATTAGCCAGGCATATGTAGTAGTAATTAATGTACAGTACTGGCACCATCTCCTCGAGATGAGACATATGTACTCCGTATAATCACATTAATTACTATACCCTACTGTACCATCACAAATAATTAAAACTGTTCTCCTATTTTCTATACCTCTACCTCCTCTATTCTAAAATTCTCCAGTCGTTCATAGATCCCAACCCAATGGCAGCTCGATAAAGCCAGCCCGCCTTACGCAATACGGAAAAGCCCGGGAGCTAAACATTTGACGAGTTTGCATCCCACTTTCGCATCTTTCTTTTTGGTGGTCTTTTCCCCTCCATCTTGTTTTTCTCTTTTGTGTCGAGTACGGTGATTAAACGTGTGGGTGAGTATTCGCATCTCTTTCTTGGTTATTTCCCGTGGTTCTTGGTTTCGTGTGGCCAAGCCCTGCGGCTGTTGCCCGCCCTTTTTTTTTTCAACTGGGGGGATTTTTGGGCTGGTGGGTTGTCAAGAACGTGGTACTTTTTTTAACCCACGCCGAGAGCCGTTTTTTGAGCCCTGGGTTGTGGCAAGAGTCGCTTTTTGAGGTTCTCGTGCTGACGTACTCTTGGTTTTGGTTTAGATTCGCTTGATTAGGATTTGAAGTGTCTTTGGAAGGGTGAGTGAGAAAGCCCTTGGTTTCAACGATCGCTACGCTTCGAGGTCCTGCTTGGAATCCTGCGGCCGTTTGGGTGTGTTCACTCCCCCGCGGATCGACGGCCACCCCTCCTCCTCTATCCCGCACCGATGATGCATCACTGGACGTTCCCAACGACAATGATCGGCTGGCATTACTGTCGGATCTGCCTCGAGCTTGATATGCTAGCTACACGATTGATGATTACGTCTCGACACTCGGTTCTGGGGAGATGGAGAGGTGGCACACGACCAATGGCGCGGGGTGTTCGAAGCTTGGGAGTTGGGACTGGTCGACTGACTATGAGCATAGAATATCGAAGATGATGTTGTCTCGTCGTGCGTGCTACAAGTGTGGCAACATTGGCCACTATGCTGGTTAGTTGGGGGAATCTTGCGACTCGTTAGTCGTATCGACGTGCCGAACTGACGGAGCTATCATATAGAGGTCTGCTCTTCCTCGGAGCGTCTCTGCTACAACTGTACGTGGACAACCCACTACTCCCTCTTTCCATCGCATCGCATCTTCTACGAGCTCTGAGGCTAACATTTTATGAACTACAGGCAAGCAGCCTGGTATGTCCCTCGTGTGACCATCCCCCACCAACAGCTCGTCTCATTCATTCGATACAGGCCACGAGTCTAGCGCTTGCCCTCGGCCCCGTACCACCGAGAGTATGGACCCTTTTACCTCCAAGCTATACGTCTGCCGGTGATATTGACTCGCTTCCAGCTAAGCAGTGCTACAACTGCCAGGGCCTCGGTCACGTCCAGGCTGACTGCCCTACCCTTCGCCTGAACGGTGGTGCCAACGGCCGCTGCTACAACTGCAACCAGCCCGGCCACCTTGCCGTAAGACCCTCCAAATACACCAGCTACACGCCAAAAACTCTCCAACTAACCTCCTTGATCAGCGCAACTGCACCAATCCCGCCGCTCCCGGCGCTGGCCGTCCTACTGGCCCCCGTGGTGGTTTCCAGGGTGGTTTCCGCGGTGGCTTCCAGGGCTATCCTCGCGCCGCGACCTGCTACAAGTGCGGTGGCCCCAACCACTTCGCCCGTGACTGCCAGGCTCAGGCCATGAAGTGCTACGCCTGCGGCAAGCTCGGCCATATCTCCCGTGACTGCACTGCCCCCAACGGCGGCCCCCTCAGCTCCGCCGGCAAGGTCTGCTACAAGTGTGCCCAGGCTGGCCACATCTCTCGCGACTGCCCGACTAACGCCGAGGCTGCCTCTGCCCCTGTCTCCGCTGTTGATGCTGCCGTTGCTGCCGCCCCCTCTGCCCCGGCTGCCGCTGTTGCTGCTGAGCCTAGCACCGAGGCTGCTCCCGTTGCGACTGCGGCTCCTACTACCGCCGTCGCATAAGCAGATAACCTTTGCTTTGTGTGTGACCTGACGCGAGATTGATAGTCTTGCGTGTTATTTCTGTTTCTTCCTCAATTTTGTATTACGGTCGTTTTTTATTTTGCCTTTTATACCTTTTCAAGGAGTCTCGGCACCATTTCTTCCTTTGCATATATTGAAACCAACATCCATTGCTCCAATATCCCCCAAACCCAAACCCAAACCTTCCCGTGTGGGTTTCTTGTTTCATCCCAATCGGTGTCGGTTGCCGGCTTTCCTATCCTTTTGCGTTTTGATTTTGATATCATGTATACGACGATCAAACCGGAAAAGCGCTTCCTTTTCCCCCCTTGTCTCTGATCCCGACTAACGAATCCCTTTCCTCCTCCCCCCCCCCCCCCCCAACCCTACTTCCCCCTTCTAGCATGTGTCCACGAACTATCTCACCTTGGGGATTTTGGCTTGACTTGACTTTTGTTGTTGGCCCCATGTTTGGACTGGGGCAAGCTCATGATTGGCGTCTTGTCTATTTGTTTCTCCCACGGATGAATCTTTCTCGATGTGAGTGAATCTTGAACTCTGATTGCGGTTTTCCCTGTTGTGGGCCGAGGAGGTAGAGAGACGAGAGATGCGTAGATGGTGAGGACGATGGATTGGTGTGCTGTGATATGATGTGTAGTTGTGGTTGTGGTTGCTTGTGCGTGTGCTGCAGGGGAGACTAAGAGATGGAGAAAGAGAGATTGGCTTGGATGTGTGTTGGAATGGGGCCTTCCAGAGGGAAGGAGTCCTCGGTGCTGAGACTGTGAAAACGCAATTCTTTCTTCAATATTCTTGATAGTAGGCTATAGAAGGTGTTGTAGATTGTAGACGGAGTGAACTCGAGACTGGAGGTATTGCTTGGTGCTCGTGTCATGTGCTAGACTTGTGACTTTGGATTCCCTTGACCTCGTCTCACCAAATCCTCACCTCGCCCATACCACCCCATCTCAGATCAATCTGCTCATCCGTCAAGATGCCTGCTTTAGACCCTAGCGACGAGTTCAACGATGATGTATGAATCAACCTCCATGATATCCCTTTCTTCGGTAACTGATCCAGTTGTATATGGGTAGGACTTCATCGTGGACATTGACGGCATCCAAGCCCATGGTATCGGTGCAGCTGATATCACCAAACTCAAAGCCAATGGCTTCTACACTGTGGCAGTAAGATTTACACACTCAGCCATTGAAAGTTATAATTGACTTCAGAGCTGACAATATTCCATTCAGTCCGTTCACGGTGCCACCCGCCGGACACTCCTGAAGATCAAGGGCTTCAGCGAGATCAAAGTTGAGAAGATCAAAGAAGCTATACAAAAGTGCCTGGTTCGTTTCCTACCCTTAGCCATCTCAAATAATCCCGTTATAATCATCCTCTATACTCGTCCAGCCCTCTGCCTCCGGCTTCGTAACCGCCATGGAACTCCACCACCAACGCAAAAAAGTCGTCCGCATCTCCACAGGTAGCAAGCAATTCGACTCCATCCTCGGAGGGTAAGTCCAAAACTACATACAACACGCTCATCCACAAATCTCTCTTAACCCCCTACCCCCTCCTCCAACATCCCAACTAAACTCAACTTCCAACCAGCGGCTTCCAAAGCATGAGCATAAGCGAAGTCTTCGGCGAATTCCGCTGCGGCAAAACCCAACTCTCCCACACAATGTCCGTTATCGCGCAACTCCCGCGCTCCCACGGCGGCGCCGACGGCAAAGTCGCCTACATCGACACAGAAGGAACATTCCGGCCCGAACGGATCGCGCAAATCGCCGCGCGCTTCGGGATGGATCCCGACACTGCGCAGGAGAACATTGCGTATGCCCGTGCACTTAATTCGGAGCATCAGCTTGAGTTGCTGAATACGCTTAGTCGGGAGTTTGCGGCGGGGGAGTATCGGTTGCTTGTTATTGATAGTATTATGAATTGTTTTCGGGTGGATTATTGTGGGCGCGGGGAGTTGGCGGAGAGACAGCAGAAGTTGGGCCAGTTTTTGATGAAGTTGGCGCATATGGCGGAAGGTGAGATGTACAGAGCATGTTGCTGTGTTTTATTCGGATTGATTCTGTTCGTTCAAGTTTTGGTTTGTTTTTTCTGTGAGATGGAGCGTGGACTAATCCGTTTCTCGTGGTGTGTACTTTGCAGAGTTCAATGTCTGTGTCTTGATGGTAAGTATACCCTTCGACCCTGGATTGGTTTGGCGTGGCCTTTTACTGATTCCTTGTCCCAGACAAACCAAGTCCAGAGTGACCCTGGCGCAAATGCACTCTTCGCGGGTGCGGATGGCCGCAAGCCGGTTGGTGGACATGTCCTTGCTCATGCGTCAACGACACGAGTGCTTCTACGAAAGGGTCGGGGTGATGAGCGAGTGGCCAAGATTCAGGATTCACCAGGTATGTTTTGCTCGGAGATATGTTATGTGCACGGAGGAATACTGATTTTTATGGTAGATTGTCCTGAGCGTGAGGCGACTTATGTGATCACCAATGGTGGCATCAATGATCCTGATAAGGTGTGAGTGGCTCATCAGAGGAAGATATTGATAAATGTCGAGGTATCTTCGGGAGAACGCGGCCAGCCTGGAAAAAGCATGATCACAACAAGATGTATAATTAGCATATACCTACTATCAGATCCACAGAAATACCAAGTTATTTCATTATCTATAGTCGATACGGCAATGCCTTCCTGACTTAGGGCTAAACTTGTGGGGTCTTCACCGTCTTTTCTACCGCCCAACGTAAAACAGGCAAAATCCCACGCTAAACGTAAAACTTCAAAAAAAGATCCGAACAGAATCCGCAACCCAGCAATCCCAACACGACCCTCAACCATGAAGGCCACCGTCGAAGTGGCGGGTTACACGACCCTTCCACTCCAACTCCCACCAACATCCATATGCCCAACACCAGCAACCCACTACCTCTACATCCGCCCACACGAGCCACGCATCCCAGACCCAGACTCCACCCGCTCCCTCTTCATCGTCAACGCCCCCATCGACACAACAGAAGTCCACCTCCGCCACCTCTTCAGCACCCAACTCTCCGCCGGCCGCGTCGAGCGCGTAACCTTCGAAGACATCCCCGTCAAAAAATCCGGCATCGCATCCGCAACGGAACCAAATCTCTCCCACCGCCCCAACAAAAAGCGCAAGCGCGTCACAGCCGATGACCTCCAAGGAACCCTAGACTCAATCAACCCCCCTCAACCTGGGACCGCGCGCTCCAAAAATCCGGCGCCCACGCCATCATCGTCTTCGCCGACAAACCCAGCATGGAATCCAGCCTCAAAGCTGCCGCCAAAGCCGCCCGGAAGGGCACAACTCTCCTCTGGGGCGAAGGCATCCCCGCAGACCGAGTGCCCGCACTAGGTGTGCAGCGGTACCTCTCGCACGAGCGAAGGCGGTACCCGGAGCGGGGCGCGCTGCTGCGCACGGTGAACGATTTCATGACTGTCTTTGAGCAGGTGTCTGAGGCGCGGAAGAAGGAGGAGGCGAAGAAGGCTGGGGAGCCGGATGAGGATGGCTTCGTTACTGTTACGCATGGGCCGAAGCTGAATTCTGTTGCGCGGGAGGAGGAGATGCGGGAGTTGGTTGAGAGGCGGAAGAAGAAGGAGGAAGGGTTGGAGGACTTTTATCGGTTCCAGAGTCGGGAGAAGAGGAAGGAGAGGCAGCAGATGTTGCTGCGGCGGTTTGATGAGGATAAGCGCAAGTTGCAGGATATTAGGATGCGGAGGGGGAAGATTCGGGTAAGTCTTTCTGGTGGTTTGTATGGATTGTGCCTTTCGTGGTCGTGGATGCTAACTTTTCTTTTTTTTGTTTCTCTTTCAGCCCGAATGAGGAGGTGTATAGCATAAAAGCATGGCGTTTTGGGAGTCTCCCTTGGGCTGGACCGGGGACATTATTCTATTTTGCTAAGTTCCTGGTACAGTGTAAGTCTCTTATAAATCTCGTTCATATTCTCTATCTCCTTCTTATTTCCAATCTTTCATCTTCTGTGATGAGTCCGCTGGGGCCAGTGTAGCAAAACGCGGCTAGTTCGCGGTTTTGCCATGTCATCAAACACCAGCGTTACATATAATCTTCTCACCCTCTGAAATGGAGATTGTCGAGTTTTGTGTATGTATCGGTTTGTTGGTGGGCATTTGCTGATTATTGCCTGAATTTATGCTAGCAGGTATCTTTTTACCTTCTACTGGATATAGCTATGAATCGAGAGGTGCAAAGTATTCAATGTTAAAATTGTCCTCTCCCTAGCTAGAGCAGCATGTATAAACTTCCTAGGTACTCAAAAGTCTAAATGAAGTTGTCTCCGTGGACCGCCTCTAGTCCTTTTACCGGCCGAGACATTGGCAGGATATATTTGTTGAGTGACAGACCAAAATCACGTTACGTGGGCGTTGACTTTCCCTGGTGAAGTCTCTCTCTCAATACCAAAGATCCTATCCCTTGGTCAAAGTCCCAATCTTAAAGCACGTTGGTTTAAAGTTGAAGAAGTAAAAATAAGGATGTACGAACATTGTAGCCGCATCGAGACCTCTCAAATCTGTCGTGAGCTAGACCTCACAGCCATTTTACCAACGAAGTAGGCCGAGGAGGCACCATAATGAACTAAGTCAGGATTTCTGTAATACATGGATATATGGTGAATTATCAAAAACGTCAAGATCGCAATATTTCTTTGATGTCGACTCTAAGTGCTTGACCATCTACAAAGCATCGAACCCCGCACAGACCAAGCAAGGCTTGGCATGACATCGCACGTTCCTAAACCACGTTGGTAGCTCTATCGATTCGTTACACAAGATTTGATTCTTTAAATCGTATAGGGAAACTCGCACAGGGACACTGTTACATTTGTCACAGTATCACTCCTGCCTACCGAGTTGGGTAATCAACGTGGCCGCAACGTAGTCTCAGAACCTTCTACGACGTCTGTTTGTGCACGACGACCCATCAAAGCATGACTACTGTCCTCTAAGACAGCCTTTCCTTTGACTCTTCCAAATACTTCCTTCTTCGACCTTTCTTTGTTTCACTCGTCGTGGTACAAAACCCTCGCATTCCCCCACTTCATCATCCGCACATTCCCGCCCACCATGCCCAACACGCCTCCAAACGAGCACGACTCTGATGAGGACGTCGAGTTCGAGGATGTCCCCCTCCAACCAGCTCCAGCTCAACCTCAACTTCCCTCTACAAATGGCTCAGACCTGCCCTCTGAACATGCCGGCCCCGTATCCACCAACATGCCATGGGTCCCGCCACTCCGCATCCCACAGCAGCGTGGGGCGCCTCTAGCCTCGGGCTCAAATGCAGAGGTACAGCTCCGAGGCCGTTTGAGCACGGCAATCGATCGAATCAACTTCCGCCAAATGAAAGCACAGATGGGTATGGACACGACAAACACTCAGCCCGGTCACAGCCGGTACACCTGCATCCGGCAACTGGCGGATGATATCGAGGGTACGGCTGATATGCTCTGGGAGTCAGCTACTCGTGAGTTCTCCTCTTCCCTTATACAGTCTAACTCATTTACTAACTGTTTACCACACCACAGCCTCAATCCAAGTCGAAGGCCTGATCACTCTAGCCGGCATCTTGGAACGGTCCTTGGGAACTTACCCCTTCGATGCAGAACCAACCCTAACCATCCTCAACAAGCTGGACTACTTCTTCATCACGCTTATGCAGGGCGAGCACTCAGAGTCGCACACACCTCTACCTGGTGTCAACCCGGACCGGCCTTTCGTCACCCAGACGCAAAAGGTGCGCATTCGCAGTATCGCCGAGACTACCCGCAGCAATCTCTTTGCGATGATGCCCATGCCCCAGGATGATGAAGATGGTACTGACCAGGATGATGATTCGGAGGAGCCGGAGATGCCGGAGATGCCGCCGTGGATGATGCAGGCGAGTCGTGTTTATGAGCGTGTGCTGATGCTGCTGGGGGATCAGGGAGATCCGAATGAGGCTGGGGGTTATGAGTTTGAGTAGAATGATGGTGATCTGATCTTTGTGACTTTGTGACTTTGTGGGAGTTGGCGTTGGAACTCGGAGCTAAGAGAGTTGATTTACTTGAAATGATTCTCATTCTTGATTGACTTTGGTTCTGCGGAGATCCTGTGGACGGGATTTATGCGCGAATATCTCATGTGTATCAGCGAGCTCAATCATATGGATCAAGAAACCCCTCTAGAGCAGTGAATGGACATCATATTCTACAAGCATAATCTAATCAACGGCGGATTTAAGAGTTAGATCTAGCTTATCTTCAAATGCGCGAATCTACTTGATACATATTTGTCGCCCAGACACACAGACCAGTTGCACAGTCCCACTCCACAGAGCCTCTTACGCGTCATAAAAAAAATATCAAACAAGACGCGAACCTTCTCGAAAACAACCAACCACCCCACCCACACGCAAAAACCCACCAAGAAAAGAAACGAGTGGAGCTGTGTGCGATTTCCTCAGGTACAGCATACACACAAGTCTGCATATAATTTACGCAATTCGCATCCACCTTTTGACACGCCCCATCGAACCCAGGAAGAATACAATACCTACCCAGTTACCGTAGGTAAGTAATTGTGTCTGTACGTATGTAACATTCAAAACGCCATCCCGTGACCCGTTCCGTTCTGTCACAGCCAGCGACCAGTGTGCGTCTCGTATCGGGAAATACCGCCACCATACGGGTCGTATCAAGAGAAGCGAGCCCCGGGCTTCTCTTTGGATAGAAGAGTCGCAAACTAATGTGGATGCGAGCCCTGAAAGTGGAGCCGCTTGGGTCTTGGGGGCTGCTCAGCCTCGGGTCCTGAGCCACGGCCTGGGCAGTGGGCAGTGGGTAGGCGATTGCTTGCAGATTTCAGGTTCGGAGGATTTTGATGTTTGCACAAATGATAGGGGCTTAGGGATTGATTTTCGGCTACTGTAGAATGGGGGGATTGTACATACATAGTATGGTCTTGCTGTGGTTATGTTCTCGGTAATTGAGCTTTGCCCTAATTTTCATTGCTTGGTCGTTTCTCTTTGGTTCCGATGGTTGGGTGGTTGAAGCTGTGTTCCATGGTTCGCGGGGGGCAATTATTAATATGCCCTTGTTGGGAAGTGCTGGTGCGCGTTTTACGCGAGTCGAGTGTTCTTAACAAAGGAGGCAGTCAAAAAGCAGTTTATAACTTTATACACTAGTTATTCTCAGTAGTAGTCAGTAGTCAGTAGTCAGTAGTCAAATCATATACGGTTTCTAGATCTTATTAGGAGTAGTGCCACGCACGGAGTCCTGTTGATATTGATGCTTATTATAATCATGATTCATGACCTGGGAGCTTATTACCATGATTATTATTACAGTAAATGTCCGTGTGTGCTAGTCCAGCAGCAACCATCACCTTCACCAGCTGGTATTCACCCAGGTAATCCTACAGGGGTCGCTTCCGACAGCTAGCCATAGCACTTAAATTAAGCGTGGTCGCGTAGTCTATCTCAACGATCGAAACACATGCAAGGACTCGGGTTTTTTTTCTCAACGGCCTCCTCGGGCACCAAATCGCTGCCCTACACCCCGGCTACTGTAGTCCTCTAGTGCCACTACCCATCCCTCCCGCGCTCCTAACCGCACTGGTCTCAATGGATCAGCAATCCCTTACTCATACCAGGGAATTGATGGTGTGGTGTTACAGGTAGTTCTAGGACTTTCCATGACTATCTGGTTGGGACAAAAGCACCAAGAGGATCCAGGACCACATTGAACGCGTCGCGTCCCGTGAAAGGTTGGGGAGGAAGAGAATGAGAGCTACATATGTACGGAGTAGTGTATTTGCACGCGCTTGTTGATTGATAGGACTGGATGAAATAAAAACTCTGTCGTTGTTTACTTGACGGAGTGTAACTAGGATATGGTAACCACAAAAAGCCTCCGACATAACACTGCTACAAGCCTACAATAGTAATAGTGATGCTAGGCGATCCAGGCGAGTGTAAGATTGGATAGTGCAAGGAAGATTGATTGCATGAGTGTGTGTATTCAATGTAAAGTAAGAAAGAAAAAGCCAAAGAAACGGGGCCCTTACAGATATTACAACGACCCACCGACAAAACCACCCAATGAGATGGTCGCACAGACTAAGCACTCGACCCGTGGGTTTGGTTCAGCTTCGATGCTGTACGCGAGTGACGTATCGTTGCTGGGATGTCCTTGCTTTTGGTTCTGGACATGGATCTGAGAACCTTGCTTCGAGAAGGCCAGATATGTACTCTTGTGCGATGGAACTGAGTGAGATGATAGGCGAGCGGATATGCCTTCATTTTTGTATACCGGACATAATTTAATTCTTGTCCCATTTGGTACTGGCAGCGCAACAATTCTTCGTAGATATTATGTAGATGGAGCAATCATTGACAATTGACAATCTACAATGGCAAGAAGCAAGAAGCTGGAAACAATGAAACTGACATGAAAAAATGCCCAAAATCTTGCCTAAAATACAAGGAATCAATCATACGGACCACACAGGAAGGCGGTGATGGCGGCAATACAAGTTCCAACAGCCACAGATTAATTACCATACCCGCGATACACACTACTCGTAAGCCATTCCATGTTTCTGTGGCGTCCAGTGGAGCTGGTGCCGTTTGTTCGCGGCAAGTTTGGGGGCTTTTGCTCAGCTCAGATTCTTACCCGAGAGGCCGAGGGAACTGGCAATTTGATAGTTGCTGTATAAACAGCAGCTGAACTGTTCCACAACTCCAGCATAAAATATCTACAGTAGTTGTCGATCGAATTGTATAGCAATTGTATGTACTAGTACTGTATCTTCTATCCGATCTCTTTGTTTATCGGCGAGTTGCCCACGGGCATCAGAGCAGTAGGTTTTTCGTTGGATTTGAATTTGGTTTCGATTTTGAATTGAGGCGTTTTGCGACAAGTCACATTGCAAGGTCGACGACAGCTTGGTCCTTGCAGATTTCATGCATGGATTTGGATTTGGGTTTGTTTTTCTTCCTTCCCTTGCCCTCCTGACTCGGTTCTCCCCGCGTATGCGGAGTACACTTCGGTGTTAATGAATACGATGAAGTCTGCAGTTATTTTTCCACTTGGCCATGGGGTTTAGCTCGGGTCGAGACTTTCGGATGAGAGCGGAAGTGTATCCTCTTATCCGCGGGCGCTGTCAGCTGGAAAGATTAACTAGTCCAATCATAAAACTAAATCTAGTAGCAGGAGTAGTATATGTACAACAACAAACTAGTGGCCACAAACGAGTACACTAAGCTTGTAGCTCAGCGCGACTGTTTAGTATGGAGTGAAACCGAGTTCCAGGACCCTGGAACACAGTAAGACGTTCGCAAGTCCCCCGCATATCTGATATCACCACGCTTTTGACTTTGGGGCAAGGTCCGGGGGCTCGTATAGACGTACAGGAACTGCGCAGGCAATCCAGAGAGTCGGGAATATGTACGGCATACAATAGAGCTATGTATACTCCGTACCCTGTAATTGGCACATCAGAGTAGCCACGCTAGGAGGCAAGCCTAGTGCGCTTTCTGTGTCTCATGAAAGCCATTGTTGATGTATACCTTCAATTATAGCTCTATGCATGCTCTGTAGACACCTCCGGGAGTCATGTTGGACCCGAGGACTCCGAATAGTCGCGGGATGGCAGATTTCCCGTATTTCCCGTATTTCCCGGTACCATACCCGCACCACACCCGCATCCTGCCACTCCCAATACCGATTCATACCAGTACACCGTTTCGTCAGGTATCTGACATTCAGCCTCTCTGGTTGCTCCTTTCCCCTCTCCGGGCCCATTTGCCCAGGTTTTGGTTTTCGTTTTCGCTGGGTTTTCGCCCTTTCCAGGAAAACCCGGGACCTGCTCAATCAAATCTGAGATTTCCATTTCTTCATCGCCTTCTTTTCCCCTCCTCCAACTTTCTTCCCCTCCTCCTCCTCCTCCTCTTTCCTATTGTTTCCATCCCTGCTTCGTTCTGTCTTGCGCGCCGTTTCGGGAGTTGTGCTTTTTCCAGGTCTCTCTCGTCCTTCTCGTCGTTTCGTTTTGAGCTTTCTCGAGGTCTTTCCAATATTCCCCTTTGGTGAGTTCATTTCAGTTTTTCTCGCGAAAAGCCTCTTTCATCATCCATCCCAAATCGTTCCCCTCTCCTCTCCTGCCCCCCGCCACTACCCACGACTGCTCTACACCGTCCCCGTCTATATCGACTATCGCACTCAAGCGCATCAATCGTGAATGGGATACGTTTGGTATTCCTCTCGGTCGCTCGGCTGTGTCATCGCATGGGATGCCTGGAAGCCTGGACCAGCTTTTTCTTCGGGAACCGCATCGCGCCGCCCGATTCCGCCACACGCGCGCTCTCTCTCTCTCTCTCTCTGTCTCCGGTCGCTCACCGCCCACCATCATTCATCGCTGTCGCCCATGGTCGCAATCACGATTATAGAGCTAGGCTGGTTGCACGGCCTGAGTGGATGAGCCTTTGCTGGGTGGGGCGCTGTGGTGGATGGTCGCAATCGCCCCGACACTGGAGGGAGTTGTCGACGGAAACGGCCGCATGCGGGTCCTAGCTGAACCATCACGACAAAAATGCTTCTTCTCTCTTATCCTGCTAGCACATCCCATTCGGTTACCCGCGCTTTCTGGTCCGGTATCTTGCGATTGTGTGTCGCCGAGAGGAAATTCTGGTCTTGGCGACTTCCCGGTGTCCTTGCTGCGATCGCGGCCGAGCAGAGCCTAAGAAGACCTTTCGCGATTACTGCGGTCCGCACTCTCAATCATTCACACACCGCCCGACTTTGCCTTCATGTTTCCCTCGCGTTCACTGCGATTGTCTGCACAAGCACTTATCGCGGTCCCCTCATATGCATCTCACTCCTCTTCTTTCACTGCTTTCGTCCTAACCCCAACTCATTCATCGCATCTCTCTCGCTCGATCTAAGTCTGCTACAGACAAGCGATATCCGACACGACCGAATCTCATTCTAACCTTTCCCGCTTCGGCGATTCCAGGAAGCCTAACGCCCATCCCTTAGTTCCTGGGTTTACGAAGTTGTGCTCGCTACATCTCACGGTCTCTCCTTAACGACTCCACGAAGTTTTTCAGGCCGTCTTATATTCCTACGTCGACATTCGGACACGTTTGATTTTGCAACCATGTCTTTCCAGAACTTCGATTCCTTCCCCAACCAGGACGCCGCTGCCGCCGCGGGTGCCCCGGCTCAGGCCGACACCACCATGACTGGCCAGGCCGACCCCGCCGGTGCTCCCTTCAACGGTGCTGGCGGTGATGCCGGCGCCGCTGGTCCTCAGCAGGGTGCTGATGGCAAGACCACCCTCTGGTATGTCTGACTTATATCTAATCTGACCTGAAGGATCGGCCAGGAAAAGAACCGAATCGCTGACTTTCCCGCTACAGGATGGGTGAGCTTGAGCCCTGGATCGATGAGAACTTCATCCGCAACCTGTGGTTCCAGATGGGTGAGCAGGTCAACGTCAAGATGATCCGCGACAAGTTCTCTGGGTAAGACCATGACTTCTCTCCAAATTCCACTTTGACAGAACTTTCAAATGATCCTAATGTTGGTAGTAGGAGCAACGCTGGATACTGCTTCGTGGACTTTGCTTCCGCGGCCGCTGCCGCTAAGGCTCTCTCTCTGAACGGCACTCCCATGCCCAACACCAACCGTGTCTTCAAGCTGAACTGGGCTACTGGTGGCGGCCTCGCTGACCGCAGGTGAGCAGTTACCCTTTGCCCCCAACCTGATTTCCCTTTAGGTCTTGCCAGAATGATCCAAGCTAACCCTTCATCTTTTCCCTTTTGCAGCCGTGATGACCGTGGCCCCGAGTACTCCATCTTCGTTGGTGATCTCGGCCCCGAGGTTAACGAATACGTTCTTGTCTCCCTCTTCCAGAGCCGCTTCCCCTCGTGCAAGTCTGCCAAGATCATGACCGACCCCATCAGCGGCATGTCCCGTGGCTACGGTTTCGTCCGCTTCTCCGATGAGAACGACCAGCAGCGTGCTCTTACCGAGATGCAGGGTGTCTACTGCGGCAATCGCCCCATGCGCATCTCCACCGCTACCCCCAAGAACAAGGGTCCCGGTGTCGGTGCTGCCAACATGGGCGGCGGCGGCATGCCCGGCCCCGCCGGCATGTACCCCCCCATGGGTGGTCCCCCTATCGGCTTCTACGGCGCTCCCCAGCCCATGAACCAGTTCACCGACCCCAACAACACCACCGTCTTCGTTGGTGGTCTTTCGGGCTACGTGACCGAGGATGAGCTCCGCTCTTTCTTCCAGGGATTCGGCGAGATCACCTACGTCAAGATCCCCCCCGGCAAGGGCTGTGGTTTCGTCCAGTTCGTCCAGCGCCACGCCGCTGAGATGGCCATCAACCAGATGCAGGGCTACCCCATTGGCAACTCTCGTGTCCGTCTCAGCTGGGGCCGTTCTCAGAACAACTCCGGCCCTGCTGGCAGCCCCTACCGTCCGGCTCCCCCTCCCCCTCCCATGTACCCCTCCATGGGCATGCCCCCGGCTCACCAGTATGGCGGGTTTGCCCCGATGAAGGTTAGCAGTCACCCCGGCAGCCCGGCCCCCGAACACTCGTGAGTTATCAGGCTCGGTCGGCTGACTACTTCTCTTCTCTTCCAGTAAGCGCGTTCTTCTTTGATTGAAAGCACCAGCCGGAGTTGTTTGCATCATTCCAATGATGGCCTCCCCTCCCTTCCCCTTTTCTTTTTTGTTTCTCCAATAACAAATTTGCTCTTCCTTCCATCTCCGCCCTCCTGGTTTTTCCACTGCCCCACAACCCCCAAAGGCCTTTTAACGCTCTATAGCTCTTGATGAGCATCTTCTCTCGTGTGCTACGCATATTTCGTTGAGCGCTTCTATCTTAGCAAGATCTGAGCTGTTTTCTTCTTACCTGCTTTCCCCCCTTTCTTCTACTCCCCTCTCGTCGGATCTACCGATCCCGTTTCCTTATGGTTTCATCTTTTTATCTTCTGTATCTCCAACCTTTCTTCCACCAAATTCCGTACTTTTCCCCTTGTTATCCCCCACGCTCGATGCACCACCCTCAGATCTACTTTATGGTTATCCTGCTATTTTTTTCCCCCACACTCCCCGCCCTAGGGTTCCCGTTCGCGTGTAACGAAAGTCCGTATTCTTCATGCGTTTCTTTTCTACTCTATACTCCATGGGCAGGCCTTCTGCGAAAAGTTCTAAGATATTTCAAGTCCTTCGCAAGTCTTTCTTCCGCTCTTATTCTCCTTTGTCTGTTTCTCTCTCTCTTGATCGAGCAGCCAAATTGAATTTTGTTTTCGCTTTAAACGGCTCGCGTTCTGCTATTCCTTCTTTACTTTTCCTTGGATTGGGACTTTTGGTTCGTCTCGTTAGACTGATGCCGACTTGTACAACACTCGTTGCTGCGTGTTTCTGCGCTTGTCGTATTTCTTTCTTTCATGATGATGCGTTCATGCGCTCCTTTGGTTCATCCTGAATGCTTTAGCTCCCATTTTATGATCCTTGCTGCTGCCGTCTTTTCATTTGTGCTTGGCTGGCTGTATGATTCTTGGCAGAGACATGAGCATTGCCGTTCCTTGTAGCTTACAGAGTTTCTATCTCCATGATGCTTGATCCCATTCTTGGTTGTACGGCTGATGGCTTCGGCGTCTAGGCATGCTTGAGCGGATTTTTGCTTCTCAGCTGTTCTTTTGTTGAAGTCTGCTTGTCTTTGTCTCTCTTTCTGTGTGGGCGTAATCGTCCTGAATACAAGGTTGGCCTTTTGTTCTTCGTATCGGGTGTTTTCTCCATTGGCAGACTGTGCTTGAGCTTAGTGCTGGCGTTTCTTTTGCGCTTGGCTTGGATGATTCCCCCTTGTCGCTTTTACCCTTCTACTTCCCTTGAATGGTTGGAGAGGCATTGCAATGTGAATGTCTGATTTGGATGGCATTGGTTGGTGTTGCTTGTCATGTAGTGGTTTAGTGGTAGACACACAACAATAGATTGGACGATATCGATTGGGACTTAGACCATGAGAGGAGTATCTTGTACTGTGAAGACTTGAACAGTAGTTCTAGTTCTGCCCGGCATCGATCGTTCGTTCCTTCTGCATTTTGCTCCTTCCTCTTTCCGGTTTCCTGGTTTTTGTTGACTTCTCTTGGTTCTTTTTCCTCTCTCTTCTTTCCTCTCCAAACACCTCGCCGGCGACATTAATCTTTCCCCTTCAGTCGCCTTCGCAACGACAAACCTTTGAACAAAGCAGGCGCATCTGCATCTCAGCCTCATCGCATTTCGTCCCGTCTCGTCTCGTCTCTATCCACCTCCACACCCACCCATATCCTTCCAACACATACACGCCATGCGCTATGAAAATTGGGACATCCTCCTCTTCCCGGAGGGCTCCAAAATCCGCGTCCAGGAATTCAAAACACAATGCTTCGTCTCCAAGGACACCGACTCGCCTTATCTCCAGAACCCTACCATCCTCGGTCCAAACACCTACTTTCGCGTCCAGGGCAGTTATGGGCAGATTCCCATTCTGACCTCTTTCATCCCCAGTCTGGCTCGTGATAGTCCCTTTCGCGTCTCGATTCATAGCTGGGATAAACCCCGGCCTAGTCGGCTGATCGAGAGTATGATGCAGCCGGATGATGTGCTGTTGTATGAGGCGAGAGTTTTCATTGATGGGGCTTGTGTTGCGTGAGTTTTTGGTTTTGTGGTGTCGTTTACTTCCGAGGGTTTGAGGCTGACTGGTCGGTTATAGTGCGGGTGTTTTTGGGCAGAGGTCGGTTTGGCCGTATGTCATTGGTGAGTCTTTCGATGTTGAAATTAGTTATTTTCGAAAGGGAAGGTTGTGCTGACGGCTTTCTTCTGAAGATCTGAGCTCTCGTATGTATCGATAGTCTTCGCTGCAGCTGTTGGTGCGGCTTTCTTCTAACTTGACTAGATATCGATCGCGAGGGGTGCCAGGACTTCTTGCGCTTCCCTCCGTTCCACGCCGAGATTCTGGAGCAGCGGCACTGGGATGCTGCGGATACACTGGGCCGAATCAGGGTAGTGCTTGCGGAGGGCTTTTCTCGTCCAAATCGTTCGCCGCCGTTCGAGAGAGTCAAGGATGTCATTGTCTTCTCTTTCCAGCACGCTCCTCAGCGTATGTATACTATTGGAAACGGCACTAAAAGTGAAAATGGCTCAGTGAGATGCTGATAGTATAGACAGACATTTTGGAGTTTTCCCAAATCGCATGGCCCAACCCTCACATGTGGTCCCAGGTTCCGCCTCGCACTGTATACAAAGTCGATCAGAACAGTTTTGTCGACGTGAGGGAGCCAGAAGACGCACATGCCCATTCGCCCCGAAAGCCTGAGCTACGCATGCCCGTGGGCTCCATGGTATCGATGGCATCAGCCAGCCAGTCCAGCAGCAGCCAAGCACCCATCATGTACAGCAACGCTTGGGCTCCTGGCCGTGCCTTTCCCGTCCCAGCGTCTCAGTGGTACCCATCAGCACAAACACCCTCCCGAAATTCTCGATGGACAGGGCGCCAAGATCACCCCCAGGAGCCTTTCATCGAACCTGTCATGGATCCTTTCGTCAATGATGCAACCTGGCGGCACCGCGGTGCTCGGTCGTCCCGTGAGGACGTCCCCATGCCAGATTACAGCTCCTCCAGCAGTCGCGCAATATCCAGCATGACCGGTATGAGCTACGAACACAGCAAGCAGTCTAGCATGTCTGCCCCTATGGATGAAGAGCAGTACAATCTGCTGCTCGAAGCTATGACTCCCACACGACCTCCCGTGGGTACTCGCGCCCCGTCAAACACACCATCGACTATGGCTGTCCTTCCAGTTGCGAAGGCCACTCCTGCAACGCAAGTTCGCAAGCCAAGTGGGAACAACCCTGGTACCGGCATGCCCTCAGGTCTTCGGGAGCGTTCTCAGCCTAGCAGCCGTGATATCTCTGGCTCCGTCATCAATCCAGAAGAGAAGGATCCTTCTCCGGCTAAAATCGGTGCCAGTCCTAGTGCGAATGTGAAGAGCCGGAAGGAGGGTGACAAGGAGAAGGACAAGGGGAACCACAAGGAAAATGAAAGTACCGAGCTGTAGGTACACGGGTGGAGGGATTGGTGCGCTGGATATTATTATGGAGGACTCGGGCATACGGGCATACATTTGTGTCAATATTCTTACATAGCGCCCAATACAGACGAGGAGGATATTCAAACTGTGTGTCTACGGTGGCTGAGAACGTACTCGAGTAATTGATATCAGCATAAAATCCAGAGAAGAGTCTGGAAAGATACTGTGGAAGATAACTTGTATTCGATAGAACCAAGTATTCCCTGATTACTTGGCTTTTCCTTGTAGTATGGTATCTGTCACTTTAATGTACATTGCGTGTTTGGCCGTACCTTAGGATTCTACTGCAACTTCCTTCCTAATCCAGAAGTCACCACCTCTTTTCCGCCCGATCGTGACTTTGTTGTCGTGTTTCCATCGCGTTCCCTTTGTTTTCGTCCTTCTCGCTCTTCCTCTCTTCTTTTTCTGCTTTCGTCAACAATCCCCCGCCACTTGTTCCATCCATAATCCCTACATCATCATCATCATCAACAATCATCATTCATCCAGATACCTTCGTACCCTCTACACTCTCCTGTTCACTCTACCCTTCTCGAATCATCGGCACCATGGCCCACGACACCGATGATCCGTCGAGGATCCAGCCTTCGCTGACGTCGAGCCTGGACGTGACTGCGACTGGTAGGAGTCTTCATTCATATTGCTTGAGAGATGATAAGATGAAGCTAATGGTGATCGTTCGTGACAGATGAGTCGATTTCGTCGACTGTCGCCTCTCCTCTGGAGACTTCGTCGTCGAATGGTCAGGCTTCGCTGGTGTCGGGCCTGGTTATGACTGGTAACACTGCCGCTTCCACATTGAGGGACCATAAGATGATACTAATGGTGATGAACACGGGACAGATTCGTCCTCGTCGACTGTCGTCTCTCCTCCGGAGACTTCGTCGTCCGCTGGCCTCACTCCCACTGAGACCTCGTCGTCCTCTCTGGTGTCTCCTCCTGGTACTTCGTCATCTACCGTCCCTACTACCCCACGGATCTCGTCGACTGAGGGCCCTGCCACAGCCACTCCAGTCATGATAGATATGGGCTCTTCTTCCTCTCAGCCAGAGATCGAGGCAGATGCATTCCTCGAATCTATGAGTGCCGTCCTGAGTCCAAAGCTGAAGACACAGCCAACTCAGGGGCCGAGCTCGGTCCGCGAACACTCCATGTCTGCACCTTTCGTCTCTCCTCCTGGCAGGATGAATGCCTCGTCCTCTATGCCTACGGTCGCGGAGCCTAACACAGGTCCTCCTCGATCGGGCTCAGCTAAGGCAACACGCATGGCGAGTATGCCCCCTGGAACTTTCAAGGCCCAGTTGGCCGTACGGGGAAATGCACCTCCACCTATGATGCATGGTCAAGGTTTCGGTCTGGGGCCATCTATTCCAGCATCGGAGGTCTGGAATGGATTTGTGTCCTCTCAAACCGGTGCACCATTTGCACCAGCTCCCTCGGGTAGTCCATTCGGAAACCTACAGCCGGGAGGAGTGCCCGGGTTTAAACCAAATCTTGCGGCCGTTCCCCAGCTTGTCGCGGGAAACACTGGTCATCAGGATGCTGAGCAGGTATGTTTAGGAAACCTTGTTCTTGAAGTAAAGTTACTGACTATATATCTTGCAGAAGTCTCTTGGGTCTCTTACACTGGACACACTTTCGGATTCGGATGTCCTGTTTTACTTTGGCACGCTGTGTGCCATGGCACGGTTGTCTCCACAGTTTCTATTCAAATACGGAGGCAAAAACGGGAAACAGGTGGGCGTACGGCTTCTGATGTACGGGCACACCATTCTGGTCGCGGCCGAAGCAGATACGGCCTATATGGCCAGAGTGGTTGCCTGTCGTCGGGCCTTAACGGAGACGCAGACATACCACCCAGAGTGGCTAGTTCCTCCACTGCCAATTCATGGAGCCACTGGAGCGCACTGGAACTGGGTCAGCTTGCTTGAAGGTAAAACCTTTAGGACCCATGTTTATTTTTGTTGTATTTTTCATGGAAGAGGCTAACAGGACTTTGAATGAAGCATTCTGTACCGAAATTGGCTGGTCTGCACCGACTTACAACACGGGTATCTTGGGCAACCTTTGGCACAGTGAGCTCTCTGTCAATGATTTCTTCTTCCGTACTTTTCAGGGGTGCGGGAGTATGGATGAGGCCCAGAACACTGTGTCGCATCATGCCTTGTATCAGCTGCTGGCGACGGATAACATCGATGTGGGTAATATCCTACCTCTGGACTCTCCCTTGCTGGTCTTGCCCGAGGTCAAGAAGCCTGTAATGCCTCCCACCGAGGAGGCAATAAGGAAAAAGACCAGCATGCTGTTGAATGCAATCGAGTCTTTGAAACCGTATCCTGACGAGGCTGGCCAACCTCAGGCTCTGCAGGATACGGTTGATGCGCTGGACCGCCTTCGGAAGGATGAGACAAAGCCAACTGGCAAGGTTTCTGGCCTGTCTGGTGGCAAAATTGCGAAGCAGCAGGCGAAGCCAGTCAAGCCTGTACATAAGGAGGCCCAGAAGAAGCCGCCCACTGCCCCGGGAAAGGCAAAGCCAAAGAACCCCCCTGCCCCGCTGCCAGCGAAGCCGCGAGCCCCGAAGCGACGAGGCCGAGGTGGAGGTCCCCGTCATGGCAAAGAACGCCTTACGCCTCCTCAGCAGTCCAAGGCCAAAGGTAAGGAGGCTGAAGTCGAGTCCTCAGGTTCTCAGTCTCCGTCAAAGAATGCCAACATGGTGCCGCTTACAAAGTCTCGACTGGCTCCCGTGGAAATGGAGTACGAGCCAATTGTGGATCAGTTGGCAACGCTGAAAGCTGTCCAGGAAGGGCTGGGTGCACTGAGTCCCCATGCCTCATTCCTGCGATTGATGAAGAGTGAGTTTCAATCGATACCACCACCTCTCACCGCATGTCCCTCAACGATGTCTCATCTTCCGCTTGTTTTTCTCTCTCGTTCCTTAACTAACTCTTGGTTTTTTCACAGCTATGTGCCATATTCTGCAGATTGAGGAGCCTGAGATCCGGTATAATCCAGCCCCGTACGACGCCTCTGGTCCAATTCATACTATGCATGCCTTCTTCAACGATCCCAACCCTTTTTTGACCCGCGCCAGCCCTGTTTTCCTGGCTAACGTGGGAGGGATTGACGAGGAGGATGCGTACTCCCTGGGGGTAAAGAAGATCATTCTTTTCCTCCTTAAAATGTGCAAGGACGAGGTTGATATGGACGTCCTGGAGTCCCGCTGGGAGAAAGAATTGGAATGGCTGAGTCGTTTGGAGCGCGAGGTTAAGGACCGACTGAGCCAAAGCCAGATGGAGATGGAGATGTGAGGGTGGTGCTGGAGGTGGACTCCTCCCCTGGAGTCCGCCAAGATGTTAAGAGTAATTGTGTGGATTTTGTGGAGTACAGGAGCCGGGATGTTGGTGCGATGCTCCCTGTTCTGGACATGCTCGTGGTTAATTCTTTGACCAAACGACTGACCAGGACGGGTAATGAGCAGCGGCGGTGCAGTCATGCAGTCATGCATTTGGGTGTAAGGTCCTGGTTCTATGCATGATAATTCCCGTGTATGATTATGATTGTATGAATCAATGAGACTGTTTTATTATCATTGATGTTATAGGCTGAGTAAATTAATTTGGCATCAACAAATCCCGGAGTAAAACTGGAATACGTTCCAAGCACCACTAACAATGCTTGATAGAAACAGGATAATACCCACTTGTAATATCTATTCCTCCGCCATTTATAGGGTCATTGACAACTTTTGGGCTCTGTCACGGTCGAACATGTTTTATTGAATCTGTTCAAATGGGGCAATACCTCTTTTCGGGATCGATGTTGATATTGCTATTGATGGAGATTCCTCCTCCTCTTGGCCTCGATCGTTTGGCTACCAGACCAGCGATTGTTTTTGCTTGCAGATTGTTGGTCCTTGCAGATTGATGCAGAGAGGTTTCTGGTTTCTTCCTTATACTTCCTAGATTGCTTTGTTCGATGGCCTATTTAGGCCATCTTCTGGTTTTGCTTCTTCCTGTTCCTTAGAGATTTTCTCTAGATAGAGATCGATGAGAGTGTTTTCCTTGCTTCCTGGCTTCCTCTGAGTAGCGGCGTAGTTTCGCCGTGAGCTATGTTGGATGGATGTCAACCTTCGTGACCGTATCCTTATTTTATATCACTTTTTGGCTCGAGCCAATGAACCTATACAGAAGTCCCAACAATCCCAATAAAAATCGTCGCCCCAGCCATCCACCAACTCGCAACCCCAAACGCCCCCTGAATATCCTTCCTCAAAATTCCCCACAAGACACCAAAAAGAAGACTCGGCGGGAAAAAAGCAAACCCCAGTGTGCCCCAGATACGTCTCCAATTCCACTCCTCCCGGTAAAATATGCCCCACGCCTCTGTGACCTCGATACCGTCAGAGGTCAGCTCGGTATCTAGTTTCTTGGGTAGTTGTTGCATGACGAGGTCTGAGCCTGGAACTCGACTGTCTGGGTCGGCGAAGAAATCCATCATTAGGCGTGGTCCGATAGGTGGTGAGTGTTTTGATGGGATGGGGCGGCATTGGTATGTTGAGCCGAGCGGGGGGACGAGGGTTGCTGGTGGGATGCAGGAGCATGGTTGGCCGGGGATGCAGATTTCAGGATGGCAGCGGATGTCTATGTAGTTTGTATCGGCGTAAAGGAACTAGAGGTGGTTTGTTAGCTCGTTGTTATATTCAAGTTTACCAGGGGTTGTGATGGTTTCATGGAGGCTGTCTCTGGGACAAAATGCCCCGAAAAGCCCAGTCCATATATCATAACGAAATATGCCAGGGTTTGAAGGTCGTGCGCAGATTCGTACTTTCATGAAATGGATACTATGCAATGTTCGCAAGGACCAAAATGATTCAAACTTTCGTCGGTGACTGTAGTAGATCTTTCGTAGTGTATGGAAGAGTTGTCGATCGTCGGTAATATCTGTCACATACTCTTGATGCAACGTTGTTGGCCGGCCACGGCGCTCAATGCAAGAGAGCAGGAGAAGTGGACGTGATGCTCGATTGCCAGTTCCTATGCCTTGAGAGGCTACAGCAGGCTGACTGGTGGGAGTGGCAATAGATTGGTCGGTGATATCGCCAGACGAAGTGGTAGATGTAGAGGCTCTTGCTTGAAGACCGCTGGAACCTGGTGTGTACCGAACAGCTGCAGAGGAGATGCCTTGGCTTTGACTGCCATCGCCCACAGGTGAATTTGGCATTGTGGTTGCCTGCAAATATTCTTGAAGAACATGAAGTGCGCCGGGTTCATGTTCAACATAGTCATCGTAAAGTCTCTTGCCGTGTCGCTGTGGTATATTAGCATCCCAAACCTAAATCTGTAGCACATGGGATAATGCTCACGTTTATCCACCTGAACCGCTTATGCTTCTCTGGAATATCCTCTTCTCCCAGGAAGAATTGGAGAAGCTTCTTCCAGTATCGATATCCTTCCACGCACCTTGCCCAGAATCCCGCTCTCCTTGTGGCCCAATCTATTGATGGAAGTCCCCAGGCGTGAGCATACCAGAGGAAAATGCCCCTGAGAATTTCAAACATCCCACCTTGAATATTGATACCTGGTTTTTCCTCCAAGCCATTAGGAATAACAAATTTCCTCAGTTCTAGTCGTAGGTTATCAAATGCAGCGCTTTCCAGGATAAAGCTTCGACCATGAGACACTAATGCGGTAATCCTCTCCGGCCGTTCGTCATCCTCGTCACTGCTTGATTCATGAATATCGTCTAGCATCGAGTGCTGGTATTTAACACGAATTATGAGGTTCGGATTGGGGAGGATATGGCGCTGGGGTTGGGTTTCATTGAAGTATTTCAACTCAAGCTTGTTTCCAATCTTGTCAGAAATGAGACGAGCCCTGGCCGAGATCAATTGTGCAAGATCAAGATCAATGGCTTCTCGCGCTTCCTCTTGAAGATCCATAGCGAATCGCTTTATCAGTCGTCGAAAGTTCCGGACAAAACGTTCCAATGGAACTTCCCTTTCCAAGAGAACCCGCTCATATAGGGCGGCCATTTGTGTATCGTCGAAGAAGATGCTGACAAGCTCTTCAATCGCTGTCTGCATCTCGTCTACCGTCAATCGCGTGTCTGTTGTCATAGTAGTCGATGGCAGAGTCGCCAAAGAGAAAACAGACGGTGCATTTGACGGATCTGTCTCTGAGTGCTCTGCGCTTGACAGACCAGTTTGGATTTCTTGCCATTCTTCCAGAGCACCGCTAGGCATTTCCTCCACAAGGGTTTGATGATGCAGGCGACAGTCACGCATCGCGCAAGCAAAAACCTCATCCCAGCTCTCGACCGCTTTCTGACAAATTGGACAACATGGGGGAACCGGATTACGTTTTCTGGTGCATGGAATCGAATCCTCCCGCGAAAATTTCCGATGATGGCGCCGTCTGACATGGTGCAAAAACTTATCGGGGTGATTGAACGACAACACAGAGCAACCTGCGGGGGGCAATACCATTCAAATTCATGCAGATGACTGCCTTGCAGATGCCGTCTGAAGGTTGCTGGTATTTGATGCCTCGGCTTGAATTCACAAATTCTACAAGAATAAAACTCTTCTCCTCTGCGTCCTCGTTGTGAAGACCAGATCTTAGTCGGAAATTGATCCAAGGCCATCGTATCGAGTGAACCACTATACATATTGCCTTCCGACTGTTCTCCAAGGGGCTTCTTAGCCAAGTCATCTGGCAGTGAATAGGGCAGTCCGTAAGTCTTAAAACCTTCTTCAATTGCATCGAAATTGTTCATGAGATCTTCCCTTCTTAGTTCAGGCATGATTTCGTCAATAAGGAGGCGCTCTGGGCGCTGCGTCTCGGTCACGCTGGGTCCCCTGGTCCCCCATTCCAGACAGAACCTCCATTTCCGACAGAAGATTATCTGGCAGAAAGAAATGGTCCTGCTTGTTTGAAGATCCCGAGCTCTCCCCATAATCGCTCATTATTGGTGCTGGAGGCTGTGTACTGTCCCCTTTCGGGATATCGCTGTCAGAATCAGGGTTCAGATCCTGTTCTTCTGATCCCTGAACGGAGATATCGCTTCGTATATAATCCGAGACTTTTCTTTTCGACTTCTCTAGCTCTCTGTAGTGATACCACAATGGCCGAAGATATCTGTGTTGGGCTTTGTGCGGGACAATATCGAAAGCCTCAGTAGAATTCTCACTCCCCGCTGTTTCTAGAGAAGCCTCGTCGATCCTAATTGCCTCTGAGGCCATATCGAAACCCATCTTCAAATCATTCAGGTTCAATGATATCACACGCAGAGTTTCCAGGCTGCACCAATATTCTTCTAGCAGTTTTGCATTGAGCACCAGGTAAGTGCTCAAGTTACGCTCATTTTGTTGATATCCGTCAATACCGATTTGGACCCTGGCCATGGCGGCCAGGATTCTGACTCGCTTAATAGAATTGTCATCGGCACCTGGTAAGGTAAATCCCTCAAATGGCTTGCCCGTCTCGAACACATGGAAATACGATAGACTAGCCTTGAGACTTTCATATGTTGCCGCCACAATCGGATTTTTAGTTTGGTAGGGAGCGTAAACTTTGATAAATGTCTCTGTTATATCGCAAGCCGAGAAAGCTGTGTTCATGAACGTCTTTTTCATGGAATTCGTGTCGACCATGGCGATAGTCAAGTTGGACTTATCCTGGGATGTCTGGTTTGAGTGTCTCCTAGGTGGTTGAGTTGGGAGTATCCAGCGATCAAATAGATGACGGAATTAGATCACGATAGACCTCTCGAGGGACAGCTTTAATATAAGCTGACGACCCTGGTGGTAGATTTTCCGCAATATCAAGCTGGATATGAAGAAGAGGGGCAGTGCAAGAGTTGATGTAGCGCATTATGAGGCTGACAGACACCGCCACATCACCCGGGCGCTTAGGCGCAATGCGTACTTTCTCACAAGACAAGCTAGCCAAGCTAGCCAATCAATCGATAGACGACACATCGACGCTGTCAAGGTGAAGCTGAGCCGTAGATACAGGACTCATCTATATCACTATCATACAGAATAATGAATGAATAATACAAAACCGGGGAACACTATGAATCAGAAAGAAACAACAAGAAAGAAACAACAAGAAAGAAACAACAAGAAAGAAACAACAAGAAAGAAACAACAAGAAAGAAACAACAAGAAAGAAACAACAAGAAAGAAACAACAAGAAAGAAACAACAAGAAAGAAACAACAAGAAAGAAACAAAACTCGAAACTGCACACGCAATACGGATTTGAGATCTCAATCGTGATATTGGCCCATTACTTATCAACATGGGCAAGTTCGGGAACCTAGGTAGCTGCAAGAAGTGCAGCTGTCTCCCTCATTCATATCGTCATCGCTGTCATAATTCAAACCATAGAGTAGCCAAGCTACGCTAGTCGTAGTGTGAGCGTGATACATAATATCACACCCCTATCAGAACCAACCTCATCCTCACCTTAATCACCTTAATCCAACAAAGAACGTACACCGAAGTAGCGAATACCATTGCATTCCGGAAACATCAAGCGCAATCATCATTGCTGTGACTCAAAAGATATAGAAGAGGAATATCGAATAGAAATGGGTAACGTAATTGTGGATTTCCAATTCATAACGCCCTTGAATAGGAGGGATAGAAAGATCAGATCAAGTAGAAAATAGAAAAAAAGTAGAAAATAAAAAGTAAGAAAAATTGGAAAAAAAGAAAAGAAAAGAAAGACAATCACAAGAAAGGAGAAGACAAGGGGCAAAGTATGAAAAGCATTCAATTCAACCCGGTTCTTGAGTTACAGGAACAAGAATGAATGAAAAGAAGCAGAAGAAAATCCGGCATGGCAGCTGCTGCATTGCGCGACTGGAATACTTCGGACCAGGGAAATATCAATATCAGACATGGGCCATAATCTCATCCCGTATCGGGCAAGCAAGGGGGATTAAAGTGGAACCAGACGAGGAATAAGGTTTGTAGTAATAGAACGAAACGAAGAGAAGCAAAGAAACTCGTAGGTCACAGTGCAACTAATCTGGAATACAGAATGGGGCGCCTTCGGGTGTTCAAGGTTCAGGGTCAGTCCAATCTCAGCCCCGTCACAACATCATCGACACCGCTATCGTGGTCATTATGTCTGTGCGGAAATGAGTTTTTCGACGGCAAGGCAGGAAATCATTTGTTTGGAAAGGAGAGGGACGACTGGGTAAGATAATGCAAACCACAACACGATACTCAAAAAAAGAAAGGGAGAGGGGATACACCAACGCCAATCTCACAGCACATGCGCACGCAACAAATATCCAAGCGAGGCAGAATAGGTTCCAGGAAAAAAGAGGTCCAAAAACAATCAATCAAGCGCGAGAGTTATCCGCAAGGAATGGCCAAGTAAGAAAACGCACTATACCGACGAGGACTATCAAATGTACAAAAACAAGGGTATATCGGAGGCTTAAACACCTGAAGAGAACCGTCAAGACTTTTCAAATCATTCACAGGCCGTCACCAGCCCCGGTCTCAACACCGTCAGCGGAGTAGCCCATGTTCGGGTCGAAGCCGAAGCCGGTGCCATCTCCATCAGTGTTGAGGAACGTGTCAAAGTCGAAGCTCTCCAGGATATCAGGGTTATCCAAAGTGCTGAAGTCCAAGCTGAAAGCAGAGGCCTGTTGAGGTTGAGCGTCAGCAGTCTGAACACTGAAGTACAGTGAGAGATCTGGATGAAGATCATGGCTTACATCAGGGATGGAGAGATCATTGAATGTTTGCTGGTTCGGATCCGGAGTGGGTTGAACCATGGGAGGAGGTGCAGGGGCCGAGGTCTGCTGGGGAGGTGCGCTCGCAGTAGCATTAGGTACACCCTTGGTGAAAGCGTTGGGAGGAGCATGGGGTGTGACGGGAGTAGACGGAGTCGGAGTAGGTTCATTAGCCTCAGTAGAGGGAGTAGCGGCGGCAGCCGCAGCAGCAGCGTTCTTCTTGTTGGGACGCTATTCGAGTTCATGTTAATGCGGGGCCAGTGACGACAACTGGATATGTATGTAGTCAAACTTACCTTGCGAGTGTTCTCCTTTGCACCTTCCTTCTTGCCCTTGGGTGCGGCCTTAGTAGACTGCTGAGGCGTTGGTGGCGCATTGCCAGTGGTTTGGGGAGATGGCGGCTGGGGACGGCCCGCATTGGCGCCAGCCGGTGGCGCCTGAGGTGGAGGCATGGTGCTGCGATCCTGCGGGGTACCTGCCTGGGGCTGAGTGGCCGGCGAATGCTGAGGCATAGGCTGTCCAGGTTGCCATTGTCCACTGGGCATACGGTTGGCGTTGGCGGGGATGGGTTGGCCCATTTGAGCTCCGGTAAAGGCTGGGTTGGAGCTTGGGGGGCGCATGGGCCCACCAGGACCGGGGAAGAAACCAGCAGCCATGTCGGGAGGGATCTGTGCGCCGTTCAGGTTCATCGATCCTGGAGATCCACGGTTTTGGCCCATGTCACCGGCGCTGGGAGATCCCGGGAGACCGGTCTGAGGCATCTTGGGCGTGCCTCGTTTCATTTGATCGCTGGGGTTTGGAGACGCACCCGCCCTACTACCCTGGGGAGAGGTGCCTGGTGGCAATCCCTGACCGGGCATCGGGGGCTGGCCGTCAGCACGGGACATGCTATCCTGCTCTTGACGAGCCATCATCAGGCGACGCTTATTCTGCTGTTCAAGCAGCATAAGTTGCATCTGATAGTCCTGGAGAGCATGGTTGCCATGTTGACCGCCAGGTGTTTGCATGCCAGGACGAACCTGTTGGAGCTGACCGTTTGAGCTGTAGTACTCTGGACCCATGGGGTACATGCCTCCTTGCCCATCCGGCATCGGCACCAGGTCCGCCTGATTCGGCATAACACCGGGATTCATCATACCACCATTCGGAAGACCCTGGGAATTCAATGCTGAGCGAGAGTGATGAAGGGCCAAGTTTTGAGCATATACCTGCATGGATTTCTGTTGCGCAGCTTGCCCCTGCTGGAACTGCTGGAACTGCGCCGGGTTCATAGGCCTTTGCATTCCGTTCGGCATCATCAGCTGCTGGGGGTTTTGCTGGCCTTGCATCTGTCCCTGTCCACGTCCATTGGGAGCTAATTGCTGACCATTCACGGCACCACCTTCGAGGCGAGGGCGTTTCGACGGCGAGGGGGCGTTGTCAGCAGATGCAGGTGACTGTGGCCGATTCCCGTTCATGTCCATTTCAGACTGTTCCCGTTGCATCTGCTGCATCATCTGCATCTGCTGATTCTTCTGGAACTGAGCAGCCAATTGCTGTTGAGATCTATAAGATGAAAGAGAAGAAGACCTGATTAGCATCACTACGAAATGCTGGCACATAGATTATGCCAAGGGAGAAGCATACAGGCCGTTGTTCAGAGCTGCCTTCTGCAAGTTAGGAGGAACCATGCCATTGCCGCCACGGCGTACGCCAAGTGGCACTTGGCCGGCCATCATCGGCTGTTGTTGCCGCATGAGCTGATTGTGCTGCTGCTCTCGAATACGCATCAGATTCTGGAAAGCCAATCGAGTTAGAATCAGTGAGAGGAGGAATCGGGAGGGTAAGCTTGGCGGACTTGACATCGCACAAAGTCTTATACATACCTGAGTGTGCTGAAGATATTGCCTCACATCGTTGCTGTTACCCCGTTTCCGCTGAGCCCAGAAGAAGTCCCAGAAGAGACTAAACCAGTCCAGCAGGAACGAGGATTGAAGACTTTCATTGGGGAGGCTGGGTCGAGGAAGATCGTCGGGGATCTTAATTTTCTCGCCATCCTTTCCATCAGTCATCATGGGATCACCATCGACACCGTTCACGTCGCCACCAGGCCGGCTACCCGGGCTAGTCTTCGTGCCATTGTCGGTGTTGATCTTAATGGATTCGTCTTGCACGAGTGCACGCGCGCAGTCGTGGTAGCCACGTTTCAAAAAGTAGTCGTAGATATAGGTGTTGAGGTTGTTGATCATGATCTCGGGGTTATTCATGTTCATGCCGCCGTCGTTACGAGGAGCTGTAGAGCCGTTGTTCATCATAGGGATACCACCCACAGGGCCTCCAACCCCGGGGTTCATTCCAACATTCATCGGGTTCATGGTGGCGAACGGTGGATCTTCGGCCACCCTTGCCTATATTATGTAGAGCGATTCAAGTCGGAAGTCTCCGTATAGAGGCCAACGCGCATCCACCAAGCTAGGCGATGAGGCCCAACGCGGGTGAGTGGATTGCAACGCGTAGAGGAGGGGGAGGATGTCAGGGAGGAGAAGCGGTCAGCGCTTCAAGTATGACAACTATAGCCTAACCCTGGCTTTCCAGTAATATGATAAACGCGTGCGAAACAACCGCGCGAATTCACCGAGCCCGATAATGTTCGGTGTGATGTTGCGATAGAGGATCTGCGGCGGCCGGGAATGTCTTCTCCGGGGGGTTCGAGCCACGCGACGGGAGGGACTAGAACCGGAGAATCGGGAGGCGCAAGCCAAAAACTGGAAGAAACCCGATGGCTAGAATGTCAAGCGATGGTCAGAACAGTGCTTGGCTCGCAAAAGGGCCAGAGGCAGGAGCGGTTCGCGGTGCGATAGGGTTTGAGCGATGACGGAGGTACAAGGAGGCGGAAAAAGCCCACAAGTGAGGAGGTTGGGGGTTGAGGGGGAAGGCAGCGCTGCCAGACAAGCCCGATCGGGCAGATTCGCGCAAAAGAACAGAATTTGACATGCAACGAGGAAGAAGAGGGGATTCAAAGGAGAAAGAGAAGATAGCAGGGGGCGAACTGGGTGTGGATCTCACGGTGGAAGGGGAGAGGAGCCGGGGGGTACGGGCGACAGGCGCTGCGCTCTCACTGCGGGAGAATCGCTTGTTCGGAGCGGATCAACTCGATCGGAACCCGGGGCTGGGGATGGCGCTGTCAGGCGTATATCTGGGCATGCGCGGTCGCAATGATTGAGGGCGAAAAAAAAAGAAAGAAAAGAAAGATTGCGGTGCCAAAAGGACAAATCTGGGACAAGTTGCAAGTCAAGCAGAACCGTCCAGAGGAAGAAAAGTTTCCAGTATAGAGATCTAGCGAACAGAAAAGAAGAACGAAGGAACAAAGTGGGCGGGTTGGGGTTTGATCAGGCAAGAGGGATTAGGTATGGTGATATGCTGCGCGATGGGCCCTGCGATGGATCCCAGCGGGAGTCTAAAAAAAGTCGGGTCCTCCGCGCAACCAAAAAGGCCCAAGAGATCCAGCTAGACGATCGGCGATCGAGCCAATCGGACCAGAATCAAATCAAAAAAGGGCCCAGGGGAGGGGAAAGATGAGAGAGTTGAAGGCGAAGAGATTCCAGAGAGAAAAAAAGAGGCGAACAGGGAAGAAGAAAGTCGATGAGTACGAAATTCGGAGGGGCGGAGATGGTACTGGTTGTATTGCGAATACCGTATTGTCACACCACGCCGCACTCTGCCTCTTCGTCAATGGCAGGTGGTTACCGAATGGCCGATACCGACGGTATGTCCAATTCGCTGTTGGACATGGACAGGATATACAGGCCAGTACTACTGTATGTGTAGAGTTTGATTCACGAGTATCTGTACAGCTCTACATGTATCAAATTGGATAGCTAACGCGTCCGCTAGAGCTCACTATGTATACAGTGATACACTGTCCCGAAAGCATCGAGATCGGTGTAGTAGTAATAGTAACTAACAGGGCTGGCCCGCCATCGTCAATTCTTCTTAGGAAATATCAGCCTTCTGCGCAAATCTACAGACAAGAAAAATCTCGAATATGAAACATGTCCAGGTAATGCTGGTGATAAATCGCGCGGCGGGGGCAAAGTTCCTGGTTCCTACAGGACGATAGATCAGAAAGCCTATTCTTGCATCCAACCGAACTAGCCACGCAGCCAGCCAGCCCAGCAGAGGAGAAAACATCCCAGTCATTTGGATCAACCGGAACACCACGCAAAAGGAAATGAGAATCAAGATCCCAGTGGAGAAAAAAAACTTTGATCAAAAAGAATACATCATAGTTCTCGCAAAAACATGAAACCAATGGAAGCCTGCCATAAGAAGAAAAACGCCGTGGATGCTCATCACCATCTACTCCTCCTCTGGCGGCATCTCGTCCTCAATGTATCGGACCAGTGAGACTCGCATCTCGGTTGTATCGTCGCCCCGGAGCACATCGCTCACAAAGTGTGCCTCGATCTGCATTTGAACCTGGAAACCGGGTTAGTGATCGGACCCGGCGCAAAGGAACCTGTTGACCGGGGAAGAGGGGAAAGGCGCCGGAGGATCGTAAATCGAGCCTAGCTAGTCTCTAAGGCAAAAAAAAGTTTACTTACCATCTCTAGTGCGCCTCGAAGCACACCGCATAGGATATTCGAGAACCAGAGCTCATCCTGTGCTCGCCCGTCGTCCGGCAGCTCCACAAAGTCTGCCAAGGGATTGTCATCGAAGATAAGGGAGAACTGGTTGTTGTCGCTGGTCCAATTGGTGACCGTTGGGGCAACATTCAAGAAGATCTTGAAGCCCACCTGATCAGAGAGGTCAGAAATCGTGCATCAAGCCATTCGACCTCTTTCCTTCCTTCGATACACACAGTCCCTCCCTTGTATGTCACGCACCTTTGCAATCATATCGGCCGTCTCCCGGAAATTGGCACATCGTCCCACCCCGGACTTGGCCAGGAAGTCTTCAATCAACCGCATGCCAATATTGTAGCCCATCTTATCCAATTGCTTGTTGACCTCTTGGTAATCACTATCGTAGTCCTGACATAATTGTGCAACAATCGTGCCGTATGTTAACGTGACCAGCTCCGCGTTGACTTTATCGATTCTCGTTCTAGGGAAGAGCGAGTCTGGTTAGTTCGAGTAGAACGGAGGACAGACACCTCGTCGTATAGTGGATAGAATGATCGCATCGACCATTTTCAAGTAGATCTCATGGCTTACTGACTTCCATATTCTGTATAGAATCCGTAAATCAGCATATGCATCTGTGGAAGAGTGCAGCTTCACTTACTCTTCTCCTATTCTGGAGGCTTTTGAAGATGACATGGCTGCGTGCTCGGTGCGCTAGGCACTAAAAGGCTGGAGTATGGCAGTAAAAGGCTTTGATAGCAATTCCCGCACAATATCAGGCAAATGCGACAGTCGGACGTGGATCCCTGAAGTGATTGCGGGGAGTTCGAGATGATGGAGCTGTCGCCGTACACAGTCGGGGCTCACCGCCCACCAAAAGTGGGATTATCGTTCTTCCCGCAGCTCCAGGCGCTCCCCCAAGGAATCTTTCGCTCTCCGCTGCAGTCAACTCGCGACGACATTGAGATTCCCCCAACCTTCCCCCTTGTTTTCTCCTCGGTTGACTGGCGACCCTGAGGTTACCCTCCGTCGCAATCATGTCTGGAGAAAAACGCCCTGCCCCAGAGGCATTTGGCCACTCAAGCCAGCTCGTGGTCAAGCGAAAGAAGTCCGATGCCGACCTCAACCCTGGTACCGCGGTCGTGAAAAGCTCGTCGCAAAATGGCGCTCTTATTCAATCAGTATGTAGCTTTCCAATACAATCTTCTGTTCAATCTTGGGCATGGAAGAATGTGTCATCGGTCAATCTTGGAGATAGGGACGAATGGCTAACTTGGTGGACCTAGATTCCTCGCACCAGCGGCCTCGATGCGCCGATCATGGAGCTTACGGGTATGATGCCCTCGATGAATCGTTGAGGTGGACTACAGCTAATGTTAGGAACCAGGCCACTCTGGTGAAGTCTTTACAGTTCGATTCGACCCCACGGCCCAGCACATTGCATCTGGTTCAATGGACCGATCCATCTGTACGTTTTGACCCAGACTCTCACCAGAATTCTCCAAATACAACGATCCCTAACTCATTTTCCATGTAGTGCTGTGGAATACATACGGACAATGCGAAAACTACGGCCAATTGACTGGCCACAAGGGAGCTATCCTCGACCTACAATGGGCCCGCGATTCTCGAGCAATTTTCTCTGCCTCCGCCGATATGACACTGGGGAGCTGGGACGTCGAAACGGGAACACGCGTGCGCCGCCACGTCGGCCACGAAGAAATTATCAATTGCCTTGATATCAGCAAACGCGGGCAAGAACTGCTCGTCAGTGGCAGTGACGATGGCTGCATAGGCATCTGGGACCCACGGCAAAAGGATGCGCTGGAATACCTTGAAACCGAGCTGCCCATCACGGCTGTCGCACTGTCCGAAGCCGGAAACGAAATCTACAGCGGCGGCATCGATAACACGATTCATGTCTGGGATCTGCGCAAGAAGGCTGTGGTTTACTCCATGGCTGGTCACACCGATACTATTACCTCTCTAGAAATCTCGCCGGACTCACAAACCCTGCTGTCTAATTCTCATGACTCTACGGTTCGGACGTGGGATATCCGGCCGTTTGCACCCACCAACCGGCTGGTCAGGACATTCGACGGCGCGCCCGTCGGCCTGGAGAAGAATCTCATCCGGGCCAGCTGGGACCCCAAGGGCGGGAAGATTGCTGCTGGCAGTGGTGACCGGAGTGTGGTCGTCTGGGATGCCAATTCTGGCAAGCTGCTGTACAAACTTCCTGGTCACAAGGGTACCGTCAACGATGTCCGCTTCTCGCCTAACGACGAGCCAATTAGTGAGTTTCTTCTCTCGTCACGGAATTGTCTAATTGGATGTACATGCTGACCTCATCTCTAGTTGTTTCTTGCTCGTCGGATCGGAACTTGATGCTGGGAGAATTGGGCAAGTGAAGCGTGATACTTGAAACACCTGTAATGACGGATAAGCGGGCGTTCATTTGATCTACATAACCACATACTCTTTCTCGAGGCTGCCTCTACTGGTCCCCGGACTGCCAGCTCGGCTAGCAGCAAGGATGTCGCTGCTTGCTGTGAATTGAACATGGCGCTGCAGCTTCGGCTTCGGCTTCAGCTCGCCAGAATCCAGAATATCGCCTGGAAAGGTCAATCCTTGAATGAGGCTTTATTTCCATGGGTTGTACAATACAATACTAGTCTCAAATACCTCAAATGGCTATTTGCCTCTTCGTTACTTCCTTCTTCACATGATATGTGTATTGGGTCAGAGTACCTTCTTCTTTGGGACACTCGTGCAAACTGCTTCGAAGGGGTCTTGCCATTCTCCCCGTTCCCGCCACATCTTGCTTTATCTCTCCATCTCCACTTTGTACACGGTTATCACTTCAACTTTTCTTTTCCATTCTTCACCGGGAGTTACGAATATCGATTCATTGCTTTACCTCAGGCATTTGTCCCACCTTCAATATGACAGATTCCGAAGTCAGCGGCGCCACCGCAGAGACCAACCCTGTCGACCAGGCCATCTCCCAGCTATGGGCAGAGGCCAAGCGACATGCAATTCTGTCATCATATCTTCCATCTTGAACCTTGGCATAGTTACAGCGGGTAAGTTGGCCCCCTTCCCCCTTCCCCAGGCACTGGCAAGGTCGCATCTAATTCGCCAAAAAGGTTTAATCCTGGCCTACACCGTTCCAAATGCTTCACTGTGGAATCACGGCATGCTCCTCGCCTTCTTCTTGATCTTTTTTGGGGCTCCATTGTGGTTCAGTACCACTTCGGTGTGTTTGACCAAGATCGCATTCCGCTGCAAGACGAACACCCTCGTGGCGGAACCCCTACCCATCGTCAAAATGGCAACTTTATCTGAATCACCATCAACCTGGACAAGCCGGTCTTGATGGTTCCGGAGGACCTCGCGTCAAAAGTGTGAGAGAACGCAGAAAATGAACGGGGAGTGCCTGTCGAAACTCTCTGGGAAAAAGTTGTGAGTGGCACCATAAAAGTTACCCGGATATTCCCTCTTCAGGTGTGAAATTGGCTGACTTCTTGCCAGGTATATTTTACGTACAACGTTCACTCGCGCATGGGAAATTCAGCGCTGCTTATGACCAGTCGTGGGCAGCCTTTGATGCATGAGGCTCCGAAGACCGAGGCATGAGATTGAGGTTAGGGCTCCTTTTTATTATGTCACGGAGTAAAAGGAGTGGCTTGAGACAAATTGTCTCAATGGGAAACTCAGTTGTCGGTGGTTCTTGCGCATACTTAGTCGGTTCAATTCTTGTTCAGATTATATTTGTGCCAGTCAGTCTATTGCTCTGCTCGTACAAGTGAATCGGGAAACATTCTGGGCCACTGGCTTGTGGGATCATCTCCTCAGTTCTGTGTATTCACACCTCAACCCGGATTTTGCGATACCTTCGCATTCTCTTGACCCCTGCTATCAGCTACACCTCAGCTACAGCTCTTCACCTGGTTGAGATAAGCTCCGCATGAGTGGGGAAGAGTTAAGGTTCAGGGCAAAGTATGCTCTCTTGACATCAGAACTTACTTTCTGGAAGGAATCAACAAGTTCATTCATTCCATGCATGCGCCTAGGGAAACCGTTTGGATAAAATCAGCAATATCTCTGGACGATATGGGCTATTACAATTCTGGTTAGATATGTTTGACAGTTGACGCAGTAATACTGGTAAAGCCCTGTTGGTCAGTGAGGAAATATTTAGAAGGACGACCGTGTTGTGTTACTAACTTAGTGAGGTAAGCATAAATATTCGATGGATTCTTTTTCTTCTCTGGGTGATGGATCTCGCCCCCTCTTCTTGTCGGTCTTTTGATTCACCTTTTTTGCCTTCTCCATTCCTTCCTATTGTTCATATTGTGTGTTTTAAATAGATGACGCGCTGGGTCGGATGGAATGCTTACGAGACCTATTTATCATTGCTTGCTTCTATTTTGTCTGTATTCGAACGGTCGTCTAGGCATAGATCAATCTCGGCATTGTCTTTTTATTTTATGAGAATATGATTCTCATCGTATGCCTATGTTTGTAAGCCCAGTCCTCAATATAGAGATGATAAGTATGTAAATACCGTCGATGTGCTCACTTGCGGTTCCTGGAAGCTTGGTTGTCTCTTCACGCCGTATCTAAGAACTGCAGGCTGTTGCGCCGTGCTAACGATAGGAAAATTCCATCTGTTCATTCCAGGTAGGGTCCAAGAGCTGTTTACAAGTGTTGAACACACAATATAGACAACAGGTAAGTAACACTATTAACATATGAAGGTTTAAATAGACAATGCGACATTAAAATCTTCAGACGCAGACACTCAAGACCCATCCACCTACCGTGGAACCTCGATATCATATTTGCAAGTCACTTCGCTCAACGTTCAAAGTGACAAACCTAGCCTCGCAAGCACAAATTACCGATATACGTACCTCCGGTCATCAAAGAGATCCAAAGTAGCCTGCCGGGCCTGCTTCTCGAACCTTAACCTAGTCTTCATCGCATCAAGTTCCCGCTCAGCATTAATCCGCGCCCCCTCATGCATAATTCGCACACGCTCTACCTCCGGCTGGTGCGGCGCCAATGGTAACATCTCTCTTGGGATATCCCCCCACTTTGACCAGAGAGGGAGTCGATAATGGCGCATTGCACGATTAAAATCGACCCATTACCCGGACGGGTTAATCAGGGCACCGCAGATGGTCAGGCTTGTCCAGCCATGGAGAGTAAGCATAGGTTTTTGGTTTCCGGATACGGAGGGGACTGAGGACAGGATGTGTTCCATTATGACGGGTTGGGAGTTTGAAAAGATTGAGAGAGGGTTAAAGGGGGGTCCTGTGGGTGTTGATACTGGGGTTCGGGGGTGTAGGACGAAGTCGATGCCATAGGAGGTGTAATGGTCGGCTAGTTCGCGGTCGGCCACGTCGTAGCCTCGGGGGTTTTTGGCACGGCTGGCTTTCCCTATATAGTAGGTGTTAGGAGACTATGTTAAGGAAGGATAGAAGGGAAAAGGTAGAGTATTATACTAACAAATATTATGGCTCAGGGCTGCACCACAGGCGTCGATGTACTCTGAGCAGGTCTCCGGACTAAGGAGGCTGGTGGGTTTTGGGTCCAGATGGTAGAAGAATTCTTTAATTAGGGCAGAGAAGCAAGGAGTAGGTTTCATATCTTGGTTGAAAAAATAGGTCCACCCAGAAGGTTGATATGGTTGCTGAGGTTGCTGTTGTTGCTGTTGTTGTTGTTCACGATCTTTCTCGGTGCATTGCTGCTGCGAACCTGGTGGTAACGGTGTTGACGCCTCTTCACCAGCACCTGGTTCAGGTTCGACTTCTGGCTGCTTGCTCGGGCGAGGAGGCTTCCTGGGCGGCACTTCGGTATTTGGAACAGTAGGAACAGGCCTTCGTTGTGGAGGGGCAGGCGCGGCTTTATACATGCCGCCGATAGACTGGGTTCGTACTCGTGGAGGCGGAACTGGGAGATAACCGCTGTGCTGGTATACTGAGAAAGAATGTGAGGCACCATCTGGATGCTGCGGGGGATAGTCTTGCACGACGTAGCAGTTGGTACACAGGATGATGGGTGGTGGTGAGCAAGTGCTACATGTTAAGCGTGCTTTGGTAGCCTCAATAATTTCCTGGCAGGAAGTGCATTTGTAGAGTAGCATGGTGGGCTGGTTGGGAAACTGGTGAGAGATTTATCTTACGCATAGGTCTCTGGAGGTTATATAACAGCAACATCATGTTGGGCACTGCCTCATGGTTTGCCTTGACTGAAGGTGGCTTGAAATTCGCATAGTGATAAGGAAGTATCAGCAGCTTGGCAACGCCTCATCTTGAAAATTAAGGTGAAAATAGCCGAAATCCTTCTGATTACCGCCCTCGTTCCTGCCTCTAGCACAATTACAGTAGCCTAAAATCCATTAGTGTACTACTTTATCCAATAACTTGCAAGACTAAACCAGAGGATATATTATCCATCATTGGACATAAAGGCTCCACGCTATGTTAAGAGGTTATAGAGGCGTTTCTGATTAGCTCCATTGAGTTGACGGCGGGGAGAGATGCTCCATTAAGCAAAATTAAGCAAAATCAAGCAACATTAAGCAACACTAAACAACCTGCGCATGCGGGGAAATTGGGGAACTTATAGTTTAGGTAGGTAACGGACTTCTTGTTCGAAGTAAATTTAACGCCGAGATTACGTCAACCTTTACGTTGCACATCACATTAACTCATTTAATGTGACGGGCCAGAGCCTGGTAGTAAAGCCATGTGCCATGGCTACGCTCTTTTGCGTAATTCGCTGTAACAATCATGTACCGCGCACGTGATGAACACGGGGAGTGGAATCGCCTAGTCCCCAAAATAGTGTGTCGACCCATTAGACCCCTCTCGAGTAGAGCGAATAGCAGCTAAACAGGCGTGAGCACAAAAGGCAACGTATTATGACTAGAATCTACGGTAGGTCCTCTCTAGACAGTGCTTCGATACGGCGATTAAGGATAGCACGAATATAGTTTTTGTGATATTCGGCGACGATCTGGCTGTAAGTGAGGAGGAGATAGTAGATTCTATCATAAGGGCACTCTATGCCGACCACGATGATAACCGGTCAGCGAACCGCATGCAGCAGACTTAGGCAATGTAGTATATATCTTGAGATCTATATCCAAAGATTTGTGTCTCGTAACTATAGACTACCTCTGTATAGTCAGCAGACCTATGGCCGTTAACTATGGTTACTCAGCCATACAGGCCGCCAGTTAGTTAACTGATTGAAGGCCGTACTAGACCTGGAGCTGTCTCGATGCCTCGTGGTAATCACAGGCCAACCAGACTGAAGATGAAGGCGTAAGCAATTTGATCTTATTAAGGTTGGTATCCTAGCTTCTGTCTACCCACACAGTATATGGGACATGACAAACTCCCGCTTGTGCCTGAAAGTTCCTTCGCTTCTCGAAACAATATTCCATTAAGCACGCTCAAATACAACCAGTCAGCAAATCGCTACTACAAATTCTCCCTCTTCCTCTTCCTCTTCACCACCTAGGCCGCCTTCCGTAGTCTGGGCCTTCTTTCTTGCTACTCGGCCAGGGCGTCCTCCACCCAGTGGAGACTTTAGCGTAAAGTCGATGTGTTTCTCGGAGTCGAGCTGGACAAGATAGGATGGCACGTTGACAAGTTGCTTGTCCACCCTGAATGATTGCTATAAGCTATATTGCCTGATCTAGGAGCCTATGACAACTCACCGGATATGTCTGCTTAAACAGAACACGCGCGTGGTGAATAGATCGCGCAAGTCCAAGGCGGAAAATAATCGTCTGCAAGCGACGTTTGAGAAAGTCTTCAGTGCGCAAAGACAGGACATGGTCCAATTCCATGCGGGACTCGTCCAGTACACGGAGACGGACGAGTCGGCGAATTAGTTCGTTACCCTCAAACAGGCGTTTCGGGTGCTTTTCGTCGAGAGTGAGCAAGACTCTATAGATCATATCGCGTTCAATTAGTTTATGAAATCAGTTTCAGGGTGGAAATTTCAAACCGAGCAGCACAACGGACCTTCGATAGGGTATACTGAACCCGCCAAACCTCGCGCTTGTTCTTTAGACCGTACTCCCCAATTAGCTTTAACTCAGCATCCCTATACAATCATCATGAGTACAAGGTTAGAAAGAGAAAGGTAATTCAACGCTGCTGTCTCAGCAAGGAAGGGTGATGTGTTGGTCTGAAGAGGCAACCTACAATCGAGCAGCGCCGTAAGCTGATATATAGATGTCAATATCAGCTTGATTATTTTTAGGATTTGAAAATTGGATGACGACTAACCACGACGGGGAGTTCTGTAGGCTTTGAAGAGACATTTCTGATATACGTAGTCAGGTCATGTAAAGGGTGCAATCCTTTTCTGGAAGTATCAAAAACTCACGGAAGCGGACGAGAGCCCATTTTATCAAACTAAGACAAGGCCGAACACAATATTCAGAATTTGAGTAAGAAGAGATTGGGTATATTGCGAGTCTACAACTGGGAAAACATAAATACCTTAAATAGTGTTATTGTGGGGGTAGGGGACTCGGCTACGACCTGGAGTGCGGTATTTTCTACTCCAATATTATCATCTGCCCAGAGTTGCAATGGCTGGGTTTCAAGATCCAGTTTTAATGGATCCCTTTATATTGTAAGCAACAAGTAGTGTGTATGATGGTTTGAGGTTTGAGGAGCAGTAGACTAAAGTTTCTGTATTCTTTCTTGAAGGGATACTGACCCCAGCAATTTAGTCGATCGTTGAGGTCCTCACCAGCGCAGGGAACGTAGAAACCGGGACTAGGGACTTGGTTACTCTAGAACCTCACGTAGGGTTCCGGGGAGCTAAGGTGGCCACCCAAGAGCAAAATAATTTCCCTAAACCTTCTGTGTTGTGTGTTGGATAGTTATAGTGTCCCAAAATGAGTGATTAGTGTTACGAGCTATATTTGCCACTGGATACAAGACATAGCGCTGGAAATCCAGGAAGAAGGCTTCGACATATTCAGCACAACCTTGAAGAGTGGTTTGGACCTCTGGTATGTCATGTGCTCATTCTATCGTGGCTGGTATATGTAAAACCCAGTAGGTTTCCGGTCCAGGGCATGAATTCCCCAAAGCTAGAACACTCCCAGCGATGACTCGAGTGTCCTCAGCGTGAACAGAGCCGTGTTTTACTGTCATCCACAGTCTATGTATCACTCTGTGGAGCCACGTTGGTGTTACACAGGCTGTTATTACCATAGGGCCAAATATTACAAATATTCCGCTTCCTGTTGCAATTCCCTCTCCCGTAACTCCAAACATCGTCACTTTTAGCCTCACTGCAAGAGACCTGCTTTCGTGACTTGAAGCCGAAACTACAGATTTCAAACACCCCTAGCCCCATCTCTTTCGGTGGGGGGTTCATTTCTCGTCTCTACTATTCGTGATAAATTCTCAGGAGCTCGACCCTCATAACCACGCAGGGAGAGGTGGAAATGTTTTTCCTATTTGGCCAAGAGAGTCTGACAGCGTTGATAACTTCACGGTATGTTCTAGTCACGAAGAGCCCTCAAACACATTTTTGGGAGGTTCGATATCAAACACGGCTTGGATGTCACCATGTGGAGAGAATCCAGAGAAAGTCCACTGAAAGAGAGAGGTTCGTTTGTACCACCGGTTGGTTTCATTTTTAGGAGCCTGCCACAACTGGTGCCGCTCGTAGAGGCCGATAGCCAGTAGCATAGGGGCGTTAAAAAATCTTGTCGCTCCTACATTCACTTTGTGAAACCATCGAGCTGAAAGGGCGAATTTGAGAGGTAGCAGAATCACCAGTGCAAGGATATTCAGTGGCGGACGATAGGCGAAGATGGAGTCACTTTTGACACCTTCAAAAGTGAGTACGGCGCGGCGAAAATGGACTTCCGCAGTGGCATTCTCCACAATTTTTGCGAATGTATTGGTGAGCGTGGATACCAAGACGGTCAGGAAGAGCGTGTTGCCAAGAAAAGCAAATGCAATCATCAGGGCAGGCCCGAGGAGGACATGGAAGTCGACTGAGTGCTCGAATCCGGTACCATCAAGGCCGAACCAAATCCAGAGCATCCACTTTGAGATAGTGGCTGAACCAGGTACATCAATAACATGATCTGAATGAGTACCAATCAGCCATTTCATGGATAGGAAGAAACCGGCAAAACACCATGTGGCCAGTAGGGTCAGTACAGAGAAATCCCTCATCATTGCTCGCAACGAGATAAACAGCATGTTATCTGGCATAAGGTTAAACGCCAGCCGTGGTAGAAGTACAGGCGCTGCGACGCATAAGATGTCTAGTGCACTGGTGGCCAGATCGGTATCTTGAACAACCGCGGCATACGTTCGCAACATGAAATAGGTAGAGTAGATACCAAAGAATGCGATATCAAGGAAAGACCAAACATTCTGTGTGTGTACATACCATCCGTGCTCAATGATAGCTGCGAATTCCTCAAGCAACCATCCACTCGCATAAGCACAGAAGATTGCCTCATAACTGGTTACATTAGTCCCATCACGGTAGACCATCGTAAGACCGTAGAATAGAAGAAGGACAGCGAACTGGCATATTTCAATTATGTTGCGCAACCGTGGGACTATTAGCCGGTGGTGGTTCAAGATAGGCGCTTTCCGAGGATTATATAGAGAGATTGGGAGATGTTTGTAATGATCGGGAATGATATCGACAAATGAGAGGGGTGTGTAGATAATCTGTCCACGGTAGACAGCATCCACTACCTTCTGACACGCAGATGAGCTGAGCAATGTCTTGCTTTCAGATATGATGGCAACTTCCAGGGCCGTGATTTTACGCTCGTAGCCTCCGCGTTTCTGCACTGGCCACTGCAGCGCATTTGGGCGTGTCCTTGCGATCATTTCAGGTGCGTTCTGAAACGGCTCGAACCCCGCCACCAAAATATTAGCGAGTAGCAAAAGTCCCGCTAGACCAGAATTGTCCTCGTCAAATCGACGAAGCACCCGACTGGCTAGGATCTCACAGAGAGTAGCACGAGTAACGCTAACAGTCTGCAGATGCCCCTGATAGTGTTGCTCCCGTAGGAACTGTGCACGGTTCACTAGAAGACAGTACACTGAGGTAGAGGTTAGCAGTAGATCGCACTTTGGTATCACGCATCTGGCTTTAGAAGCCGGTCCGCATGACAAAAGGTACTAACATACCGGTAGACACGTCTTCTGGATCATATAACTGATCAACCAGAGGTCTCACGATTAGCATATTCATTTGCGGATCTCGCAGCTGTTCTGACGTATACGGGTCATCTGTTTGTCCTGCTTAGCTTCTCCTTTCAGTGTCTGACAGAAGGCCGCTTGCCTATGCTGGTCGTTATGAGCCGACGAATTCTATCTCGAATCAGGCTTTCTGACGGTACAAATAATAATCCTGAACACATTCTCGGAGTGACTCACCGATGGATCGTGCGGTAGACTGGCAAATTTGCATGAGGATCGGCCCCAGAATGCTCTGCGGACTCTGTTATATTGAGAGAACTATCCTCGTCGACAGCTTCATCATCCAATAACGTGTCACTGTAACGGTCCATTGTTTGCGTGTCGTCATAAACTCACCAGAGAAAAAATGGATGGTAACCCAGAAGGAACGTTAAGCAGAACAAAGAGCTACATCAAAATTGGCGGAACCAGCCGTGCCGATTCGACGCTAATTCGCAGAAATATATCGCGCAGCGACAGCGACCTGCAATTCACGGTGATTCACCCTAATTTTCCTTTGTCATCAACTCCAAGAAATTCTAGGATTCTAACTATCGTCTCCTTCCAGTTGAGTCCTATCATAGTGAACTACAAATAACCTGTCACCTGGTCAACTAAGTTAGGAGTAACATACAGACTGTACCAACATCATTCTCATCACACCGCTGGCGCATAGCATGTGCAATCTCAAAAATTAAAATTATTATAACAAAGAATCTCCTCTCTAGTAAGAGAGGACAGAAGTGTTTGCGATACAGCCCATTCGAGATTGGAGTATCATCCAGGGGTACCCGCATAGCATACATGGAGGCCACCACTACCACGACCGGTCTCAGGCGATGTTGCCACCGTCCTCAGTAGCATATCCTTCCTCACCATCGCCGCCTTCATCGCCATCATTGTACTCATCCTGGAAATCATACGTTTCCTGCTCCACGTCAGGACCCGTCAGACTTGCATCAACAGGGGACCAGTCCTGGGTGTCGCTCCATTCAGCCACAGTGTCGCCGTCAATGGCGAACTCTTCGTCGCCGAAGACAACATTCAAATCATCGAGCGAGTTGTCACCCTCCTCAGATAACAGGTCATCAGCAGGCAAATTGAAGTCGCCGTCGGCGCTGAACAAGCTATCTTCGAATTCAACGTCCAAGGGGTCGGAATCGTAAGTTTCGGTGGCCTTGACGTCTTCAGCAGCCCATGCTCCTGCCTCGCGAGAGGTGATAGACAGGAACAGCAGGTAGCATGTGTCGACCTCGCCGTTGGTGATGGAGTACTCAATGTCGGGGGACTGCAGCAAGGCGAGGTTGGCTTCGACGTCAGGGCCGATGAGGAAGATGCGAGAGGGAGATGTATCCTTGTACGTGCAGACGGCCGGGAAGGAAATATTGTCATCCTCATCGAAGGCAGCGAGGATGGAAGGACCAGTGTCCTCATTTGAATCAGAGTTGTCGGTGTAGTAAAAGGGAGCAAGTGAGCTGTTTTTGGAGAAAGGTGGTTAGTCCTCCGTCGCGGTGCTTGCAGGTAAATGGAATGGGACAAGGTTGTTCACTTACACATAAGCGGACGTGCCGGGGATGCTAGACTCATCGGCCGTGCGGAGACGGCTGACATTGACTTTCGACATGGTATTCTTGTAATAGTGCAGAATCCCGCCGGTGGGTGTGGACAGGACGGTGTCCTCGTAGCCGGCCCACAGCGTACTGCAGGTTATGTACCAGGGCTGGCTATTCGGAGCAGACTTTTCCTGCATGTAGACGTTGCCGTCGCTGCAGGCGGAGAGCACATAGTCACCGTTGCTGCCTTGTAGACCCAGCGTGCTGAACCAGTAACCGTCGAGCTCGCTGTCGTCCAGGTCGAATGGCGTGGGCAGCAACGTGGTGCCCTGATACCCTAGGTCGTCAACCGTCTCTATCACGTACGACGTAAGATCCACAAGCCCGTCGCTCGGCGACGTAGTGTTGACTGCGGCTCTCTTGTACAGATCCTCCGGGAAGTCGTACTCCAGCTCATTGTGCGGCTCTGCTGAAAGTTCCAGTGATCGTTCCTGGAGGCCAAGCTTGCCGTTACTGGTGCCGTCAGTCTTGTTCCTACTCTTCATCAGCTTGTTGATATCCACGCAAACCATTCACATGGAGTGCCTTACCCGATGCAGTACGAGGCAATGATGTAGTCATCCGTCTCAAACAGTGGCCAATTCTTCTCGACAAAACCGAAACCCTTGAATGTGGCGCTGACGTCGTTCCGAACACTGAGCGTTGTTGAAATACCGGTGCAGTTGTTCACAGCTTCCAGACCTGCAGTTTTCGTGTCGTTGTTCAAGGTGGCCGCGAGAGCGACTTGAGCGGCCGCCTTGATGGACGGCATAGTTTCGATACCAACAGCACCCTTGCACTTCGTGCAGCCATTGAAGGTGGTCAACGCAAACTCAAGGCCGACGGGTAGACCAAATTGAACACCGAGCGCCACGGAGCCGTTGGCCTGTAGGCTCGGGACAAATTCGGGCTTGAAGCCGGTCGAGGTACTTTGCCCCTTCTTCCAGTCATATTCCCAAGTGGCCTTGGCGATGTTAAGGTCAGTCCGCGCTAGCATACTTCCTGTCATGTTGACGTTGTATTTGAGCTCGGTTCCCAAAGAAAGAACCGGACCAACTGTGATGAAGCCCAAGGTGAATGGTGACAGTGGGATGTCATACAGGTTGTTTCGGAATTTATCTTCGCGGTAGTACTGGGCGTAAATGCCGAGACCGAGACCTGCAGATAGACCAAGCTCTGCAGATACTCTGCCATCCTTGATACCGTCCGTAATCGAGATAGTGACGTTACCGTTGGCCTTGAGTGAGCCGGACAGGCCACACTTGACACAGTAAAAGTTGATAAAGTTCGCTTGCGTAACAGTGGTCTGCTTCTTTCCTCCTTTGGGCAACAGATCTTTGGTATCAGGGAGCTTGCCGATGGACTTGATCAGCAGCGCATCCTCTCCCCATGGCGACTGGACAGCCTTGGAGTCATCTTTTGGTTTGCAGGCGTTCTTCATGTTCTTCGACTGGTTGCCGTCCTTCTCGGAATCCTTGCATTCCTTGGCCGGTCGAGGAAGAAGCAGCTTGTCAAACTCAGCCGATTTGGTAATAGGCTCGCCTTTGATGATTTTCCCGGTAAGATCCACCACTGTCTTGGTCGCATCCACAACGGCTGCGCCGACCTTGACAATATTTTTCTTGGCGGCCTGTGCTGCTGACTGAACCTTGGTTTCAACTGTTTTGATGCCAGTGGCCACGGCAGTGCCGATTTTCTTGCCACTGTTCTTTATGAACGGAATGGGGTTCAGACTGGCCAGCGAGATTCGTTTCGTAAGTGGTGATGAGTCCCATTCGTCGTCAGTAACGACATCCAGGATCGCAGACTTGTCGGCAACCTGACTGACGTTGAAATAGCCAAGACCGCTATCCAGAGTGTCGTCGAAATCAGGTCCAAGGCAGGCAGTGGGCAGGCCATACTTGGTATCAACTGGAGCAACGCAGGTTCCCGTCGTTGTTGGCATCACCGAGTACGCGGTAGAGGTAGGGCCGGTAGAGGTAGGGCTGTCTCCGCTAGAGCTGTCTCCGCTAGAGCCGTCTCCGCTAGAGCCGTCTCCGCTAGCCCCACAGCCGCCATTCCCAGAAGTGGTAGATCCAGTTACACCTGGGCCGGCCGGAGCAGACACTGTTGGCGACACGTAATCGAAGCCCTGGTACCCTAGGGGACCCCAGACTACGTTGATGTCGATCACGATGTCCTCAATAGGTCGGGCCTGACCAAGAGCCTTGACACTAAGTGTGTTAATGTCGAATGTAATTTCAGTGGCATGGAAGTAGCACCGCTGGCCCAGGTCATAGTCCCCACAGTTGGGCGTGTAAGTGATGAAGATCATCTCATCCAACCTCCAGCTACCAGAGCTGTGCCCGAACGAAAACGCATCTGTGAAGGTAATCAACAGGTTCCCGAGATGCACTTCAACGCTCGCAATGAAGACAGAATGGTCCAAGACAACCGAGGGTGCAATCCATTTAGGCGTGGCGATAGCAAAGATTCCGGCGGTGTCTGTTGATTTGGGGATCAAGTCAGTAAATTAACGACGACGACTGATAATTGAGAGACAGGACTCACCTTCTTCTCCTTCCTGGGCATAGTGCATTGGTGCACCCGAGCCCGGTTTGGCGGGAGTGAGGTGATTCACATTGGTCAAATCGTGATCAGACGGGACAACTGGCGCCAGAGTTGCTACCGGACCAACCTTTTCGGTGGGGAATTCGTACTCGCTGGAAGTTGACAATGTGGTCACGGCATGAACGGCTGCGGTTGGAGTTGAGGTAGCAGAGATCAACAACGACGAAGAAGACGTGGATGAGACCAGGGGCGTGAGAACCGATGGGTTTTGGGAAACGGCCGTGCTTTGGGGTAACAAAAACGGCGTCGACGATTGAGTCGGTCGACCGGCTCCATTCTGGCCAGAAGCACTTGACGAAGCACGCGGCAGTGCGAAGGCACCGGGTGCCCCAAGTAGAAATAGAGCCCACAAAAACTTCATATTCAAAGAGTGAGATTGGGAATGTTATCCCTAGCAACGAGGGGATGGCTCTATGAGCCTAGTGGCAAGCAAAAGAATGGACGCCTTCACAGGGTATGAGAGGCCAAGGATAGAAAAGGATAGGTATAGAAAGAACGTAATGGGCTTGATGGGGAAAAGGAGGAGCGTATACAGCGCTCATATATATAGGCCTTTGCCATGTTTTGCGTGTTTCACGGCCATCAATGTTCTTCCGCTGTCATCGGTACAGACTATAGGGCGCCATGCTTGCGCCATGCCTGCGCCAGCATAAATGTACAGTGGGATCCATGGTGCAGGTACCGTTCGGTGAAGCATCTCGTGGTACCTGCATCTGTCCCTCAGGAAAGGCCAAATCGAGATTGTTCGTGCGGCGTAGCTGAAAAGCTTCCTGACTCTATGCCAAGCCAGAGATCGGTCGAATGAGCGATCCGCAGCTGCGCCCAGTCCGACGCGTGAGGCTCGCGAACTTGGCAAGTTCTGGCGATGAGGACTCCAAGGCGGGATTTGAACTGTCAAGACAGGTCACGGAAAGGATGGTTTGCGGCCCATGGGCGTTCTTGGCGCTGAACTCCGGTAAATTCCCATCCTCATCTTGACTTGGGGCCTTAAAAGTCAAGACACATCTTCCGTGGTTGTGCGTAAGCGCATCATCAATGACTCAATATCTAGGCCATCAAGAATGCATATCATATTCGGTAAGCCGAGAAGGTCGGAAAGGCTAGAGAGGCTGCCGCTCTTTCCAGGTACCCGTATTTCAGGGCCATTTTCACTCGAGGTTCAGAGCACCATTGAGTCTCGGGATCTGCTGACAGTGGGCATGGGAGCGAAAATGGACCCTCCGTTGACGTTTAGCAGTAGGGGAGAAGTCGCTCCTAGCGCTGCTTGGGAGCTCGGGTGCGTGACAGACGCACTAGTGATTCCCTCCCAGACCCTGAAAACTCGTCCTATAATTTCATTAGCGCGGGTCGGAGGCAGTGGGGAAACTTGGCAATGGATCCTTTCCAATCACCAATGGCTTACAAACAAGTCGTTCAATTGTCATTGCAGGGAGAATACTCAGAATAGGGAATAGGAGCGCGTAGATTGGTCGAACGAGCGTAAATGGGACAAACCAACTCGAGAGCGGACTGTGCTGTGCCGTCGGGTACTCCGAAGAAACGTGGAGAAATCTTATCACGGGGGCTAAGACTAGTCAAGCTTTGACAAGCAACCACGGCTAGGGTAGCCGACGGACCTCATCGAGTGGACGGATACTAAATTCAATACTTATGGATTGCTGTGCTCGCGATACAAACGAATGGAAACAATTGATGGCATCGTGATGTGCCTCACAAATAAGACGCGTCCTGAGGGCGCGTAGCGCGTGCGATTCAGCGACGAGTGTGTCTGAATCAGAACACAAATCACGAATGTCGATTCCAGTCTGCATCGGTTCCGATTGGGCCCAGACGTCGCCGAATTCTGCCTAATACGTGCTAGAGGGCGTCCGCAAATCAGCCTCGCTGATAATTCCAGTCGATGCTTGCAATTACCGTATTCGGCGTGTCCAAATATAGATGGTGCTTCTTTAGTCGCCGTGGCCGTTGAACGAAACCGAGACGCTCACAGCTCATTTGTCGGCCAATATTTCCGATTTACAATCTGATCGCGACATATCTCCCCTACATAAGATGGTCAGAAAACTGTGTCACGACTTTTGGACTTTCCAAGCTTCGAAGTATTCGTATGCTTACTCTGTCAGAGACCCTTATGCTCGGTGGCAGAAGAGCAGGCCCGCAGTTCGGTTCGCTGACTAGGAACTTTGATGCCGTCTCAGTTAGGTGCTTGCTTGTCCTTTACTGCTAATTCTACGTCGGTTATTATTCACGTCCTTTTTACGCGCCGGCCTGGTCAGTGTTCACCGTGGTCAGACAGGATCCAGGCTAGGCTCAGCGATGTGTTCCATTTCACGAAACTAACGTATTCCCATAGCGGAGAGAAAGATCAAGACCGGAGAATTAGTCAACTTGGAGTTTCTAGAAACATGCGAAATATTGCATAACTAGACATCTTCCCTTAACATACCCAAGCAAGCCCCAAGCATTTTTGCACTTGTGCTTAGATAAGAGTAGTCGGCCTCGCGAGGGATTCTACACAGAGAGATCATCTTTGTGGCCCTTCAAACGCTGGGATACCCTATATCTAAATCACTTCCTTGGCAGAAATCGAAGAGCCATGCCATTTCCTAGAACCACTGTATAGGAAGTACTTCCGCATTCGGGCCAATCGGCGGTTGGAGAATGATTAGAGGGCCGTTGCGGATAGTGCAGCTGCGCGACTGCTACTTCCTAAGCGACAAAATTTGTCCGATACGGCATCGGTGATCACCGAGGCTCCTGTCAGATGATACAAGTGGGTGGATATCGATGATTACAGTGATAAAAATTGACCAGAAAGCCCTTGCTCAGATTTGACAATCTATCTGAATGTTGAAAGAGACAATACAAGCCAGCGTAGGTTGGATGTACCCCAAGGACGAAAGGCTCGCCATTGCCCCCCTACCTGTAGACGGTAACAACGGGCTCGATGCGGCAAATGTCCAAACCAAAGAGTATTTCGGGGAGTTATAAAAGTCTTCGGATCAACGAAAATGCCGAATAGTATCACCTTCGCCCAATCATCCTCTCCAGGACTCGAAAGCTTGCCTCTGCAACCACCACATCTCGGAACCAACCTTCATGGTCACCGAGAAGTGTGCTTCTCAATCAGCACTTCGATCGTTCTGCACCGTACGCCCACATCTTACGGCCTTTTCAAGAACTCTCGACACAAGTCAATCGTCGTTGGGTTTTATCATATTACAGCATTGAGGATTGTGCAATTATGGACGTAAACCTTGTCAAAAACATTGGCCTCGACAACCAGGGGTGATCAGACCATATTGATCCAGCTTTCAAAAAAATACACTGTGCGCTTACCAAACACTGTACATACAGTGGTGTTCCATAAGTTTGCAACACCCGAAAAAGTTCAAACCCATCTCATCAGCTATACTTTGAAAGACAAGTTGAAACACAGATGCCGGGAATATCTAGAAAGAGTGTTCAAAAGACATTCAGAAAGATCTGTTAAAAACATAAAATCGAGGCATATTTTGACGGCCTGTTTTCTTGGTCCCTGGTTTCAGACTTTTGAACTGCCACTGTACGAGGTAGGCTTATACATTTATTGATGAAGGAATTATTGATAGAGGAAGCATTGCCCATGTTATATTTCTGAAAATTCTGGCTTACAGACACTGCGAATAGTACGCATTCTGCGCCTGGCAGGTATACGGGCTGGCACATGTCGTCGCCCCCGTCCAGCCAATGCCGCCGCATTGAGCCCAATGGGATGCCGTTGCAGTACTAGTAGCAGTAGCAGTGGACTTTGTGCTGGTGGTGGTTGTTGTGGTGGTTGTTGTGTGTGTCGCTGTCGATGTAGAAGTTGTTGTAGATCCGCCTGAGCTGGAAGGGAAGTAGGCGGACAAGATATTCAAGTAGTAAGTATAAGCAGTTCCTGAGGGTGGCTCCATCGAAAAGATGTAGGTACTCCACCATGGTCCTGCCGCCCACCAGGATGCTCCAAGCCAGACATCACTGTTCTCTTGCATGTAGCTTAGCATTCCAGTCACGGCGCTCTGGCAGAGCGAGTTAGCACCACCGGCGAACTCGCCCAAGAATCCAAGTTTCCCATTGCTTTGCAGCCATTCTGTCGCTGCCTGTACACGCTCCTGGCCGATGGTCGAGCTGACGCATGTGTCGGATGTGCCAGATCCATCTGAATCGAGATACTGATGCATTTCGTACACGATTTTGTTCTGGGGGTCCGTCAAGCTGACCAGATTAGTATTAACTGTCGTCCACGTCCAGGCACCACTCCACGAATTTCCTTCCACGAAAATATACTGCGAGGTGGCTCCAGCAGCCCGGATGGCGTTGATGGCCGCCTGGTTGAGGTTCAGCACCAGCGTTTGGTCCTCCGTGTTGAATTCGTTGTCTACAGATGTCAGCGAAAAGAAGAAAACCAGTTGAATATTGAACGCTTACTTGTGTCGAAGATAACCTTGTCATTCGATGCAAACTGTGTTGCCACAGTCGTCCAGAACGCAGCAAAGTCACTAGTGGAGTTGATGATGTTGCCATAGCTAATTCATCAGTGAGTTGAGTTACCACTTGAGAAGCGGAGAATATTAACTCACTATCGCCCAAAGTTATGTGGGTCAACGAGAGCATACGCGCCAGTAGACGTGATGAACTCTACAGTCTAGAAATTGATAAGTATGAGTTGCATTCTAGACAAGGACAACGTACACTCTTCAGACCTTGCAGATAGGTCGCATCCGGGCTTGAGGTCAATTTATTGGGAACCAATCGCTCCATCAAGAATGGCACCCGAAAGATGTTCATACCCGCGTTGCGTAGCGTTTGAATAGTCGAAGTGTCCGGCCAAATGTAGTCGGTTCCCAGTACACCCGGAATATTCTGATTGCCAAACTCCGCCCCAGACTCACTGACTCCAAACCCTACAGAGAATGGTCAGTTTTCGTTCGGTCTTGGTGGCATTCTACACATACAAGCAAAGGACGAGGCCCGCTTGGAGGGGCCTTGAGGCACTGCAAGAGCCAGGGCAGCGCTGGCTGCGAGCAGCAAAGAGTATTTCATTGTTTTGAATTTTGAATTGGATTCCTGACAGCGTGGGAGTATTGATTTCCTTGAACGGGGTGGTTCCAATGCTTTTTATATGAAAGCGCAAGCCCAAGTTTTCGGGACTGTCGACATTGCCCCTTTCCTCCGCGGTGATGTAGCCGCATCGGCCCTTTTCCACTGGAGAAAGTTCTTCAACATCTGCAACACTGCAGAACATCATATTAGGAAATAGGTTTCTCGGACCGTTCACCGAATGTGACTGACTCCTTGGGAAAGGGTCTTCAGGAAATAAATCACTGACACTAGGCCAGGATAGGTTGTGCAGATTGGCAATGGCTAAATTCGGCACGGCATCGTGCACGGCACAGGCAAATCTGGGGTAAGGCTAGTATACATCGGAGATGAGTAGAAAAACACATAAGGCGCTGCTAACTCAAATACGGACAAGCAACAATATGGAGGGTTTTCCGGACCAAAAGAGGCAATTTAGCTCTAGCGGAAAGCTAACCATCGAACTTGTCGAGACAACCAGATGGTTCCTTGCTTGGTCTGCAAGAAGATTAGCGGGGCTCCAGTGCCACCCCGCTTACCCCGTATTCAGGGATGTCTTCAGGGACAAGACCCAGGTCAAACCCAGGAGTGATCAGCATCTTTACCGGGCGAGACTACTCAAGAGTCTCAGACTGGCAGGGTCTGGAGCAGTTTGGTGGTAGATCCCGATAGATCCTCATCGGTAAAAGAGCTTGGCTGTTGATTATAATCGCAACAACTGAGATGTGGTTCTTGTTGCTGGCACTCGAGATTCGGCTTGACGATGACGGAAGAATTATTCTGCAACCCCACGAAGGCAATTTCTCTTGAAATTAGTGTCCTGCCAAGGTGTGGGGCTGGCAATGCTCGGAAAGAAAATACCGTAGAAAGGCTACCTAGTCGCTTGTATAGTCGGAGCGCCCTCCGCATGGCGCCGCCATGCATGTTGCAGAATTGTGACGGATACCCATAAATGAAACGTAAACCGATTGGCACATCCTGATTGGTCAGTCTAGAGCAAGAGATCATGAGAACCAAACATGCAAGCCAACATAATATATAACTCTCTCTATCTTACTCTTCCCACTTCTCTAGACACGACCTCTCGCAGACGGCGAGTCACTAATACCTGCATTTCTTCTTGGTCTGATGACGGTCACAATGGCAGCTGAACAACTATTGAATATGTACGATTTAGTATGTGATTTTCGTGAGAAGATGATAGTATAAGGTAGGTGTCTTTCCAAGACCATCCTCCCTTGGCGCTTCCTTGATCTTTTTCATAAATACGAGACCTCCCTTATACTACATAGTGAATCCCTTTTAATCACTTCCTTTGCGCCCGGGGCTGAAGCATCATAGAGATCAACCTCGATATGGAGTCGTGGACAGATTACAAACACACTTTGTAGAGTTACTTATGTATTTAATTGACGTTGTATTCCCATTAACATAGATATAGCATTCGTTTCCAGGGATGACTTGGGCAGGCAGGAATTAGTGAAGTAGTGAACTAAAAAGCCCGGCTAAAGAAGTATACTCGCTCGAGGCTTGGCCCGCAAATGATGCAATGCACGCGATACGCCAAAAAGTTCCCCGAACGGCTTATCTGGCCGTATCCACTACCGATTACTTTTCACCTCTCCGACAAGCCCACCATTGTCGAAGGTCCTCTGGATTTCCCTGACTTTCGTCAGATATTGACCCTCTCAATCCCACAGGCCCATCTTGTCTGCCGCCCTTCCATTCCCTCGGGCGGCCCCGGGCTCTGGTGATGCGCACGCGATGTTGGAGCTTGCAAATGTTCTACCCCCATCGCGCGTGGATCATGCTGGTCTACGCCATCCTGCTGTCGCTATGGCTGACGCTAGCGCATGGGATGCGAGACTACCAGATCAAAGAGCTTAGGTGAGTCTCGCCTGTGTCGTGTCATGTTCGTGTTGTGTCGCTGCTGCACAACGCCGGCATCCCCCGGAACCGGACCAAGTGCTAATTCCCTTGTTTCTCTGCGGTCCACAGACAAGAAACTGAGCGCATGTTCTACCACGGCTATGAAAATTACCTCGAGCATGCTTTCCCTGACGACGAACTACGTCCGTTGACCTGTGGCCCCTTGACGCGTGATAATAAGAATTCGGAGCATAACGATGTCCTCGGCAATTACTCCTTGACCTTGATCGATAGTCTGTCGACCCTGGCTATTCTCTCGTCCAGTCCAGAGAGTGGCGATCGAGCGCTCAGGAGTTTCCAGGATGGTGTGAAGGAATTTGTTAGACTATATGGAGATGGCTCCAGTGGTCCTGCTGGTCAGGGCGAGCGGGCAAGGGGATTCGATATTGATAGTAAGGTACAGGTGTTTGAGACTGTGATTCGAGGGTTGGGTATGTCTTACTAGCTTCACTGGAGCATTATCGCACATTTTTGGTCGAAGTTCACTCGTTGCTGACACTGTCCCAGGTGGTCTGCTCAGCTCGCATCTGTTCGCTGTCGGCGAATTGCCCATAACCGGATACAACCCACCAGAAGAAGAAGTCGCCTTCGCGAGTGCATGGGATAAGCGTGAATTCGCAGAAGATGACCATGGCATAGTATGGGATAACGACTTTGTCTATGACGGCCAATTCCTTCGGTTGGCAGTCGACCTTACACATCGTCTCCTACCCGCATTCTACACGGGTACGGGTCTCCCCTTACCCACGAGTCAATCTGCGGCATGGTATTCCATTCTATGAGAATTCGCCATTGAATACCAAACCCAGCAAAGGAAACGAGCAAAAGTCAAAGTACGCCTATATGAAGGCTGAGGAGGAGATTACCGAGACCTGCAGTGCAGGTGCTGGTAGCTTGGTCCTTGAGTTCACCGTCCTGAGCAGGCTCACTGGGGATGGTCGGTATGAAGAATTGGCCAAGCGGGCTTTCTGGGCCGTTTGGTCCTACCGCAGCGAGATTGGGTTGATTGGATTTGGAATTGACGCGGAGTCGGGGAAGTGGGTGGAACCGTACACCGGGGTGAGTAAACGCAATCGAAGGCCATCGGGAGTAGGGAAAACTAACAGAATCTGTGTCTCCAGATTGGTGCTGGAATTGACAGCTTCTACGAGTATGCGTTCAAGTCCCATGTTCTCCTTTCTGAGGGAGAGCGACCACCTTTTGACCCAAACAATCCATGGAGCGTCTTGGACGGGTATTACCCGCCTTTAACTCAGGATCAACACTCGCCTGATGCCTTTCTTCAAGTCTGGGAAGACTCACACACGTCAATCAATCGCCACCTTTACCGTGGCGAGGGTTATCAACATCCCCATCTAATCGTTGGCGATGTGATCACCGGTGCTACACGAGCCTTTTGGATTGACAGCCTGAGTGCCTACTATCCAGGCCTTTTAGCTTTGGACGGCAAAATCGATGAAGCAATCCAAATCCACCTGCTGACCACTGCCGTTTGGACGCGGTTCTCGGGTCTTCCGGAACGGTGGAATGTGGCTACGGGTGAGATCGATGGCGGCCTGTCCTGGTACGGAGGCCGGCCAGAATTCATCGAGTCCACTTACTACATTTACCGAGCTACTCAAGATCCATGGTATCTCCATGTTGGTGAGATGGTACTTCGCGACCTTAAGCGGCGATGCTGGACCAAGTGCGGCTGGGCTGGTCTGCGGGATGTCAAGACCGGCGAGATGATTGACCGTATGGAAAGCTTCTTCTTGGGAGAGACTGCCAAGTACATGTTCTTGCTCTTTTCCCCGGATCATCCACTGAACAAAGTTGATGCACCGTGGGTGTTCACTACCGAGGGCCATCCTTTGATCATTCCGAAGAAGACATCCTCCCCCAGGTCAAATCGTCGACCCAGTCATCGGCTCACCCACGAGCAGCAATTGGCGTCTCCTCAAGACTCTCCTACCAATACCTGTCAAGCGCTCCCGATATCGTCGTCCCTCGGCGTGTCATTCACTGCTTCGCGATCCGATATCTTCCATGCCGCCAGCTTGGCCCGGCTACATCTTCGACCTCACCGTGGCACGGGCGAAGGTGCCATTCTGGCAGACTCGCCAGATCACCCCAGCGTGTCAGTGTCCGACCTGTCGTCGCCAACGAACTATACGTTCTACCCATGGACTCTACCACCCCAACTCGTCCCCTTCAATGGCACCAGCGCACCCATGGCTATCCGTCCAACCCTGGATATCTCCTTCCCCTCTCTCCCGGGCGGCGCCAATCTCGGCTTCGGCGCTCTCGAGCGTGTGCGCGACGGCATCTTCGTAAAGACTATCGGCGGCCTCCGGCTAAGCATGATCCAGGACGTCCCACTAATCGGACAGACCTCCGGCACAGGGACCCGCGAAGACGAAGACGGGTATCGCGTGCAGGTGATCAACAACGTGCCGCTGGGCAAGGATGAGAAGGTATACCTCTCTCGCCAGATCACCTTTGACGTCGTTGATCCATCCGACCCGAACTTCACCCGGGTCCGCGACTCCGCAGTGCTAGACCTCGTCATTGACGTTCTCGCAGACCCCTCTCGCCGCCGCAATGGCTCAACTGCTTCGCGAGCTGGCCAGCCTGCAGCAGAACATGCACCACAAGAAAATAGCCCCCGCCCCCGAGCTGCACCAGCACCAGCACCCAACGAGAGCGGGGCCGCCATCCACGCCCCCGACTCCACGATGAAGAACATGCTGTCGAACCTGCTCAGCTCCGTCTCCGCGTTGATCAGAGATGATCCCGATGAAGCGGCTCCGCTGCGCCTCAGTCTGCCTGCGAGTATACCAACGGGCGTCGGGGCCGCCCCACTCCCAGACGTCGAGGACGCCTTGACCATGTCGGTCTTCGGCAACCCGTCCACCAGCCGTCTATCCTGGTCAAGCATCTACTTTGCCGACGAGCTCTGCACGGAGCGTATCCTTCGCGACATCGCCCAAACCCACGAAGTCCTCGTCATCAAACGCGGCGGCTGCACTTTTTCCCAGAAAATGCGCAACATCGCCGCATTTCGACCGGGACGGACATCCCTAAAGCTCGTCATCGTAGTCTCATACGACGAAGAGCAGCCCCCAAATCCCCAACCAGATCAGGAGCCTCGTGAACAACCAGCCTCAAACTCGGACGACGACTCACTCCCAATAGCACCCCTCGCCGCCCTCCGCGCCGAAAGCTCCCTGATCCGCCCACACCTCGACGAAGCCCAGATGACCGCCAGCGGTATCCCGCGCAACAACCCGCTTAGCATGGTGATGGTAGGCGGGGGCGAGGAAACGTATGCGCTGCTGCAGGTTGCATCGGGGGTGGGGATTAAGAGGCGGTTTACTATGCGCTCGCGGGGCGTGCCTATTACGAATCTGTACATCATTTAAAATGCATTTATATACCCGGTTGTCAGTTGTCAGTTCTCAGTTGTTAGTCGGAGTGTTGATATCACGTGTAGGAGTGGTCAGTAGTCAGGCTGTATGTCAGGATGTTGTCTTGTCTATATTTTGGTGATTACTAGTAGTATAAGATGATGCTGCGGTGAAGGTTTGAGATGTAGATTGTATACTTCCAGACCTGTTAGATATTCAAACTTGGAAAGAAGAGAAACGGGTCAAGATATGCAATCAAGAACAATCCAGTAATATCCACAGACGTCGAGATCTACTGTCAATACACTCCTTTCTTCTATATAGGACTCATAACCATATCTCATGCTGTAAGTGATAACATTCAATTCATTCTCATTTTCATTTCCTCTATGCCTTCACACCAATTTTCCCACAGTATATCTCCCCTCTACTCCAAAGCAATACACTCAATCTCGACAGGCACGCCCTTAGGCAACTGGTGCACAGCAACACAGCTGCGAGCAGGCTTGTGCACGAAGAACTTCTCGTAGGTAGCGTTCATCTCGGCAAAGTTGGCCATATCGGTCAAGAAGACGTTCACCTTGACAATCTTGGACACCTCGGAGCCGGCGGCGGTCAGGATGGCCTGGATGTTGTTGCAGCAGGCTTGAGTCAGGTCGCCGATGTTGCCGGTGACGAGGGCGCCGGTGGAGTCGGCGGGGATTTGGCCGGAGACGAAGATTTGGCCGTTGGCGCGGATGGCTTGGGACTAGGAGGGGGTTAGTCTGGTTGTTTGGTTTGGATTGGATTGGGATTGTGCGGGAGGGAGTGGAGGGGAGTAGGAAGGTGGGTGTTGTAATAGGCAGTGCGGTGGTGAGTATGAACTGTAAAGACGAGACGAGACGTACGTAGGGGCCGGCAGCTGTAGAAAGAGTCCAAGTTAGCAAAACAGTCCAATATGTCAATCAATTCACGCTCGACACCAGGTATAATTCTCATGACTCAAGTCGAGTCAAGCTCGGGACTAGTCCGGAGAGAAGCTAGGGCAATGGGAAACATACGAGGGCAAGCACCCTTAGCAGTGATGGCGGACATGTTGGCAGACATTGGTGGTATGAATTGAGACCGTATATGAGTGGTAGTAGTGAATCGAGGATCGAAAGTGCGAGAGAGAGCTGAGAGACGAGAAACAGATCGGAGCATGGTGGTGGTGGGAGGAGGGGGAATAATAAAGTGGACGGAGTACTGCCGCCGGGCCCCGCTCGAGTTGGTTTTGGTGGGGGGGAAGCCTGGACTTGTGAGTAATCGCTGGTTAGTTGGCGTTTAGTTTCCCGAGGAGAAGGAGATTCGGAAAACATCGGCGTTGGGTGCGGAGTGAGGGGTTATCGGAGACAATCAATGAAGTAATAATAATGTAGTATCAATATTAAAAATAAAAGGTTCACTCGCTGGTAGAAATACAGTTCAATTGGAAAAAAGTACAGTGTCAAGGCCTATGCATAGCTAAAGATCGGTCGTCTCATCGTAAAGCGCTCGCTATGCGCCAGGAAGAATAGTGAAAAAGAGGGTACGATCAAACACCGATATCCAAGGGGGAAGGGGTAATGTGGCGTTGGAATATCAATTATCATAGGTTGGAACGGTGGATTAAGATTTGCCCAGGTTGAGTTGCGCCAGTTGCTGCATCAGACTGGCCGTCTGCTCGGCGGAGTATCCAAAGAACACCGGTCCGTTGAAGGTGACATGTGTAGGGAGAGTGTTGGTATCGGTCTTGGGAGAACCGTCGCCCATATTGGTCGCTCCGTGTTCAGTGGTCTCGCCCTTGCCCACGTTGTCAAAGTTGCCCCAGTTAGACCAGGGAGATTCAAGGTGGACGGCGGGCACTGGAGCTGGGGCCGGTGCCGGGGCCGGGGCAGGAGGACTAGCAGCGGAGGCAGCCTTGGGAGCATCGTGACCGAATGGACACCGACCTACTGGTTTAGCCGGTATCTCGCCAGAAGGCCGATTCAAAGGATCAACGGGAACCGCCTCGGGGGATACTGGACCAGAGGTCGATCCGGCAAGTGGTTCTTCGGTGATAGGAACCGGAATACCCCAAGGCCGGCTTGGGGATTCGCCTACTCGAACTTCACGGAGAGGACGATCGAAGCGACTCTCGCGATCCTCGACTTGTTGCGTGGGTGGTACTGGAGTCACCGGGTCCACCTCCTCGGCCCATTTCTCGACTCGCTCTGGGGACGTGGAGTGGGCAGAGCGACCCTCGCCTTCACCTTCGCCGTCGCCGTTGGTCTCTCGCTCCGGGAGGAAAGCCTGGTGTTTCGCACTGAGGCCACTGATCATGTTAATCAGGCCGCCGTACTTGGCATCCAGCTGCCGCATGTTCTGGGGATCTCGCTGATATCGCTTCACGCAGATGGCATGGCTCCGTGGGATCTCATGTTTATGTCGCTCCACGTATTCGGCAATCTCTTCCGGTGAATGCTTGTCCAGGTATCGAATAGGGCATCGAGATACGGGGCATCGCCCTTGGGAAGATCGACCGACGGAAGGGGTAGTACTGGACCGCCGCTCTTCCTGATCGGCCTTGATCGGGTCCAGGTGATCGTGTCCGCAGGTATCAATCTGAATCTTAGGTCCACCGTCATCTTTCTTAGACCCCATGTCGCTGCCCGACCGGGGAGACTTGGGTTTGGAAAAGGGACAGTGCAGACTACCCTGGGTCCCGTTGGTAGTGAAGTCTTGCTCCAGGGGAACCGAGGGGTCCGGACCGCGTGCGAGGAGGCAGGAGTTCTCGGAGGATATTTGGGACAGGCCATCGGAGCGGAGCAGAGCCTTGTACCCTTTGACCCCGTCCGCGATGGCCCGCATGGTATTTTCGTCTACATTTTGGTGCAAAACGAGCGTCTTCATTATTTCCATTGAACTCAACGACTGTTCTTCGACGGGCGACTGGCTGTGTACAAGGCCCTCACACAATATTTTCTGTTGATCCAATAACCTTTGCTGCACCTCCATCGCATGAGGCCTATCTTGAGGTGGCAGTAATCTTGTCACGGTTGTATACTGGAGAAGGGGTGTTTCTCATTAGCATTGCAAGTCTTGTCAAGTCAAAAGTGAGGAACAAGTGAAAGCAAGAAGTGAAGGTGGAATGTCTCATCGGATAATACATGTTAATCCGTCACCGCCACAAAAGAGTGACTCCTGATCTAGAGCTAATCAAATTCTCTCGTCATTTGAGACATGGGGATGGATGGAAGACGGGCAGATGGAAATTGAAGAACAGCAGATAAAAAAAAGGGGCAAGTACCTGTTTGAAAGCCTCCTCGGTGTATTGCTTGAGGTCATTGTGTCTGTGGGTAAGTCGGAACAGAGTTAGTAGCAGGGCATCGAATGCTTTGCCCACGGCTTGGAGCTGATCCTGGTGCAGATCCGGCTGCGGCTGCGGCTGCAGCTCCTCGGGAATCGCTGCAGGGGACATGATTGCAGGATAGCACCGGTAGATTACAATGTGGTAGGGAGCTTCATTTGGGATGGAAGATAATCAGAACCACAGGGGGGTGGTGTAGACACCCGAGTGAAGATGATGGAGAAGGGAAAAACTGGCAAGGCAGACGTTTTATAGCTGGATGGGGCGACGCCGGAAAAACGTTAAGCGAGATGGTCCGTGTGGCTGTCACGTGGCCGGCTTGGATGGTTCCCAGCATCGACTGATGTGGCTCAAAGAGGTGGTCAACTAAAATAGTAAAATAGTTAAGTACCTGGACGATGATTTGGGTTGTTGCGACATGAAAGTCTGACACCCATGTAGACTTTGGATTCTTACGAGTTGTATAACAATTAATGCGAATGAATTGTCGTATTTTCTCCGAGTGGACAGCCAGCAACACTTAGAATATATATACCTCAGCCGCTTGCACAGTTGGAATTAAGCACGTATCCTAATAGTTGAGGAATAGTTGGATCAAGTTTCTCCACGCAAATTGGTTCTAGAGAAATACGACACTCAAAACCGAAAAAAACGAATCTCCCTAATAAACTAAATAGTAAACAACCCAGATTATAATGCTTTGTCTGCTCCCTCCTCATAACTAATACCTCGACTAGACTCGGCTGACGCCTGCTCACTGTGGCTTACATTCATCAATCCATAAATCTCATCGCTCTCCAACCAGCCCTGCCGGGCTAGCTCAATCGGTAGAGCGTGAGACTCTTAATCTCAAGGTTGCGGGTTCGACCCCCGCGTTCGGCTATTCCTACAAAAAACCTGAGATCATATCTTTTTTCCTTCGCTGGAAATCAGACATAAAATGTGGAAGTATATATATTTTTTTTGGTATTTTTCACAGGGAAATTAGAGGAAAACAGATAACAATTGACTCCAATTCCTATCTATAACATGCCTGTTGAGCAAACAAACTTTCGGCATAAACATGACAAGCTCCTTGGTTGGTGGTAGGCAGTCGCGTATATAGATTGGTAGATGGGATCAGACGAAATATCTACCTGAAGTTAGATGGAGAAGTCTCGAGATAGGACGGAAGCTCATAGCTCCATCCGTTCTTTGTTCAATGAGACTATTGACCTATCGGTCTCCAATCGGCTTTGTGTATACTCCAAGACTCCAGCACACTTACTTCGAGTATATACGACCATCCTCCTACCCCTCTTCCCTATAAAGTGCAGACCAGACCTATACACAAGCAATCTTAATATTTAAACTCTGCACCACATTGGACTATCACTAGCCTTATCATCTTTAATTACGGTCGGAGGTATACATACAGCGATAATGTAGCTCAACAGTCCTGCCCCTCATTCCGGCGCCACCAAAATCATGCCCCCCACCAACTCGTACAGCATGTACTGTACTGTACATTAAACCTGCAGAACGGAAATATCCATCTCGTCCAACGATCGACTCGCTAGTCCTGCATTCCTGCAATATGTGACGCAGCAGCGCTAGTAACGGCCGCTGCAAGTTTCAGATTCTCGATCGTAGTGCATTGCCACCACTTATTAAATTAGTGACACAGATACAGTCATGGCGGAATGCATGTATAGTACAGTAGTTAGGAAATGGCCATGGCCTGATGAATCAGGGAGCCTCCACCTTTAACTCTGACCACCATCAGAACAGCATTCCACCCACGGGGCAAGCCGGCCGCCCGGTCTGGACTATCGGAAGCAAGACAGACGAACTGGAGACCAGGGTTCTAGTCTTAGTTCTAGACAAGACAGGACAGTCAGGGGATCTCGGTATTATTATTACTTGGGTTTCTTTCATGAGTCATATCTCGAGTTTCTGCGGTTACTTTGATGTTTTGATGTTTGAATCGGTAGGAAGTTTAGATAGAGGGGTCTAGATGTGGAAGTATACGGGGTCTGTGATTATGTACCTGCTTTGTACTGCTATGCCTTTTTTTCAAAGAAAAGTCCTCCGGAGTTACCGAGTCACTACTGACTAACGCGACTCTAAGAATTTCCTCTTCTGTCCCAGGCCCAAGCTAGCTGATCGGTCTCCCCGTATGGTGCGATGGGCAGAACCTGTTCGCAGGGCACCCGCTGATTCGCCCGGCCCGAACCCAATGGCGTCCGTTAGTGGAAGACTAGTCTGGAGCCCTGAGTTGAACTTTGGACGGATGAAGGAGGACTAGAAATAGGAAGGTTCGAGGCTGACCAGAGCAAAAAGCTCTTATTCTACTCTCAAGTAAGATAGATTTGCATTTTACAGATTTGATGAACATTACTGTAGCAAAATACAATGTGTTTCCTTTTTCTCTCTTTCCATGGCAAAAGTGGGTTGATTTGCGCAGATCAGTGCTGTAGAATGCGAATGAGCCCGAGGCCCGCAGCGGGACGGGACCCCCAGCCAGACACCTCGAGAGGTTGGGTTGGGTGGGAGACTTGGGAGCTGCATGTGCAGGATTCTAGAAACCGACGAGAACGTATCTAGGATGGCGTGACGGGTGTGTGACAATGGAGGGGGTCACCGCTGGATTTGTTATTGTACTGTGTAATAATAATGTCTACAGTATTCTGAATGGACTATCATCATTATTCGTACTCTATTCTTCATACAAATACTGTCCTCGGTACAGTACTATACTCTACCCGACTAACGTGGTCCGTCTCTCCTTTAGGCAGCCGGGGGTAATCGACGGATCGTACCTTTACTCAGGTCCTTTTTCTTCCGTAACTTAAGGAGATCTGTCCGCGAGGTCGATGGGTTTAGACTAGGAAGATGATCGCTGCACAGACCACAATCTGACCGCTGGTTGATCGGGTGTCTGTTTTTTTTTTTTTCCTATACGGAGGTATACACCTTTACACCTGGAGGTTTAACTATTCTCGATTGTTCTACCTTAATGTCTTTCCTGATAAATACTTCCCCAATATGAATGATTATAGTTAGGAAAGAAAATAGAAGAAGCAAAAAAAAAAACCGTAACACCCCTTCAAATGCAAGCAAATCTAGACTTTCCCACTGCCCCGCCGAGGGGCAACCGGTGCTTATCAACCCGGATCCGTAAATGATTTTTTTTTTTACTTTACTTACCACTTTAATTTTTTTTTTCCTTTCCAATACCTCCCTTAACACTCCCTTTCTTTTTGTGACTATCTTTTTTACACGAACTCCGACCTTTTGACACACTCCCCCCTTTTGTGACCACCCTAATCCTATCCATCCCCACCCCCTCCTCGTCTTTTTTCTCCCCCCCCTCTCCTTCCCCTTCTCTTCTTCCCTTTTTTCTCACCATGTCCTCCTCCACTCAACCCTCCACCCACCCCGATGCCTCCGCCCAAGTCTCCGGACACTCCGCCGCCCATTCCTCCAGCACCGCCGAACTCGCCAGTCTTAAAGTAGGCCTGCACGCCGCCCTGCGCCAATTCCCGGACTTCCCCTTCCCCCGGCATCCTCTTCGAGGATATCCTGCCTATCTTCGCCGACCCCAAGCTGCACGAGGCTCTGATTCGTTCGCTGGAACTGCATGTCCTCGAGGCCTGCGGGGGCCAGAAGCCTGATGTTATCGTTGGTCTGGAGGCTCGGGGTTTCCTGATGGGCCCGAGTTTGGCGCTGCGTCTGGGTGCGGGCTTCGTGCCTGTGAGGAAGCAGGGGGAAGTTGCCTGGTCCGTGTGTGACCCAGGCTTATGAGAAGGAGTATGGCCAGGATTTCTTCCAGATGCAGGAGGGTGCGATTAAGCCCGGGCAGAAGGTGATTGTCGTGGATGATATTATTGCTACTGGTGAGTTTTGATACTGGGTGTTCTATACTATACCTCTCTATCCCTTGGACTATACCATATACCTCGTATAATGGTATAGTAAGATGGGTATAGTAGAGGGAGTATACGATATCCACGCTACTCTCGTATCTTCTCTGACCACGCATACTAACACCTCCTTCAGGTGGCTCCGCCTGGGCTGGCGGTGAAATGATCCGCAAAATGGGCGGTGACCTGTTGGGCTTCATCTTCCTCCTCGAGCTGGAGTTCCTTAAGGGCCGCGACAAGCTCCCCGCCCCGGTCTACACCCTGCTTTCCGGCCAGGCCTAAGCAGTTCTCCGATTTCTCACTCGCATCCCGACTCTTACCTCCATCCGGCAATGTTTCCTGCATCTCGCGGGTTCATACGTTGCAATCGGCTTTGATGCACGCCTCCTGACCGCTCGAAAAAAGTGCCATTGTGTCTGTCTCCATGTTCAATGCTTCTCCTCTCTATCACCTATCCTTCTCCATTCTCCCGGGATCATCCTCCGATCTTCAATCCCTGATCGACACCTGGGTTGGGCATCTAGCGGTGTATGACGACCCCCCCACCGAAGACATATTCGGTAACCGCCACTCGCGGACCCAATCGATTTTCAAGAGATGCCCCGGGCGATCCGTGTCTTTTCTATTTTGGGGGATGGGGGATATGTCTCTTTGGGTTTTTGGGACTGGGCTGGGAACCCGAGGGAGCTTGTTCGTGGCTTGTTTCTTACCATTGGAGGATATATACCTCCTACGTCCCTTGTTACTGTTTGACTCTGGATTTTATTTCCATCTTCCATGTTCCATTTTTTTTTATCATTCAGGGCGGGAGTAGAGCGGGCTCGGACCCCGCCTCTTTTGGCGAAATTAATATATGCTTTCTTTCCTCCCTGTGACTGTGGTTGTGGCTGTGGTTATTTTTGGATTTGTGCTTCTTCTCTTTCGTTTTGATAGAAACCTTCATGTGATGAAGGTATAATCCCAGCATGTTGAAAAGAAAACTGTTGATATGGGTATTGGATCTATGAAGGTGGATATTTGGCTAATTCCAATGCAACCTTGCTTCGCTAACCTTGCTTCGCTAAGCAATTCCCTTTCTTTCTGTACATCTATACTCCTGACTGTATACCTTGTAGTATGTATGTCATCCTCTCCATATCGAATATCTCACTCTTCAGGAATGAACCTCCTCAATACCTCTTCCAACCACCGCCCACTAACCCCCAACTGCTCCGCCTCTCGCATCGCCCGATTCATCCGCGGGATGTACTCTGCATTGGGCTTCGACACCAGCACCCGCTGCTCATCCACATAAACCAACACCCGCACTTTCCCTTGACCTAGTCCTTGATTCTCACCATCCATCTCCATGTCCATGCCCGTCCACTTCGCTCTCGCCTCCTCATCCAGCCACTTCACCACATCCGCAGAAACATACCACTTATTATAATCCCCCCCCCCCTGCTCCCTCGGCCGAACATCAACATCAATCCCACCACCGGGCTGCACAACCTCCGCCTCCCGATCAATCCCCTCATACCCATCCAAAATCCTCTCATCCCCAGCATCCATCTCATACAGAACCCCATACACAGCATCCTCAACCCCGGAGACAGGAATCTTTTCCGCGACGGGACTAAGTTGGGAGGAGATGCGGAGACCGCGCGGGGGCAGGACGTTGGCGTAGCCTGCTTCGTTGATGTGCCAGCGCCAGTGGGACAGGGAGGCGATGGCGAGGGGTTTGGCGGAGACGGAGGGGTTGATGGTGCAGCGGTGGGACATTTGGGTTGGTGAGAGGTTGGAGCCGTAGGCGAAGTAGAAGTGTGGCTTTTTGGAGTGGGAGGATGGGGGTTGGTTGGAGATGTGCATTTTGATTTGCATGGTGGATGGTGGAAGGCGTTGGTTGGTGAGTATAGTTTAGAGAGAGGATGGATGGTGATATTGTGGGTTGTTGTGGTGCGGGGAATGTTGGTGTGAGACTGTGGTGGGATGGACCTGGAAGTAGGAGTTAGGATGATCAGGAAGGCGGTTAAGGGAGGAGAAGGATATCTCTTACGGTCTTGTTTTATCTGAAGGTTGGTATGCAGGAGTCTTGTATGTTTGTAGACGGAGAGGGTTGTTGTAGAAGTGAACTCGGCAGAGATCTGACTGCGGGGATGAACAGAGGTTAGTTAGTTAGTTAACTAGTGTGCTCGAGTGAGTCAGCCCTGCACGAGGCAGAGATCTATACCCTGGTATGATCTTGAGCCTAGAGACAAAAAATCATTTTGGACTTCTATAAAAGTCCTTTGACAAGAAATGGTCTAATCTCTAAAAAGTTAAAATTGCCCAGGCACCGTGGTACCTGACGCTGTCGTCCCAGTTTTAAAGTAGAAACCAACGGTCCGCCGAGGAAGAGACTCATCATTCATGTAAAGTACTCGGAGAAGGCTACTTACTATGACACTCCTTTTACATATACTTTGAGACTAGGAATGCATAATGCATACGCTATTAAACTCAAAAGATATCAAAAGTATCATGACATTCATTGCCAATCCAAATCATGTACCAAACAGAATGTGCTGATGATATTACGAGTTCATGCACGGTATCCTCAGAACCATCAATCAATCGCTAGAAGCACAACACAAAAAGGAATACAGCACGAGGAAAAGGCAAAAAGGGAGAGACTAAGAAGAAAAAGTCAACTCCCCGCAAAATGATACAAAAAAAAAACCCAAACCCCTCTCCATTCCTTTTCCTTCCACCACACTCGACTGTGTGTTCTCAACGTCGTGGAATCGTCCCACTCATTCGACTGCCCACACCAGCCATCAAACTCTGCTTAACGATGGCATCCGCAGCCGCCGCAGCCGCAAGTCTTTCCTTTTGTCGACTGCGATCCCGCAGATACCCCGCAGCCTCGGGTCTCATCCGCAGAAGTCGCAGGATCATGTCGTCGTTGGGATCGGCCTGGGCCTCGCGTCGCTTCTCCTCCTTTACTTTCTTCATAGTGCCCAAATTCCGCGACAGCATAATACTCTTTGCACGGCGAGTAGCTGGTACGCCCAGCCCACCGTGCACAGTACCCGTCGCGCCGAGATGTGCAGGTGCCGAGAGGCGGTTGCGGTTGGCTTGCTGACGGTTCACGCTGGCCGAGGCCATACGCTCGGAAATACGGATGAGGTTCTCCGTTGGCTCAAAGTAGAAGAAGTTGAGACTCTGGATCTCGTGGTACTTGGGGGATTTGAGGATGTCGATGGGAACACCAGCGGCCTCACCGGTTTCCTCGTCGACAGCGTGGAAGAAGTTTAAGAGTAACACGAGCCAGCGTGAGACTATGTCGACTTCCTGTAGGGTGAGTGGCTTTTGGTGCGAAGGTTTGTCGGAGAGGGGCGGGACGAGGAGGCTTTCGATGGTGGCGAGGACTTCCTTCCAGAGACGGGCCATGACCATGCGCATGGCTTCCTCGGTGAGGGTTTTGTTCATGATGGCGAAGTTGTCGTTGAAGTAATTGAAGAGGGGCTCGAGGGCATTCTCGACGTCGGCGGAAGTAGGACCGGTAGAGGTCGGCTGTCCACGATTGCGATTTAGGAAGTTGGATACGGTGGACATGCTGAGGCCACGCGAGAGTAGGGACTTCAACGTCCGACGAGACAAACAGTGGCTAATGTAGGCAGAGAGCTAGGAAGATGTTAATTATTGCTCTTCGAATGCCGACAACACACAAAAAAAACATACCTTCTCGGTGATCCTCCGAGTCATATCCCTCTCTGTGCGCTTGAGGGTACGAAAGGCCTTGCCAAAATAGAACTGAATGTCATCGCGCTCACCCTCCATACTCACACGCAGCAGAAGTCGTCCCTGGGTATCCAGATCGAGCCAATACTCCCGCGGGAGGAAATCGCTGAAATGGACGGGATCCAACTTGATCGAAGTTCGACCGACGTAATCATGATCACCCACTGCATCCCAATCCCAGATCGTAGCGATGATGTTCAGAGGACCCTGTGTTGTGATATCGACAGCGTCCTCCCACCGAGGATTAAGGTTGTTGTAGATGATGCGCGTCTTTGCAATCCGTTTTTGGTACTCGTCAGTCAAGACCACGTACGGGTCGCTGCCACCGTTCAAATCACAGGCCTTCAAGTCTTCTGCCTCTACGACCTTGATTGTGAAGACGTATGTCGTGGACTTGCGGACTTTCTTCAGCTGTGGCGGGGTGTTCTTCGCAATGACATCCGCACACCCGTCGACATTGATCTCACGCTCGAGGCTGTCTAGCTGTGCGAGAGCATACTCGATGTTGTTCAGCTTCACCAGGGACTATAACACATGTAATCAGATACAAAAGACCTTCAATGCTGGTTAATCGGTGGGTGCAGGTCATACCTCAGACGAGAACTGGAATGGTTCAATCTTGTCTTTGTTCGTCCATGTGTCCTTGGCAAATTGCATAAGCTTCTCTTGGGTGGTCTGGTTCAAGGCCGCTTCTTGCTCCGGGGTGAGACGATCCATCTCACGCGCAAACATTTGCTCCAAAGATTCACAGTACTTTGCAACACCCTTGCCCATGGAATTCGAAAGAGCGGTCATGAATTTGGCATACTGAAGATCGTTGTCCCATTCCAGCCCGATCAAGTTCTCCACCACCTGGTTGTAAGACCGGAAGATATCAATCACCGATACGCTATGTCGGTTATCCTCCGGAACAACCCCAGCCAGTTCACCGCCACGGACGGTGAACTGATCTTGCCGAATAGCTTGGTTGACCCATTCCATGACACTCTGATCAGTTAGGTGGAGCCAACGCCAGACAAATTCTTCAAGGAGACCCTCCACATGGAACGGGAAAGGAGTCCTGCAAGCTAGTTAGTATTATCATTCCTTCGGTTTAGCCAGGTTGTCCTTACTCGGGAATATGGTTTGTAAACAGACGTCTGACCGTAGCAAGCTGCTTGTACAGATCAAATCCGTCCTCAATGTCGATCTCCTCACCTTCCGACTTGGCGTGCTCAATGATTCGGATGACCATTTCCTGCGCATCCTCCGCAAACATTGGGAGCATATTGACACACAGTGTGAGATGAGGGTTGACGCTATTGACTGTTAGAGCTGGTTCTGAAAGTGATAGAGAGATGCGTGGCTCACCCCATAATCTCAGGGTTATTCCGGTATCGCTTCTGAATCTTCTGTGCCAGTTTCGAGATCGCATCACCTAGCTGGATTACATTATCAAACCGCCATGATTCCTGGTCGACTGGAATCAACTGGCCAATGAGGCTCTGGTATTTCTCTGTAGCTTTCTGCGCAAGACCATCCTGCACATACGAGGAGAAACGGTCAATATCCTCGGGGTCCTCCGTATAATTCGGATCCATCTGAATGTGATTCTCGAGAATGTACATTACAGGACCAATCGGGCGAGGCTTCGCCTCGAAACAGTCCATCATCACATCGTAAAGTTCACGTAGCAAGGCCTCGTGGAGTTTGGCCAGTAGCTGCTGCATGGTCTGCAAATCATGCACGCTCCATTTTTGCCTATCAAAGACAGAGGAAGCAACATAACTGCTGCGCTTGGCCCGTGACTCGCTACTGGGTGATTCTTTCACAAACGTAAAGGCCGAGTCCAGCGTGTTGAGGTCAATTTCAGAATCCACGTATTTGGACTGAATGACATCGAGGAAGAGCACGATACGCGAGAAATTGGGAATCCGCCAGCGGAGACATATTTCGTTGAGCATTTCCGTGGATTGCTTTGAAAGTAGCTTCATTGATGGCGTCTCCGACGTAGCCTGACTCGCCTCGATTTCCCGGTCACGAAGGTCGTGGGTCAACGTCTGGTTCAGGATAAACCTGTACACGCCGCGCGGGTCCGATGGGATAAAAGTATATGTGTCTGACTCTTCAGAATCGCCATCAGCCCCGTTCAGCGAGAGCGAGCTGACATCGAGAGATTGATCAATGGCGTAGGATGTGCGGTCTCGAGGCGAGGACAGGTCATCACCAGCAGATGCATTGAATTGCGGCAGAGCGCCAGGGGTGCTCTTGGCAAGCTCTGGATTGGATTGCACAATTGCAAGCATCATCTGCGAGAGGTCCGGACTCTCGCTCTTCTTCCACGTCTCAAAGGCCTCGGCTGTATTAAAGTCCTCTCTGCATAATGTCTTCCGGGTCTGAAGCGTCAAATGCGTTTGATAGGTCTTGAGATCCTGGAGAGCTGCCTTTTCGGTCCAAACCGACTTGTGCTTGTCAATCTCGGTCTGGGCTTGAGCATTCGTCATCCCAAAGATCTTGGCCACGTGTTGCACCAAGGGCATGTCCTTCACATCGTAACTCAGTGGGGCGAGAACCTCCGTCGTTGATGCGGTACTATTTGAATCCATCAAGTCCTGATCCTGCAGAAGAAGCTTGTTTTCTAGCACCGTCAATCGGTTTGCGAGCTCGGGACGGTCCTTGGCCCAGTCATTGCTCTTGAGTATCAGCGCCAAGAGGCGGACAAAGAGCGCAACGTGGCGATCCACCATGAGCTTCCAGCTATCATCGTCCTGCTCCTTGCCCTTGCTCAGTTCCTTCACAGCGTTGGAGTAGAAGATTAGGAGCAGATCCTCGGCGCGGCGGTCTTTCTCCATGCGCTTGCGAAAGGAGTCCTCCTTGAGCACGTTGAGAAAGACAGCGAACGTGCGCACTACCAAGTGATCCTGGTATTCCTTCTTCTTTTCCTTTCCAATCAATACACCCGTCAACCGCTTCTCCAGCTCCGACACAAAGCCATGTGGAATCCTGGTGCTCTTCGAGTCCCTGACTAGCGAAAAGTCACTCATCAAATCATGAATGGAGGTTGAGGATCGCTTCGGCCGCGCCGGCGCGGCGGGTGCAGTTTGAATGCGACGGGATCGAGGGTGAAGTAGGTAGGTCAGGTAGGCTACGCGCAAAGCATGGCTGCTTGCGATAGCGGCCGTGAGGGGTCGCCGGCGCGAGAGAGACGGGGTGCGTGAATGGCGACCATCATTTTGAAGGCTGTTGATCCGTCGGTTGACTCCTCGGGACTGAGTAGATGCCGTCGACATGAGGCGCTTCTCTAGATTCGTGTAACGTTCGGAGAAGAGTGCAAGTGGAATGCGGGACCATGGAGGGAGATGGACGCAGACCACCAGCCGGCGCGCGTTGGAGAAACGACTTGGGGTGAACTTTTCTCTTGTCTGAGAGGGTAGCTGATAGAGTATCGGAAAAAGTGGACACGCCTTGGCCGAGCTGGAGGGGACGAGGGGGAGGTTTCAAACGTTTCGAATGTTTACTGAAGGAGAAGAAAGGAGGAGGAGGGGAAGATGAAACCACCAAAAGCTGCCGAACCAACTGACGTAGGCGCCCGGACCAAAAACAATGGCACTGCTTTGGGTTAAGAAAGATCAAAGACAAAACAACCCAGCCACCAAGCTCGCTAAATATGGAGTGATTAAATGCCATTTTTACGGGCCTCCTGGGTTTGTTGGTATTTCATGCAGTGGCCTTGCAGGCCTCCCTTTGGCGCCCGATCTGCGCAAGGGTGTCGGGTGCTGCCCATATCCTATTGAACTATGTGGTATATGTACTGTCCAGTATATCTTGTATACAGCGCATCGATAATTACAGATTGTTCAGTTCCTCGCTCTTACAAATATTTGACTGTAGCATCTACAATCGTTGCGACAGCTGTCACAGTCTCAGTCAGCGAACGTAAGATCCCAGGGGGAGCCACTGCGGCTTTAGCCTTTAGCCTCGGTGCGGCCCCACTGGACTCACCAGTTGTTGATACGGATAGCGTTTATACAAGATAATATCAATGAGTTCGGGGCTAGAGGACTCTGTAGACATTGAATGAATATGGTCGGACTTCTTATTTTTCTCTTGGACTGATTCAGTCTGTGTCAAACTGCCAGAAACACTTTCTTGGCTATCGACTATCAGACCCGCAAGTGACGCCGAATATAGGAAACGAAATCGGATTGGTATTTACACACACAACACACAAAAGGAAAGAAAGGAACGAGATGGCCTGAATTTACCACTTGTCCTCACCAGCCTTGCGAGCCTATAGTTCAGAAAGACAGTTAGCTTCAAATCCACACAAAGCCCTCGGTCGGACATCAAAGCGGATCGGTCTGCATGCGTACCGGCACAGCATTGGGACCACCCAGCTCCTTCTCCAAACCATCAACGTAGGCCTTGGGAACGCTAGGCTTGTCGGGGTAGTAAAGGCTGACAACACCGCAAAGGCTCAGGAAGGCCGCAACGAACACTCCCAGGTGGAGGAAGCCCTTGCCGGAGCTGACGTGGTTATACTGTTCAGGACTGAAGACACCGAGAATCTCATTGTCCTCGTGGACCGGCTCGCCAAAGTTGCGCTTCTCTTGCTTGTCCCACCAGCCGCCATAGGGATCTCTGAACTGACGCTTCACGGGGGAGGGTTCTGGTAGCCGCCATTCTGGAACTGTCCGTTAACATCCGCCAATTGATCCGCTCGGCGGAGCGGCAAAGTCACCATCGTATAGACATTCTCGTACCTGGTGGGGATCCTCAATCTCGGCAGCACGGAGAGCTGGGATCTGGGAGAAGTGTGCGCGGGGGGCAATGGCACTGCGGGCAGCAACCTGGGGCAGGCGCCGGGCCAGGATCCGTTGGGACAGCATCTGTGGCAGGAATTGAGAATCAGTAACACAGTAGAGAAGACACAAGATCGATCCCAGATCTTGCACGCTACTCACTGCTCTGCCAAAAGACCGTGGGAAGGTGAGGGTGAGAAGGTAGGGGACTTGGGGGGGAGGGTTGCAGGGTCCATGATGGAACGGATGGAGGTTTGCGGCAAGAAGGCCTGAGGCATCCACAGGCATCCACGCGCGGCGCGCTTACAAGTGTAGTTCTCGCCCCGACGAAAAAACCACTTTCTCACGCAATCCCCCCATCGTGCTCGTTTTTCCGTCCCCATCAACGCTACCGAGCCGATAAGCATGCCAAACTTCTGGTGGCACCTCTACTCCATCTGCTCCACCCGTTGATGCCAGAATCGTTTACTCCGACCACGTCATTGTTGGGATAACTGGGGTCAACTCTCCAGAAGGCCCCTGTCGTCCGTGGCTCCAAGTCATGCAAAACGGCAACCTGAACGGCCCATCACCTGAAGATGAACGTTTAACACCAGTACCAGACTCCCCGATCCTCGAGGAAGTCGCCTTGGAAAATCGGGTTGAATCGGCGCCTTCCGAGGAGGTCCCTTCGGCCCCAAAAGACGATGAACCTACCCATCAACTAGATGGGCCGCCATCCAAGAAGCGACGACTTACAGAGACTACTCCATCGCGTCGCTCGACATCCAGGCCACCTTCGCCACCATGGAAGAAGATCGGGGCCGATGGACCTACATCGTTTACTGTGGAGGGCCGGCGCAGGTCTTCGCGAACCAACGCGATCCCGTTGGAAATGCAGCCTCAATCCGACAAACGCCACACGCGCGCAGCACAACATCAATACGTCCAAAAGAATACTCGCGATAGTACGAAACCTGCCACATCCTCCCCATTGGCTGTGACGCAGTCGCGTGCCGCGGTCAATGGGAAGCTTGGTGGCAAGGTCACGGCTAATGGATCCCCTCGAACGGGGTCAAACAAAAGCGTTTCAGCTGGCGGTAAACAGGCAGTCTCACAATCTCCAGCTCCAAAATCCTCGAATCACTCCCGTACGCGATCCCGAAGCTCCGTTAACTCCCAACGTCCTCCCCGTCCCAGTACCAACGGCGCTAGCCCCCGGCAGCTTCGCGACCGCCCCTCGCTTTCGGCGACATCCCCCGGCGCCGGCGATGGCTTAGATTATACTTATACACATAATGAAGGAGGCGAGGAAGGGTCGATAAAGGTGCCGCGACTTCGAATCAAGGTGAAGAAGCCGGTTCTCCCGATCCGACACCCTGGCCACGTATCCAACAAAAAATACCAGTCATTCCGAGAATGGGTGGAACACGAAGATACTCCTAGCCTATTGTCTTCCGAGGAGGCCCTCGAGGAGGCTCGCAGGCGACGTGAAGTGGTCGATGCGGCAGAGCCTGGAGGGCCGTTGAGCTCGGAAGTCTGCTCGGCTTATATCACAGACCAGCAGGAGGAACCGCCCCCTCAATATTCGCATCAGGATCACCTCGTGGCACATGCGTTATACTTTCAGAAGCTTCTGGACAAGGAACACAAGCGGCATCGCCAGATGGCCAAGCTGGTCGCTCAGTGGTGCGCGGATGCCTATCGGAAGCGCCACAAGAACCCGGAAGACATCCTTCGAGAGCAGCAGGAGGAAATGCGCGGGAAGCGGAAGCAGGTGGCCAAAGATCTCCAGAAGATGTTCGATCTAGCACGCGCTGAAATCGACCGAGCCCGTCTTGCCCGCTGGGAAGAGGAGCGGAAGGTACAGGACCAGCAGGCACTTGACCGCGCAATCAAGAAATCCACCATGCTATTCGAGAAACGTCGATCTGAGATCCTTGGTGAAGTGAATAGTGATGCCCTTGCTACTAGTGATGATGACGAAGATGTTGACTCGGATTCCGAGTTGGACTCTTCTGGGTCCGATCTTGGGAGCAACATGTCAACCTCGGAATCTGACACCGATGACGATGCAAATGTGGATGATGATGCTGCATTGACTGCCGAGGAACTACGACGAAAGTACGCCAACTTGCCAGCCGAAGACACGTTAGACGAAGTGTCCGTGATCTCCGGCGTGCCAGCGTCAGCCATTGACAGTGAAGCTTTACCGGATGAAGTTGACTCTGATGCTACACCTGCTCAATTAGATGACGTTGATTCTGTTTTAATGGACGATAGCGACGAGTCGACTGATATGGATGATGATATGGGCGACAGCGACGAGGAAGCAGAGTCAGACGACGAGGATTCCGAAGAGGGCAGTGATGATGATGATGGCGGCCCCGGACTACTTGGCTTCTTCTCTTCCAAGGATATTCCTGTTTCCAAAGAGGACGAGGAAGCCGATGGCGAAGCAGCGGATGATGAAGACGTGGACCTCGAGGACCCAGACGAGGTCTCTCTGATTCCCAACGGTCATGACTCCTCGCGCGAAGGCACTCCAATGGAAGTTGTCGAGGCTTCTGCTGAACCTACGCCTATTGATACTGAAGATGCCTCGATGGTTGATACTCCAATGGAGGACCAAAACCGACCGACCGAATCGCCGGCACCTTTTGAACCCACCACTGCTTCCGAAACTCCAGCCGATGAAGAAGCAGCCCAGTCCCAGTCAATGGATTTAGAGCCCCTCCATCACGATACCCGACCAAGTGGTGAACTGTCTAGCGAGGCTTCGCCTGCCACTTTCGCAACCAAGCCATCCGAGCCAGAGTCTGTCTCCTCGTATGAGCCCGCGTTAGAGAAGGCTCTGCAAACAAGTCATTCGCCAGCTCCTGGCTTGAAGACACCCATTCCGCATCTCTTGCGCGGCACTCTTCGTGAATACCAGCATTACGGGTTGGACTGGCTTGCGGGGCTCTACAAGAACCACATCAACGGGATTCTGGCCGATGAAATGGGTCTCGGTAAAACCATCCAGACCATCGCCCTGCTTGCCCACCTGGCCGTGGATCATGGCGTCTGGGGCCCTCATCTCGTGGTTGTCCCGACTAGTGTCATGCTAAACTGGGAGATGGAGTTCAAGAAATGGTGCCCTGGCTTCAAGATCATGACGTACTACGGCAATCAAGAGGAGCGCAAGGCCAAACGTCGTGGCTGGACTGACGACAATGCCTGGAATGTCCTGATCACTTCGTATCAACTAGTCTTGCAGGACCAGCAATCTCTTAAGAGGAGAAACTGGCATTACATGGTTCTGGACGAGGCGCATAACATTAAGAACTTCCGGTCACAGAGATGGCAGGCTCTTCTAACGTTCCGGACGCGGGCCCGACTTCTTCTGACCGGTACACCGCTTCAGAACAATTTGACCGAGCTTTGGTCCCTTCTCTTCTTCTTGATGCCTTCAGACGGCGACGGAAATGGCATCGAGGGCTTCGCAGACCTCAGAGATTTCTCGGAGTGGTTCCGTCGACCGGTGGAACAAATCTTGGAGCATGGAAGGGAGACCATGGACGACGAGGCCAAGCGAGTTGTCACCAAGCTTCATACCGTTCTGCGCCCTTATATTCTACGTCGACTCAAAGCCGATGTCGAGAAACAAATGCCTGGCAAGTACGAGCATGTGATTTACTGCCGGCTCTCGAAGCGCCAGCGGTTCCTCTATGACGGCTTCATGTCCATGGCCCAGACGAAGGAGACTCTTGCATCAGGCAACTTCCTTTCCATCATCCACTGTCTTATGCAGCTACGCAAGGTCTGCAACCACCCCGATCTCTTTGAGACAAGACCGATCTCTACGTCCTTTGCCATGCCACGATCTGTCGCTACGGATTACACTGTCAAAGAGTCACTGGTTCGACGACGTCTGCTCTTCGACCACCCTCTCACCAAAGTTGATCTGGACTTCCTTAACCTCGCTCCGGTGTCTAGAGAAGATATCTCGCGGAGACTTGCGGATGATAGCATTCGGCTGATGGCCTTTGCTCCGTTCAAGACTCTTCGTGAACGCCAGTACAACCGGACCAACTGGCAGATGACCTTCAACGGATCTACCATGGAGTCGACCCTGCAGTCTCTGGAGAATGCCAGTCGGAAGCGGAGAATGGCTGAGCTCGAGCGGTGCTTGTACTTTGAATCCAAGCGCCATGGTCGCCGACCTGTCTATGGTAGCAGCTTGATCGAGTTCTTGCGAGCTGGCACGAACAAGGAACACGCCCTATCCAATGCCCCTCTGCGGAAGAGCAACATGGCCGAGTGGCTGTCCAGCCGGTCGTCCGTTCTTGCTTCGATGATCCTGACGATCGAGGAGCGCTCTCTCGAGATGGACGGCTATGTCCAGAGGTTCGCCTGCGTTACTCCTGCGGCCGTCGCCGCAGGAACCACCGAAGCTGCCTTGACGCCCATCGAGACTCGCCTCCTGACCAACACCTCCAAGGACCAGCCCCACGACCCCTTCCACGAGGCGCGGATGCGCCTTTCTATCGCCTTCCCAGACAAGAGATTGCTACAGTACGACTGTGGCAAGCTTCAACGGCTGGACAAGCTGCTCCGCGACCTCAAGGCTGGCGGCCATCGCGCTTTGATCTTCACGCAGATGACCAAGATGCTGGATATTCTAGAGCAGTTCCTCAACATTCACGGGCACCTATATCTCCGCCTCGACGGAACCACCAAAGTTGAGAACCGCCAGATGCTCACCGAACGATTCAACAGTGACCCTCGAATCCTGGCTTTCATCCTTTCTAGTCGATCGGGTGGTCTCGGTATCAATCTCACGGGCGCCGACACCGTTATCTTCTACGACCTGGACTGGAATCCAGCGATGGACAAGCAATGTCAAGATCGTTGCCACCGTATCGGACAGACTCGCGACGTTCACATCTACCGATTCGTCTCCGAGTACACCATCGAGTCCAACATTTTGCGCAAGGCCAACCAGAAGCGCATGCTCGATGACGTGATCATCCAAGAAGGCGAGTTCACCACGGACTACTTCACCAAACTTCGGGATGTAGAAGGCATGGTTGAGGGCGAAGACACCCGTGATGGCCACGACGAAGCCAGCGCTGCCATGGACCGGGTTCTCGGCAACCGAGTTGCCACCGGTACCAAAGCCTTCGAGCAGGCCGAGGACAAGGAGGATATTGATGCAGCGAAAAACGCGCAAAAGGAGCTCGAGCATGCGGACGATGGCGACTTCGAAGATCGTCCCCCCCCACATGGCACGCCGGCCCAGGCTGGTACGCCACTCGCGGTCGGCGACGAGGGCACGTTGCATCCCGGTGGTGTAAGTGCCGTGGCCGAGGTTGACGGAGATGTGGAAGAAGAGCCGCGCCACATTGACGATTATTTGCTCCGCTTCATGGAGTGGAACATGCGTGATGAGCCCCTGGTGCTACCGGTGGACAAAAGCAAAAAGAGGTCCAAGAAGGGTAAAGAGCACCGGCTCAAACGACGTCGTTGAGGTCCTTACTCCCGACTCCCGAGGCCTTTACTCCTGACTGGCGGGCTCAAGTTTCGAGAGAGCCACGGGGGAATTTGCTCTCTTTCTTCGAGAGGGCGTTTTTGGTCTCCACCTCCCAACGTTTCACCGAGTTTCATCTTCCAATATTGATCTTTTCTTGACCTGCTATCGTTCGTCGGCCGGAGGTGACTACCTCTTTCGGACAAGGGTCGGATCATGCTCAATGATCTGCCTTGCTCGTAGGGTTCCCTGTGCTCTCTTTCCGGATCGTCGCGCCCTGGCCATTCCAACCTCGTGGGGTGTGGATATGCACTTGTTTGTGATAGTCTCGACCAAGTGGGGACATCACAATAGTGGTGACAAAGAAAACTGTGCGAGAACATGGTCAGACAATGTGGCCAATTCGCGAGGATCATGATCAACGGATCAAACAATGAGACTCGCTTTCTGGACTTGCTCTTCAGACACGGAGAAATTCAGAGTTTCTGATGTTTGTTCTCTGCTGTACTTGTGTTTTCTCTGTCTGTGTGTGTATTTATGTATACTTATTTGGATGGGAATAGCGTTGTACCTTTTTTCTTTCATGTCTTACTTCTTCTAGTGTTGTTTTTGATAATCTCCAACCATTTCTACCACCTATCTACTCGCTTTCCTCGTATCTACTGATATAGTCACCATCTACTCGATCTAGACCAAACTTCGAAGTAATCCATTCCTCTCGAAATCAAGCACATTTCCTTCCGAAGTATATTAAATACAACGTGAATCACAATCTAATTAATTTAACTCTGAAGATCCACTCTCCCCTCCCAATCACCAATCTTCAATCTTCCGATCTCCGGTCTCCATGCATCTAGCACAATCTACACCAGCATCTTTCCAATCCCCCTATCCTCTAGCGCTGGAGATCTTCCCTGAAAAAAACACAACCCAGTCCCACACCCCTGGCCCTAATCACTCGCCAGCCCTCAGCCCTTGGTTAGCCTTAGCCAGTGGATACTGCATAACAAGGCCATTTTTCTTGCCAGCCTAACTCCATCCGTGATAGTGAGCTTCTTCAAAGACAATCTGGTTCCTGGCCAGTGGCTACGGCCTACTGGGCATGCCGCTAGCCTTGCTATATGCACTTACTTAGTCTATTATAGGCAGTGGACAAAAGTTGACGATTCCTCCTTCAGGTAATCCGGATTCCAAAACAACCTTCCGATCGGATGCATGCAGCAACGACTCCATACTGTACTCAGGTGGGTATTGAGGGCTTGGTCTTTTGACAAATCTTGCAAAATGTAGATTAATTGCTCCATCTGAGTATGCTAATTATATCCCCCCGTGCCACACTCGATGATGCAGTTTACTACACTACTGCATTTTGCCGCTTTTTACTCTGTACTTGATAGATACTAGAGTTCTCCGTACTGTAGTTGCTATTTGCTAAAGTAAATGGTCGTGGCGCTGCGTTCGTGGTTCCTCTCGTCCACGGAGAATAGCCTCTTTGGGCCTGTTCAGTACTGTAGATCATATCTAAATGCACTATGCATCCACTGCGTCGGGCACACCATTCCCTCGGGGGTAAGTTTGACGGGTGATTTACGTGATGGGTCGGGAGCTGGGTCTCTGATAATTTGAAAGGGTTAGATTGACTGATCGGAGGCAAAGATGTCCCCGTCCGTGGGTTTACTTTTCATTTTGATTCTTGGCCAAAGGGGTATTTGTTTGGGTATGTTAGTACAATAACCTGGTATGGGTATTACATAGTTATCCATTCTCCTTATTCGGGGTTAGGTTAGAGTTGAGTTTATGCCTTGTCTCGAAGGGGGAAAAGAGAGGATGTGGTTCGTCGGGCGATTTATACTTTGTCTACTGTACATTAGGTGTTGGAGTTGGGAGTTGAAGTTGAGTTTCGTGCCTCTTTTATGGAAAGGTGGTGAGCATATTTACTCTAATTTCTGTAAGCGAGGTCGCAGTGATGAGATGACGACATGACTATAGACTACTTCCTTATGGTACTCTATGCTCCCAGGAACTTCCTCATCCGTACAAGCCTTTCCCAGCATGGGATTGGATTCCGTAGTCCGGGCTACTCCGTAGTCAGCGTAGTCATTCTGGAGTGCGTTAGTTAGCAAGTCAGCACTGCATTTAGTACTACCAGGCCCTCCTGCTGCTAGGCCAAACATGCCAGGGTGAGCCGGTGTCCATTGCCGAGTCCACTGGGTATCCACAACATGTTCCTCATCCACTTCCTCATTGAGCCTTCGGACCCGACAATACGGAGACACATGGAAACGAAGATCAGGAGAATCAGGAGGTGGGAACCCGGTCGATCCTCCTCGGGACGCCGTCGATCTCCCCCAGTGCCACCCGCGCGCCTCGGCCAGCTTGCACCGACAAAGCCAGTACTGCGGACCCCATACGGAGTACTCGAGACGTTAGAAGGTGCCCAATAATTGCGCTGGCAAGAGGCTTGACTTCCAGAGACTTTGGTGATCCTTTTTTGTTTTCTTCAGCGCGCCTGGTTCGTTAAGCGTTGGTGGGGCCGGAAAATAACCAGCGCATGTGGTCGTGCATTTTCGCTAGTGTGAAGGAGTAGGAGACTCTGTTTGGAGCAGTTGCCTAGCGGTCCACGAATAATAATACGCTGCGGATACGATGGAGAAAGTTGGGGTAAGTCAGTAAAGTTTCCATGGACTCGGAGACTCGGGGAGGGAGCGTGTTATTTCCATGGTTGAGTTTCTGCAGTTGTACTTCCGTCAGATAGCCGAATGCAAATTGGGTTTCAGACGATCCGTTCTGGTAGTCACGCCGAGGATTCCCCAGAGGCGAGGATTCGATGGTCAATCATTATGGTGCTTGGCGTCTTCCTTTGGTCCTTTTCGATCAGCTTGGATCCTTGCACTGCCGGTGCCTTAAGGGCCTGTCTCGGACTGTGCAGCTGTGAGACCTGGTTGGGCCTTTGGGGTTGAGTTTGGGAAAATCTTTGCGCGAGTGGAGACGGAGCATCTTGACTGGAACGACCTGGGCGCGCAGACAAAGATGTCCCATCGGGAAGTGATCTAGCTAGAGTAGCTCCTCCGATGTGGTGAAGAAATGTCGTAGATGTAGTGGATGGAATAGACAGTAGTTAATGGAGTTCGTGTGGACGGAGTGGAGGACGAAGAAGAACCTCAACCACATGAGTTGCATTAGACCCACGGAGATCCGGAGAATCCCCTCCAAATGCCTTGAGCATCTGGCCAGATCTACAGTAGTCTGGTAGCCTGGTTCCTTCGCCTGCGAGATCAATTCGCCTTACTTCTCGGCTCTTCAGTATCCAGCGCAGCCTGTGATTGCCCATTTTCGTAAAAAGGGGAAATGATGTAAAAAGTAAATCTTTTGCGCCTGTAATTGGACCGGGAAATGGCGCGAATAGGATAGGACGGGCGAAAATGAACATATTCCTCGCCTATCGTGAATCAATGGCTTTGGGCTCAACCCTTTCGGAAGTTACTTGCTGGAGCAAGCTCGTAGGGGGAAACCCGTGGAGGTCTTTGAACCGCTCCAAGTGCAGGGTGTCATCGAATAGCCCATCGGGACGATTGCCGGTGCCTGTGATTGGCAATCTTTGCGGTATCTGCCGCCTTTTCTTGGTGCCGCTTCTCCGTGCGCTTACTACTGTATGTCCTCCATAGTCCGCATTTCGTATAGATCTACCAAGGGGCGAGTCAGGGCGAGTCAGTGTTGAACAAAGCAGTTGACACAATTCCGATCTTGACTTGATTTGATTTTGTTTTGCTTCCCTAGGATTGGTCGGGTCATTTCCATTGCGCATGGCAGTGCAAGGATGCGACTCGGTTCCAGATCGGTTCCAAGGGGGGTTTGAGTTTGAGATAGATAGTTGGCAACGACCTCGGTCCCTAGTATGGATTTCAACTTTTGATTTTCCGACAACGGGATTTGTTAGGGGTTCGGGATTTGCCAGCCGGGATACATTTGCAGATTGACGTAGCGGTCTGAAAGCCTCCAGTCGCGGCATTTGGAGGAGACTCTGGTTCCTGCGAATTATGGTCGAACCCTGGAAGGAAGAGAACCACAGTTTTGATGATACTTAAACCATTGGACGAAGGGTGGCTACAAAGATAACATAATATATTGGGGTGCAGAGCGTGTAGCCACTAAGGGAATGCTGATTCGAGCGTTGGTACTATGTCCCGTAAATCCCCCGGAATGCTGACAGCCCATGGCCCTGTGCCTCGCATCGCGCGCCAGGCAACTACAGTAGAAGGGTGACAGATGCAGCCGCCAGAGCACATCACCCACTCAAATTGATTGGCAGGAAGCTCATGAGAAAGCGGCATGGATGCAATACTGGCCAGGATGTGCACAGTGGCGATTCGGACCGGTCTCTGTGGCCTGTGCTTGATTGCTTTTTGTCATCCAGTTGGTCCTTGTAGATAGCTTTTGAATTACAGTAATTTTCTTTCCTTTCTTCTCTTTCCAAATGAAGGTTGTTCTCTGCTTACCATCTCGCCATGTGTTCAACAAGGACATCCTTTCCAGCAAAAACCTTAACAAACTCAAAGGGATGTAACTTAGTAGGCCTTGGTGAGCTGTCAGCAGTGAGCACGACTCGGGCAGAGCGGCTCTATGCTCACTGGGCCAAGTGGACTCCACTCTATCCGCTATTGAGGACCCGGGAAGATCGTGGGTGATCCACAGCCGGATCGATTGGCGCCCTCACGAACCACTGCTCCATAGATCGCGTCATTATTGGTCTGATTCGAGAGGGGCTTCACACTAGACTTGACACCATACCATTTTCGCGTGGCATTGTCAAGTGGCTTCGGCCCAGGGCGACGCCTCGCTGACCGTACAGGGGAAAAGCAATTAGACATAGACGGCAAAACGCTTACGAGATGAGACCTCTTGGAGAACACAAAGCGAGAATGGGAAGGAAGACGGCCGAGAGCGTCAGAAAGTGGATGCAGGTTGTTGTATTAGGTTGTGCTTGCCGGCCGTTTGGGTGCGCCCATTCACTAGCGTCAAGAGACGGGAACGAAGATTATTGGAGCGGCTCTGAGATCCGTTCCTGCCCCTCTTCACTTTGCAGTCTTTCAGCAAAACCCACTCTCCTCCTACCTCCAGCAGAGTTACCATGAGTCGGCAAATGATCTTGTAAACATGTGGAAATGGCGGAATTGAAAATATTGAAATTCCGAGAAGGTTTGAAACGCCCAACGGCTCTGGTCATCTTCATTTGGGCAGAGCTCCGCTCCCGAGTCCACTTCAACCATACGCGTGAGAGAAGCCCGGACTGGTGATGATCGGCGACTTTGCTTTGGAGATCCAGGCGGGACGACTAGCATCACCTCTAGTGTGGAGCCCGAACTGGGGGAAGACCGAGTGAACCAGGATCAGAGGATGATGGTAAGGATGAGGAGAAGCCAACTGAACCAGGCCTAGCATGAGAGTTAGCCATGAGGGAGGAGGAGAGCATAAGGAAAAGTGGGAAACAGGCTTATCTTGGACTCTCCCGGAGCTTTCCCGGGCCATGTCAATCCAACTCCACAAGGCTAACCAGCTTAGCCTGGGGACCAGGGCCAATGTAAATCAGACCCTAGAGCCTGGAGTGCGTTTTGCTCCCGCATGACCGCGAAGGATAACCGGAGTGTTATTCCCATCTTGGTACGGTGGGCCAGGTTTTCAAGCAGTACAGTAGAAGTCAGTCACACAGAGACGACCGCCCTGCAGATGGATCTCCGATGGGAGAGGGGAGAGAGTTTCAAGTCCAGGATCCAGGATACTCGGGATTAGGGTTGGAATTTGGGGGAGAGGGCAATTGCCCATGGCGTGTTTGGAATTTGGAAAGAATCCCTGGACCAATGTCGATAGATCAACCGCAGTTGGTTGCGATTGTGCATCCAGGAACAGAAAAGGAACGAGGCTGTCAGCTGTCAGCTGTCATGGATATACTGTAATGGACCTGCTTGTCCCGCCAGATGATCAGTCGAATCTGGATCTGGGATCTGTTTTAGTTGCAGGTCCTGGGTGGCCCTGTAGTTGCTGGATGGTGCCTGTAGTGGCTGCATTGCCAGCCGTGGTCGCAGAAGAGCCTTTGTTCTGCGACGAACACCCATGCGCCAAGCGCTCTATTCGGGATAGTGAGGGAGTGCCAGGCTTGCCAGAGTTGCCTGATGGTTTGCGATGGCGTGAGATGTCAATGATCCACCTGGTGAGGATCGTCGTCGATCCACATCCCCCGAGGTCGGGCACGTCGTGCACCACGTCAAGCATCGTCATGCTAATCCCGAGATGATCGCCCATGCGCGTTGGTCCTGACGCCACAGAGCCATGGCGAGGGAAGGGAGGGGGTCCCGGACGGGGTGAGTTAGTCTGACTCTGTCCAGGGTGAACGGTAGTGACAGACCCGTAGCCATGGGAGATTAAAGAAAGTGGAGATGGAATCCAGACCCGAACGGATTATTAGACTCTGAGTCGGGGCATTGAGGGTTGTGTAGGGGGAAAATAGTGTTAGTGTACGGGGTACACTTTTGAGGAGAATCCGAGTTTCTGTTGTTTTTTTTTTTTCTGTGGCCTTGGGACTTGGAGTCGTCCTGATTCGGGTCGCTGGGCCTATATCGCACCTCCCCGGTCCCTCTTTTTTCCTCACACTCTCCTCCTCCATCTTCTTCCCTTCTCTCTCTCTCCTCCCTCTTCTCTCTATAACCATCTTCTCTCTATGACCATCTTCTCTCTATACCCATCTTCCTCCCTGGGGGCCCAACACCGTATTCCCCTTCTTTGGTTCACCTCTTTTTTGAGTCTTCCTATCATCCGATAAAGCTGGCCTCGTCAACTATAATCTACTGCACTACATATACTACCATTGGCCTTCTATCGTCTCATCGTTGAAGGATTCTTCCCTCCATCATCACCTCCTACAATTCAATAGACTTATATTGTCTAGTATTTACTGTTCCACGTCTCACATCTCACAATCGGAAGAATGAAGACCTCCATATCCTCCGATGTCTGGGAGAAGAAGAAAGCGGTGATCGCCAAATTGTATATGGAAGAGGAATGGCCGCTCAAACAGGTCATCAAAAAGATTCGCTCGGACGACTTCAATCCGAGGTAAGTCATATCCATCCTGCTCTCAATGACTAGTACTGCATAATCAGATTGAATCTTAAGATTGACCCTCTCCTCGCCAGTGAAACCCAATTACGCAGTCGCTTGAAGAAATGGCGCGTCACTAAACCATCCCGACAGACCCGGAAGAAGCCTCAAGGCTCTGAGGATCCTGAATCCGAGAAGGATAGCAGAAGCTTCTCAACGTCCCCTCGGAACAGCAGAGCCTCCCCAGTGACTCGAAAGTCCTCATCTTCTTCATCCAACACTCGCTCCGACTGGGCGGGGCAATCTCTCTATACTCCAGCAGAGATCTCACAACCGGCCAAGTGGCATGCTCACATCGCCCAACAATTAACCCCCAGTCCATCGGGCGACCATACCCTCGTCTCTGAGCAGCATCCCGCAAGCTACTCGTTCTCTGATCCCGGCTCCACGACCATGTCCTTCGAGCACCCGGCTCAGACGTCTCCGGTAACCGAGGGCCACATGCTGAACACTACATCCGCCGTGACGCCCAGCTATGCAGCATACCCACTCTCGCCCGAGTCATGCATCCCAAGTCCCGTTTCAACTACCACCCCTGCCATGGCACAATGGCCTTCACGCCCCGTCTCTTTCGATATGAGCCTCAACCCGGCTCTACATTCTGCGCAATGGTACGGCATGTCATTCGAGCCGATCAGCCCACCCTCAGGTATTCCTCAATCAGCACCATTGGCACCTCCTTCTCATCCTGCTGGATACGTTGTTTCGCCAGGAACAGGAGTATTCTCGCCGGAGTTTGCTCCTTACCAGATGCCCGAGTACCATGGCGTTGATGTTAAGCAGTGGAGAAGGGCCATGTCGCTACATTATGGATATTCTGGACACCATGGCCGACCTGAGCACGAGAGGAAGCACATAAGCCACCACGGCATCCCTCCTCCTGGAATGGTACCCGTCCCTGCGTCCCAGACTGGTCCACACGCAGTGATGTGTGCGCCCATGGCCCCGTACATGGGTTAATGGCCAGCCATTGGCACAGAAGCAGAGACATCTGTGTGCGGACTGCTTATTAACGTAATTTCGGATGTCTTTCTCTCGTGGTACCTATTTCTTTCCCCCAGAGTTGTTCCTCTACTTTCTCTGGTCATATTCTTCTTTCATACTATCGTTCTCTTTTCTCTGATACTCTGAAAATGGGCGGGTGATCTGATCTATAATCTCGTGTACGACATACCCTCGATGTTGAAACTTGCGAAGTGGGCAGTCGATTCAATTTGGAAGCTTTTATCGTTCTGTTATTGGGTTGCTTTTGGCGTTGGCATCGGCGGGTTTTTGTCTTTTGATACCTCTGGCGAATTGATCTGATATTTCATTGATATACTAAAATACCAAATGCGGTACTGCTATGCTTTACGATTTTTACATCTAATCAATGTACTTTCTATAATACTACATTCTTGAAGAACTGGGCCTGCACATCAATACTACTCAACTTTCGAAGAATAGGTTGGAGTGCCCCCAAAAACGACGATGATCCAGGAACACATGGCGAGAGATCTCTGTGGACCCTCAACCGGTGCAGATCACCCTTATGAACATGTTTATCTCTCAACGGCCGTCGATCCATTCACATATCCAAATCGCCCCTCGTGGCTCTTTCACTGGTGCCGAACTGATTGCCATGGAAGCCCACTACCTCCACTTTGCGATAAAACAGGAAGACTGTCCATAGGGTCCTCATCGTTCCCAAATAAACACTATCAACTCCATAATCACGGAAGATCGGCCCAGCAAGAGATATACATTGCCTCAAAACAAGGACATGCTATGGTTAATCGGAGGCTTTACCCGAAATGTTCGGGTTCCGTTCAGGGTCCACGGTTATACCTCGATCGGTATTCTACCAATAAGCTTCGTCCGAGATATAACCGGCCGTTCAATGAAAGCAATGTTCTTGTCCACTTCTTGAAACCGTGGCTCAGACCTCCTTTTGACCGTTGCTTCGGGTGTAACGATCTAATTAAGTGCCGAGTTGTGAACGGAGAGATATTGCATTACTACTCTCTTGAAGGCTCTCAACGTATTGCCTCATTTTGGAGTGAAACGGGTTGATCTGCAAGGGGATGATTCTTGAGTTTGGGTTGAGTAGATGCTGGAGTATGAAATGGTTGTGAAACGATCGTAGGGCGCTCAATTATTGCGTTTAAGATTAGTCTCATCCTAATTCCCATGAAGACTCTATCTACTATCCAGGGTATCCATTCCATCTACATCAAGGTTGACTAAGCTGCCAATTAACCAACTACCTTCGAGCTGTTAGTTACACTGCACAATATTGTCAAGACTTGTAGTATATGCAAAAACATCTCTACTTGATCTCAGCTTTTACTTGAATCATGCAAGGTAGTACACTTAGCAAAATTGCCCTTGTGTCGACAAACCTGACACCTTTACTTCCAGGCCGGGGGTTATCCGAAAAGATACCTCGGCATCTTCCTCACGCTGACGCGGGGAATAGCTCACCTCAGACTCGGCCTTCTCTCAACACTTTGACTTCTCCAAACTCCCACAACTTGCACCCTGCATCTTTTCTTTCTGTTATCAGAAGATATCCGCTGTACATTATCAGTTCATATATCCCCCCGCCACAATGCGCGCCGTTCAAATCAAAGAATACGTTAAGGTGCGCTACCCATACTTACCACCTCGTCTTACATTATCCCCAGCACGATCCAAGAAAACGCAAACCCTCCTACAACAACCCATACTAACCCTCTTCCCAGGGCCCGCTAGACCTCACAGTCTCCGAAGTCCCAACCCCCACCCCTTCCGCCGACAAATACCTCATCGAGATCCACTCCGCCGGCACAAACTTCTTCGACATCCTCCAAATCCAAGGCAAATACCAGCACCAACCACCACTCCCTGGGTCGGCGGTGCCGAATTCGCCGGCACCATCGCCGCAGTTCCAACCGCCGCTCCTTCTCCACGCTTCCGCGTCGGTGATCGCGTCTTCGGCGCTACACAGGGCGCGTACGCCACCCACGTCCTCGCCCCGGAGACCACCCTCCTCCCCGTGCCGAAGGGGTGGAGCTTCGAAGATGCGGCTGGTCTGTTCGTCACCGCGCCTACCTCCTACGGTGGTCTGGTGCATCGCGCCGGCGTGAAGGCCGGTGACTGGGTGCTCGTGCATGCGGCTGCGGGCGGCGTGGGCCTGGCCGCTGTGCAGATTGCCAAGGCCAAGGGGGCGACTGTCATTGCGACGGCGGGTACGCAGCGTAAGCGTGAGATTGCGGCCGAGTTTGGCGCGGATTATGTTGTTGATTATACGGATAAGGCGTGGCCGGAGCAGGTGAAGAAGTTGTGTGCTACGCATCGGACGGGGAATGGCAAGGCTGGGGTGGATATCGTTTATGACCCCGTTGGTATGATTGAGGCGAGTTTGAAGTGTGTTGCTTGGAATGCGAGGTTGTTGGTTATTGGGTTTGCGGCGGGCAAGATTGAGAAGGTTGCGCTGAATCGGGTGTTGTTAAAGAATGTTAGTCTGGTTGGACTGCATTGGGGTCAGTATGCTAAGTTTGAGACGGAGACTGTGGGTGAGGTGTGGAAGGGCATCTTTGAGCTGGTTGCCCAGGGTAAGTTCAAGGGTACGGCGTTCAGGGATGAGAGTTTTGTTGGGCTGGAGAGTGTTCCCAAAGCGTTGCAGGCTCTTGGAGGACGCGAGACTTGGGGGAAGGTTGTGGTTAATGTGACTGGCAATGAGAATGCCAAGAGTAAGCTCTAGTTTGGGAGCTACATAGGTGTTAGAAGATATACAGGGTACGGTAGATTTATCATGTATCAAATCAGATTTCAAATATCATTCATTCAATCGTGGTTCTGTCTGAGCCGAGCTAAGAATAAAACACAAAGCCTCATAAACAACAGATGTAGGTGCGCAAGGAGTCATGCTCTCGTAGAACAAAGTAAGACCCTCCACCGAAGCAGAGAGGAACTCGAGCAAGTATAACATGAACTATGAAGGCCCTTTTTGCTTGTTTTAGCAACCCATTTGACGAACAGCGCAGAGGGACTTCCGAGGAAGTCCTTCCGGCTCCCAATTCAGCTCCAGTCGGTCACGGCCACAAAACGCGGCGCTGTGGTGACTGTCCTTCGAAGAAGGGTCCGTGAGGAGTGTCTGTGAGGACTGGGACAGCTGAATTGAGGGGATGCAGGGGTGGTTGGTTTCCAGGATATTCAAGGTGTTTATTTTGGATTGGAGATGAATTGCGATGAGGGGAGGGTGAATCGGAGCATGGTGGCGACCTTGGACAGAGATGTAGTCGAAACTGGCTGTTAGTAGGGATAGAAGTTCATCTGGACTTCTGTCGAGAAGAGAAATTGCTTGAATCAGCATCAGATTCTGCCATTTCTAGCTTGGGACGTTGAAGCATCAAGCAAGGAAAAATGGAAAACCCAGTTGGAGTTGAGAAGATTCGCTTATGGCCAACCTGTCACGTGATAGATATCACTGGCCAATCAGGATAGCTCAGCCCTACTCAACTATAGATACCGTTTAGACTAGTAGAACTGCGAAGTCGAAAAAACAAACTACTCTTTTGACTTCCCACTTCAAGAGAATACGGGGAAAGTGAGTCAATCCAAATTCTCACAGTGTTATTCCACACGAAAGCCTGGCATATATGGAGTATGCCCGTTCAACTGCTAAGACTCCTTCGCTGTACAGTTCTTGTTTCGGTACGATTCGGTACGCGAGGACATCATGGGGGCAACCAATCTTATCTGCAGCCTAATCATTGACAGGGGTATGACAGCCGATAGATTCATCTTTAGTAATGAAACATGACTCGTGTGTTTACTCTCATTAAAGAGGGATCTATAGCTGCTGGCGAGTCCCTGAGTTCGCCGTTCCCTTCCTGCTGCTATTTCAGGTCTAGAGAGGCTAAAAATTATGATAATGGTTGGCTATTGATATACAGTGTATGTGGGATCCTAAATAGGGAGCTAGCTCCATCACTGTCTTATAGGGATGCATGATCCATACGTTCTATAATAGCCTGCGTATGGGCCGTTTAGATTAGCCTTGATGAGGGCCACATATGCACCCAACCTGAAATTAGATACTTGCAAAAGGAGTACAGTACTCCTGTCTAACAATTCATTTTACTATGCAATACGGAGTTCCTCCTTACTAAGCACCTCTTACTTGCGAGTGAGATTTATTTGGACCCACAAGTGCCATTCGGTGGTGTAATGGTGCATTCAAGCTCCCGCTATTACTACAATACACTCGAGTTGGAGAGGTCATAAGATGGTAAATGAAAGTATTCCACCTATCCTACATTAGCCAGCACAGAGACCCATGGAGCATATCAAACAAAGAATTGCCAATGTTGCGTCAAGTGAACCGCTTAATGAATGCCGTCAGATCGAGTGGCCTATAATGAAACGACGATTATGCCGAAAACAAAATAAGACCAGTTATAGTCATCACCGCATGTATCGCCCTCGTACTCGTTGTCTTGAACATCATCGCCATCGTCGGTAGTCTCAGGTATTTTTTTACTCAAGCCGAACACATTAACTGACGCGGAGTTTTCCTTGTACAAAAATACTTGCTTCAAAGGGTTAAGCGAAGAGGCTGCGTTATTCAGGGCCCTAAAGAGGGCTAAGAAAGAGCAAATCGATAATAGGAAATTCCAATAATCTAGATCGACAAAATGCAAAAAAAAACATACAACAGCCAGGATTCGCATGTGGTCACCCACCATACTACTAACTGGCCGGCGTGTGGCTTAAGTACGGCTGAGCGGACGGGAAGCCCTGTTCTCCACACCCTATGGTCGTATGTGCTGATTATCACTTGAAACCAAAATATATGCTGTAAAGAATGCATTGAGCGCTGCTTTACCGTCGCGCGACTAGGGTGAGCAAGGGTGAGTGCGCAATAGACAGGGTGAGAAGCTCGGTGAGAGCGGGTGATTCTCACCCTCCGTCGCGCCACTGCACTGACCCTCTCTCACCTTGGCTCAGATGTTGGTTCACCTCGGTCGGGCTGAAACAATGGTCTCCTGGCACTTGCACATATAATCGAATTTCAGCCAATAGAATTGGCCAAAATCAACGGCAAGGCTGACTTCAATGTCGCCTTGGGCCAAAGCATTGTGCTTGGTGTCCGACGTGGACATCAACGTGTTGTGTTTCCTTGCCCCAGGAATCGCAGCTACGAAGCACCTCAACATCATGTACGGCGTAGCTAAATCCGTGGGGCGACAAACCCCCATCACGTGGCGACAGCTATGTCGCAAAACTCCGACCAGCTTGTTTTAGCTCGAGCACTCGTCCGTGCTGGGTAGTGTGCCCTCTGGTCGATTATGTGAATTACAACCGTCAAAGACTGCTTACAACAATGCAAGGGAGGAGACTCGTGATTAATTCGTATCTCAATATGCGTTAAGCAAAATTAGTCAAGCTGAAGTTCTCTGAACTGCTCTTCCAGATCATCAAGGACTGTAATGACATTGTTGTAAAAAGCCTGCTGAAGGGCAGGACTCTTGAAGTCATCGTCATGCCCAAAGTCGCAGTAAAGACATCTCTTGATGACCTCTTTGAAGCTTTTGCTGATCTTGCCATGGCTAAACTCTACTACTCGGCGGGCTGTGAAATATTCATCGAAGTCTGGTTTCCCTCCTTCTTCTCGGTCGATCGACCGTGCCAGGGCCGCGAGAGGAACTTGAAATGCGAGCTCGAGGAACATCACGCCGAGTCCGAAGAGAACTGGATTTCGAATAAGGCGAGGGTACGCGGGAGACGCAGGCAGTGATTCGGTTGAAACAGAGCTCGTCATGTAAGCACAGACATGCTGTGGCTGTTCAACGGAAGGATCGGGACTATCAAAAAAATGAATATCTTCACTTCGCCATGCCCTGTTGAGCCATGGTGTGGCATGGTAGTAAAGAACAGCAGTAGCGAGATATTTAGCCAGACGGACACGCTCGTACTGACTCATTTCCTTCATGATGTCGGATCTTGGTTGTGATATAAGCTCTGACAGGGACTTGGCTGTGGTTGTTATGCTGGTCCGACTGCCTAAATATGCCAAGTGTTTGCATGTTCCGTTGTCCCCAAGTAAGCCAATGCACGTATTACGTTCCTGTTGGTTTAAAGATCTCTCGACCACCTTGCAGAAGTTGCGTTGGATATGGAGATATGGGATTTTATCGACGTCTGCTTTTGAGCACAGTGGCTGTATTGGCGCTGCTGGAAGCTTGAACTGCACACGTTTTCGTGGTGCCGATGAGTAGATTTCGCGCTTGACCTCTCGTTGTCTTTTGAGAGAAGGATTTTCGCTAGAGGATGATGTGAACGCTAGCTGAGAATAACTCTTATGAGATGTGATGGTGGACTCTACGTCTATCCAGGCCGCGTTCCCCGGTGCTCTTGGGTGTTGAATAAAGGCGATGTTGAATCGGACCCGGGTTGTCGTTCCATTAACAGCTGGCTGGAGGGATATGTGCACATTATGGACAGTATGTGCTGCACAAGCTGACCCGAAAGCGTCGTAGAGGCTGCGAGCTGCTTGTTGGATAACACGGAAGTCCTCAAATTTTCGACGACATTCAGGGATTCTGTCTATCGTTGATGCTTGCCAGGTACACGTATGGTTTTTCTTCGGTTGATTAATGACCGACCCGAAATTTTGAACCAGGGATTCCATGTCTTCTACAGAATACTGTGTATACGATTGATTAGACTGGGTGTGTTAACGGTGATTCTATAGGTATCTTACTCACCTTGAGCAACGACACGGCACTTATGTGCTCTGACCTTGCCTGAGTAGCAACAGGAAGCTGTCTGGTTAAGCCCTCAATGCTTTCAAGCTTCTTTTGGATCTCCAGAGCTATCTCTAGACAAGAAAACTCGGATGAACCAAGGCGGTCATCTGATAACAGGACTTTTGCAAGATCGGAGACAAGGAAGCGCTGGTTTTTCAACATTTCTTTGAGATCAGCATCTCGAGGCAAATACTCTCGATGTTCCCTGAGGGATTTAATGACACACTTAAAACTGGAGTCGATTTCAGGCAGAACTGTTGCTATCAGCGTAGGAACTAAAACTTTGGGCGCGAAAATTACCCTGCAACAGCTCCCCATCGCTGGTATCAGGATTGTATTGTGAGTGACATCCTTCTTCTCTGCGACTTGACAGAGCGCATACTTTGGAGGCCGTTTCTTGGATAGGGCAGTGAGATTCCTGTGATGAGTCCCGCGGTTGCTTAGGTCTCTTTTCGAATTGGTCAATGACCGCCCACTGTTCAAGTAGTGACTTCATGCACGCGGCTGCTGCTCCGGCAGAGTACTTTTGCCAGATTTTGTTTTTGTGACTGTCGGCATAGTCACAGACTCCTTTTATAACAAGAAAAGGCATAATACCGTCAATGCCCGCACCCTCCATTTCAAACGCAATCACCTTCTCTTTATCGGCAATTCTGTCTCTGTCCTTGCCAGATTTCATGACTGTGTCTCCTGACGCTATTCGCCCAAAGTGGACACTGAACTCCCTCTGAGATGAACGCGAACGAACAATTAATCTCTCCCGATCACACCTCAGTGCTTTACAAGTGGCCTTCTGGGCCTTTTTGCAAGATTTGTTCTCCCCGCATGTTTTGCATTTCGAGTTATCGTGATGCTTGTGGTGGTAGTTTGGTTCGAAAAGCTGATCAGATTGCCTAGGGGGGCAAGAATAATCGCTAGTTCGCGTTCGAAGGGCACTAAGATGATAGTCTGTCCTGCTGAGTAGATACTCGCGGCCCTTTAGGCTTCTAAGCTTGCGCAAGAAGGCTTGCACTTCGCTATCCCCACTTGAGCGAGACGCCGTTTCTCTGTATTGGAATGACCCGGGGAACTGTTTTCCAAAATCGTACGGCAAAATCTCACCACTGATTATGATATCACCAAGGAATATTCCCCCTTCGATGCCTCCTGGCACCCCTCCACAAACGCCAACAATCAAGGCAAGTCGGATACATGGAAAGCTCCAGTGGCAGCTCTTTGCGACAGTTGCTGCTTGGACCTTCCCCATGCCAGTCATATATGCCAACACGACATTATGATTGCCGATCACTCCTGTTCGATAGGAATTTGTGTCTTTAAGCGCTTTACCGTATCGATCACCGTTTGCATCCCAGATATGGTCAAAAAGGAGCTCTACTGCGTTAGATTCTATCTCTAGAGCACAGATGATCGCAACGCTGAAGTCCTCGCGGTCTCTTGGTGTTAGAGGAAACGGCATCGTCACGAAACTCGAGCGGTAGGGTTATGTGGAAGTGATTAAGGATAAAAAGTCTGTCCGTGGGTTAGCTGACAAAATTAACTGGGGTTCAACTTACCACGTCACGCCTCCTGGTCTGCCTTGTTGTTCCGCAAATAAAAATAAGAGACTAGCCGCTTTGCCTGCATACTCAGCCCCTCAGAGGTTCGCACCGCCTTGAATTCTTACACTTCACACAATCCGTCGCCGCTCGCCAGAAAGACTATGAAGACTAAAGCAGAGAGTACAGATATGCCTAATGACTGGGTGGTGTCCAAAATCGATCACAGCTCTGAGGATCCAAATTTTGGCTTCGTCGAAACCCTGTATCAGACCTGCTCAGCTGCTCTTGTGTCTCTATGGAAATCGCATTTTCGATTGACAACTCATAATCCACAGAAGATCATTCTGAAGAAAGATATAGCGAACATCCAGTTCTGGGAAGAGAACTTCCCTGCCGGCCACCTTGATACCATCCTGGCAGAGTCGAGCGGCTTGAAGATCCGTGTGCTCGAGAGCCTGACGGGTATTGGCAGGATTCTCATCTCCTTTTTCACAGATTTTGATGAAGCAATATTCAGCACACAGAACGAATGTAATCCCGAATGCAACTTTGTGAATGACCTGGAAACACAATTGGAAAAGGCTGCACTGATGCTTGACGCCGAAGAAAGATCTGAGCCATCGTCGGATGAGGAGACCTCCTACGATTCCTCCCACGATTCCTCCCTAGCCACCGAACGTCACCAGAATCGCCTCGGACGCCTCCACTCCTACATAAGCTGTCTGATAGATCTTACACCCGTGGTGGAGAGGTATATATGCTCCTTGAATTGCAAGGCGGAAGTTCAATATGTTCCGATCGAGACTGCCTTTCGTTTATCTCATCGTGCGCAGCCTTACGCAATGCATATTCGCGACCGGTCGGTGTCCTCACCAGGGCTTTTTTTTCCCTATACTGATTTAAGCAAGATTTGAAAACGCACCTACCTCTCTTGTGGAGCGGTTAGCAGAGGCTAACTTGGAAAGATTAATCCGGCTTCGAACGCAAGAAGACGAGGAAGAAGTGGATGATCACACGAATCAGGACACTGTGACATTGTTCAAGCCCGTTTCCCTGTTCCATGACTCTGGTCTTGGGACATCCATTCCTACAATGTCGCAGTATGCCGCTACTGTCGCTTCCCATACTTCGTTCCTCTCGGTTGCTGGAGAAGAGGCCCTTGGTCGCCCCCGAGTTCCCCCACTACCACAGGAAGGCGGACATCCCTTTCAATGCAATTACTGTCACAGGACCATTTCTATGCGAAATCGAATAGAGTGGAAGTACGTACATAAAAAGGATCAAGCTAAAAAGTCTGATTATACTGACTAAATAGGATGCATGTCTTCGGTGATTTGGAGTCGTACGTTTGCACACGCGATGACTGCAGGGACGGGCTCAAAACATTCCCGACCCGTCAATTATGGGCGGATCACGAATTCAATGAGCACTTTACTCTGCTCCGATGGCGTTGCTTCAACTGCAGCATCCCATTCAACACCCCGGAACTCTTTGTTGAACATTTGGCTCAAGCGCATGGTATTATACTGACTGGCCACCGTTTAAAAGCTATAACTTCAGAAGCGCGAGAGACAGTCTTGACACCTGGATTCGAGGACTACAAGTGTCTGTTATGCTTACAGGATGGCTGGAAGACCAAGAAAGCCTATACGACCCATGTCGGGCGACACCTGGAGGAGATCTCCCTGGCATGTCTCCCGAGAGATGAAGAAGACAGTATTGACGATGGCTTAGTTACAGACATATCCAGCACCCCCGGCAATATTGAGGGGCCGGCTTCCTCCACTGGAGCAAGCTATGAGGTCGATGCAGATTCTGAAGCTCAATATGAGCAATGGGGCCGACCTGTGTCAACTCCTGAGCCCATTCTGGCCGATTGGGCGAGCAAAGAACACGAGGACTCGGAGTCTGGCGTTATAATCGATACGGGTAGCCCCAAAACAATCTCGCCCCGAGTTATTCCGAGTGCACTCTTTTCAGGCCCGTCGCTTTCAAACGAACAGTGGGCGGGCTCCGAATCAGTACAGCCTAACAGCTACTGGTCAGTGGCCGAGAAACGCTATTTCAAGAGGCTGTTGGCCCACTTTGGTGAAGACTTTGAAGGGATATCGAGATTTATGAAGACCAAAACCCAGGTCATGGTGAGATCGAAGCATCTGCGCTTTCTCTCGAGTTGAGCGCTCTTTGATAAGACATAACTGACAGTGCAATAATGCAGGTTCGCGACCATCTCAATCAACGACTAGCCGCGGGCGAAACGGACCTTGAAGAAACCATGAGAGATGCAGAAGCCAGGAAACTCCGCGGGGAGCCCCAACACCCGGTCACAATACCCAGGTTGACGTCCCGACAGCCAGAGCCATCATGCCAAACCGAACCCCTGCGTACTGAACAACAACAACACCAATGTATTGAACCAGAGGAAAAACGCGTGGAAAGCCTTGATCAACACAAGAACAGCCAACTGCTTACTACGGATCAATTGAACAAGTCAAAGACAAAGTGCGGATCGCAGCGGCCAGAGGAAGATTATGAACTCGAACTCGTGCGAATGGATCAAGGGGTTCGAGATAGATTAGAACAGCAACGCAAAGAAAGCCTTCCACAGCAGAAGCAACAAGAAGCGCTGATACGCGCCACTGAAGCCAGTGCCAGCCAAATACTTAAGGGATATGGTCGATTACAGAATGAGCCGCTTGTCAAGGAGAAGATAACAAAGAACAATAGCGATTCGCCCTCCTTTGTTGCGCAAGCGAATGCACCTTCGTCAAACGATGCACAGAACTTGGAACTATCCCAACAGCAACAGCCGCAGCAGCTAGCGCAGCAAGGTTCTATCCCACAAGATGGTCAAAATGCAGCCATGTTCACCGGTCAAATCGTCAACGACCCTCGAATGAGAGCCTCTATGAATATACCGCAAGGCATAAACAAGGCAACTAGCCTCACTCAAAGCCCGCAGCAGAGAACTCCTCAGCAAAGCCATGCGACTGCTGTTCCTGCGCCTCAAAATCAAGGGACCAATCAACCAATCCCGCAAGAGCCTTTCACGGCCATGACTCCTGAACAACGTCTGGAATTTATGGAGTCGACGCGGCGCCAACAGCAGGCGTACTTCCGCGGTCTGCCTCTCGATCAGGCAATTACTGAACACAATTGGAACAACAACCTCTTACCAACTCTCTTGGAGGTCCCCTCGATGTCCAAGAAGCCTTTCAATCCCAATAAGACGTACTGGTCTTGCGAGTTCTGTGATTTCAAGAACAACTACAAAAGCTCCTTCGAGCGGCATAACAGAACATGGCACTTCCTCGAGGAACAATTCTTCTGCCCGTTCCGGCACTGCGATTTCGAAAGTGTCAGAGAGGATAAAGTAAAGTCGCACTGGAAGTACATGCATCCGGGAGACAATGAAAAGGGCGGAGAGTGCAAGCCGTTGAAGACAGTGTATCCTCATCCTGAAAAATGCCCAGGCTGCCTGAGATCCATCGGAAGCTGGCGCCAAATGTGGGCTTGCTATACCCAACACCGTCGCGTCGACCGTAAGTCGTTAGGCGCGAGCGCGGGAACGGGTGGTAATGACCCTGGCGATGATCCCGGTGATGACTTTGGTGGTGACCCTGGCGATAACCCTGGCGATGACCCGAGATTGCCAAGGTTGCGCCGCCCTCAATCATTGCGACTTGATGGTGTCGGAGACACCATCGCGGTCCCCTCGATGTCCAAGAAGCATTTCAATCCTAACAAGACGTACTGGTCTTGCGAGTTCTGTGATTTCAAGAACAACTACAAAAGCTCCTTCGAGCGGCATAACAGAACATGGCACTTCCTCGAGGAACAATTCTTCTGCCCGTTCCGGCACTGCGATTTCGAAAGTGTCAGAGAGGATAAAGTAATGTTTCACTGGAAGTACGCGCACCCGGGGGACAATACAAAGGACGGAGAGCGCAAGCCGTTGAAGACAATGTATCCTCATCCTGAAAAATGCCCAGGCTGCCTGAGATCCATCGGAAGCTGGCGCCAAATGTGGACTTGCTATGCCCAACACCGTCGCGTCGACCCTAAGTCGTTAGGCGCGAGCGCAGGAATGGGTGGTAATGACCCTGGCGATGATCCCGGTGATGACCCCGGCGATGATCCCGGTGATGACCCTGGCGATGACCCTGGCGATGACCCTGGCGATGACCCTGGCGATGACCCTGGCGATGACCCTGGCGATGACCCTGGCGATGACCCTGGCGATGACCCGAGATTGCCAAGGTTGCGCCGCCCTCAATCATTGCGACTTGATGGTGTCGGAGACACCAAAGCACACAGGAAGCAGGAGAGAAATAACGGACTTAATTGATCTATCTAGAGAGAGAGAAGTCAGCCTTGAATTCTTGTCTAATAGTTTGTTAGCCACCAAGGCCGAAAACATTAAATTTGGCTACTACAGCGTCGGTTAAACTCTATACCAACCGAAACTGTCCATGTATGTTCTCTAAGTCCAGCTTGATGAAATGGACGTGTTTATGCTACAAAGTCCTAAGAAAGTCAATCAGGGGCGCACCGTGTTCATATTGCGCTGGCAGAATTGGCACTTCCGTTCGAAGAGGAGATCATTGACTACAGTAAGCCGAGAACGCCTGAGTATCTCGAGATCAATTCTAGTGGGAGGGTACCCGCAATGATATACAACGGCCACATCATCATTGAGTCGGCTATTATCGCGCAGTTTCTGGCCGATTCAGTGGCATCGACGCACTTGATTCCACGAACTGGAGAAGCCCAAGGAGCCCTCGTGCGTGAGAGGATCGCTTTCTTTGTCGAAACTTATTTTTCAAAGGCCAAGATCTACTACTACCGGGCAATAGAAGCCAGAACTGATGAAGATGCCGAGGACCTGGGCAAGCGTTATTTTGATGCCGTCGTCACAGACGTTGAGCCTCTCTTGCGGGACGCGAGACCGTTCTTCAACGGCAGCAACAAGCTGACTGTGGCCGAGGTAAGTACACTATAGTTACTTTGAAGATGCTGGCTTGGTTCCTATTACCAAGGCATCCGAGATTCAGAGTGATTGAGACGATTTGCAGGTCCTGACGGCCTCATTTATCATGCGCATTTTCATGCTGCCCTTCACCGAAGATGCACCACTGCCAAAATCCATGATAGTTGGTCTAGCAGAAAATGCGCCGAATTTCTACGTGTGGGCCCAGGCCACCATGAAGCATCCGTCTGTAAATAGCATCTACAACAGAGATGTTTGTGCGGCCGAGATGCGTGATCGACGAGAGAAGGCTCGTGCTTTGGCATAAGTTCGGCACTCAAATAATTGCTGTGAGCTCCAAGTTTCAATCATTATCCATCGTTGATTGCTAAGGGTCCCATATATGGAATACCTGTTGGTAAGAACTCCAATATTGTTTAGAAGTCAATGTCAGAAGGCCAGAAAGGCCACTAAAGAGCTTCGTAGTATCAACTTGTGTAACTGAACCAATTATTAGGTCAAGTGCTTATAAACCCTGTTGAAGCTTCCTGGAAAATGCCTTCCAAGCTTGATACCATAACTCTAAAAGGTTCAGAATTCACTAAACGCTGGATCATACCTCAGCCGTCGTGCCGACTTAGTACGATAGTATCCTCGGAGATAGACATGTAGGATCCGATCCATCTGTTCTGAATTTACTTCATGTCTATCCTTCTTGAGTCGCATTCCCGTAAAGAACTCCGTGGATTTAGGTGAGTAACCCTCAGCAAGGCTCAGCCAGATTTTAAGCCATAGCTGGTCAACTGTGGCAACAAGATGTTATGTAAGCTCAAATTTGCAGAAATATTCTTAGCGTGGTAAAAATTCATTATTTTCAATAATCACATAGTTAAAGTGAGAAAGCTTCATGACTAACATTATTTGTATGATTTACGTTCCGAGTTCTATTATTTTGGTGTATTAATTGCCTTGGGCTGTATTGCAACCATTGTATCCTCCAGTAGGAACCTTGCATAAACAATTCGAGATCGGTTAAAGCCTTGTTCAAAGATAATTCTAGAAAGTTGAATGAAACATCGCGCACTACATATTCCAGGAGGAGGGTAGTGTTCTTTCGAACGGATTTGGAACTGATTAGTATTTGTGAGAAAGATTTGTTTTGTAATATAGGGACCTGTGAATTACTAGATCCGGTTAGTTTTGCCGTTCACGAATACACTATTCTGTCATCTCCTCCCCAAATCAACCCGACATAAAAGACCCAACCTCGCCGTCTCCCCCTCCCTTTAACTCCTCTACCTTACACTTATCGCCGCCCCCTTTCTTTTTACTCTAGCCCCACTAACCACTGGGCGTTTTGCTTTTAGCCCGACGTACTGCCCTTCTATTTCATCGGAGATACCGCTCGATCTGATAGCTAGCTCGTTTTTAATCCTTAAGTTGGAATAGTAGTCATATAAGAATAGAACTACTAGGATAGTCTGGTCCGTAGCGGTATCGCGTGATTTCGTATTAATTCTCCTTAAGGGAGTGACTATACGCCATACTACGAAGCTATCTAGGTCTTCCTCTTCCTATATACCTCGATCAGCCATTCCGCTAGCCTCCTTCTATAAAGAGCTAGTATACTCTCGATATAGCCCCCCCGCTCCGTCCGCATAGAGTAGCTCTCGGTTATCTTGCCACGAATAGCGTAGTGGGTAGCTATCGTTATCGTCGGCCTCTTTAGTTCTATACCGAGTTAATGATTCTGTCAAATTAGGGCCTAGAAGTATAGGTTAATAGCGAAAATAACGTATATATCCCTCACCTTAGTGTTGAACTATGGTGTACGCCTAGATTATACCCATAGAGAGAGGAAGGCGGTATGACCAGCAAGAAAGGCTATACGGCAGAGACTGATATGAAGCGATAGATTCAACTGGTTTACGGAAGACCTAATAAAATGAGGGTGTAAATATATTATTGCTATAGATTAGGCAGCAGGATTTCAATGGGAATATATCGAGATATTCGGCAGCAAAAGGAATGAGATATGCGGGGTTTAAACCCAAAACAACGCATTGAATACGAAGTGCATGAAATAGGATGTTGGATCCACGGGGCAATCAGGATTAGCCAATCAGGGCCACAGAAAGATGTTGCATGAAGAGGTTCTCTGTTAAAGATGAACAGGAAGGAGATTCTCTAGGGAGAAGAGGCAACCAGCCGCATAAGGTCACATGATAGACTAATCCGGCTGACACACCCCTGTAGCTCTTCGAATTGTAGAAGAACCAGAGCAGGAGATAGGAGTAAAGAAAGAAGGAAGTAAAGAAAGAAGGAAGTAAAGAAAGAAGGAAGTAAAGAAAGAAGGAAGTAAAGAAAGAAGGAAGTAAAGAAAGAAGGAAGTAAAGAAAGAAGGAAGTAAAGAAAGAAGGAAGTAAAGAAAGAAGGAAGTAAAGAAAACCGACTTGAAAAACAGGCTATATCAGCGAGAAAGTGACCATTCAAATTGCTTGGCAACTATATTCACTCAGCAGGTACACACTCCAAGACCGAATCATATCTGGAGTTGTAGGTATAGATTTGCTTGATCTTGAGGCCCGCTTTCTCCATTAGAGCATACCACTGTGTTATCGTACGTTCATGTGAGGCTAGTACAGACATCATGGTGATATCGATTTGGGTTGCGTGAAAATGAACTCCGCTTCCCGGTAGGACCATATCGTCAATCAGAATGACCGAGTCAGGGCCAAGGGCAGAAATAGCATTCTTCAAGATGATGACTGCTTTCTCCTCCGGGTAGTCATGCATAATGTTGCGCATGTAGTAGAATCGACTGCCTGCCATCATTCTTTTGTCAGACTATAATCTCAAAGAGCATGAAAAGAGGAAAGGGACTTCAACTACCCTTGATTGGCTGAAGCTGCCAGAAGTCATAAGCCATTGTCTCGACTCCTTCATGTTTGATTGCCTGGGCAACAACAACATCCAAATCTTGTAGGATGACATTGTTTTTGACTGCTGATAGTCGCTCCCTCAGCGCGATGCATTGGTGGCCAATTCCACCACCGATATCGACGAACAGAGTTTGCTCTGGTGCCAGGCCTTGAGACCTCTGCTCAATTGGATAGGAATCGAGCCAATGCGGCATATCTGCATGTTGTGCCATCATGAACTGATTGAAATGCCGGAAAACATCTGGCTGTGTTTGCGCCCAAAGAAAGCCCGGCAAATCGGTATTGAAGGCTTTTTGAAGCGGAGTGTTGACCGGAGACGTAATATCTTGGTACTTAATTTGAGCTAAGAACTCGGGCAATGCAAGTAGTGCTGGGGCTAAGCTCTGAATGCTGTATCGGTTGACTGATTAGCATCCGATGACCAGGGCTGTCGAACAAAGCGGGAATGGGAAACCAACTTATGATAGACCGCACTCTGCACTCCTAGATCACTCAGGTGCTTGGTGATATTATTGGCCATAAACGTGTCTTTGCCTGTCTCTTTGATAGCTCCAACTGAGGCCAAGTAACGTAAAATGCGTCCTATTTTGGGATGTTCAGGATAAGGAACGCGGGAGGGGTTGCTTAAGGAGTTGTTTTGTGGTAGCATCCGTACCTAGTAAATCCGACGCAGCAGCAGTTCGATCACAAAGCTGGGCAATAGTTAAGGGTGTTTTGCTTTCAACGAAGATGTTAAAAAGATTCAAGTCTAATCCAATCTTAACCAGGATCGGCTCTAGGTGCTAGAAATGAAAATGGAGGAGTGAATCAGCTGATGTCTAATAAAGCAAATGTAAAGGAACAAGAAGTGCGTGAGAGCGGAAGAGAGCAACAGCAGCCTACCGCATAAGATATTCTTTGCATTGTATCCTGGCGGGTTTCAAGCGAAAGATAGAGCTCACGGAGGCTCTGGAGAATAGAGTTGTGGGCCGCCCCATCAACTCCCTGGGCCAATGACTTGACCTGAGCGACAATGGCTTCCATTGTGACAAGAGGGCTGAATTAGAAAACGCTTGAATTGCGAAATACTTGGATTGCTGTGTTGTATCCGAGCGAAACTGGGCGCAATTTATGTGTTGTTGGATGTTATAGACAGTCCCTGGTGATCGCAAAGCTCGGGGTGGCGCTAGGAAATGCACAGAGCACGTTTACCTATTTCGGGCAAGTGGTAATTTCAACGCCGTATTCTTATCAATTCCCCCCTCGACGCCAGAATTAGCGGTGTACTGGGGATGTACTGGGGACCTCTACCTATTCTGGTCAATGTGTCTTGTAGGTGAGACGGAGTTATTGAAATTGTGGCTCAAAGGACTAACGTTTACGGACATTCCAAGATAATGTGGCCTCCACTATTTCTAAGATTGGGGGCCTGAATTGAGCCTTTCCCACAAGTTGAATCTATCGGTTTGATGGGAATTGGTATGGGCTAGTAAACCGATCAATCAACGAGAATCGGTGATTCAATGCAGTGGTGTCTAAGCTATGAAAATCAAGCCCCTGCGCTTGTTGAACAACCCCCAGACGCTGTCTAGCATGTTACAGTCTTGGTATTCCGAAGATACCCGGTTTACCAAACAAACCAATGGAGATTTCGGGTATTCCTTTAATGGTCTGACTTATGCGGACTCATATGGGTCTCCGCAGTATTGTAAGTCTCCTTCCTCTCGACACAATCTCATACGCGATTCGGTTATAGAGTCACAAATTGAGTAGTTAGCTCGGCCTCAAGTACATTCTCTTTGCAGTGTTCATTTTCTGTGCCGAATGACAGATTCCCACAAACACTTCGCCTGCGTGTCGTGGGAGCGAGGAAAGAAATACCCCTGAAGTAAATGGGCTGCGTTATCCCAGTCTACCAAATATAGTTCATCGGCCAGTTCTGCTAGGCGCTCAACAAACCATGTGTGGGAGGAGAGTGGGGGTGTTTGAGACGCTAGTGCCCCTGTAAACAAGATCCAGAAGAGCAAGTCGGGGGCCGTCAAGTGAAGTTCAGTATAACTATAGTCTAATCTCTGGCGAAGGTTGCTTGAAAGAACTGCAAGACATGGCAACCCTTTAGAGTTCCAGATCCGAATCATGCAATAGACCATCGTCGATAGCCGAAGGGATTCTTGAAATGCAATATGAGAGCATTCAGTGACTGGTTTGTATAATCGGAGCATCAGAATAATGAGGTAATCGTTGCCAATAGATTGCCATGCTGAGCCTTTAAAAAGTTGGTATTCGTAGTAGCTGATGAATTCCTGGAGTGATAGAAGGATCGATATCAGCTCTGGACAGATGTTACAGGACCACGGCGAATTAAAGAATCGAGTCCCAAGTAAAGGAAGAACCGTTGATTGATCAGTCATTGCGAGGAAAGTGCACTGCGACAGTACCCTTGCCGCCCAGGTCCTAGAAATATGAAATACGGGCTGAGGGCACGAGATAACACCTCTCATCACTTCGCAGCTAGATGCAAAAACGGTTAGGAGAAGCGTAGCTGGTAAAAGAGATTCGTTGTAGAACTTACCAATATACTGTGGAGATAGTTTTGTTTCCTAGTATATCCAGTCCGCCAGCCATATCTACCAATTTTTTGAGGCCATGTATATGTGCATCGACTGCCACTGTATTAGCCTCAGCTGCCTGGTGATTCTTTATTAGCCAGTTCTATGTCTATTCTGAGAAAAAGATTTGCAAGATAGACAATACCTCTATGCAAGTTAGATGCGCAACAATCAATATGATCGATTCAAGAGAGGTCTGAGGTATGTGATCCAGCATCTGATGTAGTAATTTGATGCTTTGCGACCGGAAGAGGCATGAGTCCTTGGTTGCATTGCCTATAGCCGTTGGAGAGGCGTTTTGAAGTCGTAGTGTCGAAGCTAGCAGTGATGCGCTGGTCGATAGAATAACATGTCCCAACGCGGGATAGTCATAAGTCTTCTGCCAAAACCATGTTGACATCCCGTGGAAATCAATAGGCCAGCTCGATCTGGATGCCTGAAAACGGTCTGGGCTGTGTGAGTGAATACTCCTTAATCTGCGCGATTCTTGCCTTGGTTTTGGTGCTCAAACGAGGTTCACTCACAATGGTGGAAATAGATGTCAGATTTGTCGGCCCGGCAGTCCGGGGACGAGGGAAGATTATCAATTACTCTTATTGTCGGTGGTCGCGATAGTACAATCTCCGAGGAGGAAAAAGTAGAGCCGGTATTACCATCGATTTTCTTCTGGCTGCTGTCGGTCGAATCCTTATTGTTATCATCGCTCGCTTGATTGGCCACGCCACCATCCGACCGCAGAGGATCATAATGGGATGGCGTTTTTTGGCACCAAGACATCGAATGCTGCATCTTTTGATTTCTCCGCGCCTCGTAATGTTTATTTTTCAGAAACGAATGTTTATAGCGCGCAAGGGCCTTTTTCTGAGATCTGTCCTGTTCATAGTTTACCCAGAAAAATCGCGGCGGTTCCTCGGTAAGAGAGGTATATCTAGAATCGTCGATGGCCATGACTGTAGACCAGGAAGTGACTAGATCGTCGCACTAGACATGCAGTCCTAGTCTATGTTCTGACGTTGCGTTGGTTCAGGCAACGGAGGTGGGGTATTCTGAGGTTAAGTCGAACAGGTGGATACCCGGAGAAAGGAGATGCTGTATATCCGTCAAGATTAGTCATGTAAATTGCCCATCCAATTGCCAGCTAGGGGCCATAACAATTAGACTCATTGTGATTTCTATTGGTGCACCTATATGGCTTACTCATCTGTTTTCCGATATTTGTGCGCTGTGCGAGTTTTTTCGCCCCCAAACTTGTGAGAAAGCGGGTTGGTTGGCATATTATGGTATTGGATTCTCCCTTTCTAGGTATAGTGCCACCATAGAAGTACAGTCAGCGTTCAAAAGTATTTGGAACACGCTACATGGCCCACTTATTTTTCTGGCGATTAAACCACCTAATTCATTCAATATCTCAATAACTAGTATGCCATCTTCGGTATCTAATGACCTACTCTACATGATGAGGTATTGCTTTAGCTAGATTAACAAAGTAGCGAATACTTTAAGCGAATTTACTCGATTCGACCGCTTGCACGTATGTGGCTACTATAGGTAGGCGGTGTAGAAAAGCGGTAGGGGCGGGAAGTACGGAGTACGGAGTACTGTTCCAAATACTTTTGAACGGCCACTGACACCACTGTACTCCGTATTTAAGACAGAGTAGTGTGTTGAAAGCCCTACTTGTCTCCTTCATCGCCTAATTTTATCAAAGATTACGTGTCTAATGCTATTGAGAATTGCCTATAGCTATATGTATACTGACACCTACACCTATACTTATACCTATATCGGCGGCTGCGCCTATATCACAGATATTATATACTATGTTCTCAGACCCTGTTAGGAAATACCAAGAGGGATAAATACTTGGGACCTACATAGGCGGCAAAATTGCCAGTTAGGTGTTTCGGGCCGAAGAAAGTAATTTTGGTATGGGTGTAAGTACCGTCTCTTAACTTCTTATTTCTACCTAGCGAGCTTGTGTTTGATTCAATAGTCACTTTGATTCTCAGCAAAATACATTTCCTTGTTCGATAGTATCCATGGATAAGATATTTCTGCTTTATCGATTTTCTGTATGCTTTGAAATTCCAATTGATTATCTTTTCTTCTCGGTAGGCCACTTGAGCCTCGACAGTTTAGATAAGCGTTGAGCTCACTCGCCGTCTTGCCAAGGGGTATATATAATAAACAAGGGGATGTGCGATGGCAGTCTGGGCAAAACAGACAGTTTGAGGCACGAGGAAGATAGGCAATCGAAGAAAGGGCTGGGAGCCATACAAACCACCACCAGCATGGGCAGAAAGATGACATACAACACCCACCAAAGGGCGAGTACTGCAAGTGCGAAGACCAATACCGAATGGGCCAATCAGATAGAAGAAAAGTGTCGGTAAAAGATGCAAGAAAATAGACTGGATTGACTGAAATTAAAAGACTGGCAGAACGCGCATGTAGTTCTGTGTGTATATCAAAAAAAAGAATGTGTGTGTCCCTGATCTCCTTCCCCTCTTCTGCTTGAGGGCTTTCGACGCAACTCTCTTAATCAACAGATCAAACTAACCAACCAGTGCAAAGAAGCCAAACAAGGGTACAGAAACAGACCAGACTAAAGCACCCAATGAGTTCGACACCCGAGGCAGCCGACCACCCAATCTGGCAGTCCACCAAAATCCGTCAGCAGTTCACCCACTACACTAGTAATACCGACAGGTCATATAAAGATATCTATATCTAGAGTATGGTCTTATCCTTCGGAGAGGACTATTAAAAGACCCCCGGGGGAGAGGACAGAAGAAGTATCTTATAGCCGCTCGACCTAGCTAGGCAAAAAGGAGGGGTCCCTGGGTTTAGATGCAGAGAGGAGCCGTTTTTCGTGTGGTTTTGGTCGTCGGTGGAAACGGGGGAGAACAATGAAGGCGGATGACTAACTGTCCTGGTTGGGTGCAGCATAGCGGGGGGAGGTCAAGCGGCGGCTCGCTGTCTAAAGTTACGGGTGGAAAGGAGGCCGTTTCTGGCGCCAGAGGTTGTCATTTTCGGCGTCGATTTCACAGGTCCCTATATTCTAGTTGCAAGCCGAGCCATCGGGGCTACAGGGAAAATCGGGATTCTCCAGGATGGACCGTCGGGATTCTCCGAAAATTATAGAAAGTCGGCATCGCGAGGTTTCGCTGATAAAGACTCTTCTCTTCAATGCTGTTAGCTACAGGAATCAGATATTTAAGTGAACTTGTTTCTCAATAAAATTGTCTCGTCCAGCACATATTTTGACGATTTCAAGACTTCGTTTTTTGGTCCACGATTATTCGTGGCACCCCACCAAAGCTCCGTGTATCCTGTTTTCCATAACCATACTCTGATTTGGGCTGCACTTTCTATCCAGATCTGTCCGACACTTGAAGAGGCTAAATATGCAGCCCTTCCACCTTACCGCCACTGGTTATAACCTCAACTATCTCCCGGAATATATTGCCCTTCGACATGGCTTCTTCCGGGAATAGGGACTCGATGTAGCAGTCAACATTCCTACACCCTGGGACGGAGTGCTCGACGCGCTTGCTGAAGGTTCCGCAATGATGTGCTTGGGGGGAATCTGGGTGCCGTCGATGTACCGCGAAAGGGTACAGAACTACACCGTATTCGCGCAGATTGCGAATCGGTCGCCTCTCGCCTTGATCCGACGTACCGCCGACAAAAGTTTCAAGCAGGCTGACTTGGCGGGGCGTACTGTCCTGATGAAGTCCGGTGGCGGGGCCAGTGTTGGCCTCTTCTTCAAGATGCTACTTCGCGAGAACGGCATCGATGCAAGACCTGTGGACTATATCCAAGATCTAGACGGTGTAATGCTGGGCGACTTATTCCAAGGTGGCATGGGTGATTATTTTGTCACAGACAATCTTTCTGCCCAGGCCATGGTCGCGCATAATCCCGATGTGACTATTGCAATGCAGATGGTCACACAAGGAGACATCCCCTGGAGCGTTTATTACCGGGAAACTGCAACAACTACTCCAGAAATTCTCGAGGCACAGAAGCGATTCTACATCGCCCTTCAGAAGGGTATAGACTGGGTCCTCCAGCACGAGGCAGAATCTTTCCAGGACGAGCTCGCCGAGCTTTTTCCAAATGTTCCAGTCGACGTCGTTGTGGCCGTTACCAACGATTTCCGTCAGAGCGGGATGTGGACAACCACTTCTGTGCCTCGCCAGGGTTACGAACGCTGGCAGCTAGGGCTGCGCGATGCACGCCTCATCACAAACCCAATTATTTATGAGGACCTTATCGACAACCCACCCTCAGCCGCTGCGCAGACTGTGATGAAAGCCTCAATGGCGACGACAGCAGTGGAAGCCGTGCAGCAGACCGAATTATGATGTGCCTGTTGGAATCTATTATGACCTCAGGATTCTGAGACATTGATTGTATGTGTTGGTTGAAATGAGATTGCAATTTGATTTCATATAGATAAAGCATCACTTTACTTCATAGCACATAGCTCAACTACAGGTACGCTAGCAATGTTGCCATGACCCAATTGTGAGACTTTGCAACCACTTCAGTATAATATTCTCCGATTCAGAAGATAGAGCGTGAATTGTATCCCACCAAGACATTCGCACCTGGCAAGTAAGATATGTATGTGCTAGTAGCCTAGAATGCATCTAGATCTATCTGGATTGATCATATGCAAGAAACAAGTTTGATAAGTTTGCATAAAATATTGATTATAAATATGCCCTACTTTCTCTACCAAGATCTCATTATCATGTTTAACAATAATGTTCATTACATCAAGCAACAAGACGATTCAATACAATCAACTAAGCTTCAGTCCTACTTTACTTTTCTCTCATCTTGATCTATTCTAAGCCGAATTGAACTTATCCTTCCTATTCAATTAAGAGGAAGAAAGATCAATCGATCTTATTCAAATCTTATTCAATCTTCTTCCTCTCTACCTACCTGCGCAGCAGATAGCTTGCTCACAGGTTATGAGCCCGAATTGATCCTACTTCAATTCGGCTTATACCACTTTTTAATCTTCTATCTTCAACGAAGAATCCCTTACTTTTAAGAGAAACTTCTCTCTCTTAAAGAAAAACAAAAAGCTCCTCCGACTTCTTGCTTTCAAAAATTTATACTCGATTTTTACCGGTCGCGTCTACTTCTCTATACGAAACACTAAGAAATCTCGACTTTCTTGACAAGAACAATCATTTTTCAAATATTCAATCAAGTTTCTTTGACTCAAAATGATCAACAAACACAATATCGATCCTCTTAAGGGTGAAGAAAACTATGTTGCATGGTCTATCCGAATCGAAGCTATTCTTGATTCAGAAAGATTGATCGATGCTATTCGATTCGATTACACCAAGCTTCCTGCTATTCAGCAAGGCCAGATTCCTAATCAGCACTGGTCTTATGAAAAAGCAATTGCTCTACCACCTGATCAAAGATCACCTGATTGCAGAAGCACTGCGATTTGGTCAGGAAGAAGAAGACCTGGAAGATCATCTAGCCCTGCTAACTCTGAGATAGGCCAAAATGAGCTAGCTATACCATCTGATCGATGCAAAACTATAGATCAGATAAATCGAGATGCCCTGTCATCCATCAAATTATCATGCAAAGATGGCCCGCTTTTCTGGCTAGGAGACACTAAATCAGCCTATCAAGCATGGGTAGCCTTAGCTGCTCAATATCGGCCAAAAGGATTCACTACTGAATTCCTTATATTGAAGAAACTCTTCAATAGCCAATTGAGCAATTTCGATAGCATGCATGACTATCTTACTGAGATAAGACGTCTGCTGATCGAATTGGCAAGCCTAGGGATTGATTTCCCTAAGCAAATCGTTTTTGCATGGGTGCTCAATAATCTTGACCAATCATATGCACCAATCATCCAAAACATCATTCAATCTCTTCGCAGAGATGCCGAATCGTACACGATCGAATCGCTACTCGCTAATCTGATTGACGAATCGCGCGGTCATATGCAAACCAGCGAACAAATTTTCATGACTGATAGCCAGTCAAATCGTCAAATCAATCAACATATCAATCGACAAAGAAAATATCAGGCTAATCGCAAGCCGAATCATCAGGTAAATCATCGTTCAAATCGTCAGGCTAATCAAAATCGTCGAATTAGCAAGAAACCGTGGAAAAAATTATCAAATTCAGGAAGATACTGCACGCATTGCCATATGCGTAATCATACAGTATCTGATTGCTGGCATCTGCATCCTTCTGGCAGGCCAGCTGATTGGAAACCCTGGCCAATTAGGCCTAAAACCAATCAAAATAAAAATCAAAGATTCAATCAACAGAAGAAGATGATTGCTGCAATGCTCAATGAGCAATCTGACGAGGAAGAAATCCACGTCACTAGTCATGTGACTAATTACCCCGCAAGATGCTGAAAATCAAGTGACTTCAGCCAGCAATCAGGGCAAAACGGTTGACAACTCCGTCATTCGGAGTAGAATCTCTAACTTCTGTAATCCTAATGGGCTATATTACCGTAATGGAACGAAAAGTCCAAATTATCTTGTTATCTAGAAACGTTTTAGGTGGATCATGAGATTAGTCGTTTAATTTGTTGTGAAGTCATCGTTGGACAAAAAAAAAGCATTGCACCCACCAACGGGTGTACAATACTTTGAGGTAAATATTTGTGAGATCCACAGCCTTTTATTCAGATAGGTCTCTAGCCTAAGAAGTATTAGAAGAATATATGAGACTCTCCTCTTACCATTGAGTCAGAGCTCATGTCACTAAGCCCGCTGTCCTCGGGATCAGGCCACTGAGCAGCACTGCTGAGCATCTCTCAAGACGAGGTTTGATATCCTGAAACCAGGCCGCATAGTTTGCTCTGGGGTAAGCTGTTTTCGGAGCCCAAGTTTGGTTATGTTGCACATGTTTTATCTCAGACTCAAGTTTTGATAAAGTAAACAGGTGGTTATGAGCTCGTTGGCTATGGATGTCCAGTTCGATGGATTTGGTGCCAGAGGTCCCTCGAGAGACAGCCCATGGATTTGGAAGTGGCACACGTATACTTTCGTCGATGATACCAAAAGGGCGACTGAGCGTGATGCACAAAATACGGTCAAATTGGTATGTGGAGTACCATAGACGCCGGCGGTCGTATAATATGGCTGGATCAAGATTCGCGGTATGATCTTCAGTTTCCCAATGCAAGCCTATGTCAACGCATAAGCGTAAAGCGATACCATTCAAATGCCATAGACTCCCCCGAGAAGGACACAATGCAATAAATTGAGCCAAAAGGAGGATAGTGCGGAGGGTCTCGACATCACTTTTCGAGCTCACGACGACTTTTTCGTACCAACTCATGGCTGACCTGAAGCATCCCTCACTCTGACTTGGTCGACCTCCAGATGGGTTTGAAACATCGCAGAGGGCGATGGCGAGAACCATAAAAGATATGAAAACGTCCCTTTCCATGGCGCGGTCCGGGAGCTGTTGGCCACTCTTGGCTTGATATGCGCTCTCCATGGCCTCCTCCACCCTTGAACGCTCCACGACGGGTAAATGGGGCGTGTGGTACTGGAAGTAGACATCTACCAGATGATCTGCGGCAGGGTGCGGTGGAAGAGAAGCCTCCGCTGCCATTGAATACGAAGATGGGTTATACGAGCGTGGCTCAGCCAGCAGGGGAGAAGGCAAGGCATCGACGCGGATAGCTGATATGACCAACCGGGCGAGAGTGATGCCGCCGCTCTGTCCCAAGAATCGTGGCTATCTTGACCCTTGCGATCTCTGAAATTTACGACACTTGAGTCGACGGCACATCAATTTTACAACTAGATATAGTCCATACAAGAAAGCATAGAAAAAGAAATGATACCCACATAAGAGGAGAGCACTCGTCGATCTATCTGTCTACTTAATAACACAGTGGATGGACTCCCACAGAACATATTCAATATCATACAAAACAAGCACCTATACTTTCTATCCCACCGTATCTCTGATCTCGGTAGGTGAGAAGCCTACTCCTTCATAGTAGCTTCGTATCTGTAAGAAAAGTTTCATGTTAGCAAAGAAGCCCAAATACAAAAAGACCGCTAAACTCAAGGCCAATAGTCATGACTAAGAAAAATGGAGGGAGAAAAACATACCTCTTGCCACGGAAACCCCACACTCCCCAGTTTCCGCACGACACATCATGCGGATCCATATCATTCAGATCCCAGCGTAGACTGCGGAAGATGTTCTCGCCAGGTTCCAGCAGGATATCAAACTCGCCAGCACACTTCTCGTGCACCCAGTTGATATCACGCTCCATATCCCACTGCGTATAACCCGTGCATAGAATCGGCACCTTGGTCTCCAGCAGCTGGGGTAGGGTCTTGGCCCACTCGTGCGACGAGGCTGGGTGACCCAAGCCGGGGTGGAACAGCATGAAGCAGTCTAGGTACGGGTCGAAGGGCTGGAAGTACTGCGCCTCGTACATGGTGTGGAAGTAGTCGACGTAAGTGGTGATCTTCATCTGGCCACCGAGACGGTCCTCAACGATACCGCCGAAGGGGTTGGATGGCGTACGCTCGGGGAGCGGGAACTCGGCGTCGCGGTTGGCCATGGCCTCAGGGCCAATGAAGACAAGGTGAAGCAGGGCGCGGGGGAACATGTAGGAGAGCTGGAGCCAGACGTCCCGAGGCAGGGAGGACTCGGCGCGGGCACCGAGGATGAAAATGCGGACTGGGGGCGCTTTGAGGCGCAGACCCTTGATGTCAATGTCTTCACCGGTCTTGGGCGGGTGCAGAGAGTAGCGCAGAGCTGAAAAAAAAAACAAGAAATTGTCAGCTGATTTTTGGCATTTTAAACAGAATAATTCCCCATAGATTGTATAACTTACCGCTCAAACTCTTCAATCCCTCAGGCGTCAAGCGGTCCTTGCCCCGAACACTGTACGGGCTCAGCTCATGCAGCACACTCGCAATGGTCTGCGGATACGTGAGCATGCGGGTAACCTGACGCATAGACCGATCCGAGTTGATCGCCTCAAACTCGCGGGTATACATATAAGTATCCCAATTGGTCATGTTGATCACAAAGTTATCATCCTGCACACCGGGGTACGAGAACTCGGGGAAGAACCGGCCAGAGTTCAAGTCATGATCATCCTCATTGATCTGGCGAATAGTCTCACAGACCTCGAGGTGGGCCTCGAAATCATCCATCCAGTGCCCCTCCGAGCAGTAGATTGGGACGCCACAGTCGGGGCATTCAAAATGCGAGTGCGCTGGCGGCTGGCTCGTCTCGTCGGTGACGGCGGTTTTGCGAGCTTCCGGATCGTGCGGGGAGGATGGGGCGCGGGTCTGTTGGTGGCTTGGGTGTGGGCAGAAGGCATTTTGCTTGATGAAGGCTGCGCGCTGGCGAATGGCGGGCGAGGGCGAGTTCGAGAAGGAGTGGAAGAGGTTGTTTGGTTTCAGGAGGGTATGCGAGTCGACGGAGGTAGAGGCTGCGCGCTGGGAAAAGGGCTTTGATGCCGAAGCGGATGGCTTCGCAGGCGAGGTAGATTTGGCAGACACGCCATTACTCTGATCTGCAGCTTTCAGGCCTAGAGAGCGGTTGTTGTTGCGTTCGGAGCCGAAGCTGCGAGCCCACGACGGGGAGACGGTGCATCGCCGGCGGGAATGGGCGAGGCTCTGTAGACGAGCTGAGGGACCGGCGGCACGAACGCCCTGCCGGATCACCTGAAGGCATTGAGCACAGGTGTATCCTCCTGCCATTGTTGATTCTGGTGGTGAAGGTGAAAGCCTGCGGGCTGGTCTGGCCGTTTTTCCAGCGGAGGTCTCGGGCACGTGACTGAGCTGTGGAGAGTTGCATGATGCATCGGAGGGTATGAACATCATACGGAGACTTCTTTCTAACTTTAACTACATGCTGAGAAACATTTACCAAGTCTTCATACAGATAAATATTTATGACTTAACAACTCTGATTTAAACCTCAACAACACAACGATATCGACAAAAGCTCGTTTTGCGTCGTGTATGTATTCATGAACGCTGCCAAACAATAAGAGAGTCTTGTACAGAGCGAAGTCGAACTTCACGGAAAAAAGAACCCAAAGAAAAAGAAAATTACAACAAGATACAGGGAGAGAGGGTATAAGTCACAAGGCAGGGATCTCAAGGGTAATGCAGTGTCCAAACCAATGAATTCGGTTAGAAAATATCCTCCGACCTGCTCCAATCGCCAGCCTCTCTGCTAGCCCAGTAGTTGCCAGTATGAGCCCAGAACTCTTCTCCGGTGATGGGACATCTATCACGGATGAACCACTGTGGCTTATAGATTTCGCCGTTGGCCTCGCGTTCTCTCCTCTTGGCGCGCTGTTTCTCTTCGACACGATGCTTCTCGGTAGCAGCAAGATCATACTCGCCGTCTTCCATCGCGCGCTGGTCGGGGCGCAGCCGAGTATCGGTAGGGGGCAGGTGCTCCTTCAATCCCTTGGGCAAGGCATTCAACGTGATGACGAACGGAGTCAGGTTGAAAGGCAAACCCGTCGGACGGTGGTGTGCCTGCCAGACCAGAAGTGTCTTGGCCGACTCAGGATCCTGGCCAGAGACGGGAGCCTCGAAGCCGGGCGTGTGGCGAGCATAGATCTTGTCATTCCAGCGACCGCCAATAGTCCACTGGGGCGAGCCGTTGCAGTCAACGATCTTACCAGAGACCTGGTAGGCGGATGAGGCCTTCCAACCGCGAGGCTTGAAATCGAGGTAACAAACCTCGCCAGTGGTCCAGTTCTTGATCTCCATCAAACCGTAATTATCAACGGTAGGGTTTCCGGTAATGATGCCAATCACAGAAGAGGTGACCTTCTTCCAAGTGTACAGCTCCTCTCCGCCGGTAACCGGGCGCAACTTGAGGAACCAGGTACCGAGAAGGTTGATGTCGAATGACTTACCGTAGAACTTGGACTTGAGAGAGGACTCGCCCTGTGAATGTTGTCAGTCTGGTTCCAACCCAAAGTGAATCTGTAAGTAGAAACATACCCAGTAATCCCACTTGGGTGACTCAGCCCACGCAGCACCAATTGGCGGGTGATGGCTAACCTGCTCCACGAAGAACCGGTAGCCCTTGTCGGGCCGCACATACTCAAAAGTCTCACCAAGCAGCGGGTTGAACGGCTTCGCTACACGCCCAATCGTCGAAGCATACTCACTAGCAGCGTACGAGGCAACATAAACAAGACGCTCCATAGAGTCGGACCTGTCTGCAGCAATATCAAGAAGATCGGTATACTCCAGATCCTCCGCGACACGCTGCAGCAAGGAAGTAGGCTCGTTGAAGGACACTGGTAGAGTCATCTTGGTCATATCCTTTCCAATCATGGATTTCAGAATACCCTGAGGAGGAGCTGATTAGTGACAGGTCTACAGCAGTGCACATCAAAGCAGTCGGAAATACTCACCCAGAGGGAAATCTTAGGCCGATCATCATTATCCATCTTCAGACGCTGGCGCACAGGCTCTTCGTAACCCTTGAAAGAACCCCTGACCACCACAAGCTTGCTTGCGCGAGCCTGAGCACTCTCATTCTGAGGCTCTTCTGCTTCCTCATTCTCCTGGAGTTCCTCGACCTCGATCTCGCCTGCATCGATCGCATCAAAGAACTCGTCTCCGTCCGATTCAGAGCCGTACAAGCTGCTGATCTGCGATAGGACCGACGGCTTACGGACGAGAGTAGGCTCGATAGGAGCCTGGCCGGGCTGCTCATCTCTCGCGGTAAGTTTCAACTCTCGAATCTGAGGCTGGCTGGACTCCATAGTCGCAGAGCCATCCATCGGCATGCGAGATGGCGGGCCACTCATCGAGCGGCTACTCGCCGTTGCATTCTCAAGAGCCTCCTTCAGAGCCTTCTTAGTCCGCTTGCGCTTTTCCTCAGACTCACCCATTCTGGATTGCAGCTCCTCGTGCTCTTGTGCGACGCGGGCCATACTCTCTTCCCACATTTGTCGGAGATACTCCTCCCGGTTCAACCGGTACTGCCAGTAGGAATCGCGATCTCGCGAGATCTTGAGAAGATTTTGCACCAGGCCATTGAGACTGCTGACAGCAGCCTCATAAGCACCCAAAGCCTGCTCGACTGCGGGGTCGGAAATCGACATTTCAGGATTCTTGGCCCGTTCGGCCTGCAGAGATGCGGCAACGTTGGCCAGGAGATCTAGTTGGAGCTTGGTAGACTGCGCGGTGATGTTAAGCGCATCCTTGTCCTCATTTGGCGCGTCCTCATGACTGGAAGCATAGTCCCCATAATCCTCGTCTTCGCCTTCTCCATCTGGACCACTCGGAACGTGGCTGGTCACACGGTTTACGTCGTTTGGAGAGATACTCTGATCAACAGAGCCATAGACAGAACTATCTTCATCTGCAAGAGTGGTTTCAAGAGTAGTCCGCGAAGCATGGGTACTAAGCCTCGTGATACTACCACCAGGAACACTCAGAGATAGAGGAGCTAAGCCCTTCGTGCTAGGCTTGTGGCTCAGACCAGACTCAGAGGGTGTTCTTGTTGAACGATCCTCGATCTGGTCGATCTTTGCCTGGCGGAGGGCCTCCGCGTTCTGCGAACGCTGCCTCTCCTCCTCCTTGGCTTCATCCTTGGCCCACTGGATGGCATTGTTCAATGACCAGAACCAGCGCTTTGCCTCAACAACATGGTTCGCCTTGAGGTGATACTTGACTGAGGACTTGCCATGAATTTCAAAGCGAGTCTTATCTTGAGCGTCCATGTTCAACCGAGCAATCTTCATGTTGATAGCTCCACGGCAGGCAGAGCCGATGTCATCTGTCAAGTAGAAGATGAGACAATGATCAGACGAAATGTCTAAGAAATGTCCAAATAAAACAATCACAACTTACCCTGGTGCTTATAATAGCTTAATACGCCATCCTCCAGAACAAACCACCGCAACTTATAACCACTCGTGTAGTTGGTCCACTTCTTCAGATAACCCTTCATCTCACGAGCATCCTTACCAGCCAGGGGTGCCTCTCCAATCGACACACGACCCGACAATCCCTGAGCATTGCTGTTCCCCAGAATAGCCTTCTCCTGAATTCCACGCTGGGCAATCGCCGCAGCCGGTGACTTCTTCAGCATAGCGCGGGTCTTGTCATCCTTGGTAATATCTTGCGGCAGTTTCCCCTTCTTATCGCGGCGGAACGGATCCGCTCCATGCGTCAGGAGAAGCTCAATGAGCTGGACATTCCTGTTGCGAGCTCCCTCGTGGAGCAAGGTACCGCCAGTCTGCGCAGTAGTCCGATCCGTGACCAGGTCCAGGCTGTTGACATCGATGATGCCCTCGACCCGGGGTTCTTCGAGCAACTTCTCCAGGTTATCGTAATCACCCTTGGCGATCAGATCTTGGATCTCCTGCGTTTTGCTGTCGATGAAGAGGGAGCGAGCGAGCTGGAGCTGCTGGAAGATCTCCGGCGTGCGGGCGACGTCGAGTGCCGTCTGGCCGCGGTAGTTGACAATCGCATCGTTGACGGATGGCCGACTCAGCAGGTCCTTGACTAGAGCGACACGGCCGAGCTGTGCCGCTAGGTGGAGTGGGGTGTTGCCCTCACGGTCTCGCGCATTGATATCCAGATCCTCGCTTGAGGAGAGTACGAACTCGACGACCTGGGGCTCCGCACACTGTAGGGCCAGGTGGAGGATGGTAGTACCATACAAGTTACTTGCCACTTGGGGATCGCTAGACTCCTTGAGAGCCTTGGAGATGGCAGTAGTGTCACCGCTCCTGAGGATCTCGAACAAACGGAAGGTCCGCACGGACTGGTCGAGTGACAAGCTGCCGCTCTCGTTCACGGTGACGGAGGGCACTTGCTCCATGGCGTTGACGCTGGCGTCGCCGTCAACACTTGGGTAGCTCGTGTTGGTGGGGATATGCTCGAGGAGGGGTTCAGGAGGGGAGACGGTCTTCTTTCGGCTCAGGCGGCTGCGGCTGTTGCTGCGGTTGTGGGCAAGCGGCGAGCCATTCGACGAGGCAGTGCCGGTAGAAGAGTTGTCGGTTGTATCGTCTGCGTCCTTGTCTTCGCCCTTGGACTTGTCGCGATGCAGGAGGGCAAGCGCCAGGGCGCTCCGGGAGCGCTTGTGCCTGCGAGACGGGGTCATGGTCAGTAAGTAAGGCTGCTTCACATGTGATAGGCTCGCGATGTGGTTCGCTGGTTCGCTGGTCGCTGATTAAATTGGAACTCGAGCTGGAGGGGTCTCTGCATCCAATCTAGTCCTCGGCCAGCATTGGTATAACGAGGCTTTCCATGCAGGAAGTCCACGAGAGACGCCGTCATGCCACCCGCGGGACAGCGAACCATGGGTCGTTGAGTAGAAGTCCGGAGATGTGTTCCCGTGTGCTTGTTGTTTTAAAGGGGTAGACGGGGGTTGTATAGATGGACTCACCCTTCAGGTCTGTCGGACATGGTTGACAAATTCTTGCAGGGGCACAAAGTTGCAGTGAACCCTGAAGCCAGGAAGACAATCGTCCGTAGCCCTGGATTTTGTTGTAGAGGAGGGGGAAGAAGCGAAAGCCAAAGCAGCGCAGATCGCTCCGCCTTGGCACGGCGGCGCAGCGCTCGATACTAAAACATCCCACGGAGCCCTACTCCGTACTCGAACTCCCACTGGCTACGAAGGTCTCTTGTTTCTCCTGGATACTTTGCTATGGCGTAGGACTTGCAGGTTTGGATGGCCGATCTCGATGATCGGAATTTGAACTCGTCAATTCTATAATAATTGTACAATGGAGATAGCGATAGCTATTGTCCATCCCCAGATGGGAGAACCAAGTACCCCTCGAGTTCTCGAGGATCAAGTCCCTCCTCCGTAGAAGCAGTATATATCATACAAAAGTAGCATCAACGAATCTCTCTCTTTCTCTCTTCCCGTCTATCTCGTCTCACCACTCACCAATACCACCACACTGCCCAACTGCCGCCGCAAGTCCTCCTTGTTCACATCGTGAGTATCCTCCACCTCCCCCCACATATCCGTCTGCCACTTGACCTCCAAGTTCGCCGCCTCGGCCGCCTCCTCGAGACCGAACTTCTTCGCCTCGTGCCGCTGGAGATGCCGGAAGTTTTCACTCCACTCGACCACCAGCCGCACAGCGACCAGTAGACTCTTCGACGCCAGAATGCCTCGCTCCAAGCCCGCCAGATCATGAGCATCCAACTCAGACACCCAAGTGCAGATGCTCTCCTTGGTCGCTTGCGGCTGGGACACGGGGAGAATGCTCTCCGCGTCGAGGATGGGCACGATCTCCAGACCAGGCCAGACCTTTGTAGACAGGAAGCTCATAGTGTCCTTTGCAACCCGCATCTGAATATCACGTAGACTCTCGACCTTCTCTTCCTCGCTCACCCGGTCCAGCGCGCGGTTCGTGCGCTCGGGCTCCCAGCACAGCAGGGTGTCGGTATCCAGGTACCGCATGGCGGTGCTGGTGATCTGGTCGCGGGTGGTGCGTTCGCCCTGGGCATCTTCGCGGACAATGTCCGAGGCGCGGGCGGCGAGAGAGGTCAGGGGGATCAGGTGGCTCTTGAGGGCCTGTTGGGCGGATGTCATGACATCCCATTCAAGAGCGATGGCATGGGCGAGGTGAGGCTTGGTTGGGGGGATCGAGAGGATATCCTTCGAGGGTGTCCGTACGGGTCGCTTGTCCAGCAACACTTGGTATTCACCTGCCAAACAGATACAAAGGAATAGTTAGTCTTTGATAATCAATTCCCAAAGGACAAAGGTTTTACTGGCGACCATGCGAATAGCATCTCCCAGTCTTGGTCATGCACATACCGGGCTTCCCGTGAACATGGACATCCTTCCAGAAGCGCTTCTTCAGTACAACCGGCTTCTTCAATTGTGATACATCCCGGCCGTCCTTCGTCAGCTCTGTAGCCGTCTGTGTCTCTGCGGTCTCTGTAAACTCGGGCGCAGGCGCAGGAGCCTTTGGTGGCGGACCGTGGGCCGTGATGGGATGCGCAACCGCGGCCCTCAAGGGCGACGAGTGAATGCGGCGGCACAAGGGGACATTCTGCCTCGTCACGGCGAGGAGGCGAGCCGAAAAGGCAGCGCGAGGAATAATGGCCATTGGTAGAAAGTCAAGGCGGCTCAGCGCTTTCGTCACAAGTGGTAGAAACGAAACTCGGGCGGAGATGGCAAGTCGGAACTTTTTGTTCTCGGCCCGCCGAGAATTGGTCCGTGGTTTACCTTGACCGCATACATTCATGATATACGGAGATCTCGACAGGATTTACTACAATTACCTGCTGTTTTCCAGTAGAGGATAATTTAGCATGATCTTGAGTTTGTTCTCTGTGGGATAACTATAGCTAATTGCGAATCATTGGGTGGCGATGTTCAGTTTGCCTGGACTTTAGCTAAATTGGATATAGACTAGAGTCACGGGTCTCCTCCATACAATAGTCCACAGCGAGTCCGTACATAGACTCCCATACCGGCATTATCTGGCGGGAACAACTGCATAGTTGCATCAAGGTGGAGAGTTATCATTCGGTATGCATCCACGATGACAATAGTTTCAGGCAACCAAGGGCTGATGTCTGTACAAAAGAATGCTCCTGGGTACCTCACTACCGGATACGTGCTAGGAAGGACAGTCAAGCGGAGCTCCGTTCAACGGGTATTCCAGCTCATTACGAATTGTGGAAAGACTCAAAATACTGAGAAACCGAGAACAGAAGTGGAAGATAATAAAGTGAGAATCGGATTAACCTCCCACCCTGTATCTAGAGTCCTTTCTTGTCCAGGAAAAGGAGGAAAGGGAACTCAAAAAAATCAAGATATTGCAATGCGATCCCCGGCATAAAACGAAGAAAACGAAAGAGGAAAAGACTCAGGGGAATCAAATCAGCTGAACAGAACATCGAGATGCAGAGCACGCGAGAACAAGTGCAAAACGACGAAACCCGCCCATGCTTTTGTAATTTACACAAGAAGCGAAGAAGAGAGGTGAAAAAGAAAAAAACGAAGACCGAGAAACATAAAATAAAAAAAAGAAGCCTTCAAATCTTGAGGCTGGCCACCCTTCTTTGTTTTGGAAACCAATCATGCGCAGAGAAGAGGGAACAAAGTTGTGAAAGTAAAAAAAAATAAAATAAAATAAAAAAAGGTCAAGCAGCGGTGGGACGTCAATCAAGGTCGTACTACCACGCATCAGGTTCTGTCGGATCTCACAAAAGCTGGACACGAGAGGGGAGAGGAAAGACCAGGCTCTCATCGGATTGGCAGAGTCACCCAGTCGCCAGTTTCTGGACCCCCAAATGCCCGTTAGAAGGGCAACTTTGGGAGAAATGGAAGAACTGGAGTCCGCGACGAGTATCACTCTCCCTCGATCCATGCAGGGCGCTGCAAGAGAATTTGCAACAACCAAATCAGTGGGCAAGTGCAAAATATGATAGAGAGAGAGAGAGAGAGAGAGAGAAAAACAGAAGCTAAGAGCAAAGAGGAAATGAGAAAACAAAAAAACAAGGCAAAAGCGCTGGACGCATCTAGAATCGCGGACCGAGACACAAAACAGAATTTCAAGTCGGACATGGTCGAAACAATGGTCGTCACGGCATTTCATCGTAATAGACAAAAGGACAAAAGAGGCACTCGAGTAAGTAGTAGCCTGGGTACTGTGCAGAGCGTGGCCAGTACATCTGCCAGGGCCTTCTTACCCGGGGTATAAGAAGTAGATCAAGAACTGCGGCCTAGCCCATGACCAGCCGGGAGTCCGTCATGCATGCAACGCGACAAAAGGAAGGAGCCAGACCTCAAATATTCTGATCCGAGTGCCCCGATTTCAGCGGGGAAACGATAGCGTGTGCATGGTCCCCAGCATCCGGAAATGCAGCAGCACATGCTAGCCATGTTCGCCCGTGCAGGAGGATTAGAGGGAGAGAAAGTCGCAAGCATGGTCCAATCCGAGCTGGTCTAGACGGGAGAGATCAAGACAAGTCTCCGTGGGCATTTCGCAAGCGAGACCACTGCTTATTTGGTGAGATAGCTGGGGTAGTAGGGCTGCTTTCTGCGATCGGCATCCGTGCGTTTCTTCATACGCTCGGCGTCATAATCATCGGCGCCATCACGGCTACCCCAAGTCGTCTAAGAAAAAAAAAGGCACTGAATCAGCTGGAATTCCGGGAAACACGGAGAAAAGCATCAATGGTCGCAACAAGAAAGGGCCAAAGATCCAGCCAATTAAAAGACTTGAATCATGGGTAGTAAAAAAAAATTGGCTGGCACGGGAAGAAGGTGGATAAAGGCATCTGCAAGAAGGAGGAGTCGTGATCAAAGCGCTTGATGAGGTTGGCGTGTGTGGCGGGGGAAACTCGGGGCCAAAGGAGGGGCTCGCTGAAGTGTAAGAACTAGTCCCCCCCCCCTGCGACCCGCAAAAACCACCAAAACAAAACAGAATTGTCCACGATAGACCCTCGCAAAATTGGAGGAATGAAAAGGGGAAAAAAAAGAGTAGAAACACTTACCACGTTCAGAGTCATCACCGCGTACATCTTAATGGCACCGTGGAAATACCCAAACAAGATCGACACGGGCAGCAGGAAGACATCAACCGGATAGCGGATATAGTGGCCCAGCAGTTTAATCCACTTGCTCGTAAACATCCACAGATACAGCGAGGTCATGGCGCGATCGTGCGAGACCTCGCCCCAGCCCACACTAGCCTTGTGGCATAGCCAAACGAGGAGCAAGTCGCCGAGTAGCGCCGGGGGCGACAAGGTGGTCAAGTGTACCGCGTAGGCACTCCACGGTTGGCGACTGGAAGATGATTAGCTGCGGCTGAAAATCATAACAAAAATAATATATGATGGCGAAATGATAACAGTGGCAAGGCCAGTATAGTATCAACCATGCAATATTATCAAAATCACAAAATCACAAGGCGAAAAACAAAAAAAAACACGCAAAGGGGATTATGAATGGGGTAGAAAGAGCGAGGGCCAAACTGAGTTCCGACGAGGTTCCCAGAGAATTCTCCGGCGCCACCGACGGTACTTTTGTTCGTCGTTGCCCACCTATTGGGCTTGGGGTTTACTGCAGCGCACAGGAGGATCCTGCCGGTGTCCTCAGTCGGTAAAAGGAGCCTCTCGCTTCGAGGAAAGACGGACAAATCCTCGGAGAAAATTCATCCAGAAACCGCGTATAGGTGACCAAAAGTCGAATAGGATGTGTTGTGTAGATAGGGACGCTCTCAATTGGTCTCCAAACCAATGAATGATAACAACCCAAGGCAATGCAGGAAGGGCAGGGAAAAAAATAAATAAAAAGAGAAGGGTATGACTTACTACCAGATATGCTTCTCGTGGAACATGCTGGTGAGATTGCTGCGCCAGTTGCTGCGGGACCAGCGCGCACATTGCTTCAGGAATCGGGGGTTATCCTCTAGCGTGGTGAGCACCTCGGCCTCGGGGTGGTACTGCATATAAGTCTCCCAGCCATGCGAGACCATCCAGCGGGTGATGAAGTTGTCGTCATCGGCATTGAGCTGATACTTCCCCCACCACCACTCCTCGTTGGTAAATGCGAAGGTGAAGCCCTCGTCCTGGAGGATCTTGGTGCGATACGCCACGGTGCGGCCCGACATGCACGGCAGACCCCCGTCCACATTGGTGGTGGCACCGCAGTCGAAGTTGCGTCGCTCCAGATACAAAGCGCCCAAGAATCCCCAGATGCGCTGGGAGAACGTGGGCGAGGCGGCTCGGCGCAATCGCTGGCAGGTCACCACGCCTCCGTAACGCTCATCTTTCTCAAAGGGAGCCAGAATCCATGGCAACACGGTCGAGGGCCAGCTCACGTCGTCGTCGACCAAGAGGGTGATGGAAGTGCGGACCTCGGGAATGGCTCGGGTCATTTGGCGGCGCTTGTTGGGGTGGGTGACGGTGAATAGGCGAATTCGGGACTGAGAGGCAGGCATCGCACTCAGCATCTTCTCGGCGCGCTTGCGATTGGCCTCAATGGTGACCAGGAGGATTTCGTAGGGCTGATTTTCCAGGCATGATCGGATCGTCTCGACCAGTTCCTCACCGCAGCCTTCCAGCGTGGGGATGATCACCGTCACATCTTGGGAGGTGAGTTTGGGGTTCTCGGGGGGTGGAATTGGCTTGAAAGTCCAGAACGAGACTAGATTGACCACGAGGCGGAAGTAGCGATAACAGCTAATTGTGGATGGTTAGTTTACGTTGTCTTGGAGGAGGATGTATAGTTTCGAGTTTGATAGCGATTAGACTGACAACAGGGCGACGAAGGCGCGCAGGAATGGAAATGCCATAGCGTCTTCCAATGACCACGCCGCGAGGGGTCTTGATTTTTTTTTTTTTTGGTCCTTGTGATTATTTTTTGGATTCCCGTCTTTTCTTTAAGAGGGAGGGATCTCCTCTGATTTTCGATTCAACTGCAATTCATCCAAATCACCTGATTAGCTGCGACCAGTCTGGAACTTTTCCATTTGCCAAAATTGTCTTACCTGGCACCGCGAGAACCAATTGCCAATCGAATCTCGTGGAGATGTTGTTTTATAGAGGAGGAGTGATGGGCTGGTAGGAATCTAAAGGAGCAGGGAAGCCAAACGAATGTCGAGGAAGACACAGCTCCCTCAACCAGCCCAGATGAATGAAGGAAAAGGAGATAAAGGAGGTCGGAGAGAGGAGGGACGAAGGGGAGGGAAAAAGAATAAAGAAGAAGGCCAGGAAAGGGCCGACGGGCGTCGAAGGCGAGTAATTTGTAGGCACATGCCGACGACCATCTTTGATACTCTTGCTTGCGAACAATTGAAACCAAAAGCCGCAAGAATTCTCAAGAAAAAATCAATTAAAAAAATATAAAAGGACCGACGTTTCTAAGCTAAAATAAAATAAAAACAATAATAATTAAAGACTGAAAAAAGAAAAGGTTCAAAAATGCAAAAGAACAATGCCCACCCGGTCCCCCCATCATCGACGTTTTGAGGGAGCTGCAGGTGGTAGTTTTGCCTCGTGCGTCAGAGAGTCCGAGAGACCCTGGATCTAGATGGAAGAGCCATTTTTCAAAGGGTGGAGAGGGATTGGCGGCGGCCCATGCAGCGCAGTGACA